GGAACCAGAGTTGGAGGAACCAGAGTTGGAGGAACCAGAGTTGGCCGAGTTGCCAGAGTTGGAACCAGAGCTGGAACCAGAGCTACCAGAGTTGCTGGAAGAACCAGCACCGGCAGCGGGGCACATGCAGGACTTGGCGGAGGGGGTGGCGCTCAAGTATCCGGTTGCGCAAGGGCAAGGAGTCTTGCCGGGAGCTGCGACGGTACTGTATTGACTGTCAGTGGAAGGTTGAGATACAGCTGAAGAGAGGAATTTACGTGGTAGCAGGGACAGTGCCGTTGTTGTACTTGGGGTTGGCACCGACGGGGACAACGGTTGGCTTCTGACCAGCCTTGTTGGAGATAGTGCAAGCAGGGCTGCAGTCAGTAACAGTAACCCATTGCTTCTTAAGACCAGTGTAGGTCTTGGTACCGTGAGTGAAGATGGTCTTCTTGGGGCAGTAGGTCTCGTAAGCAGTGACGGTCTGGGTAATGTAGGCAGTAGCAGTGGTGGTGCTGTTACCCCAGCTGTTGCCTGTGGCATGAGCTTGGTGTCCCTTGGCGGCGACGGCGCTGGCAGCAGCAGCTGCGAGGATGAAGTTGGAGAATTGCATTTTGGATGTGTTGTGGGGGGTTGAACGAGTGTGGTTTTAACGAAAGTAATTTGTGTAATGTGTTGTAGTTGTAGGATTGTAGCATGAAGAAAAAACTCGAGAACTGGAGGGGAAGATGGGAATAAATAGCTTTCAAGGATGCTAAAAGAAACTAGACGAGAATTTCAACATAGGAGGAAATATTCTATGGTTCATGGCATCATTAGAAAAATCTTTTAATGCATTCAAAAATAGAAACAAGGGACGACGTCAAGTGGAATCAAATCTATTTCATGGCCTCTCAGAAATTTTAGAGCGCGATGCAATGGACTAACATCAAGAAACCAATGAATACCAACTACAGCCATGGCTTCCAGGTGGTACCATTTTGCGCCTCTCCACAATCGGTATACTTCTTCACTTCTGTGCGAGCTGTCAAAACTTTAGCTCCCGGAAAGTCAAAGATATGGGACCGGTCGCTTACATGACTTCATACCAATCCAATGATCCAATGGGAACAACAATATCAATGATGATGGGATTCCCAAAATAATTCGAAGACACCAAGAAGCTGCTGCAATTGAATGCACGAAACTTGTCAAAAACTCCTTTTCCTGTTTTAAATACATCTTGCGTTGTGCATTTTCTGCCAAGTGTGTATTCTTGTTATCGTCCAAAAACAACGGTAAAGCCTCCACATATCGTACAAACGCCTGCAATGACCATCCAAATGCTACCTATCTTCCGGAGCTCCAGAGAACAATCCCACTCGAGTGCGGTGGCTCTATTTATAAAGTCAGCTATGAATTTGTTGAGAGACGATCTATACCCACGTATGGTAATTTTGGTATCACGACTCCAAGCACCGCCAGAAAATTTATGGTGAAGTACGTAAGGTCGTAATGGGTATAGTGGGTGCTGAGAAGGAATAGCACTATGGGCACGCTGAGAAGAAATTTTTTCGCCGGTGTGTACTGGTCTCCATTGTCGATTTGTTCCCACATATTCAAGTTGTCGTATGCGCCTGCGTTAAACTCAAATGGAACTCCTCGAACCCAGTGGAACATAAGAAATGAGCCGAACATGTAGGAAATGTTTGTCAGGGTCCATGACGTCTCTTGAGACACGCCGGGTATAATGTCGAATAGAATCTTCAGGGCAGCAATGAGAACCACATGTATCGTCCAGGCACCTATGTAGAAGCCAGTCAGCTATGCTAGCACAAAATGAATGTTTGCCTCCGAGGTAGGCGGAAGAAGCGTCGAAATTGTCTCTGTATGATGGACTGACCTTTTGCATTGACCCAATCTGCATTCAGGTTTGGCAGAGCAGCTTGATCGCTCATATGCTCTATTGTCTCTGGTGGTTCTTGATACAACAAACTGCTCGATCGCCGCCGCCTCCCTACCTTTTGCTCGCTCATAGCTCTGTACGGACCGCTCGGACGGGGGGGTTTTGAGCTCACGTCGTAGGAGACGGTGCGAGGAAGGAGGATTGGTGAAGACAGCTTGGCGGTAGTTTGAGGAGGAATTTTGAAGGATGGGGTTGCTCGGGGGAGCGGGCGTAGTTGTATGCAGCGAGGTGTCGATGTTATGCGGATGTAGAGAGGATATCAAGAGGTCTGAGGATATCGGAAGTTCCTAGAATGCGGCAGATACACGTCAGTACCTTGTTTAGAGCTCTATAAAGATCTCGACGGCGTTGAAGAACGAGCACGTGTATATTGCCATGCAGTACCTCGCGGCGGATGACGCTCGTCAGCGGGATAGAAGGGTTTTGCTCACCTCTACGTGAACAGAACCTACGAACAAAGGGAACAGGATGGCAACTCCTGAGGAATAAGAAGCTCAGATAAAAGAAATCCTGGTGTAGAAGGACAGATGTCGATGAGTAGAATGAATAGGCTTTTGGGATAGTTGAGGTTGACCTTCTGGCTTGACCAGGGTTTGCGCAGCACTCCGATCGCTAGCGCGGCAGGGATTACTGTACGACTTTCAAAAATTATCAACGAACTCGCACCTCAAAATATTCCACCACCTTCAACTGCACAATTTCAGTCGCCGTGCAACTCTAAATAGTTGGCACAGCATACGGATTGAAGAACTCGATCTGCGCAGTGTCTGCTGGCACAGCGAGATTCACGTTGAAGGTTTTCCACCATTTCAACGCGCTGACCTTTAAAAGAAAGCCCCGCGTCCCTCTTTCTCTCCCATTACCCTGCACATGCCCATGGATACTCCCCCACAGGAATAATCTACATTCGAGCCTCCTCTACCTCACTTTCGAACATGGAGAATATTCGACCAGACTCTGCAGATTCTGCAGCCCGCTCCACGAATCTTTCAACCATGGCGGACGTGGAACAAGACTCGAGAACTGCCCTTGTAGGTAGGAAGAGAGACTACGAAGAAGCCGACACCCACAATTCCGATGATGAACCATCAAGAAAGCGTGCCAGGGACAATGGACAACCATCCGGCTCTGCACATACAGGAGATGAAGCCATGTCTATTTCACCTGTTCCTGCGCAAGCAGATGAAGCTGCCCATCTCTCACAACTTCCTCCTGCACCAAATTCTTCGGCGTTCACCATGCTGGAAGTTGGTTCAGATGAAGGTCGACTCTCCATGCAAGCTTCCTCCGATGCCTCGCGCCCTCAAACAACCTGGAATACAGGAGTTCAGAGCGGTCTTAGGACCTCCTTCGCTGCCAAAGGGAAAGGCAAGCCCATTGTCCAGGCACGCGAAGCTGAAGACACAGATTCTGCTCAAGATAAGAGCCAGGTCCTTCTTCCAGTTGATGACGAAGATCACAGCATCGCTATTGAGAATAGTGATAGAGATGATAAGAGCGGAAAGAAGAGGAGGATGCGTAATACTCGCGCAGAAGAATACGACACCACAGATGCCTTCGTCGACGATTCTGGTCTTGGCTTGCATGCAAGCAACGGTCTACCAGCTTCAGAAACACTGTCCGGTTTCGCAGCTCCACCCCAACCCTTCCGACCGCTGAACAAAAGACGACTGGCAGCGCTGCCCGAGGAAGAGAGAGGCGTCTACAGGAGTGCTCTGAACGACTGGTTGGTATCCAACAAAAAGGCGAAAAAGGCTGCCAAACGAGCTGTACTCGCTGCTAGCAACATACCTGACACGGCTTCGATGGGGATGGACGACAAGATCATGAAGCAGCAGCAAGGTCCCTCGACCTCAGCGTTCAATGCTAAAGTGGCTGACGATATGGACGAGAACGAATCGGAAAGTGATCAAGACGATTCAGAGTCGGAGGAGGATGATGATGATGTTGACGAGGCAGACCTCAGAATTTCGCAGATTCCAGCAAACATCAGCCCTGCTCTGCTGGCATCGATTGGTCCTGCCCCCAAACCTCCTCAGCCAGTTCAGGCACTTAAGCCAGGTCAGAAGAATAGGTTAAACAAGAATGAACGAAAGAAATACAAACGGGCTCGTTTGACCTTTTTATCACTTCTGAGCAAGTATCGAATTGCTAGGAGAGAATACGATGCTAAGCTGGGCATTGTCCATTCTCCTCGAGCTCTCCCTCCTGACTTCAGGAACAATCCTAAACGGCTCACCAAAAGAGAGGTCACAGAACTCACAATGCAGGACCAGATGATCTACGCCGAGGTTATGGAATCCCACCTAGCTAACAACAAGCTTAAGAGGAGAGACAAGGCTCATGCCGACGCGAAAAAGGCCTTGATGGAATACAAACATTGGCCGTTGCCCAATCTCGGTAAATATCAAAAGATCTCGGCCAACATCAGAAAGGGTAAAACCTGGTATCCTCGAGAGCCCAAGAAAAAGAAGGGCCGTGTTTTCCTGAGCTATAATTGCAACGGCAAACAATATCCCCTACCCCCAATTTTCGATACCGATGGCATCCCTATCGCGCTGCAAGATATGTCCTTTAATATCTTTGTCGCGCCATTCTTGAAGGAAAATAAAGAGAACTGGCATTTATTGGATCAACGTACTCTCAAAGAGGCGTTCAATCATTATTTGACTACCTATTACATGCAATCGATTGGGTATGCACCACGGGTTCGGAAAACAGCCGATGCTCCGGATGCCATCAAAATACATGCAGCAATGCAGCAAATCGAGCCAACTTGGAATTTGTCTGGTCGCCCATCTGCCAAGGTTGCTGCTGTCCCTGCTCCTTCTACTGTTGACTTGGATGGACAGAGCTTCGCTCAGCAAGTAACTGTTGCTCCTGCAGATAGCGCAACAACATCCATGGACATAGCCCAGTCCGCCTTCGAAGCTAATCACGATATCATGGCTTTGGATAGCGAGCAAGATAGTCTTGAAGACCCTGAGATGCGAGAAGCTCTCATGTTCCTCCAACAGAAATATTATCCTTCAGCCAGCAACGCCATCCGTTGTCTCGTCTGTGCCAAGATTGGCCATACCAGCGACGCTTGCCCTGCTCTGAATTGCTTGATCTGCGACGTCGAAGGCAAGCATTCAACGCTGATGTGTCCCCGCGATTTGCCATGTGGGAAGTGTCGTGCACGTGGCCATGCTCGGAATGAATGTCCAGAAAAGCTTGCCATGCCAAAGGCAGATATGACTTGCGACTTGTGCGGTGCTCGCAACCACGTCGAGACCGAGTGTTCCCGGATCTGGCGAAGCTTCGAGCCTAGCCCTAACGAGATTGTCGTTGTCAGTGGGATTCCAGTACATTGCTACACCTGCGGTGGTGGTGGCCATTATGGACCTGAATGTGGCCTGTTCCAAGGACGCGTTCTGTCTGGGGATTATACATGGTCGACCGCCAACTTGAAGAAATACCTGGATTCGTCAAGCCGCAACCGGGCTATTTCTGCACCTGTTGATTACACCCTTCCGCCCAAACCTACGAATCAACACAATTACAGCATCAAAGGCCAAGCTAACGACCCTATCAGCTTAGATTCCGACGACGACCAACAATTCATTCGTCCGTTGGTAAGGTCTGGCAATGCGCCTCGAGGTAATATCACCTTCGCCAACCAAGGCCAGGCACCGCAGGCTCCATCTCGATCTTCCGGTGGTCAAGGACAAATGTCTTTGTCCATGAGAAATTCTCAGCCCAAGCGCGGTGGGAAGAAGGGGCATAACCATCCTCCTCCTAGAGCTGTTGCAGGCCCCGACCGAGGACGGAGGTCAGCGAAGAGACGTGGTGGAAAGGCTTGAGAGCCATCTGGCCGCAGTTAACTGTTCTCGACTCAATGGCAAGGTCAAGAAACTATTGCTGCACATTGCCAATGTGCTCTAGGACTGTTGATGAAGTCTTGGCATTGTCTTCCGATTGCAAGCCCGAAACCTTCATGAGCATTATGTGGAATTCATACTGTACATTGTATTGCTTACCTTGTTGAGCAAGGACATAGCTTTTCATTTCCTTTCTACACATAGCAAGGCATTAGCGGATGGGGCATATACTTTGCATTGCATTCGAAGCGTATCACATGGCATAGCGTCGCATTGATTTCGCTCTTCTGAGGTTGAGTGGCGATACGACTTGTACGATTAGAGACAGCCCAAGGGCGTAAATAAAATCTGTAGTGATAATAAGTCTTCTCCCATAATTTCCTGCACACTGTGAAAGTCGCAAGTGCGATAGGCTTTGTGAGACCTCTACAAAAAGTAGACCTGCTCAACTTCTCCTAGCGTGCGAGAGGCACGAGTCAATCAGCAATCCAGTTGTCCGGCCCTCTTTCCCTTCGTCTTATCTCACATGCAGTTGGTCTTGCAGACCCAATAATGATCATCTCCCAGGATCCATCCTGGAAACAAGCATTTTGCTACTCCTACGGATACGGAGTTGTATACATTCCGTTTCTTACAATCTTTCCTTTCCTACGGATACGATCCAGCTGCTCGGCGTTACCACCACTAACCCGACCCTTGAGACATTCGCTCTATATGCAGACCTGACCTTATCCCCTTTTCAGCAAGAATTATGTAATCAATGCCCGACTTCCGTGTTCTATGGTTCTGATTTGCCTTGCGTTTCGCTTAGGCTCGGTGCTCGCGCTTCAGCATCGCCGACGACCGCCAAGAAAAGGAGGCGCTGATTTACGTCAGGGGGAAAATTCAACGTGGGTCGGGTTGGGTCATCACTTTACTTTTATGTTGACTTTGGTGCCCAAGTTGGTGGATAGTGAAGACGATATTGCGCCATGATCGTCAATTGAGGAGGAAAGTGTGAGGAAGGAGCCGCATTTTGAGGTTTGTTGGGTGAAAATTGTGAAGTGCTTGAGCAGGTGGCCATTCGAATCTTCTTCTTGCCTTGGGAATTTCGGATTACTCGAGTACAGAGCTCAGGATACGAGTGAGAAAGAAAGATGCAACCTTCAGCAACATTCACAGCCTCAATGCCATGCATAACTATGCACAACTTTTGCTGCCGAGGATTGATGATGATTACTGTACACCACCTTCGCTCATGATGTACGATCAGGGTCCTCCCGTGCCGGTTTTTCGGCGCCAATGCACATTTTCCCGCACCAACACCGCATGTCCTTCTCCACTACTCGCTCTTCGGCCTTAACTTGACTACCACCAGCAACGCCCAACAACCAGACGGTCGGTGGTGGGCGCACATGGAACGCGTTCGAGAATTAGTCATTCTTGAACCTGTCAAGCGTGCTAGTGCAGGTATCGTCATGAGCGGAGTGGAGGTGGAGGTTAGAAAAGACCGTATTGAAGGAGGTTACTAGAGTTACGACCGAAAGACCGAGTGTGATTGGAAATAATGGTTTTTGGGAATACGGTTTGGGTTGCTATATTATGTTTCGTTCCGCTGTTATGGTAAGTGCCTCTTTACTTCAGACAACTTCCTTCAAAAGCAGCAAGAGCAAAGACTTGAGATAAAGTCTTCGGTACACCATCTCCTGCAACCTTGAGAACGTTATCACTTTATTCCTTGCAATATCTCAGACCCCGTGCATTATCTCCCATCCGCCACTTTTGATTGGATCACGTTTCCCTATATCACATCCATCACATCCGCCTGAGCAAGAAGCATAATGCGGTCTTCCTTCGACACAGATAGGACACAAGTCCCAACCAGACAGAACAGCCTTGGACATTTACACATGGATCCTCTCGAAGAAAAGAAAACAAACATGGACAACGATCCCATTTCTCCCGAGTCTCAACAGATCTTAGCTCACCAAGCAACACTCGATCGATTAGCCTCAAGACAGCAATACGACGATACGTTCGATGGCATCGACTTGGTTGACGGTACGAGAGTGGATAATAACTCCAATTCAACCCTATCTTCAGATAAAGATCTCGAAAAAGGAGACGAACAAGGAACAGCAGCACCACCACTACACCAACACGCATCACACAAGCAAAGAGATCCCAATCTTATCGAATGGGATGGACCTAACGACCCAGAGAATCCCATGAATTGGACCGTTAAAAAGAAATGGATAACAACCATAGCCCTTGGCTTCATGACTTTCTGCGTTACCTTCGCTTCATCAGTATTTAGTAATGCAACCGTCGACGTAGCAGAGCTCTATCACGTTAGCACTGAAGTCTCTACCCTTGGCACAAGTCTTTTCGTGTTTGGATTCGCTGTTGGACCTTTGTAAGTATTCCTCTTATTCTATCCAATTGTCCAGAACTAACAAGAAATAGAATCTGGGGACCAGGCTCCGAAATCTTTGGCCGCAAACTTCCTCTCTTCTTCGGCTATTTCTGCTTCGCCATCTTCCAAATCCCCATTGCCGTTGCACAGAACCTCTACACAATCATGCTCTGTCGCTTTTTCGGCGGTGCCTTCGCTTCTGCCCCTCTCGCCATCGTCGGTGGTGCTTTAGCAGATTTCTGGGGCCCCGTTGATCGCGGTATCGCAGTCTGCGTCTTCGCTTGTGCAACGTTCATTGGACCTATTGCTGGGCCGATCATGGGCGGTTTTATCACGCAGAGTTATCTGGGCTGGAGATGGACTGCTTGGATTACCTTGATCATGGCCGCTTTCTTCGGCACCGTTGGATTCTTCCTAGTACCCGAATCCTCACACAGCAAGGTTCTTCAAGACAGAGCAACGAAGATCCGATTCGAGACTCAAAACTGGGCTGTCCATTCTCAGCGAGACACGATCCCGGTAGATATCACCTCCATCATCCACACCTACCTCTTCAAACCCTTCAAGATGCTCGCCCAAGAACCCATCTTGCTCCTCGTCACCATCTACATGTCCCTCATCTACGGTATCCTGTACCTCTTCTTCGAAGCCTACCCCATTTCCTTCCAAGAACAGCGCGGTTGGAACCAAGGCGTTGGCGCGCTCCCCTTCCTCGGGATCATGATCGGCGTCCTCTTTGGCGCCATCACCATCTCCATCGTCACCAAAACCCGCTTCGCCCGCAAATTGAAGAAACACGGGCGCGTCATCCCCGAAGAGCGTCTTCCCCCCATGATCCTAGGCGCCGTCCTGCTCCCCATCGGCCTCTTCTGGTTCGCCTGGACGTCGTCCCCGCACATCACCTGGGTGCCGCAAGTTCTCGCTGGTATCCCCATCGGTTGGGGCATCCTGATGGTGTTCTTGCAGGGACTGAACTATATCATCGATGTGTACATGTGGAACGCCAATTCGGCTATTGCGGCGAATACCTTTCTGCGGAGCTTTGCGGGCGGTGGATTCCCGCTTTTTGCAACGGCGATGTATCATAATCTGGGGGTGGCGTGGGCTACGAGCTTGTTGGGTTTCCTTTGTATTGCGATGATTCCGGCGCCGATTGCGTTTTACTTTTATGGGGCGAAGATTCGGGCGATGAGTAAGTTCTCGCCAAGTTTGCCGCCTTTTGGGGGGAAGTAAGTGGTTTGGAGTCAGAGGAAAATAGAGCTTAGGAGAGAAGAGTGTTGGACACAGTTTAGGAGGATAACTGATAGGCATAGCGCGGCGTTCTGGTTCAATCATTTCATGGCATTTAGCGGGCACATATAGAATAGACGGCAAGAATACATATATAATGTACAACAAATAATTTTACCAGAACATCACTTCAACACTTACTTCCTTTCTTTCGCAACAAAACAGTTCTCTAAAATTGATTGGCTCAAGGCGATTGATTTAAGTACCGATTTAGTCCTTTCTACAAGTGAATCGTTAAACGTAACATTTACGCTTAGATTGAAAGACGTGCAACAAAGTCGAATCTCAGGAGCTGATTGGCTCTGGGGGTAATTAGAAGTGATCAACTGCTACACTTAAAGACTTTAGTCTCTCAACAATTGACTACTAAAGACGCCTAATATCCTACGATATATAACAATAAGCAATCTCAAGCTCTGATTGTATCCAAGAGAGTACAGTCTTCTATTGCACGCTTTGTAATGCTTTTGAAATTGTGGTATTAGCCTTTGCGAAATGCAAAAATATACTTGCCAGATCTGATTGGTCCTAAGCAATTCGTAGGTTGTATTTGACTGCTTATAATAGCTATTATATAAGCCGTAAAGTGTTGCTGTTTGCTGCGACGTGCAACAAAACCCTTGAGAATGATTTGGGATGAAAGTGAACAGGAATAGAGGCGAATAGCTTAGCGAGCACAACGGTTCTAACCTCCAACAAGATGTATGTCTTAAAACTCAGCTCAGCTCCATTATACAGCATCCATATCTCATGAAATTTTACCAATGCTTCCCCTCATACTCCTCATAGTCCCCCTCGTCCACAACCGCAATATACTCTTCCGGCCCCATCCGACTCGGCACCTTTCGTTCTGGATTCCAGACCGTGGCATCCTGTATTCCTTCAATCTTGCCTTCTTCATATTTATATCCTGGTTTCGCGGCTGAGAGGATTGAGATTGTGGAGCACAGTCGTTTATCATCGCCATACCCCCAACTGATGTACATTCCTGCGATGAAAGCAGTGTCCGTTTCTTGGAAGATGGTGTGATAGTTCTTTTGCGTATGGCCGAAGAATGCGAAGAGGTTCTTGTTTGTTGTGATCTGTAAGATGTTAGATGTCAATGTCGCCTGGTACTTCATTTTGAGAAAGACGAGAGGTTTAGTTGAGAATGAGAGGGAGTGAGAAATAATACCTTGATCCCTTGAACCAGACTATTCATCCCAACCTCAACTTTGACAACTCTTTCGCCTTCCTCTCCGTCGACTTTGAACATCTTTACTTCGTCCATTTTATCTCGTGGTCCTGTCCTCTTCCCTTCTTCAATGTTATACGAGACACCCCAGCACCTCATGTTTGGATCGCTTTCAATGCCTCTCAAGCTTGATAGTTGGTCGTATGTGCCGTCTGGAGAAAAGAGTATGAATGACATTGGGGTTGTGTCATATGAGCGTGAAGGTGTCCAGTAGCCTGTCTGGTAAGGAGATGCGTGGATATGTTGTGGGGGAAGGGAGGTATGCCAGAGTGGTTTCAGGGTTGGGGAGACGGCTTTTGAGGGCGGAATGAAGCCTCGAATTGAGTAAGCATCCAGAATACTCGGGATTAAGAGGGTATCAGGAAGCCTAATTGGTACTTACTGGTAGATCTGGGATCGGGAGCTTGGAGAAGACCCAGACGTGTAATGATACCATTCTAGGAGCAGTCAGCGCAGCCATCCATAAAGTTAGAGAGAAAAGGAATTACCCCAAGTTCTCCAATAAGACCTGTAGCGACCATTCCACCGTTGACTTTCAGAAGTCTCTTGTCTCCTGTCTGCTCACCCACTTTAAGGCTCGTTCCGTTGTCTAGCATTAGTTCAATGCCCGCAATACCCATAGTTGCATCTTTGAGAGCATTCTCCGACCCTCCAACGATACTTAATACCAATCCATCAATCCGTGCTCCATCCTCAACAGCGACCTCCGCTATTCTCCCACCTAATTCCCCAAACAATCTTTTTCCTTGGGCCTCTACGCCACGTAACCTTGCTTCTTTACTGCGCCCCTCAAAGAAGAACGCCAACACCAACTCCTTCGACAATTCAGCCCAAGAAGAGATGAAAAAAGTCGAAATCGACTTGCCATCACTACTCAGCGGATTCCCAACAATCGGCAGCTGTAAACTCAAACTCTTCTCCACAACCTCCACATCCACCTTCTCCTCATCCCCATCATCGTCCATAAGACTTTTCAAACACTCCAGATAAACCGACACAATCTGTTCACAAATCCCCCATACTCGTCTCCGATTCGCCAACCCCAATACCAAGCTTTGATCTCGCTCTCGGACAATGCGTTCTTCTCCTTCGTCATCAGTGTATTTCTCGGGCGTAGTGGTATGGCACTGTCGATGCAGCTCCTGATAAACAGCCAGCCAATTTCTCTCTCCTTCCAAATTTGGGAGGTCATACAGGAACGCAAAATCGAGATTTGTCTTCCGGCGCCAGAATGCTAAGTTGTGTTCTAGCCGGAAGGGAATTAGGCCTGAGAGAGCAAAGGATTTAAGTGAGGAGAGGGGGAGATAGAGGAGGATTTCTGAGATCAGCTCTTTGGGAAGATTGCTGAAGGGGTTGTGAGGAATTGGGTTGCAGGTCGTGGTGCTAGAACGTGTCGTAGGAGGTGATGAGTTTAAGCCGAGTGTTTGAGCAGTGTGAGAGAAGAAGTATGTTAGTTGCTCACTGGTGAGAGGGTTGGATACCCAGGCCTGTCGTGTTGTCAGATTTTCTTTTCTCGAGTTCAGACAATAAAACAAACTGACTTCTTCACCCCTTATACACCCCCAATACTGCTCTCGGGTGGTCACATTTAGTTCCGCATAATCCACTTCCGACAGACAATGGTCGTACGAATCCGTAACATACAACTTCTTCATCGCAGCATACAACACATCTTTGCTCACGAAGCCCAACACTTCATCGCCTTCTCCTGTGATCTTTTCTCCTTTGCCAAGATTGGGGGGAATATTACCATGCAGTGAGTAGTAGATAGCTTTAGACAGGAGAACAAAACAGTCTTCATGGAATGGAACTGCGAGGGGTTCGTTAGGGTCGTAGTTTGAGTAACTGTTTTGGTGTTAGCTAAAACATACTTGGTTGATAATTGAACGTACACAGTTAGACCGACTTTTCCATGATGGGTCGGAGACGGTTGGGGGACATTATGATCATCTCCAAGCGAGCATTCAATTCGTCCCTATACCTCATGTCAGGATTCATCCTATCCCTATGACTGTTTGAGCACTTACATAGTCATGAGCATTACCTTTCCCTGTGATGAAGCACCTATACATGTTAGCTATCTCCGTCTTCTTCTTGTGGAAGAACCGAGCTCACTTCCGCACGCTAAAGGCCTCGGGATTAAACCCAATAACTCTCGCCTTTTCAAGCCATTCTAGATCTTCCCGTCTGGTCAGCTTTCATCCTGCGAAGAGAAGCACACATTCCTCCTTGCTCCCCAAAGACGAAATTTATCTCTACCAGAATCTCACTCGAGGCATCCCAACATTAAAACTTCTCTCCGCCCACCCATAAGCATGACCTTCTTGACTCCCCAAACCGAGACTTTTTTCTCCTTTGAAACTCCACTCGAAGCATCCCACCAGCTGACATCACATCCCACGAAAAAATCCCAATCCACGAAGAGAAGTAGAGAAGCAGAGAATAGAAAAAACAATGGACTCACCTCCCCCACCCAACAATTCCCTGTCATACCCGTCCTCCTCGCCACCGTCTTCCGCGAAAGAATCATAAACACTAAACCCGGCTCCACAAATCGCACAATTGACGTCCCAGCCACCCATCACTGCGTTTAAGCTCGAGATATGTTCCAGGTAGAATTGAGGAAAGAAGTGGAAGGGGAGAAAAGAGGGGAATTTAGAGGGAATACGAGAGTGGCGCGAAGTCACGGGTAGAGATTCAGGCAGCGGTGGGTGTCATGTGATGTGAGATTAGTCTATGTTTTGTAGCTGGGAGTTTGTGGTTAGAAATGTATGCAATATGCCTTTCATCTCTACAAAGTAAATGCTCTACAAGGCAAGGAGCGAAAGCTTCTCACTACCATAGTCACGGGATACCCCACACCATGATGCACTGGCAGCGGCTTTCCTTCATCAGAACTGTTTTTGATCAAGATATGAATTAGAAGTTCAGATTTATGGAACAAGAGTGGAGGTTCATAAGGACATTCATTATATATATGTATATGGGCATCATCTCGTTGAATAGTACAAGTCACCCTCTCCTTCGCTGAACTCTCATCTTCGTCCTTCCTCTCTTCTGTCTCTATTCAGCGGATGTTGTTGAGGTACCAATTTGGTATACAACTCCAAAAAGGTGTATCTTCAACCTACATCTTGTTAGCCCGTTAATCCTCGCTGCTAAAACACATAATAACATACCAATCACTCTCAATCTATCTCGCGCATCCCCTCAGTCAATATCTATCAGCTAACCACCACCTCAAGGCAACTCATGCTGCTCCCTCGTCTCCAACTCACTCGCAAACTGATGTCCCCCACCCCCATAATCCGACGGCGTAGGCATCTGATGCGCCACCGGATCAGCATGCACCTCCGACATCGTCGGACTCGCATAAGTGCCATTCGGCCCCGCCACCGGCTGGTACTTGTAATCCGTGACCGGGTGTCCCGCGAACGTAGTACCCGTGCCGGGGACGGCATTGTTCGCTTCTCCGTTCGCGGCCAGCTCGGCGGTGTTGGTGTTCTTCTTTTGGCGGCGCCGGAAGAAGAACCAGCCTAGGCCGGCGAGGAGGGCCAGGCCGGCTACGCCGCCGACGACACCGCCTGCGATGGCCCCGGCGTTGGAGGAGGAGGATTTGGAGGATGGGGTGGGGATTGGGGTTGAGGTTGAGGTTGTGTTGGTTGAGGTGTTTGTTGCGGCTGTGAAGTGGGTGGTTTGGAAGAGGGTTTGGAGTGCGGGTGAGCCCCAGGTTGTGGGATCTTTGGATGTGCTTTTTCTTATTAGCTTGTTTGTGTTACTGATTAGAAAGGATGTACATACCGTGATGAATAGAAAGTTTGCACGGAATCAGATTGTTCGTATTCAGCGGCATTAGCGTCATATCCGCTAGACCAAGTCAAGTCGGTCATGTCGAAGATAGCGAGACCTTGTGTAAATTGGTCTGCGGTTGCGAAAGTCGCTTTGTCGAGAGTTGGTGCGGAGGAAGAGGTGCTGTCTGCTGAGGAATCGACTCCGCCGATGACCAACATTTGGCGGTTGCCGACTGTGTGGCAGGAGTGGCCATGTCTGGGATGTGCTGGAGCGTAGTTTACTTTGATCCATTCGAAAGCGGGTAAAGTCAAGATGTAAATCTCATCAAAAGGTAGTGCAGCGGATCCGAGGTTACTTCCCCATCCTGCGTACATGAATCTGCATCTCAGTCAGCAAAATGATCCGGTTTCGAGGAAATGAGCTAGGCTTACATCTCATATGTCTCATTCGTAGAGTTGATCCCAGTAGCGCAAAACTCAATCCTGGCTTGAGGGATATTTCCCGTGGCCGTCTGATTATAAAAGTTTCCGGAAGCAGGATCATAGATTGTTAGACTGGAGAAGGACTGAAGATCGGAGCCTGCAGTATAACCTTGGTAACCCGAGATATCACCACCGAGCAGAACATAAATTCCCTCTGGACCAAACGATGGAACGTAATGCAATACTCCTCTCTCAGCGGTACCGTTGAAGTTATAACCTGCTGCGCTGGAATTCTTGAAAGTGCCAGATGTCATGTTATACTGAACAATTCCCGGTAATGGCTCGCTTCCGGTATAGTTGGCAGTCGCCGGGCTCGTCAAATCATTAATATACCCTCCAATTGTGAAAGCGCTGTCTCCTCCCCATGTTGAAAGTCCTTGATATGGTCTAGTGAACGATTTCCGAAGTGATGTCGTAGCAGCTGTGATTGCACTCCATGTTCCCCCTCCTTGCCCATCGAGCGCAAAAGACCATAATCCCAAGGCATAAGGTGACGGGGTATTGAATCGCGGGGCAGCACCGCCAAATCCAGCCAGCAGAGAATTCGAACTCGAGTCGTACCAGAGAGTGTTATCGTCAAGGTTCGGTACCCCGCTTGGTTTCGAATTCGAATTTATGACCACCGATGCATTCGTCCAAGAACTACTGAGGCCGATCGATAAAGTCGTCGTAGCTGTCCATTATTAGAATCTTTCTTCAGGCAACGAGATTCTGCGGGCGTACAGTAATCATAGACTGGTGAACCACTACTCATGTACGAAAATGCTCCTCCATCAATATAAACATAATCTCCTACCACGACCGCTAAATGTTGTTAGCAGGCTATCCAAAGATTTCAAGTATTGGCAGATGTACTCACAGCCATGGTACGCTCTCCTCAGAAAATCCGATGAGGATACCACACCAGGCTGCTGCCGTGCCTGGATCCCATCCTCGTCCCGTTCCGCGAAATAATTGGTATCTTGACCCAGCACAAAGCTCGTAAATGCAGCAAAGAAACACCACCGCAGCATCATGATGAAGATCGCGAATGCAAAGGCGATCAAAAACACAGATCAACAAGAACAACAATCACAAAAGAAGAAGGATCCAAGAGAGAAGGAGCAGCAGCAGAAGGATGGGGGTATGTAAGCATCTCGTCCCATCACTCGTTTGGAAAGCGCTTCATACTGCGCCGCACTCAGATTATGCCCATACATGGCTTTAGCTTGTAAACCTGCCCAGAGCAGAGCTTGATTGGATCACTCGGTGGTGGTTTAGCAGATCGGGTCGATTTGGGGCTGGTTTGGTGGCTCAGGGGAATACAGAAGAGGCGCACGCAGGGGCGTGTTACACAAACCTGATTGGAGTCGGAATACGAAATGGGGACGCCATTGATGCGATTGCTGGGATTATCATTTTGCCGGAATTTGCGGATTGGGTCAGCTTACTTTTGGGATGAAATTTGGTGAGGATTTGAGATGGAGATTTGAATTTGGTAAATCTGATTTATAAGAAGAACAATGGCCAAGAATGAAGTTATTATGTTGCCAAATTCAAATCTTGGGAAGAATAGACAGAGTCACGTGATGAGAGGGATTCGCTTGCACTTGCATATCTGCCCAGAGAAGAGAGAGGAAAGGTACAATGCAGCAGGAAGTCCAGATCTTGAATCGAAGACGGAAAATGGGTAGTATCCACTGACTGAAAATACGATGCGGATCCTATAAAGCTTGGTATCACGTGCTTCAAAGAACAGCTTGAGATACCTAGGTAGGTTCTCCTGGCTTTCGAGCATACTTGACGTCTAAACAGTATCTAGAGCAGTAAAAGACATGAAAGCGCATAGGTTTATAGGTAAAGAGACCGAACCTCTTTTCGAGAATTCCAGAGAATACGAAAGTTGAGGCCAGCACCTGAGAATATTCGATACATATCCACTCAGACGCAATCTCCGCAGGAAGAAGTACAACAAAGCGCTTCCATCACAGAAGATCTATGACTTCATGCTTGATCTTAAGACTGGTCCCTGAATCGACATCTTGCATGGACGTTTTTATTGCAAGGCAACGTGAACAGAAAGAATAGAGAAGTGAACAATAGAGAGATCTCGTGTGTTTCTCCCACTATCACTAACAAAAGCATGTCGACACCAATTTGATACAGAATTTTATTCTCAGAATTCATCTTGGACTTTGGTTCGCAAGATATAGCAAGATTTGAGTGAAAAACAATCGACCAAGAACGAGTACTCGACTTAAGAATCGAAAGATATCTCTACTCAGAGAATCCTACACCACTTCACCTCAACTACAATCGAAGGACCTTGAGCAACACTGCAAGAATGCAAGAGGAACAAACGAAAAACGAAGAGGATATATCCCTTGAATCTCAATCACGTGTCATCACCCATGCAAGTGATTAAGAGCTCACACTTCCATGGACCATCCATCTCACGAACTGACTGTGATATCTCTACACCGTCCTCTCCCTCAAACGGAACCCCAACTCACCTCTCCCCTGCACGCCGCCGTCCCAAGTCCCGACTTCGTCACTTCTCGGAACGGGCTGAATCCTAGGAAGCAAACACCACGAAACAAAAGTCGGAATCTCCACTATTCGTTTGAAGCAAACAATCCTCCATCCTCGAAACAAACCGGTATCCCAGCAATTCTGTACCTCGGGACGAACCAAGGAAAGAAAATTGACAACTCCAGGAATACCTACCTACTCTTCCCGAGAACGGGCACCGGCAGGTTCGTGCATGCATGCGTGCGTTGGTATATTCGTTCAGCTCTGACTTTGCTGATGAAATAGCTTACCGAGATCATAGAGGAATAGAAAGAAGAGATAAATGATGGGGAAAAGGAGATCAAAGCAAGAAAGAAGATCTTCTCGGCAATTGTCCATCACTGCCGAGTTCATCAGGTCCGAGTGAATTTCGCCAACCGGCTCCCCCAAAAATCCAACAGTGGGGGGCTCGCTCTGTGCGGGCAACACAGAAAGAAATGTGACAGCCGCTGCAGATAGATGTCTCTCTTTCCTTCTATTTGTACACGTGCCCATCCCATGTTTTGTTTCTGCGTTGGAAGACATCGAGAAGGATGTGAAACAGCGATATCGCTACCCTTGCCAAACATGACATGGTACGGGTTACGGGTGGATGGATCATTCCATACTATTTGCAGGCTGGGCCGGGCTGTCAATGTCAAGCTGGGTGTCCGAGCGAAGACAATGCATTGAGTTGAAGGGAAGTCAGCCATTGGGGAATCAGAGTGCGCGCTTTGTGCTTCCCGGCTGTTGTGTTGTGCTGATTGCGACCGGGCGGGAAAGCGGGTGAAGATGTGTAAGGTTACTGTACCAGGAATTCGGCAATGAGCAAACAGGTCTTTGAATTCTTTCTTTGCTGTTGAGAGGAGATGGACAGAACTCGTATTGAGTGAGGGCCGAGAAATATTATTAATTATTGTATGTGTGCTGAGAACTCGCCGACGGCGTAGGTTCTGCAATCGAGTCCAGGATCGATCTGCTGCTGTGTGGCCAGCCACTTCAATGGTTGGGTGCGTCCCACACGCACCGAATCCTTTCTCCAGCGCAGAAGAGGCGTGGAGCTCGTCTGCATCTGGTACGCATGGCTTTTGAAACACATTCTGCGCCATGTGCATCTGCAGCTTGCTCAATATCTCTAGCCAAAAAAAAGTGGTTGCTTGCTGTGCCTGACCTGACCCCATCACCGTGCAGCTCTTATTGCAGCTCTTAACGATAAAAGAATGCGGAGACGTCCGAGTGCTGCAGCTGTTATGGGCTCGAGTGATCATATTGTATGATATTTCGTGCAACGTGAGAAGTCAGGTACGCGGGTCAGTATCTTTTCATCACGGACGGCTTGATATTGATGCTGTCTGGACATACCCTGGATACATACCCGGATCCGGGGTATGGGATCCAGGTTCGGTTTCTCGAAGATATGTCTTCGATTCGCACTTGTGGGAGAGACAAGTGACCTGGACCTTGTTGGAGTGACGACTGATGCCGTGTCCAACGCTAACTGTACTCATCTGGATCTTCGAGTGAGATTGAGTTGCATTAGACTTGCTGTGTAAAGAAGCCGGATGGTTTTAGCTGGTGAGGCGATGCGAGGCCCCAACAGAGAAGGTGCCGAATGGTGGCCGAATGAGAGAATAACACCAAGTCACCGAGACTACAGTTTCTGAAAAGTATGAATCTGTGTTCTACAACGTGTGCCAATGGACGAAAATGGAATATCGAATAAGAAGTTTTAGTATGTCATCGAGATCTTGTACTTTCAGATCTTGTAAGAATTGTCACCAAGCTGATGAGATCTCGATTGGTACCCGCCACGATGAAGAGAAGTGAAAAGTGAAAAGTGAGGAAATTACTTATATGCAGGCAGATAGGCGGGCAGCAGGAACGGGAAAGAGAAGCAGACGGAGAAATGATTAGAGAGATGGCTTGTAGGAGAGTCGTGACGATTGGACTTTAGAGTTCGCAATGCTCTCGACAATTACCTTGGTCTGCACGCCTCTCGTCCCGAAGAAGTATAAGTGATCTGAAGATCTCCCTGCCAGATGGAGCAATTCTCCTGATACCAGACAAATGGGAGGCTCAGGAGTCTTGAGCTACAGCAGTCGACTGCATAGTGTTGTAGCAGAAGTGGAGCATTGGTAGTGTTAGTCCTAGTCCTGATTCCGTGAATATTCTAGCGGCCTTTGACCTGGTCGTCGACCAACCCTTTATGGCTTTTAGCAGCTGCACGCAGCGTGGCCATCGGAGCGGACAGACCGCGTATCTCAGATTTCCCCAAAGAAAGGGAGGTGTCAAAGCAAAATAGTGTGCAGACCAGGTGGTGAATAAAGAGCAGCCGTGCCGTAAGAACTCACCAAGAACAGAAGTGAGTGATTGCGAAATCTTGGGACGACCAGCCCTGGGACGACTCTGCTGCATATCATCCGTCCCATCCCCAGCCAGCCGCAAACAAATTTGCGACAGTCGCGTCGACCACCCTTCTCCTTCTTCTTCTTCTCCTGGACCCTATCTAACCCCCCTCTTCGTCGTCGAAGAACAGAAGGATTGTGGGCACGGTAAAGAAGCTGGATTGATCCATTGCAATCGGCAGAGTCACCTATCTGGGCCTACCTGACTCTTGTGTCTCACCCATATTCTCCGGTACTTGCGCCACTTCGACTATTGGATGCTCGATGCCCCTGACTGCCACTTCGCCTAGCCGTTGAGTGCTCCTCCTATCCTGGTCATTCTTCCCCGAGGGATCCATCTTCGTCGCTCCTGCTACTGTGGAAAGAAAAAAGTCCGAATATATCGTTGTCGTCGCTGTCTGATCATCTTCTATCTATCCTTTGCTCTCACCATCTCACTTACCTATTATCCTTATTGCTTTGCTGCGCAAGGTGATCGTCTCCCATCGCAAGAACCGGCCGAGAGAAACTGCACTGCGGTGCATCGTGCTACAGCGGGCGCACTCTTTTGATAGCAGCGAATTCCTTCTTCAGGTGTGTGTTTCATCTCACTTCTCGGTGCCACAGCACAAGCACAAATACCGTTGGAGAAGGGGGTGAGAATTGAGTACGCAGATCTTGCCCACCGACATAACGCCCACGAGTTCTCCATGCGATTGACGTGGTACATCACTACTGTCCAAGAAGTGCGACGTCGATCGTCCAAGCTGAGGAAACTGAGTCTTGCTCAGCTTCCACGCTGACTTGCATTGATTACTGCCGGCGATCCTGCATCAACCCATACAACTCAAACCCCCTTCCCCGTCTGTTATTGTTTCGTCCATCACACACCTCCAGTTATTTATAATAATGAGGCTAACATAATTTGGTCCAAGACAAGATTTCGGCTCTTCGAATCACTCTCTTCCCAATCTAGACTTTTCCGAATCGAACGCTTGATTAAACCTTCGATCGAAAGAATTTTCCCTCACGAACAGATGAACCGATCTTGAGAACCTTTGCTACGAGAATTTGGATAGTTCGAGGAGCACGCGCTTGCGCTGCTGAACAGAGTTGGAATATTCAATATGGCACCTATTGATCTGGCAATCAATACTGGGCAATCCTCCCCACGCCAGAGACGGTCACACAGCATCTCCAGCGATCGACCATCGCTCACAGGATATGGCGGATTACTTTCACCTCCATCTGCTGTCTCTCCAGATCCGGCTTTCATTGCTGCTTCTGCTGCCTCGCAGATCGTGACCAATGATCATGACAGTCAGGCAGACGCTTGGTTCGACCAGCATGGGATCGAGCCTTCTGGAGAGACAGCATTGGTTTCTCCGCCAGCGCTGAAATTGGTCAATCGATTCCTTGATCAATTATTATTCAATTTCTTATCAGTATCGCGGTCGACTTCGCTCGCATCACTCAGACCTGCGGTTGCGGAAGTTTTGAAACCCAAACTCGCCAAGGGTGCCATCGATGGTGCGGACCAAGAACTCCATGAATATTTGGGAGGTGGAGAAGAAGAGGAACTTCTTGCATTTCACAATGGACTCGAACCGAGTGGGGATTGGGATCTGGAGCTGGTGTGGAAGCGTACAAGGCTACGATGCATGGTGTACTCGTCGCTCGGAGATATGGAGGAAGAAGATGAAGATTACTACACGGAGCAAGAGCAACTGGACGGCCCGCCGGGCTCTACCAATAGGTTTTCGAATAATCCAGGAGTCGTCTCGCCAGCCGTTGCTATTTTCCTCACGTCCATCTTGGAATTCATGGGCGAACAGGTCTTGGTGGTCGCGGGTCAAGCAGCATACCACAAATTGAGAACAAGACACGAGAAAGAAGAGCAAGATGGCACTAGCACTCCTGCAGATATCGCGGAACGAGTTGTGGTCGAAGATACTGATATGGAAAAAGTAGCGCTAGACCGGACATTAGGACGACTTTGGAGAGGGTGGAAGAAACGGATAAGATCTCCAACAACTTCGGTTTCCTTAGGACGAACTTTCTCCCGAGAATCTTTGCAGTCACAGCCCTACACTAGCAGAGCTGCGAGTATGACTCCAGAGCAATCAGTTGATGAGAATGCTCGACGACCATCCCTAGCTGCCGTCTTGGCTGAGCACGAACATGCGGCTACAATTCCTCTGCCTATGAACGACAACGATGTGAGAGAAATTGAAATTCCAGGACTAGCGGCTCAAAGTGACGACGAAGACGAAGAAGATGCCTCTAGTGAGGATGAAGGCATTGCCGTACCACCTCGACCAAAGAGTATGATTATCCACCATGCTCCTTATGGACTCTTAACCCCAAATGCCTCACAACCCCAAACACCAACATTTCTATCAGTGAAAGGGAGGAAACGCTCAAATTCGCTACCATCACCAGCTCCATCCATATATACGTCCCCGAAACGAGTTAAACCAACAGTCGAGACTACTGAGGAGACCGAAAATGCTGCTTCTGAAAAGATCCCAGTCAGTCAAGAAGCCAAGGATGAAGAAATGGTCGACGGGAATACTGCTCCTGCGGAGCTCGAAGAGGAAAAAGCCCTCTCGGATGAAAGCAAAGAACCAGAGAAGCATAGCAGTATGATTGCTGGAGTTGTCGCCGGAGCCACAGCAATTGGAGCAGCGGCAGTAGCTGGAATTGTCGCTGTTGCCCATGGTCAAGCTCCACAGACGGATCCAGTAGCGGATGTTACTGATGTAGAGGATGAATCAGAGGCGGAAGAACCCCAGATACTGACATCGTCTCGAGTTTCTCTTCCGCCTGCTGGCCGAATAAGTCCAGAGGAAAACGACCCCAAGGTGCCTTCGAGGCGGTCAAGCGTCCGGTCCACCAGTGTTCATTCGCTGCGTCTTATTGATGTAGGCCCAGCTCGAAGTCCTGGGATGTCGAGAGCTGGCTCTGTTGATGCGGCTGATTATGTTGGTGGTCGACCCGTGGTTGTTTCTCGACCAGCCAGCATCCACTCACCCGTGCTTCCAGAGGGCATGCAAATGACACCTCGAGTTGGGAGCCCAATCTCAAGAGGGCCAACTGCAAGTCCAATTGCTCGCAATGGGTCTGCAATGAGTGCAAGACATACCCGAAACAGTCTTGGGGATTCGATCTCCGAGGTTGAGGAAAGAGAGACTGACGAGTTTAAATCTTCACCCACAACAGCCGTTCCTTCCGAGCTCGCTTCAGCCATGCAAGGCGTGGATATAGAGACCTCACCCAATCCCTATCAATCAACACAGTTTGCATCCGATTCACCTGGTCGAGACAATACGAAGGGCTCTGCCTTTGTTTTATCCGCCCCACCTGTCTCTCGCCACCTCAGAGAGATTTCTCCCACCGATCTACCTCTACAGTCCACAACTTCAACTCCTTTGCAACCCACCTCTGCCCCGTCCATCCATTCAAGAACACACGGCGCTGAGATCGGAGTTCCTCCACTCACTCCTCTACGTGAAATGACTGAAGGTACTCAAGACGCCGCTGGTGATTCAAACTCTGTCGATCAACACAACATAGAGATGACTGCTTTCAATGCTGCGGCTGCACCTGGCCGTGCTGCTCGCATTATTCCAGATGATGAGGGAGGTTATTACACTCCAGGTTTGGCTGAAACCAATCAGGCACCTTACCAACCACGTCCGTACATCAATCCACGAAACCAAGACCCGTGGAAAGCCAAGGCTGCTGCGCAGAAGGCATTGGAGCAGACTCAACGACCCATCCACACCTCGGGATCTGGCTCGTCCTCTGCCTCTAGCAGATTGAAGGCCTTACGAACATCGGAAGACAGCACACAAAAAGAGGACAAGGGACAAAGCTTTGAGCAACTCATCCGCAGTGATCAGACCATTCAATACACCCTCACCCCCCAGAACATGCGTGATATTGAGGTATTTGCCCTATCTCCTATTTCATCTGTCGATCTTGCTAACAAAAGTAGTCACCTGATTCTCCTCGCTATGCTGCACCACCTACTCTTCCAACCGCAGCTGAAGGTCGCCCTACTACTGGTCGATCTCACTCGTCCTCTGTCAGCAAATATACCAACGGTGGCGGAGACGCTGGCAGATCGGTCAAATCCCCTTTCAAACCCATCCCAAGACCCTCATCCAACACTGGCTCCAGACAGCGACAAAACGCGCCTCAACCACGGGAGGCACGAGCTGAGAGAGATTCTGTCGGTGACTTTGCCGAATTCATCCGAAGCACAGGTCAGCTTTACTCCTATCTCACCCGAGCAAATCATATGAGACTTCATGTACCCCTTTTCAACCGAATCCCATTTACACCATGACTTTCAGAAGCGGTTAAAGCTACAAACAACATTTTCTAACCATCTGCAGGTCCTACCAATCTCTATGGTTCCAATGCCGATGTAACCCCTGCTCGATCAACATCTGCTGCCCATCGTGGTATAAATGGAACTGCTAGAAACATGAGCGGCTCAACCATGCCTACTGCACCTGCTGCAGCCCCTGTTAACCTTCCTCGTCGCTCGGAGTCTTCAGCAGGCCGAGTCCGTCTGCAGGCTCGAGATGCAGCTGTGCCACGGGGCCACAGCATTAGTGACTTAATCGACTTTGTTCGATCGGGCCCTCAATTGGACAAGGAAGATCACCGCATTCCTCGCACTGTGGCTCCCTTCCGTACCACCATGGATTCCGATCAAATGTCTGGAGCTGTTGGTGGCAAGGCTATCGATGCTTCCCTAGCTGATGCACGTTACAGTCAAGCAACTGGCTCGGCTGAAGGCTCCATCACATCTCAGATCCCCCTCATCAAGGCTAGCAACAACGTTAACAAGCCGTTGCCAGTCCAAAACAACTACAACACCTTCGAAGAAGAAGATCGTATGCCGAAGCGCAAGACTCGTCGCGTTCGTGACCCATATGCCATCGATCTCTCTGACGAAGATGAAGAAGAATTTGCAGCTGTTTCTAACCCAAAGCCGGCGAAGGAGGAGAGCCTGGCAGACTTTCTCAGGAATGCTCCTCCACCAGCACCTGAGCCAAGCCCAATCTTCGAGAATGTCTCCCGACCTACTTCAAACAAGACCAAGAGCGTTAAGAAGAAGTCTAGCACTCCGAGCTTGATGTCCCGCTTCGGTCGCAGCAACTCATCTACCAACGTTGCCCAAATGAAGTCTACGGAGGCACCACCACCTCTCCCGAAGGCCCCTTTGTACACTCCTATCGCCGCCAAGTACAGCACCACCTATGGCAAGACTCCCACCGCTGATACCGTTTCCAATGGAGACAGCAGCTATGCTAGACAGGTCGACACTGCTCGTGGCAAGGTCGTTCAAAAGCGCTATGAACCCCGCGCAGCCTCTTACAGCCAAGCACCCCGCACCAATGAGCTTGCCGACTTCTTCATGCGCAGTGATCCACCTTCTGCACTATCAACTCAACCTCAAACCTTCGCTCCTACTCTTCAAAAGGAGGAGAGGGGTTCCTTGCAACGCATGTTCGGCCGCAAGAAGATTCAAAACTGAACTCTTTCCACTCTCCTCACTTTCGCCCTTTCGCTTTCTATCTGCTCATACTTCATGGCGTTACTGAAAATGGGAGGCTCTATGATCAACTTTGCTCATGCTTTGCTTTTACATACTACCACGCCGCTTTGAACCGCACAAACTTCATTCGACTCGAAACTGGCCATACCTCTTCGCGCTGTACACAACAAGTCATTAGACGCGTTCTTTCCAGCAACACGACTTTTGTTCGACTATATTTCTTTCGCAGGCATTTTCTCTTGCTTGATCGATTGTGCAAATAGATACCAACGTTCTTCACGGTTTACGACCCCCTTTGCACATTACAACTTGTGTTTCTATTTCTTCTTCTCTTTCACTTTGCGACTATCTCCTCGTTCTCACTTTGGGATGAGAGATGAGTGGACATCTGTGCCGGGGATAATGCTCGAGATTCATCTAGAGACTTCTGATGGTCAGGTGGTGGGAAATGATTTTTGCTTTTACGATTGACGGATTGAAAGTTGCGTGGCCTTCATTGGCTGGCTTCTTTCGTTCACTGCTGGCTCCTATGCTTTATTCCGGATCCTTGACTTCAGTTATGGGCTTAATTGCTTGAGCTTGAAAACTTTTGATGGGATGTTTGCTTTGCTGAACTTTTCTTCCGGATTCTTCTACCTTTCGGACTTGGGCTTAAGTGCTTGAGGATTGAATCTCTGAGGATAGAATGGATGGGATCGTCTCTGGCTTTGGAACTTATTTCAACCTCTTATGTCTCTTTTCGGTCTTCGGTTGAGGCTTTGGCTTAAGTGCTTGAGCTGATTTCGATGGGGGTGTTGGACTGGGAATTTGATGGAGGGAGCGGTGCTTTATGATGGCGGGTGATACTTGCTGGGAAGTAATTAAGATTACTAGTGAGATACAAAATCGAGATTTTCACATACAAGCATGTCCGTTGTCTTGTGGTGAGAACATGTGGAAGCATGTTATGTGATGCTATGATCTTAATGTGATACAGCAGAGTAATATTACACGGAACTACTACCGAGGTCTGCACCATACAGTACGACATGGGATGTGCTTTACCGGCGGACGAGGGTAAGGGTTGGAGTATTGTGTAGTGAGCGGGACGCAGGGCACGTTCAAGGATGAGTGGTGTTGAGAGGGTGTGAGGCTAAGGTACGAAGAAGAGCGAGAGAAGATTCAAGTGATGACTTCAATACAATGAGGAGCCCAGTTCTAGGACCCGACGTCTGTATCTGCCGTAGCTGGACTGGGATTATAGCTACATTGTGCTCATTTCCATGTACATTTCGCTGATCTGTCTTGTCTCTGGGGTTACTCTAAAAGCTTTTCCTTGACATTTTGACTGTTACAATCTTCGTACAGAGCATACATTCCTACTGTCCTCCCAATACCTCCTCCGTGTTGTTCTAGACAAATTTCCTCCATCCCCATATCACCTGACCCGACAATCGCCCAGAATTCTCCAAGTAGTTCCACGGCCACTTTGTAATGGCCTTGGTAGGACAGTTCCAGATCATCCTCATCCCAGTCGTCTTCGCATTCTTCTGCGTTAGCTGCAACAGCGTGCACAAACGGGATGTTACCCTTATCTCCAGTGAAATCGAGGAGAAAAGAGATGACTTTGTCGTCGACCAAGAGAAATACATTCATAGCCGTGGAAACGAATTTCAAATCAGGGTCCGTGAATTGACCGCCGATCAAGCTTTCGAATTTCCTTTGATGAATCCGAATCAGTATCAATGACTCGTCAAGTTTGAAACCTTTTACTTACTTTCTCAAAAACCCCAGGTCTGTGATCCCTTTACCATCTAGTTCCTCTCTTTCCTCAACCCAGAAAACTTTAAAGCATTTCCTGTTGTCTTCGGGATCATAGCCACATCTGGCCTGGTCTTCCCACTGCATCAACATCAATTTCTCAAAAACCTTTTTGAACTCTTGCCAGCGAGATTCAGAGCAATTGGCGTATGTGCAACGATAGGCGACGAAGCCTACGTAATGGAATTCACTGTCTTGCATGACACCTCCTTGATCTGAAATCATACGTGCCCAGTTTTCTTCCTCGGACACTATTTCCTCTGCCGGGCTTGGTGCAGGATAGTTGGGATAGTCGGCATGATGTGACCAACTGATGGTGTGAATCTTTGATAGTGATCGTGAGCGCGCGAAGAAAGATGATCTGATATTGAGTCTGTGAAAGGGACGCGTGTGGAGAAGTGGGGTACTCGTATAGCGTTGGAGCTGGGTGAGGAGACGCTTCATGGTGCTTTTTGAGAATCTTTGCAGGAATCTTCCTAGTTGAAGGAGAATGGATGTCGAAAGCGAGAGGGAAGTCGAGGTATCCAAAGGAGAAATCTTGGCTCTCGCTTAGACCTGGTGACTTGGGGCTACAAATTGACTCTCCCTATTCTTAGACGAGGTAATCAAACGGTTCAGTGTGAAGAGGCCAGGAACGCCAGGCAAAAAAAAGCGTTCTTCGTGCCACTTTTTCCTCATTCGAAAAATGTCTCAATAGTAACCAGAAAGGAATAGCAGACTAGGAAAATCTAGATGCATATCCAGCACTCGATCCGAGGACTCATTATGACTGCGAACATGCCATTTCTTCAATAGCTCGGCTTTCTTTTCCGGGCCAGACAACTCAACGTCATGTCGTAGTAAGATTCCTTTACCAACCAGCTTATGGATTTCAAGATGGAGAGCATCATAAGAGCCTTCGAATATTGCAACTCTGTGGCTGCCATCTGAGGTTTCGCTTACAAAATCGCCCTTTTTGCAATGCTGGGTGGCATAACCAACTTGTCCCCCATCCGTGACGAACACCTTCAAACGTTGACGTGCTAAGTTTTCGCCGCGTGATCTCAAGAGTGTGTCCCATTCCTCTTGAATGCGTCTGATATTTTCAGTTGGAACAGCTTCATGAGGTTGTATCGCCTTTGGTTCTGGCTTTGCTGCCCAACTCCTGGGAATGTAGACTTGGTTCTTCGGATTCCCATATGCATCCTCAATTGATGAATTTGAAGCTACTGTCGATGACCTTGCAGCTAGCCTTTGCCATTGCGCTTGATTTGGCCCATTCCTGGGATTTGGGATGCCACTGAGATTTGGTATACTATCAAAAGGTACTGTAGCAAATGCGACTGAGCGCCCCGATATTGTGTTGTCGAAGCGTGAATCTGGCTTGAAATAGAGTTCTTCTCCCTCTAAGGGTTCAGCGAATATGAATCGTGGCTTCAAACTCCCGTTCCTAGCAGCATCCAACACACCTTTCAACTGCAAACAGTACTTTTCTGGCATGAATGTATCAATCAACAGTTTCCCTGTCTTCTGATCGACTTTGGGTGTTTCGACAGTCACTACCACCTGCTGAAATCTTGATGACGCATTGTATAGTAACTCTGCATCTGCATATATTGGCTGACACAACGCTGGTTCGAAAGATAAGTTTTGTTCTCGGAAGAGATTGGCAGGCTCTCCAAAGCTTTTCGTGAATTTCAAGCCGAGACTATCCAATATTTTTTTCATAACAAGAATTGGAGAACCTGATTTCGTGGATGGATATGATAGACGACTCCGCTTGTTAGAGTGTACAGATAAATGATGATTCAAGATGCTTTGACATATACCTTCCAAAGACGAGGAGTAGTTGGGTCGGATTGTTAATCTGCAACATCTGCGACTTAGATTGAGTAAACCGAAAACTTTGTCTCGCCGGTCCATACACATCGAGAGGGATGCTTCGTACATCACGTCCAGCAGTGGAGATTTTCCTTTGATGAGAGTTCCCATGTGTCCATTATGGATGAAAAAGCCCGGACGGCTAGAATCGCCTAGCTCGGTATGAGTGCGGTGCTCGACCTCCACCTCTAAATCTGGCTCCGAATCTGACTCGGAGTCTGATCCTATCTCATCTCCACCTCGTCGCAGCTCCTGTCCTTCTTGTCGCAGCTTCACTATCTTCAAGGGAAGAGAGTTCAAAATTTTCAATCTCTCACAATAATCTATCTCTTGAAGTAAAGACCTCTCGATGAAGCCAAAGAGATTGAGATCGAAGGTAAGAGAGCCACAATGCACGATGACAGCCTTGGCCAAAACCAATTCTTGAATGATCCATAACCGCTCCCAATAGCTTCGACTGCATAAAGCCAGCAGACCTCCCAGCTGAACGATCGACGGAATTGGAAGTTGTGAGAGTTTGGTTGATGACCTGCTCAAATTGTCCAGAAAGCCAATAGCCGCTCCGTAGACTTCGAACTCCTCGCGACCTAGCCAAGCGATCACCCTCGAAGCTTGTGAGTAGATCTTCCCCATCTGTGCAACTTGATGATTTCGCTCTTTGACATCCTTTTGATTGATACACAAAGCATCTATCCAGATAATCCTTGCTTTATCCTTGAAACGTAAACAAGAGAGAGCAGCCCGGAGGTTCTCTCGCACGGGAGAGTTATGGCCGTCGAGCTTGATCCAACTGCAATGACTTAATGGCGTTGGTGGACCCCATTCATAAGATAGAGCTTCGAATACTGGCTGTTCGTCCAGATTAGCGGACAATAGCTGACATTCGATGTCGTTATCATGCTGAGAAGGCTGCAGAGAAATAAGACGGATCTCGCTCTGCAGTGTGTCTAGCGGGTTGTAGGTAAAGTGCGAGAATGTCTCCATGTTGAAATAACAAAATTGAGTCTGATATGAAGTCCCGAACTATCAAAAGGCTTTCATATTGTATTCTATGGTAAGCATGAAGAGAGCTGAGGTTATGAGGCTGGGAATACTGAGGTGGCCGAGTAGATGTGGCGCAGCAACTCACGTGGGTGAGCTTTTTAATGTGCAAGTGGAATATCATAGCCCTTGATGTGGGTATCAACATCAAGGACCCTTTTGATTTACAAGCTGCACGAATATCTCTGGTGCTGTTCTGAGTCGGTCGCAACGTTGAGGCAGAATATCTCGCAGTCTTGTGCCGCTTCCTCTGATTAGCAGAAAGCGTGAACTCGAAAGGTACATGTACAAAGATGACAAAGTTGTCATAACATGAAATTAAATAAATAACATTACCCTGCTTCTTGCTTGAAGTCAAAGACTTCAATCCAACCAAAAAGTCCAAAAGCGCATTTCTTTTCGACATGTATTATCAAATGTGCTGTGGCACAATTCCTCTGAAATCGGAGTTAACCTTTTATTACGCCTAACGAGCCGAATGCAGTAATACTTAAAATCCGACACTTCGGCATAAATACTACCACCAAAGATATCTCCATGAGGTACATGATTACATCCGAGCAGCCTGCTCGAGTGAAACTTTCCACCATTCTCAATCTCTCCATAATGCAGCTCAATCTGGCTCTTCCGCCGTGACCAAAATGACCGAAATGACCAATTACACTGGAGTTTTCCGTGCTGTCCCTAACCTCAATGACGGCCGGCGGCTGTCCAAGAGGAATCGACAACCAGTCTCATGTTCAACGTGCCGCCTCAAAAAGCTTAAATGTGATCGTCAGAAACCTTGTGGATCGTGTTCGCGGGGTGGGCATAGAGCAACCTGCGACTACGTTACTCGAGGGGAATCGCGACACAAAGACAAGGAAACATCGGGATCTGAAGCAAACGCTCGTTTGCGGAGACTTGAGGAAATGGTCCAGGGACTTATCCAGGAGTCCGGCCTTGCAAAGCAAAGCACTTACGCTTCGCCACGAGTTTCAGCTGGTGAGCATTTGAGACAAGGCACAGAGGTGTCTTATATAGGTGCTACTCATTGGGAAGCAATCCTTGAGAGTATCCACGATGTTCAAGATTACTTCGAATCCGACAGCGACAGCTCCTTCGTCGCAACGAGAACCGACAGACTGTCGGATGTTATTGTGCTTGGTCAACTTCAACCACTATCACTGAACGATGTGCTTGCTGCACTACCAAGTCATTCTACAGTGAATAAGCTACTCGCCTTGTATTTCAACGCAACATTCATCGTGGTACCATTCATTCATACTGCCAAGTTCCAACGAGAGTGTGAAGCCTTCTGGGAAAACCCTCCATCAAAATCTTTCTTCTGGCTAAGCATCTTGTTCTCTACTCTATGTCTCGGATCGATCGTGTCCACAGCTACCGGAAAAGAAGTTGATTCAAAAGAAGTCGACTGCAGTCCCTCCGCATTCTTCATCAAAGCCGGCCAATGCCTAAGTACTGGAAACTATCTCAAAGCCCTCCCAAACTCGGTAGAAGCACTCGTCCTCTATGCTCACTGTAAGTTTATCTATGACCGCGACTCCGATCCCTCAGTTTGGGCACTCTACGGACTTGCAACACGGCTTGCTCAGCGGATGGGCTACCATCGTGATCCCTACCAGCTGTCCGCCAGAGTCTCAGCTTTCGAGGCTGAGATGCGAAGAAGGGTTTGGTACTTTATTGATTCATTTGATGCCCTGTTCTCTTTCCAGCTCGGCCTGCCGGCTATAACGCACGGGTCTGAGTGCGATACTATCGTCCCTTCTAACCTGCCAGACTCGGACTTCGATGAAGGGACTGAGGTCTTGCCACAGCCACGTCCAGAATCAGAGGCCACAAGGATCTTGTCTTTTCGTGTGAAAATACAACTGATGCGTCTTCTGCGTCATGTCTCCAAGCTTGCGTTAGCGACGGAGCAGCCTGAGTACGAAAATATCATGCAAGTAGATCGAGAACTGCAAAGGTGGCACGAAGACGTACCAGCATGTCTGAAAAATCGACCAATTGCTTCCTCCAGCTTCATGGACCACACGCATATCATCGTTTTCCGCTGCACGTTGCAGATCTTGTACCTCAAAGCAGTGTGCCATCTACACAGAACGTACATCACATACCAGAAAGAGAATAAGAAGTTTGATGCAAGTAGGAAGAGGTGTGTAGATGCTGCTTTGGAGATCTTGGATCTTCAAGCAGAAGTACATCGCGAGAGCCAGCCCTTTCGACGACTCTATGAGGATAGGTGGATAGTGACAAGCATCACGCTTCACAATCACCTCCTAGCAGCCATGGTGATCTGTCTAACTCTATGCGAGTCTGCCACACATATGTAAGTGTTGATGTCTGGTTTCTTGGACAGATGAATGGACGATGTTAACATCCTCCTAGTCCAAGCGAGTACACGAGGATGACGAACGCGGTAAAGACATCTTATGATATATTCGCAGAACGAAAGCATATGTCTAAGGATGCGGCGCATGCTACGACAGTTCTTGCTGCGATTTTGCGGAAAATCTCGGGACACGGGTCGAGCTCCAAAGCTATGGACGGTATGCAAATGACACCTTTGCTACCTGTAAACGAGATTGAGGAATACGTACAAGTAGCAGAGGATCATCATCTTGAACTCGACCCATTCGATAATGTTTTGAACAATACTGAAAACTTCGACTGGGTAAGTGCACTTATTTATTACCATTCTGCCGGAGTTCGAGATGCTGATCCATCACAGAACTTTATTGATCAGTATCTTCTTGATGGGAGTAAAGAAGTGCAATATGATATCTAGACTGGAAGTAGACACATAAATCATAATGTGGTCAGATTTGATAGTAATCTATGCTGGAAATTGCGCATCTCCTCGAGCGGAGTTATCAGATCGCCGTGTGAGTATGCTGCTTACTTGCGCGATGATTTCTAGTTTCCCAAAGAGGCAAATAACTAAATCCATTGTCCAACAACCCCAGTAGTACCCTTAAGTCCATATTTGCTGATAGGACCGTGCTCGCGAGTGAATGCCGAGTGGAAACAAGTGAAATGTATATAAACCAAAAGCTCTCAGAAGAATATTGTTTCGAAACACCTCACTTCTACTTTACGAAAAGAAACTCCCTCACCAACTGGTTACTATGAAGTCTTGTACCTTCATATCTGCAGTGTTTTTCACAACACTATTCACTGTCTCACTCTGTTCTCCCACTCCAAAACGTTCAAGCACAAAAACATCCACAAACACGACGCCATTGAGATACATTACTCTAGAAGAGCATTATGACTCGTATGCTCTGAGAGCAATCCAGAACAACACCCCCCTCTACGATGTACTGATAGATGCATACGGAGGAAGCTCATCAGAAGCAGTGCAGTTGTTAAACCAGCAAGTTCAAGACATAAATGGCAGTCGACTCGATAGCATGAATGCAAACAGAATTCGTGTCCAGGTATTGCCCTCTCCCAAATCTGCTTCGTTTAAAGACACAAATTAAAAGTAATCAAACCTAGGTGATCTCCAATGATCCTCAGCCAGATGCCTTGGGCAACCCCGACGCAGTCAGTGCAGCGAACAAGGAGCTCGCCACTCTCATCAAACCCTACCCAAATCGGTTCCGAGGGTTCTGCTTCCTTCCTATGGCCATCCCTCTCGCTGCTGCGGCCGAACTCGAACGATGCATTTCCGAACTTGGTTTTGTCGGCGCCCTGGTTGATAGTCACTTACTCAACAACACAGCTTACGATTCTCCAGCTTATGATCCCCTCTGGTCCACCTTCGCCAAACTCAACGTTCCCTTATATCTACACCCCACATACCCTACGCCGGCAGAAATAGAAAATACGGGCGGTCTCTTCACCCCCGACAACAACGTGTATTCCCTCCCCGTTGCCAGCATCCTCGGCACTGCGGCCTGGGGATGGCACAGCGATGTCGGCGTGCAGTTCTTGCGGCTATGGCTAGGTGGTGTTTTTGATCGGCATCCAGATCTGAAGGTTGTGTTTGGACATATGGGTGAAATACTACCGTACATGCTTGCAAGATCTACCGCTGAACTTGGTGGATATAAACCCACTGGGGCAACGATTCCCGAAACTTGGACAAGGAATGTGTGGGTTACTACGAGCGGGTTCTTTAGTCTGGACCCATTTGCTACTTTGCTGCGGACGACGAGTGTGGAAAGAATCATGGTATGTCTGATTCTATTTTATTGGAGAGTAGGAGGTAGGCGAAGAGGGAAGTTACTAACGAGTGAGTGAATATCAGTACTCGGTTGATTATCCTTGGGCGCCAAATGAAAATGGAACGCAGTTTATTGAAGAATTGCACGCTTCTGGCATGGTAACCGAAGAGGAATGGGAGGGAATCGCTTTTGGGAATGCGGAGAGGCTGCTTGGGATCATTTGAGAAAATCGCTGCGAACCTCGGAATGCTTTCAGTAAGCTGGGATTTAAAGTAATCGAGAACGGATTCTTCGTGAGATCGTCGAGATTAAACCCACTTATGTTTCGTATGCTTTATTTTTCATAACAGAGTACTTCATACCTAATTATTATTATAATTTTTTTCGTTAAATCTTTTTCAGTAGTGATGGCATACTGGGCAGGGAAGCAAAGTGAGGTGACAAGAGGGCTGGCTTATCTCGTCTGCGGAAGCAATACCACCGTGACTCAGAAGACCGTGAATCCATACATAAGGAAACAATGCAGAGAAGCAGGAATGGAAGTGGCGATATGAGGTATACGAAAACAGGTACGCCACACCGTGGGTGTTTCTGCAATACATGCTTAATGGTCGGCTAATGTGCCCGTATTTGTAAGCGAGCTCCTGAAACAACACCGAGCTTCTCGAATCGTTTTCAGTTGGCACTGTGTTTCTGGATTAATGGCTCATGAATCTAACTCTCATCAACCCAGTTCATCGGTGGTGCGTGGTCTTCACCAATGCCATACGTGTCGCACTCCCCTTATTCAACTTCGGTACGCGGAACGGCAGTTCCTGTACCCCAGATTTGTTTCGTCCAAGGGAATCCCGGGAATCTATGGCTAAGCTTTTCGGTAGCAAGGGTGGGAAAATTCGAACAATTAGTTGCAAATAAAATCCTTGGTTCTGGCCAAAATCAAGCATTTGTGCGCTGCTCTGCCAGATTACATCCATCTGCCCGCCAGATCGCCAAGACGATATCTTGCATACGTGTATTAAAGATGAGAAGCCGCCTCTCTATCGACGTCTACTTGCTCCCTGAAGTTCTCGAGAATACTCACTCCATTTCATGTTTGCCTGCTCAGCGGTCTCGCCACTTAAACTTTCCGCCAGGTGTCAGCAGGAAAATGCTGCATAGATGGATACATCCTATTCTACCAGAATTAGCAACTGGTAAAAATCTAGAAGCCGATATGCGTGCGTGCTGACCAGAAAGTTCTGATCAAGGGCGCGGCAGATATATGCCGGCATGTCGCGTGTTCTGGAAGGTAAGTACTCGCCAGCACATCGTGTAACGTTATATACTTTCGTATTTGGGAGAAGTACTGCTTGCATTGCTTTCAATGCGCTTGGTCTTCAGCCATTTCTTGCTTGTAGATCTTCTACTTAAACTTGTTCTTGTATTCGTTCTTATAGCTTCTATGTTGTACCCAAAGTCGTTCAGTCTCCCGTCATCCATTCTTGCTGCTTTGATGTTAGGCGTCCGCAAGGTCTCCTGAACCAATGTTTTTAATGGCTTTTCTTCAAATACCACTTTCGAAATCGAAATAGTTGATCGCCTGAACTAGAAACTTTCGTTGGAGTTCCAAATATTTCCTGTTGTACTTCGCGAGGTAAACTGCTGAAACATAGATTCTGCTGTCAACGCGCTGATGTACCAGATTCTAACTCTTCCCGCCATCCCCCTGAATATACGGCTTGACCTATCACCCCGTGTCTCGGAAGCAAGATACACTTTATATCCACCAATACTCAGAGCATTACTTGCAAGCAGCTAGAAATGACTTCCATTAAGATTGGGCATGCTTTTGCCAAAGCTCTTGGCATCAAACTCAATCAAGGCAAAGAGCTTGACAACGAGATCCGCCAAGGCCATCCTGTATTCTCTACCCGGGTTGCCGATGCATACGTGGAGGACGAACTTCGATCTAGCCAGTGGGTGAAAGAGACTCTACCAAGCACGCAAGACTTGGTGGAGTATTGTCGGTCTCTATTCCCATTTCTAGGTTGGATTGGTCACTACAATCTCCAGTGGTTAGTTGGCGATGTTGTCGCTGGTAAGTAGATGCATGTCCTACAACTTGTTAACAGAATTCTAACAGTGCTTAGGTGTTACCATCGGAGCAGTGATTGTCCCACAAAGTATGGCCTATGCTGTCTTGGCAGATCTCCCAGTCCAGTTTGGGCTCTATTCTTCCTTCATAGGTGCTTTGATCTATTGGCTCATGGGCACATCCAAAGATATAAACATTGGTGTAAGTAGTTTTGAAAATCACCCTTAAAGAGAACATGACTAACATCTGTAAACAGCCAGTCGGGGTTGCCTCAACAGTGGTTGGAAAGATGGTTGCCACAGCTGCTAAAACTCATCCGAATGTCCCCGGCCATGTCGTTGCTTCAGCTTTGGCAGTCGTAGCTGGCTGTATTATGACTTTGATCGGCCTTATTAGAGCTGGCTGGCTTGTCAACCTGATACCTCTTGTGTCTATATCGGCATTCATGACTGGTTCTGCATTCAGTATCGCCACTCTTCAACTCGGCAACCTAATGGGCATTTCTGGTATTGAACATGATGGTGCTACTTACCACATCTTCATAGAAGTAATGAAAGGTCTATCGAGGATAAAGTTAGACGCAGCGATTGGCTTCACTGCTCTATTCCTGCTGTACTCGATCAGATGGGGATGCAGGCACGCAGCGCAAAGATTTCCTCGGCAAAGCAAACTACTATTCTTCATCTCAACACTTCGAATCGTCTTTGTTATCCTATTGTATACTCTTGTTAGTTGGTTGGTAAACAAAGATCACCACAAGCACCCCCTATTCAAGATCATATCAGCATTTCCAAGAGGTTAGAGCATGAGCCCCGCGATCAGGTGCCAGTTATTGACATGGTCTTGAATAGGATTCCAAGCTGCTGGCGTCCCTTGGGTTGATGCATCGATGATCAAGATCTTCATCGGCGACCTCCCTGCTACAGTGATTGTTCTGATGCTTGAACACATCTCAATAGCGAAATCGTTTGGTCGAGTCAACGGCTACACAATCAACCCCTCCCAAGAAATGGTTGCTACCGGAGTAACGAATATTGTTGGGCCATTCCTTGGGGCATACCCAGTGACAGGGTCATTCTGCAGAAGCGCAGTCAACTCCAAGGCTGGAGTAAGAACTCCTCTTGGAGGCATTGTCACTGCTATGGTCGTTCTCTTGGCGATTTACGCACTTCCTGCCGTGTTCTTTTTTGTCCCAAAGGCTGCATTGTCTGCTGTGATTATTCATGCTATCATGGACCTCGTCACATCACCAAATACTGGTATGGAAACACCGCTCCGCATTTGTCATTTCAACAGGAACTGTTTCGTTGAAACTTACCTGACGAGTTGTTGACTCTCTTCTTGCAAAGAGCTTGACTCTACGCTCCCAGCAATCTTTTTATAACCCATACTGACTCCTTTTAGTGTATCAATTTTGGAAAGTATCGCCCCTAGACGTACCAATATTCTTTGTCGGAGTATTCATGTCAATATTTTCTTCCATCGAGAACGGGATTTACTCGACGATATGTATATCGCTCTTCCTCGCCCTTTTCCGGATCATAAAGGCAAAAGGCCGCTTTCTAGGAAAGGTCATAGTTCATTCAGTTTCCGGAGACTCTCTCTTGGCCACAGAACTCAAGCCGCTTACTCTCCCTGATAGTGCACTATCGACCACTATCAGGTCTGGAGCGGCATTTGACGAGCACCCATCTCGAAGCGTCTTCATGCCTATGGACCACGCCGATGGTACTAATCCCGAAATCGAGGTCCTCAGCCCTTACCCAGGGATCGTCATATATCGATTCTGCGAAGGTTTCAGCTATCTGAATGCAAACAGCTGCTTAGACCAATTGACCCATCACATATTTGCCACAACACGCCGCACAAACCCTAACCACTATTTAAGGCCTGGAGATCGACCATGGAGTGATCCCGGACCTCTTCGAGGAGAAACCAATGGAAACGATTGCCATTCCGCTCGGCCAATCCTGAAAGCGATTATTCTAGACTTCAGCTCAGTGAACAATGTCGACGTTACATCTATCCAACAACTCATCGATGTCCGCAATCAACTGGATCAATATGCTTCACCACTCGCAATAGATTGGCATTTCTCCTCTATCCATAACAAGTGCACCAAGCGTGCTCTAGTGGCAGCCGGATTTGGATACCCAACGGCCATTGGCGACACGGCTCATCAGTGGCAACCAATTTTCAGCATTGCTGAAGTCGGAGGCTCGGAGTCCACGATCGTTCTGACAGAGTCAGATCGTGACGAAAAGGTCACTGTGGAACAATGCGAGAAAAGCATAGGATATGTTTCGCAGCAAAGTGTGGATTGTCCGGTTACCTCGATGTCAACTACCAAACTCGGCGACGTTAAAACCACCAGTATCAGTAGAGCGGTAGTTGTGAATGGGCTGAACAGACCGCTGTTTCACATCGATTTGACGAGTGCGTTGCAGAGTGCAGTTACGATTGCCAGGGCAAGGGAAGACTTTGAAGCTAGAGGCGGCCTGGGTACAGGTGGAGAACCATGAGCAATGTTTTGTAAATTTCTAGGCTGCTCACTGAGTCTGCATTAAGCGAATAGAAGTATGTACATCAAGAAGATCCCGTAAGCAATAAACGAACCTCTTTCCAAAGTCCCATTGATCTCTGAAGCGAGTCGATGTTTGTTAGCTCAGGTCTGGCTTTTCAAACACCGAGACGCAAACAAGAAAAGCCTACACACCAGAAGGCACGGCCCCAGAGGGTGCAGCAGTTCCATTTGTAGATCCACCCCCGTCAACCGTCACGTCCCCACCACTCTCGGCAACCCCACCCGAAGCGGTATACACGAAGCTATAATTCGGATCATAAGTCGCGCTTACGTTAACCGCAATCGTGACCCAACCGAAGAGTCCATCTGCCAAAGAATCTCCCAGCATAACATATTCGAGGACAGGGTCTGATGTAGTTTCTGTCTCGTCCGCAAAGACACGGTCATCGGCATTGGTAGTCAACGTGATGTTGTTCGTGTTGTAGGGATATGTTGCTTCAACTTTGTAGATAAGATCTTGATCCCAGAATAGCTGGCCGATGTGCGCCACGGTCCCTCCAGTCAATGTATTGTTGGGAAGAACAGTGGCGTTTAGGTGTGCGACCATGTGGTGGTGAGTCGTGCGGCCAGAGTAATGACCTGGGAACATCGATTGGAATTGTACCACACCATCATCATCAGTCTTCTGGACGCCGCGCAGGAAAGTTGCATTTAAGTTGGATGTATCATCTGTATTGCCATTACCAGTAGCGACGAGGCCAGAGTAAACGCCAGTGCTGTTGCAGTTCCAGAGATCCCAATAGAGACCACTGATAGGTTCGCAGGTCTCGACATCGACAAACTGGCCCTCCAGGACGATAGGCACACCAGGCTGCTCTTCTCGCACGTCGGAACGGATATGCTCTCCTTTGACCCAGTACTTAAACACAATTAGCTGGAAGAATATTTGTCTGGTTGTAAATACATACTGGTCCAGTCTCGCCCTCTGGAGAAAGCACACACGTACTGTTAGAAGCGAATATAATATCCTCAGGAGTACTGGTGGTGTAGTTTTCCATTGACAGATGAGAGGTGTTCAAGATGGTGTCAGTGTCTCGGATCATCTTCCTCTTGCGATGCTGGTCGACTGTGGCTTGGCGACGGGCTTGAGCACGAGCGTTAAGACCTCTGCGTTCGAATTTCTCGGCGCAAGCCTCAAGACCTCGGCGAACGTTGAGTTTGAACTCTCGTTTCATGAGATCGGCTTGAACATTGCGTTCTTCGTGCTCGCCTGGATGAGCGATACTCAACACTGCAAAGCTTATAATAGCCGAGGCGATCAGGTTTGTGAGCTGCATGATTGCTGGTGCTTTAAGGATGTGTTTTTACAAAACGAAAGTATTGGAGTTGAAGATAAAAAGAATGAGCTGAGAGCAGAGGACAGGGAATGTTGATGATGATGATGAACAGATGATATGCAACGAGGAAAACATGATATATATTCAATTGTTGAGGGCCTTTGAACCCATTGGGGTATTCTGCACAGCTCTAGCACTTACGTAGACAACGCGAATATAGGAATTTGAAAGCTTCAGCACGTGTGTCTTTCGTCATCGTCTCTAAGGCAAAGCCCGAAATTATCAGAATCAGCACACAGAACTGGAGAAAACATGCGTAAGCATCTCTTGGCATCTGGTCGATGGTGGTGGAAACTTAGGAAACAAATTCAGGACGAAGGAGACTTGGCGCAAATGACGACTGGTCGGTGCTCAGAGTTTCTGTTCAGCCCAGGGATGAATGAGCTTACGAGCCTGGTGAGTTAGGTCTGTGCTCTTCAGGCTCCTTTTCAGGCATCCAAAAACCAAACTCACCTACTTTACTTAAATAAAGCTAGACGATCTCAAAGTGTTATTATTTGTGCTTGGGTACTATGATTAAGAAGAAGTTAAAGTGTATTGTTAAATAGTAATTTGAGGAATTATTATAGAAATAAAAAATTAGAAATTTCTTTATAGGGCTCTTTAGGGAGCAAATGGCCTTGAAGAGCACAGACCTAACTCACCAGGCTCGTTAATTCGAGAGAGCCTTGGGGTCGGGATTTGCCGCACACAAATGGTGGGGATGCGTCCTCGACGCAATGAGCAAGTATGAGGCAGAAATGCTCTACCAATCAGTACACACTTATTTCCCACAAAGGCTGACGAGGACTTTGTGGCACCCTGTTCGTGGGGCAAGAGGGTCGGAGGAACGAGCCAAACATAACAGACGAACGATGAGTAACACCCAATCAGAAATGCCACATTATGCATCGAAGGCTATGTGCGCAGAATCCATTGTACTCTAGAATTGATCATGGCCTCAACCTGGTTCTTGGTCTTGCGGAGAAGCACGTGTATTAAGCTTCTGGGCGTAGGAACGCGTGTTCCCCATGCAAATCATAACAATATCATGTTTCAAGTTCAGCTGAAGTTCCTTTCCCATGCAATAAGAAATGCAGTGCAACCATCAATTCTTTTGTATGGGGCTACAAATGTCGCCAGGATTCGAAGCCAATCAAGTATGTTGAAAAGTAAGTTTCAAACAACTGATTGGCTTTCGTCCGGGACATACCGTGCTATACAGGTGAGCTACTCTTGATAAAGTCTGGACTGGTACGCGCGGAAGAATTCAGTCGAGGGTAAGATTTGAGAAAGGATCATCGGTGTCAAAAGCACTTGCTTCGATGATCGACATTGAACGGGATCAGATTGAGGAGGAAAAAAGTCTTCTGCGTCAATCCATCAGTCGAACGTACAGCTCTGCTCACTTGAGCACCTCCCACTGAGGATAAAGTAGGTACTTTGCTTGGCTGCGAAGTAGTGATGATGGTAGAGTTTGCAAAGAGGACTGTGTCACCCCGCCACAACTCGATTATCACAATAACGAAATCAAATATGCCAGAAGTCATCCATTCAACGCGTTCTAATACTGTACACCTGATCCTTCCCTTCCATCGCATGTCGCTAGTAGCCAGGTAATCACTCAGCGTCGGCTAAAGCGCAACACCAGCACTGCTTAGCATGGGGTCATATACTAGACCTCTGTCTCTATTCCTCCTCACCGAATTCAAGGCGTCCCGCCTTGGAGTTCAAGTACTCATTTCTGACGACAGGTCAGCTAATTCATCAGGCAGGTAGCACGAAAGCTTACCTCTCAATTGCCCATTCCATGGTGACATAGGCGATGATAAGTGGAGGAGCAAAGTAAAGAACTTGGTGGCGGAAGCGTCTCCAGGTGTTGAAGATAGCAGCGTTAAGTGTGCCAGCAAGAGGACGTTGTCTGTTTGCGCTCAGGCCGTATGAGACGACGCCCTTTTGTGTCTGGGAGCCTGTTGAATTTTCCGATCAGCAATTATTCCTACCCTCGAATTCACCATCCAGTCCTGTATCCTGTGGTTTGGTGACCCAGCAGAATCCTGGGTTGTCTACCAGCACAATCAATGGCAGCAGTCCCAACATCGGGCACTTGAGCTCTTGTTTAACCCAGGTACAGCCTGATCTGCCACGGTTGTGCGAATGGGGTCGGAACTCCGCAATCCAGTTGTAATATTGCTGTTCAAGCCCAGCCCAACATCGGAAGTGTTCGAGAAGTCGAATCGAGGATGATTTCCGTAGAGCCGTGACCGAGGAATCGCAAGAAGAGTCTCAACACTCACCCAAGGCACCCCATTCTCCACCGAGATATCTGCAGCAATCTCAATTAGCCCTTGCCCCGTTCAATGATTCTTCTCCAAAGCTACAATCATCCTTCCTAAGCTCCCAACATTCCCGTCGCCCCATCCCGAAAAAAGCTTTCCTGAAGACATTGCACCGGGTCTACTTACTTTCCGTACTTTCCAACCTCTGCGCTACCACCGGATCGAAAGATTTGAGAAGGACGCATCGTGAATGATCAATCGCAGATGCCGTGGTTGTGCAATGGGATCTTGTAGATTGAAAAGCAGGCATCGACAATGAAGGTCGGCTCATTCGATTACCGCTAAACCAAGAGCGGACTAGCTTGCTTCCCGCGCTAGAGCTCTATTTGAAAATGTAAAGAACATGAGGTAGAGCTTTGAACGCCTCAAGCTTATAACTTCATCGCTCTCGATTGTTTCCCCAGGACCGCCAGTCAAGATACCAAGGAGTTGAAGGTACATTTCTGCACAAGATGGCAAACTTTCTGAGAGGCGTATATTCATCCGCCATTCCTCTCGGCATCGCTGCCGCGCTCGTACAATCCAGTATCTACGATGTCAAGGGAGGCACGCGGGCTGTCATCTTTGACCGTTTGTCAGGAGTGAAAGACACAGTTGTGAACGAGGGCACACATTTCTTGATTCCTTGGTTACAGAAGAGCATCATCTACGATGTACGAACAAAGCCAAGGAACATCTCAACTACAACTGGATCCAAGGATTTGCAGATGGTTAGCTTGACCTTAAGAGTTCTGCATAGACCAGAGGTGCAGCAACTGCCAAAGATCTATCAGGTATGTTCTACTCCACATTCTGCGGTGGTATATATTCTCCTCGAAAGCTAACAAACTGATCAGAACCTCGGCCAAGACTACGACGAGAGAGTTCTCCCATCCATTGGCAACGAAGTCCTCAAGTCTATTGTTGCCCAATTCGATGCCGCAGAGCTCATTACCCAGCGTGAAGCTGTCTCCAACCGCATCCGATCAGACCTCCTCAAGCGCGCACAAGAATTCAATATCGCTCTCGAAGATGTCTCTATTACACACATGACGTTCGGCAAGGAGTTCACCAAGGCCGTTGAGCAGAAGCAAATCGCCCAACAAGATGCTGAGAGAGCAAGATTCATTGTCGAGAAGGCAGAGCAGGAGAGACAAGCAAACGTTATTCGAGCAGAGGGAGAAGCAGAGTCTGCAGAGACGATTTCAAAAGCTGTGGCGAAGGCAGGAGATGGCTTGATCATGATCAGAAGGATTGAGGCAAGCCGGGAGATTGCACAGACTTTGGCGTCGAATCCAAATGTGACATACCTGCCAGGTGGAGGGGAGGGTGGAAAGGATGGTGGCAAATTCTTGCTGGGATTGAGATGATGAAGACATGAAATGTGTACGAATAGAAGCATAAAAATGTAATAGCTCTCCTCTATTGGGACAAAAGGCGCAGGTCGGGCATCTTTAATGGAGAAAATGTATGCCAGGGACGGAAACTCAAGGATCTTGACTGCTAATTTCACCTTCCATTAGAGCCATTTACTCGTCCCTAGTCCGTCCAGTGACAATCAACCCCGGCATGAGTAATACCTACTGTCAATTCATTGATCCTGAGAGACCAGTTTATACTGTTCTGTGTTCTAACTAAGCTAATTCGCAGAGCCGAGTGGCTTAGTTGTGGGACTTTCTTTCCAGCTCGACACACGAATATGACGATGCCCACAAGGCTATCCCAACTTCTCAATGACTACCTCTCTTCTACTCTGCCATTTCTGCGAATCTCTCCTATGCTTTTATACACTTCTTTCGTAGCAATTTTGCTCCCTGGCACTGAACAGACCACCAAACCTCCTGCATCCTGAGAACATCGATATTTCAAGAGAAATATCTCGCTCCCTACCTGTCGTCATTCAGGCGTACAAGACCTTCGTCGGATTGATTGTAGAGTGTTTTGAAGTGGTCGTGGATTCGGAATTTCGTATGGATTGGTGCTCATGAGTTGTTGTTTGCCATTTGTAGGAGTGAATCGTGGATTAAGGGTGAGTAACGAAAGATTATAGGAGACTCGTGTTAGGGGGTAGACTAAGGTGCTTAGGACACTGAGAGCATTGCCACTGAATTTCGATAGATTATAGGTCTAATGTGAAGACATTTTAAAACTAAATGAGTTGTTCTCAAGCTCAGTCGCACATTGCATCGATGAACCATCATTCCATTCAACGTCGTCACCAAACACATTTCAGATAAAAGCCACAATCAGGCTTCCAAAGCTAGCAAACAGACAGAAATCACACTTCATTTAAATTTCTATGCTTATCCAAGTCTTTCCCAGCCTCCCCAAGCAGAACCGGTCCAATACTTGTGCCACACAGCATCATCAGTGCCAATAGTAAAGATGTCAAGCCTGTCTGGACCCCAGCTGACAGGAGTTGGGGCAGACAATAAGACACCTCCGAGATTTTCCCAGGTGGTTGACCACACGCCGGAGTCGTAGTACTTATGATACATAGCGCCGTCTGTTCCAATTCCCTGTTTGGATGTTAGTACAGATCCCTGCATCCAGCTTAGTTTGAGAGACTTACAAATACGTCAATTCTACCTGGGCCCCAAGAGACTGAGCTTGGTTCGGAAGTGAAGACACCTAAATTTAAATGTCAGTACAGCTCTTATTGGAGTTTCACAAGATAGTGTTAGTCCGAGAATTTATCCAGACACGTGAGCATTGAGAGTCGGCAAAGTTGGAAAAGTGCCCAGGATAATGAAGACTTACCTCCAAGACTATCTGCTCCAAGCTAAACCATTCCAATGATTCCACCACATTGCATTATCTGTGCCACGACCAAAAACATCAATCTCGTTATCACCCCAAGTAGAAGCAACAAGATTAGACGTGAAGATGCCACCGAGTGAGTTCCACCCGGACCATACAGCAACGTTGTTGTACGATTTGTGATAGGCAGCGGAATTCGTGCCGAGACCGAAGAGATCGAGTGTATTTGGAGCATAAGAGATGGAATTGATGGGTGAGGTGAACACCCCCCCCGAGATTCTCGTAGCCGTTCCACTAGGGTATCATTAGATGGGACCTTGGCTACTCGCGAACTCGAATTAAGCTCTTGTTTGTTAGACAATGCTGCGTGAGCAAATTGATGCTTGTACCAGCTGTACAAGCTACCCCGCAAACGGATACGGTAGAAAAGCACTAAGAGGTGTGAGAAACATGACTAGGACTACAAGACGACAAAAGTTATATTTAGGACGTAATCTGTACCACTTGAACGATCATACGTGCATTCCTTCCAGCTTGACTGCGAATGTAGAGGAATGAGTGCATCTGAGAAGGCACACTGCTATTGTGCTGCGGGAAATTGCATGTGTGACCTGATGATAAGGTGCCTGGTCAGAAACTCGACAGCTCAGGGAATTCCCAGAACCCCGATCCCAATACTCGATTCATAGTACTGAGTGATGGCTGCTTCAATGATTGGGTTTGGTGCCTTTGTGGCAAATGGAGGATAGGAAGGACAAGTTTAGTAAGAAGTTGTTCAAATCAGGAGTCGGAAAAGGCCAATAATAAGAATAGGATCGAGTAGGTACCCTCGAGCTACCAAGTGATTGCAAAGTCTGAGAACCTAAGGACTCTTTCAAACGTATTCTTGTATATGGTACATTTTGTGGCTCGTGACCCAACTTCCTTCCCAGCCCAGGAGCGATAAAACATTAACTTTCTCAGAATGACCAAATGAAAATAATAATGAACTCTAAGTAGAATTTGATAATAACATTAAAGAAAAGAAAAGTCCTAGATGATGAGTGACTATGCGGGACGTCGACAAGTTCTGAGATCTGTTGAACAGATTCTTTCGCAGATGCTCTTTCAAGCATGGCTCTCAGGAGGACACCAAAAAAGAGTATTATGTGCTTAGATCTGAAAATCGTAGTGTTACAGAGTTGTGAATTGATGTGTGGTAAAGTCTCGAAGTCTGTTCCTAATTTTCGTATGATTTCACCGCTTCCAAATCGTTTCTAGCCGCAAAATTAATTTTGCCCACGAACTTTTTCACAACCTCTATCGCACCTGCTTCCAAATCACCCCTCGCACCAACCCCCGACTTCTTTCCCAATTAACAAAATGGCGAAAGAAAAGTCAGAGAGGCGCGACAAGAAAGAAAAGAAGGAGAAGCGCAGCGATAGCGACGGTGTCAAGAAACCCAAGAAAGACAAGAAATCGAAGCTCAATGGAGACAATATTGCTGCAGCAGTCGAGGTCGTCACCAAGGTCAAGCCCGCGAAGGCCGATAGTGAAGAACCAGAAGAGACAACGAAGGCATTGGCAGTGAAGGATACCTCTGACGAGCTTGCGGTCAAGCCTGTTGGAGCTCTCGTGCCATTTGCGAACCCATTGGCGGACGACAAGGTTGCGAAGAAGGTGCTGAAAAGTGTAAAGAAAGGTTCGTTACTTCTTCATGTCTCTTTCCTTGTCCAGATTGAAACTTCGAAGAGAAAGAGCAAGAGCTAATCGAGTCCCGAATATAGCTGCGAAGAACAAGACCCTCAAACGAGGCGTCAAAGAAGTCGTAAAAGCTCTTCGAAAATCCCCCGCTGGCACATCTTCCACCTCCGCAGTAGGCGTTGTCATTCTCGCAGCGGACATCTCACCCATGGACGTCATTTCACATATCCCAGTCCTTTGCGAAGACCACAATGTACCATACATCTTCGTCACCTCTCGCGCAGAACTTGGTGCAGCAGGAAATACAAAGAGACCTACTAGCGTGGTTATGGTCTCCGAAGCGCGGTCAGGGAACAAGAAAGCGGAGAAGATTGAGGGAGACGAGGAGTTCGCGGATGTCTATAAGGATCTTGTGAAGGTTGTTGAGAAGGAGAGCAGGAGTGTGAAGGTTTAGAGCATACCATCCTCGTTGGGCTGTACGAGAGCAACGAGATCGCTATGGGCAAGTAAGCTTAACTGGCGGGTACTTGTCGTTACGGGCAGAAATTGTGCTGTATCATACGGTACTGGGTTCGAGTACTGGCAGAGTCTTGTTTTGGGATACTGTCGCTGGCGTTCTGGCTGGATAGGGAATGTAAAAAGTCACAATTCTAGCCACGGCAGCACCGTGATCTCTTCATTACACTTCAGTTCATGCATGCTATTAGGAAGCTTATCGATTTTGCTAGGTGTAGACAAGTCATATTTGCGAAGGAGGAAGCCATGCAGATCTCGAAACATCATCTTTCTAATATTACACAACACCATTCAGCATTTTCCTCGCGGTATTAGTTGCTTCCCTCAGTGTGCGTTATGCTCCGCGGAGACGTGGGCCTTCCACGTTCATTTCCGTCATCCTCTGCGTCAGAATGCACAGAGGACGACGCATCGCTACACTCTTCTTGTGGGTTGTAGATGATAGAACTGCACTCATCTTCTTCGTCTCTTGAGCTCCCGCTTGGGGTAGTCCCCGTCAGTGTACATGTGCTTCCCAAACCTGGACTTTCTCCGTCGTTCTCAAGGCTAGTAGGCCTGCATGTGAATGCACTTTTTGAAGCCGGACTTTCTCCTTCATTGATATCCTCGTTGCGGCTGGGAGAATTGTCGGTGGCCGACATCTTTCCAACGCTCTCCTGTTGGGCACGAAGTTCTTTTTCTGTTTCTTGCGACGTATTCTTGATTTCTGTTTCAGTGGATGCTCTTGGGATCTCTATGCGAGGCTCTCCTGGCCGCTCGTGCAAAGAATAGGTTGAGTGGTGGCTTGAGGGATCAACTTGATAAGATTCAGCTTGTGAATCTGCCAAATGTCCGCGATCAAGGCCACGATGATTGGCAGAGTCAAGCTGTGCTGTAAGTGAATGTAGCTTTTGTGTCGCTACATCAATCGCGTTGATAAGCTGAGCATACTTGTCGTCGATATTGAGCTCTGATGCTTTCGGAGCTGAAGTTGAAGTCTCTAGCTCCCGAGACTGTGCTCGTGAGGAATTGCTCTCATTAGCTGCGACATCAGATTTGGGGCTCCGGGCTGCCGCTTGGCGGTAGTTTTGTCGGGCCGAGTTGTTACTTGGCATGTTGCCCGGGTTCTCCATCCCGAGCAGGCTTTGATAGATTCCCTCCCGACTTGTTCGTGATTCTCGAGCTTCATTGTCACGTTCATCGATCAAGATGTGAATGATATCATGAGCCTCCACTAGTTGAATTCTCAGCCGAGCGGGGGAAAGGATCATGTAGTGCCAGTTCTGGGTGTGGAAGGTCGAATACAGTTCGGACTCCCGAAGAGGGCGTGGCAAGTGCAACAGGTCAGTCATCCATGGCCCACCTTGTTTCTCGAAATCCTCATTTTCATCGAGAATTTTCAGAGTGTATAGCAGTGCATCGTGCAGCTCTTCAAGTGCATCGAGAGGATACTTGATGGAATCTGATTCACCAAGTATTCTCGTCGGCTTGATGAGACTCTTCGAGGCTTGTCGGGCGAAGTTATTCCATACGTTTATGTTGCTGTGCGATAGTAAAATCCAGCGCAAGAGCGGCAAATAAGTTGCGTCGGTATTTTCTGTCGTGAAAACGTCCTCTGAGGTGTGACGACGTTGCCAGATCAATCGGTTGACGTTCCGAAAAAGAATTTCGAGGGGCTCCACGAAGAAAGAGTTGATCTCGCCGTTGAAACAAGCTATTTTGAGGTTGTGTTCCAGAGCCTCGACATCGACTAACTTGATCCAGGAATTAATAAGGCTGATGTCTCTTTCCAAGTCTGCTTCTTCCTTTGCTTCTCCTCGTTCTCTAACTTCATGTGCTGTTAATGTCTTGTAAACTGAAGACAAATGATGTTACTGTACTTACTAGAGGCATAGTCAACTTGTCGGCTTCGGTGACGTAAGCTAGGTTCTCCTAAATGCTGCGACATCTTCAAGGCCTTTGACACTTCCAGTGTATGAAATGTTCTGGTACGTGTGGGAGATGAATGGGTTTTGCTCGGTGGTGTAAATTTAAGAGTTGAAGGAAACTTGATTGCATTGCAGAATTGTTCTCCAGCTTTAAATAAGGCATGATGAACCAGCGGGAATCATCTCAGAGTCCACAAGGAATGTGATTCAGTCGTTTTGATATGAATGCTTTTCATTGAGTCGAACATCCCAGTCACCAAAGTTTCTGTCCATCAACTGAGTGTATCACTTACGTGGCTCACATAAGAAGTCAACGGCGGAAAGCAAGTGCTTAATGGATTTAGATACATTCATCTAATACAGACTGGTGACTATCATACGTCCACCCATTGTCTCAACCAACCGACAGTCACTATAGCCATTCCTCGCTCTTTTTGACTCAGATTTAAGCCTTATATTTACGATCTCTGAATCCCGCGAGAACCTCCACAGTACCATCTCCAGCTTCAGCCCATCGCTTAGCAGCTATCTCAGGATTCAGTTGCAATGTCTGCTTCGCCTTAACCCATTCTTCCATCGTCACAGGCTTCTCAAATCTCGGCTTCACTCCCGCTTTCTGCAACACAGGCGAATCTAAAATAGGATTCAAAACAGTCTCGTTATGCGGTCTTGCAAAATACAACAGTCCGGTCCTGTCATAAGCCCATTGATCTCTTGGCGGAGTCACGACCCGATGGACGGAGCTCTTCAGCCAGCCTCCAGTGAGATGCGATATGGTGTCTGCAAGGTTGACGGTGATTGTCCCTGGTTGAGCAGACACCCAAGTCCAGTTTCCATCCTCACCAAGGATTTGAAGTCCTGCGATGGGCTGACGGAAGAGTAGAGTTACGGTTCCGAGATCGGTGTGTCCATTGTTAAGCCCACCACCACTGGCCTCCCACTGCTCCTCAGTGCGCTTGCGGTAAAGCATGTAACGGAAGTGATCCTCAGACTTCTTCTCATAGCTGTGCTGGTTTACAAGGTAGTCCTCATCAGGGAGCTGAAGAATGATAGCGAAAAGACGAAGAAGTGGAAGAACAACATTGTTATGTAGTGTCTTCGAGAAGTGCTCGATCTCGGGCAAGTGGGCCTTGAGAAGATCAGGCTGTCCATATTCGCCCTCAAAGTCCTTGGTGAACTTTGGAATGTTGTAGATCTCAACATTGTCAAAGCCCCGGTGATCGAGTCGGCGACCATTACGTCTCCAGCCATTGTAATCTGCTGCGGCATAGTTGCATTCGTATTTGGCTTTCTTGTCAACGGGTAAAGCGAAGAAGTGTTTTGCAAGTGTGAATTGGTCATCTACTTCTTCTTGTGATAGACCATAGTTTTTCACATAGAAGAAGCCGACGTGGTGTACTGCGTGCTCAAGTTGCTTGGCGAGTCGCTCCTTGCCGCCTTCTCGGTTGTAGTCTTCGAGGTCCAAAGTCACGAGCTCAGCCCAGTTGAGCTTCTCTTCTGTTTCGGGAGGGTGTACATAGCGTTCGAGTTTGCTGTAGTCGTACGGCTGAGGATCTACAGGTGCCTTGTCGGCAATAGTGGTTGAAGCCAATTTCTCAGTGATAGTGGTAGTGGCCATTGTGAACTTGACAACTCCTTAGTCCTTGAAAGTCACCACTTCAATTGACCAGCAGCTTCTGAGACTTTTGTCTCCTCTTTGTTGTCGTGAAAGTGTTACTTATCAAGATGTGGGGTTATATATTTTGCGTCATACCCATCCCACATTTCACCATTTGAGTACCCCTCATCGGCCAAGCCTAGGAAGGAGATATGCCCGTTAACAACGTAGCATACTTACACAAGCTTTGATTCTAAGTTCTCCTCATGCGCCGATATTCAATGAAATCGTTATCAGATTTGATCTGCAGTTTACGCCATTTTCGCGTGCTATTCGCCATCTCGGCTTAGTTGCCTATTGGGCACCGCGCCTCCATGTGATATCTGCGAGTTTCATTATAGTTTTGTATAACCGCATTTCCCCTTCTGGGTGTTCCAATAAACGGTTACCGGCAAAGAATCTTACATGGCATAAGCATCAAAGATGTAACTGGACCTGCGGGCTGAACTAGCGGTCTTCACGTGGACGGCGATTGTCGCACCAGCTTCATGTCCTGCATGCTCCTCCTGTAGGAGCCGTAAAGTATTAGGATAAGGTTCTGATGCCGGTTTAGTCGTCTGCAAGCGAACGAGGGGCAATGAAAAAAGGGGGGCGGATTACCATTTCCAATATATTTCCGAGCCCCCACACAGCTTCTATGGGTCTGTCTATCTCCCGCCCCTTCTGCAAAGTTGCCCGATGCTAACTTCAGCAGTGAGTTGGAGAGCAATACTAGGGGCGCGGATAAGTGTGGCTTCTCAATCTGTGGGTCACAACGGAATGGCTGCCAAAACTGGGACTATGGTGACAGAGAAACTTCGATTGCGCAATGTGATTACGGTCCTGAGAGAAGAAAGCTTTCTTCAACTTCGTCGCTAAGGCTTTTCTTCAAAATAATCTACTTCTCATGTTGACCAATGTGTATAAAGTGAGGAGGCGAACGGTTTCGTGTTGATTGCCATAATCAGCTCTTCACATCTCCCGATTAGCAATGGCAGAAATCCCGGAGGCCACTTCATTCACACCACCAGCAGTTTCTAATGATGAAAAACATCAACTGTCATTTCAAGGACATTCAAATCCCAAAGATCAAGACAGTTCTCGCTCCTCTCAACTGACCAACTCTCCCAAGTCCTGGGAGAAATCTGGGTTCAAAGCCAAGTCCCACCGAACATGGCGCAACATCCAAAGATACATCTGGGACGACCCCGACAAGCCCGCCGTAGAAAAGAAGTTCCTGCTCAAACTGGACTTCTTCCTGCTATCGTACACATGTCTCGGTTATTTCTGCAAGAATCTCGACCAGGCGAATATCAGCAACGCGTATGTCTCTGGCATGAAAGAAGCATTACATATGGGTGGAAATGAGTTGACGTACATGAGTAACGTCTTCACGGCTGGTTATGTGGTCGGTCAGCTGCCTGCTGTTATTCTAGCAACGAAAATTCGACCGAGTATCCTGGTCTCGACTCTGGAGATTTTGTGGGCCGTGTTTACTTTTTGTTGTGCGGCTGTGAAGACGGTACCACAGCTTTATGCGCTGAGATTTCTGGTCGGATTGTGTGAGGGAGCCTTCTTCCCAGTTATCATATATGTTATTAGCTCATGGTGTACGTCCTTTCTACCTACATTCTCCCGCCCAAACACTGACAACCACAGATACCAAAGTCGAGCGTGGAAAGCGCGTTACACTGTTCTACTCCACTGCAACCATGGCCGGTATGTTCAGCGGATATCTCCAAGCCGGAGCATACAAAGGTCTCAACGGCAAACTTGGCCACGAAGGCTGGCAATGGCTCTACATAATCTGCGGCATCATCTCTCTACCCGTTGGTATCATCGGCTACTTCTTCAACCCAGATTTCCCCGAGAATACGCGAGCCTTCTACCTCTCTCCGTCCGAAACCGAGCTCGCTCGACAACGTCTCCTGCGAGATGGCTACAAACCACTCGGCGCATCGGCTTGGGATAGGAAGAAGATCTTCCGCATCATGGCACAATGGCAATTTTGGGTGCTACCTCTAGGCTACTTCTTCGTCCAGAGCAGTTTCCCGAATGCACAGCCTGCGTTTGCGCTCTACTTGAAAGCAACAGGACGCTCAGTCTACGAAATCAACGTCTGGCCCACTGGTCAAGCGGCTGTTGGAGTCGTGGTTCAGATCGCAGCAGGAATGCTGTCCGATTCTCCGCTCTTGAACGGTCGCCGATGGCAAGCCATTACGTTTATGCAAGCAGGTACCTTCATTGGTGCAATCATCATCGTGGTATGGAACGTCCCCGAAGGCGCGCGCTTTTTCGCCTACTATATATCGTACATGTGTGCTGGCGTGCCGGGGATCTATTACTCGTGGTTCCCTGAGTTGATGCCGCATGATCATGAGATGAGAGGGTTCTTAACTGCGTTCATCAATATCGCGAGTTATGTGAATCAGATCTGGGTTGCGGATGCGGTTTGGAGGACCGTGGAGGCACCGAGGTTCAGGCCAGGGTTTATCTTTGCGAGTGTAACGGGGGTTTGTCTTGTGGTGTTGAGTCTGGGGTTGCATTTTCTTGAGAAGAGAGATGTTAAGAAAAGAGCAGTTGTGGAAAGTGAAGCGGGGAGAGTGGATGTCGAGTCGCCGTTGGAAAGTGAAAAGCTTTAAGATGTCTACTTCAAAGAGCGAGGAGCCAAGGACTCGCTAATTTCCAATGAGCCATAAATCTAGCCAAAAAGTGCTTGAACGCACCTCTCGATATTTTGTCTTTACGTGTCCGCGTCGCCAAGAATGAGATCTACCACTTGTGTCGCAAGCGTGGAGATACAATCAGACCATAAATTTGGCATGAGATCATCTAGAACTCATTGCAAAATGGGACTTTTAGTACTCATATGGGTGAATCGAGCGGAAGAATTTTGATTGCTGTTTTCACCTAGGTACAGCAATTCCGACCACCGGCCACAGGCAGATTGAGCGAGAAAATGGGGGAGATGAAGAAGTTGTGGAGAAGGCAAAGCTAAGAGAGGAGAATGCATTCAAGAATATTAATATCTCGCCTAAGTATACATAGAAGCCTTGGATAATTGAAAAGCTTGTGGAAGAGGGCGATGGAGCTAGAACGTGATTGGTCCTGGCAAAATACACTTCTACATATTTCCTGTCCGATGCAATTCTACTACAAGGACCAAAGTAGCTTCTTGCTGCATACGTATCACTCATTTTAGAGAGTAGAGGGCAAGAACAACTTTGACTGAGATTGAGATCGATATGTAAGAGTATATGGAGACGTGAGACAAGTATGTTTCATTTATGCAGCAACATGATCGACTTGGGAATCAAATGCAAGCGTTGCAACCCCAAAGGCAGCACAATTTTTGCTGTTCCTTTTCCATTTTCCGACGAAGGGTAGAAAACATTGCAAATACCTCGGCTTCTTTGGAGCATGGAACCATAGACTTCTACACAAATGTTCCGATTGACGAGCGAGTAGCCAAATGTAGCAAATCAGGATTAGATGATAGGATAGCAGATTTCCAGGGGATCAACATGCCCTTAATTGCGCAGCTGTGGTATAGAATTCATGGTAGAACCTTACGGGAGGAGTATGAAAGGTTCCCCATATGCATGGGACATGAAGACTATTCCATATATCCAGCAGGAGTAGGACACTGGTTGATGTTCGACTACCATCAGGACTGTTGTTATGCAGGATTTCGCATTTACTATCCTACAAGTCACAGTGCCCTAGAGAAAAGATCAGTAGTAATGTTCTGAGAAAATATGATTCTGAGTGTCCGGTACCAGGTCGGACATCATAAACGAGGTTGATGTCTCAAGTAATGCCAAGGCCTGTCATCGTCTGATTGGCCGGATTATCGCTTATCGCGCCTTCCAGCTAAGCTCTGCTCTCACAAGCTCCACCAAAAGCAACGAAAGGAAAGCTCCAACCTCCCACGACTTCTGTGAGTTCTTCCCCAACAACACCTCACAGCTTGCCAACTGCGAGCTCGAAAGCTTGAGCTCTCTGCGACTCAACCCTCGACCGTACCCGCAGCCATGGGAGATCCACGAGAATCGTCATCGTACAGCATCACACCTCGAATCCGATACAATACCATCGGAGGTGTCAACGGTCCCTTGGTTATCTTGGAGAATGTGAGTTGGGTCAATGCTATACTCGAGCTCTAGAAGCAGTTCTGATATCTGCCAAGGTCAAATTCCCTCGATACAATGAGATTGTTACCTTGACTCTGCCAGATGGCACTGAGAGGTCTGGGCAAGTGCTAGAAGCCAGAGGTCAGTACAGATTTCGTGCGACGCCAATTGAGCTGTGCTAATTTCTTCTACTACAGGTGATAGAGCTGTTGTCCAGGTAGAACGATACCATCTTCAGGGTCTGTCAACCCAAGCTCACACTGGAATAGGTTTTCGAAGGTACTTCAGGCATCGATGTTAAGAAGGTATAGCTCTTCTCTTGGTAGAGACATGCTAGCTCTATCGCTGATTCTCTTTGCAGTCCAAGGTCGAATTCACGGGGCAGAGCTTGAAGCTCGGTGTGTCGGAAGACATGCTGGGTCGTATCTTTGACGGTTCAGGAAGAGCAATCGACAAGGGACCCAAGGTCCTTGCAGAGGATTACCTAGACATCAACGGAAGCCCCATCAACCCATATTCTCGAGTACGTGCCTGGCAGACTCTCAGCATGCACAATACTGATATGCTTAGGTTTACCCCGAAGAAATGATCGCGACGGGTATTTCTGCCATCGATACTATGAACTCCATCGCTCGTGGACAGAAGATTCCTATCTTTTCCGCTTCCGGTCTGCCACACAACGAAATCGCTGCCCAGATTTGTCGACAGGCTGGTTTGGTCCAAAAGCAAGGCGTAACGAACAAGGGTACACACGATGGACACGAGGAGAATTTCTCGATTGTTTTCGCTGCTATGGGTGTCAACTTGGAAACAGCTCGATTCTTCACCAAAGATTTCGAGCAGAACGGTAGTCTGGAGCGTGTAACGCTCTTTCTCAACTTGGCTAACGATCCTACGTGAGTGTTTGTTCATCCGCTGAGGTGATTATACTAACATTGAGTAGTATCGAGCGTATCATTACCCCGCGTCTCGCGCTCACTACTGCAGAATACTATGCCTACCAGCTTGAGAAGCACGTTCTGGTTATTCTTACCGATTTGACTGCTTACTGCGATGCTCTTCGAGAAGTCTCAGCTGCTCGCGAGGAAGTGCCAGGTCGACGTGGTTATCCAGGTTACATGTACACGGATTTGTCCACGATTTACGAGCGTGCTGGTCGTGTGCAGGGAAGAAACGGCTCAATTACTCAAATCCCGATTTTGACCATGCCCAACGAAGATATTACACATCCCATCCCGGATTTGACTGGCTACATCACGGAAGGACAAATTTACATCGATCGCCAACTGGACAATCGTGGTATCTACCCACCCATCAACGTTCTGCCATCGCTGTCTCGTCTCATGAAGTCTGCCATTGGTGAAAAGCACACCCGAAAGGATCACGGTGATGTCTCCAACCAGCTCTACGCAAAGTACGCCATTGGTCGTGACGCAGCGTCCATGAAGGCTGTCGTCGGCGAGGAAGCGTTGTCCTCGGAAGACAAACTCTCGTTGGAATTCTTGGAGAAATTCGAGCGCACTTTTATTGCGCAAGGCATGTACGAGTCGAGAACTATCTACGAGTCCCTCGACCAAGCATGGAGCTTGCTGCGTATCTACCCAAAGGAGCTGCTGAATCGTATTCCACAAAAAATCCTTGCCGAGTTCTATCAACGATCTGCTGCTGATCGCAAGGGCAAAGGAAAGGGCAACAAGGACACAAAGGATAACAGTGAGGATGCCAAGGCGAATGGAAATGGACAGGAGGAGAACTTGATTGATGCATGAGTTTGGGGTATGAGGGTATTGATGATTGTTTGGTGTGATTGCATGTCGATATTTCACAGAGCCGCGCCGTTGCTTTCCATTGAAGCGCATGTAAGTCTTTCGCAGAGGTTGGAGCAACAGGGCTAGAATGTATGACTTAAGAATTTGGCCCGGTCTCCGGTGCATTTGGAATGTTCTTGACGTGACCGACATTCATAGCTTCGGAAGAGGAACCGAATCTGGGACCACTCTTGACCACGGAACATCTTAACACTCGCTGTGTATTTCCCCGTGGAAGTACCCCTCTATGCACGCATGCAGTGCCTGCGTCGCTTATGTATGCAAATCCAACGTCCACACCCTACATGTTGGATAATCCAAGGACAAAATGTGCAGAAATTGTTGGGTACAATATAACATTTTGCACCATATTGAGTCTACCAAGACTTCTCCCCAGCCCAAAGGAATGCAGCGATGCAAGGCCCAACAAATCCGCCTTTTGCCGTGAGAAATTGAATACGCAATATAGGACATGGGCATCTGCTCGGGTCAAATGACAGTCCTCGAACCTTGCATGCAGCAACACTTCACCAACTGGGTGACACCTCGCACGACAGGCGCACCAGTAATAGGACCCGGAAGAACCGAGATGCTACTGCAAAGAAGCTTGAATTGGAAGCTTGGAAGCTTAAGCCAGTGCAACGTTCACGTGAGGTTCACGACCCCGCACGAACAGGCATCAGCAAACTGGGGCTCCTCATCATGTCCTTTGTCCCTGGTCAGCACCGGGTGTTGGACTTATGATGGGAACCTTACACTCTCTATCAATTCAAACCTCTTTCACCCGAGTCGAATCTACAGTTAATAACCCATGTAAGGGATAGGTTACTAAAATCGAGAAAACTCCTGACAATCATTACCTCACACCTCAAATTATCCTCACAATCAATTAGCATGCATTATAGCTCTTGAAATAATACACGCTCAACTTCAAATACAACTCCTCACCAACTCGACTTTTCTTTAAGCTCACATTAACCGTGTCCCACTGCCCTTTGGTCGTGGTCTGGTGAATTGTTCAATGCACAGACTACTCCCTCCGAGAGTATCACTGATTGATATGTAACACGGAGTGACTTGTGACAACGCTTAAAAGCTTGCGGGTATTTATTAAAATGTGGTAGTAGCTTATATCTCTCGTTGAATTTTTAGCGTTGTCGCAAGTCACTCCGTGTTACATATCAATCAGTAACACAGGAAGTAACTTGTGCGCAGCGTAAAGGCCACTCCCAAAGGTCAGAGGGACACGGTTAACGATTTTACAACGGCGTATATTCTTTTCCTTTGAAAATAGTAAGTAAGTTTACAAATACAAAGGATTTACGAGTAAAAATACCAAACTAAAATATAATTTATATAAAGCTACAATACTCCTCAATGCATAGAAGCAATTGAAATTAATAGACTAAACAAGACTCTTAACTTGAGCTAACACTATAGAATCAAAGACCAACAGAAATTAATATAAAAACAAAAAATAAATTGGAATGGCAAGAAATGGAGCACGTGGCAAGGAAAGAGTAGCTTGGGGGTAGGTGTTGGACCTCCTTCACCCCAGTCGAATCCACACCGGCACTATTCACTAACCTGGCGCTGACGGGGATTATTCGCACCAGCCACAAACGCGCCAATCAAGCCTCCCGCTTTCAACGACATTTATTGCGACGTTCCATGGATTGCTCGGGGAACCTTTACGTGAACCAGTGTCAATTTCTTCGTGCCTGGCTATCGCTCGCGACGGACTGTCGCTAACAGGCAGAGGTACCCCATGAACAGCAAAAGAATCGGAGTAGCCGGCTCGGAAGAAGAAAAAGCTGGGGTTGGTTGGGGTTGGGGTTGTTGGTCGAGGGATAGAACATTTTTCCCCGCTCGTGGACGGATCTCTCTCACGGAGCTAATTGCTGCAAACATCCAGGATCAGCTGGTTCTTTCCTCACGTCAAGCCTCTCCGTCTGGTTTCCCAATCTCCCAGCCCTCAGGGGACATTGCATCCTTGGTTCCTTGGCATGAGATGGGATGAGCTCACTTGGTATAAAGCTTCGAGCTACCCCTCCTTCGCTCATTCTTCCTCCGAGCAGTTGCGACCCAGCTTTTTATCTGGTGTGAGAAACTCAATTGACCGTTCTTGAGCTTAACGGACCTTCGCGATGCGTTCTTCGATTGTAGCAGCAATTGCTTTGAGCATTTCTCCTGCTCTGGCAGGTTTGATGCCACGCCAGATTCCAGGTGAAGTTCTTACTGGAACCGTGGGCAACGACACCATTGCGGGCGATTCTTGTGGTCCTAATCCAGATGGCAAATACACTATCTATGGAACCAACATAAGGGCAAATGTAAGCCAACCTCCTCGAGAACTTCTCACTTTTTATTCTGACAGGAGGCAAAGTTCATCCCGTACGGCGCATCGATCTCTAATCTCTTCCTGAACGACACATCTGGAATCGAGCGAGACGTCGTGGGTGGCTTCGACAACGCAAGCTATTACTCCATTGATAGACAACATCCTCACTTCGGAGGGATACCGGGCAGATACGCAAACCGGATCAAGAATTCTACTTTCGAGATCGATGGGACGACCTATCATGTTTTGCCGAATGAGAATCCAACCCCGGAGGCGCCGCTGGGAGCTGATACTTTGCATGGTGGACCGGATGGATGGTTTGTGCTTCCTTCTCTTTGATTGGTACACTCGTTGTGGACAGGAACTAACTTTTTGGTAGGGACTGGAGAAATTGGACAGTGGTTGCGCACACCATGGACAGCATCACATTCAGCTTGACAGACCCAGACGGAATGGAAGGATTCCCAGGTGAAGTAGTAGCCTATGTTACATACACTCTTGGAAATAGTCAGTAGCCCATCCTCTTGATTCGGCCTGGGACATCACTAAATGTGCGCAGTGACCTGGGACTTCAAGATGGTAGCCATCGCCACGACAAAGAAGACACCAATCATGCTTTCATCTCATGTATGTATCATCTGTTCTTAAGAACTGCAACATACTGATAGCTTCGCAGACTTACTGGAACCTCGATGGATTCGCCAACAACGAAACAGCGCTTGCATTGAACCACTCCCTCTGGCTACCATATGGAGGCCAACGAGTCGGCGCAGACAACATCCTCATCCCCACTGGCGACATCCTCGCTAATCAACAAGGTGGATTGAACGATTTCTGGAGCACACCTAAGCAGATTGGTGCTAACTTCACGAACCCTGATCTAAACGGAAACTGCGGGTTCAACTGCACCGGTTATGGTACGTTTATTCCCCTCTCAAACAGGAAAGAGCAGCTATTGATGTAATGAACAGATACATGCTACCTCACGAACCGCGACCAACTCGGACCCTACGACTGGCGCGAAAAGGGCCCCGTAGCGCGCCTCCGCTCCGCCTGGTCCGGCATCCAAGTCGACGTCTTCACAGACCAAGAAGCGTTCCAGATCTACTCGTGTGGCGGCCAGAACGGCTCCATGGCGTTGAAGGAAACACAAGGGCTGTTCAATGTCTCGGATCGACCGCGCACGATTCCGCAATATGGCTGTATTGTGATGGAGGTTGAGGATTGGATTGATGGGATTAATCAGCCGGAGTGGGGCCGCAAGCAGATCTTTGGGCCAGGCGATGAGCCGTATGTCTTGCAGGCCAGTTATCAATTCAGTTTGAATAGTACGGCGGTTGGGTTGTTGGGAGTGGGCAGCGGGTAGAGAGGGTGGCAATGTTGTAGAGGAGTGAATTCCATGACTCCAAGTAATCAATTCAACTTGATCTGTGCATCTCTTTCTTGTTAGGTGACTGTATAGGAAGCAGTAAGTTTCGACCCTTCCAAGAGAAGACTCGAGTGGATATTAGAGTTCACGTGCTTGAATGAAGAAGATGGGACATGAATGATGGTCGGAAAGATTGAGTATGGACATAGGCCACCTTTATTCCCTTATGGCCTGAGGTTAAGATTCAGATCCAGAAGCTGAACCACCTGGGCACCTGCAGCTTCAGGTAGTTTGATAGCACGTGCTAGTCTAGTCTGTTTATGGCACTAGCATAGGTCGCTAAACTCACATCAAGTCGTCGGACATCACTGTCTCACAAGATTTCACCTACGAGTTTGGACACAATGCTTTGTATACATGTCCTTTCAAAAGTAGAGTCTGAGTTGATTCACATTCTACCTCCTATGGATGCGCCAACACAAAAGAGACTGGATTCCATGGACCACCTACGCACCAAATCAAAATGCGACTCTATGAGAACGCCGTCGTGATACACTTGAATCGTCGAATTAGACAACAGCAATTCCGGGTCGACCATCAACTTTAACATCGGTGTCCTTGAAATTCATAGCCAACATTCTCACCTATTACAACCTGTCAGCCATCCTCCAGAATTTCAGGGAAAACGATCATAACTTACGATAACCCAAGCCTTCGCAACCTCTTCCAGGTCGGCGTTCACGAACGCCTCTCCAATCGGTCCATAGTCGCTATGCGTAACAGCGGCATCAAGTTCCCCCTTCATCTTCTGAAGTTGTCGATCCTGCTCACCAAAGGTGCGTTCCAGCGCCTGCAAAGCAGTAATGGCTCCATTCATCTTCCCAATAATGCCGCTCAGCAAAGCAATCACCGATCCAACCACCTTGACGCTTTCTACAAGCCCAGCCATATCGGTATTGTTTTGCTGGATATCTTTCTCAGCTCGCTCGTAGGCTTCTTTAGCAGCTACCGCCTTCGCGCCGTAAACGCCCGCTATGGCGCCAGCGGTGAGCGTGCCGATGGGCCAGATCCACGCATAGCTGACTGAGGTGGATGCTACGATTGTGGCATGCTTCCATTCTGCATATTCACGATTGTAGTCTTTCAGAAGCTCTTGTCCTCTCTCAATGGCTGTTTTCATATCAGCGCCGAGAAGGTCGACGAGTGGCTTGTACGTTTTGCCGTCTGGTTGGAGAACGCCTTTGCCGTGGAATTTGTCGTCAATGACATCGACCAGTGCCTTGTCGTTTGTAGTTTCAGTACGAAGCTGAAAGTTTAGCAAGTGACTAAACTAGAGAGCTTGAACCCAAGCATGCATACCTGTATCATTGCATTCAGAAGATCGATTATGGCAGCGTGGACCTTTGCGGATTCTGTGTTCAATGTTACAACACACAGCGCAATAATCTTTGTCGATTTTTGTTTCTGGGCGTCAGTCGAGTCTTCTTTGACGAGCACGGCAAGCGAGTCTCGCATCATACCCTTTCCATTGATGTATCTGGCGAAGAGGTCACAATAAGTAACGATTTGGTTAGTGACCAGCACTTTTCGGCAATTAGTCTTCGTTCGGATTTAATCTAGTTTTGTTTAAAATCGCGACTCACCGAACTTGCTGAGATGATTGTTGACGAAATTGCTCGTGTGGCCGTAGATGGCAATCCCTGCCGTGAGAAGCTCCTAGGAGAGTTTAATACCAAGATCATAGACAGACAGAAAATTTTACTGAAACCTACTTTCAAGATGAGAGGATCCTTCTGTGCGAGCTTGATGGTATTGGTTGGTGGATATTGAATGTCAAACGACGCCTGGTTCTGGGGGAAAGTAATTCCCTCGGAAACGTAGAGTTTCAGATCTGTACTGCATTAGAGAATCTTCGGTGCTTGAAAAGGAAAATTACGGACCATAGTAGGATTTCTGTTTGAGGATGAAGCCCTGAGCTTCATGATTCTCGTCGTCGGTTAGTGTGTAGACTAAGGTGTTTGATGCTTCAAGGAGAGCCGCCTTGATGATCGCCTCTAGATCTTCGGTGCTCGTTGCCATGATTTGTGTTTGATTCGATTTCAACAAGGAACTGAAAATGACGAAGGTTGCGTGGTACCAATTTCTGCTGCGAAATATATAGATATCGCCAGAGATCTGCAGGAACATTCCTCAGATTCATTCCCACACGCATTCCAGCAGATCAATACTTCCTGTAGTTGGTTTCCATGCCGAAACGAACATATGAGGGCAACGAAATTCCTGGAATTTTTGTTCTCATTTATTCATGGTCACACTTGACTGAGAGAAACAACAAAGAGCATCAAGGAGCAATCGTTAACCATGAGTCTCTATCAGCTTCTAGATACCCGCCTGCGCTTTTACGATGACTCCGAAGAGCTTGTCCGGAAGACCGAAAGTTTTGGCTCGACTTTGTTGATGAGAGCACCAGAAATCAACCTCGCCAATGCCCTCTCCTTGCTAACGGTCGACCAACTGAATAGTATTACGATTGAAGTTTACGCCGATGTGATCGCCCTTGGAGATCTAGTATTACCGCCGTCATGCAGCTCTGTTTTGCTTGTTGCTCGAGTTATACAGACATCGAATCCCGTGCCCAAATTCAAGATCTCGAGACTGCCATTCCTGCTTCGAGTTTATACTCTCGCTCGAGGTATCAATCTAATTCTCGATCTGGAGACATCGAGAGGGATCACCAGCAGTCAAATCGAGTTTCCGAAAGACTCTTGGGGGTCAGGTCTATCTCTTGCTTTCAACGAGCCAATCAAGTATTATGTCAACCTCGATCGCCTCGACGGATTCAGGAGCTTGAGTGTTGTTGATCAGTTGACTGATGATGGTGTTCTTTCCTCTGTCTGGCTGCAGTTGAGAAATAAGTAGGCTGTCCGCTTACACTTGCAGACTCAAGCTCACAATTTTCAGTCATCTGCCAAGACTTCTGCAATATCAAATCCTTCTGGCATCTTCGATGACTGCTTCGAACCCGAGCGTAGCTTACGATATGGTGTATTTCGTCCTCGCAGCTACAGCGCAGCAGCCCAAAGGATTTCTCATCCGTAGCCAAGCATTTTCCATGGCCGCATACCTGAGTATGTCCCAACAACAACACACTCGGGGCGTACTAACTTTACCAAAGTCGCGAACACCAACGACCAAACCTCCCGCTACGTCCCCCGCATCGACCTCAGCACCGCCGAAATAGTTCTCAACAAGCGGCTCGACGCTGCCCAAGCCTTCGAGACTGCATTCATAACCTTCCAAGGCCAACAGGACGTCAGTGCGAACTTCACATCCATCGCTTCCACAACACTAGATAAAGCAATCGATGCCCAAGCTCAGTACAATTTTCTGGCGGACTTAGCGGAGTCGAGATACAACTCGGCGTTGGCAGCGTTGAAGCGAGCGGAGAATAATTTTCAGAGTCTGCAGACAAGTCTTGTTCCGCTGCAGGAGGCGTTCAAGAAGGGGATTGAGAAGTGGAAGAAGGAGCAGACGTTGAAGGCTGTTGGGGATGCGCTTTTGGCTGTTGTGGCGGTGGTGGGCTCGGTAAGTGTGTTTTCATACTCGATTGATATATCATTGTTTATACGAGGCTTAGAGCGAGGTGCTTGTTCGATCAACAATAGTGAGGGTCAAGCGATGCCAATTGCAGATTTGTCAAGGCACAGCTCGGACCTGGCTATATCATTTTTATATCTGACTTGTAAACTAGATCGCCGCAGCAGTCGTCGTCCCGCCCGCAGGAGCAGCAGGTCTAGCCGCAGCTGGTGCAGCGGTTCCTGCAGCCATTTCAGGGGCATCTTCTCTTGCTGGTACTATCAAGAAGATAGCAGATCTCATAACCAAGCTGAAAGACCTCTTCACCAAAATCGGACCCATCCTTGATACAGTTTATAAACTAGTAAAAGGGATTGAAAAGCTGGTTCAAACCCTTTCAGCAATCTCGCCTGGAGACGATGCGGCCAATTTATCTCTGCCAGGTTTGTTTGATCTTGAATACTAAGTTGATCATTGCTGACATGTAATAGCTTCCATGGGCGACGACGCCATCAATCTTTCCGCAGACTGGGACGCATTCGACGTCCAAGTCCAAGCATTAATGGACCCCGTAAGTCACCAACATACCCTCGACACCTACCACTAATCACACCACCAGGTAGTAGCAGAAAACATCGACGGCGCCTCCGAATACAAAGTGGCCCTCACAACCATGGTCATCCGCGCCAAAGCCACCTTCGCCGCCCAACAAGCCCTAACCACCACCTCGGACTCCTACATCACGACGCTCACCTACCGCCACACCACCACCCTTGAAGTGTCCCGTCTGCGCCTCGCGCTCCAACACGTCAAAGGCTCCCCGGAGATCCTTCGCATATTGAAAATCTCTATGCTGGAACAGCTGATTGTCATCCGTGCCTGGATGATGCTCGATTTCGAACAGTATATTGCTGCGTATGGCTGGTTTACGTTGAGTGAGAGACCGCCGATTGAATTGCATCCGCTAAAGGAGATCCCGCGGTTGCTGGCGGATGCGGTGACGTTGCAGGGCGTGGTGAGGAATCCGGGGTTTGTGGCGCAGGATAAGATTTTTGCGTTCTCTTCGGAGCAGGACGGGAGTCCGTTTCTGTATCCCTCCGCAGATTGGCTGCAGGATTTGAGGCGCGAGAGGGTGGTTGCGTTTACGGTTGATATCAACCACAAAGCGTTCGTCAGCTGGTCGAGGATTCGGTTGAAGCGCTTTAGACTTTTCTTGGATGGGGCGGGGATGGGGACCGCGGGCAGTGTGGCGCTGAATGTTAGTTTCGAGGAGGGGATGAGGGATCGGGCGTTGGAGAGGGGGAGGGGGGAGATAGTGAGGTTTGTGACGGGTAGGACGGTGCTGGGGTTTGAGTATGTGCCGGGAGAGGTGGGTGGAATGGGACCAGGAGGAGAGAGTATTTTGATGGATGGCGAGTTGAGTCGTGCGCAGCCTTTCTTTACGCCGAGTCCGTTTCGGAATTGGGTCGTCAGGGTCGGGGATGGGGTTGATGTGGAGGGGGTGGAGGGTTTAAGGATGGAGTTGCTGTGTGAGGTTTCTTTTCCCTTGTAGGTGGGATGTTAGGGGTGATGGAGGTGGGTTTGAGGAGTTAAGGAGATGCGGTATGAAAGGTTGATATGAATTTGGATATTCGTATTACTGATTGTCTCCGGCTCAGTTCCTATATTGTCTTCTGTCCAAGAAATTTGTACGGCAATACACAAACCTCTCAGATTTCTTAGATCTTGGGGTAGGACGCACTTGATATTGGACTAAACGGGAGTTTGAGCGTATTGAGTTGATATCGTCTCATACTGGAACCTGAACCTAATGGCTTGACAATTAACATTCAAAATTCTAGCTAGACTCAGACTCCTTCTCTACCTCAACAATCTTCACAGCCGGCCCCTCAATCTTCTTGACCTTCCGTCCCTCCCACCACATCATCAACCCCGCCATCAAACTCACACCACACCCCAACCCAATAAACGTCCCCGTCGACCACGTCGGTCGATTAAAACGATTAAACCCCCACATCATCGCCGCCAACACCGCTTGGAAAAGCGTATTCCAAACCATCATCCAAACCACAAACGCCAGCTTCCACATCCTCGTCGCCGGCGCATACTCCCCCGTAAACGTGACCCCCCTCTCCTCTCCCCCCTCCCCATCAAAATACCACGCCGGCGGGCGAAACCACGCCTTATTCTGCTCCGCTAACCTCTTCATCGCATACCGATTCCGCATCCGCCTCGCCCGGATCAACCAATACAGATCCCGGAACCGCCACGGCGCCAGCCCGAAGCCCGTTACGCAGAACAACGCATTCAGGATCTGGCTATCGATCTCGATCCATTTCTTCCTCGGAGAATTCAGCGCGTCTTTGCTGGGGTGGTTCATAGCTGGCGCGGCGCCCAGTAGGACGAAGAATAGCATCGCGCCCCAGGCTACGATGTTCAGTCCGTAGATCGTCATCAGGAATCCCGTAGGCGAGGAGACGAAGCGCCATGCGGCTTTGAACCCGTTTCCCAGCGTTTCTTTCCAATTATGTTTCTCCTCCGTCTCAGCCTGTTGTGCCAACGTCTGTCTCCTTTGTGGTGGCCCCGTGCCCGTGCCCTGCTTCTCCAGATCCTCGGGCTGGACGACCTGCGTCGCTGTCGCTGTCGCTGTCCTGGTGAGCGAGAGGACCGGGATCCCGCCCTCGTCTTTCATCACCGTGCGAGCGGAATGGCCGTGTTCGTTGAACTCGATGTTTTCGCCGCCAGCGAGGGGTTCGCGGAGTTCGGTCAGGGTCGGGGCATAGGCGATGGCTGTCCCGGTCGCTGCCCACATTCCGGGTTGGGGGTTGAAGTTCAGGATCGCATCGGCGGCTGTGATGGAGGCTTTGCGCAGGCGGCCTGTGACTGTGGTGGTGGTGGTGGTGGTGGTTTCGGGTTCGGGCATTGTGAGGATGGTGGGTGAGTTGCCAATGTGTGGAAGTCAATTTAAAAGACAGTGATTGCCATACACTTCAAAGGCTTCTTCAGAGCACAATTGATGATTCGAGTACACTTGTACTATTCAACAGAAAGAGAGGACGAGCAGATAAGCATCTTGACGTCCGCTCTGGACCATCATTAGTGCCTAGCACCACAACGACGGCGTCAACACTAAATTGACGGACGGCACTCACATGCAACAACGATATCGCGAAGAACGGCTGCATCATCGCGCCGATATATGCACGAGAGACCGAGACGGACAGAGACTTCCAAACCCCTCGGCCGACCGGTTTTTGAGTCTCCGGTAATGTTGGTGAAAGAAGAGAAGAGAAAAAGCCACAACGGAAAAAGAATCTTGACGACCATGACCATGACCATGACGCTTCACAGTCTCGGCACGCTCGGTGATTCCCCAGTGCCGTGAAGCGAGACGAGAGCGGCCGTAAGGTTAAGGTGTGCTAGGGGCGCTAGCGTTGCACAGTAATCAATATTGCAGCAGGACCCGAGTAAGCAACAACCAGCACCAGAAATCGATGCGGCTTTTTGTGCTTTCCGGGGATTTGGGAGGGAAGTCGCCCTATGATGTAGAGCAGTGGCGTACACGCAGGGTCAGGGTCTTTAAATTAAGCTCCTGGCCTTTGTTACGCTTAGTGTGCCTGCGAGTCCAGTCAGCAAACGCCGCGAGACGACTATAATCTGAAGCTCTTTCTTTATTACTCGTTGAAGGAAGGAAGGAAGGAAGGAAGGAAGAAAAGTCTTGTCCTCGTGCTCAAGTGAAGCAAGCTTCTTCTCCACTTCTCCTTCTCCTTCTCCGTTTATTTTTGTTTTGATTTATTTACTTTCTCCTCGCTGTTGCATCTGTCCTGGAAGCAATGGCCACCACCCAAGAAGAAAACCTCAGCGGCTTCAGAAACTCCAACGAGCACTTCACCGCCGAAGCACGCATCAACACAGACGGCCGCATCAACATCCACGTCACAGACAAAGCCCTCAAACTAACCAAATACCTCGCCAAGCGCGCCAAATACTCGCACGGCCAAGCGCCCCTCGGCCAGGACCTGACGCCCAATAACCGCGAGTACGAGAATAATTTCCAGGCCGTGCTGGGCAAGTATAAGGATGCCCCGAAACTGAACATCGCCATCCATATCGTGGGCTCGAGGGGCGATGTTCAGCCCTTTATTGCGGTTGCGAAGGAGTTGATGAGGCCGCCGTATGGGCATCGGGTGAGGATTTGTACGCATCCGGTGTTCAAGGCATTTGTGGAGGAGAATGGGATTGAGTTCTTTTCCATCGGAGGGGATCCTGCGACGTTGATGGCGTACATGGTTAAGAATCCGGGCCTGATGCCAGGGATGGAGAGTTTGAAAGCGGGAGATGTGGGAAAGCGACGTGCTGATATCGCGGAGATTTTGGAGGGCTGTTGGAGGGGGTGTATTGAGCCTGGGGATGGGATGCTGGGGTCGAAGAAGTCTTCTTCGACGATGAGTCGGGAGGAGGAGACGGATCGGTTGTTTATTGCTGATGCGATTATTGCGAATCCACCGAGTTATGGGCATATTCATTGTGCGGAGAAGTTGGGGATTCCGTTGCATATGATGTTCACGTAAGTGCAGTTTTCTGAGTTTCTGGTATTGGGGCTCGACTTTCGATTACCAAATGTTCGCCGTTAAAATGGATACCAGACAACGGGCTTCTTGTTCTGTCAGGACGAACATGCTAACATTATTCAGCATGCCATGGAGCCCAACTCAATATTTTCCACATCCACTTGCTTCTCTCGACCGAAACGAAGCAGACCCCAACTTCGCTAATTACATATCTTATACCATGATGGAACTTCTTGCATGGCAAGGGTAAGTGTACTTTACTTTTCAGAATCCAGCCAGATGTCTGGTTCCCAAATCCGACATTCTGGGGAGGAGAATGTCTGATCTGGGGATAATTCGCGTTCTAAATGCAAGTACTAACAATCGAATAGACTTGGGGATGTCATCAATGGTTTCCGAGTCAAGACTCTTCATCTCGATCCTATCAGTCCGCTTTGGGGTCACATGCTCCTCTCTAGAATGAAAGTCCCTTTTACCTACGCATGGTAACCGACCACTCCTCCCAGCATCCACATTTCAAAACACTAAATTTCCCAGGTCCCCAGCACTAATCCCTAAACCCCCAGACTGGGGATCCCACATCAACATCAGCGGTTTCGCCTTCCTAAACCAGGCCTCAACCTACACCCCACCAGAAGACCTCCTCACCTTTCTCAAAGCCGGCCCACCACCCGTCTACATCGGCTTCGGATCCATCGTCGTCGACGACCCTAACAAACTCACCAAAATGATCTTCGGCGCCGTCAAAAGAGCCGGAGTACGAGCCCTCGTGTCCAAAGGCTGGGGTGGCCTTGGTGACGGCGATGTCCCAGAAGGAGTTTTCTTGCTCGGAAACGTGCCTCATGATTGGCTCTTTAACTACGTCTCCGCCGTTGTCCATCATGGAGGAGCTGGTACGACGGCTATCGGTATTGCAATGGGCAAACCGACCGTTGTCGTCCCTTTCTTTGGAGACCAGCCATTCTGGGGAGCTATGATTCATAGAGCCGGCGCGGGACCAGAGCCCGTTCCCTTCAAGAAGATGACGGAAGAGAACCTTGCTCATGCCATCGTCACGGCTCTAGGTCCAGATGTCCAGACATCCGTCAAGCAGATGAGCGAACAGATCGCACAAGAAAACGGAGCGAAGACTGCAGCTGAATCTTTTCACCAGGCCGTGAATCTAGATACGATGCGTTGTCTCATGCGGCCTGATCACGTTGCCGTATGGCGCGTAAAAGGAACAAACATCAGACTAGGTATCATGGCTGCTGCTGTTTTACTCGACGCCCAGATCGTGCGTCTGCCGAATTTGAAACTGTACTTCCCTCTCTCCTTTTCTAAGCGAACCCATCTGATTAACACCCCACAGAATTCGCCACCGAGACTGGTACGTCGACGAAGGAGCCGGCGACCCCATCCAAGGCTTCCTCGCCGTCGCCTCAGGAACAGTAACCAACTCCCTCACCCTGATATTCGACTACAGCCGCTCCCTCTCCCGCACCGTGCACCGGCCCCCCACTCCCCCCAAGATCGAGACCGACTCCTCCTCCTTATCGGACCCGCGCCCGCTCGCCCTCCGCACCAACTCCCTCGAATACGTACCAACCCGCAACCCCGTCCAAAAAGCCGCGCACTTCTCGCCCGAACACCTCGACTACGTGGCGCTAAAAATGGCGTCCAAGACCCTGAAATCCACAACGGACAAACAGAAGAACAAACGCACGTATAGCTGGAGTCCCGCGCAAAGACAGGTCAGTTTGCTGCATCATGGGAGTAGTAAACAGGTGCATTACCATGGGCGGTTACACGATGCCAGTGTCGAGACGGGACATTTCGCTTATGCTATGGGTGCCACTGCTTTACGAGGTACTCCCCTCTCCCTTTCCCCCTCTTCTTCCTGAAACAAAGAAAGAAAAGCTAACAAAAACGAACACCAGTCCCTGTAGCGTTCTTCTACAACCTCGCCAACGGCTTCCACAACGCGCCCTCCTTCTTCCTCTCCGACCCCACCGTCCGCCGCCGCGACAACATCACGGGCTTCGGTTCCGGCCTCAAAGTCGCCTCCAAAGAAGTCCTCTACGGCACCCTGGACTCTTTTACCGGTCTCATCACGCTGCCTGTCCGCGGCGCGAAGAAATCGGGCCCCTGGGGCTTCGTCAAGGGCGTCGGGAAGGGCGTCGCCGCGTTCCCGATGAAGATCACGGCTGCGGCGCTGGGGATCCCCGGGTATGGGTTGAAGGGGCTGGAGAAGCAGTTGGAGAAGAGGTATAGTCGGGGATTGAAGGCGGGGTTGTTGGTTGTTAGGATTAAGCAGGGGATTGTGGCGTTTGAGAGGAGTAGTGAGGCGGAGAGGGAGGAGGTGAGGAGGAGGTGGAGGGAGTTGGAGGGTGCGTCTTAGATTGTTGGTTGGGGGGCAAGTGGTGTTTGGATTTTGGGATTGGGAGTTGTAGGGATACCTTGTTGGTTTTCTGGGTGATTTAGTGTGTTGTTATGGATATAATGGATCTTTGATAGTCAATCTCTGCTTGTTACTTCCAACTAGTTAAAAAAGAGTGGTTAATCATAACCCGCGAAAAAGTTTTGTTGCACATCGCAAGTGTTGCTCAAAAGTGTTTGGGTATCACACAACCAGGGTAGTCCATCCAGAAAGTGTGGAAGACTTGAATGATAGTTGCAGTTACGGTCGACCAATCAGAAGGCAGGGACCTTTAGCGCGGGTTCTTGTTGTGAATGGATTTAGTCGATATGACTTTCATGTTGACTAATCCCTTGGTAAAGACGAAAGTGCTTCGTTTAAGAAAGTACTTTTTCGACATACAATTAGTTTTATACAAGATTACCTAGGTACGTACGAAGCTTAGAATTGCATTATATTCCAGGTTGCATTTCTCGATTTTGGTGTTAATCATGTGAGCTTCATAACGGGAAGTATTGGGGAATGTGTCCTGGAAGTCTGATTCATTCCTGTATTTAGCCATAGCAGCAATTTGAGTTGGATCTTGATCAACCGTTGTCATTGCAGGATTCGTTGTTCGGGGGGTTGTTGGTGTTGGATCCCGGTCGTTGCTGACACACGTGATCGTACTAGGACGCCCAATATAGACCTCTAATAACAACACCAACGATGCTCACAGGAATATAACTTCTCATCGATTCTCTGAGTCGGGCAGGGCTCAATACGCTTAAGTTCTCAGCAATGGCTTTGAATCTGAGCTGGATTTGGAATGGAGAGCCTAGCTACCTCTACATCGCCCTGGTCCTTTTCGCAGCCGGGGCTCTAACCTGGCTCTTCAGCTCTCCAAAGTCCGATCCTCGAGAACCGCCAATTCTAAGGCCCAGGATACCTATCATTGGCCATCTTCTGGGGCTAGCGATAGACCAGGCTGAATATCTGCAAAAATTAAGGTTGTCGGCATCCCAAATTCATATCACGTGCTAACCCCTTTTCAGCGCCAGAACAACTCATCCAATCTTCACCCTGCGTATCTTCTCAGGCAGAATCTACGTTATCAACTCTCCTACACTGGTACAAGCTGTCTACAAGGCACCAAAATCTTTCTCCTTCGATCCAATCTTCGTTGATGCCTCAAAGAGTATCTTTGGATTGAGCGACGAGCATATGGCAATCATCACGAAACGAGATCCCGATGCTGACCCTGCAGATGGATTCCCTCTTTCAAGAGCCACGCAAGCGGTTATGCATGCCACAATGGCTACTGGTCGACCACTCCTCGAGATGAATGCACGTGCTCTGAACACTTTTGCACGTTTCTTGGACACTATTGAGGGATCAAAATCCGTCAAGCTCTATTCGTGGCTCTTCCACACGTTTACTGTAGCGACAGCTGAAGCATTATACGGTCCTAACAACCCAATCTCCCTTAACCGAAAACTCGTCACATCGCTGCTGGATTTCGAAGCTGCCATCGGACTCTTGTACCTGAACGTCCTGCCCAGCATCACCGCTTCAAAAGGCTACCAAGCACGAACCCTCTTTGCCACAGAATTCAAAAAGTACTACGACACCGGCCGCGACAAAGACGCAGCAGCCATCATCCAAGGCCGAAAACGAGTCCTCACCGGCGGCGGCTACAGCACAGACGACCTAGCCTCCTTCGACATCGGCATGCTCGTCGCATCAACCATGAACAGCAACCCGGCCCTCTTCTGGCTCCTCATCCACATCTACTCCACCCCCTCCCTCCTCTCCTCCATCCGCGCCGAGATCCAAAACATCACTACCCTGAAAGGAGCCAACCGGACAGCCGAGATCAACATCAGCGCCCTCAACACCCAGTGTCCGCTGCTCGTTTCAACTTGGCAGGAAACGCTCAGGATCACAGACGCCACGGTCAGTTCCCGCGTCGTCGTCAACGATACGTTGCTCGATGACACCTATCTCCTGAAAAAGGGAGCGGTCATCCAAATGGCCTGCGGACCAATGCATACTTCCCGCTCGATCTGGGGCGAAGACAGCACCTCCTTCAACGCAGCCCGCTTCACGAAGTTCAACGAAGATCACCTCGATAAAAGTACCAGGAAACTAAGGAAACAGGGCTTCGTCCCGTTTGGAGGCGGCACGGTGCTTTGTCCGGGGCGGTATTTCGCGAGTACGGAGATCATGGGGGTAGTGGCGACGGTGGTGTTGGGGTATGATATCGTGGGGAAGGATGGGGGGAAATTGGTGGTCCCGAGCGTGAAGAAGCAGAAGATGAGTGTGCAGGTTAAGCAGCCGGAAAGCGATGTGGAGGTTGTGATTACGAGGAGGAGGGAGTGGGAGGGGGTGAGGTGGGGGTTTGATGTTGGGGCTGGGGCAGAGGAGCAGGATTTGTTTTTGGGGTGATGAGTATGTAGTAAGTGAGTGTTAATGGAGTGTTAATTTGGAGTTGAGATACCTTATATTTGAGTCGAATGTTTGTTTTCTGTTAGCGTTGGCATTATTATGTATTTGTTGAATTTGAGTCTTAATGAAAGCCCATTAAATCGTAACTTTACCTATATAATCTCAGACCACAATTTTGCCTACCAAATTCCATTTCCATCTTTGAACCTGAGCAATCGCTGCTTTAGCCTGAGCAGAACCGAGAGCTTTATGGCGACCAATGAATAATGTATCATTATCAATTACTACGAAGCAACTAATGTGCTTTTGCCACTTGTCATCGATTAGTGGATGGCTTGTGGCACCATGTCTCACACGAACGCCCTGCATCTGCAGTGTCCAGGCAACAGAGTCAATCGATGAGCACTGCCACCACAAAATCGACAACCAAGATATCAGCAATTTTGGAAGTTGAAGTTTCAATCACACCACGTACAAAGTGCGGTTTATTCACAGCTCCTATCAACATGTCAATATATGCAAATAATCCTTTACTATCGCGGCACTCGCACATACGATTGCTGAGAATACTCTCACTCTCAAAATCCCCTCTCGGCCGTGTTACATGCGCTTTCGGCACATTCGACATAAATTCCGCGCCCGAATATCAGGCTTTATCGTACGAATGGGGGCCCACGTCTCCAACTATGGTGATTGATGTCATGGGTCAGCCAGCGCGTATCAGATCAAATCTATGGAACTTTCTGTCCAGGCTGAGATCCCACGGTTACGAAGACTACCTATGGTGCGATGCTATTTGTATTGATCAGAGCAACGATTATGAGCGAAACCATCAAGTTCAGCTCATGAGCCAAATCTATCGGAAAGCACACTCGGTTCTAGTATGGCTGGGAGAGGAAGATCAATATAGTGGCATCACTCTACGTTCCATCGGGTTACTCAGTAGCTTCAAACAGGATGCACTCAGACAGCCTCATTTGAGCGAGAGAGCAAAGATATGGCAAGGATTAGTAGCTCTTTCTAGGCGAAGATATTGGACCCGAATCTGGATCGTTCAGGAGATCACGGTCGCGCGAGACCTACAACTCTTCTGCGGAAACGAAACGGTCCAGTGGTCGGCATTTGCAACCGCGTGCAAATTTCCACCTGATCAATTAACACCCTGGACAGCTGAACTATGGACTCCCTTGACGGTGGAAGATGACAGAAAACAACGCTTGCGACGTTCTCGAGGTCGCGAAATCCACCATAGCACAATGTATGGACTTATCAAATCTCAAAAGCGTTGGCCGAAATTTGTCGAGTCATTCGAAACTCTCTTTGTGCGGTACCAGGATTCTGGGTGTGAGGATCCCAGGGACCGTATTTTTGCCTTGTTGAGTATTTCGAAAGAGGTGGTCCTCGAACGTGGATTCAATGCGGACTATAAGCTGAACATGGAAGACACTTTTCTTTCTTTGATGGCTTGGGGAGCCACTGGGCCAGTCAAAATCGATTCTCGTCTCGAATTTGCCTCGCTGGTTGTGGAGTCTATGGACTTGAGATGGCCGAGCTATAAATTGGAGTCCACACTTTGGTTTGAAAGTCAACGGTCATGGTCATATCTCAAATGGATCCAACAGCCCTTGGTAATGACTGTACGCTGTCAACGATTCGGAAAGTGGCCTCTTTACAACCAAAGGTCCAAAGGCAGAGGTCTCGATACCATTTCTGATTCTGACGATGAAGATTATGGCATAAGATCTTGGCCACTTGAGATCTGCTCTGAGCTTTTTGAATATGACCATGGGGATAGACATGAACTGGACCTATTTGGATTCGCCAGATCCGACATCTGCTTGATATGCATACCGGCAGCGAATCGTAGACGTGCCTGGACCGTTGTTGCTAGGCCTTCCTATCAATTTCTTAGTCACAATAAGCAAACTTCTGGAAAGGCTGAGAAGAGGAAAGATCGAGAGCTCGCACCCACTGTTTTCGAAGGGCTTAACATCGTTGAAGATACAAGCGAGCGCTTTGTTCTTGAGCTCAAGAACGTGGCTCAGTTCATGGAGATTCTCCTCACGGACCGTAGGCCATTACCTTTAAGCTCTACAATAGCCCTTGGAGGTGGCAGAGCGGGAGGCTCCCTCGCTGCACCTACAAATGATAATACCAGAGGCTTAAATGTTGTGCTGAAAGCCCTCAGGATAGTAAGTCCGATTACTTTGACTGCCGAGGAAGAACTAGCAACTTCTGAAGAGGACAGTGAAAATGAGTCTACCCTGACAGACTGGAAGAGCCTTGTGGCAGAATCTGAGGTGTTAGCGAAGGTGAAGATACAAAAGCCACCCATCGACAAGCCGAAGTTATCCCACAAGCTTAATGTAGATCCATTTTCAGATTATTATTAGACAGCTTATAGACTATAGTGCCACCTACCCGCCGCAGCTGTGACATTATAATAGGTTTAGATAATAACGAATAAGATGAATTCAGGCCGAGTTGAGAGAAGGGTTGTCGTATCCCCGGCAAAAACGGCTTATGCGATTTAATCATTCGTCCGTTGAAAAGATAATATAGAGTTCCGCGGATTTTTTCGGTAAATCAGGTGTGTTTGAGATAACTCGCGTGCAAAGCAGCTGGGGCAGATTAGCTGTAGCCTGCGTCTGCCCTACAGTATGCTTATGCAAAGATTCAGCAGGTACTGAATTAGGCAATTTAAGACGATCTTTTTCTGCATTTCAAAATAGTTTTGACTTGACTACCTGATTGATTGAAGGGATAAGGCTCCAGCGCTAAAGCCGAAGATCTTTTTATCATATATATCTCTGGCTTTCCTTTTCTGGTGCTAGATTTATTTTTGCATTCTTGACTAGACATTCCGACATCGGCATGGCATTTTGGGTACCATGAACGGAAAATTCGCGACGCGTTGTGAGAGTATACATTTCAGCTGTGAGGTTGTTCTGCGGACCGAGAGGACGAGTCGTTATTTACAGATAAGGCAGAGGCACGGATTAGGGCATCAATGCATTGGCAGTTCTCGCTAGAGGAATACGAGGCTGATAAGTAAAGGGGACAAGAGTACCAGCGGCAGTGTTCTGAATAAGGCAATATGGGCAACCAAGGTAGCAAGAGCACCAATAGCTGTGTATTAGACACTGGTTACGATATATTTCATACTGTACACCGCCGTAAAATTAATATATTATGATACTCCGAGTTGCGTGATATTCCATCTGTGTCGTAAAGCTGAATGTCCAACCCTCCTCCTATATATGCCAGCATCAAACTCTACCTTCAGATGCTAGAGCCACAGACAACGATAAAGAAAGTAACATTCGTGCTATAGATTGAATATATGAGCTTTTTTCCCTAAGTAATACTTAGTTAGGGTCTTGATTATTATAGCTAAATCTTGGTACTTTAATCAAAAGTAGCCTGAGTTATAGTAGTGGAATTTGGATTGTTTTACTTCAAAATATAAATAGAGCGCATACGCAATCCTGTAGTATCTTAGTATATCCTACCTTAGACGCAATTACTTCGAAATATGTTATTTCAAACTAATATAGTCGTTATTGTAGTACTCTAAATTCTAAAAATGGTTTCAGGGTAAGCGTCGTTAACTATAAGGTGGGGTTCATTGTAGAGTAATGGCCAAGTTATGGCCAAAGGCGCTGGCGTTAGGAATGGAGTAGGGCAAAAATTCAGCTCCCTAACACTGGCGTATCCATTTCACTAGTGTGTAATGCGCGCTAAGAGGGGGCTATCTGCGCTCCCTAGGAGCCGAGTTGGTACTCCTGAGGATGTTCGTGTAGAGTTGATAACTTTCGCACGATAGAACCAAATAGTAAGTAAATTATAATTGATCACAGAAAGGGAGATCAGAACGTGACTGAGCAACCTGAGCAGAGGGTGAGTAGCGCCTGAGCAGAGCGGCGATGCTGACTACTGTAACCGCGTTCGGAGCGAAATTGAAAATGTGTCGTCTGAGATTACCAATATAATCTCAGACGACAACTGAGCCCACCAAAGTCCATTTCCGTCTTTGGACCTGAGCAGTCGCCGCTCTAACCTGAGCCGAGGGTGAGCGTTCCTGAGTCCTGCCTGAGCAACCTAAGCACTCTCTGAGTCAGCCTGAGCACTTTAGGCGGAGATCCGTTTTGGCTCCCTGGTGGTCTGTTTTGGTTCCCTTGTGACCCGGTTGCAGTTTCCTAGAGAATTTCCAGGAATCCGTTCTAGCTCTCTTTTAGTCATGCACGAATTTTCCCAGGAACCGAATTCGAATCCCACGCTAAGCCTTATATGAGCAATTATTTAGCCTCAACCCACCTCTTTGAACCTATCAGGATGCCTTGACGGTATCCGTTCTCGATCCCCTGTCAAACTTACAAGGGTCTTTACTAGAGCCGATTTGGATCCCCTCTGGTCTAGTCACACGTGATTTGGTGGGGCCATTCAGCCTCAATTTACTGAATATTGCCAATTCAACGCTATCTCATACGAGTGATTTTAATCATCTAAGTACTTATTCAATTTTTTGTGATAGCTCGGTCACTAGAAAACGTGAAGTACGAAGAATAGAAGTTGATATTGCGTATCTCTTAGGATCTAAGGTGTGACAGCACGGTTGGACTCAAGTACGTAGACGAGGAATCGATTAGGCTATCTCTTAGAATCTAAAGGTAAAGAGGAAAGAAAGGAAGGAAGCGCCGGAAGGCAGGGCATATATACAGGCGAGCGGTCACGTGAGTATTTCGTAGCGGGCACGTGACTCCATAACCGTGACATAAGGTAGAGAGAAGAGGAAAGCAGCAGCTGTGAGAGAATAGGCAACTGAAACGGCAGCCTGAGGCTCTCAAGCGGTCATATTTCTGGATCTGTGATACTTTTGATGCTATAAGAACTTGTGTAGCGATTCTGACCGCGACGTGACTTCACATAATCTAGCACGTGATTTAATAGAGCTATGTCACGTGTCGAGATGGACAATACTCATGTACAAGTCAACTCTATTGCAAAGAGGTAAATCTAAAGAACCAAATAGATACAAAGAAGACGAGTCTTTATATAGAGCTCGTACGAAGGCTTTCCACTGCATTCTATCCTCTTCCTTCTCGAGGTTGCCATTAGATAGTTTGAAGCTCTAAAGTAGTATTAAAGATTCCAGCAAAGTAGGGCCGCACGGAGTTCTAGAGTATTATCGAAGATTCCAGCAAGGCCGCACAGACGAGCCGCACGGATGAGCCGCACAGTTGATCCTCAATCGGTGCCTGAGGCCCGATTCCAATCCTCGGTCTAAACCGTCACATCATGTTCGCCATTAAGATCTCAAAAGCGGTATCCAGTTTGGTCCTAAGCGTTACAAAGTTCTAATCTACGCACCACGTTCGTGTAAAATACCTCATCCAAAGCCCCCCTGTCAATATCATCAAAATACTCGTTTAAGCAAATACAGGTTACCTTAGCATATATCTCGCCCATTGTAAACTTCAGTTTAGGAACGGCTCTATAAACAAGAGCATTTCGGATATCTTCCGGAGTGGGATCAGTGTTTGAGTCCATACTCTCTGCCACTATTCTTTTTGCCGACTTAAACAGTCCAAGCTCCATAAGGATAACCCCTAGGCTGTATATATCGTAGACCTTTGAATAGCGCCCTGCTCCTCCTAAAGGCTGTTGTAAGTCTGCTACCGGGACGGCGTGAGCTTTGGGGTGGCGATAAAACTTGTGCCCTTTCTTGTCAACGACATTCTCCGTTTGCTCTCCGTGAGCATCAGGTCGGCTATATTCAAACCCAACAAGGTACGGCAATGCAGACCCCAAGCTAGCCAGGTTCTCTGCAAAAAAAAGTATGTTATCGCTTCTGATTGCTTTATGAAGCCAGTCAGCGAAGTGGAGGTACATGACAGCGCGGGCAAGGGTCTGAGCAACAACGAACCGCCGCCCGAGAGGAAGGCAATCTCGAACATGCTGAATCTCTTGTTTCGATTTTTGGCTCTGGCTCAAGATGTTCTGAAGCGAAAAGAAGTGCGGCACATCCACCTTGTATACGATGCTGTAGGTGAACGTAAACGTCTCATCCGTCATTTTCGGCGACTCGATGATTCCTTGGCAAGGAAGTGTTCTCAACTCAGTCGGCTTGAGAGGATCCTGAAGACGAAGAACGATGTTCTTAATCCGTGCATCTAAGAGTCTGCGCTGACTTGTATCAGTTCGAGGAGTTGTGCTGTTTTTTTGCTCGACAAATACGTAGGAGCCGTCATAGCTGGCTATGAAACGTGATTCATTTTGCTCCCGACTTTGTACTACAAGTTTACCTTCCTTCAGTTCAGTTGTTCTGGAACCCAGTCCATAGGGTGCCGCCTGGGTCCTGTAGGCCATAGATTTCAACCACGCAAGCCCCGCATGCAATGATGTCGAATCAATAGCATGACTGGTTCTGGCAAGGGTAGCTGCGTCCTGACTTGCAAGTGATGTGCCCAAGACGATAACGCCGGCTGGATCAGAGTACGGAGGAGGAAAAAAGACGTAGAGATCTTGAATCAGAGTCTCTAGCAAGATCAGCCTTTCAGTCAACTTCTCCTCTTGCAAGGCCCACTTCAATCGCTCGGAAGCGGATTCAAATCCTGTGGAAGTTGCATCGGCTCTGTCAGAGTCATGGGGTTCGAGAGATATTGAGCCCAGTTGATATATACGGCGCAGCGAGTCCATGGCAGTCAAGTTGTGGGCCGTGCTGAGCGAAGGAAGAGCGCTGTCGAAACCGCTCAGGCCGTGAGTGAGTCGATAGATGAGTTTGAGATAGTTCATGGCCACTGACTCGTAGGTACGGAACTTGCGGTCCTTAATATGTTGATTTTTCTCGATGCCCCATTCCTGAGCCCAGAAGGCTAACTTTGCACAATATAGGTCCAGTCGAATTTTGAATGTTTCAATCGATTCGGTCACGTTATCGATGCGCTGCCATAGTGCAAATCCTTGCATACAACGTTGTACAAGGACATCAAGGGCTCCAAGGGCGCCAAAGGCGGTATTTATGTGGTCTTCAGCCATGCCGCAGTGAAGGCAATATAAGGGATGGAGGAGAGAGGAAGAGCAGAAAAGATACAGAAGCTTGGTTACAGAGTGGAAGTAATTCCTACGGTTATGATTTAATAACCTGGTGTTCGCCCAAGCACGCCATCCAGGGGTAGCGCAGTCAAACTTGTTAGCGAGCTCAGCCACCTGGCTATGCCATTCTGCGGAGCTGCCGAGGGTAAGGAAGTGCAGACGACCTTTGGGCAGAACGTTCTGCCACCAATCAATTCGCCGGTTTCCCGTGTCCTGGTTATATCGCCACAAGGCGGTGAGCATTTCTTTGGTGCGGCTTTGTACTTAAGTACCTTCGCTGCCTAATCCCCTTGTTTGCTTTAATGCAATGGCTGTAGCCTAGAGTCTCAGCCCCGCGCTCAGCCCCACGCCCCGCCCCACGCTCCCCTCCCTCAACAACGCTGACATGCCCGTGATGAAACCCCCGATTCCATCCCTCTACATACTACCAATATTATCTTTGCTGTTATTCTTGAGCAAGCACAATGGCATACCACTCCGACGGAGATTATGGAACTCTTGACTACCACACGAACGGAATCATGGCATGCAACAGTGCGGATCACACCGCCGACGACGACGCTACTCACAACGACCAATTTGACGTAATGCGGTTCATGTCCGTGATCGTGAGGCCTGAGGACAAGTCCACTCAGAAGTGGAACTCTTCGGTACTGCTCTCCATACATCTTGGACCTTGGAACCTGTTTCTTCCATTCACTCCATATTGTGGCGCATCCTTCTCAGTTACATTGATACCGCGACGGTACGTCCTTCGACAGACGGCTGTCAGCTTAGACTTTGGGCCTTCACTTCCTGAGCTTGTTGCTTTGAAAACCCCAAGGCTTGGCCAGGACGGCAAACGCAACGCTCAACTATTCCGCTCTATCGCAAAGGAATATCAGATCCTACAGTCTGAATCGCTGAAGCATCACGAAAATATCATTTCAGTATATGGGTGCTGTTGGCAATCACTGGACATCTACGCGGGTCTGCCAATCCCGTGTCTACTCCTGGAAGGGTCAGAATTTGGCGACCTCTTGAATTTTAGTCGGACACGAGAATTGACGCTGCGGGAACGGCTCCGGATTTGCATTCATGTAACATCTGGGCTTCAAGCGATCCATTCTATTGGCATTGTTCATGGAGATCTCAAGCCACAGAACATTCTTATCTTCCATTCAACAGAACGGGGCTACACTGCAAAGATTGCAGATTTTGGGTCAGCTATTGTTTTGGGGGTGACAACCCTGCCTTCTAAGAGGCCAATTGGCACGATCCTCTACAGTGCGCCGGAGTGTTATCATAATGACGTGACACTTGGGCGAGAGGAACTCTTCAAAACAGACATTTTTAGTCTTGGCATAGTCCTGTCAGCTCTGATCCAAGGCATGTACGTCTTAGAAGAAATGAAGAAACTGTCATGTTCTCGGCTGGAATCTCTGAAGAAGGAAGGGGAGCTTCATCATTGGCTTATAGCTCTCAGCTTGCGAGACTCAAAGAATTTGGCTACGCAAGATAATATTGAAAGTGCAGACAATGGTAAAGGATGGGAGGCAGATCCTGCCTTTGATGAGGATTCTATTCTGGCAGATGAACAAATTTGGGCCACGTTTGTCTGTTTGCTAAAGGGGACACTTGCCGCCCAGGCCACTCAACGATTTGCGAGCGAAGAAACTATCCTGTCAATTCTCAGAAATTTGTTGTGCTCACACTTGAGAAGGACACTTGGGCGTCGTGAAACCGCTTCTGGGGCAATTTCTACAGAGCCAACTCCCCGATGGTGGTCCCGGATGAGCTCTGTGTTGGACATAAGCAAGGCTAGGCTAAGGAAAGTCACCGGGGCTGCCATACCTTCGCCAATCAGGCTGGACCCACAAGAGATTGAAGCCATTTCACTCCGCTATCTGCTTGGGAAGTCCTCAAATAATTTCTTCAGGGTGTCACAATTTATCCGGCAGCACACTACAAATAAGCAGCCGCGAAGGTGCCGATCATCGAAGTGGCGATGGCGTGCACGCCGATCGCTGGCCAGGAGACGGCAAACTCGCGCCTCATTTTGTCAGGAAGCAGATACTCGCTTGATTTATCGGATGACAGAAATTGCAAAAGCATGGTAACTGTGGTTATACGCCCTCACCGCCGCCTTGTAATCTAACAGGTGACAGGATTAAAAACCAACTCGTAACGCCAACGGAACTGAAAATAATAGGAACAGTGAAAAAAATTTTCAAGGTAAGCTAGTAATATCCCTGTTTCATTCTATCAACTTTTTTTCTTTTCTTTTCTTTTCTTTTTTTTTTAAAAAAAAAGGGGGGGGGGGGGGGGGGGGGGGGGGGGAATTCTCCTCTATCTTGTATTAGAACAAGTGTTTGTGGGGTGCTATAATATTACATGAGACATCTGACACAATTAGAACTAGGTCACGCAAGATAGCAACCTCTTCTGGTTACTTCCATTGCCTGTCAAGACGCTGCTGGAGGACCGGCTCCTACATGAAGCCACCAACAGTACGATTTCCAAAGATGACCAAGCAGAGGCTGGTTACGAGTATGCGGTTATGGTCATCAATTCGGTGGGACTCTCGGCGCCGAGACTCGTTAAGGCTCTAGAAATTTTGGCCCAATCTGCTAAAATTGGTCATATTGAGGCCCGGTCTACATGTGGCAGGCTTCATGAAGTATTTGGCTACTCATCCCCGATTCCTCGCAAGGTGGAGATTGAATGGCTGCTAGCCGCTTCTGAGCAAGGGAGCTTAATAGCCCAGGAACGTCTTCAAGCATTGGACCCTAAACTATTCAACCAAGCCATACAGAACAGTCGATGTCGCTACGGGGTTGTTTGTCCCAAGTTGGTCAAGTTACTGAACGAACAGTACCAGTGTGCAATGGAATCAGGCGATCCATCTGAGATTCTGTTCGGCCATATACACTGCCTTGCAAGTACTGGAAATATCCAATTACTGCTCAGGCTTCCCAATCTACCAAGATCAGTCTACAATTGTGTAAATTGCATTGGAGAGACACCACTCCTGATAGCTTGTCGGGGTGGCCATGCAACAACGGCCGCACTCTTGCTTGAACGCGGCTCTGATCCAAGAATCCCTACAAAGGATGGAGTCACCGCGCTACACTTCTTAAGCGCCTTTGATAACAAGCATATACCAAAAATAGCTGCACTTCTCTTAAAACATGGTGCGGAGCTTGATAAGCTCTCAGGAAGCGCTCTGATATACAAAGAAATGGCTGACAGCCCATTTGGCGTTGCGGAAGGGACTCCGCTGCTCTGGGCTGTAGCCGCGAGAAATCCTTGTGCTACCCAGGTCTTGGTCGATAAAGGTGCCAACCCGTTCAAGAGAATACAAAAGTCATCGAATGTTCGTGAGCATGGATTCGAAGCATCTCCAATTGGATTCGGGGCGATGTTTCATCAGTATCAACTGCTAAAAATATTGCTATCCTATGCCAAAACTAACACTCAACGTCTGGATCTTCGAAGGCTTTTAAATACATCATTCAGTCGCTCGCATAACACATTCACCACTGCGCTTCCTATAGCCATTGATTGCAACCCAAGCTTTAGGTTTCGCGAATATCTGATTCATGGCAAGGACTTCGAGCAAATACCTGTCAAATGTGTCCAGCTGCTCATTGAATATGGGGCCGATCCTATGATCCTCTCGCACGGTATGCACGGCAAAGGCGATCATCCTATCACAATTGCGTGTATCTCGGGAAACATATCAATACTCGAATATTTGTGGGACTACAAAAACGGCTCCTTGAGACCCACGCCAATACTATGGTTGAGTTCCTTGCAGCAAGTCATATTTGGCCACCATCGCCTCATATTCGACTTCTTGATCGAGCATAGGGGAGACATTGCTCCTGATCCTGCTGTTGATAAGGCAGCTGTCGAGAAGTGTTTTCTGAATACTAATGATCAGCATTTCGTGATGAGATCTCTCAAGCTCATACTGCAGCCAACATCTGCAGATCTTTCGTCAGATCATACAGAGCTCTTTGAGGTTGCTGTCACAACCGGGCAGCTTGAAGCAGCAAAATTACTCTTTCAAGACGGAGGCGTCCATCTCACTGGAAGACTTGTCGATTCAACCATCCTTGGCAATCTCATTTCGGTCTCTTCGAACTATCCTAACATGGAGCAGAAAGTTGCATTCATTCTGTCTCTCATCCCAAATAGAGATGAATTGTTCTGGAATGTGTCGTATTTGGATGGCAGTGGCTTAACAGCTCTCCAGGCCATTGTCTTCTCTTCAACCAATGGAGGTCGGATGAATGCTGGAGTCTTCTGCAATATCCTCGACCACTTCAATGACCGACAATATTTGAATAGCCAAGTAAAGGGGGCGGCGCGCCAGAAGTATACAGAATTTACTGCTTTACATCTGGCAGCACAATGCGGCAATTCTGATGCTGTCACTATGTTACTGCACAACCCAATGGTCAACGCAAATCTTCTGAATTCTCATGGCGAAAGCCCCGCTGATATCTGCGTTGCCCGAGAACAGGAATTCGCTAGGCGGGGTAAGTTCCAACCGCATGGATCTGTTGCGAACAATGAGCGACAGGATAATTTACAAATCCTACGTGATCTGATGTCTGCTGGAGGACGCATCTCGAAGTTTTCTACTATCATCGGGACGCCCGCGCAAGACGATTACGATGTAGAGAGTGTGGTGAATAGACTCCAAGATATCTTTATATCAGGTATGTTCTGCCATGAGACCCATCATCTGAGGTACAAGGCCAAGAAAATTAACTAAGTTGGGCTTAGAAAAATATACTCCCAAAGGGGCTGATGAGTTTTATTATGAACTAATCAAAGCGTTAAGAAAAAGATAACATTATCTCAGCAGCAATAACAGATTATTTTGCCCGGTCCGGCTTCGGCATCTAGAGCCAGATTCATCTCAGCACTCCAATTGAGCGGACCATATTCTATCGTGAAGGCATTGTTGTCAAGGAATGAATCTGATTCAGCAAGGAGAGTGAATGTGGTATGTTTGCGATGTTTGTGATGTTCAGTAGAGGAGTATCTGCCTGTGAGAGAGGATTATTCTCTCGGACTTTCTTGTCTACCTAGTTCTAGTTCAAAAGGAGTAGATAGTTATTCTGGCGTCAACCCCCCCTTGTTCTCTTGTAATTCACACATTTTTAAGAAACCTATTTCAATTTACTGATAACCGTCGCTAAAACGGAGAGAAATCTCATGCGAAGTTAAAATCTTCTATCCTCTTTTGTAAATCAGGTGGTTGGAAAATATATGCATTATCCAATATGATCAAAAGGATCTTGCCCCAGTAACATCATACGGGCCATTTGAGTGAGCCACGGCATATCCACACTGGAAAGTCTCAGTAGATGTCTTCTTATTAGGCTGATCAACTTACGGAGACCCGATGTCTTCCAGATCGGTTCTTGGGGGTTTATTGTCAATACAATGTCGGCGAACAAACTCAAATTCGTTGTCGTTCCGGCAATTGGGTAGTTCAGATAAGCTGTCGTTGTCTGCGACCTCGTACAATGGCGTTCCTGCCTCGGTGTCATGCTCTTTAGCATTATCGATGACTATGTTTACAGCGGCTGCCACTGTTCCTCCCTTCTGGAAGTAATACCCATCAATCTGCGACCAAATGGGTGTTTCTCTGAGGGAATTAACCACGCTAGCTCTGTGAGGAACAACTTTTTCAGCTAGGCATTTGGCCACAGTGCCTACGAGCTCAGTGAATACATTTCGTAATATCTTGTTCCGCTGGAAATGCGGCTGGAGTCTGTCCGGAAGATGGACGAGAGTATCCTTGAAATCCAAGTACCAAGATTCTCCATCCTCCGTAGAGCCAAGATGAGTTAAGAGGTCGTAAAGAACATCGGCTTCGTCGCGTAGTTTCTTGATCATGCGTGGGCTCAAGAAGCCAGCCACACATTGTCCACAACTGCATCCGAATTTGGCCATGCCTCGTTGCTCGGCCGTTGGCGCTTCGAGTCCGATGAGCTTAAGGAGACACGCGATGGAACTATCATCAAATCCATCGAATTTATCAGCCACGCATTTTGTTCGTGAAGCACTATAAGGTTCGCTAATTCTTTCACACTCGAGTTGTGCCTTCAACGCTTCCAAGGGGGTATACCCTTCATAGTTCCTCATGCTCGCAAGCCTTACACCACTTGAAGAATCCATGATCCAGCTTAGGCATGCTGATTTTGATGCTTTCGCTGCGAGATGTAGAACTGTATCGCCATGTCCGTTTATCGCTTCGATATCAAAATTCTCAGCTGAGCTGTTTCGAGTATGAGATTGAAGGAATCCAAGGCAGTCTGTGTCTGTCAAAACCTTGATTGCGTAATGCAAAGGATGTCTTCGTTTCAGTATCGCAGCGGACGTGTGACGAGCCTCATCTCGGGTAGCGCCATTGCTTTTGAAGAGTGCTTCTAAGCCTTGTGATGCTGCGTCGCTTTTCGAGAGCCTATTCTGAGTAAATTTCGGGCTGGTACCGTCTTGATTCATCGAAAATCCGCACAATATCACCTCAGGTTCATCATCGCTATCACTATCAGATGAATCATCCAACACGGGATCTGAATCCTCGATACATAGTAACTGACGAGATGGGTGCTTCTCGTCTCGGGCCAAAGCGAACCATTCAGTGACACCCACCCGTCGGAACTGCATGGATCGAAAGAAAGAAGTTACGGCTGTAATCTTTGATTGATGAAGAGCCCGGTTTCGTTCCTCTGTCTGCCCCTGCTTCTCTTCCCTGTTCGTTCGGTCGTAGAAGGCTGCCGGACGCGCAAATGCAAATTTGGGGTTGTATCGTGAGGCCATGGCCTGCTCCAAGAGCTGTAAGACTAGTTTCCTTCCAACACCTTGCCTTCGCCACTCCTTGTCCACATTTACGTTCTCGATTAGGACGATATTGCCATGATCCACCTCTTCATTCCACCACCCCGTACCTTTTCTGATCGTGTGATCAATTATTTCCTTATTCAGCCTGCCGTAACGGTCGAATAGCGTGAATGCGAGGTCCATTGTCTCTTTATGTGGAGGTTCCATTGATCTGTGGAATGTTTGGCGGATGGCTTCCCGACGAATAATGAATCCAAAAGCTTCTCCCACCTCTCTTGGCGCTGTCGACAAATCTGGATGCACCGTGGCTCGAACCCGGATAGGTTTGAGCCATTTCCGAAAGGACCCATACTCAAGGTGATCTTTTGAAACACCCACAGTACTAGTGAGCTTCACAGGTGAGGACATTGATTTCCGTACTAGACAGTTATCTCTAGTGTAAGGTGATATCAATTAGCGTTATTTCCACCAACTTTTCCAGGGGGAGGATGGGACAATCGAGTCGCCATGTTTGCATGGAGAAATGAAATTCACATTTACCTTTAATAGAGGACCGGCCAAGGTCTGCTTGGACCGTCTAAACTATGTGATTGTTTTTCGTGTAGCTTCACCCGCTTCAGAGAGGTAGAGGGTCTTTGGCAGTGCTCCCAGTTTCAATTGCAAGAATAAGAAACAGCTGTGAAGTATATCGAACTATGCCGCTGGAAATTATTTCGTTACTTTTTGTTGTGATGCAAGAGAGAAGTATCACATTCGGGGAGGGATTTATGTATTGCAGTATTATAATGAGGGGAAGTCAGCCAACAATTTTAGACTTTAGGCAGCAAGGCCGAAGGATGGGGCTGATATTTCGTACCTGAGGCACAACAAGTCACCAGGCAGCCAGAGCTAAAATCACTAGTCACGTGCAAGTGTACAAGAGGGATCCAAAATGGACCCCGAAAACAATCCTTTGGACCTATTTCTAACTTTAGATAGCGACTGCAGTTATAGCTGAGTTGTCGAATCGTTACTAGCTACCTGATTGTGGTAAATCCCACGGTCATGTGCCGCCTGCCAACCCCCTGGAAACCCTATCAAGACTGGCTCGAGAAGGGTTACACATAATAACCTTTTGTGTATATATACAAAGCCTTACGTCTCTTTTCTCCTCTTTTCTTCTTTTTCTCTTTAACTTTAGATCCTCGTATACAGGAATTTTCCTACAAGATCAGGACAGTATGTCCCTTGTATCACAGCACCAGCGTAGCATGTGACTGAACTGTTCAGGTTTCAGGTCTTGGGGCCTTAGGCACCCATTATAGGTGCATATAGAGCAGCTGCCCTCTCTCTCTCTTCTCTAAGTAGGCAGCCAAAATCGAACCTCTTTCTTTGTCTCTACGTCTTTTGAGTAATCGAACTGTTACACCTTGTGACTTATCCTTGACTTCGCTCGTACGTGCCGTCACGTACATGACCGTGGGAATTCCCACGATCAGGTGACATAGTGACGATTCGTCATGCAAAATATAGTCCGACATGTATATAACAATTTATTACCTATAATAATAACTTATAGGAGAAAGAATAATACGTAGTATATTATTAGGCTCTAGTTAGTTAAAGACGCGACTTTTATCTTGCTTCGCATAGATCAGATGTTGCAATCCACGTGACCCCCCTGCAATATATATACTAAAACTAATAATATATTAACTATTGAAGTAAGAAAAGAACGAATTATATTGGATGTAAACTACTTGCAAAGTAAAATATAAAACGTAGCGATAAACTTTTTATCCAGCGCACTCTGTCACGTGGTACGCGCCACGTGACCTACTACAATACTTTAAAAAGTGCAGAATGCAATAGTTTCTAGTCTATAAAGAATGCTCTGGATTTCGATATTGTTAACAAAAAGGAGTTTGGTACTTGGCATAATATTTTAGCTTGCTCTAAGTTTAGCCAGGCCGAATTTATATACTTTGAACTAAGGAAGTTCGAATGGCACTAATGTAGTTTGGATTGCTTTGGCTTAAAGCATAAATAAATCATATATGCCATTTGGTAGTATGTTCAGATTTCGTACTTTAGATGCAAATACTTAGAAGTACAGTTTTTCAAATAGATATATTCGCACTTGTAATACTTTAAATACTAGAAATAGTTTCGGGCGGCGATATATAGGGAGCGCTAGAGTAAGCAGGAACCAAATTGGGTCCCAAGACGCTGACCCAAAGATTTTTCCTTGAGAAATTGCTTAGGTATCGTTTGAGATTACCAAGAAAATAGTTAGGCGTGGTAGAGTTGTGGTAAACAGTCACACAGCAGGACGTTATCACTGAGTAATTTCTCTTTAATGCTAGGAGGTTGCTTGGCATAATGATGCGGCATTATTAATGGTACATTGTTGGGGCATGAAAGTACCCGCAAATGTCTATCCCGACTAAGTGATTCATCTCTTATGTAAAACATACTCAAACTTGAATGAACCTCTAAAACAAGCAAACCTCTGAAACCAGCAAACTACAACAGCAACCGTCTCTCAATGAACATCCTGGACCTCGACAAAGTCTCCACAATTAAGCTTCACTCCAAGAACCAAACTAAGAAAGCCATTCAGCAATCGAGTTCGAGATATAAATCCTCGCCATAACCAAGGCCTCCGAATCCGTCCTTGCAGGCGGCTGCAGCGTCTCCGCATGCGCCGACTGCCCAATATACATAATCCGACTCCTCTGCCGACTCGACCCGGGATTCCACGACAACGGCCCGTACGCCGCAATCGGATCCAGCAAATGTTCCGTCATCAGCAGCCGCTCCGTATTCTCGAGCGTATACTGATCCAGGCCCAGCTTTCTCTGCAAAGCTGCGCCGCCGTCGATGGAGCTCATGTTGAATGCCGCTTGGCAGTACGGATCCATGAGGTGCGCCTGCGTGTAATCTGGCAGGATGGGGCCCCAGATGGTTTCGGCGGTGGAGAAGGGGTTCGGGTAGGGAATTTGCGTGCAGCGGAGCCAGGTGAAGGCGCGGCCTTCGGTGCCGCTTGTGCTGTAGGAAGGGTTCCAGTCCAGACATGGGGCTTTGTTGACTGTGTTGCTGATGGAGATGGCGGAGCTGATAGCGGACAGAGAAATGTTGGCGGCGAGGGTGGCGTTCAGGGTCTGCTGGAAGGGATACTTGGTCGATGCGTAGTTTCCTTGGACGATGCTGGCGTATGTTTTGAGGATTGCGGTGAGGAGGTCGGAAGACTGAGATGTGGAGTTGATTGGGGTGCAGAGATTCAGTGATTTTTGTAATTCTGCTAAATTTCCTGGTAGAGAGTCAGCTTTGAGAGTTTTCCGGTTGTTGAAGAGGACGTACCATTCTGTAGCTGTGCTCTTACGAACATGGGGACAAAAGTCCGTGCGTTCAGGGCATCAGAATCATGAATTTTATTAATTAATTAGCTGTAGACCAGCCACATCGCTTAATTAAGTCGTGTACCCAGAAGTCCTGCTGCTCAATAAGCCCATTGATCCATTCCTGAGGAATTTTGTCCCATTCTTCTAATACTGCTACAACCATTTGAACCTCAGTTGTTGGCTGCCTTAGGCGCCTATGGAGAGCTTGTTTTATTCTCCTCCAGCACTTCTCAATAGGATTCATATCAGGGCTAACTGCAGGATGGGGGAATAGAGTAATACCCATAGAAGTACGCCAAGTAGCACAAATATTGCTAGTAGTCTTGTGGCCGTGAGCAGAGTTGCCGTCTTCCATGAACTGAGGGGTCTTCCCAGGCCCCAAAACAGCCGCAAAAGCAGCTAAAAAATCCTGAATATAAGGCTTGAGTACTTGAGCAAGGTAATCAGTTTGTGTAAATGCCCCACTCTTCCCAGTTCCATGAATGTTGATCAATGGACTTTTGTATCCGTAGCCTACAGCACCAAAGAAGTGTACAGGAATAGTGCCACCTCTATGCATTTGGAATTGAATGCAGTCAGGATGACAGCGTTCCTTCTTATTCCTAATACACCTCTGCTTGCATTTCTTCCCTCCAACTTGAAATGTGACCTCATCTGAGTATAGTATCTGACTCTATTCCCAAATAGTCCAAAACATGTGTGCTATCCCCCACAGCCACCGCGCATTGGCTTGGGTCTTAGTGAGGTAGGGCTTTTGGCAGCAGATACAAGAGTAGTATCCAGCTTCTTTGCAGCGGCGTTTGAGGGTCTTGACAGAGCAAGAGAGTTGCAATTCATCGTGTATTTGGATCCAATTCAGCACTCTAGTTGCATGGTCGGTGCAAATATACTCAATAATATCTCTAACCTCCTGTTCATTGAGGGATTCTCTGGGTCTCCCTGTGCGTGTAGGGCGCGCTCTTTCAGGCACATCGTATAGTAGGATCTTCCTAACTGTGCTGTCTCCTAGGTGGTAGTAGCCCTGGAGCTGTTGCAGGCCTATTTTAGCGAATTTGAAGAGCCGGCGTATGCCCTCTTTGTGCTTGGTTCTGATCTCTGCACCTGGGAGACGTGGAGACATAGGTGGAGTGGTAAAAGGATCCATAATGGTGGAGTTGTTGATAGTTTAGTCCTAATGTGAAGAGTTTTAATTTCGAGGTTCTACAGCCTGAACGCACGGACTTTTGTCCCCATGTTCGTTAGCTCCATCATGCCCTGCTGGATTGTCGTTGCAGCCTCTGCCGAGTAATCATTGAAAACCATGTTCTGGAACAAATTAGCGTTGCCAACAGATTCAAGTTGGAGTACGTACCCAATCGCCAATTCCAAAGGCCAAGGGGTCATTGGGATCTGAGATGAGACCTCGTATCGGTGAGGATTCTGCTATCGAAGCATAAATGTAGTCTGGATAGTGGACTTGGAAAAGTGTTGCGAGAGTTCCCCCATAAGATCCTGAGAGCTTGTTAGAATTAAATGATGCAAATGAATCTCAATTTCCCTACCAGAATACATAATTACTTTAGAATCTTTTGCAGTCGGATAGGCCACCGTTTTGATCCAGGCCAACAGAGAAACGGCATCTCGAAGAGCATTTTCCAGGGTCAACGGCGCAAGTAAAGATGAATCCCAATTGGCATTCTCAGAGTAGTTCAGTCCATAAGGACAACTCATTCCGAAATATCGATGCTCGATGCCAACCATGAGTCCATTGAATTTCTGAGCCCATTTAAGTCCAATCGAGTACTCGGGACAAGTGAAAACAGAGTTTTCGGTTCCTTGTAAGAAGAATATGGGTCCGCCTGGTTTGTAAAAAGTGTCGTTGAGGTTGTACTGCTGGAGAAAAGTAGCGTTGGGGGCATTGTAATCGCCGTTGAAGGTAGCATGATCGATGGGCTGAGGGAAAAACTTTGTTCCTCCTGGACAGAATCCCGGGTTCCCAGTCGACTTGTTCGCAGCTTGTTGAACTGCGATGCTTGGAGGAAGTGTTGGTGGTGTGGCGTTGAAATACTGAGCTTGTCCCAGAGATGCGAAGACCAAAAGGCGGAGCAATGTCTTCCAGATATTAGCGTTTACTTTGGTCATGCTGATCTGTCAAAGGAATCTTACCAGATCTCTCTCAATTGCCGTCTGCGAGACCCTTTATAAGAATCAATTGACATGGGATTCGAAATCAAAAGATGTAAAAACATCGCGATCTAACAAGTCTCATTGCTCTTGGATGGCAACTGTGCGATGAGCTGTAAAAGGATCAGCCTCAGCCTCGGATTATCGCGAGATTGTGGGGTTCAGATGGACGGTTGAGAACAAGGGGGTACGGAGTCTGACATAAGAAGCTTTGATATGATAAGTTGCGGCTTACCACATCTAGCCATATTGCGACAACTTGGAACTTGGGAACTGACTAACCAATGCAATCCCGGGAAGAGTGGGTAATGCGGGGAATTTCTGCTGGGATATTGATGCTTACTGACGTCCGAGGCCGATAGGAAAAATACTATTTTCGTTCTCATCCCGTTGATCATTATTCCAGCTCCATGGGAAGCTTAAAAGTCCTTGCGCATCATGGAATAAGAAAGAGCTTACATGCATGGCTGCGATGTAACACGAGAAGACTCCAATTGGGAGTATTGATTGCAAGCATCGAGCATCGCCTCTCCATGTACCTGCTTCTGAAGCGTCTCGTAGGTCGAGTCGGTAGAACCTGGCACATTTGAAGAACTAAAGACGTAGATCTGGGATATTTTGAATTTCGAGTTGTAGTGGAGATCTCGGCAAGCAACAAGTGGTTGGCTGCTGTAAGTCTCCATCTCGGCATGTCCGCCGAGGGCAAGTTACATAGCGTGGGAGCTGGTCTATTCAGCTGAGGCCCAGAACCAGGGGATCATGCAAGGGCCAACGTCTTCCACGAAACGCCGTTTATATATAACACGGTCGCACTTTATTTCTAGAAAAGGCAATCCTCACAAGTGACATCCTAACCTAATTTAATACGCCGCGTGCTGGTATTCTTGTTTGAAGTTGCTCGCTCATTCCATCTCGATCTTCAAATTGGGTAGAATATGACACAGATAGGGAAGTGCGATGCTTGCAGGAAGCACAAAAAGAAGGTTGGTACTATCTATCCCCCCAAAATTGTCACCGAGATATTGATCTTTCCGACCGACTCAGTGTGACGAAGTTAGGCCACGTTGTGGCGCCTGCTATAAGCAAAGTCGGCAATGCAAGTATTCGTACGGAACAGTGGCACGATTTGTCAAATGCGGTCCGACAGAGGCTGAAATGGCAATGCAGCCATACATTTCGGTATCCAATGATGCCGTGGTCTTGGGTACATTCGTCGAGCGCTCCGTTCGGCTAATAAAGGGGCGGACGCGGTCGACACAGTCGGGAGGGGTTTTTCATACGTTGGTCCCCACGAAAAGCCGTAGTCATGGTAGTACCGTACCCACCATGCTATCAAGCACCCCAGAGGCTGCATTGCTAGATAGATGGCTTTGCTTCGCCGGGCCGAAAGGGCCCGATAATGCAGCTATACATAGTATTGGTGAATGGGTCAGCCTAACACCGCACCTGATCGCGAAAAGTGTTCCAGTCCGCTGGGCCGCTACTTGTCTCCTCGACAGTATTCAGGCCTTCGTTAAGAGGGGCGATCAGAACCATGCAACTGCGGTCGAATCAAATGCCAAAGCCTTACAATGCATCCGGAATGGTCTAGGAAGTAGCAAGTCTCGGCCGTGCAAGAGCGACGTGATGCTTGCTATCAAACTGCTTTTCGTTGCTGAGGTATGTCATGTTGAGTGACTCTATTCTCCTTTATATGCAACTAATCGTACATTAGATATTCATAGACTCTGATGCAGGAAACTATTATCGCCATATGAAGGGTCTCAATGATATTCTGTGCGATGCATTTCGGCAGCAATCTGCTTATGACGAGGCCTGTCAGCAGATATTCTATGGAAACATATTAGGCGAGGTGAGCTTGCATTTGATTTCTATCCACCTTGCATGCAGCTAGCATCGTCATACTTACCTAACTTGCGTTGTAATAGTGCATCGCTGCGATGAGATCCGGTCACGACTCGAAATTTTACGGCTCCTCGTGGTTCGATATGTCTCCACCCAAGACTCTTGTCCCAGGCTGTCCTAACTTCGAGTCCGCTATGAAACTTGTTATGCAGCTGCAAATCGAAATGACTCATTTCATAAGGATAGTAAGGGAGACAGGAGAACGACCAAACGATAACACTGTACGGCAAGAGGCCATAGAGCTTGCTACGAAACTCTACCAACTTAACCTCGAATCATTGATCAACGAGCTGATAGCTACTTCGATGCTGGAGATCATCTCATCGTCAATGACTGAAGTAAAGCTACTCTTTGCTACGTCTTACACATTCTCTTCGACTCGCATCTTCAATCTCGTTCTGAACTACTGGATCTGCCGAGTCCTGATATGTGGAGGCATCGAGATATTGTACTCGTTCCTTCACTTCGACGAACAACGACTAAATCTCGCAACGGTACAACAGCATGATGTTCGAACGGCAGAAGAAATTGTCATGTGTTTCGAGTACGCTTATACGTATGAGTCGCAATTGTGTATCATGGCAATGCGGTTCATTATGCCGCTACAGACAGCATTTGGTGCCTGGCATCGACTGGAGAAAAGGGCCTTGGGGTATGAATATAAGGAGGAAGATGCGCAGAGGGCAATGGAGATGAAAAAGTGGTGCATATCTATGTGCAACAAGATGGGAGCTCTCTTTGGTCAAGGAAGGGCTATGTGCGCATTTGAGGAGATGAAAACCGAAACCCTTGCTGGTGGGCCTCTGTTCTTTGGTGGAATTCTCCGTCCAGAGGATTGAGAAGACGTTTGTGGTTAGACTTACGCTGGTGATCAAGCTTGCGCTGACTGCGAGCTATGCTAGCTGGGGTACTCTTCAGACCGTAACTGGAGTTGTTGGATTCTACAAGCATGAATATAGAATCGTTAGATAATCTCGATTATCCTTTTGTCCCAAACACCGCAATAAGTCTCATCTAGACTGCTTCGAAGTCTCCGCGCTGGCGTCATAAAAGTGGAGTATTTAGATCATCAACTCATGCCGCCAGTTTTCAAAGCCCAAAAAGGCCCTTTGTTCTGCAACAAGGCCTCTGGACTTCCGAACTCTACCAACTGTCCTGCATCTAGGACTGCAACTATGTCGCCATCCAGGATTGCCTCAATTCGATGAGCCACGGTAATCACTGTTCTTCCTTGAAACTCTTCCTCTACAACTTTCCTGATTTTCTTCTCAGTCTCCATGTCCACACTACTAGTCGCTTCGTCTAAGATGAGAATACTGGTCTTGCTCAACATCGCCCTAGCAAGGCAGAAGAGCTGTTGTTGACCTTGAGACAATGGTTGAGCGGTTGCAACTGCGTCAAGTCCGCCACGAGCTTCGATCACAGACCAGAGGTCAACTTTTTCGAGGGTAGCGATGAGTTGAGTATCAGGAATCAAGAGGGAATGATCGATGTTGGCTCGGATACTTGAGTTCATAATGAACGGATCTTGCGGAATAGCTGTCAGCCGAGTTCGGATCAAATTTCGAGGGACGAATCTAGTGTCGTAGCCGTCAATGATGATAGTTCCAGAATCGAGATCTAAAAAACGAAGTAATGTAGAAAGGAGGGAGCTTTTTCCACTGCCCGTCCTGCCACAAATGCCAACTTTCTGCCCAGGTAGAATCTTCATCGAAACATCACGCAGGGCTAGTATGCTGGAGCTACAGTTCATTAGCTTCAAAGACTTATGAATGTTTCACGCGAAGTTCTTACCCGTAAGATGCGCAAACATTTCTGAACTCAATTGCTCCACTTTCTGGCCATGACTCGGGAGGAATCACATTTTCTTCAGGTTTGTCCTCGGACACAACCTCAATTTCGAAATTCTTCAGCCTCGAGATTGCGCCTAAAGAAGTTTCGACTTGAGTCCAGTTTTCTACTAATCTCAACAATAATTGATTGAAATTCATCACCGCATTCAACGCAATGCCAACCTGTCCTCCGGTGGTCGTACTTCGAAGTTTGACAGCGAGGGTGATCACCAAGACCGCCAGACCGGCGACAAGAAGATCCAAGACGAGATTCAACCAACGCTGAATGCAGAACATGAGATAGTATGGACGTTGCGATACGTCTAAGCGTTCGGTGTTGGTGGCAACCAATCTATGTTCCCAACCAAAAGCCCGGATAGTTGCTAGGCCTTCTAGCGTCTCCATGAATTGAGAATACAATGGGGCTCTGGACTCCAGCCCTAACAACCGTACTTGCCTAGAAGTTGAAAGATATACCCTCTGAAGAATGTAGACAGCAATGATGCACACTGGGATCGTGGTCGTCATGTATGCCTGGGCTGAGAACAGAAGAAATCCTTGCGCAATTAACCTAAACACGCGGATCCCAATGTTCATTGCAGAGCCAGGAAGGATCCTGTCGATGAGGTTCATGTCTTGACTGAAGCGGGACAAGGTGACACCTGTATCGACAGTTGCGAAGAACGAGATTGGAGCTCGCATGACAACCCCTAGGAGAGTGTGGTGTAGTTTCTCGCTGACTTGAGGGCCGATACGGAGCAACACCCAAGCTATTGTAATTGATTCGAACAAGAGCGTCACGATTGAGAGGGTGGCATAAACGCTTGCATAACGTCCCATGTGGGTTCCATCCTCAGCCCACCATTTCAGCCAAAATTGAGAAAAAGACTTGAACCCCGAGTAGCAAGCAGCTGATAGAAGGAAGCTAACGATGTTCCATGGATTGGTGTTTTTGAACCCTGGTTAACGATGGAATTAGCAACCTCCAACATATTTGTTCCAGGAGAAAGATTAAGCAATGTTTCGAGGCAATAGTGGGAAATGAGGCGATGCCCAATACTTACAATACGCATACACCGCCATGTCACCTGTCTTTCTGGTTTGATCGACAAAAACTGGTGGGGTAGAACTCTGCAGAGTTTTGGTGATGGCATCGGTCTGAGGTGGACTGGATTGCTCAGAAGTTTTGGCCGATTCTAGCAGAAGACTGCCGATATACCCTTCTTCGGATCTTAACGCATCGTATGTTCCACGTTCTGCAACTCTGCCACCGCTACCAAGCACTACAATCTGATCTGCAAGATGAAAGTGATGAGTCGAATGAGTGGCCAAGACGATAGTCGTGCCAAGCTTCCTGAACAGCCCAGTCGGAGTCAAAAGCCTGCTCACAACCTGAGCTTCTGTATTGGAGTCCAAAGCACTTAGCACATCATCGAGCAGCACGATCTCGAATCGTTGATAGACTGCCCTGGCCAATGCTACACGGTGCTTCTGCCCGCCTGACAAAGTCACTCCTCGAGACCCGATGAGAGTATCAGCTCCGTCAGGTAACAGAGACATGTCCTCATCTAGCGCACAGGCATGGGCAACAGTGCGAAACCAGTGTTCATCAATCTCCAAGGCGTTGGAGAAACCGGTAATATTCTGTCGAATGCTCCCGTTTTGCATCCATGGGGTTTGCGCGCAGTAGGCAATATGTCCGGTAGAAATTGTGATGTTGCCCGTGAAAGGAAGTTCTCCAAGGATTGCCTTTAGCAAAGTTGTCTTGCCAGATCCGACGGGCCCTGCTATCATGGTAACAGTTGAACTTTCGACTTCTATATTGATATCTACGAGCGCAGCCTGAGCCTCCGGTGACGGTTTGACAGTAAATTGATCAATGGAGAGGGACGGTTCAATGTCAATGAGCGGTTCCTGTGAAGGCGAACTAGAATCGTCTCTGTATATAGCTTTGTTCGGACCTTGGCTCTTTTCCACTACGAAACGTTCATCGTCTCGTGAGGGGTCGAGAAGGAAGGTTTGAATCCGGTCGAGGCAGGCTAATGCGGCTGCGAGACTAGATTGTAAGTTAGCATTTTTTTGTTTCACGGGACAAGATATCTCACCCTGGAACAATCGTGATAAGTCTGGCAGCTGGCAAAGAGGCCTGGATAAGATTCTTAGCGGATACTTGATCTCTTGATATATTGATCATGATAGCCACATACTAGTGAGATGATGGCCATGGAAGTAAATGCCAAGTTCGTGTCCAGAGGATCAGACCCTCTTATTGTTGCCACTATAGCATAAACAATGAAAGTCGCCGCGGGAGTGATTATAGGAACACCGTTTCCTATGAAGTGGGTCAACTATTTCCCGCCACCAGCTAACTGCTACTTACCGATTAGATTCAATGCCACGAACACCCATCGAAACCTCTTTTGGAGCTGGATCTCCAGTAAACGTTGGGACTGGAGGCTATCTTGAACTGTATCAGAGAGCCCCATCATCTTTAGGACTTTAATTGTTCCTAACATCGAAGAAGTCATTGCAACTCTCTTCTGTGTTGCTGCCATGTAAACCTTTTGCCGAGCGCGAATCTCTGTCGCTACGGGGCCAGTGATTTTGTATGAAATCAGGACAATGACGAATGGTACAAGGGACGCCCAGCCAAGTTTCACTGTTAGCAGAGAGAACCCAATGACGACTTCCACAACCTGTCCCCATATTTCGTGGACATTGGTGATCGCATCAGCAACGGTGTCAACATCGGTACTCATCAACGTCACTGGTGCAGAGTCAACTGTCTTTCCATCTTGCAATAATAAACTATGATTGTAGATCAAGCTGACCATGCCACCTCTCAACATTGTTGACACACGGTTGAGAAGATACTTATATGAGGCGGTACAAAGCTGTCTCAATGTTAGCTGCCATATAAACACAGCCGAAGGTACTACTTACAGCGATGCCAGTATAAATCAATATCGCTGCAATGATCAGAACTTGTCCCGTGTTTTGATCGGAGATTTCGGTCGCCGGCTCGTTAACATATCGTATTGCACTGCTGATGAGAGAAGGTGAGGAGAACTTGAATCCAATGAGACATAGATGTGGAATGATAACTGCTGATAGCGGCCACCGAAGGCATCTCAGTATAGTAAGCAGGAGAGTCCATTTATTGTCAGGTTGAGCTATCGACAGTTAGATCCTCATCATTAGAAACAAAGCTGTTCACCTACGTCTAGTATCCCATGATTGCTGCATCGCATCGCGCACGTGCGCTGTTCCGAGCGCATCATTGAGATTAGGCAGGTCTTCAATTACCAAAATGTTTTGGTAGCCCTGCATGAGGACAGGATTGACCCACCAAAATAACAATTGATTGAATATTCCTGCTGTGGATTCCGGAGAGAGTTGATTGAATGGCGGTCGCAAAAACGAAGCTTTGCTGGTTGATTCCAAAATCAAGAGCAGAATCTTCATTCCCAGAGCAGCAGCATACAGAGCCGTTGCAGTTGTAATTATGTCTTTACTTGTGAATACCCTTATATGTGCTGCTTCGCAGAATATTGAAACAAGTAAGTATATAATGAGAAGGGCCGAGGGACGAATGGACCTCTTGTGCTCTTGATGCGAGAGATAGCATATTGCAAGAATTTCAGCAACAGCAAGCGACGCAGAGATGAGCCATGTAGGAGTAGCATGGTGAATAGATATCAGGATGAGAATAGCGATTTTAAGTCCCAAAAGGATAGTAGTCGTCACCTGTCAATAAATTTAGCGTGGAATATCAGGCTCTATCTTTTCTTGGTATTTACCAACTTGAGAGCGCCTAACGAATTGCGCTTGACTTTGATGCTAGATCCGTGAAGATAGTAAGCTCGAACAAGAGCTAAGAGTAGGAAGACAGCAGAAGCTGCGGCTGTGAAGTGGACTTGGTTGAACGACCATTTGAGGTTGGAAATATGGTCGCACGATAAGATGACCGAAGAGTCGAGAGACTGAATTGCACTGAAACAAGTGTAGCCCAGTTCGGTCATGGGATGCTGTCCATTGGCCATTTTGTGAAAGTGCCAAGACATCAAACGGATTCTTAATTGGATATACTCCACTTGGTTTGAGGATTCAAAATTATAAAAGAAGTACGGTGAACAGGTTTTCAAAGAGTGCCAGCTGGTGCCTGATGCAATGCGCGACAGCGGTAATGCGGCAAAGCAGCCTGCCAATGAAACGCACGGATTCGGCTTCCGAGTCTGTCTTCTGCATGGTGATCCGACATCGTTGAAACATTTGTTGGTGTCAGCGTGTTATATCAATCAACTTGAATACCGAAGTCTCCCTATTCCTTAAAAATCAAATTGCCCTTCTGAAATCAATACTTAGCTTCTACGATTCACCTCGGGATGAGAAGCTTACTAGGTGTCGTTGCTACTTACCTAGGTGCATGGTCCTCAAAGACATGGAATAAGTACTTTCGTTCCATGTTTTGATTGTCGAAATATTCATTAGTATTTTCCTGCTCACTCGTCTTTGGTTTTGTGCCAGTCCTTGGATAATTCTTCATGTGCGATGCGGCATAGCATGCCAGTTGCATGCCCATGTAAGACATTTGTTCTCCTTGTTCCTTGCTCTACCTGGATAAAAGCTCACATGGAGCTCTCTCCAAAAGTCGAAGAAGACACATCGAAACAGAATCCGGAAACAATTTCGGAGATTACACGTGGTAACTGTGGCTTTTGAAAACCCCAAGATGTTGGAGGTGCTGCAAGGGGCTTGTTGGTGGCGTCTATCACGTGTAGACCTCGCCTTCACGACGTCCAAAATTTCATCTCCTCCATGTTGTAGTACCCATTTCGAACAGGCTTACGATGCCGACTTTCATGTACATCGCGCCTCCTTAAAACACGTCTGTTGCGTTTCTATGATATTGCCCCGAGTAGAGCGTGCGCCCCATACGCAGGCTCCCGTCCGGTTGGAGTTGTCACAATGTTGCTACCCGTTGGAAAACGAAGGGGTTTATGTGCAACTCCAGTATTCGCTTATCTCCAAGTCATGTTGCCAGTACAACTATATAAACACAACAAGACACACCACTCGAACAAGAGGCGATATTCTCGACGACATGGCTCGAGGGGCTTACTGCTGTCAGTTCAATATCACGGCTCTGCTGATTCATTCCTGCTATATCGAAGTCGCAGGATTTTCAGCACGACTGCTCATGGATGTGCACTGCCACTGCGACAGCCTCCGAAGAAGTCAATTGCCGAGACTACCATCATAGTCATACTCAACTTTTTTTTTCGCTGGTTCCGTTTTAGTGTTTGGACGTGAGCAGCTGCCGCTTTAACCTGAGCCGAGGGTGAGCATTCCTGTGCATTCCTGAGCACGGCCTGAGCTCGGCCTGAGCAACCTGAGCACACGGCAGAGTCAGCCTGAGCATGCACTGAGAGGCAATTTTAGCTCCCAACGGGGCTCGTTCTGGCTCCCTTGATACTCTGTTACACTTTCCTCGTCTTGTCTCCAAGCGCAGATCCCATTTTGGCTCCGGCCAAGATTCCATTTTTGGATCCACATTCGCTTACATTCACGTGATAAGTGGCTCAGCCTCATCATTCCATAACGCCTCCTTAACGTCCACGGGGGGATTCATGTGATATTTGGTATGAATTTCGGTTGCACTCGTTTACTTCTCTTTGCTTCATGTTACACTCTTCCCGCATGTTTTCTTTCTCCTAATTTTATTCTGCCTGTAAAACGCAGGCGGCCAAGGTGCTCTGACGGCGGGTTTGGTTCACGCAGATTTGACATTACATTGGGAAGGGGGGTTGTACTAGTTCCATCTCAGCGGATGGCTGGGATATAGTTATGAGATTCATGCTGCTACGAGATTGCGTCACGAAGGGCTTAAGGCAGAAGATTGGTCATACATACTATGTAAGGGACAATCGTATCGACTGGATTGGCGAAGGGGAGATAGCCGGTGGCAAGTCTGCTGATGGTGACATTATGCAGCGATGGTACCGTGTCAGGGACAAGTCGCGCCAATACCTAGTGGTACTGAGAGATTCATGTGAATCCTAGCAAGCCAGGATCGTATCGACCGGCGCTTCACGAACAAAGGGGCCACAGGATCAGCTGGTAGACGTCAAACAGAGGTGGATATTCATGCTGCATTAATGCCACGTCCAAGAATGGCAAGGCAGAATCATCAGCGGCACAGTTCACTGATAAAGGGGTGCAGGATCAGCTGGGTTGGGGTCAAACAGGAGTGAAAATTCATGCAACGGCAATGCCGCGTCCAGAAGGAGTCACACCAAGGGCCAGGCATTGAGGGATTCATGTAAATCTTAGCAAACCAGGATCGCAATTTCACGAACAAAGGGCGGAGGATCAGCTGGTGGACGTCAAAAAGTGGAGATTTCATACCATATCAATGCTGCGTCCAAAGAGTCACACCAAGGGCCAGCATCAAAAGACGAGATATCAGTGAGGAGGAGCAAGGAAAAGGACATTCCCGGTAATATGGGAATATAGTCTTCTTAATGCCAGTCCTTACAAGCCACTTACGCCTCTGTACAGTCACCGAATTCTCATCTCGAGCTGTTCCACAGCCATTTCTCGATCCATCCATCATTCAATATCGAATTCAAGCCGAGAAGCAATGGAAGGTAGATTAAGAGAGGAAGAGCAAACAAGAAGGAGAAGCTTCATCTCCTCAGGCTTCAACTAGTGCTTGAGGATGAGAAATCCCTCTGTATCAACAAGTAGAGTTTTAGTCACGTGATGAAGCGTTCGGCCTCAGCGCTGGAATTCTGCTCTTGAAGATCTTCAAACTTAATCTTAGCCACAATTCAGTCAAACTGACGACCCATCGCCGTTCTTATGTTCATGATCAGGTGGCTTGCTGCGGGGTTGGGTCATCGTGTGGGGGGCCTCGCCGCTTGTCGTTGTGGGTTAGCCGCGATATCTCCCAAAAAGGGGCGCTAACGAAAGCCTCAAAGCATCATAGTTGCGACTGTGCCGGCATATAATTAAGCTTTAATATACAGGTAGACTGTGGGGTACATTTTGATTTGACAGGTTCGAGGATTGAAGGCATTGACTGAACTACCGATAAATCGTATAGACAGGCAGATGAGGCTACAGTGGATTCGAAAACACGAGGGAGAGGGCGAGTATCAAAAAACATTGACTGAGCACGAAGAAAGTTCGACGTGACTCTGCAGAGGCCTGAGGATCTTAATAACTGAACAAGAATTAGAACTACGAAAGTTTTGGAGGCTTTAATGCCTGTTGTTCTTCCAGTCACCGAAACTCTGCCGCACCCAATTTTCATGTGGGGTTCAAACGGCTAGCGGGCAAAAATTGCTCTTTCACAGCTAAAAATTAGCTCATTTGAGATTAAGGCACTGTGGAAAATCTCTATTGGAGTCTTGTCCGGAGCCTGGACCAGGATGCTAGGGTTTCTCTGCGCCGCAGGAGTCGGACTCCGGGGAAGGAGTTTGCCTCTTTGAACCCCACCTTGCCATACAAAAAAAGTCGAAGATAAATAATGCTTAAGCAGAAGAAAAAAAAACTTCATTACAAACGCTTGTTAATTAGTGTCGATCATGGAATCTTTTGAGTACAATGCAGCACCCGCTCGTGTCATCTTTGGCAGCGGCACCCTGTCGAAGCTTGCTGACGAGGTGGAGCGGCAAAAGCTGAGCGCACCTCTCCTCCTCTCTACACCACAACAAGTAGATCAGGTGACTGATCTGAAAGATCGCCTCAATGGCAAAATTGCCGGCATCTTCACGGAAGCTACAATGCACACTCCACTGGAAATTACCGAGAAAGCACTGGACTATGCAAAGTCCACCAACGCCGATTCAGTCATTTCGATCGGTGGAGGCAGCACAATTGGTCTGGGAAAGGCGATATCAGTCCGAACTGGCCTGCCGCACATTTGCATCCCGACTACATACGCGGGCTCTGAAATGACTCCAATTCTAGGAGAGACTCAGAATGGAAGAAAGACCACCAGGAACGATCCGAAAATCCTACCCGGGACTGTTATCTATGATGTCGATCTCACAATGACGCTTCCAGCCAGTATGAGTGCCAGTAGTGGCGTCAATGCAATCGCACATTCAGGTACATCTCTCTGTTCAAAATGGTGCTATCCTCCATACTTACACAGGTCGCTTTAGTCGAAGCTCTATACGCCCGGAATGGCAACCCAATCATTTCTCTCCTGGCGCTTGAGGGCGTTAAAGCGTTGGCAAGCTCGCTGCCGACGATCATCGAGTCTCCATTGGATAAAGAAGCCCGCCAACTTGCCCTCTACGGCGCCTGGCTGTGCGGCACGTGCCTCGGAGCAGTCGGAATGTCTCTTCATCACAAGCTGTGCCATACGCTTGGTGGGTCCTTTAACATGCCGCATGCGGAGACGCATACAATCATCCTGCCGCACGCTATCGCCTATAATGCACCTGCCATACCAGAAGTTATGAAGCGACTTGCAGAGACTCTGCCAGGCAGCGACGGCGATGCGATAAAAGGGCTCAACGTACTTTTGAAGCGTCTGAAAGTCAAGAGGGGATTGAGGGAATTTGGATTGAAGGAGGAAGATGTGGACGAGGCGGCGACAATTGCAGTGTCAAATCCTTACTGGAACCCACGCGCCATCGAGAGGGACCCTATTCGTGAACTGCTAAGAAGGGCTTGGGCGGGAGAGGATGCGAAGGCTGATTTATAGTATCATATAGTATCCCGTTAATTTAAAACATTCCAAGGACGCTTGATGTTGGAAATGTGTTAGTGATAGCGCCAGCATTGTTACTGGTGACAAGTTTGACTGCATATTCACATTCGGCCACGCTAGCTATAGCCTCTCCTAGGTTCATCCTTTGAGTTCAAATAAAAATACATAAAGGAGAACATATCTAGGAAGGTGGAGTGGTCGTTGTTTTCGTTATCAGATAATTTATATGCGGATCATGGGATCACAAATTGAGTTATAGCAGTAAGCATCCATGCTTCGTGTGTAATTCGATAATCTATTGACCAGCTAGAAACATATCAAATGCAGCGGATATGACATCCAGCCCTGGCTTTGGGGCAAAGTCAAACAATTTCATATTTCTCTTCGTCTTCGCTTTATTCTCAACTACACTTTCAAGGAGTACAGCCTTACCGCTATCTGCAGAAGGTTTATAAACCCTCGTCACAGACGTACCTTTCTCATACGGAGTCCAAGGTGCCTCGCCGCTGACAAACTTGATTATATCAGTGGCAAAGTTCCTAGTAGACTGAGCTTGGGCTCCATCTAATAGATTATTCTAGTTCTAGAAAAGAAATGCTATATTAAAACTTGCTAGTCGCGAAGACCGTTGTTTCTTGTATAACCTGCGTTTCTCAATTCTTCTGACGTGAGGAAGCCGAAGACGCCAACGCGGTAGCTGAATAAGAATCAGCCTATGTATGATAGTGACGGGAGCTTAGCCGTACTTGATGTTTATTGCAATTATCGGCTTGTTCTGTTCCACGGCCATTTCAACAAGCTTAGCAGTGTTATATTGTGGCCAGGAATTCCCGCCGATGATAAAACCACCTCCGCGGATGAAAACAAAAACGGGCAACTTTGCACCACTAGGAATACTAGAAGGAACGGTGATATTCAGATTGAGTCCGTCAATTTCTGATGATGCAAAGACGGGACTTGGAAGGCTCTGTTGAATGAACTCGAATTCCAGCTGGCATCCAAATGAAGGGCTAATGACGGATGGTCTCCATGCAATGTTAGCACGACTCAGATACTTACATAACGAAGGTAGACTGTAGGAACAAGAGGATTATTTGAATGACGGCATACCCCGCGCCCATTCTCCAACTTTCAGGATACGGTGCATCCGATTACCCCACCACGAAATAACAAGAGAACCAGCCCGTAAGCGGGCGGGGTCGTTGGCCGCTTTCTGGCACTACTTATGCACAAAATTATGCCTGGTGTCTTGTGAAGACGTCAGCTCAATTCCTACTTTTTATGCTATCTTGAAGACTTTGAGAGAGCATGTTCATAACACAGTCACATGTTTGCCAATGAGTGTAGTATATCCTTGATGCTCGGACTAAAGATTTGTGTGTCACATTTCACCACAGAAGCCTAGGGCAGATTGAATAAGTGTCATTGTTACCCAATGAAAGAATTCCTTCAAGAAACATGTTGCGCAGAGTATCGCTGGGAAGAAAGAGTTGGCATAGATACAATCCTTAAAACTCCATACAGACAAATCCGCCATGCGTGAGACTGCTGTATACTGGCAGTCGTTAACACGATAGTTTAAAATCCACCCATCGTGAAGGAAATTCCCGAAAACATGTTTGGTTTCAGCAAAACGTCAGGGTGGGTTGAACTGACTGACCTTTTGAGTATAGAACAGATTTAAGCCTCGATGTGAGATTTGTCGACTGAAAGGTCCAGACTCGAAGCAAATGTACTTGGTTCCCCACTCAACAAGATGCTACTGGACTATACGCTTCGAATATTCGGCAAGTCATGGGGCAAGGGCCAGGCAATGGGGTAGAAATGTGGGGTCACTTCAAACGGCATTATAATTATCATATATCATGGTTACCTTTTCATTTCAGAACACTACGGCAGCACCTCCTTTTCTCCTAAAATTCTGCGCTCGGCATCAGAGCTAGCTGCCTTTCACACGCTCAGAATGGGCGCCACTACCAGTTTTTCCCGTCTCCCTTCGATCCTTTTGGCCATATTGGTCATAGCGCTTTTATACTTCAGGAAATTTCGACAACAACCAACAGCACTGCCAACATCCAAAGAGAAACAGTTGGGGACATCTAATCAGGAGCGGAATATTGCTCACGCACTACAATCCCAAGAGAAGGGTATCATAATTCTCTATGGTTCGCAGACGGGGACCGGAGAGGACTATTCTCGGCGTTTCTCAAGGAAGCTGCATGAGGACTATGGAATTTCGAGCATTGTAGCGGATATCGAAGAGTTCGATGCATCTTCTCTTTTTAATGTCGCCGCAACAACGGATACCAAACCAATGGTATGTTTCATTCTCGCAACATACGGTGATGGCGAGCCCACGGATAATGCTGCCACTTTCTACGAAGACCTTTGCGCATACGAATCGGAAGATCACGATGGAACACCTCCCTTGCAAGGTCTCCAGTACTTTGCCTTTGGCCTCGGGAACAGTACATACGAAAAATACAATTTCATGGTCCGCAGCTTTGATCAGCACTTGCAAAAACTAGGTGGCTCTAGAATTGGTCCAGTTGGTGAAGGCGACGATGGAACCGGCTCTTTGGATGAAGATTTCCTCACTTGGAGAGACGATACCTTGTCAGAGGTTGCAAGCACTTTGGGTATTGAGAAACATCGTGGACCATTTCTGTCTCCTTATAGCACTGCAGAAACTACTGAACTCGACAGCAAGTCTTCTGAAGTCTATCTCGGAGAGCGGACTGCGATACAACTCAAGAACAAAGGCCTACCGGTGGGCCCATTTCATGCCAAAAACCCTTACTTGGCACCCTTAGCATATTCCAAGCAGCTTTTTGCCCTAACCTGCGGAAGACACTGCCTGCATCTCGAGTTCGATGTCACTGGAACCAATCTTGAATACGACACCGGCGACCACTTGGGTATTTGGCCTGTGAACCCTGAAGTTGAGGTTCAGCGGCTGCTCAGGATCCTCAATCTTGCTGGTAAAGGGAATACTGTTATCACCGTTTCCACAGACGCAGACTCTGGGGTTCCCGTCTTTGTAGGCCAGCCCACAACGTATGCCACTATCCTCCGACACCGGCTGGAAATTTGTGGCAAAGTCACACGAGAAATCTGTTCCACCCTCGCCGAGATGGCTCCGGCTGCGAATGCCAAAACGTATTTGCTTCAGTTGGCAGGAGACAAGAATCTCTTTCACTTAGAGATTACCAATCGATGTCTGAACATTGGCCAATTTCTTGAAATGGTCAGCAAGAGCCAACCATGGCCTTTATTGCCTTTCTCTTTCCTCATCGCGACGGTTCCCTCCCTTCAACCACGTTATTACTCCATTTCATCTTCAAGCCAAGCCTCTCCTAACAGGATTAGTATCACTGCTGCAGTGAAGGATGAGTTCCTAGGAGGAAAGGATGCGACTCGATTCTTAGGCCTGACAACGAATTATCTCAGAGCACTGACTGAATCGGACATCTCTGGGGTCCTCAATAGCTCTGGTAAATACCAGCTTCCCTCTCAGCGTATTGAGAGCACGCCAGTAAGAGCCGCGCTACATGTTCGCCAATCTCATTTCCGGCTCCCCAAAACTCCAGAAACACCCATCATTATGATCGGTCCGGGCACTGGTGTTGCTCCTTTCCGAGCTTTCTTGCAGGACAGAGTATTTGCCAAACAACAGCTCCAGCAGCTTGGGAAGTCGATTCTTTTCACCGGATGCCGGAGGCGGGATGAAGACTACATCTACGCTGAGGAATGGAGGGATTTAGAGAAGGCTTTGGGCAGCGACTTTCAAATACATACCGCATTTTCGAGAGAAGGGAGAGAAAAAGTCTATGTCCAACACGTAATGATGGCTGAGCAGGGTGGGCTCTTTGACATGATCTGCAATAAAGGCGCTTGGATTTACATCTGTGGTGATGCTGCCCATATGGCCAAAGATGTTCACTCTACGTTGATTGACATTGTTGCCAAAGGGAAATCCATTGATAGAGCAGAGGCAGCTCAGCTTATTGCAGGCCTGCGGGAATCTGGTCGAATTCATGTGAGTACATGACCTAGTTCATATTACCACTTTGAACAATTACTAACTGTACTCGTGTCGCAGGAAGACGTTTGGTAGATATTTGATTAAGTGGTTCTCTGGCAAGATACGAGGGTGGCAAGTGTGAATAGAGATCGTGAAATTGATGTAATAGGGGGACTGGATGAAGGGGAAAATCGAAGCCTCGTCAATGCTGATGCAATATAGCAGCAACTAAATCCGGATATTATAAACATGCCAGATATACATACTGTAACTTATATCATGAAGTGTCGATATTTCAGTGGGTATATTTTAGAGAATATGAAAGTGAGCAATAAAGATTACGCAAATGTATATCTTCCCACGCAGACAAAAATTGATCGTGTGATATTGGGAACGGGTTCGAATGACGATTAATCCATGTTCTCGTCAAGTAAACGCTCGATATAAGTGTTTGGCGTAACCAACACCCATACACCAAACTTTCGGTTCATTGACGGATAAGCAATACGAGAGCGTCCTTTTAGCGGTCTACACAATTGTTCTGATGCCTCCGCGAAAGGAACAATTATAGCGGGCAACCTCTGGCCTATCAATTCAAAAGGCTTATTCTGCCACCGGCGAGACTGAAAAATATCCTAACCAGCTCATCAGGCTCAGTCTTTTCTAGGACATCCCACGCCTTTACTCTCCTCCTCTCACCAAGACCTGAATTGTCAATCTCTGCCGAAAGCCCAAAGGGACCAAACGCAAAGCAATTGCTTTCATTCCAAGGCGCTTCACCATTGGCGAACGCTATCCATTTATCCCGGACCACATTACCGAGGATCCTTTGCCCCTCTGTCAGAAACGTATCAGAGTAAGCCTCAAACAAATACAATAAGTCTACACCATGGTGAGCACGGGCCGAGGCCTGGAACGGTGATGGCTGGTCGAACACGTAGCGGAAGGTCTTGAGCGCATCCGCACTGCGAGCATTGGCAATTGTGCGGCTCGGCCAGGCAAAACGAGCGTCGGTCAAGAAATCGAGCGCCCCCGCTCGACTGGCTGCGAGACGCGTCGGCGAAATGTGATATGCTTGCAGCAGTGCCTGAGACAGTGTGGGATCTTTGGGATGCGTGAAAGCAGCTGTGATTTCGCTGGCTGTCATGCTTTCAACGCCAGCGCGCCAGATCACGGACTACATAGGTTGTTAGCACGGGCCGATGATGGTGCTCGGGATATACAAACCTCGAACTCAACATCACCAATGAGCAATTCCGGCACATCAGTCAAACGATCCTCCCAACCCTTTAGTTGTGGCTCTTCTTGTAAGTAGAGAGTATTCACGTTGCTGATCGCGAGCTGGCGAAGAACATCTGCGACTGGCGCATCTTTCAGTCCTTGTCCTGATCGTTCACGCAGCTGCTGATCAATACTCGTAATGAATGCCGTTCCTCGAGTAGTAGGAAGGGGTGGTGAGAGATATAAAGAGCCGGATTGGAGGATTCCGCACTTGACCGGTGCAGATGTGCACAGATGGGCGTGTGCATAGACGGCGCCGGCGCTTTCTCCACAGAGAGTTATGTTGTCCTGCCGCTGTGTCAGTCTGCGCTGGGCTTGTAATCAAAAGGATGTGTGCAGACCTTGTCACCTCCAAAGCCAGCAATATGCTTTGTGACCCAATCAATTGCCAATCTCTGGTCCTTGAGAGCGAGGTTGACTTCGTTGCCGTCACCAAAAGCGAAAATATTAAGTCGATAGTTGAATGTGACGAAAATTACCGGCTTTCCAATTGCTGCTGATTGTGAAACGATTTTGGATGGATCTGGAAATGGTGAGAACATGTGCTAGAATTCTGTCATTTATGCATGGGGCGTACCGGATACTTTATGACTTGGAGGTGGAAAGCTAACGACTTGAGACCCGCCTATACCCACTTGTCAGTGAATCTTTGGTGGGCAGAGAGTATTCCGGTACAGTACCATGAATCCATACTATGACCGGAAGCAACGTAGTTGGAGGAGTGGTTTCAGCTAGGGGTGTTGTGACGTTGATAGACAGGCAATCAAACTCGTCTTGGGCGATATTTAAGACATCATCTTGTGACTCGGGAATACGCAAAAGATAGCCAACGTCGACATAGTTCTGGGGACAATTCGGGCTATATGTCAGCACAAGAGTCAGCGCTATCTATCTACTGCCAAGAATGATGTGTATACTGATGGGGGGGGGGGGGGGGCGCACCCAAAACGTGTGCAGTCTATGTCGGCGTTGTCCCAAGTATCGATGGCAGTGGCCTTTTTGAAGCGACCTGGTATCGTGGCATATCGAATGCCACGATAGTGCTGCAGTGGGATATTATTATGTGAGGACTGGATTCCTTGGAGAGTAGCATTCAATGTTAGGTGCTTCAACATTGCGGACGTGATTGCATGATAGAGATTGAAAGGTGTACAGAATGGTGGAATAGAGCATTCCGACACGTACGTTTTTTCTTCCTCTTTTTCTTTTTACTGAACTCGAAGCAATCCTTAATCTTGACAAATATCCTACGCTAGCTGCCTCGCTGCCTCGCAGGACTTGGGTGGGTCGACTCCAGGGCTCGCGCGAAGCACACTCAATGTGCGCTTTCACAACCACGCATTTTTACGGTGTTCAATGTCCGAACGCGGGGGCGCATCCACCGCCAATCACCCCACATGATTCACTACCCCGGAAATGATACCGGCTCAGGCCAACCCCTCTGAGAGAAAATCTGATATGCAAACTGGAGTGTCTGCAAACTGTCTTAAAGAACTGAATCCCAAGGAAAACCTTTGCGACAAGCTACATCTTATTGTGCACGTCTCTTCCTTCACCGATCACCGTCGCAATTCCCAAGAGTCGAGCGATATGGCCACTCCATCAAGGAGGATCATCACACATCCCAACGGCCAAACAACCCACGTCTTCGACGACGACTTTACCGACCCATGGATACCCCGTGAGACCATTGTTATTCAGCATGGATTTGCTCGTCATGGTGCCTTTTGGTACCACTGGGTTCCGTTCCTCGCTCGACGTTATCGCGTAATCCGTCGTGATGCTCGAGGACACGGCCGTTCCAGTTATCCTCGGCCAGGAGACAATTACGACTACTCAGTTGAGACAGTCGTTGGAGAAATCATAGATACTCTAGACCAGCTAAGACTATCCAAGGTACATTTCCTAGGCGAGAGCACAAGCGGATTCGTCGGCGAGATCCTAGCAGCGAAGCATCCCGAGCGTCTCCACAGCCTGATCATTTGTTCCAGTCCTGCGTATCTACCTGACGCAGCGTTATCATTGTTCTCGTTTGGCCACTCAAGTTGGCCAGCTGCATGCCGAACCCTGGGCTCTCGAGGGTGGGCAGAGGCGTTGTCAAAAGTGCCTGGCACAGTCTCCATACCGGATCCTGCGTATATTCAGTGGTGGATTGACCAGGTTGCCCTATCAACTGGGGAAGGTCTTGCAGGTTATGCGGAGTTTTTGTCAAAAGCCGACGCGCGTCCATATCTGGAGAAGATTCGGGTTCCTATGCTCATTCTGGCCCCAGCAAGAAGCGCGGCAACGAAGTTAGAAGAGCAACGTGCAATTCAGGCCCAAGTCGTCAATTCTCAGCTAGTAGTAATTGATGGGCAAGGCCATGAGATCTATGTTGAAATGGCAGAAGAGTGTCAAAAAGCTGTGGACACGTTTCTGTCAGGTCTGTCTCGCTGATCGCGGGCAATGATCGCGAATAACGCTGTATTGTAATTAAGCTTCATCTCAAACCGAGGCAACGTCCAAGATGACGCCATAAATGCTTGCGTTACTGCGAATCAAAAGCCTTACAAATCCGAAACCAGATCGTTCAGCTTTAATGATATTTCGTCCTTCTGATTTGAGTTCGTTACCATTCGTGATATGGCTCGAAACCAGGTTTCAGCAGCACGAAATCCAATGGCTCCAACGCAACTCGACTCATCTGTTCCGCTGTGATAAGAGCAAATCTCGCATCCGGGCCTTGTTCCGAGCATTGTTGTTCGGCCGTGTGAACGGTCGAAGAACTGTTGAGGAGTTCACTCATCAAAGTGGGGTTTGGATTTTACCCCACATGTACGGGGTAGGCAATTTATGGATCCAGCAAGAACGTAGGCAAAGTACGACGGAAGTATTTCCTAACTTCGAAGTGCTAAAACTACGAGCAACTAATCCTTGTTCACTTTCTTTAAGCACGGACTTTTCTTCACTCCGGTATCGCACAACATTTTATATTTCATTCCTACCGACAGAAATCAACGTTCGAGTACTTGGACAGCCCAGAAATTGGATAATCGAATCATCTTGTCGTTGGCTGTCGCCCTTTTCTCGTTTCTCATTCTTCACGTCGTCTATAGAGTTTTGTTTGGAGGTCAACTTACAAATTGCTGACCTGGAATACCAGTTTTTGGAAACACGTTCCAAATACCCCCCTCTCAGCGTACTCCATACCCCAGATGCTTGCATGAGCACGCCAGGGCACGCATCAATTAGAAGGTCAAGTATATAGATCCCTCAATGGTCCCCAGCCTTTAGAGTCTCCTGAATCCGAAAGTACTCCAGCAAACCATCTCGACATATTAATCAGCGCAAATTACCTCTTATCTTGTCCGCTTTCCGTTCCTGCTTGATACTTCCACACACATCATGCCTTTCGGAATACTTGACTCGAACCGTCTGGAACATGTCCCAGGGACCTCGCTCCTCGATAAGGTATTCGACAGCAGCAATATTGTGTCCTCCAACCTGAAACGTGGGACCGGCAAGAACGCGCACATCGTGTTAGTCCCCCAGCCATCCAACGATCTCAATGACCCTCTGCGATGGCCGCTCTAGCAACGTGATCTCCTTCTGTTCCTATACTTGTATTGCACCATTCTTTGTGTGGGAGGGTAAGTCGTACGGATCATCTCGTAGACATCTGTTGCTGACTATGCTTCTAGAATCGGACCTCTGCTCTCAGCATCGGCTTTTATTTTGTTGCAAGAGTTCCAGGTCGGCTTCACCCAAATCACATTGTTGACAGGCTATCACCTTTGCGCGGTCGGTGCTGTAAGTAACCACCAATTACATTCGAAAAAGGATTGAAAGAGTTGTACTAAGACAATGTTTCGCACAGGCCGGTATTTTCATTTCAACATTATGCTACAAGTACGGCAAACGCCCCGGGTTCCTCTTTTCTATGACCTTCGCCTTTATTAGCACGGTATTGGGGGGTGCATCTCAGTCCTATGACTCTCTTCTAGGAGCTAGAATTGTACAGGGCTTCGGTGTGTCAATGTTTGAATCTGGTAAGCAAGACTAGCTATCTTACCCACGTTCACTCCTGACCCACTTCAGTTATGTTCGCCGTGATTGGCGATCTATACTACGTTCACAAGCGTGGCAGTCGCGTTGCTGCCCTTACAATCGCTATTTCTGGACTTGCGAACGTGCCGGCTTGGCTATCTGGTGTTACCACGCAGAACTTGGGTTGGCGATGGATGTTCTGGTTGTTGGCTATCTTCATGGGTATTGCCCTTGTCGCGGTCATCCTCTTTGGATGGGAGACAGCTTTCAACCGAGCAGCAATTTACAACACCGATACAAGCTCTAGCAATGTAAGTCTCAAGTCCTTTGTCGAAGGGGGCTTTTATTGACAGTACCTAGAATATCGACTTGATTGATGCCTTGAAGGGAGGAGACTAGGAGATTACGCACAAGGAGAAGATTCCAAAAGCCGACCTTGCTGCAAAAGAGAATCTAGTACCACGAATCTCGTTCGCCAAACGCCTTCTGCCATTCAATGGCACCTACTCCTCAAATAGTATACCTCTCATGCTCATTCGACCATTCACTATTCTCGCCAATCCCGCAGTCATTTGGTCGACTCTCCTCCTCTCAATCACAACTACATAGACCATCGTTATTAGCTTTGTAATCGCACAAATATTTTCTTACCTACTATATCTCCTAGACTCCACACAAATTGGCTACATATCTACTAGTTCTTGTATCGAAGGCCTCTTGGGCTCCATCGTTTGTGGCCTGGTGTCTAATCCTATTATTATTACACTTTCAAAAATAAACAAAGGTGTTTATAAACCAAAGTTTCGCCTAGTACTTCTAATACTATTCATTATCTTCTCGAGCATTGGATATTTCTATTTCGGCAACTTCGTTATTCTCGAATACTCTCCTGCGATTACCTTCGTATTTTGGGGTCTGGCGACTATAGCTCAGCAGTTTATATCCGTGGTTATTAGCACCTATGTAATCGATGTATACCGCAACATCTCAGTCGAAGTGTTCATTATTAGGATAGTAGTGAAGAACTTCTTGTTCTTCGGCCTCTCTTGTAAGTATCTATCTCCGATCTCGTTATAGCAATTGAATTAATATACCATTAGTTGGCGTAAACGACTAGGTCACTGCTTGGGGTCCCGCACGCGTCTTCAACACCATTGGAGGCATCGAAGTTGCTCTTTTCGTGCTTTCCATTCCAGTCTGGGTATGGGGCAAGCAGTGGCGTGCATACTTCCACTCCAAGCACATCTCCTGAGTAGGCCGTTCTGTCGGACTTGATATGACAATGGGTGAGCCGTAGGTTGAGTTGAGGAGATGAGAATGGGTGAGTATTGCTTGATAGATGTTAGATATGAAGTATGCAATGGCATTCAATATATTAAGCTGTGCCTTCCTCCAATGACTCTGGGTGTATGTGACTCACAAGACGGTCATTTCGATTTTGTTGACTGTTGAGGGACCAGACCAGCCTAGTTCTCCAAGATGTGGAGATAGAGAGATCTAGAAGGCCCACCAGATGTAGCAACAAAAGAACTAATTAAACCAGCCTTTTTGTCTTGCACATAGTCTGACTTGCAGAACATGCCATGATGAATAATTACTTGTTTCTCGACGCTTGCTGCCTCAACTTATCTCACATATTGAGCATTGGCGCGACGGCAGCAAGATGACTCAAGATACTTGTCGCAGAGTGGAGTGGTAGTAGAGCATGTTGCACAAGTCAATGATCGGTAAAAGCTGCATAGAATGTCCTAAGTTGACGAGCTTGCAATCAACGTGCCCGTGGCTTTATCCTGCAAAGGTATTGTTGCTGCTTCACGAACCATCCATTTGTAGTCTTCCAAGCTTGATCTGGCTCCTCCAGCGAATTGTCAAAATTTCGAATGAGCTGCGGCACCAATTTCGACATCTCCAGCAGACTGATATTCTTGCCAATGCAGGTCCTTGAACCCATTCCGAACTGTTTCGTCTCCTGTTAGTCTTTTGCCTGTCAGAAGGAAAGGTATAAAAGCATACGCTGAAAAAGTATTTATCCAGCATCACGGACTTCTCCTTGCTTTCGAGCCACCGTTCAGGTCGAAAGACTGTGGCGTCTTCTCCAAACACTTTCGGATTCGCGTGGGCGACCCAGGAATTGATGCCTACGATGGTCTGTGGAACAGTTTAGCAATTGATCAGCTCGGAGACACAATAGCAAGTACTTACGCCTTCAGGAAATGCATAGCCAGCAATCAGCTTGCCCCCTGGTGGAACGACTCGACCAAGTGGTAGCCCAGTTGCGGGGTGCATTCTCAAGGCTTCCTTGATGACAGCCTGAAGATAAGGCATCTGCTGCGTCTCGGCGAAGGTCACAGGATTTGATATTTTCCCTGCAGTCTCCATGGTGTCGATCTCATTCCCCAAAGCTTGCATGGTGTTCGGAAGTCGGCAGAGATGGTATATTACAGAGCTAAGGTTGATAGATGTGGTGTCTGATTTAGCTCTAATGTTTGTGATACATGTGCTGAAAATGTCTGTTGACCTTCTCTGGTTCATCGTAGTGAAGCTTTAAAAGCTTACTGAGAAAGTCCCTCCCAGTCCCAGCCTTTGCAGTTGGCTCAGAAGTGCGTTCTGCTAACTGTTTTTGCGCAAATATTACCATTGCTGACATTCCGGTGTCGTCTCTTGCAAATTTGGACAGCAACCCAGCGATCTGGTGATGCCATTCAGAGAAAACACCGACATGGGCTGCATACGACAGGTAGTCATTGATGGCAGCCATAATGCCCCCCACATCTTCTCCGTTGTCTAGGAAGCCGAATCTTTTCGCCAACTGCAGAACAATCCAGGTTAGTCTTGCGTAGCATCAGCACAAGGCGACAGTACATGCCGTGATCTGCCCAATAACATCAAAAGCATAACATTGCAACCAGTGGCCCATGTCTACCAGCACTCCTCGTCTGGCAAAATCCGCAAATTTCGCTACCAGCAACTCGGTACACTCGTTGACAAACGGTTCCATCTGCACTAAATTCGTCATGGAATACAGAGAAGCTACCTTTCTCCTGTTCACTGTGTGACGCTTGGGATCCAAATCACTGAAGAGGTCCGGGATGGCATGTGGATCTGGATTCCCACTCGCGATGTACCATGGGCTCTTCAAAGATATTAGCTTAGTGCCAATTGTTATGTGTGTGAAATCCAACCTTTGTAACTGGCCACCGAGACCGTAGATCTCTCTGGCGGCCTCCGGATCATCGATACTGTATTCATTGGGCGCAATACGGACAATAGGGCCTGGAGTGATATGAACAACTTCCAAAGCTACCAAATAACAACTTACCATAATTTCTGTGCAACTCTATGTTCGTCTTCTCAAACCGACCTCCGTAGATCTCGAAAAGCTTCCACAGCCTCGTAAATCTCGCCTAGAATGGACCAGGAACACCACGAAGCGGTGACAGCAATGCGAGAACTACAGAGTAGATTGGCACACAGGCAAGGCACAGAACCAGAGCAACGGCCATCGTTGCTATAGGGTAATTCGGCTGTCGATAATTCTATTGATCACTTCTTTTCTAGGGAAAACACTCATAACATGGCCTTGGATTTGCGATATTCCCGGTATCTATCCAAGAGCGGCATTCCTTGCCAAGTGAGGTGCTCAGTGCTTTCCTGGAGAGTATGGGGTTGTTGGGGTTTCCTGGATTGGAGAGGAGAGAAGCTAGCACGTTCCGGCGAAGCGGGGTAAGTTGCTCCTACCATGGGGTGAACTTGAAAGGCCTTTTCGTGCTGACCATTGGTTCGCTCCATTGGACCGAGATATCCAGGCCCCCTGCACTGAGCGTGCACTTCTGGTACTGTGCTCTAGAACAGGTCGCTGCTTTGCCCATCAAGGTAAACGCCTTTTACGGTGGCTCTCTCTCGGGTACTCAGCTCGTCTCCCGTTGAGGAATTCTTTTGAGCTCTCCTCAATTAGGTCTCCAATCACCGACCCCTTTTCGAGTATCTATTCAGCATACTGAGGATCTTGATTGTTGACATGACGAATGCTATTGGGGAGAGATTGTTATTGAGCTTCGGGTAGGCATTACGCTTGTAAAATCTTCTCTTGACTTGGTACCGCAAAGCTTGATATTCATGTGATTTATTACTACGCTACCTCGCCCAACTCAACAGCCCTTGGAAATAACAAAGAAGTTACCAGTCATAGTTCCCCAGCATCTTGGAATGCTTTCTTTATCGTGGCAACATGAATTTCAGATCTCGGTATTATGGAGCATTCGAAGGGATATGGCACACTCAAGAACCCACGAATCATTCTGGTATCTGGTTCAATTGGTCCATTTGGTCCCTTCTTCTTTGTGATATTGAAACCCCAGAGTGTACGAACCATGTTGATGTAAAGGGACTTTTCCGCGACATGGATGCCAGGGCACACTCTGCGACCGGCACCGTACGTAAAATGGTCCCGAGAATACGGGTCGTTGGCGTTGACATATTCTGCCGCTGATAAAAGTTTGTTCAAGTATCGGGTGGGATCAAACACCTCTGGATTCGGGTGGAGGTCAGGGTTCATATGGATGGCCCTGAAAGAATATTGTCAGCGGAAGTGTTCTGGTCATTGTAAGACGATGAACTTACCACCAATTCAGAACTGCTACAGAACCCTTCGGGATGAAATAGCCTTCATACCAATCATCCTCACTGGTAGCGTGCATCATTCCAAACTTGTTGACGGCGCGCCATCGCAGTGTTTCTTTCACCAGAGCTCTAATGTATGGCAGGTCCTTCTCGTCTTCATACTCTGGAAGTCTCTGATTTCCAACCACTCGATCAATTTCTTCCTGTGCTTTCTTGACTACATCTGGGAAAAGTGTCATGGCCAGGATGAAGTTATTGAGCGTGGTACTAGTGGTTTCCGAACCGGCTTCAACCAGTCCTCCGCATGTGTAGGCCGCCAGAAGATCGTCGATGCCTTGTTTCTGGGGATCGTTAAGGTAGAACGTCTTGCAGAAACAGTCTTTGGCCGTTCCTGCATCGACTTCCCTCTTCAATCTGTCCCAAAGCTTCATGTAGATCTTGCTATCATGCTCAGAGACCTTTTTGCCAAATGTGCGCCAATTGCCGAGAAGGAATTGAGGTAGGAATGCCAAAGATGGGAAACTGTCTACTGCGTGGGCGCCAGGCGCTGTCATCTCGGTCAGATTGTCAAGCACTGCGTAGATGTCTTTGATGAGAGGATCCTCCCAATCGGATAGTCGATAACCGTAAGTCACAAGCATGATAACAGAAGCTGAATAGCGACGATTGTGCTCGTAGAATCGCTCGGGCGTGTCTAACAAATCAACCAAGAGCTGCTTAGACTCGTAATTCTGAATGGGCTGGTATGCGATAGCGGTCGTGGCATTGAGTAAGGCATGACTGTATTTTCGGAGCTTGCGCCAATCAGGCCCGTACTGCATGAACAGCTGTCGGCGGCCTGAGCTAGCCACGTCCTGCGCAAGAGGAAGAGGCGGTCTCGAGGAGTAGATGGCGGACTTCTTGTCCATGAGATCTTTGACCACTTTGGGTGAAGATAGCCAGATGTAATCGCTACCACCGATTTTCGTATGGAAGATGTCGCCATATTCTCTCGCCCAACCCTGGACTTTGCCTCTGACGAGGTCAGAGTCAGCCAAGTCAAATAAATTGCCTATAAATGGCAGCCCTCTGGGACCCGGAGGAAGGTGTCTTCTTCTAGAATCCTGAAATAGTCAATATACAAAAGCTTCCTCGTATTTCTGTAGGAAATTCATTCACCTTAAGGACATTGGGAACGCTGTAGAAGTAGAAGGCCAATACCAGCGTAACGGGCACTAAAAGCAACACAGCTGGGTGTGCCAAGGGAGTGAGCCTGATATCTTGAAGGACGCCCATGTTGAAAAACAATGAAGTTGGCAGAAACCTAGAGGACTATGTGAGGTATCCGGGCTCTTGGAGAATTGTCAGGAAAGGATGCAAACAGATAAAAGTGCAGAGCCGAGGTTTAATCTCCAGCATAAACGACCAAGCTTCGGTTCAGTCACCAGGGGGCAATCAAGGTATTCCATCTTAGCATCTCGAACTGGTTGAAAGGACAAATGATTTGCGGGGTTGGAGAAGGATTGTGGTTGAAAATGAGATTGATGTGGGGCGTGCAGGTGGTGTTGCATTAGCCAAAGGTGGTGCTTCCCCAAATACGTTGTGGCTCGAAATAATGGGGTGAAGGAGGCATGGATTGATAGTGAGTGACTGTTCCTGCCTAAGTACACCCAAGCACGTGATTTAGCCCAACAACGTGATGCCGCTTTCCAACGGCTAGTATTGCCACTTCCCCACATGTGCTTTGGGCCTGAACTGTCGCGAGACCCCACGAAGGAACGAGGCGCGAGACAGTTTTCCCACACCATGACGAATCAAAACTGCTGCGCAGCGGCCGTGGGCTAGGATGGATTGGAGAAGTAAACATAGGCCCATTGCTGAGGTTTGTAACTGCGCATATCCAATCTTGATTATTTTAAATAGTTTTGGGAACATAGACAACCCTCGCATTCGCCATGACAACGTACAAATTTGACGTCAGCGAACTGCAGAAGCTGAAAGGAAAAACAATCTTGATCACCGGTGCATCAACGGGCATAGGGCGGGCAACTGCGCAGATTGCACATGGTATGTCACAGCCATTTGGGCATCATCTGCAGCTAGGACTATGCTAACACTGTTGCTGCAGCGTCTGGTGCCAATATCGTTATAGGGGACTGGAACGTAGATGAAGGGCGTGCTCTGGTAGAGGAGCTCAAACAGAAAGTCCTGTTTCAAAAAACAGATGTCACAAAATGGGAGGATGTTCTCGCGCTGTTCGAGGCGGCGCACCAACGTTTCGGCGTCATTCACGCAGTCCTCTCAAACGCAGGCATCAACTCTGAGAACCTCCTCGACACCGAATTCGACAAGGAGACAGGCGCACTTCTACCCCCAAACTTGAAGTCGCTGGATGTCAACTTGGTGGGCACTTTATACATGGTGAAAGTCGCACTTTATTACTTCGAGAAGTGGCCCCAAATACAATCTCAAATTGTGTTAACGGCCTCGGCTGCAAGCTTCATCGACACTCCGCCACTGCATGTCTACTGTGCGGGAAAGGCTGGCGTTCTTGGACTTATGCGATCTTTACGTACGCAGGTAATTAAGAAGAATGCGACAATCAACGTTATTGCACCATGGCTTACCGGTACGTCTCTCATGTCACGTTCATTTCCCCCCGGCATAGATCCATCGAACTTGGCTAATATTCTCTCATCACCTAGTGACGCCAATGTTATTGCCAGCGTTGCTGGACATATGGGGGACTTTGCCTGCTAATAAACCGGCGGGAGTGGCACACGCTCTCCTGCTTCCAGTGGTGCGGCCTGATGTGAATGGGAAGGCTTTCTTTGTCGCTGGTCATGAAATCGTAGATTTCGAGGACAAGCTGCATGAAACACAACCTCTGTGGATGGGCAAACAATTGAGTGAGGACGTTGATGAGGGACAACGGAGATTGATCCCGTAGACGTTTGAGTACTGCCTTTCGGTCTAATATAACGTCATCACTGAACCACAATGCTTGTTAGTTGCTTCCGCAGCTATTCGAATACATGAATTTGTGAATGATCACTTGCCTGTCATCGTGGCGTCTATCTACATATAAAGTCTTTGTGCTATGTTACTGAAACGGGGGCGGCAGTGCAGAACCCTTGCGCTCTCTAGTCAGCGTCTCCTGTTCCTCGTGCAGGGGCTGAAACTTAGAGTGAAGGGTATCAAGCAGTATAAGATCTTTTACAAAACACAGTCTTCGTAACAAATCCAGTTCCTTGCCAATGACGATCGCGGAGCGAATATCACATCAATTGTTAATTGTCAACTACCTAAAAACATACATGAAGTACTTTCCATTCATACCTTGCCATTTAGTGTGAGCCGTTTCGTCTTGCTCAAGATTTCCTCCACCTCCTCCGCATGGGTGGAGAAGTTATCAACCAGATTATCCCACATCTTAGGATCGTGTTCATGCTTCTTCTCGCTGGTCCAGGCCCAATTAATAATAGTGAAAGGCCTGCTCAACTCAAATATAAAAGCAATAGCCGCTAAAGAAATCTGTATAACAAGTGGGACACTTGCAGAGGCAGCCTTAAACTCTTCATAGGCCACTTTATAAGGGACCATTCCACATTCAAATAATACTCCTCCATGTCACGAATCCGTTTCTTAGGCGCACAAGTTGTGCTGTTAAGAAGGTTCTATTAAGACCATTCTAGCTTATGTGATCTTTGGTTTCTCGTGGAAAGTAGATATTTCCGTTGAAGCGATTGAAGCGGGGTTAGGTGGAGTGATGCCGTCACCACGACCGCGGGGGTTGCTGGCCCTGGCCCAGAAGCGGCCACACCTCAAGCCACCTGATTGATTATCAACATCTTTGTGATCATAATAGCACAGGGAGGAACATTTTCAGTTCAATCAGGTACCATGGCGATCAGTAATAGCAGAGAATTACCACCAAGTCGGCCCAACCAGACATTCGTATCGGTTTCACCAATCGATGGAGGGTCTATCACCCTGCCTGAGCGATTCTTTGTCTCTCCCAGTGATCCTGATGCCAAAAGCACGGTGCCATCATTGGCCTTTCTGATCACGCATCCCGACAGTCAGCGAGATGGCAGCCAAGTCCGTTTGATGTTCGACCTCGGTCTCCGGTCCGTCATGGAGAACTACATGCCATCGCAGCAAAAGCATTTGAAGGACGGTCGAGTTCCCTATCTTCTCGGTCCCGGCGTAGCCGCTCGTCTGGCTGATGCTGGGCTGAACAGCAATTCGGACGTCGATCTGGTCATACTAAGTCATGTCCATTATGACCACCACGGGGATCCTAGAGATTTCAGCAACTCAACCTTCATACTCGGCCCTGGGTCACTCGCGGTTCTCGAGGGGAAGGGTACTGCCAAAGGGTCACATCAACATTTCGACTCTGATTTATTATCACAAAATCACACGGTCGAGTTGCCACCTCCCCAAGCAGGTGGGGTAGAAATAAAGATGAAAGACGGCAGAGTTCTCAGAAGCGCATGGAAACCGATCGGACCGTTCCCATCAGCAATTGATCTTTTTGACGACGGATCTGTGTATGTGATAGATTCTCCAGGCCACTTACCTGGCCATCTGAATCTACTCTGTCGCACCGGACCCAGTGACTGGATCCTGCTCGGTGGTGACACATGCCACGATATGCGTTTGTTGACAGGAGAAAGAGAAATTGGATTTTGGGAAGATGCCAGCGGCAACTCAATCTGTATTCACGCAGATAGCGTTGCGGCGAAAGAGTCGATAGCAAGAGTTAGACAGCTGTCTGAGCTGGCGCAGTCAGGTGACTCAACGGTGACAGTAATTATGGCACATGATTTGGAGTGGTACAACTTCAATAGGCAGAAGTTCTTCCCAAATTCTGTATGACCTAGATTTACCTAAGCCTGAATAAGCGACCATTGTCCCGAATTGATCATGGATGTGATGCCTGCGAATAAGCAAACAGGGGTCTCTTTCTCACAGTGCAGACAAGGAAGCAACGTGGGGGAACCCAGGCGTTCTCTGTAACTCTCTGCCAAAAGGAGGGGCAAGCGCGTGCCTGCAGGAAGCCTCATTTCCGCCTATCACTACTGTGACCCCTAATCGCCACTTGTTACCCCACACAAGAAGCGGAAAGAATCATCCATACGCACGAGGTAGGAGTACAGCATCATTATGGCATTTCGTCTTGTTTTCGCAACGTGCGTCAAATGTTTAGGGTCAATTGGGACTTTTTCTCTGTGCACAAATTCCCCCGCCATTCAGAAACTGTACCTTTGAAGTAACGGAACCAATCAGCCACCACGAATTGAAGTTCATACCTTCTGTAGCTTTCAATATGTCCTATCCGAAAAATGTTGGGTTCATAGGGCTGGGTGTTATGGGCTACCCAATGGCTCAGAATTTAGCCGCGAAGCTGCCCCAGTCTACGCGCATTTATGTGTTTGATGTTGCGACGCAGGTCATGGAAAACCTCGTTAAAGAGTACCCAGGAAAAATCACTGCTTGCCAGAGCTCAAAGGAGATTACTTCCAAATGTGTACGTTGGAGCAGGCCCAAGAATTACCTAGCCATGCTAATCGACCTCTAGGAGGTCATATTGACCATGGTTCCAGAAGGCGCGCACGTCAAATCGGTTTTTTTGGCACCAGACACTGGAGTTTTGGCGACCGACATATCTGGCAAAATATTTATCGAGATGTCGACCATCGATACTGCAACTTCGGAAGACGTTCGGGGAAAGGTAGCGGCTGCGTCACCCTCCGCACTCTTCTACGATGCGCCTGTTTCGGGGGGCTCGTTAGGCGCACAAAATGCAACTTTAACATTCATGCTGGGCTGCTCTGAGGAGGATCCAAACTGGCCGCTGCTGAAGTCGCTGCTTGGACTGGTCGGAAAATCAATTTTTCCATGCGGTGGCCCATCATTGGGACTCATTGCAAAGCTCAGCAACAACTACTGCTCCGGGTTGATTGCCATTGCTACGGCCGAGGCAATGAACATTGGGATGAAGTCAGGGATGAATCCTGCGTTACTAGCAAGCATCTTCGCCACGAGTACTGCTCAAAGCACCATCTCAGACAAGTGGAATCCAGTCCCGGGTGTTTGCCCCACTGCTCCAGCAAGCAACGGCTATAGGGGCGGTTTCAAGGTCCAGCTTATGAGGAAGGATTTTGCCTTGGCTATGGATGCAGCCAAACGCGTAAATGCAAGATTGGCACTTGGGGAAGCTGGTCTGCAGACTTACACAGATGCGAGCAATGATCCTGCGTGCAGAGATCTAGATTCAAGGGTTGTATTTCGATATCTGGGCGGATCAGAAGAATGGAAGAAGGAGGGCTCTTCGTGACGTTGTTGACAGGTGATGTGCCAATACAGTCCATAGTACGCAATCAATTTAGACCAATTTTAACGATTTACCACGTCAAACATATAGCGATCAGTACGGAGCATTGTTCCAAAAGTACTGACCCTTGCTAGAGAGACCCTAGTCGCTGTGGCGTCGGGGGTGTTGCGACCTAGCAAAGAACTACAGGTAATAGAGCCTGAAGGAAGTCACCTTATAGTAGAGGTTACAGGCTAGAGGCCCTGTAGAATTGGCTTTAAGAGCCTGTAGTTTCAGTGTTCGCTGTTACTATGCCAGCTACATGGCTAACAGGAGGTATAGCCCATAATGATAGTAAAAACAGACAAGGTCTGAACGCCATAAGCGATTTCAACACTTTATGACTTTTGCTATATACCACCAAAAATCTTCAACTAAGCACTGGAATGATCCTTAAGAGGAGTACTATACATTGGTCTCTTTTTTACGTTTTGGTGATGCGTTGTAGTTGTGATGCAGGGGAGGTAAAAATAAGACCCCTGCTAGCGCTATTACATTCTTTATGGGCTGTACGAAGGACCCGGTCAAAAGTCACGGGATTATAGCGCTTCCAGCCTGTAAGGGCCCTAGAAGGAAAACGTCAGACCCTATTAGGCCTTATAAATTACAGCGTCACACGCTGAAACCTATTTGTTGCGTTTGTCTTCATCAGGGCTAAAGGCCTATATTCACAGGGTACCGTTCGCTAGAAGAGCCTGTGAGAAGCTGAGATTCAGTGGCTCGGCCCTGAAGTTGCTGTGCCAGCCTATGATCGGCCGAGAGCCTGTAATTCAAGCGTGAAGCCCTGTAATCCCGTGACTTTTGACCGGGTCCTTCGTACCTCCGTATGTAACCGAGAACCGGCAAGGGTTCAGGACTTTTGGAATGATGCTCCGTATTCAATAACGCAATAATTCTCGTATGATGTATACGTATCGAGTGGCACAGTAAAGTTACGTTTCGAGCTCATGTTGGGCCTATTTTAGGCTACCCCACAGCTCCACATTTCTTACCTTACACAAATCGAGATGCAATTCACCCCACCTCAGTATGAGCGGGGTAGTCCAGCAATGTTTGAGTTATAATCACAAAAAGGCGGCTCGCTCGCCGGTTCTGTCCAGTAACTACAAGGCACGAAGACGCAGATCCTTTTGCATCCAATCACGATGACGACCTCAAAATCAGCCCCCGGCTTGAAATCTGTAGGGGCACTAAATTCACAAGACACAAGGAGGCACCGGCTAACGCTCTCATAGGTGATAGTTGTGGGAGCAGGGCCAGCGGGGCTTTTGATGTCCCTGTTACTTGCAAAGCAGGGCGTTCCAGTACAACTCCTCGATGCTGGCTCGACACTTGACAAGCAGCCTCGCGCAACTCACTATGGACCCCCAGCGGTCTACGAACTTGCCCGGGCGGGCATTGCCGAGGAAGTGAGAGCACGGGGATTCACCCCAAAGACCGTGTGCTGGAGAAAAAAGGACGGGACATATTTGGCTGGGCTGGATGGCAGCATTCTGGATGGTACCCCGGATAGGATGGTCTGTCTTCCACTCGATCGGCTTGGGGAGATCTTGCACAAACACATCCTGGAACAGCCAACAGTCGATCTCAAATGGAATCACAAGGTGACTGGGCTTGGTCAGGACGAGCAGAAGGCATGGGTAGACATTGAAACCCCAGAAGGTCCTAAAAGACTTGAAGGCGATTATGTCATTGGCTGCGATGGTGCAAACAGCCAGATTCGCAGATCACTGTTTGGAGACACGAACTTCCCAGGCAGAACATGGGATGAGCAGATTGTAGCCACCAACGTAAGTGGAAATCCGCTATGAAACCGTGACAAGAGTTGATCATCTCGCATAAGACATACTACGATTTTCATAAATACGGTTATGAGGACGCGAACTTCATTATTGATCATGAGCATTGGCATATGGCGTCACGTATCACCAATGACGGTCTGTGGCGGGTAACGTATGGCGAGAAACCAGGACAGACCAGAGAGCAGCTTTTCGAAAGGCTCCCAGCGAAATTCGAGAAAATTCTACCAGGACATCCGAAACCCGAACAGTACAAAGTCGTGAACTTCAGTCCTTACAAGGTCCATCAACGATTGACGGAGAAGATGCGTGTTGGACGCTTCCTGCTGGCTGCAGATGCCGCCCATCTCTGCAATCCATTGTGAGTCAAGACGATCTCGCGCCTCATAAACACAGCTAACCCTGAGCAGCGGAGGGCTTGGTCTTACGGGTGGCATCGTCGATGTCGGTGGGCTGTTTGACTGTCTGATTGGCATCCACAATGGCGTAGCTAATGACTCGATCCTGGACATATACGACGAAATCCGCCGGCAGAAGTACCTCGAAATCATCGATCCTATTTCCAGCGAGAACATCAGGCGTCTTTTTGGCCAGGACCCAGACACGGTATTGGAGACGGACGAGTTTCTGAAACTGTGTAAAAAGACGGAGACAGATGAGGCATTCTCAAGGGAGTTTCAAAATGTAAGCCTTCTAGTTCTTTCCTTTCGTTTTCCAATGCTAACACCACCCTTAGGGAATCAATGGGATCAAGTACGACTTCACTCAACATTACTTGAAGAAGGAGCTAGAGAATGGGAATTCTGGGGTGGGTTTAGTGGTGGCTTGAAGGCGTTATAGCTTAATATTTCATCGACAAATCCAAAACTGGACACTCTTAAAACCAGCCTTCTCCAAGTGGGGTTTCTTCAGGTGCGGTATTCAATGCGGGGTAGGGGTAATCTGGGTGTTCGGCACCAATTTTGTGTTGCAGGCACGAGCTCCGGCCGAGAATCGCACATTCTAAGCCAGCTAGACATGAAAGTCAAATAGTGAAGAATGTAAACTTGCCGTACTCGGAGCGCGTTGTCGTTTGAATGTCTATAAAAGATTGCAGCCATTTCCATCATCCCAAATCAACGTTCCCAAGAGCAATCCCCCAATTTGACTCACCACCAAGATGTCATCCAATCCCCCAACTCCCAGCAGTGACCTCACAGCCGCTCACAAGACCCTCTTCGATACCGGGCTGAACGTACGTTACGAAGTGGTCGGCAAAGCCTACGTGGACCGCTCGCTGGCAAATGGCTCCTCGCCCTTCGCGCGGCCCATGCAGGAGCTCGTGACGGAAGCGTGCTGGGGCTCGGTGTGGGCGCGGCCCGGCCTAGAACGCCAGTACCGCACGCTGCTGAACATCGCCACGCTGTGTGCCCTGAACCGCGGGCCCGAGTTGGCCGTGGAGAGGGTCATTTTGGAGGTTAGGGAGAAGAGAAAGGCGACGGTAGGGTCGTGAGATTATTCGGAGTCGGATACACAGAAGAGAAGACCAGAGAAAGGACCATCTGGGGCCGGTCGCTTGACATTGTCCTAAGCAGATAACCTACCATTCCAGATAGTTGACGCCGCAAGACTCCCAGTGGCCATGAATAACACCGTCTCCTCTTTCCAAATCCTGTGTCTTGAGCTCGTAATGTCATGTAACTTCCTGTTCCAATACTGTCAGCGGATGGCACTGGTCAAAAAACAACTTTTTGGAATGAAGCCTTTGTTACTGATTTCTTCAATTACAATAGCAGATATATTATCAAAATATCTTCGCAGAAGCATTCACCAAGTAAATATTCTATGCCAGTATAGCGCGGGCATTCCACTCCTTAATGTATGCTTTCGAAAGTAGCCTCAAAACATGGCCCATCCGTGGAGTTATTGCCCAGACCCAAGTATCATCCAAAAAGCAAGCCCACACTCTTGCAACCTCCCCAGCTAATGATCCTTTGCCATCATAATCGCTTTCGACCTCGTTCAGCAATTCGCTAAAGTTCGCGAAATTTTGAGCTTCTGCAGGGTCAAGAGGGTCATCGTCGGGATGCCTAGTCTCCAAAGCATGAATCCACTTCGTTACGAATAGTGCTGTAGCGAGCTGATTAGAAGACAGTAAACATGGGATGAAAGATGTTTGTCACGTACCACAGTCCCATGCTGCAATGGCATGCTCCACACTCCAGCTCAATGCTGCAGTCTTCCTTACCATAAGGTATCCAGCCTTGATAGGCGTTGAAAACCCTCCGAAAGCCTCGAGAACCGCCTTCGTCAAAAAAGGACTCCTTTTTTGCACTGCATGCATGTAGGACTGGATACTGGATTCCAGTTGAGCATCGTTCTGGCTCAAAAGCATCATACGATCGACACTCCCTGCGCTGGTGAAGAGTCTCACATAGGCAATCCTTAAAAGAGCCTGGCAATTAAAAATGACGGCACCTTTCTCCGAATGAGGTTCCTGATCTCTTTGGGCATTGGCCACAACCAAAGCGTGGCATCTTGCCAGCGAGTATTGAATCCTTGCATACATCGGAGCCCAAGATGGAGAGCTTAGGGCAGTGATGCCCGTGACCGAATGTGAACACTGCATGATTGACCACATATGTAAACCAACCGCATGCATAATGACAGTGGTTGCGAAGCCAGACCATGTAATTGATGCTCGAGTGAATCTGTTAGGGTTGACATCGCCATCGTCGTCATCAGCGTCATCGCCATAAACGAGCTGCGTCAAGGCTTTAGAAATGGTAACTCGATCATGAAGATCGGATGCGTCTACAGCATGTTGCCATTGCTGAGCATCTTTCGCTTCCCACCAACCTTCGTCTGCCGGCATCTCAATGTTAAGGTCTTGGGTCAAAGAGACATTCGGAGTTGTATCATAGGTGACAGTCAATAGAGAATTCAGAGTGAATATACCGCATAGTAGTCTATTGAGATCAGTAAGGGGTCTGCGAGGGAAAAAAAGATTCTGACCGTTTCGAAGTTTCTCTGGTGGTCCATTCTAACCAAGAAGTTGGCTGAGTCAATAAGGAGTCTCTGTTCAAAGCACATCGACGAATGCGATACTCCTGCGGAAAGTGTCAGTTGAAACGATGCTGCTTGCATAATGTTCTCATATACCGTTGCCCAAAACCCGCTTCTCTCGATCGCAGACACAACGTCTTTCGTATCGCCGCTAAATACAGCGTACAATGAGAGCAACAGTCTGCTTTGAACGGCTTCAGTCAGACATGGAGCCATCAAGTCAGAAGGATCTCGTTGAAGTGCCTATAGAATCAGTTTATTTGCGAATCAAGAGTGAGGTCGCAAATTACAGGCTCTACCATCATCTCTGCCCACTGCCATAAAAGCCTGGCCACTTTTCGATTAAGACGATAGAGAGCTCCAATAGCTGACACCGCCAGAACGAGCGGCACATACGGCATTCGCATATCAAGTGACGGTAAATGCAGGATTGGAAGATGGTGGTGGAAGCACGTGAAATAGCTCGTCAAATATTGTTGAAGCTTTTGTGCCGTAGGCAATTGGAATTGTGAGAATTGTTCTGGGGAAAGACGCCTGCGAACATCCGCAATAATATTGAAATGCGCAGTAGCATCAAGTATTGGAATGTTCACATTTCGTGGCTTCTGATCGATGACGGTCGGCAGTCGCGCAAAAGATCCTGGTGCATTCCGGAGCTCTGTAGGATCAGTTGAAGGTAAGAGCAAGTCGTGGCTATCCTGTGCAAGTTGCGACGTGACTGAAGAATTGGAGTCGCCCAATGGTCTGGCCATATCATTATCGATAGTTGGGCTATAGCCCGAATTGAATAGATAATTCGATATGGCAGAGTCCATATCGATATTTGTAGCACCATTTGGAAGCATCGAGAAGAAGTCAATACCATCAGGCAGGTTCGGGAGGTGATTGTCGTAGGCTGAGTGCGCATTGAAATCGATTGAGTCCAGCTGATCACTTGATGGTCTGTTTGCGTTGACTTGCCCGTCATCACCAAGGTAAGATCCGGAGAGATGACTTTGCTGAGCTGTTCCGAGCGGTACCGAAGTGGAGCTGGGGAATGCGAAGTCTTGAAGCTGAGATTGGCGATATGGGGATCTCAAGTCTGACAAGTCAAGCTGTGCATGGGTGGGAGAATTGCCCAGATAACCATCCTGGGCTGTGGAGTTTGTCTCGGTATGTGGAGGAAGGGATGATTGGGTTGTTTCATCTGCGATGTTCGATTGCCGTGGTTCTTGAGTATCACTCTGTGGTTGCTGAGTGTCTTGAGTGACTGAAATCAGTAAGTCACTGTCTACAGCTCTACTGGATGTACGGAAGAGATTACTATGTTCCATGGACTTGTCCGGGCTGGTGTCGGTGTTCTGGGTATTCTGTGAAAATCGTGCGTCTGGACGTTGATCATACTCCTCATCAACACCTGGTGACAACGTATGGTATCCTACGTCAGGCAGTATTGAATTTCCTTCTTCCTCGACATTGTTTTGATGTGCACCGGTGTTTGTATCAATCGAGTTGTTGATGTTATGCTCGAGACTTCCGAGAGGATGAAAAGATTTTTCATGGCGACTGACAAGGTCCCTGCATATCGTTCAGCTCGAAATCGTAACTTAGGGAAGACTCGTAGGTCATACTTTCGAGAATATCTTCGGCCACAAAATCGGCAAGAGAACGGCTTTTCCCTGGTGTCTACATTCGCGTCAGTTAGAACGTTGGATGTCGATCAAACAACGTACGGCCTCGCACGTGCCTTAAGCAGTGCTCACTGCGTTTGAAAACCTTCTGGCAGATAGGGCAGGAATATTGCCTGTGCGGCTTTTGTGGTCCTTCAGCGATCCGGATACTGTTGCTATCAGAGATTGCGGTCGACGTAAAGGCAGTCGTCTTGTCCAAGGATGTCATCGTGGGGCAGATGTACTGAGGGCAGGGGTGCTGTCGCAATGAAGATGGCTATCTCGCGATTGCGACAAGTTGAAAGTAGACCTCAGTTGACGTTGATACTACGAGCATGGCAATTCAACACTACATTCTGACGTCTGGGGTTTTGCGGGGGATTTCGCTTGTTTGTAACCGAGATCCCGCCCCCGCCCCAATCTCTTGCCGCCTAAAATCTCAGGCAAACGCTTGTGCCTCCCTTCAGCTTCAATTTCGACAGAGGTTGCGATAATTCTTGAGGCGGATGCTGCTCTGAACGTAGACGCCTGCGTGGATCAGAGAGTTGTGGTTCGGGCATATGGCAACCATCGACTTCTAAGATATGAAGATGGATAAATGGCAGATCGGCAGCGGCGCTGATATGCAGCGCTGCATGCCATATCCTCCGAGATGTTAATTGAGATACCGAGTAGTTGGATCTCGCAAAACGTTCGGCAGGTGAGTCATAACAAGGATTGGTTCTTCATCCAATAACATTTGTCCATTGTAAACTTGGGGACTTGATGATCTACTTTCGTAGAACCTTACATATTAGGTATAGTATGATCTGGTGCCTCGGCACGATAAGTCCGACGCATCCAGGAGCGTGAGGACAAGAAAAAACATGAAAACCCAGCTACAAAACCGAATGCTTACGCTTCTCCACAAATCGCGTCATTCCAAGTTAATACTCAACAGACCCATCGCGGTACTGAACGATCTCCTCGCTTCACTCGGGTAACCTTATTGCAGGCATAGAGTCCGCCAGGTCATCGACAGTCCACCGATCAGTGCAGACGGCGTTATAGGCTGCAGCCAAGTCATCGTTGAGGAATCCTGACCAATTGGTGAGGAACATGTCGGCTGCAACAAGCGCCGTTCGCTTATTCCCTTCCTGAAATGAGCATTAGACGAACAGCATATTCGCAATGATGTGAGACTCCATTCGGGTTCCTCTGTGTTTCATATGCTGACCTTTGTGTAGCCTTCTTGCTTCGATCTGAATGGTGTGTTACTTAAGCATCAGACGCGGTTGTAGAGCGAAGCCAATCACATCTGATTTTGCACACTCGAAAGATGGCGAGGAATTCTGCAATGAAGTATATTGCATTTGGAAGAAACGTAGCCTCAATTTCATTTGCTTTTGGACCAGTAGCGATGTCACTTGACATCTTGTGCACCATTTTCTTCAGTCGCACTGATGGCATTCGAAATAGGGGTTAAGGGCTGAGGCTATCTCTTCGATTTTCAACCAGACCGACCATCAATCTTCCCTCTGAAGAATAGCGAAGGCTCAATGCAATTTCATTGTACGAATGTTAGCTTAGTATAAAAATACACAAATTGAAATTCTGTGTGCTTCAGATATCCGGAGAATGTTGCTGAATAACGGGAAAATGCATAGATTATGTACCAAGTCCAGGCCTAATCGTGTATTAAAGATCACATGAGAAATTCATCCCATAATTGTCTATACTTATTTATCAACCCCCACTTCATTCCTCCGATGAAGCGAACATCTTTCACAACTTTTTGTACGTTAGTACTCTGAAATTCCAATTTTGAAGTAATCTTGATTGACCAAGACAAAATAGGATCTCACGAAGCCACAAACGTCCCTCACAGCCGGTCTCTTCGACCGCCTTCCCACTGGTGTTCACGGATGCTTTCCGTGCGTGCTAGCGTCGAAGTCACGAAATCTGTGCCTACGCTATGTGCTGCTATTGTAACTGCTGTGTCCAGTATTTGGGACGAAAAGGAAAGCTTGTTTGGTTTGAGATTGTGGTGAGTGCTCCAAGTGGGGAAATTGGGAGCGCGAATCACACAAGGGCCATTGTTGACGTAGAAAGACCTGCTGCGAAGAGAGTTGTGAGCCCGCCCATCGTGTAATCATACGTCGTTTGGTCGAAAGGAGATCGGGTTTATCTCGAAGTTGAGAAGGATGTTGTTCATCAGAGATGGGATTTTCAATTGTCTCTACCCCACTTTTAACTATGCCGCAGATACCCGTCCCCAAGTCAATTTTATGCGGGGCATTTCACGCGCGTACCTAGGTATGTGGGGTAAAGAAATCTTATCATTCTCAGGCACAAAATACGAAGGTCGCAGCCATAAGTTGTGGCGCTCGTACCAGTAGGGGTTTATGTGCCACAGAAGTCCTGAAGTAACCGGAAAAATCCCTGTAAATTTAGAGCTTGTAAGCTCTCTAGGCTCTTCAACCGTTTTCTTCAATGCGGGGTGACCACGCACCAACCCTACCTAGGTAGTGTCGACAAGGCCCACTCACTCCCGGCCAGTGCCATAACTTATGGCCGCGGCCTTCGTAGAGATATGCAAAGCCCGTACGCCGATCCCCAAATAATAAATATCTTTGCCGGACAATTGCGAACATTGTCTCATTGTCACTGCATTTCATTATGGAGCTGTCTTTGTACCTCTGGTCAGCCGTGGGCGTCCTCGTCCTTTATGTCGCCCAAATTCTTATATCACGACAATGGAGACTTTCAAAATACAAGCTGCCGCCGCGCGTTCCAGGTGTCCCTTTCATTGGCAACACTTTCCAGATGCCCCCTAAACAACAAGGACCATGGGCAAAGGATTTGGCAGACAAATATGGTGAAATGTAACTACTCTGCTTTCCTCTCACATGGTGTCAGATTGACTGAGAAATGGTTCAGGTTCACATGCAAAATCGGCGGCTATGACTGGGTGTTTTTGAACTCTTCTCGTGTTGTAACAGACTTGCTGGAGCGTCGTGCCGCTATCTACTGTTCCCGCCCGCCATTCCCCATGACCCAGGGGATCATGTCTGGAAACTCGCGTATTGTGCTAATGCCATACAATGAACGCTGGCGATTGCTGCGCAAAATCATGCACCAGATCCTGAGCCAGAGGCAGAAGGAGATTTACAAACCCTACCAGGATCTCGAATCAAAGAATTTGCTGTACGATTATCTGCATAAGCCGGACCGATGGTTTGCGGCAAACGGAAGATATGCGAATTCGGTCATTATGAGCGTGGTATTTGGGACACGGTCCGATCTTGATAATCCGGATGTAGTAGAGCTGTTTGAGACGCTTGAGCTGTTCTTAGAGAATCAGCAGCCGGGTATGAATCTTGTGGATGGATTTCCTATCTTAGATCGACTCCCTCACGCTCTGCAATGGTGGCGACCTCGTGGGCAAAGGATCTTCGAGAAGACTCGGGCGTAAGCTTCGCTGTCCGCACATTGAAAGAAAATACTGATCTTACATAGTGTTTACAAACGAGCCCTGGAAAAGGTCGAGCGGAATACGGAGAATGGTACACAGAAAGATTGCTTCGCCATGGACTACATGAAGATCAGCAAAAAGGAGGGCATTGACGAGACGCAAAACCTCTTCGTGCTTGGTACCCTCATGGAAGCCGGTAGCGACACCTCCCGCGTTTCTCTTGGCCAGATCATTGCCGGAGCTGCCACGTACCCAGATTGGGTTGTGCGGGCACGCCAACAACTCGACGACGTATGTGGCCATAATGCGGAGCGACTCCCAGGTTGGGGCGACCGCGACACACTGCCATACATCGCAGCGGTCGTCAAAGAGGGCTTCCGGTGGCGGCCTAACATTGCAGAGATTGGGGCGCCGACGTCGCTGATTCAAGATGACGAATACGAAGGCTACAAGTTCCCTGCCGGCACCGTCTTTGTCTGGAATGCGTGGGCGATTGCGCTAAGCGAAAAGGAATATCATGAGCCGGAGCGCTTCAATCCAGACCGTTTCTTAAATGAAGATCTTCACAATCCGCTAAAGGGACACTGGGCGTTTGGACCGGGTAAGTTTTCATGGTCCCCATAAGCTTTATTCAGTACTTACTTCCCTAGGCCGCCGTGTATGTGTTGGCTGGAGTGTAGGAGAGATGAACGTCTGGATCGCAATCGCGCGACTTCTCTACTGCTTTGACTTCGAGGAGGACAAGGTTGGTCATATTTTTTCTGGCAGCACTGAAATCATAGCTGACATCTCATCCCGTAGGACCAACCCATCGACACCATGACCATTCCACAGATAACGCACAACCAAGCTCCTTTCGCAGTCAAGATCAAAGTCAGGAGTCCGCAGCATGCTGCACTCATTGAGCGGGATTGCATGGCTGCTGTCAACACGAAATACTGAGATTGTTAACTTTTTGTTCCTGTTGGGAGGAATTGGTCTTTCAATGGGAAAGTATCTCGACTATAGGCAGCCAAGTGTTGACCGTGAAGGATATCGGATGATGAGCGAGATTGGCAAGGGAAATGCTAAGATCGCGCGGAGAGGGCATGGTGTAGCCTTACACCTACCTGGGAAAGAAATCACCTTAGATTTAGCGAATACATTATCCTCTTTTGCTGTAGCAGGTCTAAAGCATCATAAGGGAAATTCTACTCAAGTGCATTAGTAAAACAGACCCTATAACCCAATATCAAGCTTGAGAATGTAAAATAAAGTGCCTCAGTGCTATAGTCCTAGTCCACATTTTACAACCTACTCTATTCTATCTCCAAGCCATCGGATACTAGTTAAGTACTCCGTTCATAGTCCAACGCGATCATCTAGGTGGTCCAATTACCTTAGCACAACAGACATAGCTATTGCCCCACTTTCGACGAAATATTCATGCATAGTGCTACCATCTCCGCCAGACCTTCCAAGGTACGTCTTCATTTTTGTCGTCTTATCCTTTTCAGACCCCTTCTGAACATTGCATCTGGAAGAGAGACACGGACATCCTCATACATAGGGTAATGTTAGTCGAGAAATGCCAACAAGCATAAACTTCTCACGAAAGTCTCGTGTTGGCCACCTGCGCATTAGAGACTTCTGGTCATAAGGGATCTTTCGATGTTAGTTTTAAGTTGGATGTATGTAATATCGTTCTGATTGTACTGAAGCTGGAAGGGTGTCTTCGATTGAAAGCAGGGTTGAATGAAGGCATTAGAGTGTGATAAGCAGCTTCACCAGAAGTATATTTGAGGACAGCAAATGGAGGCGTACATACGTGATTTAACTGGAGAAGGAGAGCCTGATATCCGAGAGTGATTTCCAAACCTCTAGTTTCAACAAGTGCACGTTACTGCAGTAAATGAATGGATATTTCTTACGGTTGCGATGAAAGTTGGACTTGAGATTCAAAGGTTCCAGGGGCTTTAGAGGAGTACTGTTAATTACTATGAACGCTATCTTAGCAGGTGACACATGAATGGAACAAGACATCTCAGGAGCGATCTGAAGATCACTGCTATCAGTCTTGTCTCGCTCAGGTTTCTGATGTCAGTCTATCGATAATGGCCATCCTGACTTGTTCGCAAATGGATTTCACAGCAACCAAGACAAGTATAACGCAATTTATGTTTAATAAAAGAACGCGTTCATAAGTTCTAATTTATTGTGTAGGTACATCTCATAACCCTTTACGACGCCCTCACAACGGAATAAGAAAACGATCGAAGAATGCCGCAACCTGCGAAACCCCCTCCGTATTCGGCGCTGTTACACTCGCCACATACCCATCAGGTCGCAACACCAAAAGTGCTCCTACCTTCCGATCGATACCGTACTTTTCATATGCTTGTCCAGAGATCTCACGCAATGACTCGCTATCCGCATAGATCTTCCAGTAATCCATCCTCCTGTCCTGATATCGCGGCCGGAACGCATGCGGGAAGTCGTCCCACTCCACGACGTCTATGCTGCTGGCGTGCACAAGCAGGACCTCGATGATGGAATCGATCTTTTCAGTGGGTGGGGTATAGCGTTTGATAAAGCTATCGCTTGATTCAAGATAGGCGCCGATATCGAGCAACTGATTGTTGAGCGACACATTGGTCTTGAAATCGCTAGGGAAAAGGATGATTCTCCAGCGGCCATCTGATGGGATACGGTCGTTGAGGTACCAGGGTCGTCCATCACATTGGGAGACGACTTTTGCGTCGGCGAAGCGCATACCGATGGGCACGTTCTTTGCAAGGGGGCTATTATAGGGGATAGTGGAGTCGGTGCCTTCGGGCTTGTTGATGATGATGGAACCATCGTAGTTGACTGAACACCCTGTTGCAAACGCAGCACCTGAAAGAGTGTTGTCAGCACGTATATTCTCATATTTCTGCGAATATCACTTACCATTGTCGATGACCTCGCGGAATGCGTCCGTCGAGATCTCACCCGGCTTTCCGGAAAAGAGCCGCGACAACTTAAAATCATACTCAATCAGATCCTGAGCCACTTTTCTGCGCTCCTGTTCATAAGTCGAGAGGATGTCCGGCTTCGCTAGTCCATTGAGCACATGCCCAATCTTCCATGCTAGGTTATAAGTGTCCATCATGGAGACATTCATGCCCTGCCCGGCCTTGGGTGAATGCGTGTGGCACGCATCACCTGCGATGAACACACGCTCCAACTTCTGGAACTTAGCCGCAACACGCTGTCCAATCTGGTACGCAGTAAACCATTGCGTCTCGGCAACATCGAGTGTATATGGTGCGAAAATTTTCCGCGCCGTTTCGAGAATTGCCTCTGGGGTGATCTTGCTGCGGTCGACGCGCGGTCCAGCTGTCTTGCCCTGCTTCTGGTCATTCTCGCGCTCCTCTGCGCTTCTAGTCTCAGGTATGTGCTCCGTCTTCTTGAGCTGGATGTACAGTCGCACAAGCCCTGCCTCGCGCGGAATCACCATGATGCTACCGTCCGACGCAGAGTGGATTGAGCAACGCTTGCGAATGTCTGGAAAGTCCGTAATGGGGACAATGTCAAGGACACCCCAGACGTAGTCAGTGGTCTCACCCTCGACATTGATCCCAATCTGGCTACGCACCCATGAGTGGGCACCGTCGCAACCGAGGACATATTTTGCATGGATGATCTCGCGGCTTTCCGCAGGCACTGCGCCATTACGATCCTGGTCCCAATCGAATTGGCGAAACAGACCATTTTCGATCTTTGAGCCGTACTGCTCGGGTTCGGCGTCGTTGTCAGCCAACTTCTTGACCCCAACGGTCACGGGGTATGCGTCGGGGTTGGAAATTTGGCTTTCATCAATCTCGAGGGTTTCAGGCAGGATGGGCCGCTCAACTTTCATCTTACCATTGCTCCACTCATCGATGAAGTCGGTCAACCAGGTTTCGATACGGCCTTGGTGAATTACACTGCCGTGGAAGCGCGAGATGCCGACGACTCCTTCCGGTTTTCGACCGACGCGGTGTATTTTGCCATTCGCATCGGGCTCATAAAAACATGCCTCTAATTAAGATCAGCCTTGAAGGATGTAAAGAAGTAGTAGCTGGGGTGATTTCTTACCATATCCAATACTTGCGTCTTTCAATGGGCGGTCACCAAAACCAAAGGATTGGAAAACTTCCAGAACGCGGGGCTGTAGCGCAATCAATAATCATTCATTCATATTGACAGGGAAACCCCAAACCTGCAGTCCATCAGCCTGCCCCACGAAGATCTTGGTCGATCTCTTATCAATAATTCGAGCATTGATACCAATCCGCGCAAACCAGCTTGCGGCCATGTACCTAAACCAAGTCAGCGCTTGTTAACGGGTAGCAGCCGACCGGAAGGCAAGCTGCGACAAGGAGGTGACTGTGAACATACCCAGCAGGCCCTGCGCCAATAATTAGCACGTCGACCTTTGATTCCTGCATTCCTGCATTTTGGAGGTTTGTATTTGTGTCATCATGGATGATTGTGCGGTGGGCTTGCGTCTTTCTCTTTCTTAATCGACATTCCGAGAGAATCGTCTGTATATATTGAAAAGTCCAAAAACGCTCTCTGTCGACGAGAGTACAGTGGGGTGTAATGAGTCTGAATAGACCCACTATAAGGAGCGGAGGGGTAATTCTTATGCTGATGAAGCCTATGTACGCAGCAGGCGTGGGGAACTGAGGCTGATGTGCATGCGGAAAAAGTGGAGAAGAAGGGACGTTAAGAAATGCGGGGCTCGCGGGGTCAAGGTTAAGGGGGGTGAATGAGGGATGAGGGGAAGAGGGCGAAAATCGAATGTGGGGCAGACAGATAATCTGCACATCAAATGCCTCTGCTTGATTTGTTGACTGCGACTTCCACACTTTCCAATAGAAGAGAGGACCATCTGCATAATCGACGGGGATTCATTTAGCTTGGACTCTAAGGAAAGTACATGTAAATTGTGCTGACTAAGCCCAGAGAGTTACGTGACCATCGCTGCAATTTCATCATCGAGACCGGAGATGGGATGAAATAAGCTAGGACGTTCTTGGCAATTCCAAGCGGCGGAGAGTCAAACAATTCCTGGAGCCTTGTCATCGTCGTCTTGCCACCAGCCTTCTCCGGATTTTTCTCATCAAAGACCTTGTCGTCGTCGCATGGATCCTGCCTCGTATTGCCGGCCGGAAGATGTTTGACAAATGCATTTCCTTTTCTAAAACCATAAATATCTTTGTGATATCCTTTTTTGTTTAATTATATAATGTTTTTAGTTATGGATGGCACACCGACGTAGATTTGTCGCCACCCAGGAAAGCTGAAAACAGGAATCACAGAAGTATAGACAGGCTCGTGTCCATGAGGTAGAGCTAAATACAGTTTTGGCTGTGCTGAATCTATTAGATAAACATCGAAAGTAACAGCAACAGATTTGGAGTAAACAGTTGCAAAGTGAAAATTTTAAGGGTCTAGAAGATGGAAGGTCCCAGAGTTGGTCGTGAATCAATTGCTTTCCCACTCCAGTCACTCAAAATCGATGTCGATTTTTACCAGCGTACAACATTTCGTATATTATAGGGTAATATGTCTCTGAAAAGCCTCAGTAACCAACGCCAGAAATTGCGTGGAGACCATTAAGAACAAGGGCTCAGCGTCAGCGTGAAAACACTCCTCCACCATCTCCTTTAGCATATCATCATTAGAAGAGCGAACTATCACCATCACAACCTACGCAGCCAGAGGCAATTCGACTACTGACGCCTGAGCCACCTATCACCTCAAGCTATCGCCAGAATAGGTCCAATGTTTGCCGCTCGTCCACAAATACATCATCTTCGCCCACTCATATCCAACAGCTACTGAATGACCTGTCAGATGTAGGGATCGAAATTCAATCACTGGAACGCCGACTTGAAGCAAGTACAATTCGTAAGGGAATTTGAAATATATACCAATCATCACTCTTCATCAAAATTAAAGCGTAAGCTCATCAAGATGCCCCAGACTCCGAGAGCTTCAACACCAGAAAAGATGCGGAGTCAGTATATGAACAGGCAGGACATCAAGACATGGCAATTTGCGGTACGTATTTCAGTCTCGGAAGGTTAAGAGCTTAATAATAAAGTGCATTTTTCATTCCAATTTCAAACGGTGCATACAAAATTTGCAATTAAGGATTGTCCGAAGCGTAGGTGTGTTCTCCTCCATATGGTTGCCCTCTTCTCATCAAGTCTCCGTCGAATAGATACTGTGATCGCGAAAATATGACCGGCATCGTTTACCCAAAATGTACATAGGGATCGCCGTTACACAAATACCCACTTGGATGCCTAATAAAGTCAATACAAGTCGTCTAATGTAAGTAGAGAGATCGAAACGTACCACCCAGACAGTTAAACAGCCTCGCCGGACCCCATGATGCCGCCCAGTTATTCATGAAGACTTTGACACGAGTTAGTAAGTCCAGAAGAGTTTTTTTTACCGCAGACTTACAGGTGAATCCGAAGCACATAAAGTTTTTCGCAATCATTCCAATGATAAAGACCTCAATGGATATTCCTCGGTACCCATCGACCATGTAAGTACCCACGGCAACTGAATAGAACTGATAAGCGGAGAGTGTTAAACCCCAACACACAGCAATACTAACAGGCGATGCCCCTTTAGCAATCAAATTTCCAAAAAGGAAAAATCCAAGGGCCGAAAGTACGGCCATGCCTGCAAACAAGACCAACCGGAACTCAGGCTCGTATATGCCGTTGTTTTTCTTTGCCATGTACTCAGCAATACGATCTGAGATACTCCCACAGAATATTGCGCCCAGGACAGCTCCAATGATAGGGCCACCATACAAATAACCGGTTTGAGCTGAGTCGAGGTTGAATGGCGGAGCTGAAAATACCTGAGAAATAACTAAAGACATGAGTACCTGCCAAGTCGTGATTACGGCGATTGTAAGTGTAGACCAGATAACTGCTGGGTTGACGCAGATGACGAAAGGCCGAACGGTAAGAGAAAAAAATGACTGGTTCGTATAGCGTCCAGAATACAGGGCTAGACGTCTCGGGAATGAATTGCGTTTCAGGGTCAAAGAGTCGTTCACAGCTTCCTCTTCCACAACTGAAGGTTTTGTGTCATCGAAAACGAATCCAGTCTATCCATTGTTAGCTTGTGCAAAAGATGCGTCGGGCAGGGGGATGGTAATCACATCAGCCGCAACGTCGGTGTCGAAGAGCGCAGCATCTCGCCTGTACACCGTTTCCCACCCAAAGAAAATGATGGCAATGGTTCCGATGCCTAGGAATATATTGAGGACATAAAAACACCAGCGCCAACCAAGATTTTTTGCGACTACACCGGCGATCAGAGAGCCGAAGTTTCCAAAACCGGAGGCGCAAGTCCCAAAAAAGGCCATTCGGGCACCACGTTCGTGTACAAAATACAAGTCTCCAACGATGGAGTACATGACCGATTCCCACACACAAACGCCGCATCCTTGCAAAACCCGAGCTCCAAGTAGGAAGTTATATGATGTTGCAACACCGCCCCAGATAGTACCAGCCAGGCAGAATAACATAGAGAAGACGAATACCGGTCTCTTCCCGTAAACCCGAGTCCAAGTCGACATGAAGACTCCCAGTGCACCGACTGCGCAGAGCTGGTACCCGGTGAGTTGTGAGACCTGCGTGAAGGAGATGCCGAAACTTTGACTAGAAGGAACGCAGATGGCGAAAGCAAGGGTCCAATCCTAAAACTGTTATCAGATATAGCATTACTTCGAGTTCGGGTTAGACATACGTTCCAGCACACAGGATGGTGCAATAGCAGAGCAAGAGGAAAATGATATCTCTCTGCCATAAAGGCCAGTTCAGAGGGTCATTAGGATCGTTTGACGGCTGTGGAACCAGCACAGTCTTTTCGTGCTGACCGGTGCCATGCTTAAGATGAGCTGCATTGAATTGCTGCGCCGATTGGACATCTTCTAGAAGGGCGGTGCCGGGAACGTGACCACCGCCTTTAATTTCCAAGATTCCGAAGGTCATTGTATTGTCTTTGTCTGTGCTGGTGAAAGTTTGACCGCCGGCTAGTCTTGGCGAGGATATCTTGTTGCCTTTAGTATTTATATGTAAGATACATCCCACTCGAGTATAAATGATCTTTTTCCCCTCTTTCTCCGTTGCCCCAGAGAACGCCACTCAATTTCCCCATATTTTCGTCCTTGCAACACGCCTGCAATAATGTGGGGTACGCGAGGCGGTTTGGTTACCTCAAGGATTTTTTTGAGCGCATCCAAAGCCTGAATATTCAGACTAGGTCCTTAACTAGCCAGTTCTTTTCGGGTTAGGTTCTTACCCCTTATTCATCAGTGGTATCCGTGGCGAACATTTGGTTCACCCAATCAGACCTTAGCAAAATATGCACCCCACATAAAGTTCGATTTTACCCCATTTTACCCCCATCTCTTATTTTCGCATCCAGGTAGCATTTACACCCGGAGAAGTGGGGTGATTTCAGGTTAATTTAGTGAGACCAGCCAGAAAAAGGAACGTGAGTTGAGAATGTGAATTGGGCTCAGGAACATGGGCAACAAATTATCATATCCGTCTCAGATCCCAGATTATCTACTGTATCACCACGATCTAAGAAGCTTCAACTGAATAAGTTATTCTTAGCCAGAGACCTTGCCCTTTCCGGCAGCATTAAGCATTCCCCCGATGCCATCAATCAATGGGATTGGCCCGACGGCCCAAAAGTCTTTCCAGACACGCTGACTGATGCGCCAACCCTCGGCCGTCTTCGTGAGCCGGTCAACATAAACACCCTGGACCTGGAACAGAAGTGGATTGCCGTCGACGCCATTGAGCCCGGTAGGATGGAGAGTCTTCGACTTCACCGTCGCGCCCTGATGATCGTGGTCGAAAGTGATCTGAATGTTCGTGCATATGTGAAAGACGTACGGGAATAGCTTGCCAGTTATAAAGTCGCCCCTTTTTGCCTCTGCCCAGGTGGTGCGTACACCGCCAGATGCGGTCCAGTCAAATACTGTCTCGGGCAAAAAGATGCGTTCGAGCGGCTCAACAACCTTCTCATCCACTGCGTGCACATACCGTGCAAACATGTCCATGATCTCAAGGCGATCGGAGATTTCTTCTATAGTGTAGGTCATTGTACCATCTCTTACTGGTCGCTTCCTAGAATTGTGGCGTCGTAGCGAAGTGATTGTTGCTGGGGGTGAAATATGTATCTGGCCTGAAGTTTAACAAACTTGCCATTGATGCTCACGATATATTATATAAGTGAATTGACGAATGAGGTTCCCCACAATTCTGAATATGAATGCATGGGGTAGGCGACAAGTGACAAGCATCCCTAAAACTGAGGTGGGGAGAATATTACGGGGTTGAATCACCTCCACATCCATCCTTGGATCTTCGCCTGAAATCTAACAATCCTATCCATATCTAGATCGTGGGGTACCTTTGATTAATGTGGGGGCTTATAACCGGTGGAAATAGAGGCTGGAAAGTTCTCTGTAAGGCACAAGGTTAGATGAAAAGGCGACACCCTTTCTTCAACCAAACAACCCCACAGCACATGGATGGTCATTTTTCTTTAAAGAAGTGATAATCGCCTTGATGTAGCAAAAAAAAAAAATATTGTATATATATACAATCGCCGCTAGCGATTCCGAGTTCACAAAATCACCATGACTTCCATTACGATACCTGAAGGAGTCTTCAATCGTCTAAAGGGGAAAACTGTCATTATTACTGGAGGCAGGTCAGGGATTGGAGAAGCCGCCGTCCACATACTTGCAAACCATGGCGCGAACGTGGTCTATGGCGATATTGCTCCCGGCGAATTTGAGCAACCCAACGTCGTCTACCAGAAGGCAGACGTGAGCGATTTTACATCTTTGCGGTCGCTATTTGCGTTCACAGAGCAGAAGTTCGGACCCGTCGATATTGTCCTTGCCAACGCAGGAATCCACGAAGAAGAGGACTGGAACAACGAAGATTGGCTGAATTCTACAGCGGGAAGTAAAATTGTTGACGTGAACTATACCGGAGTGGTGTACACAGTTAAAATCGCCCTGCTTTCCTTCAAGCGGAGCGGCAAAAAGGGCAGCATCGTCCTTACCGGATCGGCTAGCTCCTATCTCGACTCGTCGCCAGTATGCATTTATGCCGGGACAAAGCACGGCGTGCTGGGTCTATTGAGAAGCGTACGGACGGTTGTGGGAGATATCGCCAGGATCAATCTCATCGCCCCGTGGATGGTGGACACTAAGCTTCCTCCTCCAGGGATTCTTGAATTGTGGGGTGAATTGCCTTTGAACACCCGTTAGTTTTCCCTTTCAGCTCTGGTACATATTTACCATTTCACTAACTGTAGAAACAGCGACTGGTGTGGCAAATGCCATACTGTATGCGGCTATTGAAGAAAAATTTCACGGAAAGGGGTTCTTCGTGGGAGGGGATAAAATCACAGAACTCGAGACGATGATCGATCAAACCCGACCGCAATGGATGACCCAGGAGGTTTCTGATGGAGTTGAGGCAGGGTGGGAACGCCTCAGCAAGGTTCGCATTATGACTAGAGGAGCGAATGCAAATTGATCCCATCAGTGTTACCGCCATGGTCAATGGTATTTCAATAAGCCATACACAAAGTTGTCAAACTTGTCACTTAGAACATCACAACTAGAAAGGGTGTAAATATTAATCTTCTTTTACTTAATACCGCGCGTTAAATTAATAGAAATTCCCAACATCACTTGAGGAGATAGGAGGAGACTCACAACATACCTCAGTGTCTCTTCAATCCTATTATCCAAATTGCTCAACACACCCCTCAACTCCCGTTGCGGTTGCGGTTGCGGCCTGTATACCTGCGAACCCAATCTTAATCCCTGTACCTCTGGATAATCCATCCTCGTGCTCCCAATCGGTGAGACTGGAGACCGGAGAATGGATTCCCTGAGCGGGGAGGTCGGAGGAGAGATCCGGATTAAGCCCTGGGAGGTGTGTCTGAATGGACGGAGGATGATTGGTGAAGGTGGGGAATATATCAGTGGGATTGATCCCGAGATTTGGACAGAACTTCTACGGTTGAAAGATCCCCTTCTACGCTCGGGGATTGAGGGAGGAATGATGTGCTCATTCCGGGAAGACCAATGTAGTCCTTGACCAACGAGGCTTCTAGGACGGACTCGCCTGATGGATACGGGTGGACAGGATCGTTAGTCCATCCGTATTTAACTGCTACGCGCGAAGCCGCTTGTCTAGCTTCCTGTGCAGCATTCATTCTTCTCATAGGTTGAGTCGCACAGTTAAGGGGTGGTTTCGGAGCTGCTCGTGGAGTCCCGATGTCAGTAACAGTTTTTCAAATGAGATAATGGTAAAGCATCAAGATGGTGGGCAAATAATTGTATTGTATAGTCTAAGGTCTAAAAATCAAGAGAGGAGAGGAATAAAGATATAATATAAAAAGGAGATTACGAAACCTTTAAACTAAGACTCGAACTAAAAATGCCCTATTACACTATTACTATTACGTAATATCTATTTAATACATCTCTTTAAAAAGTATAGTAATAATAGCCTTACTATAATAAGCAAAAAATAAAGCTAAAGGTTTAATTCGGGATCCTTAAAAGCCTATTTAAGCTTCCTAAGAATTATTGGTAAAACTTGACAAAAATGAAATAAAAAGGCCCTAGTCTATATTTAGCCTAATTGGAGATCAAATGCGTGAGCAAGTAGTGGATACTGCTTAGGGGCTGCTTAGGGGCTGTTTAGGGACTGCTTAAGTTGCTTAAGCTAGTCAAGTGAGCTGGGTGAGGAGAGGGTCAGCCGAGGGTGATTAGCGCCTGAGTAGAAGCAGCGAGCTTACTAATCGACCTTGGGATGAAGAAAAAAAAAGTTGTGTTCAACTGCCAAAGCCAAAAAGGCGCAGAATGGCGTTCAAATTCCAAGGCCAAAGTTGCGAATGATAGTTTCATCGGGACCAGCGTCCGAAAAGGAGATAGTAGAAGCTCAACCGGTGCCTGTCAGAACAGAGCTTGACAAGGCGCTCTGGCGAAATTGCGAGCTGACTGACCACTATTACGATTTGGTTGCGAAGGAGGATAGTGTTCAATGGATGACATACGACGAGCTTGAAGGAGTTCAATCCAACGCGATGATCAAGTGGATACAGGATCCAGCAAAGAATCCGTTATTCCATAAGATGGGTGCCCGTAGCTTGGGTTTGAAGCGAAGCAATGGCCAACTCAGCGAGGTGGCTCGCACTGCCAAAAGGCCTGAAACTAGAAGGAAAGTTATGGAATGGGAAGAAAACGCATGCGAGCACCTTGCACCGCTGTACAAAGAGATGGTATTGTTGCGCACTGAAATTGCAAAGTTGGGAAGACACAAGAGCTTCTTCGAATACAAAAGTCATTTCAAGATGATGGATGCCAGATCTGTTGCTACGTCTCTCGAGGACTTGAGAAAGGATTTAACGCCTCAGTTCCAGAGTCACATGAAAAGCATATCGGAAATGACACTGAAAGACCGCAACTTCTCAGCCTCCACTACACAGTTGCGCCAAGATGTCCAGCAGAGTGGTAACGATATTCAAGCCTTTCCAGCCTCCCATGAAGAATGTCAACTTCACTGGGGAGAAGTTTATAAATACTCGTTTGAGAAGCGGAAGAAGTTTCCATGGCGAGAGGAAGTACACGACTTTCCTGACTATTTTCCTCTAAATACCACTCTTCCCGGCTTGTTGTCCATATTTGGCCATGTCTTTGGGATAAAATTTCGAGAGATTCTCCCAGATCAAGCTGAATACACGAGATATGTTGCAGACTATGTGGCCCATCCCGACTCCTTCTCAAAAGCAATGAATCGGGAAGATACGCTCAAAGTCTTTGTAGCACATGATACTAGTGAATCGTGGAAAGGATTAACGACCCTTGGAGTTGTGGTTTTCGATTCTCTAAAGCGGTCAAATAAGCCTATCGGCGGACTATGTCTTCCGTTTACGACGGTGCGTATATTTTACTGTTCCAATGAGGAAGCTTCCTAATTCAGTGAACAGTACAAGCTAGACCGCAACCAGATGGTCAAAAAACGTGGGCCTGGAATCGCAATCCAAACTGCTTTCGAACGGGCCAGCACAGACAGACCTACTTTACTTTACCCATCAGATCTTTAAACTCTAGCTCACGAGATAGGCCACTGTATCCACCAGCTGGTGCGTGGGGATTTCTATGGTCTCCCATGGGACTTCGTTGAGATACCAAGCACGGTGGCAGAAAACGGGTCCGTGATCCCAAGATGCTGCAAAAGCTATCATCGCACTATGTTTACGATAAAGAAGAATACCTCAGAGCTTGGAAACGCAAGAAAGGCAGGGAAGCCGAAGTACCGCCCAAGCAGGCAACTCTGGAAACCTTTGATTTCATAGCATATAATTCCCATTCCACAAACCGAATAATAGATTTTCAAATGACACTGTGGAAGGCAAAGTTCGACCACACCGTCCACAGCTACTCCGAGGAGGAATTGAGATCCGCTGATTTGCAATCGGAATGCCACAGAATTCTGTCAGAATGGACCGGTATCTCCAGCCTAGGTAGCGAAACAAACGGGGCGCAAACGAATAATTCATACTTGACCTGGACTGATCAAAAAGGATACTACACATCGTATTACTCTTACCTCGTTTAAGTAAATTGGCTTCGTTCCCCATGCATGCCTTTTTTTATATATCAATAAACCCCCCGAGCCTATTATTGTATCTTTTATCTTATCCGCTCACACTAACATTGGCAGTGCTTGGGTTTACGCAGTAGATATCTGGAATGAATTTTTCGCCAAAGATCCCATGAATCAAAAGCAGGGCCTTCGCGCTTCCGCAAAATAGTTCTCGAACATCGAAGTCAAATCGAACACTTAGTAGAAAACTACAGAAAAGGCTCTTTCGAAGGATCTCAACTTCTGCTTCGGCTCGCAGAAAATAATGGGCGTCTTGAGAATACTATGGGCGCTCTAGAAAAGTTCATGGGGAGGAAGCTGAGCCTTCAGGCATTCATCAACTCTTTCAACACTCCAGAAGAACAACGAGCGTCACGTGGGTTCTGGGCAAGAGTTAAGGCCAAACTGGGGAGCAAGAGCTTTTGGGGACGATGATTCGTGAGTTTGACAGGAGGAGTGTGTGTATCCAATTCGAGCACTGTCTTGTCTCGAACGCTGCCTTGCCTTGAGCACTGCTTTGCCTCGATTAATGTACTTGCCAGGAAGAGTAAGCGTGGAGTTCTTATTTCCGACAATCAAGAAATAGTCCGCGGATCAGACCACTTACGTAAAGAAGTGAGTTACAGCTAAGTGCTTGATTTTGGGCTTGGAAAAAATGTAATCAACAGTCTGCAATGCTTATATTCGTATCGAACAGAACCGGAATAGTTAAGCTATGTGCATTAGCCTAGTATCGTGAATCTTTTTGTCCTGCTCTGCTCTCATTGTTGTCTAGCTTCTCGACGTCTGCCAGAAGCAAACTTCCTAGGATCCCTGATCACGATTGCTTCACGTGACTGACCGTCGGGGAGCGAGGGGGAGGGGGGTTCCAACATGGTGAACAAGCTTCTACGAGGATGAACCGATATACAGACTTGATAACCGAATGTTCTGTACCTTTGGCTTGTAACATGCCCAAGTATTTAGGATGTTGATCGTGGTAGTTAGGAGGGCTAAGCGAGGCTCAATTCGGCTAGCACGTGCATAGTGGAAAAGGGGCTGGAAGTGTCTTGGTACAGCATCCTCATCACAAGCTCTTACTACTGTCAAGAAACAGTGGCTCGTATTTGTTGTTTCTGATGTCTTCATGGATTGCCCTGCTGCTCTGGTTGATCTATCTCTCGCGATTTGCAATGTTCCACATCTGACTCGATCACGCAAGCGAGCGCCTCAAAGACGAATCTGTGACCCCCACCGACATCTTCAACAAACACCAAATATACTTCTTATTAAGCTTCAAATACCGGTTTGTCTTATCATTTGACAACCCCATTCATTATCAGCTGCGTGGTCCCCTATTCATCGCAGTCCAAGTCATTTTCGATGTTCCTTGCAGACGTAGGCAGGGGCTTACGCGTTTCGATTGGACAACACCACATGTCGCGATATTTCGAGCGCAGATGACATCTCCAACCTAAAACAAGGCGTCATCCCTCGTGTTTCGTTTCCGAGAACTCTTACATACTTCTAGCCCTCCATGAGGAGGCATGTCTCTCGAGAAGATGTTCCTCCAGACATCCCAATGCATCGCTTCACGAAGACACGGTATCAACGACTCGCGTCAGAAGGCTCAACTTCTGAAGCTCCAAACGAGGGAGATTCAGAGTATAAGGACGATGAGTTCGCATATGACGCATCGGAAGACTTCCAGAAGATTTCGAGGATACCGACAAAGATGATAGTGATGTCTCATCAAAGTTGCTTGGGAAAGGTAAATCATTAGCTCTGGGTGTCTCGGGATCCGAAAAGAGATTCTGGTTCCAAAGGTCGAAGGACTTGTATGATACCGAAGCAATAGCTACTCAGCCCTCCGTATTTGATGATCCGGAGACTCTAGAAGACTACAGACCCGGTGACGATTGGGAGAACATCCATCGTTTCGATCCCGATGAAAGATGGACGTGGGGTGAGGAGCACAAGCTGATCAGGAAAATTGATTCCAGAATTATGGTATTCGCTGCTGTTATGTTTATGGCTTTGGAGCTGGACAGGTCAAATATCTCCCAGGCCTTAACGGATAACTTTCTGGATGACTTGGGCATGACTACAAACGGTAAGTTGATATTCCCAGGAAAACACGTGACCATACTAACTGCTTAGATTACAATCTTGGAAACACAGTCTTCAAGCTGGCATTTCTCTGTGCAGAGCTTCCCTCACAACTATTGGCAAAGTGGATTGGTCCTGATATTTGGATTCCCACTCAAATGGTGGTTTGGTCCCTGGTGGGTTCTGCCCAGTACTACCTCAAGGGGCGAAATTCGTTCCTGTTCACTCGAGCGCTACTGGGTATGCTTCAAGGGGGCTTCATACCTGAGGCAAGTTCTGTGTTGAGTTGTACTTGGCTTTCGTTAACAGATACTTCAGGTAATCCTGTATCTCTCGTACTTCTACAAGCACCACGAGCTTTCCTTGCGACTTGGCTTCTTTTGGACAGCGTCGGCGATGGCAGATGTTCTCGGTGGTTTCCTTGCTTTTGGTCTCCTGCATCTCCGAGGAGTTGAAGGTCAAGCTGGATGGAGATGGCTGTTTCTAATTGAAGTGCGTCTTCTGAACCTCGTTTGCATAGTAGACTCACAATTTGTTAGGGACTAATTACCCTCGTCGTTGGAATTCTCGCCTTCGGACTTATGCCGTCAAGTCCGACCTCCAGCGCCGGCTGGCTACGAGGAGAGAAAGGTTGGTTCTCGGAACGCGAAGAAAAGATTATGGTGAACAGGATCATTCGCGAAGATCCAAGCAAAAGCTCCATGCACAATCGAGAACCACTTACCCCGAAGCTGCTCTGGCAGAGTATGAAAGATTACGACCTCTGGCCTATCTACATACTAGGTTTGACGTTCCAGACTCCCATGACAGCACCATCAAACTACCTCACCCTGTCACTCCGAGGTCTTGGCTTCGATACGTTCAACACGAATCTGTTGGTCATACCGAGCAAAGTGCTGCACGTGATTACCATGCTAGCTCTCACCTATGCAGGCGAGGTCTTCGGCGAACTTACCTTCACTGCCTTGATTGGCCAAATATGGGCCCTTCCTTTCATAGTTTTTATCAACATTATTGATATCAGCGAGATCAATAAATGGGCAGCTTGGGGGATCATGACAGCTCTGCTTTGTTACCCAAATGGTACGTCCAATCCGATATATTTTGGTTTTCAAGCTGACTCGACATCTTGAATTCTAGCGCATCCAATTCAAGTAGGTTGGAACTCCAGGAACTCGAACACTGTCCGCTCTCGTACTGTCTCGGCTGCCCTTTATAACATGTGCGTTCAAACATCGGGAATCATTTCCGCCAATATCTATCGAGAGGACGATGCACCTCGCTACAAGCGTGGCAACCACGTTTTAATCTCACTTCTCATTCTCAACATCTTCTTGTATCTCGGTACGAAAGCATATTATGTAAAGCGGAATGAGTACAGAGACAAGACATGGGCCAAGATGACAGAAGATGAAAGATTAGACTATCTAGCGACAACAACAGATGAAGGGAGTAAGAGACTGGATTTTAGATTTGCTCATTGAGTGAAACGACATTATAGAGGCGTTTGAGCAAAATAGGAAGCAGCATATCGAAATGCTGCCGAGGATGGCTGCCGTCATGCTAGGACGGTGACCGCACGGACTTTAGCGCCGTTTATGCGGGGTACGGAGTAACTTCATAAGAACTGCATCCCTCAACATCGTTTCTCTCGACATTCCTTCACTCTCAACAAAATCGAGTAGGATCATTTTGCAGCGTTTCCTTTTAGATATGTCGTCTATGGGACGCGGTCCGGCGACGCCGCACTTAAGCTTCATGTGCTGAATTGAATTTCTCATTGGGTCATCCTAGTGGATGGACGACAAATTTGTCATTCTGCTCCTTGGTCACATGTGCGAATAGAAAGAGGATATGGGTGCCGTCCGAGATTCTCGCCATCATACTTCAATTTCTCTATCAGCAGTAATATGTATGGCCACGGCACTGTCATACTTCGGCAAGTGTTTACTGCCAAGTGTAAACCTCGTCTATGAAACCAGTTTATCGGCAATAGACGATTTCGGCTATTATACATAATTAAATGCTTGCAGCTGGTAGGACGATGTATATTGTTCGAATGCGATAATTTGTCACGTCAGTTCTTGGATCTAAGATCGCCTCCCATAATAGATTAATTTCCGAACCCGGTAGTTAAGGTTTGGTGGGGAAACCTTGGATTATTGAATACATTTGGCTATGTTGGTGGATAAACGAGAAATAAACATCTCAGCACTGTATATCCCTGGACAGCGGCAGATCATCGTGCCCTAACGTACTCTGATAAGTGGAGTTGGAATGTTTATATGTAGTCGAGTGAGCTCGACACAAACACGTTTGAGTATCTCAATTGTCACTGAAACGGATCAATAACTTTGATTTGCAAAGATGTGGACTTCTCTCGCAGTGGGCCTTGCTGCGCTCGTCGCGCCTTCTCAAGCCGGCCTTCGATTCGGATGCTCGACTCTCAGTATCCAACGTCTCGATCCGATTGTCCAACCTGGCATTAATCCATCTACACATGTCCACCAAATCATTGGAGGGAACATGTTCAACGCATCCGTGGATCCAACGATTGATGTTGGCAACGCAGCTTCTTGCACAACCTGTGTTTTCGCTGAGGATTTCTCCAACTACTGGACCGCTACCTTGTACTTCAAGCACCGCAACGGCACGTACAAGCGCGTCAAGCAATATCCGAATGCAGATCTCGTCAACGGTGTTCAAGGTGGAATGACTGTCTATTACACCCAGCAGGATTTCAATTCCAATGGCAACCAAAAGATCACGGCTTTCAAGCCTGTGAGTAAATCAGTTGTATGATTGCAGGAGGCTAACGGTTCTAGGGATTCCGCATGACCGTTGGTAAGCCGACAACGAACACCAAAGACCAAGCAGTCAAGAACACAGGCATCCGCTACACGTGCCTTCAAACTATCATGACAAGAGGTGCCGAGACTCCCGACTTCCCAACAAAACCATGTCCTGCAGGCATCATGGCCATCCACCATTTCCCCGCGTAAGTATCTTCTCTACCACACGCATAGAAGAGCCAATGACTAACAACAATTAGATGCTGGGACGGCAAGAACCTCGACAGCGCCGACCATCAATCACACATGTACGACACCGGCAAAGGCGGTTTCCAAGTCGCCGGACCCTGTCCATCCTCGCACCCTGTCCGCATGCCTCAGGTTGCCCTCGAGACAATGTGGAACACCACCGAGTTCAACGACAAGTCGCTCTGGCCCACCGACGGCTCGCAGCCCTTCTACTGGAGCACCGATGACGATACGGGATACTCTAGTCACGCTGATTACCTGTTCGGCTGGAAGGGCGACTCGCTTCAGAAGGCTATGGATTCCTCGTGCATGTTTGATGCTTGTGGAAATGGGAATCCTCTTAAGACTCAGAATGCGGCGCAGATGAATGCTTGCAAAATTAAGACTTTTGTTGATGAGCCGGTTGATGGATGTAAGTTGTTTTGTTCTTTGTCTGGAGGTAGAAGCTAATACGTTGTTTCTAGGGCTTCCTCAACTTCCAGGTGCTCCATCCTTTATCAAGGCATAATCGAGTCCGGCTTCCGGAGCTTTGTTTCTTAGTCGTTCAATTCATACTTTCGTTTCAGAAAGCAAAGATGGTGGAGATTAGTTGGCGAGGATTCTCGTGGTGGAGGAGACTGGGGGTCCAGGAGATTAGCGATTGTGAAAGTGGTTTTATTTCTATACTCGTTGTAGGAGTGAATTTTTTGTATCCTTTAGTGGCTGATATCAAGAATGAAGGATGATTTAACTGCTTGTCGAATTGTGAGAGTAAATAGTCTCCGTACGTTGCCATTGCAAATAGTTTCCATCTGGATACACAGACAACGTCATATAAGAACGAGAACTATTTTGCTGCCTGCTCAAGCACGAAGAAATTTAGAGTCACATGACTAGTTCGCTATGTCAACATCTCATGTAATACGGCGGACTTGCCCAGGTATCGTGAACCACTTCTCTCTTTTTTGAGTGCCGTATGGGGCCAGTAAGCTTGCTACTTTTGCTAAGGCGCTAATCGCCTTTAGCTCGGTCGACTCGCTTGATTAACTTGAGCACCCTGAGCAGCTCACCTGAGCAGGTCTGAACCTTCTGAACAAAATTAATCACATCATCACATTTTTGTAACTTCTCGGTTCTTAGTCAATCAAACTTGATCTAATCTCTGTTCTCCTATATCATTTTTGTCAAAATTTGAAAGGCGCTGCTAACAGAGCCGAAGCGAGTTCTCAAGGAACCCAAAGTGGATACTTTCCAGGAATATACTCAATAATCTGCCTACGGTATGAGTTCCATTATTATAGATGCTACTAAGCTCCTCTGTATTATTTTGTTAACAATAACGATGTTCGAATCCTCAGAAGCTCGTCACCACGAAACGCTGCAGCTTTGACAAAACTCTCATTCCCACAAAGCGTGAAATTGGTCTCGAAGCCCCCGCTCGTGACATTTCCCACAGCCTTGAGATCAGTCTCCGTTGGCCCAGTAAAGACCTCCCAGCTCGATATCCCTGTTGCTCCATTCCAACTCACGTGCAACACACCATCTTCCACTACCGCATCGGGATCCGCAGCTGGAGTTCCGACCCACTCCTGTCGATAATTTCTGTATGATGCGGCCCCGGGGAAATTCATGGCGGAATTATTGTCGTACCCGTAACGAATACTCATCCTGACGTCGTGGTCCTCAACCGGTCCAAACTCTTTCATTGCAGGTATTTGGCCGTATCCTAACAATGTGTTGCCGTTTGGGAGAGGCCAGAACGTTCCCATTTGGTCGTTGAAGATCTCTACTTCGGGATCGGCGAGGTTCTTGAGCACGGTGGCTGTCTTGGTGACGATATTGAGATGCAGCTCGAGACCTTTGGTTTGATGGCTGCCGTTGAATGGGTTTGCGGCGTTGAAATTGTTCATGTAGTGGAGAATGAGATCCGTATCAGTGACGTTCTGGGCGCGGGCGTGGTGTTCCCGTGCCTGATTGCTGTTAGCGGTGCAAGACTTCATTTGAAGAAGTAGTACGTACAAAGTGTCCATCTTCTGGCAAAGTAAAGTCTCCTCCGGTGTCACCCTATTGAATTTTAGCTCTGTAAAGTGGTTTTTGATAGACTCATTACCTGTATTTCCACTGGATTGCTCCTGAGCTGTTCAACATGTACGTTGTCCACATATGGCGCCCGTTGACAAGATATCCATCGCCGATAGCCTGAACCGAATTGACATGAAACCAATCATAAGGACTTGTTCGAGTACCGTTGCCAACAAAATTTGCTGCTCCGAGAGGGGTGGCCTTTGAAAGGTTGAAGGGTATTCCGGCTTCAAGTGCACTCCACTGGAATAATGTTTTGTTTGTCTTGATATCAACCTCGACGAAGAGAGAATCATAGACCCATCCGTCCGTGGAACCGTTGACAGATGTTAGATCTGCTTGAGTGATGTTGTACATACTGATGATGATTGAACCGCGTTCCGTAATGAACGATTCGTGAACGTCTGCGTAGCAAGGGAATGTGATATTGGGAGCGTGCAGGGTGACGACCTGAACCTGAGGACAAACTCGATAGATCTCGGTATATGTTTCGCCCAGTATGGAGATATGACCGTAGCCCATCGGTCCATCGCTACCGCCGGTCCAATAGTGTAGAACTGGTTTTGAGTCCAGGGATTGTACGAACAAGTTTGTGTAGGAGAAAGTCTCGAGAGACCCTACCTGGCTGTTCCAAATTAGATCTCCGTCGTCTGACATTATGACAGCGGCGACTTCGGCGACTCCATTGAAAGAAACAGGGGTGAGAATGATGTATCCAGGAGCGAGGGGTTCTCCAGATTTTGTGACATTGAAGACTAAAAGTGTAGCAGCGATTGTCTTGAATGACTGCTTCGGCCATGGCGTGACATTCCGTCGATTCATTTGGTGAGCCAGGGCCGAGGAAGAGGTACAAGTCCCGACCAAGGCAATCGCAGCGAGAATGAGGTCGAGAAGATACATCATGATATGCTCAGAAAAGCTAGGAAGATATGGAGAAAAGCTAGTGGGTTCAGGGTGAAAGCTTTGAGATAGGCGAGGAAATAAATCGTAGTTAAGCCTTACAAAACGATCACACACACATATATATAGCTGGCCAAAGTTGCAATGACTTTGCAATCTGACTGACCATCCGGGCCTTCTAGATCTCCAGCGCCAAAGAACTTTGGAATGCCAAGGAAAGCAACTGATCAACGGGGATTAGAGCATCGACTCTTAGGTAGCTACAAAGAATCAGTAAAATTACCGACAGAAAAAAATCATCACTTATTGTCTGACTACAAGGTCTACATACCCCTATCCTAGCCGAGCTTCGGGCCGAGGGCGCTGCACCTTTCCCCCAATAAACAGTGTGATTTGACAAGAACACGATTTGTGCATATAATATCAATTTCAAGGCCTCTTCAATCGAGCAATCCATGGAATTCAGCCTTCCAAGTATGCAGGTACGACAAACTCAAAATTTTAACCGCGGTTAGAGGTAGGTCGCTTAACCTCTTGGAAAATGCCAAGCCCAGTGACCACCGCATTAGGCTAGGCCTAGAACAGCTCGAACAAGGCTTGACCATGACCATGCCCACGCACCTGCAGTCAGCAGCACAACACTCGATGGACCGCGTATTGTATAACACGGGAGAGCATTATTGCAGTGAGGCACAGATGGCCAAAAACAGATCTCTGACGACGTTGAGATGATTGATGACGCATGCAAAGCTTTACGCAATCAATGAGCCCCTAAGTTGCTGCTGGACTTGTTCCCAGAGACCCGTGCAGGCTTGATCATGCATCATGTCCGTCCAGAGGAGTTCCAACAGACATGATTCGACTTCTGACCACTCATGAAACCCCAAGCTCATCATACATCGAGCGGTGCGGTATGAAAACCACTCCCTATCCAGGGACTCTGTGGCAACCATTCCGCCAATGTAATATACCCAGAGAAGAACTTTTAGAGATGACAGGTCTTGATCCCATAATTGCTGAAGTTCTGCCGTTTTGGTCGTTGTCCGAAAGGAGGATTGTAAATTTTCGCAAAGTTTTCGCAACATGTTTTGGTTCGGGGTGTCTCGAGCAAGTGCATACTCCATGAATATCAGTGCTGCTATGCGGCAAGGTTCATACAGATATGTATGAGCTTTTTCAGTCGGTGGAGATTTGGATTTTTGGGTAGAGAGCAATCTGTTAAAGATGAATGATCTTTTCTCCACAAACAATATAGTACGATCTGAATCTCCATGGTCGGATGCGAAGCTATCTTGCAGAGCTAGAAGATGCCGAATATTCTTGAAAATGACGGAGAGTGGTGCAAGAACACCTTCCATGGACTCCAGTAGAACACAAGCTACGCCGCCAGACGCAGAGGTGTCGATGAACCCGCTTTCTCCAAGTGCGGCGAATCGTGGCTTCGAATTCGTCAATGTGACGGCAATGAGATCTAACCTATAAATATGTGAATAACGTATAGACGAGAAATGCTGTGGAATTGGCACCTTGTTACAAGAGCATGCAGGAGCCCGCCGAGTCCCAATGTTTTTAGCCCTCCGCGTATACGAACCATGCGTGCCAATCCATCTAAATGAAGCTGCATCTCTGGGAGGTTGCCATTGTAATTCTACGCGCAGTCAGTATCCACGCAACAGAAAGGCATCAGAGACTCAGATTTACCGCAGTCCAAGCCATCAGAACCACAGCGCCAATGATGGAATCACTGACGCCATCTGGAGACTTTAAACATTCATTCACGAGTCGGATAGTGTTCGCTTTATGCCTCAGTGCTTGAGTACTTGCTTGTCGTTTGTAGAGACCGTCGAGATGCACGGCAGCGTTGTGCAATGTTGCTTCAAGAAGGAGTTGATCTTCCAAGGCTTGATGAAACCATAAAGCTCCGACACGGTTATCCGTTTTGGGGGGGAATCGGAATGGTCTGTGGCAAAGAAGTAAATTGACTAGACTGTTAAGGGTGCATTTAGGACGAGCGTGTGTAGTTACGTACAATGATTCAGCAGATAATGCTGCTCTTGGCTCAGACCGACTGATTTTGTGCCGGCGGGATCAAGATTCCTCAATGTCTCACGAGCGTCATTCTGCTCTATTGGTTGGGCCAAATCGGTACAAGTCGTGGAGGCTTGATCCAAACTGACATAGCTTGAACTCTGCTCAAGTTCGGATTCGAGATCACGGGTTGGATCCCAGAGAATGTTAGTCATTGATAGCTCGTTTTTCTCGTTGTGGAGAGGCTCACAGAAGGCCGAGTAGATTGAAACACGTCGAGCTGTTGCAGCCTTTGTCTCCGCCTAAATGCTCGCATTGCACCAACTCTGACGCGCCTCCGGGTGGCTGCATCTTGTTCTTTGACTGGTTTATCGACGTCCACGAACTCCCACTTCTGACCTAGAGGATTTGTCGAGTTTATATTCAGCATCTCTATGACTGTTGATGTCTGGATTCGAGTATCAAGAAGATGAACGTCTCACTAATGTTATCAGGGCGCAGTTGTGGGTGCGGGTGCCTTAGGCTCAAAGGCTGCAGCCCCTGTACCGGTCGCATTCCCACAGCTCAATTCAGCTCATTTGAATGAGATCGGAACCACAGGTCTAAAACCCCTGGAAATTGAGATTACGATACTAATCGATTACACTGAAATCCTTGTTTTGTTATAATAAGAGTATAACTAAGAAGAAGTCGTAATATTGGAGCTATTCAAGGTGCTGGAAGCGTACTTTTGGTGTTCCTCCACTGCTCACCTCAGCTCACGTTAAAGTATTAGATACTCATATCCTTCCGGATCTTTAGGCCGCTTAACTCCGTCTTCATTCTGTTACTTGGTACCTCCGTAACTTGGTATAGGGAGTTGACATCCCCTTGTTGTTCCCTTTCCTATTCATCAACTTAACTCTCTAATTCTCCGGCTTTCGACTCCAGTGTCAATCAGCATGAAGTTAGTCATTGGCGGTGCTACAGGTTTCTGCGGCCGAGAAGTCCTCCGACAGGCTCTCCGCTGCCCCCAAATCACATCTGTTGTGACCATTGGCCGTCGACCAGTCGTTGTGAAAGATCAAGATACAACGAAACTGACTGATATTGTGATGGAAGATGGAACACAGTACTCTGATTCCACTCTCGAGACGATCGCTGATGCGACCGCGTGCATTTGGTAATACGCCGCTCAATAATTCTACCTCAACAAAGAATGCTGACAGAAGTGCAGGACAACTGGAGTCACCCTCTCTAAATCCAAAACCATGCCTTTCGACGAGGTCAAGAAAGTCACACGTGACTACACTATTACCGCCATCGACGCCTTGTGCAAGACCAACAAGACGGGCAAGCCGCTGATGTTCATCTACTACAGCGGGATGGCAGTGACGCGGGACTTGAACCATGACTGGGAACCCATGAGGGCAATCATTGATCCTAAAGTAGCTAAGATGCGCGTAAGTTCTCGTCATTTCGTCAAGTAATGTTATTAATCCTGACATTGGTAGTGTATGCTCGAAGTTGAGTTAGTCGAGTATGCAGAGAAGAGTAGCGGGAGCGTGGAGGTGTGTTGCGTGAGACCAGGATATATTGTGGGTGATAGGGAGATTCCAGGGTATCAAGGCCGGATTACCAAGGGCGTGCGATACCTGAGATTGAACGGACTGATCTCACCGCGGCAGTGTTGAAGCAAGGGTTGGAAGGCATCGAGAAGGATCCATTGACGAATGAGGAGCTTGTTCAGATTGGGAAGGAAGCTTTGCCAAAATATGGCTAGGTACATCAATATATGTTCTGAAAAGATGTCTACTATGTAAAAGTTAGTATTTTCGACGAATAATATGAGTAAGGAAAGTAAGGATCCTGAAAAGTGCAAAATGCAAGATAATATTGTTCCAAAGCTTGTGATGTAATTTGGAAGGAAAAGGTAGATTCCTCGGGATAGCAGGGAGTCCACGTTGTTCTTCATATTGCCCATTTTGTGCAGTTGTATCCTTCATAGATTGGTGTTTTGAATTTTTTTTGGGGGCGAGTTGAACCCCCTATATTGACCAACAAGCTTTGGAACAATATTATCTTAAGTTCCAAAGTCTACTGTAAGCTTAGGAGTTAGGTAGTTCTTTAAGTATTCCTTCTATTCATGGTAAGGTTTCTTGCTTAACGGAATCTTCGCTTTCCTGCCAGGCTCTTTTCTATCCGCTTCCCCAAATTTGGGTGGTATATTGCGGATTTTCCTTCTAACAGACTACGTATTTTCTTTCTATGATTATTCTTATCACCTGCTTCCTGGTATCATTCTACTTAGCGATCATTCCCCTTGATGAAGATTAACAAACAGAAGAACTTGAAGAATTCAGTTGAAAGAGCTTTCGTAAGCATCATATAAATGGTGGGGACTTTTGCGGCAACTGCTAAACCAAGCGTCAACGATATCCTTGCTAGAAACGATCAACTGCAAATTGCCCTTGCTGTAGCCAGGTCGTTGAGATTTGCGTATGATCTTGGATTGTGGGCTATTTTCTTTTTTTTCAATATGACATTGTCTTAACATGAGGAGAACGAGGAGAACAAAGACATGGAACGTGTTATCCAATGGGAACGCGCCGAGGAAGAGGTGAGCGATATTCAGAGGCGTCATGGAAAAAGAAGGTAGGGGGTTTTGAGGCGAGGGTATCGGGTAGAAAGCTCTTGCTTCGACTATATAAAGCTCATCTCCCGCGTAATGGAGGGTCACGTGGGTATCGCCACCAGCCATTGTAACGGCCGAAAGGTGCAGACGGAGTTGATTCTCTCATCTCCATATGGAGGAAGTCCTATATGAGAAGCTTTGACTAATAACCCATGATCATTGGGCTGTGTCTTGTGCCAATGACCACCCATGAAGCCAGCCTTATGAGTAGACATATTAAGTTTGAGGTCATCTCCTCTCTTGCGAAATTACGAAGATGCAAGAAAATAAGTGGGAAATGCATCAGATGTGCGAGACAACGATGACACGTTTTTTAAGGATGACTGTGCATTTTGGAAGCAATGCATGAGCTGTGAGAGTTCAACCTCTCAGTTAGCCTTGCTTGTGTGATATTTTAAGATTCTTAGGGCCTTGACAGGCTGGAAATATGTAGCACTGAGGATTACAATTCTATTCAGGACAGAACCGTTCACCGAGCGGCTAAGCACGGAGCCCGTGCTACACCGACCTATTCACCAAATGAGCTATTGGCCAACAGAATGCCTATTTTGGCCAAATTTAGGGCCTTTTGACCAATGGAACGGTATTAACGAATAAATTAAGCGTTTTATTAATAAATTAATCTACCCAAAATAAGCTAATATTTCAAACCTAATATTTGATTCCTCTCTTTTTTGCGCTAAATCTACGTGAGTAACACAATTTAATAAACTCGGATATTATTATTTCCATGTTTAAAGGTCTTTTATCATGTGATTTACCGATTATAGCTTAAAAATATACTTTTTAAGTACACTTTAAATATGCCAAAACATCAACAATAGCCTATTTATCGAATTAATTGATAATAAATTTTCTTTGAAATACTAAGCACGGGAAACACTTATGCTTAATCTTCTTCTTAAACATTGTCTTTTTTTTAAGTATTTCGGGTATTATATTAATACCCCTCATTTATCCTACACTATGACTACTACTACCCAGTATTTAATTAAATATTAACGCAATACTTTTATATTTTCATTTACCACTTCATTATTTCATTAAACCAAATGAATTAATCATCGTTTGCAAATACTCGATTTATACTTCCGGAGCCGGTTTTTAAAGTTAATAAAAAAAATACTAACTTCTATAATATTAAATAATAAATATTTGGCCAAATAACTGATCTATTTATGAAACAATGAAATTTGGCCAATAGAATATTTGGTGAATAGGTCGGTGCAGATCCCTCTGAAGAAGATATGCCAAATAACACAGACGGTCGCGTCGATATCCATTCTCAATATCAACCACCCGCGGACATTGCTATTGAAATCCCTGGCCTCAACTTCGAGTTTACAGCCCCTGGCTTCACTTTCACACCCCTCCCCCTCCAACTCAAGTGGAACCACACCATCCCTGCCCTGCATTGCTCGACTAGAACATACGTCTTGCTCCTCATCGCTATGTCTGTGGTTGCATTCATCTTCTGGGTTCGATATAAGAATCCATCAACGACCTAACTTCCTTTTCGATATGTACATTCTTTGTTTCTATTAATTAAAATTATATTAATCATTTATCTAGACTATTTTCCTCATTCAGTCATCGCAGCAAATGGTTTTTGTTGTTCGGTGAATTCATGGCGATGGAGTCTGGGGAATTGTTTTGCAAGGGAAGGCAGGGGATAATGCATGAGAATGGAATGGCGTTTAGAGTGGAGCAAGAAGTTACTGCGTTGCTTTTGATTTCTAGGGACAGGCAATAAATCGCGCGATTTTCCATGAATAATGTGTTCTAGTCCATACGTCAACACCTGCTGTTTATGAACTAACCCCCCGCCATTCATGAATAGCGGGGTGTGTATGGCACCCCTTGTTTATAAACTACACCTGCCATTCATGAATGGCATGGCCAGCCATAGGTAAACAGCGCCACTGATGAACAGCCCTAGAATAAGGCCTCGATCTTAGTCCTTCAGCACCTCAGCACCTCTAGCACCTCTAGCACCTGCTGCACCTCTAGGGCAAGAGTCTTAGAATACTGAGATGCTAAGGTGCTAAGATGCTGAGGTGCTAAGGTGTTGAGGTGCTGAGGTGCTAACCTTAGGGTGTGTTTGGCTCACGGATATGGGTGGGAATGGAGAAGGCTGTACCACCAAAATTTTAAGCCGAGTGTGAATAGAGGGTTTAATAGAGAGCATTGTTTGGCCCACTAGTAAATAGGGGGCTCTATTCAGATCGAATAGAATAGAATAACTCTATTCGCGAATAAGCCTAACAAAAAATAAATATGCAAAAAAAGCCCTATTCTCTTCGAATAGATTAAATTCAACCACAATTCCACTCCTCAGCCTTGCCAATTATCTCGCCAGCCAAGCAACCCACACATTCACATTTACATTCAATTCATGAATAGAATAAAATTTGATTCCCTCACACTCGCGCTAAAAATAAACATTCAAATTCGCCAGCCAAACACACCCTAAGTTAGTAAGGTGCTGAAGTACTAAGATCGAGGCCTTATTCCAGGGCTGTTCATCAGTGGCGCTGTTTAGCCATGGCTAGCTCGATATGCTCTATTTGTTTATGAATGGCAGGGCTAGTTGATAAACTAGGGGTGCCATACATAAACACCCCGCCATTCATGAATAGCATATGCCATTCGTGAATGGCGGGGGTCCTGTTTATAAACGGCAATTGTTGACGTATGGACTAGAACAAAGGTGTATCACGTGAGCACTTGGAACTACTGGCCACAAGATTCACAGATAATCATACAGGCAAGTTCACACAATACCGCGTACAAAATTTTTAAGTCTATTATACTATAAGTCATATCACCCTATTCAGATACCAGTTCGAGTGGGGTGATTAGCGCCGGAGTAGAAGCGGCGAGCTTATTGACCAACCTTGGGACAGAGGAAAAAAAGGTTGTGTTCAGCTACCGGGAAAACCTTTCAGAGTCAGAGATTGTCCCGAGATGTTGAGATTGTAAGTGGTTGATTGATATTTGTTCCATGTGAACAAGCCACCATGGGCAACGATCGCTTCCTCGAGAAGTGGCCTGCTAGATCGTTTAGTGTGAGCGCATTATTGAGTATCGTTTATGAAGAGAACCTTACCCAGTTTTAGAGCCCTTCGCTTGACTTTGCACTGCCATGATGTAGGAAGGAGTTGATTGTTAGATTTGGAATCTGGGTTGTTTCTGAGACCCTTGATATATACTCACGGTTCTAAGCTCAGGAAAGTTGGGATCTTGATGGATACTGCGGAACATAAATTTGATGGTTGATGGCCTTTCAGCCAGCCCTAGTGTGGCAAGGTTCATAAATCTTCGTTGAATTTGCAAACTGTCCACAGACATGAGCCACGGGTCGAAAGATATTCCTAGCCTTTCGTGATTTAAACCTTGATGAACGACTGGGTATCATGGATCACTTTTCTCTTCCTTTTGAATCACATACATTTCAAGCTTGCCGCTCTTGCTCAGGCGCTAATCACCCTCGGTTTACCCTCAACTTAGTCGACTCGCCTGAGTACCCTGAGTACCCTGAGTATCATGAACAGCAAGTAAGCTTCTTCGGTGTAGATGACGTCCATATGTCGACAACCGGAAAGGTTCGATGTAGTGGAAGGTTAAGAAAAGGTACGCGGAGGTGGTGGAAAAGCTCAGGGGAAAGAAGGGTAGCCGTCGTCACTCGCTCTTTATAACCCCTGTCGGTATGATCGATGTTCCAGATCCGACGAAGGGTATGGACAAGTACCGACTCTTGGTTGGAGGAGCCTGACGAGTGTCAAGCAACCGCTTCGCTCAATTGAAATGAACGAGTGGCAAGATTTGATCCGGTGGCACTTTGCAGGCACTTGCTGACAAATAGAGCTCCTCAATTTCAATCGCTCCCTTACTTTGGATTTGAAGCTATTGAAGAGGCAATTGAAATGGTCTAGTGATACTTCATAGGCACCTGCGGGTCTAGTAAATTCCCTGAGGTGAATCGTCCCTTCACTTTGAGTGACTTGAAAGTATCCTCACTGGTTAGCGTCACTGCAGCGTCTTGACAAACACTCAATGCTCACGGCTGATTGAAGTTCCTTCCTATTTTATGATCGTTTTCTGCAAGTCCTATCCCAACCAAACCTCCGATTTCAGGATGGGTAGTACGCCTTATAGACTTGAAAACCCCCCTCTACACACTGAACCATGCCAAAGAGAACAGTGAGGGTTAGGACAATTGCAGCCAACCAAAACGTGTACCATTGTACACGACGCCGTCGATCAAACCACCACTGTGCGAGTGTACTCGGCTCAGCTTCATCGAAGGCTTTTTTGAGAATACTAAGCCGGTCGTACCAAAATACGAAGTTTTCGATCTGACGTTCTTCTGTGGTGAGGTGTCCAGATGTGCTTGTCTTCTTGTCCAAGCTAAACTTCAGCTGTTGTGCCTTGAACCATTTACGTGATTCTTTGTCGTACTGAGGGAAGAGTAAAGATATCGTTCGCAGGGTTTCCTCGATGAAGCCAGCCGGAAAAATACAGTTGTTTTCATGGTGCTCCAAGAAAGACGCATGGTGATAAATGGCTATTCTGGTGTCATCGACCATCAATCGCAAGTGGTCCGAAATGTTGTCCGTCCAAATGATCTGCAGACCTGCAATGCGTTCCAGATTCCGTGCAGTGAATAACCTGTCAAGCTTGACCGTTACCACACGTGATGGACCTGATACTAAGCCAGCGAAACGGTCTTCGACGAGATCTTTTAGAGAACCAGCCTTCCAAAGGAGTGGCTTCTGGCCAGGAACGAACCCATGCTGAATTTTACCAACATCAATCAGCCACAGTCGCACGGCCAGATCGATTATATAGCATAAGGGCTCATCATCATCAATTGTAGATGGATGTTGGACTTTGGTACGCAGATACTCCTGAAGACGCTCCCTCGTCATGATGGGATGTTTGAGGCGGTTCACTATATCTGCGACGTCTGCGTGGGTTTTGATGATAGAATTGAATCCTCTCGAATGCAATGCGTTTCTGCATTGATCTCCGTAGTATCGAAGATAGCTGTCACCAATGCTTGGATCGTTTGAGAAGTCTCGAGCGGTGTGCGTTGAACTCCAAATTGTATTCAGAATCGCATATTTTGTATCGTCATTCAAATAGACTGCACGAACGTCGAAGTCTAATGAAGTTGACATTTCCATTTCCAAAATCAAGGCTCAATCAGCTGGCATTATTTTGTTGTCCATTCCTGAAGATTGGTCCGCAAGTTTTCTTTTCAGTCCCCCTAAAGATGGCTGGGGTTGACTTCCAGTCGGTGCGCCTTATCAAGGCTGTTGAGCACTGCCACCACAAAAATTTCTTTTGATAAGGCCGTACGAGGCTCGGGACACGGGATAGCTTTGCACCTTATCTTTTTGGCTTTTCTGAAAGTAAAGGCTTGACTAGATTTCATTATCTTTCTGAACCCCCACGGGTCTCTTCGTTATAACAAGGCTCATTTCAATATCTGCGATTCGATATTCCTTTCAAATCTACCAACGATTATATTGAATCCATGACTTCCACGGTCACAACCACTGTTGATTTATCAATGATTGGGCTGCAAAGACTTACTTCCTTCAAGCAGAAGAATCCATGGCCTAATCCAGAGCGCTCAATTGGTATCAGCTGGTGTCCGCTGGGCAAGAATTGGTGTTGGGAGGCTGTTGGCCCTGCGCAGGAAATTGCACGCAAAATACTGTGCAAAATCAAAGATATCCTCGAGTCTCAACATGAATACTTGAACGAAGGGGTATGCATCCGAAGAGTCCTTCTATTCGGCCTGTACATGATCGGTCGAACAAAAGCTCAAGCTAGACCGACAATTGTTTTCAGCTGCGAAGACAAGATACAAAGACAACGTGCCATGAAGGCTGTAAAGGAAAGTGCGATTCTTGATGGGCACTCTTGCGTTTGTCTGGGAGAATCGTCGAGGCCTCCAAGGCTTTCTAGCGAGCCGCAACAGCTTGGTGGTCTGAACGTCCTGAAAGAAAGTGTCCATGGAGATGAGACGCATGCTCAGGGACAGGCCCGGGATGCGGCAAGAAGGACAATTGAAAATGGGCCTGAAGAAGTATCGAGAACTCCAACACTGTCCGCCCAACGATCACAATCTGATGATCATACAAAGGATGTCGAAATGACAGGTGACACAAATCATTCCAGCCCGGTTCATAACATGGTTTACTACATTTCGCCCCTGGGTGGTGTGCATGGAATTCCGATCATAATCAAGGATGCGACGGGCAAGGCTCCAAACCGAGATTCGACAGTTAGGGGATTCATTTGCGTTGGAGAACAGCTATTTGGTCTCACCGTTGCGCACACGTTCCAAGACAGCATGCAGGATAATAAAGAGACAAAGGACGACGATATAGAATTCTCCTTTGAAGACGATAGTGAAGATGAAGGCGAGGTCGCCAACGAACATGACTTCATATATATGACAAGCCGTGGTCAGTCTACTGCATTCGTTTCTCTGATTAGCTCTACTTAATACTTGTATAGGGAGCATGTCGCCCGATCAAAGTCTCTTTGAGGGATCGACCTCAGCAGACACTACCGAGCACAATTCACCGAAGATCAATCTGAAGGCTTCCCCTTCCGCCACTTTGAATCGAATAGAATCGCTGAAAGGTTCGACAGAGCATGTTCTGAGCCCTCTTGGCCGCCTAGCGGTACTCTCGGAGGCTTCCCAGACGAGCGACCTCGACTGGGCTTTGATACGTATTGACTCACCTCTACCCCTGTCAATCCATGAATCACCTAGATATACTCGTACTCAAAGCGTCGCACGAGAAATACCCCGGAAATCTAAGATACAAGTTATGACAACTACCGAGTATATCATTCAAGGAACCATCACTGGGGGTTCAACCTTCATGCAACTTCCTCACAGCGTCGCATTTCAAGAAATGTGGTCTGTACAGCTCGATGGACCACTGAGTGAGTATTAGAACCCACTATAGATAATCTTACGTTCTAATTGCACACGACAGGACACGGGAATTGCGGATCTTGGGTTGTCGATTTCGAAAGTGGGGAATTTTATGGATATATCACTGCTGGAGATCCACGCACCTCTATCGCCTATATCGTTCCCGCATATCAGGCTTTCCGTGACATTGAGCAGAGATTAAACAAGAAAGTGAACTTTCCTAGCTTTGAAGAGACTTCCTCTTTGCAAAGAGCTCAAACGCCAGAGAAAGCTTCATTACAGAGCCAGACCTTGTTCTCTCCACCACAGCATGAAAAAGTGTTAGTAGATGGCTCTCTTCCGAAAGGGGATTGCCGCTACATTTTGTTGCATGCCGAGCTCAAAGGCTTAAGGTGCTCTTGCACTGGGTTGATGCGGAATCGATCAATTCCGGGGAGTACCTGCGACTGTGGTCATCAAGCATGCTACCATGCTCTGGAAAAGGATTCGACTTCCTCTGAGGGAAAAGAACTTGTGATTTTGAGAAACAAAGTTGCTCTACTAGAAAAAGAGCTGGACAGAGAGAGGCACAAAGGCCTTACCGACAGGCTGGGTCAACTGGAAGATCTTGTTGACAAAATGAGGACAGAGAACGAAAACGACTTCAAAAATACGCATCAAAACATCGCAGGTCTTTGGCAGCACATCGGAACTCTGATTAAACAGACATCGTATTACGATGACCAAATTGAAGGATTGATTGACGATGCGGAACGAATGCGTTCTCGGTTAACTGAAATTGACGATGCGTCCATGTGCATCAAGGATAGGGTCGAGCAACTTGAGGGTTCTTCAATTACTACAGAACCGATCACTGCTAAGCAAATATCAGAAGATGAAATCGAGACTGGCAGTCCAACGGACCCTCAACCTCGATCTAATGTTGAGCTCGCTCATATACAAATGTTCAGAGAAAGACTCACCTCGTTGGGCACCAAAGCTGAGTCTTGGACAGTTCATGTTTCTTTGCTGCCGACAGCCTCACAGCCATTCCCCTTTGAGAAGGATACCGCGGCATACAAGCGATGTTTGTCGAGAGGCCTTAATCAAATGATTGTCATCACCAACACAGATCACGAGTCATTCACTGCCGCTGTCAACGAAGCTTTCTCCAAGATCTTGCGAGGGCGTCCTTGGCAGCCTCTTATTGCAAGAACCTGTGACGCTAGAAATCTACGAGGACTTCCGATGCTACGTCAACTTCCAGATCGGCTTAATAGCGGGAATTATGACGCTGATTTTCTGCAAAAGAACTGTGCCATCATGGACGAGGAGGGGAAAATATTGGACATATACATCGCAATGGTGGAAGACTCTTTATCATGGGCTGAGTTGAAAGCCATAGCTCCATATACGCTAGGCCTCGATTCATCATGGACATATGATCCACTCTTGGATGGGCCATATAACGAGGGCGGCGAGCACAATCTCGGCGTGGCAGTACCGGATAAGTTGCACCCGGCTGGAGATATCCTGCCTCCTTGGTCGCCATCACGGAAGCGCAAGGAGTCTGACATGAGTAGAACACCTAGCTTCAGTTCTTCATCACAACCACAACGTAGTTCCACCGGTATGGGAGGCAAAAGACGGCGAGAAGAGACGCAACCGAGATATATAATTTAGTTATTGGAGAGTGATCTCAGTCCAGGTCCGCAATGGCACAAAAAATTGAAATGATTCTATTTCGGTTCGCAAGCTTTAGATACTAGTATCTGAAGACTCAATCACGTATAATTTCTAGAGTTGGATTCTAGGCTATTTGTCGAGAACGCTGATATATACTATTTAGTTTCAAGCTTAAAAAAAAGAATTCTTTCCGGTTATTTGAGCGAATAATCTTTGTTGGAAAGTTTTTTATAGCGATTGATAAACTTTTCCACACCCATGCATTACTTTTCGCACTATCTCCGCATTATTCGCATTTCAATGCTTAATGCTCAAGATTTTCATCGATTCAAGAATAAATAGTAATCCTCAACAATAGGACAAGTAACAATAATATCCCAAAGAAAGGTGAAATCTTGATTAATACTGCCCAACGTAGATTTAGACGTTTATAGCATGCCGTACTGGGACATGCAATGTCCACAAGTCTTCATTGAACGTGCGAATTATCCTCGGACATGAACCACGAGTATGTTGTCGCTTTTGAACCGCCGAAACATATCGGATATCTACAGCGTGGCCCCCAATGACTTCAGGATCTCAATCACGGCATCATTTCCGATCTGGCCAACTAAGCTCAAAGGGGTTGATCTAGAGGAATCTCTAGAGTTAATATCCACCTGTCCAGTGTCAAGGAGTTGGTAAATCACGGCTTCATGCCGATAGAGAACAGCATAGCAGAATGGCGTTCTTCCTAGTATATCTTTTGAGTCGATCTCAACTTTATTCGTTGCGAGTAAGATCTCCACCACGCCATGGTGTCCATGTTGCGCAGCAAGGGACAGTGACGTCTGCTCAAGCGCATTTCTCCCATCAACATCCACTTTACGAGTGTCAAGCAGCTGCTTAACTACTGGATCGTGACCTCCCCTCGAAGCGAGTAAAAGAGGTGTCATACCTCCCTTGTTGCGCCAATCATTATAAGTTTTGGATTCTAGACTGACTTTGCCAGTATCCAACAATTGCTTTACTACACCTGCATGTCCATTCTCAGATGCATAGCACAAAGGAGTGTACAAAGCCTTATCCTTCGAGTCAACGTCAACTTGATCATTATTCAGCAAGGCTGCAACAATGTCTGAGTGACCGCTTGCAGCTGCGTAGGAAAGGGGTGTACGTCCGTATTGCTCATCTTTCGGATCCACGAGTGCTCCAGCAGAAGTCAGACAATTGAAAAGATTTTGATCTCCTTTTTCAGTAGCATGGGAGAGTGGAGTTCGACCATCGCTATCGCTGGCAGCAGCAGTGACTCTACCAAAACCAAGCAACTCGGAAATGATTGACTGGTGACCCGTCTGGACTGCCCAAGAAAATAGTTCAACGTCATCCTTGATCTTGCTGGGACAATTTGCAAGCCTCCGCAGAAACTCCGGCATACTGAGTGACGAATCCTGGTTTTGCAGCATGTACACATCAAGGAGAAGCATTGCTACTTCTTCGTGGCCACCTTCTGCCGCCAAGTACAGAGCCGTCTTTCCACCCACGTTGGTCGCATTGGTGTTCATATTCCAGTCGTGGATCAGCCTGCTAGCTATCTCTGTTTCACCCTTCCAAGCTGCCCGGTGTAGTGCGGTGTCACCTTTACATCCGTCCTTCAATGACATATCAAAGCCTTTCTCGATGATATTCTCAGCCAATAGCTGCACCATCTCTTTGTCTCCCTTCTCAACTGCCCAATGGAGTGCCGTTCGTCCCAGCGAATCCTTCGACATCAGGTCACATTTCTTCAGAAGTTCTCCGGCTGTAAACTCATTTCTCGCTTCTACTGCGGTCAGTAATGCCGTACGTCCCTCGCGATCTTTCATCTCGACTTTGATTTTTGGATGATCCAGCAATTTCTTGACTATCTCCAAGTTGCGATTCTTCGAGGCCACGTGCAGAGCTGTCTGTCCAAATTTTTCCTTAACATTCAAGTCCAGTCTGTCGTCTCCGAGGAGCAGATCTACTATTGAAGCTTTTCCTTTTAATGTTGACCAGTGACCGTCTGATACTGCCCAGTGGAGTGATGTCTTGTGGTCCGAGTCTTTCGCATTGACATCAGCTCCTCCTTCGATTAGGCTACGAACAGTCTCTTCTTCGCCTTTTGCCGACGCTTGGAGCAGGGCTCTATTGGCGTCTGACTTTATCCTCCATTTCTCGAACATATTCTCTGTTTGTTGACGCGTTGATCTTATAAACCTTAAAATTCACCAAGGGGAGAAAGAGGAACAGAAGAAGAACACAAAATTGCAAAACATAATATTGGTCATTGGCTCCACATTCTTTGTTCCAATCATGATGGTTTGGCTTATCCTTAATCGTCCCGTGGTCAAGCAAAGACGGGAAGCGATTCATTGTAATTGGCATACTAAGCGCCGCACTTGGCATCGGATATTTTGAGGAACAAAAGCTTTACACCGCCTAAAGATTATTGAGGGCCTGTATTTCTAGTCTATCAAAGCTCCAAGAAGCAATGAATGCAACGACGCCATTTATTAACAACTTTACGATATATTACTGAGACCGACATTAAGAATGATGAAGTCGAGTTTTAATCTCGCAGTCATCTCCACAGCGATGTGCTATGGCTTCGAATTGGTGTTGGCAAATTCAACATCTGCCACTGAAGATAGCAGTCAAGATCCCAATGTTAAATGGCAAGAGAGTCCAAGTCGACGTGGAACACTTGCGATTGTTCAGAGCTGCTTGGTCACAATGTTCGCTTGCACGTGGAGTGTTCAACACCTGAATGTTCCAGACTCAAGCGAGCGTGCATGGAGGAAAATACTGCGCAAATGCAAATGGATGGTCCTCACCCTGGTCTTACCCGAGGTCATCATGGCTCACGCTATATTGGAACTATCTATGGCGATAAATGACATGGATGTTATACGGCAGTGTTGGGATCCCGTGAGACTTCCATGGTGGCTTCGCATTCTTCAAAGGATACTTGGCAAGCACGAGGAAATATCAGCAGAGGACTATGCAAGTAGTAGCTACGACGGCCCTCAAGAAGTGGAGTGGACGCTTATACATTGCTACTTTGCGAACATGGGCGGTTTCGCTGTTCGACAAACAAGTACTCCAAGTCAAGTGGACAACCAAAGTGCCGAGAATAATTCCGATGCCGAATTGCAACGACGCGCTTCTTCTATGACAAGTTTTCCATTGACCACGGCTCAGCTAGTCAAGGGTTGGCGTGACTGCATAATACCCAGCTTTACAGAAGCCGACATCCAAGACAAGAGTAAATCCGACTTCTTCACGAAGCTGATTGCAGTTGTTCAAATATCTTCACTGGTGTTTTCTATCATAACACGATCGGTACGACATCTTGCCTTCTCTCAATTGGAGACGCTCACTTTGGCGTTCGCAATATGTGGTGTGTTGACTTACGCCTTCTACTGGTACAAGCCACAGAACGTGGGGACACCATTTATTGTTGACCTACATTACGACGGGGATCTTGAGTTCCACCAGACTTTTGAAACCATGGCGAGCGTTCTAACAAACGCAAAGTTGAATACGGAGAAAGGCCCGCGAAAGAGGATTCCGAACGATAATATACCACCTATGGAGCCTCAAACAACACATACCGCTATCTACTTGTTGGCGATACTGTCTGCGGGATTTGGAAGTTTGCATGCCATAGCATGGAACTTTGACTTTCCGACATCTATCGAGAAGACGTTTTGGAGGGTAGCAACACTGGTATCAATCATTGTTCCACCTACTGCACTGATTGCTATCCCTATATCGCAGTACCACGTGGGATGGGAAGATCCTCGAGACTTCATGCGTACTTGTTCCCGTGTCATGAGGGAATTCTCGCGGGAAAGTTCGGACAAAATGACAGTCTTTTATCCCCAAAAACACCTGGAGGAGATATACAACGACCCAGAGCGACCAGACAAGTTATGGGTCAATATCCTGGGGGAAGATCAAGAGAAAGCTTCATCGCTTTCCAAAAAGATGCTGGAGTTCATCGAGAAGAAAGGCCCCTTCATCGATCGAAGATCGATAGATCTTCCTAAAGACTTCCCCAAACAGTTCAAGCTTCTCACGGAAGTTATTGATGGAAAGTTCAGGTCCAAGAAGCTCACTGACAGCGCTCAAACAAATCTGTTTCCGCGGAGAAATATTCTTCCAGAGTCCGTTAACATTGCTATATTGCTCACCGCAGGCATTATCTATTGTCTAGCTCGTTTAAGCATTATTGCCTTGGCATTCTCGAGTTTGAGATCAATGCCTGATTCAGTCTATAAGACGACCTGGGCGAAAGACATCCCCAACGTATCATAATCTATCATAGAAATTAAATCATAACATAATATTGTTCGAGAGTTTGTGGGACAATGTGAGTGGGATAAGTCCTAATTGCTAATCAAATTTGCGAAATTTCGACACACAATTACGATACAGTTTTCCGTTATCTCGGAGAAATGGCTTTTTTGCTTGTATTCTCCTACAAACTCTGGAACAATATTATCTTACGGTAGACCCTGAAAAACGTATGGCTCATCGTTCCAAGCTTTGAAATGGTGGCAGCAACATATATTGTGGTTTCCACTACCGGTAGTTGAGGATTCCGTAACCTGAGGATGGCGGAGATCAGGGATGCTGCCAGTCGAAGTTCCAGCAAGCATTGTATTACTCTGAATGATAGAGCCGGAAACAGTTCCAATTCAAGATATCGAGAGACAGCTCTACATTCATCTTAATTCAAATGTCTGTTCCTGGTAACACTCCCCAAGCATCCAGTCCACCATGGCTTCTCCTTTCATGACTCCATGCACATAAGCTTCTCCAACCAGCTTGTACTGCTTCCCCGCGCATCTCAAGATCAAAGGAACAGGAGCTCCGAACAAGATACAACATAGATCCCCTTCTTTCAGAACACTAGGTCCGAGGCCGAGACTTCCTTCACGTGTCGAAAACAGTTTTCTCCCGGCACAGAATCTTGAAGTGGCCCAGTAGATACCATCGATTTCCACGCCTTCGGAAGCCTGCCGAATACTTGAATCTCCTTCCGGAGCTAGGTCAATGGAGACAGAACGTCCTTGGTTTTGAGCTTCTTTCATCAGATGAAGTCTGAAGGCAGCAAATCCCGAACAAAAATGCTTCGGCTTGTCATTCGAATATCCCACTGAGATCGTTTGTCCAATTTCAATCATATTATCGAAAGGAGGAAGTGTAAAACGTGATCCGAGTTTGGAGGCCTCCGAAATAAGCATGTCTACAGGCTTAGAGACAGCAAAACCTTGATCATCATCTTCCTCCGTTGTGACGTGGTCTTCGATGACGTCGAAAACAAAACCACGAACCCCGAGCAGCTTTTCAGATGCGGAAAGCTCCCATATCGGCATTGATCCAGCAGACGAATCATAAGAGACATCAAAGTAGTGGCCTCTTGATGCGCCCAAGGAAGTTAGAGCAAAATCTCGGCTCCATTGTGGTACCCAAGAGATTCTAGTCGCTTCTTCCAGTTCCCTGTCATTGATATGCTGGACAGCAGACAGTACACGTAGACTATTTGTCGAATGGATGAGCTTTACTGCCAAATCGAAAAATAAACTATCCGTCTTCATATCGTAATCCGGCTCCACAATCAACTCGCCACCTATCAATGCGCTTGGATGGCCGAGAAGAGCGTAAACATAGTCACGCTGGTCAGAAGCTTTCTGCCCGCGAGTAACCTCCATCAATTCCAAGAAATCCCAATCTTCATCTACTTCTCCTGCAAGTTCCATCGACCGTTGCGGAAAGGTTGTGAAGATATTCGCTCTTGCGGCAGTGACAAGTCCTAGTCGGTCTATCAGAACCGTTCGGCGTTCAAGTCGTAGAATGAACCTTATAAGGTCCACAAAATCAATCCTCGTATGGCCAAACATGACGACGACTGATTTTGCAAGTCCAACTTCTTGAACCACCCAGAGGCGGGAGAACCACGGAGAATCAAGCAATTGTGCAAAGGCGTGACCGATCATACTAGATTCAGGGTCTAATCCTTCGGTATCAGTATCAGCAGTCTCCAGTTTTGCGACATGATCCTCGAGGAGCAGACTTGCTCGTCCAACTGTAGCATCAGAATGAGGGCTATTGTCGATGTCCAGGTCGAACAGATAGTCAAAAGCTCCAAACTTGGCATTAGGCACATCCAGCCATACCAAAACTCTTGCAGCATCCGCATAGATGCTCCCCATTTGTTTCACTTGGTCGGCACGCTCTTCGTTATCGTATTGATTGATGCACACGGCATCTGCCCATAGTAATTTCCACTCTGCGGGGTCTCGAACTCTCCACAGGGCGTCTCGAAGATTGACAGTAACTCTGAGCTTCTTTCCGTCGCAATAGATGACCTTAGTGTCCGTTGACCGACCCCAAGCATACGAAATCGCTTCGTAAGGGGGTGCATACTTGCGCTCGACCGAAAATAGTTTGCATTTCAGGGATGAGGTTCCCTCCCCAGGCTGTAGCTCAAGGATCCGAATATACGATGGACTGGGTAATTTGAAGTGCTGATATGCTGTACTGGATACAGCAGAGGCGTTTCGAACGGGTTCTTGCGCTTCTGGGCTCAATTCCTCTCGCTTTCTTTTAGGGTGCACCATGCTGACATGCGCTGACTGTCTGGTAAGGGCCCATGGCACTGCTGCAACGCCTTTTAGGTATCAATTTCGTGTGTTTCCATCTCAAGACACAGAGGGAAGGTGAACCTGAAGTTCATGGCAATTGACGCTATTGTTGTAAGAGTTGTCAGATTGAAATGTTGTGAGATCTTTTTTGAGGATGAGATTAGCCGAGATTGTCTAGGCCTAAAATAGCTTAGTCTCTTTGGCACTCAATTGGCACTCATCAAGGACTCACACACTTCGTACACATACAGTTCTCCAAATGGGGAGTAAAAGATGCCAGATGCCTATAGATAACTCAAATAGCAAGGAAGAACCCGAAACGAAAATTATTCTAAGAGAATGCGTATATACTTAACATCTCTCTCACTCTTCAGTTGGCGAGTACACCGTCTGTGGCTTCTGGAACTTGCGGATTCCACTGCTTGTGGAATCCAGCTACAGAGCTTTCCAGCACCAGAGAGAGCTTATCCTGTAGACAAAAATGAAAAAATGACCATGCTTGCAAGAAGCCCGGAAGTTGGTGACAATAAATTCACCGAAAGAATTCACCAAAGGAAGACCGAATCTTTTAGCAAATTTAGAAAATCCAAAATGAGGGATTGAACCACACCCGATTTGAACGGATAACCTTTCGATCTGGAGTCGAACGCGCTACCGTTGCGCTTTATACAAATTAGTGAAATTGCGCTTAGCAGATGTTGGCAAGAAAGCATACCCAGCGGTCCAATGATTGGACAATGAGAAAAACTTTGTTCTTATTTAAATCCATGAGAAACTCAATAGAGAGGCCGAAGAAACTCCTGCTACCGAGAATTAGACGAGTTTTTGGTTTGCAGGAAACAAGAAAACACCTAGCCAAGTACATTTGAACGACAGAGTATTTGTTCTAATAGAATAAGTCTTAAACAACACCGCATAAGAATAGGGAGAATAGCATACTATGGTCAAAATAGACTGCGGATAAACTTGGGAAGGCATCACAGTCACGTGAATATTGCGAATAGCAGGGGTTGCGCTTGATTTATATTGCTTTCTTTTCACTTGGGATATGTAAGAGAGGCCGCATTCAGGTCGAATCCAGATTTTACTTTGAAACGCAACGAACAACCAACTGGAATGCACTACGTTGACCTTTCTCATCCCTGCTCGTGGAAGGCTGCCTAAATCTCAGCCGCACCCGACCCCAGATCGCTAATGCAAGCCAGCCCGCAACTCCTCGTATCCACTTAACTGGGCGTCAGGCAGAGACCAATCAACAACATACAACGGTAGTTCCCTAGGGACGAGGTTGGCCACGGGGATGTTGCGCATGGGTTGATACACATTCCAACGCCATGTGGGGGCAAGGCAGAATGCCCAATAATGGAAGAAAGGATCAGGAAGGATTCAAACACTGCACAGCCCCTGTACAATGATGTCTTCAATTGTTAGGTCCACGTATCGAATAGAATGAATCATTTTCGACTCAGGTTTTGTTTCTCGAAATTCGACGAGTTTAAGAAGATTCGTCCAAGCCTTGGCCTTGTCTCCAGAATACGAAGCATTTGTACCTTCCAATGGCCCATGTTTCTCCGGGTTGTCGAGGAAAATGGCCTGACAATCCGCCTCGGCGAGACTTGAACCAACTCAACCCCGCCATCGAAACTATCGATTGTTGTTGTTTCGGTAGGACAAGGCGCAGTCACTGCCAAGAATAAGCGAAGTTGGGCTTTTACAGAACCGCCGCAGTAAGTATAAGTAGGTAGCCGTTCTCACGAAACAGCACTGATGACTGGAACGTCAAAAGATACCATAAACTCAACATGGCATTTCCTCTCGGTGCAGCACACGCTCCTAGCCTTGGCGAATGGCTCATTCCTGGACTCAGTCCACGGATGGACCAGGCATACACCAACCTCAACACCAGGGACAATTCTACGACAGGAAACAGCACTATCAATATGTTCATAGATGCCGAAAGTTCAGACTACGAATACGCTGCATCAATTGTTACTGCATGCGTGGACCAAACGGTATACGCAATTCAATGCACTGCGAATCTTCCCCTCGTTGACGGCGCTACATGTGGCCCTAATGGAGTAGTAAGCTGCAACACCTTTTCCATACTGACGAGTCTTGAGATTTGACAAAATTATTCAGATTGCCACTCTGACTTCTGGAGCCTCAATTTACGAATTCTCCAGCGCCGCCACAACCGTTACCGAGGGTTACGATGTAACGGTCACCGGACTGGAGACGTGTCACCTTGCTGGTACTACTGCAGCTACTTGCTCTGCAACTGTGGAGGCCACAGTGGGTACTACAAAGTCAGCTGCCAGTACGGTTGAAACCTTGTCCGGCTCTGACTATTACCGCTTTGACGTCGAGATCACTGGCGGTGCTGAGAAGACGGTGAACCCGACGGGAAAGTGTGGAGCAGCTGCAAATCTGAACAATAAGAACTTGCTGGTTTGGGCTTTGGCTGGGGTCATTGGTGTTGCCAGCATTCAAACTATGTTGTAATTATGTCGTGAGGATACATGGCATAACACGGACAAGGTCTTTACATTGACTGGGAGGATTTACGGCGCTGAGATTAGATACCCTAGTATGGAATGTGATAATCGGAAGGTATTGATTGACGGCTCTGTCTCCAAATTTCTTCAACTCGACGTTAAAAGACCCTCCATCCCCCATGCAATCAGATAGCTGGCGTTCTCAATGGGTAGGCCGGACAATTTTGACCCTGAACCCATCACTTCTCGTACTTGTACAGATCTGGACGGACAAATAACCATCACTAATAGTTCTACACAGTTTTAGAGTAAGAGAATCTATTAGTAGTATGTTGTCAGTCTCAAGCTTTGATTTCAAGCCTCAACCTCAGACTTCAACCTCAGACTTCAGGCTCTTGTCACGCCCACCTCAGGCCTTGTATATTTTAGGGATTTCAGGCTCCGGAACCTTATCTAAAGTACCCTGACCTCCCCAAATGTCCCTGATCCTTAGGGCCAGCTTCTACCCGCTGATGTTAGCCGTGTAGTCGGACATTAGCAGTTATTTGGAGGTGATAACCATAATTACCCTAGATGACGGTTATCTAAAAGCCAGAATCATCACCAGTCTAGACGGACAGTCCTTGTCGGACAAGCTAGCACTGCCTGTCCATCGAGAACGCTGCAGATAGCCCTTCTTCGCTTGAAAGCACAGGTTCTTCTACTGCACCTGTGCACGTGAGGAGATCTCGCTTTACTCTGGATCTCGAGTAATGATCCATTCACCTCTACATGACACCGAACACTACTAGAAGCCTCAAGAGAAAAAAAGCACTGCCCACCACTTACCCACCAAAAAGAATAATATCAATTGTCATGTTTACCAAGGAACAAGGAATATTGATCGCCAGGTGTCCATCCTCTTTTTCAAAGAGGAACAATTGTAATGTTCTGTGAGCTTCGCCGAGCATGGAAGTTTAAGATTGACTTCGCTTTTCTTTAAAAGGTTTACATTGAGAAAGACCGGCAAGTGCCCGAACAAGTTTTGGTGCTATATGCCCTCTGTCCCCTGTGCCGAGGTTGAGCTTCAGTCGTTATCATACTTCACCAATTACAGAACTGAAGTTGTTAAAAACTCTAATACTGTCTTTTGGAACTTCTGTGACTCGTCGCCAGCTGGGTTATGCCCTGAATGCTCGAAGATTGCCAAACTTGAATCTGGAATACTCCTTGCTATCTCTTCACTGAATACCACCGGTGTAATGAGGTCATGACGTCCAACAATGACCAACGTAGGAACCTGGAATGTAATTAAGAACAGGTTTCAAATGTCTGTATGGTCTTTAGCTCACCTTGATATCCTTAAGTTGATGTCGTACATCGAAGCGTGGCATGTTATGGTTGAAAGCAAAATTCTGCGTGGCTGAGTGGTATGCTGCAAATTGCAGCATTTGGCTCGAACTATCCCCCGGTGGAGAGTAAATTGGCAAGATCTCCGGCATTGCTTCCTCGTAGTCACGATCGTCTCGCAAAGCACCTGTCCACACTCTGAGTTGACGTGCAACATCAACCTTGAGCCTCGGATCTGTCAAAACAGCTGCTAGTGCCGTCATCATCAATTGGATTCCGTGTGTCCAAGTGTTTCGAAGTATCAAGCCGGATAATCTGTCACCGTGTCGAACGGCATAGTCGAGGCAGATCGTACCTCCGTAGGAGTGTCCTGCAAGAACAAACTTTTCTGCCCCTGCCCAGCGCCTGCATATCTTAGCTAAGTACAGAGAAGAGAGTTGAAGGTTTCTAGCTACCTCAAGTTGTCAATATCCCTGATCCAGCGATCATGAGTGTATGATCCCGTGATATCGGACTCACCACTTCCTCGACCATCAAATACTAGGACTCGGAAGTTATCCGAAAGGAAGGCAAAAGCAGCTTCGGGTTCTGCTAGCGTAACGAGGCCCGGAGCGGCATGGACTGCGATGAGGAGTGGTTTCGGTCTTTTTTCATCATTTCCCATTAGTTTGACATGCAGATGGACTCCATCGTCCATTTGAACAGTGGAAGTCTGGATTCCTGCCATTTTTGATTGCCTTGACTTTGACTTTCAGATTACTCTGCGAGATGGCGATGAATGAAAGATAGTTTGTAACGGCTATTCTGGTTTTTGAACAGATATATGAGTATGAGGAGAAATTGGGCCACATTCTTACCTTTCGAGCTTCACAGTTTCAATTATTAAGCTGACAAATCCACCGCAATTTTACACGCCTCATATCTAGATCTGGTGATGGGAAATACATTTGTGAGTGTCTTTGACTCCTCAAGAATGAAGCGAGACGTTAGTTGCTATCCAATAGGCTCACATGGATTGCGCAATGCACGGGGTTATCCGCAGCGGGGCTATTGAATTTCGCTCTCGTCCGAACGCTTTCAAAAATTTATAAGCTCGGTTAAATCAGTGATTGATGTTGCGGAACTGAGCGTAAAGCTGGCCATCTTTACTTACTAGATGGTGCAAGATGTTTCGTTTGAATCTTTGTTGGGCAATTCTTGTTTCAGAAAAGAATCCGTAACGCCAAAGGTTTAGTAATGTCTTAATCGCCAAAAGAAGTACGAGCAGAGCTGTAGTAGTGAACAACTGGACTATGCAACGAATTCGAGGCACTTTCCCTGAATCACATGTTTCTCTTGCGGCTAATTGCCAGATTTTGCAATGCGTGATTGTAGCTCACAGAAAAATGATAATGGACGAAATGTACTATTTTGGGGTAAAAACTTCAGCTTGAATTGTGATGCAACACGGGCTTTTTCTGCAAGAAAACGCCAAATTCGCCCGCGTGCAGTTCGTTGAACGTCTTCTTTCTACGCTCTGATCCCAAATGACCAATACACCATTGGCAGATCATCACTATTGATAAATTAGTATACACATCCAACCTGATACTAAGGGCTGAGACCGAGATCCGAAATCTGAGGAACTGACATCTCATGAAGAGCTTGGCTCACATAGAAAATACAAAAGAAGGGCTGATTCAGACATACCAAGGCCTGCCTATCAAAACTCTACCACTGCAACTTTTCAACTCCATCATAATGGTGCTCAATGTTATCATACGCTCCATACCTACGGCTCCAGGTGGTCTATCTCTGCAGATCGAAAATGGAGTGTTCTCCTTATCCGACAACCTCTTTCGAAGTGACTCAAAAGTTGTTGGCATTTTCATGTTCCTATCTATTTCAGTGAGCTCCTGTATTCGTGCCAACCGCGACATAGAGTTTGCCGCAGGATGATCAGTCAGCCCCAATGGTCGACCATGCCCATAAAGATGGTTTGTATGGGCTACATATCCGTTGAGAGGATTGATAAGAGTGTTTCCACGAGGAGCACATTCGATGTCCGCATGCTTTCCACTCTTATCCGCAAACATATAGTTAATCGTGCTTGCAACCCTAAACTTATCAATAATTGCGATGGCGCTGTCGAAGCTTGTCGCAAATTGAAGAAGACGCCGAGACATGACGTGTACAGGGAACTTAGTTTTGTCGAAAGCGCCAGAGCGGATTGCGTTCATGCAGAAGCCAAAGCCTGCACTGTTCATTCCAAACTTACCCACAATCCCAGCCTCTGACAGAAATTTGAACTCAATATCTGACCCTGCAGGCTTGATGTGGAGGAAAACCATCCCTTTCTTGAGCTCCTCCAACCAATCCCAGTTCTGTGCTAGGAAAATGGCTCCTTCTTCGCCCTTTTGACTAATGCTCGTGCATCCATCAGCATAATTCGTCAGGGCGATCTCACTTCGAACATTGAGAGTGAGAATGTCATCTCGAGTAAGACCACCGCCGGCCCCATCTGCCATACCCTGCATTTCTTCCAGAATCTGAGGATAGTTATTTTCCAATGATGGCACAAATTGTGTTGCTGCCCTTTCTCGTGCCTTTTCCCAAGTGATTTGTGCAGTCTCCTGGAAGAAGGTAGTGTATGTTGTGATGTTGCAATGGAGTTCTTTTGCAACGGTGCTGCCGTGTGTGTAACTGATCTCGTATGATGTTCCGGTGCAGTAGACTGATGTAACGAAAGGGTGATCCATTCTGGAATTGGAGCTTATGGCTATGCTGTCTTGCATCTAATGATTTGTGTACCTATCGACGGATGAATGAATTCGTGTGCTCCTTTTCTCAATCTCGATCTGATGTATTTGGATGAATATGAACCCCTTTCTTTTCAACAGTGTGGAATTGGATGTCAATTTGTCATCTACGTTATTCCCGACAGATCTAGGTGATTTTCGCTCAAATCCGTCGTCTTCATATTGTTCCAAATTTCACATGTCTCGTGAGTCAGTAAGATAGTAACGTTGAATTTGTCTTTGAAACCATAGTTCTAATACGTTCCATGATGGTAACTTGGATGGATTCAGATATTCAGACGCCAGACCTATTTCTGGGTAATCTCAGGAAGGCCATGAAAGTGTTATTTGAAGGTGACAGTTGAAATTAGTCCATGTTCATTATTTGTTTTTTAGCATCAATAATACTTCCTGACTTTTAAAGCTCAAAAGAACACGACTCTAATGATCACCGGGTTGCCGTTAATAGAGTACGCCGTGCATGAGATGCAATTCTGTAGATTCCATTTCGAACAATCAAATACTGTCCCATCTGTGATCATCTTCATGAAGCCCTACACCTTTTCCATTCTGTTTCCATATTATGCCATCTTTCATGACGAATTCGACTTTCCTCAATGCAAATGTGTTCTTGCGGGGGTCGGCCTGTAGGGCAATGATATCTGCTCTCAATCCCTTCTCAAACCAACCAAATCGCATTCCGCAAAGATCTTTGCCACAAGCTTCCCACCCGCCAATTGTGCATGATTCGAGAACAAACTCTAAAGGCAGGCCTGCTTCAATCATAAGTTCCATCTCTCGAACTCCTTGACCACTAGGAAGAATTTAGCATTCATTAACACACCTGCATTGGTATGTAGCAGTCTACAAGGGTGCAAGTCCTACTGTGGATATGTGCCAGTATCTCCACCACATGCGAAACGAACACCTAAATCATAAGCGAGCTTTGTCTGTGCCTTGAGTTCATCAATGCGACTACTATACACTCGCTCGCACACAGCGAGAGTTGGGACCAGGAGACATTTTTTCTCAACCATGAGTTCGAAAAGCTCCTGATTACCGTAGTACGCATGTTCGATGGTATCAACGCCAGCTCTGACGGCCATCAAAGCCCCTTCAAGTGTCCCTGCATGACAAGCTACTGGCGCTCCGGCCAGTTTAGCCTCTTTGACGAGCATATCCATCTCCTCCTGAGCAAAGACAATAACATCAGGATTTGGATTTGCGGGATGGTGTGTGACACTGTGAATATAGGGATGTTGCTGGGCAGGCGGATAGCGCATGATTCGCCGCCGATAATCTGCGAAGAATTTGATGATGTCCGCACCAACTCTAATGCGGCGTCTCACCGCTGTCCTTACCTCATCAACTCCATCGACCGGTTCACCTCTAAGAGGGACACACACTCCGTTGGCTTGGTTCTCAGAGCGAGGTTCGTATGAGCCTGTGCTTGAGAGAGCGCGAGTGGCCACGAATTGGCGAGGTCCTGGCATGAGACCCCGATTGATACAGTCTCTTATATGTGCATCTGACTCCTGCATTGATTCAGATCCCAGATCACTCGAAACCGTCAGTATTGCCACAGAATCGTTTCTTAGAGTCAGTGCATGCTTACCGGTAGGTCGTGTATCCCGAAAGCAAAGATGTGCGGCAGTGGTTGACTGCTCGTACTATTCGCTCAACAACACTTTCATCGCGTTTCTGGTTCAATGAGGGACGTTCGCTATTTGCATCAGATTCGGTAGCTCGATATGCATACAAGAATATAACCTACTCATAAGAATGGAGGAAAATGTGGCTGTGTGCATCGACAAAGCCTGGCATGACAATTTTACCACGCAAATCGACATCACCTTCAGGAATATCTTCTAGAGATCCTAGTTTTCTTTGGTTGATTTCTGAGATGAGGCCTGACACTGGATCGACAGTTATTGAAACATCAGACCCGAAGTCTTTCTTTTTGGGGTCGAATAATGTTGAGGTGTGAACTGTATACGGAGCTGCCATGTTCGCTGCGCTGGTGGCTATGGATCAAAGAGTCAATAACATTTTGGTCTAAAGGAGAGCAGGAGAATAAAGCTCTTTTGTGCATTAGTAAACAATCTTTTAGGCTTCAAGAAATAGTGGAGCTAGTGGGCTGCGGGAAAGCATGCATCTTACGAGCTTCAATTGCTTACGTAATTATGCTCACTTTTGTAGTCACAGTAAGTATATCATTTGCTCTTCATATTATCTACGAAGACCAATCCAATGAGAGCTTTCGAATGGCGCTGATTTACCGGCGCTGAACTCCGTGGTCGGGGATCGCTACGGAAGATTGCAGATCCTCCCCCCTTTTCTCCACTGAAACTCGCTCCGCTAAGCGAGAGCCTGATTACAAATTCCCAGTGCATGATCGCCGAAAATAATCAGCATAGTTTCGCTCTCGTCCGTCGGCAATAAGAGACGTCTCAGACTATTGCAGCAACGACAGGCTCGCTCTCCTCCGTGTTGCAAGGTTCTTTGGATAGTCCACCACTCCTTCTTAGGGGGGGGGGGGACGACCAATACGAAAAAAATGTTAATTGCAAGGCCGTACTTGATTTTACAGCATATTCCAAAGCAAATCTACAACAGAGTTCCATGCATCCACATATGCAGAGCCTCCCTTCCACCGAGCTGAGAAAGATACTAGTAGGGTGGAGACCTTGATTATAGGACCCATTGCTACCCGTGGTGACATGCCCGAAAAGGAATTTCCTCTATTTGAAGTCGCGCAGTGTCGGCTTATGAGGAAAGCTGCTCAGATTGCGCCAAATTCAAGAACTCGCTCAGCTGTCATCCAAACACTTAGAACCTTATTGTTTGCATTGAGCCGACCAACATGATCAATGATGGTAAGTGAAGAGTACGCTATTAATTGTAACAGCCCCGGTAGAGCATCATCAAATATCCTGTTCCAGAAGGTCTCCGAAGCGGTGAAAAGTGGATGCAAAGCAGTGTATACTGTTGCTAAAGCTATACTAATATCGGATGTTGTTGAGTAAATTCTCAAAGGGAGAGGAACAAGCTCTTCCAGAAGTCGCTCCGATGGGTCAGGTACATCCCTGAGCTTCTGGGCTATAGCATGTAGGTAGGGTAGAATATTTAGTTCCTCGAGAAGTTGTTTGTGCCCATCAAGGTTTCCAATTATGGTCTTTAGACGCATCTCGCAAAATTGAGAAGGACGTCGGAAATGTAGTGTTGCAAAGCTATGACAGGATATTAGATCGGAAAATAAGTGAAAGATATGGAAGATCACCTTTCCAATTTGAGCAACGAGAGCTCTAGTTCTAGGAACTCGCGATCCAAACTCAAGCCTCTTAATCGATAACCTTCACGTAGGTGTTCCATAGTTGAGACAGCTCTCCCAAGCAAGTCCCAAAGCTGATTGGAAACTGGATTGATTAACTCGCAAATAGCCAAGGCGCACAATGCGGCGCAAGTCTCTTTTGCCGTTTCTATCCGGTCTCCACTAGAGGCAGTCCTTTGAGAGATTATCTGCACTTTTTCTCTAAAACGCTTTGAGATCGCTGCAAGATTGGAATCTAAGTCTCGGCTGATGAGTGCTGTCGAGATAGCAAAGACAATGGCTATCGCGAATGCGCTTGGAGAAGTTGGATTTGAGCTACTCCATCTCAGAGGGTTCTCGTACGCCAGCAACTTCGAATCTGCTTCATCCGAGAACAGGGAGTATTCTGGTGATACTTTATCCAAGTAGTTTTCAATTATCGCTCGTTGGGTAGAAGGAGGTACCAGAGAATGAAGCTCTGCTCTTTGATCATGAGTCATGTCAACGGGCCACAATCCTTGTAATTGCTGAGATCTTATCATCACAGATGCCTCGTCTGGCAGAAGATTTTTTGGAAGCTGTATATTGTTCACGGAATGCCATTGAACAGCGCTCTTTGTAAGGCGCTCTAACAGCCGAGCCGAGCTTCCTGGGCCGAGATAGCTTGTCCGAGAGGGAGATGGAACATCGTTATAACCAACAACATTTGAATGATACCCTTGCTCAGGGGCGTGTGCCGAGATAAGGTTGTCTCTCCCCCTTAAACTCGTTGATGTGGCTGGCGCTTTATCCGTAGCATTCTTGATTTCAAGCTGGAGACTTGCGACCCTCTGCTGAAGAGAGTGAACATAACTAGTTGTAAGTTCTATGTCAGCAACGGACGTAAAAGCTCGGAAAGACTATTTCGAACCTGCACGGTATTTCCTTACCAAGAGCTTCTTCCCAAAAGAGACACTCTGCGTCCGCGAGTCGACAATTCCTGCAGGCCGGCAACTGTAAATCACACTGGAATTGACCTGTTAGCATACGTCACGTGAAGCCCAAACAGCCAAGAGCTCACTCTTATCTTTCTCTTGCGGCACCTGCTACAGACCTGCGAACTCATCACGCGTACTGAGTCCGTATGGTTAAGAATATGGGAAGTACGAGCTGTACGAGGGTTAATTCTAATGATCGACCCCACTCTGCGGGGAGCAGTATTTGTAAGCTGGTGGCGATGATGTGAAACGACTAGTAGGTATACTACACAAACTCCCATTCCTCTCCAATGCGCATGATCAAACGTATATCTATTACAACTCAATGCCCAGTATGAGTAGTGCACCAAGACATTTGAAAAAACGTAGGCATAGCAAAGCTTGTGCAAGGTGTCGCAAAAGGAAAATACGAGTAAAGACAGCGCTGATTGCTAGGAGATGCAAGTTACTGACAGCTTAACTAGTGCGATTTCCAGTACCCAACTTGCGGAGAATGCTCCATAGCGAAAGAACATGCTTGGGATTTGATTCCATTCACAAGACCGAGAAACCGCGAAGTATTGTTTCGTACCTCGAGGAGCAGGTGGCTCGTTTGGAAATTGAGCTCCGCCAGATCAAGACCCAAAGCACTGACATCTCGGATCTGGTAAACGTGACAGTGGAGAGATTGACTACCTCCGTTGCGGTAGCCACTCTTGAGCCAGCAGGGAAATTGCGAAAGCAAGAAAACGTCATTCCACTCACTTCATCGTATTTTCTGTCCGCATCTCCTGTTCCATATCTCAACAGCCAAGCCTGGGACAACAATAAGCTCGAGAGACCGAAAGAGTCTTTGTCAGACGCTATCACCATCTCCACAATTCCTCGTCATGTGGTTGAGACCATGTTGAAACACTACTGCGAGATATATCGCCCACAATATCCAGCAATTGATGAGTCAGAGCTGTACGAAGCCTGTGAGAGGGCTTATAACAATGCAAATCCCTCTGATTTTGATATGTATTGTGTTCACATTGCATTGGCTATTAGTGTTTGTCCCCATCTTTCTGGGACGATACAAACACAACTAAGACATTCAGACTAGCACCCTCATCGTCAAAGATGAGAAAAGGGCCACGATCGCTACACGTGGCCTCTGGGCTACTGCTGTTGCCTATTTGAGCCAGGTTGGTCTGTCAAATTCCTGGGAACGACTGATATCATTACAACTTCTTACTCACTACGCGTATTTGAACCCACAAGATGTTGATTGCGGGAGTTGTGCAACTGCATCTACGAGATTGTGCTTCAACCTTGGCCTGCATTGCGAATTACCTCTCTCGGATCAGACGAACCAGGATGTTACGACACTAAACTCTCGAAGGAGACTGTTATGGAACTCGCATAGCATTGATTCGTAGGAGCCTACTCCTGTCTCAATCCTGCCCATTTTGCTAATCACTCCGCCAGGGCCTTTCACACAGTCACTTGTCGACCTTTCGCTTGGCCACCAGATGCATTTTCAGCGAAGGTAAGATTTGAAATCTTCAGAAGCAAGACAAAGGACTGACCTGTGAAGATTCCTGACTACTGCCCACAAACATCACATACTGCTCATGTCTGGTCACTGCGACAAATCGAGACCGAAATAACTTTGGTCTTCTATTATCCTTCGTTGATTCGGAACGACGAACTATCAAATATCACCGATGACGAGTGGTCTACCCGCTGTCATGATCGATTGAGCGAGTGGTATCGGATCACTCATCAAAGTGTCAACCTTTCCGAGAAAATTGAGTTCATGAATTATTCCTCCAGCTTCAACTTTTGAGACTCAACCGATCTTCCCCACGCTTCCCGAATCCGACCATGGAGATGCGTAAGAAGGCTCTCAAAGCATCTATAGCCCTGATCAAGGAACTCAGCGTCATAGATCGACTCGGCAAGCTTTTCTATCTATGGCATGCAACCTATTGTCTTGTCGAAGCTGGTATATGCTTACTCGTATCAATGGTGACCGCAATGGAATCTTCTCGTCAAGAACAAACTCATCTAGAAGGAGAAGATATCTCAATCTTGACGAGGTATTTAAAGACACTGCCACTTCTTTTGGAGAAGATATTACGCCGTTGGGTAAATATCACACAGCACGCCTCTGCTATGGGCGCTCTTTCGCTTTCAGTTTCAGAGAAATTACATCAATGGGCTAGTGGACACATTATCGAGAGTTCAGGACTTGATGCATTGAAAGAGACCTTTAGCCAGTCTTCACGATTTTCCCCATTCTCGCTCAACCTACCGCCTGCAGAAGAAGGTCGTATTGAAACCGTAGGACACGAGCTCCTTCCAGCACCTGGATATATTCCAACAGGCTTTTCTGAGATTGGTGTATTGCCAATGGGTGCCCAATCATTTTCCCCCGGCTCGCTCGTTCTTGACTCCGAGCTGGACAACAGCTTCTCCATGCTACCAGATATTTATGGATTTGATAATGGAGACTCGCTGATGTGGAATTTTGCGGGGATGGATTACGAGGAAGTTTTCGCTGGTTTGCTTGAAGGAGAGCAAGGGTCGAGTTTTTAATCAGTATTTATTATTTTCCAGAAAGTATGTTGAATGCTTTAAAGCAGCACCCCTCAAAACCTTGCTCTGTCAATTTATTGTCTGCAAAGCTGATCTGTACGAGTGTATATCCGATCACGTGATAGTTCTAGGTGGAGCCTGCCGTTATCGAATTCTTTTGCCTGTTACAGATCCATGATTACTTGAAGGTCGGAACAATTATCACCTTGAATAACAGTATTCTTCTTCATCGTGTACCTAAACTTTTGGAGTGAAGCATTGTCTGTCATGTGAACCGATAAAGGGGCAACGCACTAGTTCTGAAGTGGACTAGTGTTTCGAATGTCAGGAACCTCAAACGCGAGCACCCTCAGAATCCATCAAAGAACAACTTTTGTACCGGACTTTGCACCGCAGACTTGTCTAACCCGAGCTACGACCATTTTGCTAATCGGAGATACCGTTTTACGGCTACCTGGATTTCTCTGCGGGGTCGAACTTGCGATGAAGTCTCCAACTCCACTTGAGTTTCCTAACCTGCAGAGGCTCCAGCCTCAGGAGCAGGATGAGCTTCTGGATGCCATCGGCTCCTTACAGTTACAGGGACTTCGGGATAAAGTCCCCGTGCCACAATTGGTCGTTTGCGGATACAACAATAGCGGGAAGAGTTCCATCTTAGAAGCCGTCTCTGGCATCCCGTATCCCAATGAAACCAGATTCACAACCGAATTCATCTTCCGCAGGACTTTGAAGAGTGCAAACAGTATTTCGATCATTCCGTCGCACAAAAATGTCCACAGGAGTCCCGTCGAGCTCGATAACCTGAAAAACTTTGAGCACGATCTGAAGACGGGCGAAGATCTTGTGGCGTTGTTCGACAAAGCTGGAGCGGCTATGGGACTTTCTACTTCGGGAGCAGCTTTCTCGACGGACATTCTGAGAGTAGAGATATGCGGGCCTTCACACCCACAGCTCACACTTGTGAACTTACCCAACTTTATTTCCGCAGCAGATCAAATTCAGCTTGGTCACGGCGTTAGTGTTCTTGACCTGTACAAAATGATAGAGAGGTATTTCCAGGATCCCAACAGCATCGTCTTAGCTGTCTTATCAGCTCGAAATGAGCTTCAATTTCAGACCATTCTCGACCTTACTTACAAGCACGATCCGAAACGCCAGCGGACTATCGGCCTCATTACACAACCAGAACTTATTGCGGCAGATTCCAAAGAACCGTCACAGATGATTACTTTGGCAAAGAATGAGCGGATCCATCTTGAGTTGGGATGGCACGTGTTAGGCGGTCTAGATTATGCCGATCCGAAAAGTCCGTCAGGGATACCAGATATTCAGGACACCAGCTTCTTTGAAACGAGCAGATTCAATCGCTTGCCAATGAGCACGGTTGGCATTACATCCCTACGCACCCGCTTGAAGAAGGTACTTTTTGATCACGTGAGAGTCGGCTTGTCCCAGCTCGTGGACGACATCCAGTTGACTATCTTGTCGAGAGAGAGTGAACTCGATCAACTTGGCCCTAATCGAGCTGCTGCTGAAGAGCAGCGGGCGTTCCTGGTGGGATTGAGTCAGTCCTTCAGAGATATCTGCCGGGATGCTGTTAGAGGCATTTATGACCACGAATTCTTCTGAGGCGATGAGCCAGAACGACGATTGCGTACACAGATCATGAACAAGCACTCTGAATTTGCAGATTTTCTCCGAAAGAATGGATCGATGTGGAACATTACAAATAGTGAAAGAGATGGAGACCAATCCAATCACCACACTCGGAAGCAAGCAGTCGCAGATGCTTATGCGTTACTTAAACGCAACAATAGTCAGGAAGTATGATCATCCCTCTTTGACACCCATTGAATAAAAGCTAACGACCCACATTAGCTGCTCGGACTACCAGATCATACCCTTGTTGGTGAGCTGTTTCGACAATACAGCAAACCATGGGAGAGACTTGCGCAGGCTCATGTGAAGGATGTATGGGATACCGTAAATTCGTTCCTGGATATCTTGTTTAGGTATCTGGCCAACGAGGATACTTCCGAGAATATTCGTCGCTATTGTCTCGCTCCGAAGATGGTGGAGAGGCTCGAGTTGGCCTTTACAAAACTTGATGAGCTACTGGTCATCCACGATGAACCGCCAATGACGACCGATCTTGAATTTCTACGTCGCAGTAAGATGCAGACTGCGGCAGGTGCTCAATTCTTGTTTACCTCTGGCAACGGACGAGAGAAGGACGTAGTAGACTTTGCTGCAGCTGAGGAAGCATTTGACATCATGCTGTCCTATTATGAAGTATAAATCAACATAAACACCACCAGCAACTACTTACTGACATCTGAAATAGGTAGCTATTGACCGATTTGCAGATAACGTTGCGTTGCTTGCAATCCAGTCTTCCATCGTTCGAGGATTACCAGACATATTTTGCCCAACATCTGTACTTTCAATGGATAACGCAACCATCAAAAGTCTCGCTACAGAAGCCGAGGAAAGAATTCTAGAACGAGATGATATAACACGTAAACTCGAAGTGATGAAAAATGCAGCTCGTGTTTTCAAGCTGTATATGAGAAAGCCTCGATCAGGTACGTTGGACCGACCCCGTTCTATAGACAGTAATGGAAACTTACAGTATGATTATCTATAGACGCGGCCCTGTTGTTCTCTAACAATGGAGCTGCTTCGAAGCGGAGCTCGCACATTCCACATGCGGTAGAACTACAAGAGCGTTCAGACTCATCACCGCGACCACAATCGACCAATGTCCAAAATGATGCAGCTTCCGTCAGTCTACCAAGAGAACATACGTCCTGTGAACAATTGCCGACAGTATCTTCTCCACTGCTAGTCGCTCAAACACAAGAGGATCGCGTGACTGAAAGGGGAACGGCGCCATCATCGATCAGCATCAGCGAGGCGGGAATGGATACTCCACAGACACCAAGTCCACTCGAAACCGAGTCGCCATGCGTTCCACCTGTTTCACCGCCTACACCTCCTCCATTCTCTCCGCCTGAGATCCTCTTCGGTCAGACAACGAAGCTTACCTCCTCAGTGAAACGCTCAACAAAGAAGCCTATTCGAGCATTTGAAGCATATTCAGACGTCGGCGGAAGTCCTTTCCGCTTGCCCAACACAGGCGCGATCAGAAACAATCTATCTTCAGCCCTTACAAGACAACGCCCTCCAAAACATCTACTGCCGAGTCTAAGACGGCGTCTGGATTAAGTCCACTTCCACCTGGCGGAGTACTTGGATTCAACAAAACATCTAACTCTGCGACTAAGTCGGGATTTGCGTCATCGCCAGCCTGGGCTGTCTAGCTTGGGATGAGCACAGGTGAGACCTCCAAGCTCAGAGGAGCTAAAGCCAGACAAATATCACTGCTCTATACTACCACCTATCTCGCTGAATTGTTAACTATTATCTCTTGGCGTGCATCCTTTTCTCCCAAGACTATATCCTTGCTTCAAACGGCAACCATGTTTCGATTGAGAGTTCCGACACTCGAGGAGAATCTTAGTTGAGGAATATAACAACCTACTCTTGAGGATGATCTCACTTATTGGATCTATCCAATATTTACTTTTCAGACTTGGCAGGACCTTGGCCATAAGCTGTGCAGAGTCGATCTCAAGCAACTTGTAGAACAAAGCAAAACACGTGATGCAAGGCATGTGAGGTACCTGGAAAGTTGGACGGAATTGTATAATAGCATAGCATTCTCACACGAAGTAAACCCGTTTTCATTTGGAAAGCTGAGCGGAGCTTCTTTAATTCAAATCAATTATTTTGGGTGAGGTAAAGTGGGGTCATGTCGGATTGGACAAACAAGACTTACTACGGCTCCAACTTCGACTCTCTTTAGCCAAGGCGTATAACCGGGCTTTGAGCGAAGCACATCGCTTTATCCATAGCGGCAATTCTGCAAACGGTGACACCACATGAAAAGACCCGACTTCCTGCTCGCACACGTGACATCCTATGCAATCTGGATTTCTAATCACGCGTGCGGGGAAATCCCATTATCAATCACGCAATCACGCCATCATACCAACTTCCTTGACATCTTTAAAGCCATTTTGAGTTTCCTCTCTCTCAATAACAAATTATTAAACATTCTCGATAGCAAGAAAGCCAAGCCTCCCGTCAAAATGTCGAATCAGCTTTATCAAGATGACACCCCTGCGGACGTAAAGAACGCGAAGGTATGACTCATCCAATATTGCTAGAGCGAAGAACTGACAATCTACCAGGGCCTTCATCTCATCACACAGAGTACGCCCAATGGCCAGAAAGTCCAGATCTTCTTAGAAGAGTTGGCCGATGTGTACGGGACGGAGTGGACCACTACCTTGATGTACGTCTCAATTACGTACATTGACCAGATACTTTATTAACATTAACAGCAACATCTCAACCAACGAGCAGAAAAAGGACTGGTTCCTGCGCCTAAACCCAAATGGTAGATCGTAGTCCCTGGTGACCCGACGGCAAAGTTAATCTAGATAGGCCGCATCCCGGTGATCGTCGACAATACCGTCTCACCCCCATTCCCTGTAATGGAGACATCAGCTGAACTCCTCTACCTGCTCAAATTCGACAAGGACAACAAATTCGGATTCGCAGACGAGCTTGATCAAAACGAGCTTGTGCAATGGCTTTTCTTCTGGCATGGTAGCGGTGCTCCATATCAAGGCAATCTTGGATTTTTCAAACGCGCATCAGAGCAACTTCCTTGTAAGGCATGCTCTCTCGCTTCCCAATTGATCATCCTGACATATGACAAAAGTTGCCATTGAGCGATTCCGCAAAGAAACCTATCGCGTCTTCGGCGTTCTGGAAATCAGACTCTCAGGCAAGTATACTGGCGAGCCGCGTGAGTACTTGGCCGGAAAGGGCAAGGGGAAGTATTCCATTGCTGATATTGGAACGTGGGCATGGGTAAAGAACTACACATTCAGTGGCTATACTGAAGAGGAAATGAAGGAGTTGCCACATTTGGTGAAGTGGGTGGACCGCATCGCTGAAAGACCGGCTGTGAAGAAAGGAACGGGAGAGAAATATAAGAATAAGTAGGCCATCTGGTATGGGCTCTGTGTTGAAAATGGGGAAACTTGGGAACATGGCTCAAGTACTATTCATAAACAGCAACAAAAGCTCAAGAAAAGTTTAATGAAGTTTTAAGACCCACGTATTGTTCACTATGGTGCAAACAGGATCACACTAATAAAATGGGCAAACGTCCCTCGACTTGAGAGTACTTATAACTTGCAAAATATTTATCAACAAGTTTCAACATATGCTCAACTCATGTTCTGAACTTGAATCTCAACTTCAGCTACATTCTACTCGTTTTTGCTACCTTTTAATATCTCGAAGCAGAATTAAAGCTGATGAGTTTAGATTTCAGGAGCTTGTCGCCAGAGTTATGAGAAGTGTAAACTTGGTGGCAGGGTAGCAGGTATGATGTGGTCATAAATATTTCCCAACCAATCTTACAAATATAAAACCCTGCAAGACATAACACCAAAAAAGCCAACACCGCTATATGATCGTGATCGTGTATTTGTCAACTCCATCAAATTCCACATATTCGAGCCAATCATGATTTTCAGCACGTATAGCTTCATCCCACGAATCTTCCACCCACTCGTCCCACTTGAAGTACAACAGGCCAACTCGTCGAAATTGGCCCCTAGAGTTGCCAGTAGGCACAAGTAGCAGGCCTTGGAAGGACCCGTTGGGTTGGTGCGTTATCGGCATAAAATGTAAGTCAATGCTACCTGAAATTTCACTGAATGGATATTTATCAAAAGCGCAGGCGGTCTTGTGGCACATAATTCTGACGACCCCGGTTTTGACCTGGATATCAAGTTTACCCTCAAGGTCAAGAGATTCAACCAGCCGTATTACCACAGTCCACAACAATCCAAGTAGCTTGATGGAGCCTGACAAAACTTGGCCAGTTGGGTCCGATGAGGCAAGGGCCACTTTAGTTTGCACGACCTCCGCCACAGGGACTAGTGGCGAGTTATATAAATCCATCCATGGAACCCAAAGCTCGCAATTGGAGGATGCCCAAGACCAAGATGGTGCTATATATGCGGATGGAATTGAAGCAGCATCCTCGGCTTGCCTAGGATCGTCGTTCCGCAGCGCCCTCCACATCAAACATTGAGGAAACTGGCTCTCCCATAAGCCAGCGAAATATGTTTCGCCAGTCGCGTTTTGTATGATTTTGGCAATACCAGAGAGAGCAATCAGTTTGTCAGTTTTGAATGTAAGACTACACCTTGAATAGAACTCAACTAGGCTTGCCCAGAATTTGTAAACTTTGATTGCCCTGCTAGCGTCGGATATTCTCGATGTGAGAATAGAAGGTTCATCTCGTTTGACAAGTGGATGAGTCAACAGAGCCATATCCTTGGGTGCCCCTTCAGAATACATCTCTGATGCGTAATCTTCTCTGCATTCAAAGATTACTTGTTGAAAGTCAAAATGTACGAATCTGCGACAAAGAACATGTTCTTGGACAACCCAACCACGACGAAGCAATGGGGAAGTGGACGAGATATCATCTAGCGTTGCTGATTTCGAATGTAGATAAATTTGAAATCGCCCATTGAGTCGGTCTGACCAAGAAGTCTCAATTCCCTTTTTGTGTATGAAGCGAGGATTTCTCTCGCGAATGCAGCCCTCGTTACTACCGAATGAGGCTGTTGCTCCGATATTCAGTACAGCTTGTGAATAAACCTTTCCCATAGAGGAAGATTCTGAAGTCCAATCGTCCTTAGAATCTTGAAATATACAGAGAGAGTCGATCCATACGCATTTCAAGCCCAAGGATCGAACAATAACGATTGCATCCTGAAAAGTCTTTGGCAACTCCGTGACCGGTATACCTCCGACTAAGCGTGGAAAAGACGAGGATGTCAGCTTTAGAGGATCACCATGTCCCCAACAGTGACTCAATGTTGCATAAGACTCCGTTTGAACGATTGTCGCCTCAGGTCCCGTACAATTGAGAGTAACATAATCCGAAAAAGGGCTATCGAGCTCAAGCAAGCGAGTCGGCCTCCAAGCTGGTTCGGCTGTATGATTGCACCGTTTGTGAGTCTCAAGACAGTTTCGCAGCCACTTTCGCACAATATTCAACGTTTGCTGGGAGTTGGTATTGTCTGACTGAATCTCGGGCGCTATCATTTCTTCCGCCATGGTCAGCGGAGCTTTTTGAAGTAAAGCAAGTAAAGTAGAACATACTTAAAGGAGAAAGCTTGAACATCAAGTAGTCACTAGGCCTGGCATCAAAACAAACTTGCATCACCGAATTAGTCTCGGAAGAGAACGAGTAAGAAGTCGGAAAAAGCTCTGAAGCATCCAATGAGTCTTGACGAAAAGCGGGGTACAGCTTCAAGAACAGCCTCCAGAGTCGCGTGCAGATTATACACCATGATTCCGCCGATTTTCGAATGGATGCAACTGTCTCACAGTGGCGTCTGTAAGCCGTGATAAACGCTGAATATCTTGGATAGCCTCCTCCAGGAGAATTCGGTTCTCTGGTCACTCCAGTGAATATCATTTGGCAGATATCGCAAAGCATCTCGAGAACCTAGTAGATAAACAAGCTGGACTGTAATAGATGGGAGGGAAAGGTGATCGTAATAGAGAGTGTTAAGTAATTGGCAAGGCTGGACATGACTTTGGGATGAGGCTGGACTATTAGGCAGATGTCAGGGTGCAGTGAAGAGGCACTCTCCTGTCACCGTACAATGTTTTTGTGTAGTCTATCTTGTAATTTGGCCGAAAGAAACGAAGGTTGACGCATGAGAGGGAAGAGAAGAAATAAGGAAGCCGAGAATCTGAGACGAGAAGGAACGCCCCAAGTCTCCACAGCACGTGATAATCAATATGTAACTTGGAAAACAAGATATGAGAGAACAGATAATGTAGAATACCCTGAGCTCGAAAAACATGAATATTTGTCTAGATCTTGGTAGTAATAGGCGTACAACGAAAGTTGAACCACACCGCAATGGCATACACGTGACTAGTACGGCAGCCTAATCTTCTCGGCATGTACAGAGGACAGGAAGTACGTTAGCTCAATATAATTTGCTCGAGAGTACTTAGCATTGCTTTCTGCTTTGGTAAACCTTTAGAACGAACTCTCGAAATGGCAGCTCAAGAACCTCAACTCTCGGTAAAGCTCTCCCTCTCCGAACCAACCTACTACTTCACCAACCCCACCCCGCCAACTCTCTCCTTGACCATCGAGTCCAATCTCGACAAACCCATCACAATTTTCACATGGTATACGCCCTTCAATCCCAGCCTAGGAATGGTACAAGGCTGTTTCTCCATCATGGACCTCACAACGAACACACCTGTCCCTCAAACCAAGATCCAAATCCAGCGTGCCCCTTTCTCTCGTGCTCGGGGATCTTACGATGATCATTTGTTCTTGACCCTATACCCGCACACGCCGACAGTGGTGTCGACGGGGTTTGGCCGCGGTGGAGGTAAATTCCCGCCAGACCCGAAAGCGGTCGTGGAACGGGGTCGGGTGAGGGATGAAAATGGCAAAGAGTTGAAGATTAGGACGAGTACGAGTGGCTGTGGAGTAGATGGACTGGAAGGTGGACATCGGTATAGAGTTGATGTTACGAGAAGCCCGTTGACGATTGGGAGATGGTGGTGGGGGACGAAGGAGGAGGTGATGGTTGAGCCGGGAGGAGTGGATTGGAATATCCTGCCAGGAGAGGAGATTCCGTTGGAAGTTGGATCGATTGAAGGAGTTGAGTTTGAGGTTGAATGGGGCCCCGAGGCTGGCGCTGGAGGTGTTTCTGAGGGTGGGGACGAGAATTGAGGTTTGTAATAGCTGAGGGCGGCAAACCCCGAGGAAATTAGCTTTGAGAATAGTAACACTTGAGGCTATAGAATATGGAGGAACATAGCCACCTTCGAATAGTAAAGAATATCTGCAAAGGGATTTTTGGAAATAGCGAAAAGTCAATCCCATGATTATTTCCAACCGACGAATCCCAAGTTTCTTGCTCATTGAAGGCAATGAATGAGAGATAGGACATCAAGTAAACTAGAAAACTTATATAGAATGATTTACTTGAGGGTCGCACAGTTGCTAAAACCAGAAGTGCGAAAATAATAGGAACAATGGCACAAAGATAATGTGGAAACATGTTCAGTAGCCTTCGACGACTTGACAAGGCACTATGAACTCTGCCATTTTTCAAATAGCCAGCTGGGATTGATATCTAGGAAGCAAGGCAGATTCTCGATCAGAAATACATTTGCATATACGAGAGCAGGGTCTGAGAGACAGTTGCAATCACGTGGAGAAGCCCTGTAATGGATTGGAAGAGGAAACTGCTCTGCGCGTTGCACGACAGGCCGTATAAATCAGAAATTTGGCAAACTTGGTAACGCGAATCAGAGAGCAGCATGTTGGAACATGTTATATTGCTTATTCTGACAATTGGTCCAGATGTGTCTTGTGTTTAACTCATCAGCCACACTCGTGGGATGAGAACATCAGAAGCTAAAATGCTTCAGCAATTGCGCATAATCGGATAAACGAACGCAGTGACAGAGGAATATAACAAAGTACAATCGAGTAGATAAACTGAGGCTGCATTTCAAAGTCCAGCCATTCGTGAGACAATGTGAACGCTTTGATGTGTGTCGGTTAATTTGGAGATCACAAGCCACAGGTTCCAGCACCAGCCACAGTTGATTTTCATCACCCCCGAGAATGACGCGGGATGTGAAGACACACTACTGTATACTGATCCACCCAAGATGCGAGCAATTGTGTCACGCGTACTCCCATTCACACATTCACCATAGCCTCATTAATCCCCTCCATTCTTCCCTCCTCTGTTTCGCATCATAGTCAATCGTCCAGGGCTGACAATACGGAGCAACTCTCCTTGACAAGGCTGGCAGGAGGAGGGAAACCCTTTGCGCCGCGCCAACACCAACATCAACTCGCAGATTTCGAGGAGTACGAGCTTGCAGATTACACTGGGACACAGGATCCGGAGGAGACGAGCCCGCGAGAACTACAGAGAGAGGCCAAGCGGGCAGAGAAGTGGCGTCAGCTCGACGAGGCAGACGAGATGAAGTTCTCCCACAGCATCCAATTCAATGCAGTCCCAGACTGGAGCAGCCATTACATAGCATACAGTAACTTAAAGAAGCTGTAAGCTCCCTCCCTTTACCGGAGATTGTGGGACGTGTAGCACATAATCCAGAAGCTGACGAGCACCAGCATATATCAGCTCGAAAAGAATATCCACAGACCAGCGACTGCGAACGGGAACGAAGACCCCGAACGATCACCTCTTATACAAACGGACGATCCGGATGTCCTTTTCTCCCGGGCATTGGATGTGGAGCTCGAGAAGATCTCATCTTTCTACCAGCTGAAAGAGCTCGAAATCTATGGCGAAGTCAATGATTTCTTGAAGGATGAAGAGTCCTATGAGGCAGAGAATCTAGAACAAATGGATGGCCAAGGCGATCCAAGACCAGGTACCAGCGGTCGAGCAAGCGATAGACCTAGGACGGGTAGCATATTTCGAAGCCTCGTGAATAGACCCAGGCGTGCAAGCACAATCAGTCGATCAATAGACGAAGGGATTGAAGACAGTGACGACGACGATGACGAGCATACCGCATTACACAAACCACGCCCGGCCACTGGACGCAGCAAAAGCACCCCATACGATGCGAACAGGAATGGCGGGATTGAGGACATGAGGACATCAACGGAATTCAGCAAGTCCATACGGCGGAACAGCCAAAATTACGAAGATTATGCCGATGAAGCATTTTCTGCTCTGTATTCATCCGGAATCACCTTAAAGAAACGGGCCATCAGTCTTTATGTACAGCTATGCGAGCTTAAATCATTTGTCCAATTGAACAAAACCGGGTTTACCAAAGTCTTGAAGAAGTACGACAAGATCTGCGATCGAAGCTTGAAGTCGAAATACATCGAGAAGTTTGTTACCCCTGCGTATTGCTTTCGTCCCGAGACCTTAAAACGGATCGATGATAGTATACAACGAATGGAAAAGGCATATGCAGACGTTGTCACCGGTGGTGAAGTCGCCGAGGCTAAGAAGGAGTTGAGATTACACTTGCGAGAGCATGTTGTATGGGAGAGGAACACAGTATGGCGAGAGATGATTGGTATTGAACGAAAAGCTCAGGCCGCAAACATGGGAATCAGACGGACGCTTCTGGGAGTGGACAATGACCCTGCGAAAGCCAGACTTCAGGGCGATGATGCCGAGACTGCAGATATGAAGGAGCTTTCAACGCCTGTGGGAAGATTCAGGTGCCCGGCATGGTTGTTCAGTTCAACTATGCTCACACTTATTATCAGCATCATTATATTCTTCGTCTTGATTTTCGTCCCTATCATGGAGCAACCGGAGCAACAAAATTGCTTAGCGATGCTGGTGTTCGTCTCCCTACTGTGGGCTACGGAGGCAAGTCACTGAGTCTTTCTTCTCTTAAGTTGCTAACAGGATCAGGTCATTCCTCTCTTCACTACTTCGCTCATGGTACCATTCCTCTGTGTCCTGTTAAGAGTTGTCCGTTCAGACAGCCTCCCACACCAGCGTCTTGATGCCACCAATGCCGCGAAGTATATATTTCCAGCTATGTGGTCACCAGTTATTATGCTTCTTCTGGGCGGTTTCACTGTGGCCGCGGCCCTTTCCAAGTACGATATAGCGAAGCGAATTGCAACCTGGGTTCTGAGCAAGGCTGGTACCAGACCTCGCACTGTTCTTGTGACCAACATGTTCGTCGCTGCTTTTGCGAGTATGTGGATCAGCAATGTTGCGGCTCCAGTGTTGTGCTTTTCAATCATCCAGGTATGCTGGCCACCAATATTCTATGATTATCGCTAATGTTTTTAGCCCATGCTACGCAACCTTCCATCGGACTCGAACATGTCAAAAGCTTTGATTCTTGGCATAGCTCTCGCTTCGAATATCGGTGGCATGCTGTCACCAATTGCTTCTCCACAGAACCTCATTGCCATTGATACGATGATTGATGATCCAAGTTGGATTCAATGGCTTTTTATCACACTCCCTGTCGGAATCATCTCCATTCTGTTGATCTGGCTTCTATTGCTAGTCACATTCCGACCAAGTCGAGGCACGACCATCGTTCCAATTCGATCTGTTAGAGATAGTTTCACTGGGGTTCAGTGGTTTATCTCAATCGTCACCATTGGCACCATTGTACTTTGGTGTATTACTCAGCAGGAGAAGGTTAAAGAATTCCTCGGTGATATGGGTGTAGTTGCTATTATCCCCATGATCCTATTCTTCGGCACAGGTATCTTGACGAAGGAAGACTTCAACAATTTCCTATGGACCATCATCATTCTCGCTGCTGGTGGTCTATCCCTAGGAAAAGCAGTCAGCTCATCTGGACTTCTCGAAACAATTGCGAAGCAGATCACGGGCGGGATTGAAGGACTTTCCTTCTATAGCGTTCTGGTCGTCTTTGCCGCTTTAATCCTGGTCGTTGCAACGTTCATCAGTCATACAGTAGCTGCCATCATTATCCTCCCTCTAATGAAGACGATCGGACAAGATCTCGGAGAACAGCCTCGTCCGGATCTCCTCGTCATGATCGGAGCTCTCATGTGTAGTGCTGCTATGGGCTTACCAACATCCGGATTCCCTAATATGAGTAAGTACCACCCTCTTCCCATCCTTGAACTCGAGTACTTACAAGTATCCTAGCTGCCATCATGATGGAAGATTCCCAAACAGGACAGCGTTATCTTCAGGTCAAGCATTTCATCAGTCGTGGTATTCCTTCCAGTATCATCACGTTCCTTGTTGTCATTTCGGTCGGATACTGGTTGGGGTATGTGACAGGCATATGATTCGTTGTTGTGAATTTGGATAGAACTTGCATGAGTGGAAGATGGCACGGAGTTGGTTATGTTTGGGTATCTGTATATTGTATAACGCCAGGCTTTTGGCCTTGGGATCGGGATTTAGAAATGCAGAGATTTTATTTCTAAGAAGATGCTTTTCCTTTTCTTCCGCTCTCTATTCAAGATCATGATTCTCACCCACCAGTTCACGCCAGATAATCTTTTCGCCCTTCATCCCACAATCTATATCAAACCCTCCAAAACGCCTCAGCATATCCGATTTTCGGTCAAGCCCAACCCCAACACATTACCATCCCATCACAGCATCTTTCTCACAACATCCCCAAAATAGCAACCACCGCCCCAGCCAACACACCCATCCCGGACCTCTTCACCTCCTGCGAGCCTATATTCCCCGAAGCCGTGGCCGCAGACGTCGCAGCACTACTCGCCACACTCGCCGCAGAACTCGCCCTACTACTCGCCGCCGAATTCGCCGACGACACCGCAGAACTCGCAACACTCAACGCGCTACTCCTCTGACTGCCGCCCGCCGTACTGGCGACACTCTCCGCACTACTGACCACACTGCTCGCTTCCATCGTTGCGGAATCTGCCGCTGTACTCGCGACGCTCAGGGCGCTTGATACCACGGAACTCGCTCTCGAGGTGGCAGAGTCGCCTGCTGTGGCTGCGACGCTGTTGGCGGATGAGACGATGACGGAGGCTCGTGAGGTTGCCGAGTCGGCGGCGGTTGCGGCTACGGAGTCGGCGGAGGAGGCGATGGATTGGCCGATGGAGTTGTAGCCGTTACCGATGGTGGCTGCGACGGAGGTTGCGGATTCGACGATTGATTGCCATTGGCGTTTCTCGGGGGCGTTGTGGGCTGTTGCTTGAGCGAGGAGGAGGGTGAGGAGCGGGAGGGTTGAGAAGTGCATGTTGATGTGAGATGGCTGTACCGAAGGCAAGAGGTAGATTGTGAAAGAGAAAGATGTTTGACTAGGGATATACTGATTCGACGCAGATACGATAAGATTGGGGGAGAAATTCAACAGACAGAGAGACTCTACGAGGTCAGAAGTGCTAAATACTTCTAACATCTGTACCTACCAGCCGCGTCTACAATGAGTTGATCGTAAGACCAGAAGATCAGTGGAACCTCTTGTTTCAGAATTTCCAGATACAGCTCGAAGAGAATCTCGAAATTGCGAAAACGAGGACCATTGGCCACTCAGAAACAGATATAGAATGTCTGTCAGACTCAACACTTTGCAGAGCACGTGAATCATCGAAGGCAACTGGCCTGAGCACGGCTGGGAGATAGACTTTGTCGTCATCCTGAGCAGAAACTTATGCATAACTGAAGATCATGTTGGAAAAGCTCAAGTGTTGCCTAATTTGGAAACCTGACATGAGAACCAATTGTTGAGTCCAGCTCTGAATCCATACACCTTTCTTGGTTGAGCCTTGCTCGTCAAGAAAGTCTTGAGAAAATGGTATTTTCATCACAGGAGCTATCTCCTTTCCTGCCGGACAGGTATCCCTGACGATTGGCTCAAGGATCGATGCTCCCGGACGTCCAGTCTTGAGATACTCGAGTGTGCAGAAGAACCTTGTCGTACTCAATGTGACGCTGAATATTTCGAATTCCTTGTGAAAGTAAAAAATTGTTCAAACATATTATTACCTCTTCGATCGAAGACACAGACCCTTGTTGCATCCTTGCTTATCGTTGACGCTGTGATGCGTGCGAGTAGGTATTCTGGAAGAAACCCAGTATGTCACAGCATATGCTTAGCTGAAGATCGTTCTTGGCGTCGTCGCTGAAACTGGACGTAATCGACGCTCTAACCCAAGCTGAAAGTCACGATCTTCCGATGCGGAATACCCCCAATACTAGAATCGACGCTCGGAATTTTAAGTTTTAGCCAGAGGAAAGAGAGTTCCGGAAGGCGCCCGGAAAAGAAAATCGAGGCCAGGGAACCCCAGCCGGGATATCTTTGCTGCGACATCCAATTGTCAGCCGCATATGCTTGATGATGTATCTCGGACCCAGTGCGGCTTGATAGGGTTGATGCCAATGAGGCTATAAGGCTACTAAGATCTTCAGTGCGTCGATCGCTCTACTCGAGTATCCAAGCGGACTCTGTCCCAAAAGAGGATGACAAGGAACGAAGAGGGAAAGGAATATCTCGTGCCACGTCGGCGACGTCGTGCCCGGACTTTTGAGGCCAGCCTTGTTTTGTGCATGTCGTCAAGTAATTGGATATCTCGTAAAGAGCCAGCAGATATCGTTGCTGACGGCGTTGAGAACGGCCGGACGATCCGCCCCAATGAGGAATGGACTCAAATCACCTGATATCTACCATTTTTGTTGGGGAAGCTGCAGGGGACTTCAGCACATACTCTGTTTACTCCCAATTTGACGCAGACCAGCATCATGGCGTTGACGCCGAGCTCTCTCCATAGCTACATACAGCCAGCTCTTTGCCATCACTGCCGAATCTCCATGGACCCTGTAGTCCTTTGGCTGAGTGCAACCCTATTACTTGGCCCACTATGAAGCTACCTCCGAGCTTGTTCTTCCTCAAGCCTCTTCATCAGGGACCAGATCGACATTATCGGGGTGTCTTAGTATGAGCTGATGGAAAAAGTTCTTGATCTATTATGCTGCCAATATGAAATGTTTGCCATCTACGTCACATGTCGAATATGAATATACTCCAGTGACTTTCTCTTATATTGCTTTTCAGAAGTGCATATTCGATACTCACTACACACTCGTCCATCAGACAGTCTATCATCATGTTTTCCATCCGTACTGCACTCGCCGTTCTGGCAGCAAGCTCCGCCGTTCGCGGTGCTCCTACAAGCCAGTATCCAGTCCCTGGACTGAGCAATTATTACAGCGACTTTCGTGGGAAAGCAGTTCCATATCCTGGAAACTTGACAGATCCAATCATGCCAACTACCAACGGTACTGCAGCACCAGACGACCAGTTGTACCAAAATCTCCTCTCTGCAGAATGGGCGATTTTCTCGTTCTACCAGCAAGGTGTGGAAATGTTCAACACAACATCTTTCACATCTCTGGGTCTTCCAAATACCACCTACGATCGCATTCAAGAGATCCGCGACAATGAGGCAGGTCATTTGGCCATCTTCCAAAGCCAGATCTCCAGCAATTCGATCAAGCCAGGCCCATGTAAATACGCTTTTGGTGTCCCCTCTGCCGAAGCCTTCATTGTCACTCTCACCTTGCTTGAGATTGCGTCCATGGCCTTCCTCACAGGTCTTGTACAGCAGGCTCAAACCGATATGACCAAGGGCGCATTGACAGCCATTGCTGAGACCGAGAGTCGACACAATACCTGGGCACTGATGGATATTTGGGATGTGGACCCATTCGGTGGACCTGCCGACACTTCATTCCCATATGCGAACGAGATCTTGTACAGCACCAACCAATTCATCATTCCTGGCAGTTGCCCAGCTGCGAACCCTCCATACCCATATCCCAGCCAAGACCTCCCACAGTTCACCTACAACCCGGATACGAACTCGTCTCTCACTTCTGGCACGCAAATTGAGTACGTCTTTACCACAGCGCCACCAGCTTGGAACGCCAGTCAATGCTACTACGCTGTGTTCTTCCACGAGCTGCTCAACATCTCAATGCCATTCGATACCACAACAAACACCACCACAATTCCAGAGTTCGATTTGGACAAGGGTCTCATTGTTGGTGTTATCGCAGATACCCCTGGTGCACCAACTTTGGACACTGTTGTTGCTGGACCAGTCTTATTGGTGGAGCAGCCGGCTGGAGCTATCAAGCTTGGATAGATCATTTGTATCAAACATATATCCAGAGAATGTCTAATAATTGGGGTCGCAAACATAATACTGGAGGAGGGTTGAAAATTGTAAAATCATAGAACACAAAATGTAATCTTACATAGACTGTCTCGCAAAGCTGTTCGTTCTCAACTATTGACATGTTGTTCCGCAAGTGTGAATTCGTCTTTGAGAAATTTGTCTTTGAGCTCATTCATGTCTTTGATCTTATTCATGTGTTTGTCCTCATTCACATCACCAACTTCCCCATGTCCAAGCTCACCAAGCTCCCAGAGCTCCAAGCAAGCTCTCCATCTAAGTTTTCCACCCTCCGAGTTCCTGAGCCCAAGATCATCACCACGCATTGCATTGCATACCACTCAACCCAAAACAGAGCATTACGTGAGATATCCATAAACGCACCTACATTCCCATCTCAGCAAAAGATCACCAACCCAAAACTCCCTTCAGCCCAGCCCAGGCCGCCCCACGCCCCCACCCATACATGCTCGCTACGCTAGTCCCAACCACGATCCTCAGCTACTGTAGCAAAAAAGCGCCAAAGCTAGCGAGCCGCACTCGATCGCCGCTTCAAGTCCTCACAAACCCTGCTTTCCAGACTAAAAAGTGCTGCCCGTTTCGGAAACGCCTTGATGCAGGGGTAGTGGCAGAATTTACCAGAGGATTTACGGGAGGGCTGGTATTTAGCGTTGGTCGGCGTTTGGCGATTATGGGTTTGGCAGAATCGCTGAAAGAGGAAGGGATTGTCGATGCGCTGCATTGGGCGTGGAAGTGATGTGAAATCACTTCAGCTCCGATTCTGCAAGGAAGTAGGAGGCAAAGAAGGATGAGGACGGCCGAGGTAGCTTGTGGTGGGTGTTGAGCTTGGCCAAGCTCAGGGTTGAGATCTCGTCTTCCTACCCACTTTCGTACCCCAGATTTCGTTCTCTCCCCTCCCCTGTGCAGAAAAGAAAGTATCCAGATACTCGGAATCTCTTCAAAGCAGACGACACCTACACAAAGACAATTAATTACAACTCTTGGTTTTGATAAGATTACAACACAGTAACAATGTCCTCCAATCCCCCCTCCCAATTCAGCCAGCCCGTCGCCGACCCAGTAGCACACTTCAAATCCATCCCATGGTGCTCCTCCCTCCTGAGCTCCAAATCCGTCGTCCAGGTCCTGGTCCCCGACCGCACGCCCCTGGCCTCCACCGAGTCCGCCATGGTGCGCGAGACGTTCAACACGCCCAACACCGTCAACGCATGCGTGACCTTCTTCCGCTACATCCCGCCCGAGGGAGGCAAGAAGGGCATGGAAGAGAGGGGCGAGGATATGAAGAATCCGTTCTTGCAGATCTGTGCGTTGCTGGATTTGGGGAGCGGGATTAATGGGTATGCGAAGACGGCGCATGGGGGCTTCTTTGGTGTGGTGTTGGATGAGGTTATGGGGACTGCGGCGAATTTGCAGGCTGGTTTGTTCTCCTTCCAATTCCCTTTCTGAATGTTGCTTTTGGGAGAGCTAAGACTGATTTTGCATAGCACAAGGAGCGTTCACCGTTTCGCTGAAGGTGGATTTCAAGAAACCACTCTATACACCAAGTGTAGTCCTCGCAAGAGGCCAAGTCGTGAAGAAGCAAGGCAAGAGGTTATCGTTGAAGGGCAGCTTCGAAGATAAAGATGGGAATATTCTGGCAGTAGCAGAAGGAACGTGGATCATGGTCGATAGAGATATTGGAAGATGGACGACCGAGGAGCAGAAAGAGCAAGCGAAGAAAAGGGCTGAGGGTTCGAAATTGTAATGTTGTGGCTCAGCTGAAAATGTAAGAGTTATGATTGTTTCTTGTATTGATATTATCGGGCAACTTTGGGAGTCTGATATCTGCTTTGGGTGGTTATCTGTTGCGTTATCGTTTTGGTGTAGGCAAGTGTCCAAGTGTGCTTACTGGTCAGGTATTTCAAGGTCTGGCCCCTAAGCGCGCCCCTGAAATTGTCCGACCGGAACGCGAAGTTCGAGCTTGAGGCATGCCAGCTGCTCAACAGCTAAGATTGCTACCTCGCAATATTAGGGTCTGCAACCAGAATCTTTGGTCCGCTGGTCTACGTTTCAATTTCTCTTATCATCTTCGTTGGAGGAAGTCATTGAATATGTCGTGGTGTGCGTCTTGTTAAAAGTCATCCAGCGCAAGGAGTGTAACAACCGCGATTCGAAGGTTATGATATTGATGGAGTACGGTTCTCATAACTGTATGAACGGTTTCTTATGAATACAAATAAGGTTGTCAACTGCGCTCCTTTTGACCTCCGGATTGGCTAGACTAGGGAAAAGCTTCTTCAGGTCGTACGGGTTCGCTGCGAGTTTCAAGATGGGACAACTTTCTCCATCGGCAGTCCAATCACAAGCTCCATTGATATCAGAACTTGGATGAGACCATTGGTGACCATCTCTCTGGATGTCATGTGAGGGATGCTTCCCATTCACCAAGGTTGTGTCGAAGCTCAAACGGGAAAGCTCTAGTTCCTTGCCATACTTCATGTTCGTAGGGCGAGAATCTTGACAGCCATTCCTATCAATTACTCCCTCCTGGTTTCGCTTTCGAGTAACTCGGGTCGACCTTCCGCTGAGATTATACTTTCGTTCCCGTTTGTTTAAACTTCGGTTCCCGTTTCAAGTTGGTTTTGACGTTTTCATTTGGACCTTCGTCCGTACTACTGATACGTCGGACAGCAAACCCCCGGTGGTTTCTAGATAACAAAACCAAACGAAGCGACCCAGAACCGGCTCTGGGAGTTCGTATCCATCGACAGCAGAGGAAATTGGTCACTGATCACTCTTCAACCTTTCACGCAGCATTGGCCTCTCTCCCAGAATCCCGGAAAGTATCTTCGGTATCTCAATTCTAATGGAGCTCGAGGCGCACATGTTCTAGCTTGCTTCTACCCCAAACTTAAAGTGAGCCCACAGCAGGGACCGCCAATGCCACGACAGACCCGAGACAACGCGAACTTCAACAAGAAAACATCGTTCGTCTGAGGAAACTATACACACGACGTTAACCATCAGGTCATTTTGTGCCGTGGAGAAATCATCTTCCACAGCTAATTTAGAACTTAGTTGCATCGGAACACGAGTCCCTTTCAAGATGACAGAGCAAATCCTGGGCGCCGCACCGCCGCCAGGCGGAGTGACACCGAATTTCGATCACCCGGAAGATGTCTTGGCCACTATCAATTTGGTTTCGGGGATACTGGGGATTGCGTTGATGGCTCCTTTTGTGATCGGGCGGATCTTTATCAAGGTACATATTCTGAAGAACATGGTACTGGAAGACTGTGAGTAGTTGCCGACTTGAAAAGACAGCAGTAACTGACATTATGTTAAGATATTTGCGTAGTAGCTTGGGTAATTCTGACTTTGCGATGGTGGGATCTACACTAAGTGCATTGATAGTTACTTGCCACTGGATATTTCTTAACTGGGCTATTCAGTGAGTTACTGGTGATCCTCCGTCTTTTCTATGCTGAGGAATTACAGTGGGTAAACATGGAGGAGGAAATCACGAGTGGGAAGTAACGAAGGAGAATATGGTGGGCTTCCAACAGGTAGATTTCTGCAATCTCAATTCCTCCACAGCTACGTATCTAACCCCTTCTCAGGCCTTATATGCAGACACAATAGTGTATGGCCCTGCAGCCTGGACAACTAAGACAACTCTCCTCTTGATCTTTGCTCGAGTGTTTTCGCCGTTCAGGAAGACGGTTCTGTTTATATACGTCTTCATTGGTCTGATGTTCTGCTACTACTTCCCGGTAATGATCATCAAGATCAGGGTGTGCACGCCAATTGAAGGACTTTGGAATCCAGACATACATGCGGAGTGTATCAACCAGTCCCAGCTATTCTGGACGGACACGATCATGAGCGCTGCTACCGACTTCGTGATCTTGGTGCTCCCTATTCCATTGTAAGCTGATATTACGCTTCCCGTTCATATGACTGAAAACTAAGACCCGCTTCAGGGTATGGTCATTACAAATCACGCTGAAGAAGAAAATGAAGATCTCTGCCTTACTTGGAGCAGGAGGCATTGCGACTGGAGCAAGTATCGTGAGATTGATCCTAGTCTTTCAGCCAAACAGTTTCGCAGACGAGACAGTTTCCTTTGTGCGATTCAATCTTCTCGGGTCAGTATAGAGTCTTCCATATCTATCGAGTGCGTCATACTAATCTTACTCTCGCAAACAGCGTGGCCGAAATTGGCATCGGCATAATATGTGCCTGTATACCGGCCTTCAACGTCCTTTTCACTAGGTGGAAGACCGAATACGGCTCTCGAAATTCAAGAAAAACAGAATTCAGCGCCGAGGTGAAGCTATCGAGACTCAGAAGTTCAAACAGAGGGATAAGAGTAGTCACCAATCCGCTCAGCAGGTCGCAGTCGAGTTACATCGAAGTCGGATCTCCAAGAGATACTCTGTTCTCGCAATCGCAGAAGACGCTGAAGAGTCAATTGAGTGTGGATGCTATGAATAGACATACAATAAGCGTGGAAGGAGGTGGGTATGATAATAATGGAGTTAGGGAGTTTCAGAGGGTACATGAGTGGATGCAACGGCCGTATGTTTCTGATAGTGAGGTTGGGAGAGCTGCTTAATGAATGCATAATTCTTAGAGAACTGTCTGATTGCGTGTGGTCCAGTTATAGAAAAGACGGTACCACTCGACGACTGGCTATACTGGACCACCAGTTCCTAGACCATCGTCACGATCACAAAGCGGAATGGCCTTTGATGGGATCCGATCTCGTTAACAATGCGGCAACCAGAGGTTAAACTCTAAAGATTCAGCTGTCTGGGTATTGATGGATGTACAAGAGTCAGGAAGAATGAATCAGGTCATGGCTACAATAAAGTTTTCTAGTAAGCGGTAGTGTCTGTGGTATGTGCCAGACCAAGAAGTAATGTTCTCTGGTCAGAGACAATATCTTCCAAAGTTCAAAGGCGCGCCCTGCCGGTGCTATCAAAAAGACGTTATCATCAGCAAATATCTTCCTCCATCCCCACGACGATGCCATGCCAGATACAGTGTCACCAGTTTCTGTCAGAACCATTAAGCCGAGCACCATCCTTTCCAGCATCATTCCCTTTGGTGATCTTAGCTCTAGTACGAATGAATGGATTTGGCGTACGATCCTTGTACTCTACAACCAAGCAGTCCTTCCAACCTCTCGTTGCCATAAGTTCCAATGCTCGAGAGACACCGGCTTCGTCATCAGGAACCAACAGAGTAGCTGGCGCACCATTTCGTTGAGACGATTTGAAGCACCCTTCCCACTCTACCCAGAGAGTAATTATTTAGCGTTGTAGCCCTGTCACTGCCTGATCAGTGCTCGGGCTTCGTTCATCCAAACGTTCACAGACAGCTGCAGCAATATGATGCGAACCGTAATCCATTCTCACCCTGGTCGTGTTCCACCAGGGGAAGGTTGAGATGTGTTGATCGGGAGTTAGTGTCGTGTTGTAAGTGTATCGAACAAGTACGACGATCGTCATGATTATAGATTTTGTATTTCACGTTTCCCGATTTATTCCATCCAGATGAGATGATGTCGCTGAGATAATCGTTGGATCCTAATGGGAGATTTGAGTGCATGATATACTCACAGAAGATAGCATTGTATATTTAAGAAGCGGCTGGATTCGTGCATATCTTCGCTGATTGTCTCGCGTTGTGCTTCTTGAAGGCCGAATCGAGACAAAGATGTTGCTGCATGTGGAATAATTAGTGGCTCGAGTTCTGATCCTGCACTCTTCAATGGAAAGCCTTGAATAAGATGCTGTGTCCTCTTCCTCACATAGCATCCAGTCCGCTGTCTTTTCACAAAATCGAAGAGTCGAGCTCCGAAAAGATGTCGTTCCAGTCAAAGCTCCCTACATCCACACCTTGCTCGAAACTTTGTGCCAACTCATTGTAGTACGACGACAAATAATCCCCGTTTCCAAATGCTTCATCGGTCATGTTGATGTTAGTAGATTCATTCGGCCACCATATGTTTGATGATTGTGCTGAAGGTCCTGGAACAGCAGGAGGTGCTGCAGTCAAACTCATCGGAGTAGCTAGGTGACCGTTATCTCCTAGGGATGTCTCTAGAAGCTCCTCATTGTCAGTCCCCAATCTTGCTTGCTGCGGCCCAGAATCCTTCGAGGGTAGCACCTTGTGCTTACGCATCACCTGCATCAAAGATTCGAGGAACTTGGCAGCAGTCTCCGATTCATTCCTCGCCCCTTCAAGAATTCGAATTGCGTCCGCAATTTCCTTCTTTTGTTGCTCTTGTCCCGATGGTGACTTGTTGTGGCACAAATCCATGAGTACAATGATACTAGCCATAAACGTCGCCACTAGAAGGGCAAGGAACTTGTAGCATGTTGCCGTTAGGCCCAGCTTCGACAATGATGCCTCGGTTTGAATAACTTGACGAGCAGACATGATACACAACTCTCGGGAACAGGTATATTCGGGCTCGACGAATCCACGAGTGAAATACGGAAAATGGATTATACACCTTTGTGCATGAAAGAGTGATCGAAACATGTATCCTTGGTGAACAATAAAAGCTGCGTGCGATGAATCGAGCTGATAGTTCGACATCAGATCTGCCTTCGACATGGAAAAAAACAAGGGAACATCGTTCCAAAGCTGCTGCATCTCGGAATCTATATCCATGACCATTTCGTGGCTTGGACCACCAGCATTTCCCAGGAAGACAGGATTCCGGTCGACCATGTGGCGTGCTATCTCACTAAGCCGGATTCTGAGAACTGGATATGATGCGGTAGTTGGGTGACATAATGGTTTTTCGACCCAGTTACCTCCTTCGACAAGATCCTCATCATTGATATGAAGAGGCCTCTTCACTAGCATGTGGCGTAGGTGACAATAGTAGATCCCCTGAGAAATGCTCTGGAATTTCAACGGAACCGACCTGATAGACATGAGTACATCGTCATAACTGATAATAAGCTGAGACAAACCATTCAGACGCAACCAGATACCACCAAACCCGGCGTTCAACTTCTGCTCGGACAGTGTTTAAAGGCTTGTCGCTCGCCGGATGATCAATTACATGCATTCGTAGTTCTCGAGCCAGCAGAAAGGCCATATTGAACAAAGATCTACATCTCCGAGAGTATCCTTCCATATTCAATAACACAAATGTCGCGAGGCTAATGCCTTGTATGCCTTCTACAGAGATAGATGTTGTTCGATGGGATATGTCAAGCACGTCTTCCACTGCTTTGACCCATAATGGCGATTGCACATTTGCTTCTGTACAAGTGGAGAATAGTCCATGTTCACAATCGTTGTTCACCCCTGTAGTCAGAGTCTCGGAGTCAGCATGCCACTTTGTTATGATTTGGTATATATGTATTTGATATGACTCTGACGGAGTGGGAAATAAAACCATCAGCGGTAATGAGGAATGAGAGGTTATTCGCTGAGTAGTTGAGACTTACACACATGGGTCGCGCTCGCAAATATGCCAAGAAGTAGCAAAATGCTTCCAGGCTTGACCTGGCCTTGTTGGTTGAGGCATTGATACACTTCGTCGAGGATGTCTGGTAGCCAGGGCGTGTGGACTACATGATGGACATGATCAATATCTCGAACGAATTTGTCGATAAGTATCTTGGCTTCAGAATATTGAGGAAGCCAAACACATCTTAAAGGCTCAAAGCGTGCCGAAGAAAGGTATGCGCTCTGAATAATATATGGGCAGGCCTCCATGAACTGTCGAATTGGGCAAATCCTGAAGACGATTTTGTTGGACTGAGTTTTGTCCTGCCCTTCCGTGTTAGCTTGTCACTGCAATGGAGGCCTTGTTACTCACCGGGAGATTTTGACCACTGTATATACTCGCAAGCCAAGCGACATCATTATCAAGATGCTCAATCTGGGGGACTGAGCTCGACCTGATGGACTGCTGTATCTGAGTTTCAGGACTTTCCGAATGAAGCTCTATGCTGCCGTTCTCCTGCGATCGTTGGACTCTCACAAGACTTTCTAGATTACGAATGCGTTCAAGGAGTTCGGATTCAGAAGCCCTTGAAGTCGTAGGCAAGGGTCGAACATGGTCCTGTAGATCGCAGTGGATTCCGCGGGACACGCAATTTGAACACGGAGCTTCTCTGCTGCATCTCAACTTGCGAGAGCGGCAAAATTTACAGCTAATGGGTCGGCCTCGATGGGTTTCTTTCGGCATCGTGGTGGTAACGGATTTCCCATGGGAAAGAATATGGAGGAGAGGTCACTTTGAATGAGCAATGAAGAACTCCTTTTGTCTGGTGAGGGCTGACGGAATTGCCGCGGAATTCCCGTCCAATCGGACATAAGGGTGGGGCCAAGTTTAAATACAGCGAGGATTGTGTCCATAAATTTCAGTTCCTTGCTAAGTCATCATTTCAATCATCAAGACAGTCCAAATCATGACCAGATCGCTATGATCATAGTGCTTCTATATTCTTATTTTTCAGTCTAATGCTTCAATCGAAGAAGTGGAAAGGCAGAGAGTATTCTGCGAGGAGATATAGCAGTCACGTGGAACGAGGGGTATCGTTAACTCCGCGGATCCCCTTGCTGTCACTCTCCTGGTTTTTGTACTTGCTGTGGTCCCAAATCCAATCCTCCAGGTTATTTTTCTAATTATTACAGAATATGTTGTGAATCCAGCAAGAAGAAAATTTCCGAGTAGAGTTGGTTCTAATCTACAAACAAGCCTCTTTTATCATCTCTCATTTACCTCTATTTCCATTCAAAAATGGACTCTGAACAGCTTGCTCTTTCGAATTCGTTCACCATACATCCAGAAAAGAAACGGCACTGGGATGAAAGCCACTGCAATGAACCCCAAAACCGATGTCCCCCATCCCAGTCCCAAGGCATCATACATCTTACTACCGGCTAAGGGAAGAAGTGCTCCGAGAAGAGAACGGATAACGGTTGCTGCAGCCGTTACAGAGGCAGCGTAAGTAGTATATGCATCGACAAGATAGGTAGTAGTGGGCATCTATTCTTAGTTAGTCCTCTAGTTCTAAGCTTGGTGACACGTGGGAGACGACTCACCATTACGGTAAATAATCCGAAACTGAAGATCGCGGTAGCGATGATGGGAACAATCCAGTGTACTTTATACTCAGTCGTCCATCCATAGAGGAAAAGACTAGCTGGTACTATGAGAGCCCCGATAAACATAAGGGGGAGACGATATTCCGGCTTATGATCTCCACCGTTCCTGTTCTTGAGAGCTTTGGCAAGTCGATCTGAAACAGCGCCACAGAAAAACAGGCCAAGAAAGGCGCCAGCTCCAGAGCCCAAGTATGTCAACCCTACAGCGCCATTTGAAAACCCGTATTGATCCTGAAACACTCGTGGAAAAGTCGTGAAAAGCAGATATAAGTAACCGTAGACAATTGCTAGGTACAGTGACATCAAGAAGACTATCGGAGACAGGAATAGCAGCTTGGTTGGTCTTACGATAGAGAACTTCAGGAGATCCTTGTTGGTTCTGCCAGTGTCTAGCACAGACCTCAAGTGCGAGTTCCCTGTCTCTTTGCGCAAGCGTTCGGTTTTTCGCTTCAAGAGTACGAATGCGTAAGATTCGCGCATAAGAAGTAAAGTAATTACGAAGACTACTCCACTCTATAGTCTTGTCAGCAAACAAGTAAACATAAAAAGAAGCGCTTCTTACGAGAATAGTAAGAAGCCAAAAGATCCAACGCCAGCCCTTGGCTTGGGCAAGGTAAGCTCCGGCTATTCTCGGTCAGCCAGAACTCCTTCAAAGATTATGAGCAAGAACAAACCTAAGGGTCCAAATGTCGGACCCAGCACCGGCCCCATTATCCAAAACACCATCGCCAGTCCACGCTTTTCCAATGGCACCATATCGCTAATTGATCCTGCCCCAAGGGTAATAGGGCACGAGGCAGCAATGCCCGACAAAAGGCGAAAGACGATCAGAGAGCCTAAGCTGTTGGCCACCGCGCAGGCAATGTTGAAGATAAAGAAGAAGGCGTTGCAGACATTATAGAGGATTGTCCGACCGTATATTTCCGACAGAGGTGCGATAACGAGAGGTCCGAAACAATATCCGAGAAGGTAGACAGAGGTTACGAATGCGCCGAGAGTTTGATTCGTGGAGTGGAACGTTACTAAAACATCTTCTGCGCCCGAAGCGATGATGGTTGACGCAAGAGGTCGGGTCTGAGTTAGTGACATGCCTTTGAACCAAAATGTGGAAACTCACGATAAGAGGGTGATAAGAGAGACCATGCCAATAGCTCCAACCTTTCTTCCGGTAGACCAATTCATGGGATTAGCAGGGTCATCTGGACCATCCCAGTCCACGATGTTTGGGTCGGTTGGCGTTTTCTCTTCGGGTGCGGGTTGATGACCGAGCTGACTCTCCAGATCTTGATTGTCAGGGGCTTCGTCAGGTAACTTGGTGCTTTCCGTGTGGATGGAAAGCGCATCTTCGACCTCTTTCGAGTGATCCATATTGTCAAGATTTGCTGGTTGCACTGGCGCAATGCGAATGGAAAGCAGAATAGAAGATTCGTACAATATGAACGTTCTGGAAACGAAACAATGAGATGCACGAAACGTGTGATCTTTTTGAGCTCAGCAATCGAGAGTTCCAGAGGTCATATATTTGTTATAGCTTTGGTGAAATTGGGGGAAACCACTAGCGCAATCGAGTCCGCGGAATTTGCACGGCGACAGGGGGCACGTCCTCATGGCTTCATAAGCAACAATCCCAGCAATAATCACTGGTGCAAAGATGTATATTCATAGTGCGCGGAATATGCGATCCTCCACCGCCACGGAGGATCTCATTTCTCTTCGCGAAGAGATGGGAATATTCAGGTCTTGGCCCTGTGTCAATCCACCTGTCACTAACCGAGCCCCTGAAATTTAGCGAGGCTTCCCGAACGGTAATTCCAGCGACGAGATGCAAAGATGCAATGTTGCTGAAGCGTTCGAGTCATTAAAGAAACTGCATATAATGAGACTTCGAAGCGTATTCTCTCTTCCAAAGGACATCATTGATTCTAGCCAAAACTATGCGCGAAGCAGAACGCCTCAGCAGTTTCCATCCACCTTCGAGAATCTTTCTTTCTTGGCTACTTATGTATAAGTGACACCCGTCATTTCCCAGATAGCATCAGACCACTTTTCTCGTAACTCACTCTTGATCAGCAGTCAAGACACCGAGACCTTGAAATTGGCCGCCACAGGGACAGAGCAAACACCCAGCAGAAGCAGCAGAGGCCCAATATGTCCGTCACTGTTCCAGTCGAATTCAAATTCACCGATCATGCCGATATTCGTTCCATTTCGACCATGGGCCTTTTCATGATATCTGATCCTTTCATGCGAGAGGAAATAGTGCATCAGCTGAATGCAGTCATTAACCAGGATGCCTTCAAAGTCAGGACCGTGCGTGAAGAATGGGCAAGGAATAGGCTGAGTTCAGGGTCCTCCTGGGACTTAATAGCACTCAAAATGGTCTTTGACGAGAATTCGTTGAGCATGTTTATGAGAAATGACTCCGAGGTGGAGCTTGGACTTCAGGTGATGGCGATTCGTGGCTGGAAGGATCGCTTGCTGGCGATTTGGCACCCTAGACCAAATCTGTGATGAAGACCTTTTTGAATATATTTGTTTGCGTGGTTTGCAAGAGGTGGTGAGGAATTTGGAGAGAAAAGCTGCTATGGAGAGAAAGGGGGCGCTAGAAGAAGAGATGGTGACGAGATTTGTCGCATCTTGAATGTGATGAGATCTTGAATAAGAGACTTTGAGACGATTGCAGCGATAGATAAAGCAATGGATTTTTGGAAAACAGTTGATAAGACCTTGATTCACTGGAAGATGTCTTGCGTGCACCTAATCTAGCAATGGTTGCCAGTAAGACTTTTCTGAAAAGGCAAAATACCGATGCAAAGAAACGGTAAAGGCAAAGCCCATTTCTCCTGGGTATCAGGGCAAAGAATTTATGTACATTGAAGAATTCAAAAGGTGGCTACTTCAAGCATTGTTCTAACGGGTTTCAAGCGCAATGAGCCGTAGACTTAGGTAAGTGTGTCCATCGTATGATACGAAAGGGTTCGAGTTTAGAACAGAAGAACAAAGACAGAACGAAGAAACTTACATTGCTGACAGTTCGAATTGGAGAAGTGCCTGAAAGGTAGAGAGATACCCTTGTCCCCACGAATATGAATGGAAAGCTAACTCTTATAAATAAAATCTAAGCACGAAGAATCAATTTCTCCACTCTTACGAAAACACCATTCCAATTTCTACGTCCATTTTGGAAACGTATCCAAGCCCACATGTTTCCATCAAGCCATCGAATAACAGGGCGCCCGCGAAAAATCTTGATTCGAATCGATTACGAGATCGACGAAGGCACTCCCGCAACAGCCACGGCAATCATTTCGATAAGCCCCTACAAGACGCTCGAAGAAATGATAGATGAGGTCGAGGATATTATCAACAAGAATCGCTTTTGGGTTCAGTGCGTGGGGAGAGATCCATCTTGGGCGCCGGGTCAAGAGGCGGATCGGAAGGGGAAGGGGAAGGCGAGAGAGGGAGATGAGAAAGAGGTGGTGTTGAAGGGGTATTGGGAATTCTCTCCAGTGTTGGCGATGTGTTGCGAAGATGGGGCTTCTAATCAGGTACAAGTCAAGCTGAAAAGTGATGAAGATGTTTCTGCTGCTTATGGGTTGTTGGAGTCGATGAAGTGGAATGGTTATTTCGTCTTGACTACTGCCCGGAGGCCGGAAAGATCCTCGTCGGATAGTCCAGAACATCTGGAGGTGTACGATGATGCGCCTGAAAATCCTCAAGATTGAAATCATAGTGCAACAGTTGGGAAGTGTGGCGAGAACAAAAGGGGCCACTGATCGGGGAGCAACAGTGCTAATGATGAGCGTTTGAAACAGACCACTTGAAACCCTACTTGCTGTACTTAAAGTTGACTTTGCAGGACAATACAAGGAGCTTCATATCAGCTTTAATATCCAGTTCGCTGCTGACAGCATGTTCCACCAGTGGAAGCTTTGAATCATATCAGCCTTTGAAAGGCCCTAAGTCTCGAACCATTTGTACGCCTTCAATGGAGAGACAACCATGTTCTATCATTGAAGCTTCACGTGGAAAGAGTGGTTTGTTGCATGTAGCAAAGAACAAGAGTCCTTATGACAGAACGTGGCACAGTCCACTAGGCACGATTATCTCCTACATATTGTTTGCTGTTCTCATCATTGGCTATGATAAACTAAGAGCGATAAAGAAAATAAGTTAAATAGAGAAAGAAAATGTAGATGGCACGTTTACTTCCGATTCAGTTAAGTAACGGTTCGACATTTTTATGATCTACGTAGCAGTCAGACGATTGCTTAGTTGCTCTTCTTTGCTGGTGATGGAGTCATGCTCAATGCCTAGCTTCGCAATCAAAGTTGAAGACAACTAAGAGCAACTGAAGTCATGCACAAAGCGATAATAATGACACGACATATCAAAATCGCACTTGGGAACCAGATAATACCAGCTACTACTGACCGCAAAGACGACTTCACTAGTTGACCCCATCGCTGGCCGTGGCGACTTCTACTCCACTATGGCGGAAAACGAAATCCATATCATTGCGAGACTCGAATTATACCATGATCCTCCTGACGACGATCCATCTGGCGCCGAAGAAGCGGATCACCTGAGATGTACCATTCCAGTCATCATATCCCTCCCCAAGAAACCCAAAACAAACGATCTAGTCAGCGCCACCGCTAAACTCATAAGAGCCGGACGATTCGGTCTCAAAAAAGAAATTCAAGATTCCTGGGGCTGTGCAATGGAAGCAAAACAAGCAGAAGTTTGGATTCATTGGACTGGGATCGAGGGAGGAGCTGAAACTAGGCCGTTATTGAATGCAGATTTGCACGATTGCTTGAATGTCATGAAGGACAGAGGATGGAAGGATTTCATGACGGTGAAGTGTTTTATGGTGAAACCTGAAGATAACCCGGGGGTCTCAGATGAGGAGGAGAGTCAGAGCAGCGGCATCGAAAACACCCCAAGAATCGATCCTCCCAATAAATCAAAGAGGAAGCCCACGACAACACCAAAACCAAAGGAGGGAAAGAAGAGACGACGAACAGAAGAAGAGGAAGAGGAAGTTGACAGCGGAGAGGTTCGAGCGTCTTTTCCAACGAAGACAACGTTGTTGAGAACGCTTCCAAAGAAGCTAAAGCAGCTGAGCAGGGAAGCGACACCAGCGGCGAGAGAGGAGCCGGTAGAGAGCGATGAGCCTCAATCACCTCCTCAGAAAAAATCAAAGTTGACCAAAACGAAGGCTACACCAGTGGCGAGCAAAGGTAAGAAGGAAAAGACCCTGGTGGTCAGCAGCAAGAAGGGTCCGAAAGGGGATGACGGGAAGAATTCGAATAGGCCAAGCAGTTCTCGGTAGAGGTTTAGCCAGTCTTCACATGGGAAGGACAAGTCGACTGTCTTGATAATTGGTAGAGAGCAGGTTTTGGAGACAATTTCTCAGAGGCGTGGTTCGGAACGAAAGCACTGTGCGTATAAGGGGTGGTAAGCACTGGAGGCCGGGAGATCATACTCTATTGTTTAGATTGGTAGGTATGAATATTAAGCTTCCTTGAGATTCAGCTCCATCTGATGTGTCCCTGGCCATATCAGATCCTCAAGCTTTTTGTCGTTTCCCTAGAATAGCTTTCCCTACGCTACTCGAGTTCGTCTTTCCAATCTCCTTGGTGATCCAGTCTCCAATATCGCACAGTGTATCGAGGTCAAGCCCAGTATCCATGCCCAAGCTTTCCATGAAGTAGACAATATCTTCAGTACTGACGTTGCCAGTGGCTCCTGGACTGTACGGACATCCGCCAAGACCACCTACACTAGCATCGAATCTTCGAATGCCATGCTCTAGACTAATAGCAGTATTGACTAACGCTTGGCCGTATGTATCGTGAAAATGCATCGTCAAATCCTCATTTCGTATTCCTGCAGCTTGCATGGCATGTAGTAACTCAGCTGTACGCGGAGCGGTACCCATTCCGGTGGTATCACCGAGGTCAATCTCATCAGCCCCCATCTCCATCAAATCACAAGCAATCTCTGCCACTTTTCGAGGATCAACGTCATAGCCTTCGAATGGGCAACCAAGAACCACAGATATGTATGCCCTTACTCGTAGGCCCATTGCCTTTGCGCCGACAATTACCTCTTTGAACTTCTCAAGCGAGGCGTCTATGCTGCAGTTCAAATTCTTCTGAGAGAACGATTCTGTTGCCGCTGCAAACACAGACATTTCGACGAAGGGTGGGGCAGTATTGGGATCCGATGCCGATTCGTTCGATATACCAGACTCATCTGGCTCATATGGAGATGATTGCTCGGAGAAGGTCTGGTACGTCTTTGGATTCGATCGGAGGATGGAGAGGGCATTATCGAGTCCACGAGCGTTCGGTGCGAGGAATGAGTATGATATCGGGTTCAAAGACGTTGGAGGATATTTCAGAAGGTATTCGAGGATTTCATTCGAGTCTGCCATCTGCAAAACAGGTTAGCTAGAGCTTGGGTGAGGTGAAGGACAACATGCCTGCGGAACCCACTTAGGAGCAACGAAAGATCCAGCTTCGATGTCCGTCAGACCGGTCCTAGCCAATTTCGAAATCAATTCTATCTTTGTAGTCAAGGGAATCGTCCTCTTTTCGTTCTGCAGACCATCTCGTGGGCCTACCTCCACAATCTTCACGAAGTTGTTGGTGGCATGATGTTGGTGATCCTTGCTGGCAGCTGGATCAACAGCGGAAGAGAATGCTCGGAGGTGATGAGGTCGTAAATGGATGGGGATTCGTCGTGTTAATGGCCGTAGGCACTGCATAGTGAAAGACGCATCGTCAGTGGTTTGTGGTGTGGTGGTGGTGGTGGTGGTGGTGAAGAATGCAGGTGGTGAAGCTTGGAAGAATGCGGGGAAGTTCCGAAGCTCATGCACGGACCAAGCAGGACCATCTCCAAAGTTTGATGCCTCCAACAACTTCCGATGAAAACTCTCTTTCCATTCCATACATTCGTATAATCAACGGGATCGTAAAGACAAAAAGAAGCTAAACTTCTAGTCGAACTCGTCAGCGTTATCAAGCTTTGCAGCATCTCTCTGAAGGCCGTTGTTTGAAGGTGCAGAGCATTGAAAGCTGCTTGATAGTTCATATGCAGCTCCTCGTTATGAAGAGATCCAGAATGGAAGGCGCAACTCCAGCTTTAGTTCCTTCTCAGAAGAGCTTCACTCAGGCTCGTCCCTTCTCAAAATGATTCTTATCCTCTACGTTGTTTAGCATCCTGTGTCTTTCTCTTATTCTTCTGCTCTTTCTCTGCGCATGCTTTATCAACGACCTTCATCAGCTACATCGTCCCCAACATTCAAATACGTACGACAGTATATCATCTCCCCAGCAGAATTAATCGCGTAAGTGCACTCTTAATGTCCCTCAGATGCTGCTTGACGCTCAGAACACTCTAGAACCTGTGGTGGCGCCTCAATCGGCGAAATCATCCAACTTAACTCCAGATATCCCCTATTCGAAGTTCAATCCGATCCTTGACGGCAACCCAATGGACCTGTCCGGATGGGACAAACTTCCCCCAATTGGCGAAGTACCGCCTGGAATCTGCCTTAATTGCTTTACTTTTGGCGGCGGAGAGGGTTGTGCTGGAGAGAGCCTTTGCAGGAAATGGGACTTGCGCGATCTGGTATTGGAAGCTGGCGGAGGATCGGAGGAAGGAAGCAGTACTTTGAATACACCATGCCATTCTCCCGGGGATGGTCAAGACGTTGGCCTTTTGACCAATCCGCAACAATCACACTCCACGACAGGAATGGATGGTTTCCCGGCGGGCAGTAACTCGACTAGCTTGGCTGGCCCTGGAAGCTTCATCTCATCAAATCCAATGGCTCTAAGAAATGGTATGAGTCATACCACGGATTCTTCAGATTTCATCCAAAGCTCAGATTCAGTCGCAACAATCTTTCCGGTCTCATTTCCCAACGTGCCAAGAAAGATCCCTTCACTCTCCATTGGCAGGAGAGATCTTGTGGGGCCTCATGAGATAAGATTGACAGTTCACCCAATTATCGAGGTCCCACAGGATAATTCTATCTTCATTCACTGGATCAGAAAACGTAGAGTAAAACCACGATGCCTACTTCCCTCTATAGAAATCGATCCCGCGGTGTGCCCTGGTGTTCACGAGCTTGCAGCAGATCACACATTCCCATCTTCTGTGTTGCAACAAATCGAGCAAAGTTGCTCCGTATCATTAAATATTACACTAACCCTCGACCCGAACCCGGTGGCAAGATCTTGGTGGTTTCCGGCTGCTCTGTTCTGGGACAAATCGCACGAAATCGGGTATTGTTTCAAGGCTAAGTTGAAATCATCTTCTGTTCCGAAGGACGGGCAATTTGGTCGGTTAGAGAGCCTCCAGAAAGCGTTGGAGTTGGTGAGTGGCTACAAAGGGATCAATGGCATCCCGGAAGTTCGGAACTGGGCTGTACAACGAGGGCGAGACATGTTCTTCATCCGAGCTGCCATGGGCGATGCAAGTATCACAGACAAACATTACTGCTCTGTGCAAGATTTGGTTGTCGACACATAGGCGCGTTTGTGGGCAAGGATATGGTGGCTCATCAGTGATGGAGTTGGAGAATGAGAAGGCTTTGATAGTAGCGGATAGAGTCATGGTCTGGACCGAATAGAAACAGTCTACACGCATTTTCCTTCAGGTACCGTATACATATCGCGCAAAAAGTAACAAGATTCCATGGAGTTTGCTCGAACACTCTCTGTCCTCCCCGTATCATCGAGCCCTTTTCAGAGAGCACTTCTCCCATAGCACTAACTCTTAGAAACTAAGCCTAGCCCCAACACCACAAGGAACCAATCGGCCTGGCATCTGCTTCTCAATCTCAAGTTTAACCCTCCATCCGCTACAATGTCCTGGTAACAAGACTTTCGGGTCAAGCTTCTTCAGATCTCTAACCGTGGCCTCGACGTTGGCTTCTTGTTCGCCCACAAGATGATATCCGCCCACGACAGCGTAGAGCGGGACTTCATCATTCAGTAGGCTCTTTGCGTGTAAAGCGGTGTTCACCACACCACCGTGGGAGCAACCTGTGAAGAGGATTATACCTTTGCCTTTGTGATGTGTCAGCTTTCCGATGTTAAAATGGTGCCTAGAATTGCTCAGAGCTCTTTCCACTGTCGAGACAGGCCAGAAGTGAAGTTTAGAGCCGGTGAGAGCGGAAATCACCTTTCAGATTACACATCAAAAACCTCTCATCCAAAATCTCCTCATCCTTCACCCACTCCTCCCGATCCTCCTCAAATCTAATCCCGCCCTTAACCCCCTTCTCGTACCCCGTGAACCTGGGAATCTCCCCAGACACAAGAAACATATCATCAAGCACCGTATGCGCTTCTTCAAACTTCTCCACCACGGCTCCTGCATCCTCCATTTCTTCGAACGACGGATCGACTTGCATAGAAATCGGCGTACTACCAACCATGAAACCACGATACGTGGGTCGGGAGGGATGGAGATCTGTTACTACAGGTGAAGGCGGGTTGGAAGAGGTGATCATGGAGATGGCTCTTAGCATACCGCCCGAGTGGTCGCGGTGCCAGTGCGAGAGCTGGATTCGTTCGATGGTTTTCAGATCGATGGATAGACGTTTGGCGTTGCGTTCCCAGGCTTCTTCTTCGGGACCAACGTCGAAGAGCATGCTGTGTTTTTGGGCTCCTTTTGTTACGGTCTGGTATGGGTCTGGTCATTTGTTGGTTCGAAAGAAGGGGTGGGGGAGGGGGGGTACGATGAGAATGCTGAGTCCGTGAGCGCCGCAGCAGATGGCTTCCATGGGCATTTCTTTCTGGCAGTCTCCGCGCTTGGAGATGTTGGAGGGTTGTGAGAGGGAGAGGTTGGGCATGCGGCCGGTGTTTGTTACGGTGTTATGGGGAACGGTGGACATTATGTCGATTTCGTTGTCGATTATTACGATTGCTTCGAGGGTGTCGACTTCGACGAGGTTGAAATGCTGAGGTGTCATGATCGTGAGTTTTGAATGGGTTGATGATGAGAAAGAGAGAGTTTTGGGAGGAAGTAAAAGATGAGATGAGGCGAGGAACTGAGTGGAATTGCCGAGGACTAATATTTAGGTAGTTCCCGCTTTAGATAGTGTTCCTTAAAATCAACGTCGATGAGGCCATTGGATTCTTATATACAGATTACAAACCATCAAGCCGCTTCACTTATTCCATGAAACGAGGATGTCGGTGCATACAAGTTGAGCAAGGGTAGGCAAGATGTGGAGTAAGCACTACGACTAATCATACCTCGGTCAGGTGAAGCGACAAATCAAAGGACACGCCACGAGGCCGAAGGATCTTAACCGATAAAGCCTACTGATCTCCTCTAGCTATCCTTGGTCCGTGTCACAGCGGGTATGCAAAAGATCAATTGCGGAACATAGTTGAGACTGGGGAAGCTGCTTCATATTTTCATTCTCGAGCACCGTGATCGATACAGAACTTATAATGTAGAGATTGTCCGTTCTTGAGGAGGCCATTGCGAGATTGCTATGTCTAACAGGTATGAAGCTACGTCTTAGCCCCGTTTCTTCAGTTGCCTCTTTTCGCTTTTGAGATTGGCATTCTCCTGCTCCAACTGCTTGTTTTCTTCATCCTTCCGATTGAGAATTCCATTGATCGAAGTCAGTTCCTCATTTACTTTTGTTAGTCTATCCTTTGTCTTTGCGGCCTCTTCTTGCAAGTCGGCGTACTTCTGCAGCAAGTCATCCCGTTCATCCAAAAGAATTCCCAAAGCGGTACTGAAGCTACCTGGGGTGTCACTTCGATATCCAGTGATCTCTAATCGAGTGCCGTAGGTTTTCACTAGTTGTGAAAACTCGATAGTTGGCCTGCGTAAGGTTCGCGCCTCGTCTAGCCAGTCCGAAATCGATTTACCGTCCCTCGCCTACAAAAAGCATATTAGTATGGCATTTAACTGGAGACGGAAGGATTTTCACCCGGAAATAGTTTAGAAAATTGGGGCTGAACCGGTCGATGTAGAGTCCAATTTTGGGATTCTCGAAAACTCTCTTGTCATCTTCTTCTGGCTTTGTGGGGTCGGTGCCTTGAAGAAAATACGAGCTGCGGATCCCCAACGTTTTCATCTCCGCGTGTGTCAAGCATCTGAACATGGACTTGCTCTTGCAAAGCGCAGCGGCATCTTCCAACCTTATGTTTCCTACCACTCTACCTAGCACTCTGGAAAGTGCGAGTACTGTAGTCGGTGTCAACAAGATTTCTTCCTCGATTTGGCCAATGTCTACATCCCACAGGGCAAGCTGCAAGTCATCGCATGGAATCTGGCCCACGTTCCCGGGCCTGCTTTCAGGAAAGCTAGACATCACGATGGAGCATATCCGTTGGAGGTAAAAGATCTCAGTTTTAATGACCAGCAGTTCTTTCCCACTACTCACACCGTCGTTGAACTTTTCGATGATTCCGTATACATCTTCGAGTGTCTTCATGCGGCGGTGGTGGATGAAGGTGTCTTTAAGAGACATGTTAAGAAGGCACTCGCGTGGTGCTGGCTGGGAGGTGAAACGAGCCAAGTGCGCGATTTCCTGAGTATAATTAGCTTTCAAATTTCCAAGTGCACTCTCTGAGAGCATACATTGGTTCGTAGGCTGTCTTGTCTCGTCTCATCTTTTATCTCCTTGACATAAGCTTTGCGAGGTATTCTGGTTTCTGGCGCTTCGTTATCATCACTGTTCGTTGTCTCTGTGTACGTGGCTCCACCTTGGCTGTTATCGCTCCTCATTTCCTCCATATCGCTCATTCGTTGTGGGTGGCTATTTTTGATAAGCTATATGATGCCACGCTGATCCTATCCGTAATTAAAAAGTATGGGTTTGAAGGAAGCGCAAAGAGCGATACGAAAGTTGGTTTTCAAAGGATGAAAAGGAAGTGATAGAAACGGATGGATAGAAATCCTCATGGAAGGCGCGCGGAAGACATTTTGTGGTCAGTTCTAGAAGTACTGGCCGTAGCTTCTGAGGGTCGTATTTGCCAGGTCAAGAGTCGAGATGACACTAGAAGTAATGAATCGATATCTTGATCCTTCTACTAGAAAGTGGTATTGTCCTGGGTGTGCAGTAACAGTACACCGTGAAGTGTTTGTTCGGGGTGCTTCATTCTCCCCTATTTCTACTAAGCAAGCTTCTTAATGACAATGATGGAGGCAGTATTCTAGATTCTCCTTTGCTCCAAATCATATTGCACGTCTAAGAATAGGTTTGATATCATTGTCTGTCAGCCTGTGAAAAAATCACATAATGCGGATAGACAAGGAAAGCCAGATAATACCCAGCATTGCCTGCCTAGATCATTCTACTTTGCTACTATATAGCACAGCTACGCAGGTTTCAAGACTTGGTCAAAACCGTGTTTATGGAGACTATAATGTCCAGGAAATAGTTGTACATTTGTTAGTGAACTAGGACGAAACGAATGAAATACTCAGAATTGAAGTTGAGCACAGAGCTCAACAAACACTAACGTTTTGTTCGAAGTGTGTAAAGTGATGCCCATGAGCTCAAATGGACAGGGTTTCTCGGATTAGTCAGCTACTGTAGCGGCATGCGGCATGATGCCAGGATAACACAACACGCGATGAGGTCACTACGGCCTAGAATATCGTATTTAAATAAAGAGAGAATACATATTCAAAGACGCCTTAGTCGGTTTAGGTTCTGTTGTCATCTAGATGCCCTGAAAATGTCTGAAGGGTCTCAATCGTCTACAACTCATACCGTACCGCGTGTACTGCGCAACTTGACCCCAGCAGAGCCTAAGTTTCGCCACCTTTGTCAAAAATGCCGACATCTCATCCGGAGATCGAAGATTATCCAAGACAATAGGTTGAAGTGGGTCGGTGGATCGGACGACCAAGAATCTTTCCAACATTACGAGACCCTTGACGGCGTTGTTTATTCGGCTTTTGAAGGGTGCCACTTCTGCTCCATCCTTCGTAGACGTTGCGTTACGGAAGACACCCGGCGCAGAGAAAGAGAAGGCTTTTCGTATGAGATTCTTATTACGGAAACAACAAATGGTTGCGATGTTCGAATTCGGCAGGGAGAAGTGGAAAGGCTCGTGGCCCGAATCATGAGTTTTCAGAGGGATGACTGGTTGTCTGAGATCAATCTGCCAGATGAGCCGTACGGTACGCTACGATCATTTGGAACAGACTCCCTTGAGAGCTTTTCTCGCGCTAATACCTGGCTCCAAACATGCATCAACGAACATCAGGATGTGTGTAGCGTCAACACACCCAGTTCCAGCCTTCTGCGGCTAGTCAGAGTGAACGTTGTCGGTACAAGAGTCTCTATTCAACTCTATGAGAATCCATTCGCAACAAAAGAAGAGCCCTATTTAGCTCTAAGTCATTGCTGGGGCGGCAAAGTGCCACTCCAATTGACAACTAAGACAAGACGGTCATTTCTGAAATCTATTCCAGTGGAAGACTTGCCACAGACTTTCTGGGATGCGGTGGTCATTACCGCAAGACTAGGCTATCAATTCATATGGATTGACTCCTTATGCATCATTCAGGACTTGGGAACAGATTGGGATCAGCAAGTCACAATCATGGGCAGTATCTATCGGAATGCGGTCTGTACCATTGCAGCCCTCAATGCGGAGGATAGTAGCAGAGGATGCTTTACTCGTCGAGACCCTCTGGAATTCGATGCTTGCCAAGTCGATAATGAAAGCTGTTTATATATCACAACAGACTTCAGACCCGCTGGGCCCGATACGCAACGTCCGATTCGCGCACCGTTGCACAGAAGAGCTTGGGTTGTCCAAGAACGCGCGCTCTGCCCTAGAACATTATACTATGGAGCGGATATGATCTTCTGGGAGTGCAATCAATCCGTAGCATCTGAAAACAATCCTCGTATGGGGTATCTCTGGAATGCTGAAAAAAGCGCTGTCAAGTTAATACAGGGGAATCCGTATGGCGGACCGAATCCGCAGAAAAGCGGATTGAAAAGCGTTTTCCATGACCTGCTTGATGAATGTAAGGATGGGAACTACAGCCGTTGGAGGGCGTCCTGGGCGGCCCTTATTCACGAGTACACAAGTTGCGAGATCACAAGGTTTGAAGACCGTTGGCCAGCAGTTTCCGGATTGGCCACAAAGGTGGAGGAGACATCTAGGATGAAATTGCGCCGAGGACTTTGGCAAGATTACTTGCGAGAAGAACTTCTATGGAGTGCAGATGTGCCTGGAAATAGACCGCACCAAACCTTAGAAACAGAAGCGGAACTCTATGCACCATCATGGTCATGGATCTCTCTCAAAGCAGCCATCTGGTGGCCTGCTATTTCTAGATATGACCGTGAAACTTCGGAGGTCATGTGGATAGCTGATGTTCTCTCCGCCACGAGTACTGAGATTGTTCTGCAAGCTCCACTCGTCCGAATTTCTGAGATTTTACTTCACGAATCCACCTGTCCAGATAATTGGATCAGTTCGAAACTCAAAAGTGATGCACAGCCGAACATGAGTGGTCTAAAGACGGTACCCGATGAAGATACAGGCGAAGAATTAGAGATATGGGCTTTGCAAATTCTTCGTGTAGCTGAACGTTGGCCCGACTTAGAACGTACGATTTTCTACGGTATTTTTGTGCAGAAAAAGCCAGAGAACCTATCTCTTCTGTCACGATCACGTTGGTCACGGGTGGGGTATTTCGAATTGGGTTGGGAGGGGGAACATTTCGAGATACCGGCTCCACGTTGGCTAGGGAAGACGAAGCGGATCAAGTTAATCTAACATAGATGTAATACAACCGCGGCTAGCTTATTGTCTGCGCAAAGTTTGTTGCTTCAGTGTTGGAATCTATCTTGTAGGATGTTGAGCCTCATCGAGGGGCGCGGGGGCGGAGGAACGCTCTTGCGTAGCACCCTGCCAGTTGATTCTTCACACAGCCATTCATTCGTTCAACCGTGATTACCTCGGAAGAACTATTGCAGCACAAGATCTCGGCTAATAAGCGCAAGAAAAGATCAACTATGTTGTTTGCCAAGGTTTGGCTAAATACAAGAATTGAGTGAGATAAGCACATATCTCTACATGCCCCGCGCCGAATAACTCCAATTGGTGAACTTTGTCAATTATTCGGAGGAAATCATCAAACGTTGAATTAAATATATATACGTGTCACGTGAGGGTCACGTGTTCCGTACATGCCTACCTAGGTAGGTAGCTATTTATCATTCCGACAAAGTTAATCGGTACCGGCACGTAATTGTGCGTGCGAAGTTATTTTTCTTTCAACTTTGTCGTCTTGACTTGAGGTCTTCGTGATCCGAAGGATGAAAATCCTGAACCTTACGAAAACACTTTATCAATCACTTCTGACCTGGCAACAGTCACTTCTCGAAGTCCCTTCGAGCAGCTTCGAACGTTCGAACGATGTCGCTCAAGACGTGGACCCGGCTAGCTTCTGGTCCCTACTATGTTTACCCCAAGCCAATCGGGGTCAGTACCTACGTACCTACCTATCTCCCGTTTGGTAGATCACATGCTGAAGTTCACGTGCTGACTTTACAAGTGTCTGACGCTGGAGGTGTCGCATGTCCCTCAGCCGGTCACGGTGCTTGTAGGTACCCAGAAGAACATCACGGGTAGTTGGATCCAGGAACAACTCTCTGCTTTTGCTGCCACGGATGATGTTTTTCCTATCGTGGGTGGCTCGTATGGAAATCTTGCAATGTCTACCGTGGCGACAGGCGACTATGAAAGCTCCCTCAATTACTCACAGGATTGCTTGGACATACGCTGACGTGGCTAGGGAATCTGTATCTGTCTCTCGGCCGCGAGAATGAAGCTTACCAACGCCATGCAGATGCGCATGATATCGGCATCTCGCTTTACGGCAGATCATCCCCTAGAGTGTGTTTTGGCAATATAAAATGGCGTGGTACGAGCTTCGAAAAGGCAATTTGAATGTGACAAAGTTTGTAGCACCTGATTCGTCAACATTAAGCCAAGCTAACTTATTGAAAGGACTCAAGCGACAGACCTACTTAACGAGATGCTCAACCAGGGATTCTATGACGGCCATATTGCGAGGACTCAGTAGTTCCTTTCTGTGGTTCTCGAAAGGCTTGGCGAGACCATGGAGAGTCAGAACATGAGAAACAAAGCTGTGGAGATCGCTCGAAGCCTGAATGGCCCTGAGTGGGAAATCAAAAATGGGGAGGAAGATTTCGACGACCTAGTCTTTTTTCATGACCGCTAGTTTTGCCAAGAGGTGCTGAGCGTCAAGGCTAGGCCCTGGCCCTCAGTGGTTGGGTAATTCGGAGAATGTCTTCTCACTTGCTGTAGAGCTCGAATGAAAGGTGCTACCACGTGAAAAGTTCCTACTTTATACCCTTGCTTATGCCATTTTTAAACTTCTAGTGTTGTCGTTCTGACTATTGAATGTTACATAATTTCCTAATTGGGATAAGTCTCTTGATCTCTCATAGATCTGGCTAATCGAACTGCACAACCGACTACCAAAGTTATCTTTTTGCTCCATCATTAGGATGTTCAGTGAAGGACAATAATCTTGTAATACAAGCCTTCTTATGGATCCGTTGACACTACTGATGATCACGTGCCTTCATTGGCCAGGAGCGATACAGTTAGGCGCGTTTTGAAGGAATACCCCCAGCTTATCTGATAGCCGGGAATGGTTCTCCGCAAGCTCTGGGCCCCTTCCCCTCCAGGCTTTGCAGAGCTTGCGGAGAACCATTCCCGGCTATTAGACAAGATTGGCTTTTAATTAATAAATCTAATTAAATTTTTAAGCGAATTAATTAATAACTCCACGGATAACTCAACAAAGGTGGGCAGCTCAATACAAAAGAACTCTGCCGTTTGTCATTTACTTTCACAATTCTCCCAGTCCTTCGCAATTAATACAGCTATTATATGCTGAACATTCCAGATTGATCAAAATTGTTCACAACTGAAATTCGCAGATCCTTGTCTTCGGGCAGAAGCACAAAGACCAATTTCCCCACCGTGTTAATACTAGATACGATTGATAGAAATGAAGCCATTGAATTCTGTTTTGAGCATGAGTTTTCTTGTCTTGTCATTATTATTCTCAGCTCATGCCTCGCCCTCGGCAACCACTCCACAGGTAGATCTAGGATACGAGATCCATGAAGGATGGCTTAATGTTAAGATTCACTCCCTTCATTCCAGCTAATAATCCTTTTAACGATGACTTCAGGATACTGGAGCATTTTACAACTTTTCAAACATCCCGTACGCGCAGCCTCCGTTAGGGAATCTCCGATTCTCAGCCCCTTTGAAGCCAATTATCAATGATACCAAATCTGTCAACAATGGGTCACGATTTGCCCTTTGTCCTCAGGGTATACCGGCTTGGACTAAAAATGCAACCGCATTTCTCAAAAACGGTTCTTCGATACTCAATGGCACCTCGTATAACCCACCCATTATCACTAACTTGACGAATGTGCGCGCTGGCACAAGTGAAGATTGTCTTCTGCTAGATGTCCTTGTTCCAAGCGCCATTTTTGATAATCGAGGGAGACAACCAGGCTCGCCTGTGTAAGTTAACTATTAATCGTTTGGTGTAAAAATGAGTAACTGTTTAGGCTGGTGTGGATTCATGGTGGAGGATATACACTTGGGTGGAAAACCCAATATGGAAGTGGGGCTGGTTTGGTCAGAGCAAGTCAAAATTATACGAAGCCAGGCATAGTTTACGTGGCCATTAACTATCGACTGGGGTTGTTTGTAAGCGACACTGAGTATCTCGCTCGAGTATTTGGAACACGGTAGACTAATGGATTGTGTCAGGGGTTTCTCTCTGGTCCAACCTTTCAGCAAAATGGCACCGCGAATAATGGCCTCTTGGATCAGAGACTGGCACTAGGATGGGTTCGAGATAACATTGCCAAGTTCGGTGGAGATCCTAGCCAAGTTACAGTTATGGGGGAGTCAGCGGGAGGAGGAAGCACGATTCACCAAATTACAGCATATGGTGGTTCAAAAGGAAAGGTTCCATTTCAGAAAGCAATTGTCCAGAGTGGTGCTTTCCTACCAGTCACAAGCAAGCAGAAGCAAGAAGACATCTTCCAGAGCGTCCTCACGACTTCTGGAGTTTCGACACTTCAAGATGCAAGGAATCTCTCAACTGAAATCCTTCAACTCACAAATGCCAAGATTATTGGGCAGGCAGCCTGGGGGGATTTTATATTCAGTGAGCCTCAGACTTGGGCCATATCGAATATTCTAACAAGAGAGTAGATCCCGTAGTAGATGGCAGTTTTACACCAGCTCTCCCAGGAGAACTTCTTCTCCATGGACGGTACGATACAACTCTCAACGTCATGATGGGCCACAATACCGATGAAGCCTCAGAATTCACCTCTCCATATGTCAACACAACCGAAACCTTCAACCAAAATGTTCTTCAAGTCTCATTCCCCAATATCAACGGATATAACACTGCGACTTACTTGATGGACACTCTCTATCCACCTATATACGATGGAAGCCATGGCTACGAATCAAACTTTACACGTGCCACAAGTCTCGTCTCTGACGCTCTTTTCCAGTGCAATGCCAACTACCTAGCGCGAGCATTTGGGGCGGCTGGATACGCGTACCAGTTCTCTGTCAAACCCGCGCGCCACGGAGATGACATTACATATACTTTCTATGAAGGGCCTGCAGATTCTGTTGCGAACGACACTCTCGCATTAGCGATGCAAGACATATTTACCAATTTTGTCATCTCTGGCAATCCGAATAGAGTTGGGAGCGAGTTGCCTTACTTCCCAGATTATTCTCAGGGAAATTTGCTCTACAATTTCAACAAAACATTGATCGCTACAAAGCCAGATAATCTCAATAATGACAGATGTAGGTGGTGGCAAAAAGCATTCTATGCCTAAATGTTGTAGTGGCAGGAACTTCATGTTTCATAACGAGGGCATATAATATATTATGGCAAAGCTATGTTTTCAGCTTCAGTTTATTGAAATAAAAAAGTACGAAAAAACAATATAATTCGTGTTTTAAAGTTTTAGTGATTTTTAGTTCAAAAACGCGTTTTTACGCGTATCGCGTTTATAATTTGTTTTTAAAAAATTTAAAAATATATTATCATAACATAAATTTTTTTTAATTAACTAGTAGTTTCCCATCCTTAATCAAATGCCATTATCACAGTTGAATTCACGATGTAGCTCGAATCTGCCACGTCACAACAGCTAATGCTATAACTGAAACAAATACGCAGCAATCGTCTAAGCATCCTGCATATCTTTTTGAAAAACGGTCCAACAAATCCCGAAAACTGTTCCTATCACGACAGCCATTACGAACAGAAAACTGACGATTATAGAAGGATCTGGAGTCTCGACGAAACGCAGTCCGTAGCCTGTGTTGAACTCTAGGCTGGGCGGAAGTAGTGCTGAAAACTTAAGAGGCTTGTCTTTCTTTTTCGGGAGTTGTGAGAGGTAGAAGGAACTGCCTTGCATTGATGGTGTACATTCTGAAAGGAGAAGATGAACCATATGCTCGGCTGCAATTGGAGGCACCATCTCTAGCGGCGGTGGAGGAGCGAAGTCATAATGATCTGTTGTAGGAGGGACTTTATCGGCCACGATGCGGTCAACTGAATCGTCGGGGAAGGCTGAGAACTATGTTGTGCAGGAGTAAGCGAGTAGTCTGCAAGGAAAATACGGTATTTTACCTCAATGAATTCGATGCGCGCTAGCTTGAACAATATCAGATCTGTCCAGGTGCGCTGCATTTTCCACGCTCTGCGCAAAACCTTAAAGAAGCTGGCATCGGTCAAGTCTTTCTGCTTGTCATCTTTGCAAATATGAAGCGATTCGAGTTTTATCACTTTTGCATTTGGTCGTTGCTTCAAGCAGAGATGAAGCCATCTGCAAGTCACGCCGGGCGTGGGTGAGCATTGAATATTTGCAAACTTTCTCGTCTTTGGTTTCGGATTTCTCCCTTGCTTCCCAAACTTTAAATTCCCAATGTTGCGGCCAACTGCTGTGGCTTTGTTCCGAGCGGCTGTAATAAAAGTGACCGTAGAACCAGAGCCTAAATTAGTTGACTGAGCGTGAGTTACATATCCTGAGTCAACCAGCTTTCCCGCATAAGCAGCGACAGCCCCAGGGCGAAGTTCTCGGAAGTCATCGTGGGAAGTATGACCACAGTTCTAGAGACAGTCAATTATTGATAGGGAAGGTAAAATAAAATCCATTGAATGGGCAGCAGCACTTACACACGTCCAATTCAATCTCACTAGCCCCGGCTCCAACGCCTGCTTCGCATTGATATAATTCCAAACTGTTGAAGTTTTTTGGAACAAAGATAGCACCCCAAGCATTTTGGTACCTTGGACAGTCTTCACAATCGTTCCAATCGTTGCATTCTTTGTAAACCCGACTTCACCACCTGAGTCCCTATCTGACTCTGGAGAGCTGGTTAGGCTGGGGGATGCATCTTCTATAGCTTGGTTTGTAGTGACCGCCTCGACAGGGGATAAAAACAACAAGAAATCGTTTCTGAAGTTTTGCATCGCATTCGCTGAAAGGAACCACTCCTTTAGCTTTGTCAGATCTGGGTGCTCCGCTGGATCATCATCATCGTTCTCCACGTCACTGTCATCATCAATCACTGATGCTCTAGTAGGTGCAATCAAGACATCTGATATAGAGTCCAGTTGAGGGGATATTTCTTGAAGATAATCCTGAAGCCGGTCTTCGCGCACTGGATCGACGTTCTGTTCTGGGAGTATTAGGAGCTTACTCGGAAGCACATTCTCACGGACAAGAACGGCTATTTGCCTTGACTTGTGCCCTACAAGCTTGGCTACCTGCTTTTGAGGCAGCGTTGTTGCTTCGCGCATCAAGTCCTGGGAGAAGGACCGCAATATACGGCGGAAATTGCGGGTAACTTTTTCAGGATCTATGAAGCAAAAAGCCTTCTCCAACAGCTTCTGAAGCTGATCATCGTTAGATATCAAGTAGGATATCTCTACAACACTATCTCTTGCCAGGGGCTCCATATCAGAAATAGAGGTTGCGGAGCTTGCTATTATCGAGGGAGTGAACGACTCAAGAGAGGCGACGGAGCAACCTGAATCGGAGTCGTCGGATTCTTTGAGTCGTACAAGATTTATCGTTGATGGTTTGGACCGGTCAACCACAACAGAAGCATCCACATTGTCTACTCTGAACAGTTCTCCTTAGCTATTCTCTCGTAACACTGACAAGTCATGATAGTCAATATGTGACTTGAGATGTCTCTTCGCATTGTCCAGTCTTCTGGAAAAGCCGCCTGTGGGGCCGTTGGGGTGCCATGGGCAGCCTTTAACGGGGCAGAAGTATCGCCGAATCTTGAGGTGCGCGTCCATGTGACGATCGAGGTCCCGTTGGGTAGCTTTTCCGATCTCACAACCTTGAAAGTCGCACCGGTAAGGCAGGGTATGAGTCCGGATATGGCGGCTACACGATATTAGATTAATCGCGAGTTGAAAATGCGTCTGGAGAGTGGTAAATGTTGACAGACAATAACACGAAAGGTGACTTACTCGAGTTGACCCAAAGTAGATTTCTCCGCTAAGCAGTATTGACATCGAAACTCGGGTGCGGTAGCTTCTTCGAAATCGTCATCATGGTCTTGGATTCCTGCTGCAGACGTTACTCGTTCTCTTTCGAACGTTTGATCTACCCAAGATGCTCGTATGGTGCATGGGTTTGATTGGAACTCAATCTGGGCAGTGACTCTATTGAAAAAATACTGCGCAGAAGAGTCATCCCATCCCGCCCGGTGAAGTATAGCCTCAACCTGTTTACGTTTTGTCAAAATTGTAGACCATGCCCTCGCCATAGTCTCCAGTTTTATCGTTTCAGAGCCCCACGCGACTTCAGCTTTCTTCGAAAATTCCAACTCCTGAAGAATCCACACACGTCTCCAGTAGCTTTTCTTGGTCAAGTTGATCACCGACGCCCAGCTGTCTGCCTTCGCTTTGGTATCAGGAAGGTCATCCTGGGCTCTTAAATCGGCCAATAATTTCAGAAGGTTGAAAGCCAGCGAAGCATCGAGATTGCTACCTCCGAGCCAAACAAGGATTGAAGTAGCTTCCTTGTATATCCGGTCCATCAAAGCGACTTGCGCTTTCTTTTCCGCAATATCGGCTTGGTTGATACACACAGCATCGACCCAGAGGTCAATATCTTCAATCTCCTGGCGCATATTTCGCAAGGCGGCTCCCAGGTTGGGTCTAATATAAAGAGTACATGGCCTGTTGGATATAGTCACGTGTTGAAATCCCTCTCCCTCTTCCAAATCACAATACACTGTGATTTGATCGTTGAATTTATGTTCGCCCCATTCAAATGATAAGGCGAGATATTCGTAGGAGTTTGACTTGGAAGTAGACCTTGTGGATGGCAAAGAGCTCGGGAAAAGTGTACATTTTAGAGCATCTGCTTTCTTCCCACGATGGACTCTTAGGATTCGAATTTCGTGATGATGGTCGATAGGCTCGTATGTGTACGCTTTTTTCGGTCGCCTTAACTCTTCGACGACACTGCGGAACCTCGCTCCGGGGAAATCGTATCTCGAAAGCCCTTTGTCTCGGTTCTGTTGGATCACTATTTCGACGGCGCTGCGGAGTTGCCACAGTGAGGATTTGCTGCGTTCCCCTTCCCATGATGACTTATTTGGATGTCGAAAACGTTCTATAACCTTATGATCATGAGAGCCGACGGGTGGAATTCGTCCTCCCTGCGACGGAAAGTTCATGTCTTCTTGGTCGAAGTCTGCCGTTTGTCACAGCTTGGATTAGATGGTGAGGTTAGGTTTGAAGGTTCGGAGGAGAATTGAGTGCGATCGCAGACTCAGAGCAGTAGGGATTGGTGTCACTGGGCTGTGCAGATGTGAGGACATGCATTGGCGCATTGGCAGCCCCGTGGCGTTGCCAACACAGCCCTGAAAAAAGCAACATTACGAGGCATCAACACAGGACTTTGCCAGTGCTGAAGCTACTCAGTCTCTTATCAATTCATATTTCGAGAGTCCGAGACATGCGCAAAGTGCGGTCAAGGATTGCATAGTTGTAACTTAGATTCCCATCCGAGAATAGACTCAGTCTAGGATTAGCGCGGCTTTATTTACTAGCTATCACATATTCCCAACATATGCTCGTGTTAGCACTTCTTAAGCCTCCAAGATCCTTTCGCTTACACGCCTTATTGTTACATGGTCCATATTGTTCGACGTTCGCTTAACAAACCATCTTCGGAGCCACGCTCGATCTCATCACATCTCCAACTTCGGAATCAACCCCCTAACTCGCCTGAAAGCCCACTGCATCGATATCTTTGTGGCAAGGCACGAAAGTGGCTGTTTGGACAATCGGTCAATGACGACAAAGACAGTGTTCGCAGAAGACAATGGAAAGCTTCTGCATGTGATCGAAGAGTTGGGCGAGATTGCTTTCATGCCTCGAGCCAAGAACAAACTGGGTATCATTCAAGAATATCACACATTACACCATAATCACGGCTCATCCTCTTCCACAATCCTCTGTCCCTTCTCCAACTCACTCCCATCCAAAACCCCATTCGAACCCACAACCGGACCTCCCACATTAACCCCATTAATCCTCCTCCCCCTCACACCCCAACTCTCCTTCCTCTTCGCAGCTTCCTTCTTCTCGCCATGCAAGAATCTCTCAACAAGTTTAAACGTAGCCCTCTGCTCCCTCCCATAAACCATCTCCTCCTGCTTCCGCCTCTCTAATTCCTCCTCCCACTTCCTCCTCTCTTTCCGTTCTCCATGTCCGTGTATCCACTCGATCCTCTCTCTGTTCTTTTCCTCGAAATATTGATGTCCGACAATGTACTTCTTCCATAGGGATCGCATGCCCGTGTATTCCAGCACGAAGATGATAGGTATTTTGACTAAGGCGGTTAGAGTGGCGCGCGTCCAGGGCGAGAAGGCGATGGAGATTGAGATCACGATCACGGCGGTGGAGATGCCGAACATATATTTCATTTGTTCGTCGAGGGTCATCCAGGATGCTTGGTTAATTTGCTCGTTGTTCATTCCGAAGAAAGCGGCGAGGAAACCGAGGGGTAGCTTGGAGATTCTGTTAGTGTGATTCAACGTGCTGCTGGATGAAAGGAGCAACTTACGAAGAAAATGGTGACGAGCGTAAAGGCCATGATAGCTCGTCCTTGTTTCACACTCTCGTCTGCTCTTGCGAGGGCTGCTTTCGCTTCGATAATACTTGCTTGTTGTTGTTTGAGTGAAAGAAGGCCCTGAAGCTGCTGTGTTGTTCTCAGTGCTGCTTCTTCCAGGTCCTGGATCTCGGCCTTTCTGTTCCGGATGAGTTCGAGTAAATCATTTGCTTCCTGGATTGTGCTTTCTGGGACGGGCAATTTATCTCCAAGCATTGAAGTCTGTCTTTTGTCTCCGGCCACGAGAGGATTTTGTCGAAGTAACTTGATTAAGGTTCGCACTTCATCTGTCTCGTTCTTAGATTCTCCGTTCATGTGTCCGAGGATCTTTCGGAAGTCTCGCACAACGTGTAGCTGTTGGTTGTATATCCTCAACATGATCTGTAGCTCCTCCGCCACATCTTGGGACTCACGCAATAGCGTTCCTTCGGGGTTGATATTGAGGTACGAATGGTTATTCGTACCAGGCGACGCGAACCGCATACCTCGAATCTCCATGTTGCGCCAAAAACACTCGTACGCGATGGTCGTACGTTCGGTCACATTTCCGATGGCTGAGGCGAAGAGATCCATGACTTCTGGTCTTTGATCAAGAGGTTTGGTACGGTCGAAGAAAACGCGAGAACATTGGTCGATGATGATCAATGCCAGGTCGTACACTGATTGGATCTCTTCTGAGGATGTAGCCTCTAGGCGTTCCCGTAGAGATTTGTGCACGCCTGAAGGATCTGGCTTGTTCCTGCCCCAACGCCGAGGGAAAGAGGTGATGATGGTATTTCCGTCCAGTATCCAGAGCCATAGTTGGTCCACCATAACGACTCGAGTGTTCCGTGTGTGGAAACTCCGGCCTTCTCTTGTTTCTCGGTACACGACTTGATCTTTGTCTCGGACAGCAGTGTCTTCAAGAGTCAGGAAATATGATTGATCCAATGTTCTTCGGATGTGAAGGGGTGGGTTGCGATGGAGATTCTCACGCAGAAGTCGCTCATCTGCTTCATAATCCATAGCATCGGCCACCTGAGCCAGAGCCAGTAAGTACTTTCCCAATTTGCATCTCCTACATTTATATCAGTCCAAAGCCTAAAAATTTGACAGCTGGTGTATCCTACTTCTTACGAGCGGTGTGCTTCCCATGCCTGGCAGTATTGTACTTTCGTGCCATTTCGTACATGTCATTCCTTTTGGAAACGTCAATCTCGTCGTCGTCATCATCTTTTTCCATCTCTTTCCTGAGCTTCTCTTCATGTGAATCACCCTTCCTCCAGGGCAAACATTTCCTTTCTGGCTTTTTCTGGTCCGAGAGCTCGAGTGTTCGTTTCCTTCCCATTCTTGTATCTTCTTCATCTTGAAGCGTTTTCGTGACTTCCTTGATAACCTCTGCCATTTTAGCTCTGCGGCTGTTCGTCTCCCAGTGGAGGAAGGGCAGCTATGCGATAGTCAGCACTGCATAGATTATTTCTATACTCGGACTGCCCCACAAATATGGCGAAGTTCTTGGCTTTGCTCCGAGGTGGTGGGGCGGCCATTGGGTCAGTTGGAAATGTAGCGGCTTTTGGAGTCCGTCCTCGCTGAGTCCAGGCTCCAGATGATGTGTCTATGTATGAGAATTCAGATTGAATCCTTGTGATTGAGAAGTCCTACTCACCTAATGGTATCAGCGAGCATCGACTTCTCATGTGGCGAGCATGCACAGGCCCCGCAGGACCAGTCCCTCCAACACCACCACCGCCATGAAGTTGTCCTCGCCAGTACTCGCGAGACAGAAGCTTCTCGGCATTCGACGATCTCTTACTAGGCATTTGGGTGTCGCTGTGATTTCCGGCATCCTCGTTGTAATATCGTGCCATCGCTTCCTTTCCTTTAACGTCAGCACTTTCTCAGCATGGAGAATCTTAAGCCTCACCTCAATCCAACGCATATTGTTCGACGGAAAGTGAAAATATCGGAGTTGATCGTCTTTGCATGGCTGACTTAATGGGTTGTCAGGCGAAGGTTGTATCAAGTCGTGAACGGATATCTTTTGGTTCGGAAATTTCCCGTCCTTAAACTTGGGGTGCTTGTACGTGTCCGGTTCCCAACCATCATATGATCTCTTGAAGTATATCGCACACGCCTTGAAGCCGTACTCTTCCTCTGGATCTCCCCTCAGGTTCACATCTTCCAGTTCATCATCTACTTTCCAAGACCCGACACGCTCCAGAAGTTGAATGTCCAATATCTGACTGCGACTCCAACTCCGGGGAAACTTGGGAAGACGCTTGATCTTTTCGATATATTCTTCCCTTCTTTCTTGTACTTCGTTCTTCCATGCCAATTTCGCCATCTTCATCTTGTCTATCATTTGTTTGTTCTTTGGATTCTTGTCGTTCGTTATGAAGTTGATGCGGGTCTGCTGAATCCGTTCTTCCTCATGCACAACTCGTTCCCATTTCTTCCCTCGGCCCTTCTCTTGCATCTCCTTCAATTTGCTCTGGAATTCTTCGTCTCCTTCATATAACTGCTGCTGCTGTTCCATCTCGTATAACTTCTTGTTATGTTCACTGTCCATCTCACGAAGCCTTTCCTTGAATTCATCACGACGATCGAATCTCAGCCCAAGATAGCAATTCGTATGGTTGTCGCAATATTTCCACGGTTCCTGGGCAAATTCCAGCGGCTTATCACAGCTATGTTTCGCATATTGCATGTCGATGAAGACATCTTGATCTTTCTTGTGCGCATGCGGGACATATCTGAAGGAACTAGGTGCTCGAGGTCTGCCGGGTCGACTGGGAGCCATATTGCCGGACGTCGATTAGAACAATAGGAACAAAAAATATGGAAAGGAAAGAAACAGCAACAGAAAACAGGATACTTAACAGCCATGGCATTTTCTGGGGGCGGGCGCCTGCTCCAGCCTCGACTTCGGGGAGCTGCAGACTGCGGGCTGCGATTAGCTTATCACAGAAGCCAATCTGCACATCTCTCAGCTGTGTTCCCGTTTGGGGATGCCTGCATCATGCAGCATTCTCATTGGGTGAAATGGTACTGTTCAATGTAAGGATGCATTGGTGGAGCCGCAATTTCGTAAAAGAGTGAAAAGACCGAGGGTAGTGCATTGGGGGGCCAAAGACGGTGTCGTCTTAATTCCAAATCCTGTCACCAGTCTGGACTCCTCAGCCTGTGTCTATATACTGCATGTTCGGTCTCCAAGCACCACTAAATGCTCATGCTTCACCGAATGCCCGCCCTGCAACCATCTTGCCTTTCTAAAACCAGCCTTATGGATGAATCGAGTTCAGAAATTTCCCGGATCCAAACATCCACAAGGTTCGGGACGATCCTCGGGGAAAGCTTAACTCGGACCAGTGCTGAGCTTGGCGTGAGTCGACTTGGTTGTTGCAATCACTGGTGCAATAGGATAGTTGCCACCAGATAACTTGAAGAGACAGGGTGAGAATCGAAACGAGGTAAACGATTGAAACGTTCGAAAAATTCTATCTGCGGTGTACATTCTGACAGGTTCGTTGTCGATGATGTTGCCCAGCATTCCGCCCGCGAAATTGTCCCTGCTCTTGTTGGATACGCAGAGGCTTGGAAGTTCAAGATGCTCTCGAAATTCAAGTTCAGCGAAAAGAACTGCGAGTTAAGTCGGACAAGGTGCATTACGGGTGTAATAGTTGGTGCTGTTGAAGGACAGTGAACTCGAGGTAGAAAATGCTCGGCTAAATACACACCCGTGTGTATTTATCATGGAGGGGTAAATTTTACAATCGCTGAGCAACCAAATCTGCGAAAGCGATACAATGGAAGAAGACCGAGCTGAAGTTGATTTGGGTATCGCTGTTGACGTTGAGGAGAGACAGGAAGCAGAAGCACAAAGATTACCCAAGAGGCGATTCGTTGGGCGAAGACAAGTAGCAGAAGCAGCATCGAATGCTGAAGCGAATGGATCAACAGAGAACAGAGGCACAATTCAAGGCACGAGCGCATCCTCCATGAGCAACATGTACGAGTCATTCGCTGACATTGAATAGTCTCGAAATCGAGAAGAACGCCTCGGACTCTGAATCAAGTCCCTCCCGAAATTCTCAACGATCCAGAAATCAATGCCGCCATCGCTCTCCTTCCTCCGAACTACTCTTTCGAAATACACAAAACTATACATCGAATAAGGACAAATGGCTCAAAGAAGGTTGCTCTGCAGATGCCAGAAGGCTTATTGCTGTTTGCCACAACAATTTCGGACATTCTCACACAATTTTGCCCTGGTGTCGAGACTCTGATTATGGGTGATGTGACGTACGGAGCGTGCTGTATTGATGACTATACTGCGAGAGCTCTAGGATGCGATCTTCTCGTCCACTATGCGCACTCGTGCCTGATACCGGTCGATGTGACTACGATCAAAACACTATACGTTTTCGTGGATATCAGCATCGATACAGCGCATCTTCTATCAACACTGGAAAAGAATTTCTCGACAGGGAAGACTATCGCCATGGTTGGGACAATTCAATTCAATGCGACACTACATGGAGTCAGAGCACCTTTGGAAAAGGCAGGATACAATGTTCTGATACCTCAGATCTCACCTCTAAGTAAGGGAGAGATTCTTGGATGTACGTCGCCAAGACTAGATTCAACGGACGGCGTGGATATTATTCTCTATCTTGGTGACGGACGTTTCCATCTCGAAAGCGCTATGATACACAACCCTTCGATACCTGCCTATAGATACGACCCATATTCTAGGAAACTTACCCGCGAGAATTATGATCATAAGGAGATGCACACATTGCGGCGAGAAGCTATTTCTGCTGCTAAATCAGCAAAGAAATGGGGGTTGATCCTGGGATCACTCGGCCGACAAGGAAATCCACATACGATGTCAATGATTGAGCAGAAACTCGAAGGCCAGGGCATTCCGTATGTCAACCTGCTGTTGAGTGAGATCTTCCCGGGAAAACTTGCAATGATGGACGATATCGAGTGTTGGGTTCAAGTTGCATGCCCCCGACTGAGCATAGATTGGGGCTATGCTTTTCCCAGGCCTCTCTTGACACCATACGAGGCTTTGATTGTTTTAGGTGCCAATGAAGATTGGGATAAGGGGAATGGCGGAATTTATCCGATGGATTACTATGGGAAGGAGGGCCTGGGACGAACGAAGGATGCAAGGCTCATCGCGGCTACGGGTTGACACCCCTTCTTTCCGCCTAAAACTTATTCGCTCGACGAGAAAGCACAACATTCAGAGCCCCTTCAGAGTAGAAGCCTCTACCCGAGTTGCACTAACTGGAGGTTTGGCCTCGAAAGTCGCCAAGGATAAGCTGCGTCACTGCACATCTGATGAGCGTCCACAGATGCCAAAGCAAATCCCCAACACTACATATAAAAAAGGAGTTCTACAGAAATGATGTGCTCCCATATCTCTCATTATCTCGCAATGCCTTGGCACAAGAATATAAATTTTGTCCGTTGCATCATTCTTCCAACAACCAATCGCCATGTGAGTGCTTTTGTCGCTGGAGTTATATTGCTTATGTTATGTTGTACATCTATACACTCACTCAGCCAAACCAATACTCAGCCCTTGCCTTTAGGAAAAAATTGGTTCTTGCAACTGTGCCAAGTAGCACTATCTCATCATCTCAACTTTTGATTTTTAGTTTGGCCATTCAGCAATTGATTGACTATTGAGGTTGAATTACGGTGTTGTCAGCGCTTGACTACTGAAGGATGCTCATAGAAAATAGAGAACGAGTAATGCTCCGTGCTATTCTTCCATCGAATGGGTAGCTGTGAAATATCTCCAGCGTAGATTCGCTCAATGCTTTGGCTATGAATAGTACATGCTCGGAAAGAGCCACAAAGCAACGTCAGCTCTTAACTATTCAGCCCAGCGCGCACTCAGACACAGCATTTAATCGCACATGCAACTCCTGCAAGCAACCCACACATCTATGCAGAAGTCCTAACATCCCAGTGAGGTCTCCCGTCAAGACAATAAATGCATCTAGTATTCCATTCTCTTTTTTCCCTTCCTTTGAACTCGTAGCAAAGGTTAGCTGTCTTGCGGCCTTGTTTTCCGCATGTAAGTGGTATGTCTGGCCCCCTCCAACCTCAAGAGTATGCTATGAAGCAGATTCTGCACATGATTGTTTGACATCTTATGATGATGTTTTACCAGCGGTTGATGTCTGGGAAGCTCTTATTTTCTTTACACATCTTTGGATTCTACGATTATGAGAGATCGTGATTGTTTGAAATCTTGTGGTTGTGTGTGGTGATCTTGAATCAAGATTCAGACTTCGCAAAATGTGTTGGAATCAACACTTGGTCAGATCATTGGAGTGGGTTGAGATTTCCTATACGTTCAATTTTATCATGACTGGAGACTCTTTTTCGGTAGTGACGACACCTTCATAGCATCACAACCCCTAGCCCTCCCAACGAAGCTGTATTAAGGCACCTGTTTACTTTGCGTGTAGGCACGTGACTAGGCTCACTTGGAGCGATTGCACACAGGTCTGGGTACCTGCGTTAGTTGCGAGACCCAGAGCCTCAAAGATCCACGATATCGCTGGGTTGATCCCGCTGTGTCATCCTCTGTGGCTGGCCGATTCACTCTTCTGACCGGCCAACTGTTCAAGGGTGGGATGAGTGGGGTGAATTGCCCGAGATATGTTCATGACTTGTCTCGAGTCTACGCTAAGTTATTTTAATCAACTTTCTCTTCTTCTTGCCATTTTTTTGTCTTCCTCATATTCCGATTTCGAATCAAGAACAACTCAAAATGACTCGAAGCCTGAGAATCGGAGTTGACGTTGGCGGGTGGGTTTCCTTCCCTTCAATGATGTATTATACTTACAGGGGCATCTAGAACAAACACAGATGGAGTCATCCTCGACCCATCCCGCTCCTCGGAGCCTGATCGAGGGATAGTAGCCTGGCACAAAGCTTCAACAACAGGCAACCCCAGCGATGGAATCAACAACGCCATTACAGCCATGTTTGATGAATCCAAAATCGATCCTGGAGAAGTAGCAAGTGTCACTATCGGGACAACCCACTTCATCAATGCCGTTATTGAACAAGATCAAGCTCGACTAGCCAAGGTAGCGATTATGCGTCTTTGTGGACCTTTCTCGAAAGGTGTTCCACCTTGTATCGATTGGCCTGCAAAACTTCGAAACCTCATCCGAGGCTATTACTGCTTAGTAGATGGAGGACTAGAAGTTGACGGCAACCTAATATCCGACATCAACGAAGAGCAAATCCGTCGAGAAGCAGAAATCATAAAAAGGAAAGGAATCAAAAGCATCGTCATAAACGGGGTTTTCAGCCCCGTCGACATCCACTACAAACAAGAAGAACGCGCCGCAAAAGTCATCAAGAGCATCTACCCAGAAGCAGACATCGTCCTCTCCAAACAGGTCGCCAACCTCGGTTTCCTCGAACGCGAAAACGCCGCTATCCTAAACGCATCCATCCTCCCCTTCGCTCGCAAAACTATCACATCCTTCCAATCCGCAATCTCAAAACTCAACCTCAAATGCCCCGTCTTCATCACCCAGAACGACGGCACCCTCCTGCTCGCCACTGCAGCCGCTGCACTCCCTATCCGCACTTTCTCCAGCGGTCCGACGAACAGTATGCGTGGCGCTGCTTTCTTGACGCAAAATTCGATCAAGGAGTCGATGATGGTGGTTGATATCGGCGGCACCACGACAGACGTTGGTCTCTTGCTGGCGAATGGGTTTCCGAGACAGGCGGCGGCGTTTAGCGAGATTTCCGGGGTGAGGACGAATTTCTCGTATCCGGATGTGCGGAGTGTAGGTCTGGGTGGAGGCTCGATTGTGAGGAGAGATTCTGACGGAAAGTTGAGGCTGGGGCCGGAGAGTGTGGGGTACCTGCTACCCGAGAAGGCGATTTGCTTTGGTGGGGATGTGGCGACGGCTACGGATTATACGGTGCTTGGGGATGAGAAGGTTAACATTGGGAGTAGAGAATTGGTAGTTGAAGCGGGGCTTGAGGGGAACTTGAAGGATTTGAAGGACTTGGTGAAGAGGATGTTGGAGAGGGCTATTGATAATATGAAGACGTCTGCGGAGGATATTCCCGTGCTGTTGGTAGGAGGAGGGGCGATTATTGCTCCTGATGAGTTGGCTGGAGCTAGTAAGGTGGTGAAGCCGGAGTGGTCAGGAGTCGCCAATGCCATTGGAGCTGCTACGGCACGAGTTAGTGGGATCATTGATACCATTGAAAATACCGAGACCAAGACCTCGTCTCAGGTTATGGAAGACGTTTCAAAGCGAGCGGTAGAGAAAGCTATTGAGGATGGCGCCAAGGCGGACACGGTGCAGGTCGTTGAGATGGACCATCTCCCATTACAGTATATTGCCAACAAATCTCGATTCATTGTCAAGGCTGTGGGAGACTTTGATTTCTCTAGACAGATAGCTGGCGTTGAAGAGGCAACGACTGGGACCACTGAACAGGATGGGATGGCTGAGTTCGCAAAGGGCTCGTCTACCACTGATCACACTTTGAAAGAGGTGATAGATGCTCCAGAGATTGATATTTCATCGTATCGGCCGAAGATTGTAGGTCGAGAATGGATCATCTCCGAGACAGATCTTGCGTGGATCAGTACTGGCTGCTATATTCTTGGCACTGGTGGCGGAGGGTCGCCATACGGACACATGCTTCGATTACGGGAGATTATGCGTAGTGGTGGTGTGGTCAAAGTCATCTCTCCTGACGACCTGAAAGATGAAGACCTCGTAGCTTGTGGTGGAGGCAAGGGATCTCCTACCGTATCTATCGAGAAACTTCCGGGAGACGAGTAAGTCTTGGTCCCTCTCTACCAAAGGTGATCCACTGACAATAGAATAGAATGATACAATCCCAAACCGAACTCTACAACTTCATGAAAGTCCAACCAAACGCTGTAATCGCCCTCGAAATCGGTGGTGGCAACGGCCTCCAAGGTATGATCCTTGGCGCATCAACAAATATGAATCTCCCCACCGTCGACGGTGACTGGATGGGCCGCGCTTACCCCGTGGCTTGGCAAACCACTCCCGTCGTCTTCCAAGAAACACCCGTTTTCCTTCCTTCAACCATCTGTGATGGCAACGGAAGTGTAATGTTCATGACACAAGCGAAATCCGAACTCATGGTCGAGAAAGCATTTCGAGCAGCACTTTCGCAAATGGGGTCTCATGTTGCCTGTGCGAAGGCGCCAGTGACTGGGAAGAATACTAAGAGTTGGGTTGTTGAGCATACGATTTCGCTTTCTTGGAGAATTGGAAGGGCGGTTGCGTTGGCGAGGAGTGAGAATAGGATTGACTCTGTTGCGGAGTCTATCATTGCTGAAGCTGGAGGTGATGAGTCTGCGAAAGTTCTGTTCAAAGGGAAGATTGTGGGTGTGGAGAGGACGTTAAGGATGGGACATGTATATGGAGAGGTGATTGTTGAGGCGATGGATGTTAGTGGTGGGGAGAGAGCAGAGTTCCAGGGAAAGATGAAGATCCCGTTCAAGAACGAGAATATACTTGCTATCAAGGAGAATCCGGACAGCAGTGAGACGGTTTGTGGTTTTTCGCTTACTGGCGGCTTCTTGCTAATGAATAATAGGTCGTTGCTTCGGTGCCAGACCTGATTTGCGTCATCGATGCTCAGAACGGCGAGGCGATAGGCACTCCAGAATATAGGTATGGGTTACTGGTTCTTGTGCTTGGAATTGTTGCCTCTGAGAAGTGGACTTCGACTCCACGAGGCTTGGAGATCGGAGGTCCGAAGGGTTTTGGAATGGATGATGTGGAGTATAAAGCGCTGGGAAAGTTTCGCAAGCCCAGGAGTGTGATCGAGGAGTTTGCAACTTAGATCGGTATATCCGTGCGGCCTTTGGGATGGAGGTGGTGTTGAAGTATAAACGATTCGAGGTCGAATGCGACTTCCCTTTTCATCCACTTCCTGTCATCCTCATCCCAGAAATAATCGTCACAATGTTTACCACACCAAACAACCCACCCAAAAAAAAAACACACAGTCCAGGTCCAATGCGCAATCGACGCATTCTTCCTGATCAAACAAGAAATTTGAGAGAGTAGAGGCTACCAGTAATCATGTGGCCGAGGCTTGGACGAGATACTGCCAGTCGCGTTACCTTAGAGCAAGCCATCGCTATGGATATGTTATGCAGCCAGTGGAAGTTGCAGTCGAGGTCGCGAGGTGGACAGCCTGTATCACAGATGGAGGATGTCCGCAGATTTGAGCTCCAATACGGTGTCCCAGTGAATCGGTTGCACTTCTATGGTTTTGAAAGAACCCTTGCATGCGATCCGTTCTTCTATTACCACCAACATCCTAACGAAGCGGTGCTTCCCGATCTCCAGACCGCGAATCAGCTAGATTGGCAACCAACCGACGAAGAGCTTGAAAGTTATCTGCCGCATTGGTTCTAGAGTGCTTTGAAGAGGCTACAATAGGGTCTATAAGTCAGTATTCTTGTGATGCAGAGAGTAAATGGGATAGAGTGCGAATGCAATGGATTGACTTAGATTAGAAGATTTACTCAGATGAGGTGGTTTGGGGTGATGAATATGGAGAGCTAGAAGCATAAATGATACAGCATCTCTCAAACCTTTGCTTTCAGACTATCAAAAGTCCTGCAGGCCGAAGAGTACAGCAGTATACTTTTTGTTATTTTGAAAGTATGTTATTGTGATCTTGTAGGTGTAGAGTTATGGAGAAAGCATCAAGGCAAAGGACAAAAGCTTCGACGTAAAGGCAAATCATCGCTCTTGCCCAGATGACGAGGCTTGGTCTACCTAAGCTTTGGCACTCGTTCCTCTCTGTATCCAAAATGGCGAATGCGAGCGATAACCGATATTTTCTGTTCGCCTTGCCAGTTGCAGCCAAAGACGCCCACGATCGGAGTCAAATGCGCTAACGAACAGTCAAAGCCAGTCATAGATCGAAAATTCCAAAGCCATGAAACCTCAAGTCTCTTGTTAACGTCTCTATCGAAAAAAATACCTTCGTCTATTCGACTACTACGAGGATTAAGATTTGATATCCAGGGCTAGAGATTATCCTCTTTGCAACTAGAGCTATCGTATCTGACTTGCGCTTTAGATATTCAACGCAAAGCAAACCCAACCAAGTATGGCAAACAACAACAAGAATGCCGGTTTTGGTGGTGCAACTCCTCTGCTTGGATCTGGCGGTAAGAGCAAGACAGCTAAAGCTCCAGTTACATCGCCACCAAGCTCCAGCAATGCAGTGATCGCCGAATACATCGGACCACTAGATCCCAGACGCCACTTCGAGTCATTGAGACAACTGGTTTGGCTCGATGCAGCCCTCAACGAGCACGAATACCTTAGGCAAGAGTTCAACCCCGAAGGCATTGAATTATTCGAGCAGATTGCTTCGGAGTTTAATAAGGTGTTCCACTTCCACCCACAGAATGAAGTCGTCTCGAAGTTCAGCCAGCTGCTTCGAGCAGATCCTACATTCTATGCCAACTACTTCCCAGAGGAGCGCATGTTCCATGAAGTTCCTGGACTTTCTGGCCTCCCGAATATCCAGAACGTTGATTGGAACTACAGGGGATATTGAAATATTAGTGGAAAGGGATTGAGATTGAAAGGTGACAATGATCGACGGGGACTGGGACTTTAGGAAGTAGCATAATGCATGACGATGGTTCTTTACAAACAGTAAATACTGTAAAGACTGTGAAATAAGATAATAATGTCCCAGACTTTGTGTGACAATATAAGTGGGCCAAGTGGAAAGTAAAATACTAGAGTAAAGTGGTGCAAGAAAGATGTGACTTCTTATCTATCTTGAAGATCTTGTCTCCCCACTTATACTGGCTTAAATTGTCTTACATGTTTAGAACAATATTATCTTATATTCTAATTCCAGTGGAAAAGGGGCTTGGTAGAGAGCTTTCAGGTAGATAAGCGAGTCACGTGCTCGCGGCTTCTGAATTGCGTCGAGACCTGTCAGTGCATTATATGCCGCAATGTATTGCTTTAATATTAGCCTCATTGGTTTCCGAAGAATGGACCCGCGCCTCGTCGGCTTTAAACATCACCGGAAAAGATCAGACCACCATCGGCTGTCAGATCACATGCCGAGACAACCGACCCACACGTGAACGTCAAAGATTCTATAAGATTTCCATTCCGCAATTCGAGTTCAAAGAACACCATACGAATACATCCAATTCACAGTCTCATATTCTCGCCATAACTAAACCCAAGGGGGCAAATTAGATCACCCACCACTATTAAATCAACTTGAGATATCCAAATCGAGATGCCCAACAATCAGGGAAAACAAATCGTGTTTGAAGCAATACGCCCCGTACTTGTCGACGCGCGGGGTACATCGAAATCTTACATGGCCATATACAGTGTCATGAAAGAATTCTCTCACCGCAATCCCGAGTCCATGATCGAGCTCCTGATTCACAATTCCAAAGGCATCCTACACGACATCTCGACCTGGTGCGAAGCAACCGGCAATGAGCTGATCAATTCGGAAGTTGGAAGCGATGCAGGAGATGAGGACATGCACGTTCTCATTCAGAAAGGTGTTCAAGCTGGAAGTGATCAAGAAGGCGAACGGCAGAAGGAGAAGAAAATGATAGTCATGATCTCAAGTTCGGATCTGGATTTTGTGACTGCTCCTTTCGACAGAGCACTTGCGGGGAAAGTGCTCGGAATGGAGGTCAGTGTTATCTTTGAAGGTGCTGGAGTCAAGCTATTGCAGAATGGATATCGGGCAACTCGCTCGGGATTGTTTGGGGCGTTCCGGACATCGGGTGTGGAATGCAATTTGAGAGACTCCGGGTCACCAATACCATCAGAAGCGATTGCTATGTTGGCTGAGATGGACGCCAAGTTCTATGTCTGTGGTCTGTCGATGGAAGCTCATGGTGTGCGGCAAGAGGAGTTGCTGGTTGAGCATTCTGTGGTTGCTTCCACTGTTACTTGGGTCGAGATGTTAGCTCATAGCGATGTCAATGTGTTCTCACGGGCAAAGCTCGAGACAGCTTGACCTGGAAGAATCAAGTAAATCGAAAAAGGAAGTTCACTCAGAGATGATGGTTGATATGAAACCATAAGACTCGATTGTTTGCCTGTGGTGTATAAAAAGCGAAAATCCAATTTCCAGCTAAAGGAGGATACTGAAAATCCAAAAGAGCAGTGAATGGAGCCAGATGAGATTGCAAAATTGTCGTAGACTAAGCCACAAACTAACAAATGTACACTCTGCAAGCTAGAATCATATATGCCATTCTCTCCCGCCTTCAATATCCCATCTGCTCGCGTGTAGCTAGACACTTCTTTGTACTAAGATTGCAAATATCGTCTTGGAAGGGGGACAGGGGTCGAGGTAGGTGCTGCCGACGAGGTTGTAACTCCAACCAGCCCAGCACAGGCTGTTGCATTCATATCCTAGACCAAGCCGTTAGGACAGACTCCATCGGATTTAGAGGGCGTCAGATGTGGAGAGATATTCTTACAGTGCAGCATTCTACATATTGAAATAAACATGAACCGCCGCTGCCGAAAAAAGCACCTTCAAAAAAGCACGATTAGCAGTGACATTACATCGCTCGGTCCCAATGAAGTGATGGAACAAAGTATGAGATAGACATACAGGCAAACGCTGCTTGAGACTCGCTGAAGATGCCTAACAACCCTTTGGGACAGCAAGCTAGTAGGATAGCTGGAAGATATGGACATGATTCGCTTGCTGATACACTTGCAGCGAACATGGCAATGATGGTTGCGTTAAGAATATTCATCTTCGATTTGGGTAACGAGATGCTGTGAATAGGAATCTAACTTGGGGGGAGTTGCGTGTTATATAAGCGCAGCACAGACACAGACTTACAAGTCTGTACGACTCCCTTCGCCGGATCACCAAAGTTTTCGAGGTCTGTGTGACGTTGATTTACACAATGTGGACGTATTGATGTCACAGAAGCGATAAATAATTACTCGATGCGACCATGTCTGCCGGAGGTGGGAAAGTCTAGCCCAGTGCCAAGATGTAACAAATCTGATACTATTCTGGTCCGCATCGCTCTCAACCATCCAATTCCAATTCGATAATAAGCCCCTCATAAGTCATTCTCCCTCTGATAACATACCAAATAACCGCAAATAGAGTGGTTGCTCCAAACATTAGCACACTCATATTCATTGTTTGCGGTGTCGGATTAACTTCCGGTGGCCAGAAGCTAAAGAACACTGTCACAGCCAGAAATGCGCAGGACATGAAATTGATGAATGTTCCGACTGCGCCGCGCAAATGCCATGGGCCCCAATTGAGTTCTGGTACAGAGTTCTCGTCGCCAATAATGATCTGCTGAGACACCGGCGTGTTGTAGGACATATAGCGTGTGCATCGCCGCCACAGTAGTAGCGCGCAAACGATGAAATAAGAAAGCAGGAGAGAAGAGACTGTAAGCGAGACAATATCGTTGAAGACAATCGGCCCGGCGAGATTGAGCAAGGCGAGGAGGCAAGAAATGGCTACCGTGACCCCTATGGCATTCATTGGTATGTGGTTCTTGCCATCAACCTAGGAGGTCATGTGTTAGCGTCACTGAAGAGTCGAAGCATTCGTCCTTACTTTGATCAGAGTCCTCCATCCTGGCACCCCACGATCTCTGGCAAACGCCCAAAGCATGCGAGAAGTTGCTGCCATGATACCGATAGCGGCGAATACTTGCATTAGAAGAAGGATTACGCTCATGATCATCGAGCCAGCCACCGATTGGGTAGTTTGCAAGAAGATTGCAATGAACGGGATTCCAATCGGCGAATTGAGAGCCGCATCGAGATCATCAGCACACAGCGTCGTCGCAATTAATGCTGCGAGTCCGAGCACACCATTGAAGGTAATGGAGATAAACATGCTCTTCGGGGAGACTTTGGCTGCGTTCCGTGTCTCCTCTGCCATGTGAATAACGGAATCTGACCCTAAGAAGTCAAAGACAGCACCATTTAGGATCGTCATGAATGCTAGCCCCTGAGTTGGCCATCCACCTTCATTGCCGAAGGTCGTGAAGATGACTTTAGCATCTGCATGATTGGATAGATATATCATCGGTACCAAAATGGCAAAGAAGCCCACAACATGCAGAATCATGCCAAGGGCTTCTACATGGGGGAGGAGATTGCCTAATATGGTATTGAAGAAGACTTTACTATGAGTCAGTTTGATAATGTACTCAGGTGGAATTCCCACAAACCAGAGAACGCCACCATGGCCCAGACCAACAGCACACCCTGCCAAAGTGTGGGCGAGGAAGTTGAATGTGCCAGAACAGTAAGGCCCTGAATGAGAGTTGCGCAAATGTATAATGTCGATGCGGTAACAGCTTGCCAGCCAATCAGGGTAATCCATCCTATTTTGTGAGTTCGATAGACTCTCGACACAACCAGCCATGACATGACTTACCTGTGATATAACTCAAAAACTTTCGATATGACTTTGGAGCAAGCATGGCAACCCAATAATATTGTCCTCCGCTAGTTGGCGCGCTAGAAGACGGTAAGTTTCTTATCTAGGATGCTGAATACCAGCATACATTGATGTCATTTCCCCTATTGTTGTGAACACACAAAGCATACCCGCCCATACTAATACGAATGAATAGATGGCACCTGCAGGTCCGCCACTGGCTCATTGATTAGCTTCCATCTAGTGTCCGTACTCTCTGGATCTTACTTTGGAAGGCAAAGTTCCAGAGTACTGCAAAACAGTTAGCATGAGCAAGTCCCGTGGTTGTATATGGAAAAGGCCTACAAGAATGTTGCTTCCCAAGTGATGATCACAGTACAAGCAAAACTCAGAATAGGCAGGAAGGTGAAATTCCGCTGTTTCGTGTCAGACATTTATTTGGTCACTTATCGAGGCTCCAGTGACAAACCTTAAGTACCTGTCGTTTTCCCAAGCGCGCCAAGTCTGCTGCGTCTCTCGTTGCGATCCTTTCTTCTCTCGATTTGTCGATCGTTGTGTCTTGCTCCAGCTCGTTGAGCCTGGTTCCTGGATCTGACAATTCATACGACTCGCCGGCCGTTGTTGACCGAAAGTCAGGAGTGCGGAACATTTTGACTGTGAAAGGAACAAATTCAACAGTGTGATGTGGGTGGACTCAAGAATTCAGCGCCCTTTTAGCAGCAGCGCGAGGTATTCCCTTTCTGTGTTAGACTACAGACCCAGAGCCACGGTTGAAATGCCACAGCCTGCGTTGCGTGCCAGAAGGACAAATGCTGACGGTGTCGCATGCAGTAAGTTCTCAAGTATCACAGCATATCATGAATATCCTTTCAATCTGAAGGAGGTAAAGATAGTCATTCCTAGGATCCTGCATATGCGAGGCCTTCTACCTCAGTGCAAGTGGACAAAAAGGGCAGGGATTGATATTTCACAACACCCATAAGCACTGGCTGCAGCTGCCGTACAACCACAAACGCAGGCGTTGCCGAAGCCTCCAATCAAGATTACGCCTGCCGCGCCACATCTTCATAATCTCCGGTCAGTCGTTTATTCTATTCTTGGGACGGTTCTTTTACTATCAACTACATACATAGACTTCTTATTGTTATTTCTTCCGGGCATGAAGCCTCTTTGCTCGAGATCAGTTGTTGTGAATTCTTCAAATTGGTCCTCAATACACTGTATACACTATCGCATGTATACACTTTCGCGCCCGGCATGGAGTTCATCCCTGAGAAACGACGTGTGGTCATCACCGACGAGAATCTAGGCCCCATTGTGAGCATTGTGTCAATTTTACTTCTGATATCAGTCGTTCTCATAGTACTCTCCCGGCTTTGTACTCGGTATTTTCTAAGACGACAGCTTTCGCTGGAAGATGGTCTCGTCTTCGCTGCAGCGGTATGTAGATAGCAACACAAGTTTCTGGTATGCACTGGCTCATTTTGTAGATTCTCAGCACTGGGGAGCTCGTGACAATCCTAGGCCTTGACTCGAACGGCCTTGGATCCCCGATCCAAACATTGTCCAAGGAACAGGTGCTTCGGTTTCAGAAGTACTCATATTCAACCGATGTGCTCTACGTGTTGAACATTGGGCTCACTGAGATATCTATCTTGCGTCTCATCTATAGTCTGACGCCGGTGAAGAACCAGAAGATCGTCGCCTTGATGGCCATTGGATTCACCACTTTATGGACTATAAGTAGTCTGTTTGCCCTACTTTTCCAATGCCATTTACCGCATGTCTGGCAGTTCATTGACAATAGATGTATCAATAAGGCGAGTAACTTCCGCCAGATTGAGTTGTCCCTGATCTAATAAAAGGAAAGGTTTCGTTCTGGATTTCCTATACTGTTGTCCACATCGTCACGGAGCTCGCTGTGATTTTCCTTTCTGTGGTATTGGTCTGGGATTCCAAGCTGTTAAGGGGCGTTAAATTACTGGTCGTATTTCCGTTCACACTTCGCATCCTGTAAGTTTACCCAGCCAAACAAAACACTTTTGAATCGATAGATAGTTGACCGATATACTGCAGTGTGCTTGTCCCCGCCATTGCACAAATCGCATACTTTGCACCTGCAATCAAGTCTCGTAACCCAACATTCGAACTGTGGACTTCCGTCCTCTGCGCACAAATCACACAGACAATTAGCATCACCACAGCATGCTTCATTCAATTAAGGCCCTTTATTACATCGCTCCATTCAGGGCTCTTACACAACAATGATGCGAGGCGACGCATAAGGCAGGACTCTCGAAGTGGCTCGGGTTACCTATCATTAGGCGGCAAAGGGCGCAATTGGAGCGACACTGGCAGGAGTGGCTCAGATGCACCTGCTCTGGCACCTGAAAGCAGGAATGTGTTTGTGGGTGGTAGAGATCCTTGGGGTCAATATGGAAAGGATCTGAATGAGTAAGTTACGAAGCAAGACCTCCTGAGTATGCATAAGATACAGCTGACAGGTAACTAGAAATTCAGATGGCAGCCCCACCAGTGCGCCGGCTGGACGGATATCACAAGTTATTCGGCAGACTACAAGCATTGCTGTCGAATTCTCTGACAGACATAAGCGCTAAGTGCACGATTTCATCTCAGGTGCGAGGCTCATTTTAATTGGATAGTCTTCGGTAATATCCCCATCAATGTAAATATCCTCCAATGTCTATTGGTGGGCAAAGATTGCAACCCCGTTTCCTGCATTTGGTGTCACCCAAGTTCATCTGCCGTTGAGCAAAATTGAACTGCCGTGAACAGATTGGGACGCAGACGGTACTACTGTCATACAATGCCGGCCCCAGCTGAGCCTCAGTATTTTCGGATCGATCGAATGACTGCACAGCAATTGTTGGTTCTCCAAACCAGAACACGAAGTACTGTAGCGATCAGCGATAAGAACTTCCAGGCCCTGGGAATTGGTTGCCACATACCGAGCCTTCTTTGACTATAAGGAAGCACGGGCATATGCACGACGCGGGCATGAACACAAGTAGAATATTGAATGCAGGTGATATATGCTGTTGGTTGGATTTAGCCGAGATAGTAATGATTGGGTACCGCAAACGTAATGGTGGTAAGACGATTAGGACAGCATGGCCATAAGCAGTAGGCTCGATATGGTATTAGATTTGCAAAAAATTAAACAGAAAAAAGACGAATAGAAAGTATGTTCGAGACTAAGGCATTGCATCAAGGCCTCGACGAAACAATGCCAGAGGGCCGAATGATACAAGAGCCTTCCCAAGATGCATTTGCTGTCGCTCCTGCCAATCCATTTAACTGGTCTAAAAAGCGAAAATGGATGGTCGTGGCAACTGTATCCTTCATGATGCTATTGAAGTAAGGTCAGCATCATTCGCAACGGTTCCCATACTGAAATTCTGTCAGCGTAGTTGCCACGATGGCTTGTACACCGGCTATTCCGCTAATACTGGATGAATTCAAGACACAAAATCAATCCTACTACGTCTTGCTTGTTAGCATTTGGGAGCCTGGAGAATGTTTTGGTCCATTTCTCATCGGGCCACTTGCAGATCACTTTGGAAGACTTCCTGTCTGGCATGTCTGCAACGTTGTCTATGTCGGTTGTACTCTTGTGTCTGGATTCAGTTCAAGCATCACCATGTTGCTAATTTTTCGCTTGCTGAATGGCTTTGTTGCTGCACCTCTGACTCTTGGTCCCGCAATAGTGAGTGACATGTTCTCTCCGGAACAAAGAGGCGGCGCTCTTGGACTCGCGCAATTATTACCCATGACCGGGTTGAGCTGGGGCCCAATCATTGCCAGCGCCGTTCTCGGAGGCGGGAGAAGCTGGAGATGGATATTCTGGGTCCTGGCGATCACCGTTGGAGGAGTTGAAGTTTGCTCACTCATTACTATGCCCGAGACACACAAGGATACTGTACGTCGAAGGTATAACAAAGTCGAATCGCTACCGGGTAGACCGAAGTTCAAGCTCGGTATGGTGTTGAGGGCATTCAAGATATGGGTTTTCTACCCTGTTGCATTTATCATCGCGTTTCATTGGGCAACCTTGTGGGGATTTGGATACATCATCTTCACGACTTTGACGGAGGTTTTTGAGAGCCAGTACAACATATTACCAGAAGATTCTGGTCTATACTGCCTAGGCTGGGGTGTGTCATCGAAGTTTGACAAGGAGACCAATAATCTAATTTACACCTTCACAGGACTCGGATATGCGCTCGGCCTATTGCTAGGTGGTATCCTATCTGACTGTTATGTCAAACGAAAGAAAGACTCGCGAGGGTCAACTCAAGCTCAAGACCGTATACCTCCGGCTATACCTAGCGGTCTCCTTGCTGCTTTTGGCCTCTTCCTCTACGGCTGGGCGGTCCAGACAAGAGTTCAATGGATGGCTCCGGTGATGGCTTCAGCTATCCAGAATTTTGGTACCGCCATAGTCTCGATCTCGTGCAAAGCATATCTTGTTGACGCATTTCCGGATTTTGCGGCATTGGCGATCGGGGCTGGATCTATATTGATGTCCTTAAGCGGCGCTCTGGTGCCTTTGGCAGGACCTTCACTGTATACTAGTCTTGGCTTGGGATGGGGCAACTCTCTTCTTGGCTTTATTGCCGTGGTACTGACGCCGCTGCCATTCCTAGTGTTAAAGCTCACCAAGCAGAATAAATCGCAAGGTAGCATAGCTAGACACCTTTAAGATAGATAGATATGTAAAGACATCAAGAGAATTCAAAGTACTATGAACAACTTATTATATTACTTTTACAGGTTATTTGAACCCGTTTCGTCTATACAACAAAACAGTTCTTAGATCAACTTCGGTTAAATAGATAGGCTAAATATAAGGGCTGGGAAAGTGGGGGCAAAGGACATAAAGGTTGCGTTCCCATCCGCTGTCGCTACGTAAAAATCCATATTGACATTTCGCCTTGTGTTCGTGCTGCATCATATCTGCGCCTTATTATCAATTTATTTTCGTGTAGATTACTCCTTGGTACAAGATCAGTCCGTTTCGTCACCGTAATGTCCGAAAACGCCGCAATCAAAGTATCTGAGACGTTGAGATTGAAACTCCTGGATGTAGGACTTCAAATAGGATCAAGCATCGAGACCAATAGTACCCAGTCACAGGCTCTTGTCTCGGTTGCTTGGGCAATCTTATCCGCTGCATATTCTGCGGATAATGAAGCATCCATCGACTTTCTCGGAGATGATCAGCGGGAAGGTGTTGTTCAAATTCAATTCCATGTTGACGATAAACACACGGTGAAGAACGTCTACAACCAAGTTTTGGAGGAATTAGCTGCAAAGAAGGATATAGAGTCTTCATTTCCGATCAGTTCTGACGGCTTGAAACTGTCGGAAGGCTTGGATGATTCCAATGCCGCCGAACACTTGAGAGAAGCAATTTCTGGTCTTCCACAGGTCCTCATCACAGCAAACTTCAACGTAGCAGTTTACGAACTTATTGAGGACTCTATCTATGATCTCGCTCTTATGTTGGACTCTGATGAGGGTGGCTTTCACCTTAGAGCTTGCTCTAAGTCTTCTTTCGCCGAGTCAGAATTGGACCTCATTCTGGCTAGGTGCAGAGACTTGATCATTCAGTTCCAAGGCGCATTATATAAGAAAATCCAAGAGTTGGATCTCTTAACCTCATCGGACAAGAACATTTTGAGTACCTTGAATGAGGATATGCCACCAGCAGAGCACGCTTTTGTTCACGAGCTCGTTGCTCAGCAAGCTAGGTTGACTCCTAACAACGAGGCTATCTGCTCATGGGATGGAAGCCTTACATACAAAGAGCTCGACCAGAAGGCGGTCGGCTTGGCCAAACACCTCATCCAGTGTGGCGTAACTGTTAGGAGTTGGGTCCCTCTGCTGTTTCAAAAGTCAAAGTGGCATATCGTCTCAGTATTGGCGGTAGGACTTCTTGGAACTATGATAGATAGAGAAGAGCTGACAAGTGACTTACAGGTGATGAAAACTGGCGCCGCTTTCGTTTCGTTGGACGTCACGATGCCAATTGGCCGCATTGCGAACATACTGAAGCAGCTTGACAACATACCTCTAGCTTTGACTTCGGCAGACCAACACCAGAAATTTCACGGAATTGTGGACTCAGTCGTTATCTTTGACGAGAAGTTGACAACTATAGATGTTCCAGAGATCATTCTACCAACGCCTGGAGTTGAGAATAGCATTCGGTACGACCAGCCTGTCTATATTATCTTCACATCGGGCTCAACAGGTAGGTTCTCCACCCAACAGATTTTCTGAATCACCCAATGCTGGTACGATTCATAGAAGGTTGTGCTAATTGACTGCATGCTAACTTGCTGTCAGGTATCCCAAAAGGAGCCATGATCGAACACAGCAATCTCACTACCGAAATAAAAGCACTTAACCAAGAACTCAAATCCACTCCTGATGTCCGCTCTTTTCAACTCAACATGTTGAATTTCGACTTCTGCATCTCCGAAATATTCTGCCCGTTGCTCTGTGGAGGCTGCGTCTGTATCCCTTCTGAGTGGTCCCGCTTCAACGACATTCCAGGAGCTATGGAGAGCTTGAATGCAAACTTCATCAGTCTTTCACCAACTCTTCTATCAACAATGTCCGTCATGGATTTTCCAAAGTTGAAAACTATCTTGTTGTCAGGAGAACGGGTATGGAAAGATCTTTCAGATTTGTGGATGGATGCCGGGAAGAGGGTACTGCATATGTACGGGCCAACGGAATGCACAGTCGCGTGCTGCTTTCTGGATACATGTATAAAAGCTCATTACACTGGTCTCATCGGAAATCCTTACGCGAGCAAGTTCTGGATTGTTGATCCCCTCAATAGCGATAAACTGCAATCAATCGGAGCTCCAGGCGAAATCTTAATTGAGGGCCCAACTGTAGGCAGAGGTTATCTCGGAGATCCTGAGAGGACAAAGGAGATTTTCATCGCCCCGCCAGCGTGGTTCTCTAGTATCTGCCAGCGAAGACCCTCTCGTTTCTACAAGACGGGAGACCTTGGTAAATTGACCAAGCATGGAGACTATGAGATCGTCGGCCGCAAAGACAGTCAGATAAAAGTTCGTGGATGGCGAGTCGAAGTTCTGGAGATCGAACATCAAATGCGCTTAGCAAGTGGGTTTGGCGCAGCAATCGAGGTACGCAATCCAACACTGGCTCCTGGGCAGGACCAGCTCGTGGCATTTCTGGAACTCCAGAAAGCTAGGGACCATGAAAGTACCACGGCCGATGTGGATGTGCTATGGGAAGAAATGAAGTCCAACGAAACCAAATTTTCGAAGATGATCGAGCAGGTAGAGAGTAGATTGCGCGACGTCCTACCAACTTACATGATCCCTTCCGCTTACATTCCAATCCGAACTTTTCCAATGACCAACATCTTCAAGTTGAATAGGAGGAAGTTGAAGGAAGTAGCAAACAAGCTGGACATTTCAGCAATTCGAAACTCGATGTCTGGTATACTGGATAAGTGAGCAGGCCACCTTTTCGGTGAAGCAGCCCGGCATCTTTTGACCATGGCGCTATCTCACCAGGATGAAAAGCAATTTATTACTCTTACGGTGTACCCCTGTATCAACCAAATGACGTGTTGAAAATATCCATCATGCTAAAGCATACGACATGCCAGTCGAGTGACCAATGATACTATGATTCGGAGAGAATGCATGCTAGGGTCTCTTGATATATCGAACTTTTCTCTCTGAACAATCTACATCTCATCGCTTATGTTCACCCTCTCACCTCTGCTTCCCGCTTTTGTTGTAGAACCTTCGAACACTCAAGAATCTGCTCTTGCCTCTGATACGGCAAGCGAGACATCTCTTTGAAAGCCTGCAACTTCTCCTTTCCACTCAAAGGGCGAGACATTTTCTCTGCTAACTCTTGCTCCTGAGGATCAAGCAAGTGGATCCGGCTATCTCGTGCTGTGATATTCCACCGCTTCTGGAGGTGGCCTTCAACCACAGTCTTCGGTACAATTGGCTCTGGTACTTCCTGTCCTAGTTCAGCGGCTTGTTCTTTTCGGTGTCTGTACTGAGTCCAAGGGGATGGTTCGGGTCGTAGGGCGGAATAAACCCGTGGGTTTGGGGGGATGATTTTAGGAGTGTCAATTAAAGCGGTTGGTGGGATGGTCCTTGACCTCTGATGTGGGATGTGCGTCCTTTTGGATCGCTTTTTCGGTTTCGTGGGGCTCTGGGGATATAATGGATTATGAAGTTGAGTCCACATTCTTGCATCGTCGGAACGCATTATCCGTTCAATGTAGCAAGCTTTGTTGACGAGATTGTCCAAGTCTATCGGGGGAACTGTTGTTGCGTTTCTTGCATGCCAAAGCTTGTTCATCAATGGGTAGAGAATACTGTATGCTGAAACTTCCAGATATCCAGTGGAGCCTGCACTGTGTAGATCTGAGGCCACATTGATCGTCCACGCGCTTCCACCGGAAGTAAGACTGCTCGATATTATGCTGAGGATCGAATCATGCAAGTCCGAATCCTGCGTCCTAGAATAAGCAAACTGAAGGAAATAGTCCCGTATATATGTACGTTGATCTATCATGGGCGGATCTCTCCAGCGATGATTCCAGAGTTTTCTTACCGAAAGCGGGTGATAGACAGACTTTTGTGGTTCTATACGACAGGCCACTATATTACGCGAGATAGCCAATCGTAATGGCATGACATCTGGATCCATGTACTGAAGAAGTAGATATATACCAAGCAAATTGATACTGTTTTGGCCATCCAATTCCTCAGTTGTGGGATAGAAAAAGTCGAACAGCAGAACCAAGTGTTGCCTAGGACAATGACTCGCAACAGACATGAGAAAAGACTCTGGGTATGATAATCCCAATTGAGAACAACGTGTACTTGTAGCAGCCGTGATGGATTTCATCTCTGCTTGAGCGGATTCGTATAGCGCTGGGTCATGCCAATAGTTTCCAAGGATATTCCTCGCTTCAGGAAGGTATATGCTGTGGAACTGATTCGTGATATCATCCATGTTTCTCCCATAAGACAGCATTCGCAGCATGCTATAAATCGCGGGTGAGGTTTGCTGTTGCGTGCGTGAAAGTGGCTTAGCCCGCATCTCGCAGAGACAAGAAGCTAAGAGGGCGAGATCGACATTAAAAGATGTCCCGGCAGTCAGAGAGATCAGTTGAGCCCACACTAAATCGGTTTGCAGAAACTCAACTACCGTTCTGTGAAGAAAGCCCACGATATTTGCACCCTTGCCTTCACCAAAGGAGAGTGGCGAATCGTGAACCTCAATCAATCCACGACATCGACTCCGCATTCGTCCTTCGATAGCCTCACATCGCCAGTCTTCCTCTTCCGGTGAAAGCTTGCTGCCAACTTGAGACTTAACCAACTTTGCGTAGTTTTCTTCTTCGGCAAAAGATAGCTGTAGTACAGTCATTGGATACTCTCCGTGTGTCTCTGAGCTGCGGAGAACTAGTTGAAGGAGTTTGGATCCTTGGTGTCGATGTCGTGGGCTCATGGATCCTAACATGTGAGCATAAAGACTCTCGAGTGTAGGTGGAAGTTCGTCTATCCTCTGCTGCAGATCCTCGATTGTATCGTAATCTTGCAGACCTTCACGAATACTCCTAACAACAAGTATGACCCAGAGGAGGACTCCTGCAGCTTTGGATGTGATGCTCTTGAACAAGTGATCGGTCGCTCCTTTTGTTGATCGCTCTAGTCTTTGTAGCAGTGGATCTTGGCCTAGTTGATCTTCTATATAGAGTTTGACATCCGAATAAGTCAGGTCTTGCAAGCGTAAGGTGGGGCAGCTTGAGAATGCTTGCACGCAAGCGGGAATAGGTCGACTCGACAATAGCACTTTCACAGACTCCGACGCCGTGGCTTGAGACAGTAGATCGCAGATGTCATTGTGGTCTCCGTCGTATTCATCAATCCCATCAATAATGAAGCATGTCTTCAGTCCTTGAGATGCGGAGGTGATGAATGTCGAGAAAGCGCGCTTCAACTCGCTAGATGACAACTCGATGTAACCAGAGGTTTCCTTCGTCAGGATTGAACGACAGACTTCGGGGAATAAAACCGGAATAAGATCTTCCCTGCGACCAAGTACTTCGAGAAGTAAAGAGCGAAGCAAACCCATCTGAGACTTTTGAATGGGGGTTCCCGCGTACCAGAAGAAGAAAGATCCAACGATAAGATCCGAGGATCCAGCCCACTGTCTTAGAGACTGCATGGTCCTAATGTCTTCTCGTATATACTTCATCAATGTAGACTTCCCCGAGCCAGCTTTGCCATTAACCCAGTAGCATCCTTTGCCAGACCTCAACCATCTGACTAGGCTGTCTGCCTCTTTCTCTGAAGGCATAGAGTCTTGATAGATCCATTGGAACGTCTTTTTGTGAGCTGGCGAAATAGCAGCCCGTCTATCTGCGATGCTGCGAAAATGCAAAGCATCTAAGATCTGCCTCGAAAACCCATTGAATTCGGTCGTTTGAAGTTCTGGAGCTGAAGATTCGGAGTAGCTAGTCATACCGTGTTTGTACGTGGTAGCTGTGTGTACGATCTTGTCCGTCGAGAAATTTGTTGAGAGTCTCGGAGCATTGTCTGCTGTGATGGCGCGGGAGTCACCGCCACGAGTCGTCAGAATCGCTGTTATTATCTCAGAGTGCTTTCTATCAGCGTCTGCACTAGCTTGTTCCCTTCGAAAACTTTCGTTTCTCTGATGAGCTTCAAGCTTTGAGCTCATAGACCCAAGATTGATCGATACTACCTCAACAATTTCTTTGTTGCTTTCAGCTAGTTGGTCAAGCCTTTCACTCTGCGTTGCATAGTAAGAATTAAGAAGTAATAACACTCGGAGAGTGAGCTGTCCTCGATAGTCGGTAAGCTTCTTTGCCAATTCGTCGATTCGCTCTTGCTTCCACATTGTTCTCAATGCAGTCTTGATATTTGTCCATTTGTCTGTCTTGTGGCTATTGATCGTGATCTTTTGCAAGCAGGTGGCCAATTCCTTAGCAATTTCATTGCATTGGTCTGTGAGATCGAGAAGTGCCTTCGCAGGTAGAAATTGTCAGCAATGATCAGGCTGCGCACGTGAAAATGATCGAAGACCGACCTGTGCTTCTCTTGTGAGCGGTAGATTTTGTGTCGTTACAGCCAGAAGTTGCCGTTTTAACGACGAATTGATTTCGATGAGATCATTGTTGAGCCCGGAGATATGTTTGACAGTGACGGATGAACCATTGTCCGCGATTTCCTTCGTATGACAGATGATCTTGGTGCCGAAGTCTAGGAATTGAGCAACTGATGCTGCAATACTCAAGGCTGACAGGGGGTCCATCGTCAAGGTAGTTTGTTGTGTTCAAGAAGGGTAATTGCAGTCTTCTTTGATTAAAGAGGTTCCTGACGGAGCCTTGCGAGGCTTAGATGGTCCACGATGCGCGCGGCTCTGCAATCATGTGTGTCGGGTGACAATTGGATAGGCATGCAGAGGGGCGGTGCACGGGCTGAAGTGCAACGTGGGGTGGGAAGACAGGGGTGCCATTTGCGCATCTGTGGCTGAGCTCTCTGGTACTCCTTGTCCCAATTGACAAATGAACATAAAGCTTATGAAGAAATTAGACGTCAGAAAGATGAGGTGTAGATGTAGAAGCATCTTTACCAAAGTAATTGTTCTTATCAAAAAGTTACAGATACTTGCTGAAAAGGAGCCAGAGTGAAGAAGAAAGCAGCATCTTACTAACCAGATTACTCTAAACATCGAGTTAAATAGGGAAACTATTATCAATGCAAGGAAAATCACGAATCTCTATGATGCATCAGAATTGGAACGTCAAGTGATATTATATCTTGTACTTATCAACATATATGTTGAATGTTTGCGACTCTCTTCACTACTTTACAAGATTGCCATAACCCCAACACCAGCAGCCAATAGCCCCCCAACAACTCCCACGCCTCTAGTCGCGGCCACATTGGTACTCTGGCTTGTACTGCCAGAACTTGTCGTAGAAACCGCACTCGCACTTCCTGTCCCCGAATCAGGAGGAATGCTCGTCGGTGTGTAAATATTTCCCTCTGTATTCGTCCAGCTAGTCAATCTCGCAGTTGCACTTCCTGTAATACTGCCTGGGGTGGCACTCGCAGTTTCCGTAAAGTAGTTGCTGACAGCCGTCATATTCGGGAACTTATCATGCCCCGGAGTCAACGGCGGGCTTAAACTCGCACTGGTGATGTTGGCAACACCAATAAGATTGGTGTAGGGTTGAAAAGGCGGGGTTGGAGCACATTCGGCTACACTGCGAGAAGATAGGTTGCCAGCAGCTTCTTGAGGTGTAATCAATTGGTATCCGTGAGCAAACAAGCAGTCATCGCAGCCAGCGGTGACTTCGAAGAATGAGCCATGGCACAGGCATTCTTGTTCGGCGAGGAAATCGTCCACGGTGGTTCCGTTGGCGATGCAGATAGCTCGAAGATACAATGCCTGTTCGCATGGAAAGGGAGAAAAGGCGAGTGAAGGGATCATCTCGTTGATTGAAAGTTTCAGTGCTATTGTCCTGGATTGATTGGTGTAAAGCGGGTAGCACATGGAATCAAGGTATATTCCGACGGGATCGTTGATCTCGCGATTGTGGAGTGAAGCGAGACAAAGCGAGAGGGATGCGCCAAGCCCAAGCGCAACGTTGAGAGCGTGCATAACGAACAACGAAATGAATTTTTGCTAGGTAAAGAGACCGTTTTGCGAATTGTTTGAGACCGACATCGAAGGGTAATTGCTGAGGGTTATGTACCTAGATATCCTGGAAGCCTTGCTGTGCCGCAATCTTAGATGCGCGATCTTCTTCGTATCCCAAGACTCTGCCAAGGAACTTGCAACATAGAGACGAATCGGAAAAATCGTTTCCCCGCACTTGCTTCTTAGGTTAGGCTCCGCCACTTGCCATTCATTCCTCTTCTGTTTGCAACACATTCAAAATTATTCACGTAAGTTACATCACAGAGCTGTCAATCGTTGAGATGCGATCTTTCGATCGCTCGCTTAGCTGTGCCACGAAAAAGGGGCGCAGTAAGTAAACTTCTTGACTCGGCTGATGTCATGTGAAGGGCTAATCCCGACTCATTCACACTTACCTAATTTCCTACTACTCCTTACCGTTTGTCTCCTCCACCATTCAACCAACCCAATTCATCACCAACAAATGAGAAAGAAGAGCCGTGTTCATCAAGCATTATGAAACTAATTGTAGCTGGCTCAACGGGCTTCGTCGGTAAAGAAGTCATTCGTCAAGCCCTCCGTTATCCGACCATCACGTCCGTGGTCGCCCTCGCACGCCGCACGATCACAGTTCCAGAGGATGCTGGTATTGATACCTCCAAGCTGAAATGCGTCGTCTGTGATGATTTTGAGAATTATTCTGAAGATGTCAAGAAGGAGCTCGTTGGTGCTGATGCTTGTATCTGGTAGGGTCGATCGTTTTCATGGCCCTTCATCGTCTGACTTGTTGGTTACAATAGGCTTGTTGCGATCACTCCCGCCAAGCTCAACACGATGCCATTTGCTGAAGTAGAGAAAATATGTCTCGATTATACCGTGAAGGGTATTGAAACGATGTCTCCAATAGCATCCAAGCCTTTCCGGTTCATTTATGTCAGTGGAGTCAACGCCGAGAGAGACCAAAATAAGAAGCCTTTTCTCATGGGCAACTACTCTTTGATGCGCGTAAGCTTGATTCGTTGCTCCTTTCTGAGTTGTTGATTGATGACATTTACAATATAGGGGAAAACAGAGAGTCTCGTGCTCGAGTATGCCAAGGAGTCTAGCGGTGCGGTGGAGGCGTGTGTCGCGAAACCTGGGCTGATCGATGCACCTGGACATTCAAACTTTGTGCAAGGGATTATGAAGTCGGTGTTGTGTGCTGTAGTTGGGCTTCCTAGAGTTGAGTTGAATCAGATTGCCAGTACATTGATACAGCAGGCAGTCACTGGCATTGAGAAGGAAACACTGTTGAACGAGGATCTAGTGAGGATTGGGTCTAAGGTCCTAGAAGAGCGGGGTCTTTCATCATAAAATCCCTTCCATATATGTCTGGGACAAGTCATGAAGCTTGCATTTCCTCCCACACTACCCCCACTGACCAACACCAACAATGTATACATGTCTCAGTCGATTCCGCGTGAGGCTCGACAACGCTAGACCAAAAATAAGGCAGTCCCAAGTTGACTCGTGGATGTCTATGGACCGGAAGCCGAGTGAACTGTGATGTGCAATATATGCATCATCTATGCATGCAGGAAGCATTACTCTTTGGTCAGGCGTCTCTACCCACCCTCATGCCAGGATCGCCCTGTCTGGATGACCACACCTCAGAATGGAGGATGGATGGGAGCCTCGTTGAGCCTCATCTCCCTCACGCCTCAAATCGGTCGTCTTTCTGGGGTCGATAGCACGACACGGAGACACAATATCTTCGCGGTACTTCACGACGTTGCACAGCTAGCTACACAAAATGAACCTCCAAAGTTCAGAGAAAGTTCATGTTTACGTCCCTGGGCTCGGCTCACAGCTCTACTTCGATCCGGCGACCAACTTCTTGGGCAAGGGTACCGCTGGTGAGGTTTTCCTTGCGAAAACTGAACAGGTGGGTATGAACTCGAGGGGAACTCAAGGGGAAGCACGATTGAATCGATAGTGGGGCTGAGCACGCTTTTACTGCAGATAAATATGATGGCAGAGGCGAAGACGTGGATGAAGAGAGTCTTACGTTGTAGTCTACAGAATGGTGGTCTTGCAATCACGAGGGTAACGAAATTTTGGTCGGATTTGGAGAAGTTGGACAGAGAAAAGGCAGATGGGATTTCAGATCTGTACGAAGAAATGGGCAGTGAGATCTGTACTCAGGTTGGGCCCGGGTCTTGCTCTATTGAGGAAATGGCAAAGTGGAGTGATAGACACCGTAGATAAAAATATGTCGTCGGGACAACTCTTTTTCCACCCACGCGCTGGTCTCTAATACGGAGAAAAGACTTTTCTTCTACAACGGATCAGGCAATTTAATATTGGTATTTAACATTGGTACCATGTAGCTTAGAGTGGAATGTTTCAGTACACTAACGTTGATGTTGGCATTTGCAAAGAAGTGAATCTCAATTTACCAGCAAACTACAAATTCACCCATCTCCACAACAAAGTGAATCTCCATCCAGCAACCCCAGATCCCCATTCACCATTTACAAAACAAAACACCCGAAAAGAAGATATATAACCCCCAACCCCTCCCCTTCTGTTATTTATTTAGTTATCGTCAAATTTTCGTTTATTACCAATTCTCCATTTACTGTCACAACTCCACTTACCGTCAACTCTCCACCTACTGTCATCAGACCAACCCCCTCAACATCCACACTCCAACCTTCCATTCTCAACCCAACCTTCCAACCCTTCCAAACCATCCAAACCCTCCATTCCATTCATACACACCCGCTCCCCGCTCCCCGTCCCCCCACCACCCGGGTCGGAGCCAAGCCAAGCCAAGCCACCAACATGAATTTTCGAGGAACACTCTCGCTGCTGTTTAACGAAGAGCGAGCGAGCGAGCGGCCGCGGGTGGCTGTTTTTATACCTCCCTCACCCCTCACTCCTCACTCCTCACTCCTACGTTCTACTTTCTGCCTCACAGCCTTGTCTTTCTTTCTTTCTTTCCTTGTTTTTTTGGGGGGGGGGTAGGTGAATGATTCGTGAATTGTTCACTTAGTACACGACAGATGGGGTGATGCACCTTTGCCTCCCTTCCCCTGAGCCATGCATGGCACTCCTCGACAAATCGGTGCCTGCCCCCCCCCCCCCCCCCCCCCCCCCCCCTTTCCTCCTTTTTTTTATTTGTGGGATTCTTCTCGTGATGTGAAGGGATAGGACTTAGTTTTGTTTTTCTTTGGTGGGGAAACGAGAATGAGATCCTTCTTCACCAGGGCTTCGAATCGAGGATTTTTGGAATCAGTGGCCGAGTTTTTTGGGCCAGGAGATGATGGCTGGGCTGGTGATTAGGAGGTGGGGTTCGTGGTTAGATGGATGGATGGATGGATGGATGGATGGCTTGGTGGGAGGATTGATGTTGTTGTTAGGGTGTGTTTGGTTGGTAAGTTGTTTTTTTGTTGTTAATTTGTATTTTGCTATTAAAGTGTATATTGTTGTTAAGTTGTATCTTGCTTATTCAGAGATGCAGTGATCGATATTGAGAACACTAATCCATATGACAAACGCAACAAGCAGACAGGCAGACATTTGCAAAGCTAACAAAGTCCCTTTCTCCATTCGTAACTTGATGTTAGTCATGAGTCGTAACAACTTCTGCGAGGTTTAGTGGTCGCTATGCAAGCTACATACCTTTTTGAAACAAGGCTGGTTATGTGTTAATAGAGGGAAATTTCCGTGTACTGAAATAGTAAGTCTCACAATATAAGGAATTCGAGGGTGCTGGGGAGAGAACAACAATTCGATTGATTGTGGTATTATAAACGCCTCGCAATGCAACGATATACTGACGAAACGATATCCAATCCTCCATGTACAAATTACCCCCAAACTAATAACCTCAGATATTCAAAAACGTGACCACTTTTCTCCACGCCGCAAAACACCCCACTAAGCCTCAACAGTAACAGTCGACCCCCCACTCCCCTTCCCCTCCCGACTCTCCAACGTCCCCATCCCCGCCGCCAACCTAGAAACCAAGACCTTACTCCGCAACGCACTCCGAATATCGCCCTCTGACCTCCCCTTCCACTCCCCAAACCCGCTCTCACTTAGTGGCCAAAACACCTTATTCTCCCCGCCCCCATCCCGTCCCTCGACCACGCGCCTAAAACTCGGCGCCGGCACCGCCATCAGCGTATCCAACTCACTGCCCAACTCCTCACAGTAATGATCAAGCGGTAAATCATTAACGTCGTTCCCGAACGGATTCTCGAGCTCGTTGCCGATGGCGGCGAGGCCGAGGATGATGTACGCTGCCGCGATGGTGCCTGGGATCGTGATCCATTTCAGCGAGCTGTAGAGTTGGAAGGGGAGGAGGTAGATGTAGAGGAGCACGATTTGGGAGATGAGGATGTTGTAGCCGATGGGGAGGGGCGTGGTGAGGACGCGTTCGGCGGAGGAGGCGGTGTCTGTTAGGGCTGCTAGGCAGGTTACTGTTTCTCTCTCTATCAGCTATCTTTTGTAGATTTTAGTAGAAGGGGAGGGGAAGGGGAGGGGGATATACGGATTTGGCCCTGCACGACGGGGCTGGCGAGGGATTTGTTGACGGTGACTTCTTCGACGTAGCAGGAGAGGTAGGTCAATATTTCCAAAGGCAGGTTTCCGAGCGGACGGTCGGCGCGCTTGATTTCCTTGCGCGGGTTACTGTTCGCCATGCTGAGGCCCAGGTATTCGCCGACTACTTTCCAGGGCGTCTTTTTCTTGACGATGAGGTGTTCTTCTTTGTGTGCTGATTTGGCGAATGTATCTAAATGACCGATCAGGGCCGTGATATCAGGGTAATGAGCGTATGGCTCAAAACGCAGTTTATGCTTCAATGAAACGGCGAAGGCGAGGATCAGGTTGATTGCGGTGATTTTGGACAAGAGATCCTCTTTCGCGCATTCCGGGCGTTCGGAGACGTGGACCCAGATGTAGCGGGCCAGGTTGCGGGACTGGACGGAGAGGGTGGCCCAGGATTTGCGGCCGTCGGAGTAACGCTCGTAGGCGGAGGAGGAGCGGAAGGAGAGGGCGAGACCGACGACGAAACCGAGGACGGTGAGCAGGATGCTGGAGACGGAGAGCTCGTAGACGAATTTCGAAAGGCAGGTTATGAGCGTGGACCAGATGGCGATGAAGGTTAAGGGGAGGATCATGCGCGGGGTCACGGAGCCGTGGATGCGCATGAAATAGGGGAGTTTGGAATGTTTGTCGAGATCGCGGGGTCCAACCTAGGTATATGTATTAGTAAGGATCGATTGGAGCTTTGGAAGGACGTACAAAGTAGGAATCAATGGCGGCGGGTTCGAAACGGCTGTGGCGGTGGAAACCTGACATTGGGGTCTGGGTACCGGTTACATTGACGTCGGCAAGGGATTTGGTCCATGTTGATTTTCGGGAATTGGGATTGTGGAAGTGTGGCACTTGTTGTTGTTCGTGGGAGGAGTACTCGTGGTCAGTTGCTGAAGGGGGTGCTTGTGAGACTGGTGCAATGCCACCTTCGTCCGCCATGATGGATGAGCTATTGTTTGTGTCGAGAATGGAGCAAGAGAAAAATAACCAAAAGGAGGAATGAGTGACAGATCACAGACAGTCACCAATTGGCGAAATGTGAGTGAGTGAAGATCTTGAGGGGAAGAAAAAGAATTGCGGAGTCGAAACAAGTGAGTGTGAACAGACTGTGGAGAAGAGAAGAGAAGAGAAGAGAAGAGGAAGCTATTATAAAAGAAAGAAAGAAAGATGACCTGGACCCCGAATAAAAGAAAATGGAAGCTCGCTTGAGCCTGGAGCTGATGTTGCCAAGATTTCGATTCAGGGGTCAACAAAGGGACCCCCGTCAGCTTACCACAGGAAAGTGGAGAAGCTTCACGTTTCCAAAACGTCTGCAAGTCATAAAAACCGAATCTGGACAACGAATGTCACCCGAACCATGCCTCTTCTGCTCGGATCTACCTTGTCTAGATCTCCCAGATACGGTATGTGGGTTGTGATAGGTACGCGGCTCACAGGGCGGAACATCTGCACGGGGATATTTACTTTAGTATACAACGTAGTACACGGGGCCAAGCACCACCGGCCAGGGGAAACGAAGAGCGGCTGAGCGGCTCGGTCCACTCGACGGTCCCCACGTCAAATTGCCACTGCAGTGAGATACACAACCGATACAGCGCCTAGTAGCATTGCGGAGCGGTAATTCGAAGTCATGCAATGTTGAGGAGCAGGATGAACACGTCGGACGAAGATGTAGTAGAATGTTTGGTGCTTTGATGCGGTTTGTGGGCGTTGGGCGGTGGTGGTGCCGCGGGACGGCGTTTTTCGACGTTGCATTTTCAGGGGTTTCAAGTCTCGAACATGTTTCACTCATCCCTGTCAGGAACCGGGAATATCTTCCACATGATCTGAAACTATCGTCAAATCAGACCCGTCAATCTTGGTCTGGTCATGGAAAAAAGGAATGAACGCAGTCTTCAGGCCTTGAATTGATCGTCGACGGGTATGGGCAGATCTTAAAGATGGTTTGTATCATATCTGAAATCGCCACGAATGGTTATAATGCCGATTAGAGGGTCCAAGTGGACGAAGAGGATCTGGGAATGCCAAGTGAGAAAAGTTTGTTGATCTGAAGAAATTATTGAAGTGATAATGCAGCTGTGCCTCATGCGATGGAAGTCTTTCTGCGCCGTGTTCATCTCCAATCACGGACGAGGAATCTATTTCCAGTTGAGGCCAAGACGGGGGCGAAAAGTCGGCCGCTTCAGCCTCATCAGAATGTTACAGCCTTGAATGTAAGGCGAGAGATATTTCAAGTTTCTGCCCTGTGTCCTCAGGCCATCATTCTCTTCTTCACATGCCGCCAGCTTGCTGACTCGAACCAATGCAGTCCAATCCATCCGCATTTCCCCATGATTTCACCCCCCGTCAGCCACAATTCCTTCTTCCCCCATTCGACGGATTCGCTCTCCAAGCCGCAGGAACATCGACCTCGGTCTTTTAGCTGGCTGCATTTCATGGTCATACGCACCACCAGACCTTTCACTTCAATGTGAGAACAGCAATGACTGAGTCCCGCCACAATCTCCTTCCATTCCGTGGCATGTTTTCTTTTGCACGCAGAACTCAACTTGTCATAGAATAGATTTCCCAAGTTCGAAACTTGTTCTTTTTTGGTTCTAGCATGGTTTGGCGGGGTCGTTTTCTTTCATCGACGTGCATGTGATTGATTATTCGAGCGCTTTGTTTGTAAGGCTAGTCCGGACAAACCTCCGAGTTCTGGCTTTCTTTCCCTCTGCATAGACAGATGTCAAGATGATAGGTATGGATCCGCGAGACAATGGGAAAGAATCTGTGCTGATGAGAAGATAGATCATGTTCTGGGTCGCCCCTCGGTGAAATTCCGCAAAATACAGGTGCTGGCAGTGGTCTCTTTCTGGTCTTTCTACCTCTTCAGGTACGTCCCAATCCTGCTACAAAAGACATAGCTGACATGTTCCAGAGGTCATAAACATGGTCCACCATACCTGCGAAAGGTATCTCGACGCCTCTCCTCCATCCTCACTCCATGGCAGACGGTCGTAATCACTCTCCTCTATCTCTACATTGCGCGGAATTTAGGAAAATTGGTTGGTCTTGAATGTCCGGAGCCACTTGCGAATCTCTACACTCGATCCTACTTCCGAGCAACATGGATTACGACAGCCATGGATGCAGGGTTCTGGACCGCCATGCGCATACGGAGGAAATGGATGCGGGATCTCTGCAGTATCGTCTTCACGGTCTACTACCTCATTGCGGCAGAGCAAGCAGATGAGAAGGTCAGAAAAGTTAGGGGCATGGTGACAGTGGATCATCTGCGTGTTAGTTGGAATAAGGGAACGACTCCGTACCTCAACTTCTTTACGACTCTGATGCGACCACGATTTATGAGATATCCTCCGAGGCAGATACGAATACCAAGACCGTCGAATAGTGATTATAAGGAGCCTGTCAATGCGTGGTTGTACTTTGATGGGCCGGTTTCTGCACTGAAGAATCATACCAAAGTGGTGTTGGATGTACCTGGTGGTGGATTTGTGGCAATGGATCCAAGAACGAACGATGACAAGTTATTTGCATGGGCTGGAAAGACCGGTTTGCCAGTGTTGAGTCTGGATTACCGAAAGGCACCAGAATTTCCATATCCTTACGCTCTAAACGAGTGTTTCGATGTCTACAGCACAATCATGACAAGTCGAGGTCGATGTTTAGGATTTTCTGGAGATGCTGTACCGAAGATCGTGATCACAGGTGACAGTGCAGGTGGGAATCTTGCAACTGCTCTCACTTTGATGATTGTCGAATCCGGCACAACCGAAACCAGACAATTCCTGGGTCAAAAGTCCCTACCCATCCCAGACGGTCTGGTTCTGATATATCCTGGCCTGGATATGAACATTGGAAACTGGATGTCCGACGAACAAATGTCCTTGATCAAAGACCGCAGAATGCGAAAAACGAATCGGACATTCATTCGTCAGAAGAGCATGCAATACACCATGGCAGCAGGAACACCACACCATTCCGACGAAGAAGAAAATACTCCTCCCAAAATCGCTTCCCCTCCCATAGTCACCAGTCCCGAAGCCGTACGCCCAACATCCATCACCCTCCCCTCCCCTCAATTCTCCACCGCAGCACCAACACTCCTCTCCCCAAGCATAGGTCGAAAACCCTCAATCACCCCTTCACCATCAGCATCGCACCACCCAGAACCACTCCAAACACGCCTCGCAATGTCCAGCATGATCTCGTATTTCAACGATCGGATTCTCTCTCCCGAAATGATGCGCGCCATGATCATCCTCTACATAGGCCCACACAACCGTCCCGATTTCTCCCAAGATTACCTCCTCTCCCCCATCCTGGCCCCCGATTCCCTCCTCGAGAAGTTCCCCAAAACGTATTTCTTAACAGGAGAACGCGATCCTTTAGTCGACGACACAGTTATCTTCGCCGGCCGCATACGGCGCGCAAAAGCGCAACGGCACGCGAGGGAACAGGCTCGAGATATTAGACTCCAGAAGGAATTCGATGATAGGGATGTCGTGGAAGTAGCGTTGATCCCGGGGATTAGCCATGGATTCTTACAATTCGTAGGTATTTTCCCAGAAGGATGGAAACACATCCATAGATGTGGCCGCTGGATCGAACATATTTTCGCCGTGGCAGAAGAAAGGGAACTTCAATCTGGGGCCCTGACTCCTGGAGCTGGAGGTAGTCATCATAATAGGAGGAGGACGGGAGAGAGTTCGGGAGACGAGGATCAGGGGTTGGAGATGACGATGGTTTCTCCGAAAGGGAAAGCGAAGGAGAAGGATAGGAAAGAGGAGAGGAAGAGGAAAGAGGCGCTGTTAAGGGAGCAGTTGAGGGAGAAGGAGAGGAGGAGGGGAGAGAGGTTGCAGAGGAAGAAGAGTATGGTTAGCCTTGCTAGCTCGGATGATTTGCTTGGGAGACGAATGTTAGGTCTCGCGGGTCCGTTGACCGGGAGCGGGGCCGGGGACGATGAGTTGTGAGGAAGTGGCTTAACTGGGACAGCGTTGGCGTAGGGGAAGCGGATTTGGAACATTCTGGGATAGCACATCAACTACAAACACAGTGCAAGTTTTGCTAAAGCAAGGAATGATTCACACTGCGTCCCTTCACGACGGCCCATTGATGGAAGTCTTCCACTATCATCCTTAAATCCCTTGCATAGCTACCCAAGCTACCACTTTTCTCTACCTATTCTATTGTCCTCCTACGCCCGAATCTCCCGACCAACGCATTGCATCGTACGCTGAAATCAAAATCACCACCACCACCACCACCTAAACAACAACACCAACACAATGGCTCCTCCGCTCCTCCTTCTTATCGCCCTTACAGCACCCCGGAATCGTGTCGGCGATCTCGCAGGTGTAGTTCCTTTCGTTGACGGGCACGTCGAAGGATGTTGGGAAGGCTTGGTAGCCTGTTTCGCGCGTCAATACAAATTCCTTGAATTAGAAAAAGAGTGAAACATACAATCTTTGCCTTCGAATTTGCCGTCTTTGACGCCGGAGGTGTAGACCGAATCACAGCAGGCCGGTGAGTAGGTGGGTTTGGTGCAGTGGAAGGCGAGGGCCGTGGTTGCTAGGAGGAGGGAGAGGAGGGAGGTGTGCATTTTGGGTTGATGCGAATTCGTGAACAGATAATTGATGAGAGTTACAGAGGGCGGGAAAGTATATATGAACTGCTCAATATGTACTACTCAATGTGTACTACTCCAAGCATTGTTGAACGGACATAGTGTACGGTGCAAGTGGTTAGGTAATGGTACTCCAGAAGTCACTCTTGGTCAAGTACTCATTTTGTCTGCTTCATTTGTTGATCCCCAGCTGAACAGTAGCGTTACTCTCAAGCAAGACATAGTAGGACCGCCTTGAAATGCCCGGAATGGTCATGCCACAAGAGATGAGATGATAGGTAGGTAAGAATTGAGGTTGATCGCGTGATATGGGAAAACAATCCACGCTCTGGTGGTGTTGAAACCCCTTGGTAGGTTTCATTGCTCTCAAATTAGTAGGATAACAAGCTCTTCTTCTTACAATGTCCCCCAAAAAAGTAGATAGGCACGGATTGAATTCTCAGTCACATGTCGAAATCCCCGCACTCCTCCGCCACATCCCTGCATCCATCTCAAGCCCAGAAGCAGCCTCAACGCCACATCCTTTTTCTCACTTCAACACACTCGTACTTGATCTACCATCCATTACCCAGCCCCAAAATGTCACCGAATCTTGTACCAACCCAACATCTCACAGCTCAAGACCTATCAGCTCGTACGACCCAACCTCTCCCGATCCTCCATTCGGCAGAGTAAATTGCGGCTAAAACCACGCCCGAATCCCGCATGCGATCAGCAGGCACCAAATCTCCTCACCCAATACGATGCATCAATTGTTCGTTCTTGACGTGCGCCAAGGGAATTTCTATATATGGGATGCGAGGACCCCTGGTGCAATACGAGAGGGACCTGCAGCGGGAGGAAAATCTTCATCTGAGCTTATTATTTATATTGAGACATATATTTATCTTTTCCTCTCTCTCCAACAGAAGAAAAACACATCTCTTATTAACAGAAAGCTTGTGTCTTCTTTAAACATTCGGATTTTTGGATATCGGCAATAGCAATTCACTCAAGATGTATTCATCCATCCCCATCTTCATGCTCGCCCTCGGTTGCGCAGCACAAGCACGTGTCCTCGCCTCGCCGGCGTCGAATACAACATCGACCCCGAGTCCTACAGCGTCGGCGATCGTGATTGCAGGATCTTGTGATCAGAATACGTTACAGTATTGCTGTCCACTCGTACAGCCTCAGGCCGGAGAAGGCAGTGTGGATTTCGCGACGGATTGTACGACTTCCTTCTTTCTTTCAAAGCAAAACAGGATACTAACCCTAATATAGGCAGACAAGGCAATTTACCAGCAAGTTATGATTGCTTTTATGCTTTTGAGGATATTTGCTGTCAGGTATGTCCCAAAAGATCACGAGGAATTGAAAGCACAAATTGACAAGATCAAGGGATCACCAGACGAAAATGGAAATACCTGCGAGATCGTACCTCCAGCCGGAGATATCTGTGCACCCGGCGCTGCGGGAACGATCCAGTCGCTTGGTGCGGTTGTGGGAGCGAGTACTGTGACTGAGACTGTGGATTGTGCTACCGCGTCGAGTACGAGTAGTGCTGCTAGTACGACAGCGACTACGACTGTGGTATCGAATTCGGCGCCGGCTACTACTTCACCGGCGATGATGAGGAGGAGGGGTTAAGATGGTGTGAGTTGGGTGGCTCTGTGATGGATGATCAAAACCCCGGAGTTGGGCTCAGGATGATTTGTGGTGGCAGCGAAAAGTCTTTAATCGTGGGTTGGAGTGGCTTGTTGCAAAAAGCTTGAGGAGAGAGAAAACTGGAGTCAATTGTCAGCTGAACTCAGACAGTCCTTACCACTTATATTAATTAATTAATGAAATCAAAATACCACATATAATAGAAAGCAGAGGCCGCAATGATTACGAAAGAAAACTCATTTCTGCATTTTGCCTTCTAAAACTCTGGGCGATTCAAACAAAAACCACTCTCCTCCACTTCAAATGTAACCTATTAACCTGATTTTCATCTCCATCCATCCTCATATCCTCCTCCAACTCCTCATCTGGACGTAAATACCTCCACATTCTCTTCCCACCTCCTCTCCCACCACCCCATAACTCCCTCGCCACCTCCGCAATCTCATACTCCCACTGAATCCCATTCCCTGCTCCCTCATAAAAACATCAACCCAAACCAGCACTTTCCAACACCAACTCAAATACTTCACCAATTCCTCCCTATTCCTCGCATCCAGCGGATCATTCGCCACCGGTAGCCTCCTCTCTACCTTGAACCCCGCAAATTCTAGAACTTGAAGCGAAAGTTCAGCAGGTAGCCCTTTAAAACGAAGATACCCCAACACCATCTCAACATCCTCCGAAACCGGCAAATAAGCCCCAGCACCTCCCCTCACAGGCATCCCCGGAACAACAGGCCTAAACCACCACCTCCCAGCCCCAGGACTCGCCCACCTCGTCCCATCAAACGCCCTCTCGCTCACCCCATAAAACAGTCGATGCGGATACGTATGCACATCAAACCCCCTCTCCCTCATCCCCGTACACCGACTCAACACCCTCTCCCAGCTCACCATGCCCCTATAATCCACTTCCTCCTCGCTATACACCGCCCCCGCCCTCTTTTTTTTCTCCGCCACAAACTCTCTCTTCGCCTCTTCATCCCAGGTTTTCAGGGTGTAGGTAGGTAGATAATGTTCAGGAATATGTAACTCATCAACTCCGCGACCCCAAAGCCGAGCCCGCATTCCCAGGGAACGTCCCAAGTTTCACGGAACTTTACTTCAGGATGAGCCGCGATGTTTAGCAAAGTGGCGTGCTCGCCGTGGAGGAGCAGGGTTTTTGGCCAGTTCGACGACGGAGCTGTGGGATGAGGTGTAGCAGCAGCAATTGGGGTCAGGTGGTCAGGCGGCAGTTTGGTTCTGTGATCCAGATGTGCATCTTTCTATCTTCGATAGGCAGAGGGCAGAAGCAACCACTTGAGTTGGGGGGGATGTTTTACAAGTCTTGCCTCCGGATTCCCGGCACGCGAGGTTGGTGGATGTGGTGCGGTAGTAGTGGGAGACTGTTTTCGCGATTTTTCGCGGCGGTGCGGTCTGAGATGATGAGGGAGGAGGGGGAGGGGGAGGGGATCGGGGTGGGAGATGGGTGTTTGGAGCGCTCGGTCGAGGAGAATGTGCGGATGGTACGGGCGAAGATGGATGCGAAGTGGGCTAGTTCGCCGGCTTGGGTGGGGAGGTAGCGGGGGTAGAGGTTTGTGTGCCCGGAGGGTTTGCGTGAGGTGGGGGTTAGTTTTAGGTGGGTTGAGAGGAGGGTCCAGGGGATGTGGGTGTTGTGTGCCATTATTGTGGTGAGGATTGGAGGTGGATTTGAGTTGGTGATCTGTCTTGAGAATGAAGGCGGAGATAGATATCTAGAGTTGATGTGTGGAGGTGAGTTGTGGTTGATCGGGGAAGAGTCATGGATGAATGCGCCACACCTCGCTAAAGCCCCTGTTTCCACACCACCTGAATAGATGATAGATATAGGAGCTTTACGCACTGGACCCTTTAATTGGTGCGGACATTCTTGAGACGAAAAGAGAGACCGAACCTCTGTGTGTGTTGGAAGGTACGTGGGAGCTTGGCAGCAACAAAGCTCATTGCCAACAATATGTTTAAAGTGCTTGGGCAGTCAGTAAAGGATTTCTGTTTGCCGCGGAATGGATTCACGCCATTGGTTTGTTGAGAAAATGAGTTTCTTAATCGACAACGGTTGAAGAGTTGTAATGCACCTGTCGAAACTGGGCGAGACCGTGCACTGGCCAAACCAAAGAATCCGGTGTCTGTCTTAGCTTCTTGGGGCACGGTTACGTCGATCTCTGCTTGACGTTTCCGTGAACACTTTCCATATTGTCGGAAGAAGAGGTTGTTACTTTGTGGTGCAGAAAGAGAAACACGGAGCGACTTGTACTTATACGCATGGATCAACAGTCGGATTGCGATCGATTAGCTGTTGAGTTACTCATTCTCATTCACTGTTGCATTCGAGTTTGTCTCTTTCCATTTTGGTCACTCTGTCGCATTCCCGCTTTAATTCCGACTTTCCATCCGTCTGTTTTAGTTAGTTAACTCAGCGAAGTAGATTCCCTGAGTTAAAGAGTGGGAAAATTCACAGCTTGTTAGTGAGTTCGTAGTCATTTCCTCACAGAAGTAGAAAAGCTCATGCTTTTGTGCCAGAAGTCGATCTTTGCAGAGAAATTCTTTATTTATACAAGCCAAGACTTTCAGAATTCTAGATTGCTCCATCAAAATAATTCATTGTGTTTCTGGATTGTCTGCTACTTTGACGCAAATGCTTCGGTTAGCAGTACTTTAACCCTAGACAAGATAAATACTACACTATGCGAATTCTACCAGTAATAAGTTAAACGTTATTTGAATATTCTCGAAACATGCTGAATTGCGGATTTGCGGCTTAAGAGTATTCGCAACAGCTGGACTTGAGAGAAGATGAAATGTTTCTCCTCGTTGAACTGTTTTCGAATCCTCATTGAATACAAATACAGGAAGGTCAGAGAAATATAGAAGCTCAAATAGCTGCACGGAGCTCGCCACCACATAAGGTCGTAAATTCACACCCACGACAACAATCGAGCCACACCCATGGCACAAGCGAGGCTTCCTGAATAAATATATAATAACCAAGGTACTAGCTCCTCAGCATCAAAACCAAATATTCTCTTCACCCATCTTCATCACAATTCGACACGAACATCTTGAAGTTCGCAAGTCTACGCAACCTTCTTCAATACTATCGAAAATCACCACCTTTCAACATGGCCGTTGACCGCAAGTTTACCATCCTCAACCCAACACTTCTAGCTAACAACCATGTCAGACTCAAAGATTCCCATTACTCTCCCAGTCCCAGTCGACGATGGACTTACCTCTCACCTCCTAGGATCTCTCGTTGACAAAGACTTGGTTTTGACATCAACCAAGGATGAGTTCATCAAGCTGAGCGCCTTGCCCGGTCTCACGATCCTGTTCTGCTTTCCTCGTACTGGCGCCTCTGGCGAGACCCCTTCGCAAGAATGGAACAACACACCTGGCGCACGTGGCTGCACGGCTGAGGCGTCCTCCTACCGCGATGACTACTCGACGCTCAAGGACTTGGGCGTTAGCGCAGTCTTCGGCTTGAGCACACAAGACACTGCATTTCAAAAGGAGACCAAGGAGCGATTGAAGTTGCCATATGATTTGCTGAGCGACGAGAAGCTTGAGTTTGTGGAGGCTCTGAAGATGCCGATCTTTGAATGGGAGGGGAAACCTTTGATCAAGAGATGCACAATTGCGCTCAGAGATGGGAAGATTGAGCATGTTTGGTACCCGGTTTTCCCGTCCAACGAGAACTCTACTGAGGTAGCCAAATGGCTGAAGACCACCAAGAAAGACTAGGGACAACATGTAGACATATGGATTTGCAGTAAGGTGGTGTAATTGGGACACTCTTCACTCTTTACAGTTTTTGTTGTTATGTCATCGCTTGCAGCCTCGCAATTAGTGACAAGTGTTTTCTTGTCACCAAGATCTTACCAGTCTTTGCATGCAATGTGGTATTTTTGTCTTCTATACTTGTAAATATCTCTTCTCTGTCAGTTCTCAGACGTCAAATGCTTTGGTAACTAGCTTTCTGCTGGCAAATCATTAACCTTTACCCGATACCTCTTTTCTGCGCACTTCCATACCCCATCCTCGTTGCGTCTATCCAAGGTCTTCAAGCTTGGTAACAGCAGCCTCGAGAACTCATCGCTTGCCTCCCTTGCAACCAAGGTCGGCAAATGATCAATACTGACCACCGTTAGTTCTGGGCCATCGCCATCCAGCTGTACCGGGAGTGTACGCTTGATGAATGTGCTGTACTCAGTGTAGATTGGCACAGGATTGTGGGCGTTGTTTGGATCACAGCTGACGTCGCAAACCACTCGAAGCTTTCGTCCAGGTTCGGACAGTGATTTGACGTTCACGAAAGGAGGAAAACGTGTCGCACCAAGATAGATGCAGTTGATGAAGACATCTGAGGTTGCAATCTCTGGGAATGGGCCACCTCGAGCAGTTTCGGCCATATCCCAATTGAGAATGGAGGATTCAGGAACACCGGCTGCGAGGCAGAAATCGCGAGCTCCAGTGCCGCAGCGGCCAAGAGCACCGATGATAATGACGCGAGGCTGATGACCAGAATTATGCGGGAGAGCAGAGGATACACCAGCCTTGACTGATTCAACCAAGGCGGGGGCGGATGGAAAGAGAGGAACGGTGCCGAGAGGAGGGCCGCCTGGGTGGACAACTTGATGGGACCAGGCCATGAGAGAAACTGCGGCGCCAGCATAGCCAGCATAGTATCCAAAGGCAGCAACTCGACGACCGTCCTCTCCAGTCAAGAATTCGATGTCATAAAGGATGCCTCCACAATGGGCGAAGCGAGAAAGGTATGCTGCCCACCCGTCTTGCTCCTTATAGCAATGGCCAAATTGGATGTGCGAGTGGGGAAGAGGGCCTAAACGAAAGTGTAGTAATTAGCGATGGGGCCGTGAACTTGGTAGGCATGGTGGTCACTCACTGCCATCATCAGGAAGCTCTTTCAAGCCCACAAAGATATGATCCTTGGGAGCACTTGGCCAGGAGCCCTCCGGCACCAATGTTGCACCGACCGCCTCGAATTCTTCGTCCCTGTAAATGCGTCCGGAGCTGCGTTTAACATTGATACGATAGCCTGCCCCAAGAAGGGCCTTGGCGGAGGTAGGAGATACTGAATGGGGATGTTAGTCGTAGTAGCAAACACACACACACACAGAGAGAGAGAGAGAGAGAGGGAGAGAGAGGTTGCTCGATTGACAGTAGGGGCATACATACGAGCTGAGCGACGCTCGAGAGCTTTAGTCTCAGAGCGAAGGTGAATGTTTGTAGGTGTCGTGTGAGCCATGATTGCTGTTTTGCCTGCACCGAATGGTCACCGAGAGGCGTTCCAGGGTACCGCTGTGCAGTATTCTCTTGTGGATAAAGAGTGGCCGAACATATGGAAGTTTTTATACGGTGTATAGGGGGTGGTAACACACGACGCACGGAAAGGCTTGCCTGTTGAGTTACCCACTGATCACCAACCGGAGCAGGATGGGACGCGCTCCGATTCGGCTCGGCACAGCCTAGAGCATGGAGTCTTGATGGGTAGGCACGAAGAGCTTAGGTATCACAGGATACAGATGGGATACTAGCAGGCTCACGGATACTCGTATGGTATAGAGAGAACTTGACAACAGTCGAAATCTTGGCAACAATCAACAACACAATAAGAGAATCCCCGTTGCTAATTTCAAAACCGAGTTTCCGAAGAACTGTCAGTCACCTCACTTTCCTCTCAGCCTGGATACTGCAGATGAAAACTTGTATTAATGATTTAGAAGAATGACTATTACTATCTTAGCCTCTCTAGTAGACTGCATATTCCCTTAAGCTATTTCCAAAGTCTACGCCCCGCCGTGAACGATTCATGATGAGAACAAACATCCTCGATACTTCATCATACCTGTTTTATCTGCCATAGATCGTTTCCGAGACCAGACATTCTTAGTCTATGGGGATACTGTTACTAACTGTCATTGTTTTCTTGCCATTGAAGCCGCACATACAGTTTCCCCACGTCGAAATTCTCACTGAGATCTAGCATTCTGGGATTATGAGGCTTTGAAACTTTATCCCAGCCGCTTCATCATTGAGGAAGATGTCTCAAGTGCCATATTTTCTTCGTTTTGGAAGTGTGGAAGTGGAGTTTTGTCAATTGTGGTAAAAGGGACTTTTGGGGCCATGCTGATCGGACTTGTTGGTTCGGTTTTGATGGGGATGGTTTTCGGAGCCGAAGGTGTTGCGGAGGCGATAAGAGGAAGCGAGTCGCTTAGGGATTAGAGAGGGGGTTGTGGGTGCAGGGACCAGTACCGTAAGCTCCCTCCAACAGTGTCACACAGCATCATCGCATCCTCTTCTACCCAGCCAATCCTCTCTTCTAATAATGTTTTACAGGCTGCGAAGGGAGGGAGAGGGGCAGGGAAAGCACTTATTAAAGCCTCACAGAGCGCCTTCGTGACGCGTCATTCAACTCACCCCCTTCTTCGATAGCATACGATAAAATGCGAGGTCACTGCGCCTTGAATATGGGAATGCGCGAAAATGTCGAGCTCGACGAGTGAGCCAATGTATGCCCTTTAGAGGGTCCTTAGGAAGGGCAAAGGACTCGTCGCTACACGAAAGATTTATAGGGGTACACGCATTTTCTTCGAAGAGCTTATTGTTAGAGTGCTTGAAGCTATGCTTGATAGCCAGACTTTTTTAGTATTTATATGTAGGTAAGTCGATGCGTTTATCGCGGACTAATGACAAGTTTTTCTTTCTATGCATAATATTTACGCCGACGGTTTTGGCTCGCGGTACCTTGGAATTATCCGGACGAACGTTTTCTCCTTTGGAGATAATGTGAGGGAAAAAGATATCTTCCTTGATGTATGTCGTATTAATTATGTTTGTGATAATAACGTTTAGAGGAGCTGGAACGATAGTATTAAGCGGTATACTATCCATGCATTGCGAGATATCGAGAAAAGTTAGGAGATTACAATTTACTACCTTGGAGTTTTTAATAGCCGCAAAGATCGCTAAGAAGCTTTTTGAAGAAAATTTGCGTTTACTTGCTCGTGTCGTTTTTGTTCCTTGCCGCTAGATCAAAGTAAAGAAAGCGATAGAAGGCTGGATGAGATCTTTAAGTTGGAAAGTTTTATCGGGGAAGATGGCTTAATAAGAATCTTGTTAGTTTTATTGTAAAAGCTTTGATATGTTGATGAATAGATTTGTCTTTATAATAAATAAGGGCCGGATAATAATGACTTGCTAAAGGCATTTTTCGACGCCGCACAAATTGCTATCGCTAGGGCACAAATCTTTATTAGGCGGGCGGTGCTTGGATGAATTATCCTCGAAGGCGACGACAGCTCTAACGTGCTCTAATACAAGGCCCTGACGCAGGATTTCTCGAAGCACGAGTTATATGGGATGTTGATAAAGTAGAAGACTGCCGTAAATAACGTTCTTTAAGGACTTAACCCGAAAGAATTGGATAATTGGTTATAGAAGAAGGAAAAGCTAAAACGACCCGGCTAGCCAGTAGACTTTCGTAATCGAGCGATTTTCCCGGGTTTCAATGACTTACCAGACGAGAATAATGTTAGTCTCAATTTCTATGCAAGCAATCACGAGTTTACGTACCAACCACGGCAACATTTGTTGTTCCTGGCCGAGATCGTCGACTTCCGTACATTGGTTCGTCTGCAGATGGACATCAAGGATATTGACGGTAGGATGATCCCGCTGTTCTTCTACACGGACGGGCGGGGCAGTGAGTTGGCGCCTGCACAGGTTTGGAAAGGGTACACCGCTGCGATTCTCTACGCGCAGCGTCACACATTCATGACCTCTGAAAGGGGAAATCCGTCATGAAGAGCACACGAATATCAAGGTACGATTACTATTGTTTTCAAGACCACAAACTCAGTTTATGTTTCTAACAACATGTCCCCACCAGATATTTCCACTATCCCTAAACAGTTTGCTAGCGTTGAGCGGCCGGGTCCAACAATTCTCGACGGAAATGAATGGTACAAGACCCTGTCACGGCTGCGGTAAGCGGGCAGCCTCCTTGATGAAGTGTACCAGGTGCTCACTCTTCTGGTACTGCAACGGGGTAAGCGTGTCATCTGAGCTCATCGTCTCTCGCTAGGATGCTAATTTTATTATAACAAGGCCTGTCAGAGCGCTGGCTGGAGTGAAAAATGCCACAAGGCAGACTGCAAGCTTCTCAAGGATTCCGATTTGAATGGATTGATTTCCCTTAAGGGGGATAATTTTGAAGGCCATGTTGGATTTCCCTTGAATACTGCACGACGAATCTGTCACGGTGAGGCTGTTGGTTGAAGCTTTAGATATAGATAGTCTGTGCCGGGATTTTTATTATTATCAAGATGTGTATTCTTTAGCCACACCCAAAGAGTATCTGAATCTTTATTACTGTGCAAAGTCAATTTCCCCAGTCTCCGCGCCTCTGTAGTCATCAAGAGGAACTGTATCTTGACCACTCATCTGTACTCCAGAGCCAGTTTTCAAGATCCTCTCCGCATATCCCCCGAGGAGCCTCCCAGCTATCGTCATAGCACTTCATACTCTTACCATACAGGTGGTAGTCCACGGGTCGCTCAGCGAGGTGCTTGAACTCGATCGTTGTCGGGTTGTCATCGCCCGCAAGCACCTTTCGAGCGGCATACGCTCTCTCCGCGAAGACCTTGGCTCGGGCCTTGTCCCCGACCATGGCTGCGATCTGGAAGGCAATGAAGCACGCCCGCGCGATGCTTATGTCACAGATTCCCTGCACTTCTAGCAACTCGAATATCTGGTGTACCTGGCTGAGAGATTTGGCAGGGTGATCGAGGACCTGGTCCAGGTCGGTGGCAGCATCTTCGATAGACCGGACCTGGTCCAGTCTATAGTCACTATCGTTGCGTGCAGTCAGCGGTAGGGAGCAGAGTTCGCATACACAGGCAAAGGAGAACGCTTCCATCAGATGGCGCTGGCGCTCTGCGTAGCCTATCGAGACGCCACTTATATATGAAATGGTGATCTCATGATCAGCATCGATATCGCGCAGGGCGTGTACGGTCATATGGCCGAGATCATCGTTCCATGCGTGCTGCGCGTTGGGCTGGCACGAGTGGTTGATGCGTGATGCTTCGAGGAACAGTCCGCCGCTGTTGCTCGCGCCGAGCGGCAACATATTTGTCATAACGATGCCCAGTACGGGGGTGCACCTACGTCCTTGCACATTCTGTAGCGCGAAGAAGGCCCGCTGCTGGTCTTTCGTGAGGCTCTTAACTTCTCGTAAGACGATGGTCTCTGCGGAACTGATGTCTCCAGTGGAATCGGGCGTTTTGAGGAGCGGCACCTCCAGCAGTATACGTGTACCCTTGGAGATCTTGGAAGCAGCAACGAAGCCCCGTCCTTTGCCCGTGATGGGTTTGATCGTGTATAGTCCGTCGCGGCTAGCTGGCACGTCAGCCATCCTATCCGTTCCATCGCCACCTTGCTCCTCGTCCTGTATATTTCTTTCTCCCCGCTCTCCCTCGTCTGGCTGCTTGTGCTCCCTTATTTTCCTGCGCGTAGCGTAAATCTCATTCCAATTGTAGCAACCGGAATGGCGAATCTGCGGGCCAAACTCGTTCACCTCATGCCAAAAGTAAACGCGGTCCCCCAGCCATCGCTTCGCGATCTTGCAGACTCCTCGGATATAAGGCTCAGCGAGTGACCTGCCGCTAATCTTGGAGCTGAACCGCAGAAAGTGCTCACATTGGCGCGGCAAGTGTGGGTGTTCGCCAACCTCGAAGTCAATGTAGGATTCCTCCGACTCGGCGTTTACACGCAAGACGCTGCCGCCACCACTCTGATTTGTATCATCGCTACCCCGTGGCCCGTAAGTGTCCACCAACTCGCGTAGGAAGAGCTCGTACTGCTCCTGGTTTGCCTTCGTGCGCTCCAGAGGAGGGTAGATATCAAAGCCGCAGTCGATACCCATCTCGCGTGGTTAAGTCGTAGTTTCGAGCAATAGAAAAGAGCTTCATAACCTATTTTAATCACTACCTATTCTAGAATGCTCAATAAATGCTATTATCAAGAGGAAGTAGCAAACCAGGAGATGCCAACTCGAGGATTCTTGCGCTCCGTCACTGCCCACCTACAGGTCGCTCGTTGTCGCACAAGGCCGGCGCATAGCGCAGTTTGGCCAATCGTCAGCCACAAGCTTTGGCAAATGATTACATAAGTGAAATTACATCATCAACTTCTAACTCGGATTTCTTTCAATCTTATACAATACTCGGGAATAGTCATTTGGAATTTTAACGAGAGGAATAAGGGCCTACCAAAATCCCGGTAGTTATATCAGACTGGATTTCTTTCACTATTCTTCCCCGGTTTTTTCTAACTAATGAAAAACTTCACTAATAATTAACTTTAATTTAAAAAAACGCCTTTCAAATTTCCCCTCGCTTTCTTTTTCGCTAACAAATCCGCGTTTCCCACACAGCTATGCTTCCATCCTTGCTCCCACTACCTTGATGTTCCTCACAGCCGAAAACCTTCGGGTCGTATAAAGCACCTCTGAAGAAGAGATAGATGTTACGGCATGGTTTTCCGTCTTTTGTGTCAAGAGAGAGGCAGCGGTATTCTTCGCCTTTATAGCCTTCTGTGTATATATTCGGTTGTTTGGATTGGTTGAATGGTTTGCCACGCGAAGGTCATTAGCTTGGGGTTGATTGTTATGTTGGTGTTTTGGAACTTACTTTGGAATTGTGGGGTTGGCTTTCCATTCAGCAAATCTTTCAGCCATTGTCTTTGGCTGAGCTTTTCTGGGGAAAGATCGTTAGTATGAGTTAGATTATTAGTTTGATGTTTAACTTACACTGGCTTTACTGCTTCTACCTTTTTAGCGACTTTCTTGGTGGTTTTCTTTGGCTTGGCTTTTCTGAGAGAAGTTTATTAGTAAAGTATATCATCACCTTAATGTTGAACTTACACTGGTTTTGCTGCCTTAGCTACCATTTCAGCTACTTTCTCAGTCGTCGTCTTTGGCTTGGTGATTTTGCTGCCAAGGATGTTAGAGTAGCTCGAATCATTGAATGCTATTCTAACTGGACTTACCTTGGCTTTGTTGCCTTAGTCACTTTACCGGAGCTCCTGGTAATTATTTTATGGCCAGCAATCTTGGTTTTGATGCGTGAGCTGGGCGTCCAATCGTTATCTGGGGCTCGTCTTGGCATTTTTGCAATTCGAATTGGTATTCGAGTTCACTGATGTCCTATTGATTGCGGAGAAATAGTGATGATCTCGAGCGTCGTTTACATTCTCGGTCAAATACTCTTTTTAGACAAAGAATACTTGGCTGAAGGGGTATATTTCATCCTTTGGCAATCAAGTCCGGATGCGGGCAAAATTGTGGAGTCAAAGAATAGAATAAAGCAGAGTCGTCTTGAAGGCTTCCAGATACAGTCTAGTTGTGACGAGATCTTGAAGATTCGAAAGAAAGTCTTGAGATAGTATTATTAATTGTTTTTCTTATTTTTGAGTCCTGTACACAGCTAGTAAGCTTGCTGCTCTTGCTCGGGCATTCATCGCCTTCGCTTAGTCGACTCGCCTAAGTAACCGATGTGTGGTCTACCATCACGCCAGCATCGACATTGTATTTGTTGTCAGGTTTCTTGTAGAATCGTGCATGGTGACATTTTCCAACTATAAGAAGAGTAATGCCCGGATTAAATGTGGAAATTTTCCTTCCCTAGAAAGTCCTTGATCGCAAGGATGGAGGCCCTAGTTTGCGAGATTTCTTCGGCAAATGCCATTCCATATTAGCTTTCACCCACTCCCTCGCGGTGAAAGGACGTGGTCCGGCAATGTAATATTACTGGACAAAGTACGTTCTAATTCGTTCCCTCATTATACATTTGAGTTCTTCGATAAATTGCAGTACTGCACAAATGATCTCTTTCTCTCAAGGGAGAGAACTAATCTCGGTGATCTTTGACCGTATCCTTGCTAAGACGGGATAAGGCTGAAAGTCTCCTTTCCATTTACCAGGAATATACCCGATCGATGCCACGAGTCCTGCTAGTGAAGGACATCTCCTGTCATAGCGTATTATAGTAGAAAGACCCTGCACTCTCCGTACGTTTGGCCGCAACATTCGTACTCTCATTCAGGCAGACAAAATTGCCCCCATTCCTTTTGAAGACTTGAGCTTTGATTGACATATGCATTTTGTAGCTTACTTAGATTCGTGGTCCATCCTTCGAGGCACAAGAGGATCCATGCCAATTCCCATTTGAACCTTATTCCGCCTCTTATACAACCCGGCATGAACAAGACCATATCTCCCATTGTCACTATCTTCCAAATACCCGACCTTTACTCTATCTGCCATTCTTCCCTCTTGTCTCAACTGTCTGCTCACACTCGAATCCTTTGCAAGCGTGTTGTCAATCAATAATCCTTGCGTCATAGGCGTGACAACTTGAGCAACACTCTGCCATGCGTTTCCAATCATGGTGTAATGGGTTAGGCGCCGAAACATGACAGCGGCGGTGACAACGATGAAAACATGTAGACATAACACGATCACCAGCGCGGCAAAGCCTCGAGAATGCTGTGGAAACAAGACTGTTTCAAAATAGACCTGGCTGACTTGGTCAGAGGTTTGGAACTGGGCGATTTGATCATAGTAAGCCATGCTTGCCAAAACGGTCAGGAGTGAGGACATGCTAGCTGCAACAGACTGGTTGGTTGCCATGCTCTGGGTGAAGAGTTGGATTAGCGAGGGATCGGCATTGACCATGCCCGACGTTATGTACCACAGGTCTGCCAGGTCTAGAACACATGATGAGTTTCCAGACGTATAGTGGCCGATCAAGTGTGAAGGAGTAATGGATACAGTTTCCATATCCGTCATGCCTTGTATCCAAGGCTGCACACCCCCAGGACGAGTGTCTTCAACCTCTGGGATCCACGAGTCACGCTCTTCCATCTGCAGGATACCACGATCGGCAGCGCTCGCTTTAGTGTTATTATTACCAAGCTGTATAATAATGTCGTCGAAAGTATAACTTTGTTCAGATGGTTGGAATTGTGGAAGTGGTTCGGTGCGAATCGAGTCGCCGTATAAATTGACTTCCAGGCCAGCTGTATCAAATGCTGTGTAGCACAACGTAATGTTAAAGTCGGCGACAAATCCTGAGGGATTGCTTTCGTAGGTTTCGTCGGTGGGCACCTGCCAATGAGTCCAGACACCAGGGACCGCGGTTTGGCCAGCAACCAGGTCAAGTGGAGGCTCTCCTTCATGAGTCACAGCAAGGACGTCGATAGTCGAGTTGAAGACTAGGTATGGAGCTCCGAATATGCTCATGGGTGAAAGCGAGTACGGAAGGGGATTGTAATCTGTAGCATTTATGAATGCGCTTTGCAAAGCTCCTCCCGGATTGCCGCTGAAGTTACCGGAGCCCTGCAGCTGGCAGACTGTGTATCCATCTGAATAAAAGTAGCTAGGGCACATAAAAGACACCGGCCTAGAGGGAGTCAAAAGTCCTTCGCTGGATGTGGAGTTTGCGTAGTTGCCATTCACGCTGAATACACTGCCGCTGCTTGGATCCCATGACATTTGCAGATCCGTCAAGATTGGTTGCTGACAAGCAACCCGCGAGTCCAAGACAAATGCTTTACCAGTGTAATTGCGCAGGATGTTCCGCTGCTGACTATCTGTCATAGGCAGAAACGCTCGTAGGAGGACCCCCGTGTCATCAACATCGCTGCGAGGAGGAGCAGGAGATGAGAACTCGGCAAATGTTGGGTAAAATTGTGGATTTCTCGCCCAGGGCGTTTGTCTTCGTATCATAGGAATAAAAGTGTTCTGCTTCTCGCTAAGCGCCGTCATATTCCACTGGAAATCGTAGCTAAGAGCGCTTGAATTAGAGTACCCTGGGAGAGGGCCGAGCTGTAGGTCTGACAAGAGCGCCGTAGAGGTCAGTTGAAGTATGCTGGTAGTAGCGAAAAGCAGGAGAGTCAAGAGGGTATAGATCCAATGTAGGTTCTTTGGTTTCATCGTAAAGCCCAAAACAGTCCGTCCAAAAAGTGTTTGTGGTGTCGTCTCCCCAGATCTCATGACAGCAAGAGCGACGGCATCAATGAGCGGAACTCCATAATGCTCCAGCGCAAGAGCAGCGAGCATAGCTACGGCAATACCAGCTTGTAGACTGGTGGCTAAGCGGATGATCAAAGCCGCGATTGAAACTGCTCGAGTGACCCACGAATGGACCATGAACCTGCGCCATGTCTGGTTGTCGTGATTCCCAAACCATAGAAATGCAATAAAGCCAAGCGTTCCTAGAATGACTGGAGGAGTTAAGGCAAGTATAATTATTGCACGGACCCCTAGACTGTCTCTAAGGCTGATTCGGTGGAATTGGCTGGCCATCCTTTGCTATAAGAAGTTCTGACCAAAAAAAACTGGGGCTTAAAAGATGAAAAGACTTAATTTAAAGACGGCAAGCAGTGGTGTCGGGCAACGGGTTTCAGCTTGTTTGATCTACGATGACGTTGCCATTGGAGGGGAGCCTTGCAGATCAGGAGTGATTTAAAATGACAATCTGATCCAATAAGAACAGTACATATTAAGATCTTGGCAAGACAGGCTCTTGAATCTACAAGCCCTGATTCAGATGTCGGCCGCCCTCGCCAAAGTTGGCCAAAAGCCTTAGAATCAACCAAAGCAACGCGCAGAGCTACTGGAAAGACGAGATAAGTTGGAGGAATATGAAATCAATTGAGTTCCATTGATGCATCGGCTTTGCAACGCTGTGCGACCGTATAGCTAGTGCGTTGTGCGGGTCGAAGTTATTAATCTCATTAATTTTGGTTGCATGCAACTCTTCCAGTAGCGTCTTGGCGCAGAGGTAGACATCCTGGACAAACGCGCTTGATCTCCATGACTGAATTTAAGGTGCGCAAAACATGCAAGAGTTGACACTGAACAATCGACCTAATAGAGATTCGCCTGGATAGTTATGGATCCAATAGCTAGAAGCACACTTGTTTAGTGGTCAGCCGTACTTGCGAGATCCCACTTGAGACAGCCAAAAAAATGTCAGCTAGACCATGTCGCATATTTTGGGTGCCACGTTCAGCGACAGAAAAGGGCAGTCTTTCAAGAGGTTCAGCTTCTAATGACAAACTTTTTCTCCTACACTAATCCGACGAAATGGGACTATTGCATCTGGTCTCAGCTTAAGATGAATCACCTACATCTTACATCGATGGTGGACCAGTTCCATTGACTCCACAACCAGCCTGCACACACGATGACACCGTATGAATATACTTGATCTTCCCTCCTTCAACTCTGAAAGTATGTCCGTCAGGCATCGGAGCCATTCCCTGTGAACGATCGAGTCCTGGGAAACCCAAGAACATACTAACAACGCCCATTGTCTCATCAACGATATAACGTCTGTTCGTGACCTTAGTTGTTGATGGAAGACCGAGATAACAGGTATTTGCAGTCAAGTTGTTGGCACCAGTATATGCGCCTCCTTCGAGTCGAGCACAAGGTGTGCCAAAAGGGACGGTGACATTGATGTTGTCGAATCGATCGAAGTACGCGTCACCTGCAGCTTGGATTACAGCTCTGGTGTCTCGTTTTTCGGCTGGGATAGGATCCCATTTCTCCATCGAGTCCCAGTACAAATATCCCGTGGCATTGAATGCCCAGTCCCCTTTCTGGGTAACGATCGACTCCATGGTCGTGATCTTACTGTCGTTGAAGAGCATGCGAGTCTGTATCACATATGGATGTGTGGGATCGGTGACGATTAGCTCAGTCCAGGTTCCGCAAGCTATGGTATCGTGGATGGTTCGGTTGAGGTCGATTTTCAAGGATCGAGTCAAGACACCGGTCTTGATATCCACGGGCTTCTCGTTCTCGGTGTATGATATATTTGGAGAGAGTGATGTTGCCATTGCAGTGCTATGGCCACTGCTTTGTGCTGAGATGTATGCGTCGGTAGCATTCTTGAGCATCTCGCGGCTGCAATCAGCCAATGCAGTTGCCAAGAGGAGAACTCCAGAAAAGAGAATAGAAGATAACATTTTTGCTTTCGAAGGGGTCGAGAACCGATTTGTCTATGTAACGACCATTATACAAATTCGCAAGAAATTCCTCACCCGTCTGAGGCGCACAGCAGGCTTTTGTATATGATGCATTTTTGGGCGAGAATCAACTGCCGCAACAATAAACTATGGCCAAAGTGAGGTACATATGATGAACTTTCATCCGATCATCCTTATTGAGTCTGTGTATCCTAGTCTATACGCTGATTGTTTCCGGCCTTCATCCAATGTAAGTGAAACAGGTACAGTAGATCTGCCGTGAGGCACCGATGTGGGTCCACTCGGCAAATATAGGGGTACCCCACCTTCCTAGAAGGGATTGCCCCTTTTTAGGCGACCGGTACTTGTCTCAGTCACTACTCCTATGCTAATTAATTGAGTGCTGTTACGTTCTTCTAGATTCACTTCTAGAAATGTGCCTCTCTCGGCAGTATTTCATTTGCAACTTCTTTGTCCTAGGTATCATAAAAGCAAATCAAGAAAGCTTTTTAATTATCGTTATAAAACAGACGAAAGAAAGGCAGCAGCTGCCTCCATCTCCAACCTCTCTTCTCAAGCGTGTGGAATGTAATTGATCCACGACATGGAACTACTGTATATACCCACTGGCATGGATCGGAGGCAGTAGAATATTTGAAACATCAAATCTAAACGTGCCATGAAGTACGCCAGAAGCGACGTGAAATAGCACAAGATGACCAAAGCCGCAAATTCTGGTGCTGCCACTTTCTGAGTACTAGCACCCGGAGCAGCTGGGTCCCAAATGCTGGCCAGCTGCAGAGATCCTGCTATCATGAAGGGAGCAAGTGTGGTGGTCAGGCAGCAAATCCGCCACATAAGCTGCTCCCTTGGCGTTGCGAAATTAAAGTTCCAAGCAAGAAGATGAATGACGCTAAATATCGAGCTAAAGCAGAAGAAAGGGAACACAAGGTTGAAGAACATGCTCTTTTGACAGCCTCTTTTGACCATCCGAGTTGTCATTTTCACTCGTTGAGCAGCTTCGCGAGCAAGTGAACCTTTGGAACGAGGAGTCCATGAATAGGGGAGAGCTCCCTCGTAATGAACAGGAGTCCACGAGGCGACGCTAAGAGGTTTATGGAACCAAAACCCACTCGCCACAAATGTACAAGCTGCAAATGCTACAGTCGCAATCTCTAGTTGGGAGATGGGCAGACCGTTAGCAGCGCGAATGACACACTGGCAAATCAACCAGCCGGTCTGGACAAGTGCAATTACTTTCGCTACCGCATTTGTCTTACTTCGATCGCGAATCTGCCTGTCTGTGACAAGAGGCAACTCAAATGGTTATGCCTCGCTAGAGTTGTCTAACAGTTCCATAATCTCGACAGGGACCAGTGGGAGTCTTCTTCCATCGGTGTACAGAACATATCCTCCCATAGAGGCGTAGAATCCATGCATTAGCGACCAGTTTATACCTCTAGCTGCCATATCTTTCACTGTCTGCCGACTCTCTTGCCACTGTCTTAATGCAATTGAACAGATGATTTCCGGCGCACACAGCGTGACCAACATCCACTTCAGCTTTCGTTTATAGCCAGTATTGATGGTGTCCTGGGGGCCGAATATGTTCAGATGGATAACGTGGTAGGTACATGAAAGCATGGTGAGTATACAAGTTTGATGTAAGCTTGAGGTATCGCGCTTCGCAGATCCCCACTCGAAGCCAACTCTCTCAGCGTCGCTGATGGCAGCGCTGCCGGTGATGTTGGTGTGGTTTTGAGCTACCACCTCTGGTAGGAAGCTGGCTAACAAAAAGACGATGCAGGTAGGATCTGGTACCATCTTGAAGGCAGAACGCATGAAACCCATCACGATGACAATGGACCGATTGAAATAATTTCGAGGCGGAGGCAGCTCCGAAATTGCGTGGGAATTAGAAAAGCTCGGCAACAGCCATCATGCAGTGTCTTAAAAGGAACGTAAATGAAAGAAAGGGCTTTTTGTTCGAAAATGCAAAATGTTGTTTTGAATCCGCTTGCAGGTAGAAATTTTCAAATTCAATGCTGCATGCGAGACTTTTTCAGCCTCCATTTCTTTCAAAGCTTGAGCCCCCACGCATGGTTGCCACTAAACCTTCAACTATTTCAAAGACTGAAAGATTAATCATTGCAAGCCACTGATACGATGTCTTGTCTTCAGAAAAAGTAGGTAAATGCATTCGTTAATAATCTGCTGGGCTCAAAATTCCATAATTAATCTCTGCACGAAAAATATAGAAGTCTCTTTACTTATATCCGGATTACGTGATATACATACAACTAGATGGATATAGTCTAGACCGGTCCAAAAATCAAGACATCTTAATCTTCCTCGCGGGTACCTGAATGAATCCAGACTTTACCACGGGTAGCATGCGGTCCGCTTGCGGGCCATGAAAATCGGAAATCAAAGCTCCTTTGTCCTACCCGCACTTAGACTTCCCAGTTTCTCGGGTCGCTTCTGAAATGGCCAGACCATCTCTTGTATACATCGCTAGTTAACGGACCCAGTGCTCGATTCGAAGTATAAGTAGAAATCATGTCATCGGTACCGCATGGCGATGTGGACCTAGCCGAGGCGGTCCCTGCTCTTGTCGGGAGTATTTTATCAGCGATTGGAACGCTATTTATTCTTGCGACCTACTACTTCATTCCACCGAACCCAACGCATATTAGACACACCTTGATCAGAAATTTGGCTGTAGCGGGTACGTTCCATCTTCATGGAATTGAACTTTCGAGACTTCCTGCATTTCAAGCTTACCTAACGTGTATCCACCGCAGAATTTGGCCTACATTTTACCACTAGCATCAGCGGCTTCATGATTGTGGGCAGAGGTCGAGATCTCAACGACGGACCTGGATGCGTTCTCAGCGGCTTCACAACCCAATTGTTCTCAACAGCCATTGACTTCAATATGCTGGTAATCTTAATGGTTCTCTCCTATATGACTTACCGCGGCTTCAATTTGAAAAAACCTCGGCGCTCCGTCACACTTGGACTTATTATCACTCCTTGGCTCTTTCCAAGCATTACTGCAATCATTGGTCTTGCAGAGAATCTCTACCATCCAGTTTCGGGAAACTGGTGTTGGGTTGATGCGAATCCCGTTTATCTCAGGTTTGTATTCAAATATGGAAGCTTGTTTGCTATTATGATTGCTCTGGTCGCGATGGGGTTGTTTATACGCATCTATCTCTTGAAGCAGAAGGTAGCCTCTCCAGAGGAGGGTCATAGGCCTGAGGTCTTGTCGGCAGAGTCGGAAAAGAAGGACAAACCCCAATACACGTGTAGTGAAGTGGAAATTGACGCGGAGGCGGTATCCCCAACGCAGTCTGACAAGAAAGACAAGAATGAGTACACGTGTACTGAAGTTGAAGAAATCGAGGTTGGTGATGAAGACGAAGCATTGGTGATGTCCGAAAGAAGAAGAACACTGCAGCTATTGAGTGGATACCCTATCTTTTACGTCATCTTATGGCTACCTGGAATCGCCAACAGAGGTACGTATACAATTCAAGAGATATGAGTACTCATGCTAACCTTTACACAGTAGCGGAAGCGACAGGACATCCGTCTCGAGCCCTAGCAATCGCACAGTCGACCAATTCATATGTTGGGTTTGCCAACGCTGTCACCTTTGGATGGAGTGAGGTTAGGCGTCAATTCGGGGTCCATAAAATGTTGGAGTTAACGCTAGGATTTATCTTGAGCGGTTGAAAAGCGTGTTCATTCTGTAATTAAAACTTCTACACTGTATGTCTCGGAGGGCGAGGAGAGAAAGGTTAAATATTGTGAGTAAGATTAAAAGGTATTCACTGTCCCCAAGAGAAGCATGGTCTCGAAATTGGTATGGGAAAATTTCAGGAAAGCTCTCGTTCACTTCTAGGATTCTCCGCTTCGAGAAAATTTTATTGGATTAATTAATATGAGACTGGATTATGAATACTTTGAAGAGCAACTATGATCACTGACGTGCCTCAAATCACGTACCTAGGTAGCGTTCTCTGGGCTTGCCAAACTTAGGCGAGTCGGTAAGCGAAGCGCAAAAGAATTACCTATATCTTTAGAGCTTTTGAACCCACAAAGCAAAAATAGAAAAAAAAAAAGTAAAATTTCGTAATATCAAGGCAAAAACAAACTGGGTAGTGCGACACTTTGCCCAGAACAGAACCCTCGGAGAGGATTTTGCTTTTTGAAGACCTCTTATCTCAGTTCCCCCATCCATGTCTTCTCGCGGCTGCTATAATGTTGTTAGCTATGAATTTGAATTGTATTGGGAATTACTTACGTGAGTCAGCTCGAATTGGCGATGGAAAACTTTTGCTTAATTTAATCTATAAAGACCTCTGGCGAAACCGGCCATTCTTGGACTAGCTTGATAATCCAAGTACCTACGTAGGCATTCACTTTCACCTCCGCATTTAAGATATTGCAGTGAACGCACTAGAAATAAATATTTTCTTGAGATTTTTTTGGTATCATTTCGTGCGCTAGCGAATGAGACTCAATATCGGTAATTGTCAAAACCTTTGGGGATGCTTCAATAGACGGCTTTAGTAAGATGGGCTTTGAGCTCAAATGTCGACATATCGAGCCTGATTCGAGCTACAGCGTTCCATTACAATATGCATGTTTTGAAAAGCTCTAGCAAGCCTTTCATGTTATAAGCATGACGTAAAAGCATCGTTTCTATTTCAATGTCTCATATAGAGCACATGATAATAAACATTGCCAATGAAACCACCGCAAGCTCTCGAACATGCGGCACTGTTCAAGATGAGTTCTCGGGACGCCCGGCAATGCTAATAGAACAATACTTCAAGCAACAGTGAGATCACATAAAGGCGTCGGTTCATCAAAACAACTTTTTGGTGCACACTCAAGGATCCCCTCTCCAAATTTCCCACAGAAAAAGCCATTGCACTCCATTTCTGGAGAGCGGTACGACCCGTGGAGAATCGAAAATGCCTGAACCTAAGTCCTCTGAGCCTCCAGCCTGGTTCCTCTGGTTTGTCTTGGTTTGCCTGGTCATCCTTGTTAGACTGTTCGTATTCTTATTGATGCAAGCGTATGCATTTATGTTCTTGCTTGCCAACCTGAATCCCCAGATCCGAGTCATACAGGATATTTCCGAAGCTAGGAGAGTCCTCAAGCTATCTTCGTCAAAGGAGGATCCTCAGAAAAGTCAGTTCATGGTAACAAGACTAGGTATTGACAATGACTTGACAACGTCCCATTTTTCCGTACCGACAAAGGAGCTGAGGGAACAAGAGAATTTGGCCAAAAAGAGCGATGAGCAGTGGATAGTGCTAGCAGAAGCAGCAGTAGGATATGTCACAGATACGCTTTCAACGTTGGACCACGGTGAAGCAGCGCCCTTGCGAGACTTCGTTCGCTGCTTCGTTTTCCGGATGACAGTGTTGAAGATGTACCCCAACTCGTCTGCTTCGCCTACATACACAGATCTTCTTGTCATAACTGGAAGCAGTGAAACGAAAGAACTTATGCGAAAGAGAAGCGTGCTTCTCAGCAGACTTCACACGGTCTTTGGGTTAGATCTAGGAACACAAACTACGACTCAACCTAGCCGTCTGCGCTGTCTCCTGGCAACATACGATTCTATGGAGAAAGTCGTCTTTCGAGGTTTCTTAGAGCTGAGCTTTCGTCATACTGGAAAAGGCGCACTAAAATCGCCACTGCGACGCTTTCTTCAGCGATCAGACAAGGCGGAATTCGAGAGAGAGTTCTTTGCACACCACTTTTCCATGAAGGATATCATCAATGAAACTTTCCGCTTGTATCCACCTACAGCAAGGATTTTACGAGAGACATGGGGAGGGAAGGTGGAGGTAGATGTGGAATACATACATCGTGACAGGAAATCATGGGGTGATGATGCTCTGTGTTACGATCCTAGGAGATGGCATGTTGGCCGGGCAAATCAGAATGCTTTCATTCCATTCGATACTGGGATTGATTTGGGCACAACTGAAGCCGTCATGGGTCCTCGAATGTTGGCCATCCTTATCGCAGCACTAGCACAAACAGCAGACCATTTCAATCTGGAAGGAGAAGAATCAGAGGATGTATTGAAGAACTCCGAGCCCCTACAGACACACCGTCGAGCTTATCTGGATCTGATTCTTAGAAGGAAGTCAAGATGGGTATAGAAGCACGGGACAATAGGAGTTACTTGATGAGAATGGGGTTCAGAGTGTAGAGGGACAACTAAACCCCTGTGGCATGACAACAAAGATTGGCAATATGTACGCGAGCAAATGAAGCATTTATTCATAGGGTTACTCCCTTTTGTGAATAACTGAGCTTCCTTCGCTCTTCAAGCTATTCATGAGTTAGTAATTTCCTCGCCTCTCTCATCTTGTCTCTGCAGCGGGTCCCAGTTTGGGCCTGACAGGGATAGAACGGCCCCTCCACCAAAGCGGCAGTCGGGTAAGTCAACAACAGGGGTGGGGGAAATCCAACATCGACAATAGACTCACTTTAACAGAATTGAACGTACACAGCTCCCATAACAAGTAATCTCATACGGATATGTCGTCATGGCAATTTCCATTTCCGTCTCTGAATCTGAGCAGCTGCTGCCTTTGTCCGAATGATGGGTGGGCAAACTTAAGCCGAAGGTCGATATTCCTGAGTATGATAGCACACGCAACGCGAGACTAGCATTGATTAAGGGGCTATTTTATGGGGTGCTCATTTTTGGCTTCATTAAGGCTGTTTACACCTTCCTCGTCATATCTTTACGTGGATCCCATTTTAGCTCCCATTTTCGTGCGGCTATTTAGATTCTATTTGAATAATTTATCAATATCACGTGAGCATCACGTGCTAGTCGAATCATGCACTAATAGGTACCTAGGTACCTGAGGCTTCGCTGCACTCTCAGCGCACCACCCTTCGCGAGAGGTTTGGAGCAACAACAAACGTGGAAGCATCTAGCCACCCTGTCAATATCTCGCTACGATTCAAATTGTTTGCAATTGTGCAATTTGTTAGCTTGATCTTGGAAAACGCAATTTGGTAGTTGCTTTCCTGTAAGATACCTAGGTACGCGTACCACCACTGCAGCCTGATCCTAACTTGACCCCGCCATTTGCCCAAAAGCTTACTTGCTGCCTCTTAGCCATAACGCAATGGTTTCTTCCTTCTATCAACATCTCAATGTCATGAAATCCGAAATCCGGCTTCTCGAGATTTTACAGAATACCAGCAATGATGCGGCATACAGGCTCAGCACTGTCTCTCTTGATGACTCCCCCAATTTCACAGCATTATCTTATGTCTGGGGCGATGCAGCTGTCACGGATGACATTGTGGTCAATGATGCCACGGTACCAGTAACGGTCAACCTCTCATCGGCACTCAAGCACGTCAGCAAGCATTGGCAAAAAACATTCCAAGATCGCAATTCGAATTCCTTCCGGCTCTGGGTTGACGCTCTCTGTATTAATCAGCTCGACATCCAGGAGCGAAACGAACAAGTACTGCTTATGCGCTCGATCTATACTTCTGCGGAATTAGTCCTAGGATGGCTTGGACCGGAAGACGAAAAAGTTCCCTTAGCTCTGGAGACGCTGCAAATGCTTGAGCCGGAGTTTGGCGACCCCCAGGATCCTACATGGGACATTAACAAGCTATGTGACTTTGCTTGGCTTAATAAATATCCCGGTCTCAATGAAGATGACCCACCTTTAGTCCACTCCCTGACTGAAGACAAGATCTGGTCAGCTCTGGCCGAGAACAAGGTGTGGTCAGCTCTGGACTTGTTTTGCCATCTGCCCTACTGGAAACGAGTGTGGATAGTCCAAGAAATGGTCCTCGCAAAAAGGCTTCTCTTCATTAGCCCATCCACATCTGCCAGCCTAGAAACTTTCGGAGTTGTTTGTTCGGTCTTGTTACTTATCACCCAAGAGCTCAACAAAGGTCATTTGTCTCGGCCACATTTTGTCTCTCGGTCAACATGGTCGGTCCTTTCATTACCCAATGGCCTTCAGAGTAAATATGCTCCGATTGCGTTAAGCACCATGTGCAGAACCATGTTTATATCCAGAAAAACGGCTACTTTGGAAGGATGTCGAATCATGAACACAATGTTTGCTAGAGCTGGTGCTATACGCGGGGCTTCCAATCCGAAGGATCATGTCTATGGCACTCTTGGACTCAGTTCGCTACATATTGTACCCGACTATAGCAGCGACAAATCGGTGGGAGATGTATATGCTGAATATGTATCTGCTGTCATGGAAGGAGATAGAGAATCAGGTCTCTTTTTCTTATCTGAGGCTGGTATTGGGCTATTTGAAAATGATCTCAAACTACCATCCTGGGTTCCAAACTATCCAGAAATCTCCCAAGGCACTCCATCATGGAGGTATTCTGGCAATGCCTCTTTTGGAACTTTTGGATCAGATGTGCCCGTAACAAGAATATCAGGACGGATATTATCGGTCGCGGGTGTCCATATGCAAACCATATCGCGACTAGGGGTATCTCCAACTGTCGAGGGCTTGACTGATAAACAACTTCTTTCTTTCATCAGAGATTTCACTTCCAGGCATCTGAAATATGCGACAGGGATACCAGCACTACAGGCCATCTATCGTGTATTCACTACATCAAACACTTACGAGTTCAACGTACCAAACCTTCTCCATACTTATGCATTTGTACATTGCCTCTTTAACAATGTGCTCATGGAGCACGACGATGTGGAAGATATTTGGAGGAAACTTGTAGCGTTCGGGCTTCCACATTTGGGCCAGGATGCTCATTTTAACATTTTGAATACATTTTTCTGGCACAATGATATTGGACCAGACGAAATTGAATCCACATCTGCTAGGATTGGGATCCCTGATTCAAGAGAATTATTCCTGGAGGAAATATCAAATGCGAAAACACAGCTGTCTAGAGACCTGAGCGCGAATACAGATCGACGGCTTTTCGAGACTGATAGTGGCTATCTAGGTCTAGCACCAGAGAAAGCAGCAGAAGGAGATCTGGTGTGTATACTCAACGGCTGCGAAATGGTAGCCCTCCTACGAAAACACGGCAACAATTATCTATTTGTTGGCCTATGTTTCGTTTTGGGTTTAATGGATGGAGAGGCTAGGGCGTATCTTGACGCCGGCCGAACAAAGGTCAAAATATTTGACATTAAGTAAACTTCATGAACGCTTCGTAATCTTTGAATTGGACGGGTTGGGCAGTGGTGTGTTTAAAAGTTTCATGTGTGTCCAGTCATGTGCATTTACGAGATGTCCTCCTTAAGTCTATGAGGCTGCAATATAACCGCATAGATAGGAGGATAACTAAAACTTCCTGAAGTATGGAGCAAATTAATTCAAATACATGCATATTAAACACATTCCGGAACCGTGGCTAGGTGAAAGGCTTTTTCAGGCCCCTCGTTGAAATTCAAAAATCTCTGATAAGATGTATCAATATAAGCAGGCTGAGTCGGTCATGACCCGAGAGGAGCCCTAGGAGTAAGGGTGTTGCGCTAGTGAGATATTGGGCTGGGGAAAGCAAACATTCCCGACGTATAACATTGAATTTTCTCACACGGTCATCCGACACACTTTAGTAATATGCATCACTCATTGCTACTTGAAGAGATACAACGCTTGACTTTCAGATCTCTCAAGTCTCGAGATCTTATTCGGCTGACCCAAACGTGCAAAGCATTCTTTCACATTGCGACCGACATACTATGGAAAACAATTCACTCTTCTTCGTTCTCCTCATCCCCTTCATTGGAATATCAGGATTTACTCTGACCCAGATACACATTCAGTCCATCCATAGCCGACAAACTCCAAGCGCTACACAGAATATTGGATAAGATACAAAATACCCCAAGAATGGAGTCTTTGTTTGTGCGAGATAATGAGGCCTACTTGGTGGATCTGCTCCCCCACCGGAATGTTTGCTCTTCCCAACCTTGTATCTCACGTAGACAGCGCCGCCGTTGCTCAAGCTTGGCTCAGGCCAGGCTCATGTTCACACGCTTCCTAGAAATCATTAGCTTTTCACGAGGGGCTCAAAAAGATCCTTTAACCCGTAGCAAGGGAGCCAAATACTTATCCTGCTTAATCTAAAATTAGCCTTTGCTTCTTTCCTTGTAATGAAGATGCATATTAAGTCACGGACTGGTCCAGATGCCCAGATGCCACTATTCAGGTGCCCGCGACTGCCCACGTGTAAATGGTATCTAGCTACAGCCTCAAGCTTAGCGTGTATCGACCCCATAGCCATAAGCTGAGCTTTCTAGCAGTCTCCCTTTCTTACCCTTTCATTCCTTAGCTATAGATCTTGAACATATATTACAGTTCCCGACACACATCGAGTGCTCTTATTGTGAAGAGTTCTCCCAAACAGACAAGGATTGTAAGACGCATAGACACTCTAAGCATCCAAGATGTGCTCGCTGCTCAAAACGCTTCCAAACAGAGGAAATCTATCGCGAGCACCGGTCCGCCGCTTTGCGATGCCGACTTTGCCGGCCTGAAACCCGGCATTGCGCTGAAACAACACTTCATAGTCATCAGAGAGTGGCACATGTCAGATGTTCTGTCTGCTCAGAACTTTTCAGAGATAGAACAGCGTGTGATGTACACAAGAGACAGGTTCATCACAAATGTACCTATTGCTCGTCGTGTTTCAGCTCGGAAGGAGAGAAAAGGGGTCACGAGCGGCGGCGTCACGATCAGCACGATTATTAGTACGCCTTCCTACGTATTGTCTCGTTTCCAGGATCACGGGCACAAACTTCGAACCAACTGAACGATTGTGTGCTAACCTCGACGATGGAGGTTGTTGATCATGAGGGTGGTGAAGACGGGGGATGGGGACCACCTGTCAGACATTGGACTTTCAGGATGAGACGAAGGACCGAGAATAACAGGTGAAATTGATAAGTAAGCCAGAATTTCCTTCTAAGAAATTTTCTATCTCTGTTTTTATGTGTATTATATTTTTGACAATCGAAACAATATATGAACTCATTTACTGCACCTGTAGAATCACTTTGAATATTTTCCTTCTAATCCTCTACTTTTTTCAAAGAAGCCATCGCGCTTAAATCATTGCATATTCAATCATTCACTAGCCCCGCTTTATGTACTGTAGCGTACGGAGGAGCACGAGATTCAAAGTAGAGAGAAGCAAATTAAGTGCTACCGAAACCATTGAAATCGCTTGTTAAGGAGACGTAGAGAGCGCTGAGCCGCTCTATCATTCAAGTATCACGTGCATGCATACAAGTATAGATCCCAATAAAAAGCATCGGGCATCGCTCAATACCGGCCTTTGAATATTAAATAAAGAGTTTATATATTCAAATAAATGTCTAGATACCGTTTTCACTCGGCACTCAACGTGCTCGGAGTTTTATAGGCTGAAAAGATACGATCGCGAGACCTTGTACGAGAGAGTGGCTTTACATCATCTAACAGCTCTTTGTAGCAAGTTTCCGAGGATAAGGGAGATTAACATAAAACTTTGGATCAGTTGAAGCTAGAGGTGTGTCCTCGTAAAGAGTGAGCTTGTCTTAGAATAGAATCATTGAGGATAATTATCACATTACTTTGATGTTTACAATTAAGTAAATGCAGAGCTTTTACACCCTGGCCTCAAAGTTTACTTCCTAAACACTAGCCTAGCTCATCATCCATTTAATCGACAGGAGTACAATTTCAGAAGGAGATTGTAGAGTTCTATTGATATATCTATATTTTAATTGACATGCAATTAGGCACACTGCGAGAACGAGAACCTTTTCGGTGACTTCTTCACTCCCACCACACTAGCTTTTTGATCAGTGACACTCACCCCAATTTTATATGCCGTCTTTTCAACGTCTCCTATAATCCATTCTTCTTCGCGAAATCCAGCATAGCACCATAAGCACCCGTGGCGTTATAGTTAAAGTTGATACCATGACCAGACCCTGGATGCACAGCAGCCTCAAAGGCGCTAGCATTTGCAAAGATTTCTTGAGCGGGATGCTGGAGGATTCCATTACAATCGCCTGCACAGTTTCCCCCGTCAAATTCGCCAGTCAGAATCATTACCTAAAGTCATGTTAACGCTTTATCACACAGGAGGTTTGCTGGGAGACTTGCAGGTCCAGTATATGCAATTGGCTTCGTTAGCATTAATGGAGAGCCAGTAACAAACTCGATGACTGACAGAGGCTGAGCAATCTCGTCAGCGTACCATAAGATCTCCTTGTCGTAGTTTCCTTCGTGGAAAAATGCTGCGGCAAGGCCAAGAACATCTGCAGGTTCCAGATATCCACTGTCAAGACCTGGATACTTTTGTGGCTCTACAGTGTTGGCAATGTTAAGTCGAGATGCTTCGACGAAAGCCGCAAAGTCGGTGGTGGAGGCGTTATACGCAATACCAGTCAAGAGAACTCCGTCAGAGATTGTAGGGTCTTCGGCGACGAGAGCATGCGAGAGGATAGATCCATAAGAATGACCAACGTGGACGATCTTTGAGGGTTCTCCAATAGTTCCGGTATAGTTGCCTTGCCTCAAGGAGCTCGTGAGAGATGCAAGGACGGCTAATTGGTAGGAAAATTGACTTTCGCCATATCCGGACACCCTGAAATATTTATTAGCAAGGGGGCTTTCCTATCCGTCCGGGGCGAATACTGACTTTGTAGATTTTCCAGTTCCTATCCTGTCGTAAACGAAGGTCGAGTATCCCCTTGAAAGAGCGAAATCGACGAAATTGTAAGCGGACGGATTCGCTTGGGAAGTCCAGTACCTTATTTCCAGTCAGCCTCTGAGATTACCAATGAGTGAAGAACCCACCTCGAATCAAATCCAAGTCCATGCGAAGCAAGGAGAACCGTTTTATCATGGCCGCTGTTGATCTTGGGCGAGCAGAACGTGGCGCTGATGCTAAAATTTGCAAAACTGGTAGTATTCTGCGGTGCAGAGACGGGGTGGAATGCAGTGCTGGAATCACGAGCGATTAGATCAGCAAAGAATCCGGCCACTGCGAAGTTATCGGACAACTCTGGAAGGAGCCAATTGACTGCATTGATCTTGGTAGTCACTGGAATATTGTAGTCGTAGCAATCGCCTGCGGTGGTGACCAACGAGCCGGTACTGGAGGATGGATTTAGTGGAGCAGAGAAAGAGGACGATACCATCGAGGCAAATAGCAAAAATTGCCAAGATATTTTCGTCGGATATGTCATTCTGAGAGCAGGAGGAGGTTGGGAGGGAGGAGAAGATGTTGATTGTATGATATTGTGAAGAAAGTCTACTTAGTAAGGGAGGATTTGCACATATTATATATAATAATTTTCATTTCAAGTGCAACTTTACAATACTCGGCCCAATACGCCAACAAGTCATTAACTGAGTGGCGATCCAATTTTCGGTCTCCATATTCGCGTTCACGCTCCAGCGCACCCCGGATTCTATATTGCTAAGTCTCGCATTTCGGTTATCGCATAGCGTATTCCGGACCAATTGCGCAGCACCCCAACCGTAAACATCGCATCTGTAAAGAAACTCCCATAGTAGAGTTTCAAAACGATATCGACATCATGCCAAGGTTTCACTAATACATTTCATACAGCTCATTGTAAAGTACAAGAATGGACAACTCCCGCAGCGCTACACAATCCTTCAATTCAACAACTTAAACTACAAGACAGACGAACAGTAAAGCGAACAAAATCCTTTACCAAGTCCAGCATCAGATCAAATACCATCTACCCACAATGGCGTCGATACGACAACTTCTCTGTCTCTTTCTGAATCAAGACCTCTTGCCTTCGAACTCACCAACTTCCACCAAAGCGACGCCAAAGAACGAAGACCTCTTTCCATCGAACACACCAACACTCACCAGAATGTCGAAGAAGAACAAACACCTCTCACTCTCAAAAACACCAGCAACCCTCCAAACATCATCTGAAACCACCCCGACCGCATGGTCCCACAAACCCTCCAACCTCACCATAGCCTGGCTCCTCATCAGCATTCCCCTAGTAATTTGGGTAAGTCCACTCTCCTCCTTACCAAGTTCCACTAACCAACCCATCCTCTAGGACACAATCTACGTCCTCTTCCGCCCGCTAACCATGCCCGGCGGCTCGCTCCAATACCCCCTCTACATCCCATACGAGATCTACCTACAAACCGACTACATATACGGCTGGAAAGCACTCGAGCAGAACAACGGATTTACGGCTGCGCAGGCAACGATGAACATCGTTGAGACGGCGTTATATTGTTGGTATCTGTATATTGTGCTGGATCGGAAATATGTGGGTGGGAAGGCGGGGACGTTGGCTGTTCTTGTTGGATTCTCTGCCGCTCTTATGACCTTGAGCAAGACGGTATTATATGGTGTGTATTATACCTTTGAGGTGAATTAAATGGTGGCTAATGTGAGCAGGATTGAATGAAGCGTTTTCGGGGTGGAGTAATGTGGGACATAATGAGTGGGGTCATTTGGTTTTGTATTATATCATTCCAAAGTAAGTCCTCAATTCATGGCATAAAGTAATATGTGCTGACTTTTAGGTAGTGGATCTTGGCTTGTGGCTTCTGCGTTGATGTCGATGGCGTTTGGAAGTGAGATATTACAAGGGCTATCTCTAGCTGGTGGGGAAGTTTTGTTGGAGTAGAGATCGTTGATGAGAGGACTCTGCGTTCATTGAAGTGAGATAAGAGAAGTAGTACAAATTGGGTGGAGGTTTGGTCGTGGGTAGATTTGTAGGGTACCGTTGATGATTGAGCATAATTTCGAAAGCATAGAGTATTCAACAGTATGAGGAGAATATTGTATTATAAAGTAAGAAAGACAGGCGTCCTCTCTGTGTTCATATAAACTGCGTTGCATAATTTAGAGCTAGATTAACACACCTGATATACCTTCAAATAAAACAAATATGCTTCAAAGCAATCCACCAGAATCTCCTCCACCCTCAAACTCCGCTAAAACGAGTAGCTGAAGCGGCCAAGTGATCCAACTTTCCCATTCCTTCCCAAGTTTCCCATGAATAGTCTTCAGCAGACGTCTACTCATCCCTTTCATGTACCAAAGTTGATTCACCTTGTTCAGCAACAACGAGTAATGCGCCAACACAACGAGCGCTTCCGGCCTCTGTTCTTTGACCATCGTAAAGAAAGCTTCTGGTACTTGAATCGGCCATCCGTAAACCACCAAAACAGCGTCAATTTCATGGTCAATAGAGGATGATGCTATCAGCCCATGTGCCTCTTGTAACAAGATGAGCGTCTTTTCCAAAACTTCCGCATCCTTGACATTCAGTCCAGGTGAGAAACACAGTTGGCGTAGTGCGATCAACTTGGCGCTCACTTCGGAATCCACTGCGTTGGCTAATTCTGGGTCAATGTGTCGATCTTGTAACATTAAGCTCATCGGGCCGTTCGTCATCCATTCTCCGGCTACTTGGAGAAGGGTATGAACACCGCGCAACAGGCTGACCCACTCAACATTCACCTCCGAAGTTGAGAGATCCGAGAAGAACAGGTCGCCAGTTTCGTTTGAAGACGCCCAGGCATAGGCAGCGATGATGGACGAGAACGCGAAACAGGCGTCGCAATTCTGGGGAGTGATGCAGGTCATGGCGGTTTGGAACATATGTAGTCCGAGATCATGGTGAGCGGAAGCCTCGGCATATAAGAGAGCTTTACGTTCCGGCTGTAAGTGAGCAAGGTGGAGTGCGGAGAAAGCCAGAATACCATGGAGGAGGAAGTTGTGGGCGAAGGCGAGGCGTGGAACTACTTGTTGCCATATCTGTTGCAGCTCCGGGCGAGCAGATAGCGTGATGCTTGTCGTTGTGGTGTAGTGGTGCAAAAGCTCTAGGTTGTTTACATCCAGCGCTATACCACTTCCTGTGATCAATCCTGCTGATGGACTGGCGGTGCTACATCTTGTGTCGTGGCTTTGGTTAAGTGTTGATGGGGATGCTTCTGGTGATCTTAATGAGGAATCCGATGCAGAGAATGGTGTCGGAGTCGTGGTCAGAAAAGAGCACTTGGATTGAAACCTGCTGCAATGGCCACAAGAAGGCTTTTGTTCGTCACACTAGAGAAAAATAATAGGTGTCAGTGAACTTAGCTACGACGCCTTGAGATCAGATGAATCAATGTGGAGGGTCCTCGATCGTTTGCACAATTATCTCATCCACCGCTTCAGGTACACAACCAGTCCCACTGCTGTCCGTCTAACAGAAATTGCAACATACCTTGATTTTTGCTTGCTTGCATTGTTGACATCCTCTCCGTGATTTCCGATGTGGTCGCTTTTGACCAGTAGGTCCTCGTTTATCGGTTTTGTTCGTCGCCATTGTGATGTTTTACCCTTTGCCAAGAGTTGGTACTTCTGTCTGTCTCGGATACTATGCGAAATTATACTGTCAGGAGAATTGCAAATACTCAAAACCTTATGTAATCCGGCTGCTGAATTAAGAGTGCAGCGCGCAAAGTGCTGACGTGAGATGGATATCACCGATGCCTGTTTAGAGACCCACAATTAGAAGGCTGAGTGCATAATTGTAATGCTGTGCAGTGTGTGCTGTGAATTCACTGGAAATTCGGGCCTTGTCCGCAAACGTAGTCACTAAACATGCAGCGTGGCTTAGATCACAGGGGCTTCTTAGCGACATAATTTGCATAGAATCGCTGCTGAGTTGCACCGGAGCGAAGGCGGGCTTGGCATTCAGGAAAAGTGAATTCCAAATATTTATACGCTCCGAACAATCAACATACTCTCTCTCCCGTCCCGTATGACTCGCACACCGAAGCAAAAGCTCACTTCATCACCCTCTCCGATGTCGCCTCAATGACGTGCACAACAGGGTTAATCTGCAGGACAAGAGCGACCCAAGGTCTTAGATTGAACTTCCAATCGCGCAAGTCCTATCCGGCTAGCGAAGTAAATAATGCCCAAATCCGTCTTAGAATGACGACACATTCTTCTTACGACCATCAGCGTCTCGAGTTTGGATGCTCGATAGATCTCGTTGATGAGCGAGGAAGCTTTGCCAACCGCCTTTTCAAGTTACTTCGAACTTTATGGGCGTTGTAATGTTTGGCTTTCGGCTGCTTTTAAAATCCTAATCCACCCCGCATTGCCGATCAGCGTCTTGCACAAGTTGCCTTTCTCGTCGCGCTCTTGGCCATTCGGCTCTAAATCCTTTTGCAGATCGTATTGTTTGTTGAACTTCTTCGTCAAGTCTTCCGAGATTGTATATGGACAACTACCACGGAAGTACAGTCCGTCTTCTTGATCAAATACCCACATTCGGCCCCAATCTGCAATGCGAGCAATCTCCTTTGAAAGCCGGCCTTTCATAGTGTGTTGAGAAAGAGCACCATAGCTATCAACAAGGTGATGAAGGAAGAAAGAAGCATCCGAGTACATCCTCTCTTCTGGCCGCTGGATCGAACGGTCGAACAGAGATCCGTTGGAGTTCATGGCAGCTTCCGCAAACTTTATGGCGGTATCCAAGTGTTCTCGCTTCTTGGTGATGCTGTAAAGAAGCGCGAAGCCATGAATGGCAAAGCCGATATTGTAGGTCCATTTCATCTTGTTGATATTTCGGTTGCCATCTGCCTCGAATACGAAGCTGTCCCAGATCAGACCATCGTCAGCGTCTCGAAGATTGGTGACCATCCACTGCAATGCTCTTTCTGCAAAAACGAGGAATTCTTCATCCCTCTGGATTTCATAAATTCGAAGAGCGGCTACAGCAGCAGGACCAGTAGAACATGCATTTCGACAGTTCCAATTGTTCGTATGCCACGGCACGCCTCCGTCTTGCGCTGCCGCTGGCATGATAAGACTTCTAAGGATCAGCTTTGCTTGTTCCAAGTACTGTTGTTGGCCAGTAGCTTGGAAAACACTGATGAGTGCTTGACACGCATGTCCGTTGTCATCAAAGTATATGTCCTCGTTGCCGGGAAACATCTTCCATGCACAGAAGCCATGTCGTCCGGGATTCCAATACGTCTGAAGAGAAGCAACAGCAGTCTGTATCTCTGCTCCGGAAAGACATTCTGCAGCAGCTTGCACCATGATTATTACCGGCCAGACAACATATCCGAAATGATCATTCTCGCCCAGCGTGCTCTCTGATTTGGCACGTGCTTGGAATTGGCCATTGGCTGGAGAGTAGAAGTACTCAAATATCCATTTGGCAATGTCGGTCGTTGTGTGGTGAATGTCTGGCTTGGGTGCGGATGATCTATGAGCTACCTGACCAGATGTCGTCTTGTGACGCAGATCCTGAATGAATTTCTTCATGACTGACTTGAGGGAAGGTTGACGGATGGAAGTTGAATTGAAGACAAGAAGGTTGAAACTGGAGAACGTTAGAGGGTGTGGGTATCAAGTTTCAAGCCGAATTCGGCTAGAGGTTCGGGTCGGGTCATCACTTGCATTAGCGGCGGCGCAGCTTTGCGCAATAAACTCGTCGAAACTCACTCCCCACTCTTCCCATCACTACTTGACTCGTTTCTGACTCGTTGAATGTCCGGTCTTATGCCCTTCAATATCACCAAATCATGTGTGGTTTGTAAGACCCCTATTGTAACTGCGCAGTGGTTGTGAATAATCCCGAAGCAAGTTGGCTTCAACATAATCACACCATCCGATTGGTCAGCTCAGGTTACCTTGGGAATGCCATCCCCTATCCAACAATAACTAATCTTCCCACAGAATATTACTCATGCAGTCTTACTTCCTTTGAAAAATTTCTTGGACAAAGCGCTTCAGACGAGCAACTATCGTTAGACGAAGAATGGAGACCACGGCACAGCAAGTCACGAGTGAGGAGGCTAATGAGCGAACGGCGCTTTTGTCAACTGTTAATCAGCCTTCCCAAAATCATGGCACCTTGCCTCACGAGGAAGCTATTGAAGACGACGAAGATGGGCAAGATATCGACCCAAATGAGTTCGACGAACTCTTGTCAAGATCAGAGAACATCACAACTGGCCTAGGGATCGAAGCCGAGTCTCAAGAAACGGCAATGCTTCGGGGCCCTCGACGATACAGCAAAGCCAGGTCTGGGTCCCGAGCCTCCAGCCATGTACGATCTCTCAGGAGAAAATCGTTTGCCAGTACTGTTGGCAGTATACAAGAGAACAACATTGAGGATGAAATTGATACTGAACCAAAATCTCCATTCCGCCATGTCAGCGTGTCGCAATTTTGGATGATATTTGGAGGTCTGATGTTTGCTACTTTTGTCTCTTGCTTCGACTCCACACTCATGGTTTCGAGTCATCCGGTCATAACGTCCTACTTTCAGAGTTCCAATAGTGCTTCCTGGCTCTCGACTGCATTCTTGTTGACATCGACAGCTTTCCAGCCGATCTTTGGCCGTTTGTCGGATACAATCGGTAGGAAGAAGCCATACATCTTCACTTTGATCGTCTTTCTTGTGGCAACGATCTGGTGTGGTCTTGCTCAGAGCATGTTGAGCTTCATCATTGCCAGAGCTCTTTGTGGCTTGGGTGCTGGAGGAATGATGTCTTTATCCTCTATTATTATCTCCGATCTTGTTCCCATCGAAATTCGAGGGGCTTATCAATCCTACGTCAACATCGTCTTTGGTATTGGATCTTCTCTTGGAGCAGCTCTCGGAGGAGCAATTTGTGACCATCTAGGCTGGAGATGGCTCTTTTTCTTGCAAGTGCCAATGGTCATACTCGTTCTCGTTGCTATATGCCTTATGGTTCCAAGAGACCTCGGATTACTGAAGGATGTGCAGAGAAAGTCGGTCTTGGAAGCCATGAAGACGTTTGACTTCAAAGGGTCGATTCTACTCACGACTTCCATCACCTTCCTCATTCTCGGTCTGGTACGTCCCACACCCTCTTCCTTTCATCCAAATACTAATCTTGCAGAATCTTGGCGGAAACGTCTTCCCCTGGTCCCATCCCTTCGTCATTACCTCCCTCGCCGTCTGCGCAGTCGGGCTTTCGCTCTTCGTCTACGTCGAATCGCGAGTCCCCCTCCCTATCATGCCGCTCGCTCTAATATTCAGCTACCCCCGGGCTGGCTTAATCATCGCAAATGCCCTTGGGGCCGTCATCATGAATGCTGTCACATTCAACGCACCCCTCTACTTCCAAGCTGTCCTCCTCGAAAGTGCAACCAGCTCCGGCTTTCGTCTTATCGCCCCAACAATCGTCGCTGCAGGATTCGGTACCGCAACTGGCTTCCTGATCACTTGGACTAGACGCCTGAAGCTATATCTCGTGCTAGGCGTTTTCTTCCTGGTTACTGGGACGGTGGCAATGTCGTCCATGCAGCGAGGTTGGCCGGGCTGGGTATACGTCTTGTGCCTCTTGCCGGGGAATATTGGAACTGGTTTCATGTTCCCCGCTACATTCATGAGCGTGCTGGCTGTTTCGGAGCAAGCTGAACAGGCGGTGGTTTCAAGTACGTTGATTCTGTGGAGGTCAATGGGGATGGTGTTTGGTGTTGCGATGAGTAGTCTGGTGGTGCAGAATACGCTGTATCTGTATCTCGAAGAGAACGTTACTGGGCCTGATAAAGCAAAGGTTGGTCGTCTACTGTCTCTTTATCAAAGTTTCAACACTGACATTTAGAGTAGGTCATTGAGGAGGTGCGAAAATCGGTCAGAGCAATCGCGGGTCTTGAGCCACATTATCGAGAACAAGTCATCGACTCATATGCCTCGTCATTGAGAGCTACATTTATCATGGCATTGATTTTGTCCTTGGTAGCAACGGCTATGACGCTGCCCATCAAACTTCCGAGACTTGGGCAGAGGAAACGTTAGAGATCTACGGATCACGGCAACTTGAACAGCAGGGGACGAATACGGATGGACCAGGTATCCAAACAGAGGAGAGATCGGCTCAAGGAGTTGAGAAAAACGGGGGTGGTCTCTGGTTATCTATCTCATATCAAAATGCCTGGACAAAGAAGCAGCTATATCAGGGAGGAATATCGGATGGAAGGTTTCAGAGTTGGTTGGATAGCACTGCAGATATGGTTGCGGACGAAGTCTTCTGTTACCATACGTGCTGAGGACCAATTTATCTTCAGGTATACTGTGAACAAAGATCACAAGAAAGCTCTTCCAGATATGCCATTTGTCAATTTTCCATTGACAAATACTTCCGTTGATGTCTGCTCCTCTTCACGAGTATTCAATCAATCCAGAAACGGCTTCAGATGTTGTCTAAAGTGAACCCATCGGCCTCTCTTTGCTTAATTCCTAGCAGCGTTCTCGAATTCAGAAGGAGCCATTGAGCAGCAGCCTTGGTCAGCAAGGTCAGCATCAAGATCTACTGAGCGGCAAAAAGTCTTGTATCTACACAGAGGAATAGGTAAGATGTGATATGTCACTGAGCTGCTGTAGGTTCTATGCTATCAATGACCCAAAAACCTTGGGAGGCTGACATCTGCTCACTTTCAATATTCGTCAAATGACATGATTCCTTGTGAATCCTTCAGATTCAGCTTCAGATTTTCTTCTACGCGTTACGCGCAGAATCTGAGGGGTCGGCGCTAAGGGGATGGCTTTGGATGAATCAATTGCGGGTATGTTGCCAGCAGCAGCACAGGTTGTTGATGATCACAGATGGAAGAGAAGATATTCAGGGATGGTAATATGATTATGTCTATGTACAAGAGCGCAACCGCGTCAATCTCAGAGCCATATCCTAGCCCAATCAAGTAAACAAAAGAAAAGGGAGTTGCACAGATCAGAAGGAGAGCGCGTCTATCATGGAGGAAAGCCAACAAATATTGCGCCTCAGCGAGGGGGAGGAAAACTTGCCTTCTATCAGAACTCTGCAAACTGTTTTGGTCTTTGGTCTCCACTTGGATTAACACTCACGCCAACGGGAAGGCAGACCATTGTGAGCGCCCTACATCGATTAGCAACCAAAGGGGGGTTGGAAGATACATACCTGGCACCAGGCGCAAGGGGATACACAACCTGCTGTCCCCGAAGGTCAAGCAGTGTAGAACCTTATCTTCGGACAACTCTTGCGCCCCGACGATGGCCATTACGTCCCACGAGTAATTACTAACGCGCGCTAGCAAGTCCGTGTTGAACAGACAGGGCAACACACCAGGCGGCCCCCCTGATGTGACAACTTCCCAGATAAGGTGCCCAAAGCTGCCGCTGTATCTGTCTGGAAGGCGGCTTTCGATTGAAAAAACATGGTGCCATCGTCGTTGGTGTGTGATGATGCGCGCTGTGTGACGGATGAATGGAAGGAGAACAGGGGAGTGTGCTGTTGCGCTGTTGATGTTTCGAAAAAGAAGATTTTTGGGCGCAGGATCCGAATATTTTATACTCGGGGCCGCGCAGCCCGGATCAACCACTTCAATTGCGCGCTAAGCTATTCCGAAGTGTTTAGCGCTATCAAACAAGACAAATTTTCGTCTCAATGATAGAGCGAAGCTCCCATTGGCTAGCTTTGGTGATTAAAATTTTCCACGTCTTGTACATAAAGATTTTCTACAAACCCCCGCGCGAGCGAACGCAACCTTTTTTCGCAACCCACAAGCACTTAATAGATGGATACAATGCATTGGTAATTGTGACATGTTTGAAAAGATGTTGCGATGCTCTAAAGATGGTGATTTTGAAGGTTTCTTTTGACTTTGTTTACATTCGAAGCAGCCCAGCACCAAGGCGCATGCTAGGTTTCTGGCATCCAGCTTTTATCAAAACGAGGATAGCTTTGTAGCTTCTACGCCTAACAATTTGGTGAATGAATAGAAGCTCTACAGTATCTATTCGTTGCCGTGCGGCTTTACTGAAACACTTAGAGACTTGCGCGCCGCGCGCGCGCGTATCTGCTTCGCCAAAATTGCATCATGACACTTGACAATATCTTGACTTGCATTGATCGCAACTTCTACAGCTTGCTGAATACTTCAATAATTACACCTCCAGTTTTTTCCCAAGTACATGATATCCCAGATCTGACGGCTGTAAGCATATTTCCGTCTCTATTGGATGCATAATACTCACTTGTATCGCTCAAAGCTGAGCGTTTTGGTGGTTATTGAGGTTGGATGTCCAGAATTTGTGGGTCATTGGAGCTGCCGCGACGGGCCGAGCCGCGCGCACCCCTGCAGCCCCGCATTCCAAGTTATTGGCTGAAACATCACAGTACCCCACGACTCGATGCCAAGTAATCCTCTGTAGAACCTAGATGTCAAACAATGATAATTGTTCTTTCTTCCATTCTCAACCAAGCATCGATAGCAGTTCTTTCATTTGACGCTGGACCATACAAGACTTTGAAAATACCGACTCGTTGGAACTCGTCCCAATTCTCGCGCTGTCGACCAGTCTCTTTGAGTAGAATCCCACGAGGTCGTTGTTTGTCCCCTTGGCAGGTAGCAAAAAGCAATGCCCAAAAGCTCTGCCTTCTGATAATTTTGGACTGATCACTCCTAGTAGGATCGTCCGGAATAGCTCTAGCGACCTCTTTACCAGCAAAATCCAGTCGCCACCGATACTTATTCGGATCATCCGTCCACGCCACGTCTATTTTCAGTAACCGACCGGAGACCTTCAAGAATCCGTCGGAAACAGCACCTAAAGGATCTAGACCAAGCGGTATCGTCCCGACATCGAGGATCGTGCAATGCATTTGACAGCTGTTCTGGCTACAAGTTCGACTGTCAAACCACGCAAGAGCACCATCCAAAGAAGCCCACGACCACGAAGGTGCACGATATATTCGCACACTCTCCACAGATCTTGTTGGATACCAAAATAGATCGTGCTCGAGATCCGACTTCCACAGCCCAGCCAGATATTCCGCTTCTCGTCGCTTCGCCATGAGACTCGCCATTCCCGAAATTGCAGGTAGCTTGTCTTCAGGGCAGGTCAAGAAACGACGAGTATAGTGACGACAAAGATCCCTCCAATGATCATACTCAGATCTCTTCGTACTAGCGGTATTCCTTCCTGTTGACGTGTCGAGCACATTGTCAACCCAGTGGGGTCGCGTCTTCTGCGCATCTATATCCTCCACCCTCTCTACCGTTCGACAGCTGAACAGCAGCTTCTTCTCACCAAATATCAATACACGTCTTGCTAAACAATCTTCTTGAAAGGTCCAACCTCTCGTCACCCATCGACTTTGGTTTATCTCAGACATTTTGTCGGTGTTTGGACGACGGAATCGCAGGCCGAGCACACAATCCTTCTCCTCGAATTCGTCTGATCTTATTTGAAAAGGGATCTCGACCTGAAGAAGTTCCCTTGATAAGAAAGTGTCATTGCATGACGATCCTTGCGCAGCTGCTATCGTCAAATACGCATTGCTGAAGATCTCTGCCATGTTACTGGACTCTTTCTGCCAGTCTGGAGGATCATCTTGGATGATACACAGACTATCTATCCAGAGATACTGAATTCGGAGCTTGTGCGCAACTGTGATTGCATCTTTGAAGGCCTGGGGCATGGTATTAATCTCGATCCTTTGGAGTCTGGATTTCATCGTCTGATGGGTTGTCATGAGCAGGCTACCGCCAGCAGTCTCGGCTGAGCCCCAGCAATAGCTTAGAGCTACATAGCTGATCTTTTCTGCAGTCTTGGGATCTGCTTTGAGGAAGCTTGTGGGCACCAATCTGACATTCCCTCCCTCTTTACCGATTGAGAGGAGTCTGGTTGGTAGGAAATATGGCATGCTATCCTCGTTCGACGTTGAATCGTCAGACCAGCAGTTCTGATGATTCTCATCGCAGTCGTTGATCCAGTTCTTGATCTTCGCCACGTTCGATTCCGAAAGTGGTGTCGACTCCAGCGACCTCCGGTAAATATTGAGCAGCTCAATAAATGGATCGACCCTATCCGTGAAGAATTCAAAGGTAACCTCGACATCAAAACGGGCCATATTCGAGCTTTCGCCAAGACATGTTCCCCATCCACGAAATATCAATACCGAAACTCCTCTCGACTCCAAATTCTCCCAGCCATTCAAGAACGAACTCGGTAGTCTTCCGAATTCGACTTTGTTCAACTGGAACCATATTTTCTCTCCCTCCTTTCCTAATATCCTCTCAACTCCCCACTCACAAGTCGTTGAGCTGAACTCTCTCTGCAATCCATCAAGAAGCAATGTACAGAAATCGCATTCTCCACACAGAACCGTGGCGCCTGTCCGCCAGTTCTTGACTTGAAGTGTCCCATTCCGAAATTGTGTGGTTTCAAGTAGGACCTCGCAGTCCAACCTGATGTCGATGTCTCTCTCCAGTACTTTCTTTGTCGTTGTGTTATTGCGGATTGCTTTTATATCTTCATCGTTGAAGGCGAGGAAATTGGCACTTGCTTGGCAGGTGGCTGACATTATTGCATAGTGCAGTCTGAGATTTGATAGGCCCACTTGAACTCTTAGTGGACAAGGCTGTCAAAATGTGTTTCGGGTCGTGCAGTCCCCAAGTTGTGGAAGTCAGCAAGAGTGGGATGACAGAAGGTGAGATGTGTAGCACGTGACTATCACGTGAAATTCCAAATTAGAACGACTTCGAGGAGAAAACCGAGGAGTTGAAGCGTGCAGCACTGCTGATTTATAGAGAACCATGTACTTTTTGCATCTTGAATCTGGCGCACGGAGTATATATCGTAGCAAGCAGTCATAAGAGTAAACTGTGCACCGTACCGCGAAAGACTCTCAGTACCTCGCCAGATCCAATTCTTCTAATCTACACCTAATCTGCTATCCAAGTGTCATTCCCGAGACTTTGCAATCACTTCTCTCTAAACTGCCTCTACACCTTCTCCCCCTCCTCCACCGGCGTACAAGTAATAAACATCAAGCACCCCTTCTCCGAAAAGAACGGCCCATGAACCATCCCCGGCTTCCTATACGCATAATACCCCTTCTCATAAATCAATCCCGTCCTCTTATCTCCCAAGTCTCCTTCCACAATGAATATCTCCTCGATATAATCATGCAACGATTCTTTGGCATCGAGTGACCCGGGTTCGTGACGTTGGAGCAGTGTTCGTCGGCCGTTGGTGGGGTCTTCGTTTAGAATCATTTCCTCGATTTTGGATCCTAGCGAGGCTTTCTCGAGCCAGGTTCGGCCGGGGTGGGTTGCTGCGGGGTGGAATTCGAATTGTTCCATTTTTGCGTTTTCGAATGGTAGCTGATGAAGGGAGGTGATTTCAAAGGGCGAGACGCTGTAAGCAGAGATCTTCGCAAGGAAGAGAAGAAGTGCTGCCTGCTTGATGTGTCGTTACCAGGAAAGGAATAATACAGGCACAGATCAAACGATATCTATCAAGAGTCAAAGATATCCAAGTATTTGTCAGCCAGCCGCATGTCGTCACATCTTCAATCGCAAATCACCAGGTCGAATTCTCCTCAAACCCAATCAACACAACTTATATCAATCCCTTCATTTGGCAACGGAACTCCACCAGTCACTAATCACTTGCTCTATCCAAGAATAATTCCCGAAAATCAAAACCCGGGATACTCGCCAGCAGCTCAAAACACCCTAAGCGAACATCTCCGCCATGGCGCAAAAGGGTTAGCGATCACCCACCATCCCGTCCGGTTATCGGCACCCGCTTCCCCACTCTCATCTACAAACCGAATACTTAATCTTGAAATCTCAAACTCTTTTCGACATGCTTTTCTTGGCCTTAAAGTTTACCAAGAAATTATGTTAGATGAAGAGAAAACTCCCGACCAAGCAGCAGTGGCTGCCGAGCCACCATACAGCATCTTCACCTCCCGCCAAAAAGCCCTCATCGTAACCACCGTCTCGGTAGCAGCTACCTTCTCAGGCTTCGCGTCGAACATTTACTTCCCTGCTATACCGACCATAGCTCTCGACCTGGGCGTTACGCCCGAACTGATCAACCTGACAGTCACCTCATACATGATCCTCCAAGGCCTCTCGCCAACGATCTGGGGCGCAGTAGCTGACGTCCATGGTCGTCGAGTGACTTACATCTGCACTTTCTTCGTATTAATAGGTGCATGCATCGGGCTGGCTGAGACGAGACATTATTACCAACTAGTAATCCTGAGATGTCTCCAGAGCGCCGGGAGCGCGAGCACGATTGCGATTGGCGCGGGGGTTATCGGGGATATCACCATTAGAGCGGAGAGAGGTGGGTATATGGGGATCTATCAAGCGGGTTTGTTGTCGCCGGTTGCGATTGGACCTATTCTTGGGGGGATATTCTCGCAGACGTTGGGCTGGCACGCGATTTTCTGGTTCTTGGCTATTTATGCAGCTGCGTTTCTTTGTTTCCTGGTTATTGTCTTGCCGGAGACGCTGAGGTCGAAAGTTGGGAATGGATCGAAACCAGTCTCGGGGTTGTCGAATTCTTTGCTTGGGTATTTGCAGCGACGAAAATTGGATCCTGAGAGTTTAGACAGGACTGTTACGTCGACCTCGATCCAGAAAGCGCTCCCGGTCGACTTCCTTGGCCCCATCAAGATCATCTTCACCAAAGAAGTATCGTGTGCGATCTTCTTCCTAGCAATCTACTACACCGTCTGGCAAATGGTCATCTCAATCCTATCCACGCTCTTCAAATCAACGTACGGCCTCTCCGAACTGCAGATCGGACTTTGTTTCATTGGCAATGGAGCTGGCTGTATCATCGGGACTCTAACTACGGGCAAATTCCTTGATTTCGAGTACAAGCGATGCCAAAAAAGTTTCGATGGTTCACCAGAGGACTTCCCGCTCGAGAAGGCGAGACTAAGGACCCTTTGGCTGTGGAGCTTTCTTCAATTGGCTTCGGTATTGGTCTTTGGATGGACTCTACAGTATAAGATCCATATCTCTGTCCCGATCATCTGTACCTTCATCCTTGGGTGGGCCGCTACATCGATCATCAGCGTGGTTAACACTTTCTTGGTGGACATCTTCCCCAAGAAAAGTGCGTCTGCTACTGCGTCGTTAAACTTGGTGAGATGTTTGATGGGTGCTGGTGGGACGGCTGCCGTGTTGCCCATTGTGAATGGGATTGGAATTGGGTGGACATTTACGCTGTTCACGGGTGTCATGCTGATTAGTCTTGGGCTGGTGGTTCTGCAGATGGGGAAGGGCTTGAAGTGGAGGAAAAAGAGGCAGGCGAAGGAGATGGATGGTGAGATGTTGGAGACATGAGCGGACGTGTACGTGTGTTGTAGATATGATGATACCCATTTAGAACGCAGACGATCTGAGGTACATGCCATTGTAGACACAGTACAACAAGTTGTGGAATTTCCTATGTGACAAGAGTGTCCACATGCTCAACTATGTGATACCTCCCTTCTCACATTGCTCCTCACATGACACTGCACATCAAAGCAGCGACAGTGAACTGAGCTGCTATCGTTGCCGCTGTAAGCACCCCACCAGAAAGCTTCTGTGTTACAAATCAGCATGCTAAGCAAGGACATCTTTGACAGTCACAAACCTTCCAATTCTTGAACCTGGCTCTTTCAGCCTCCATCTTCTCAATATTCTGCTCAAGCTCCGTCAAATAGTCTCGAAGATCAACGCCAGACAATGCCTGCTCCTCCTTCAACGCTTGAATCTTGAGAGCGAGGCGAGCGACGTCGGTGTCCAAAGAGTCTGAAACAAATTTGCCTGCAGTGGTGAGACACAATCGTGAGCCGTTACCCTGCAGCTCAACTTGAAGCTGCAGGGGCCTTGGTTCGCTTTGCAGCAACATGCGGATTATCTTGAGTGCAGATGCTTTCGTGTCGGCGTGCTCCTCGTACCTGCGCCCAAAACTACGACAGTTAGCAGTGCCAGTTGTCTACGAGAACAGCGTAACTAGATGGAATGTAGGACAAGCAAAGAAGGTCGAAGATCATTAGACAGAATGTTCACCAGATTGATGGAGAAGCTTACCGTGCACCATGAAGCATCATCTGTCCCCAAAATCCCGCTGTATTCGTACGTTCCTTCATCAGATTTCGGGTAGTCCTTCGGCTGGACGGCCATATCGCAACTGTGTTCCACATTGTGGAAGCGATAATGACATTGCTGAATGCATGCTTGCCACATATCTTCTCGAAAAGTCGAATACGTCTTTGTTCGCTTCCTGAAACTCGATTTGCATTGACAGGCTCAAGGAATATCATTCCAGATAGCAAGATGTCTTGCTCAAAGGTCGCTGCTAGCCATGTTGCAACATCCTCAAGGATCTCACTGTCAGAACGCTCTGTATCGTCGAATCCAGGGGTGTCAATTAGTGCAACATTGACTCCATTGATGTTCGCGGGCCAAACGGATACTACTTTGGTACCTACAGGGATTAGTCGTGTTCTGTCTACAGCAGTATGTGCGAGAGTTGGGAGGGGTTGAGAAGGCATCGAACTCTCGGAAAGAGAAACTATACGCACATGACCTCAAGGTGCTTCCGATGATAATCTTATCAGATGAGGTTGCTCGTTGGATGAAAGTCGACTTTCCCGCTCCTGTAGCGCCCAAGACTGCAATGACTCGGAAAGTAGATAGTACATCGGCATAATAACTTGGAGGTAACTCGCGCCTCTCGCCCTGGAGCAGATCCGAAAGATCGTCGTGGCAAATCAGGGGAGTTGCCTCGGGAGAATCCTGAGCACTGGTCTCGCCTTGCCGATGGCTGACCATGGCGCTGAAGAGGTCTATCTGCTTGGCTGACGCAGGGTAGTGACTCTACAACGACGAGTCCAGATGTACGGCCGTCTGGAAATTGTACAAATGCAATGCCAAGTCTGGGCCCGTCATTGATGTCTGATAAAAAAGCTTCTCAAGAGAGGATTTTCTGGGGGTCTATGGGTTGTGATACGGGTGGAAATTAACCCAAGATATGCAAAAGAAAGTACCGCTGCTGAACCGCCACCACTGCCAAACACGTGGTGGTCTCACTTCTCCCTGCCAATGACGGCAATCGGCGCGAGACATAATATCACCAAACGTGGGAGATTTCTGTGAGGTGCAGTGGAGAATTGTTGCATTTATGTCTTGTCCTTCTTATAGAGTCTTGAATGGTGTATACCTGCAAGAGGTTACCGATATCAAGGGAACTGTTCTTGCAGCTGCAATGCAACCTCCGACCTCGACAATAATTTCGAGAGATCTAAATTTCCCGGAATAGTTCTTGAATGCCCTCGTATCGACTGAAAAGTTGGTCGTCCATATCGCATACTTCTCTCCTGAACAAGACAATCCTTGGAAATTCAAGGTGCCGCCATGTTTTGTGTGAATGCCGTGGTAGTTGATACACGCTATTGACCCGAATTGGATAGGTGAGGGATAAAAGACTGTCGAGTGCTCTTTTGGTTGTCCAGAAACTGGTTTCGAAGGACAATTTATACCATGGTGAAGGCGCGGAGGGTCCGATAACGAAGTTCCAGAAATTGCGCCGGTTCCTAGCTACGTGGGAGAACTCGAAGAAGAGGGTGCTCAGATCTCGTCCGACATTCGAGTGGGGCCTCTTTGTTATGTCTTGATAGAAATGAAACAAGTCTTCCAGATTGGAGTCCATGGGTATCATTTGCTCGTTGACACGCGGTCCAGAGACACCCGCAGCCCAAGAACTTGTGCCAAAAACCAAGTTCAGATACTTGAGATCAGGAAAGTCGACTGCAAAGCGTGCCCAATTAATATCCCAAGGTCCGATATAGCTCGAGGTGATTCTTGACCATACAAGGCGCTCAACTCTTTCTCCGTGAATGTAAGATGCGATGCTTGAGATTTGTACTTCTGGTTCAAAGATCATCAGCGTGTCGCGCGTGAAATCGATTTGCATATGTCGAACGCCTAGGAGCACAACATTGCCGTATGATTGCTGTTCGAATTGCCTCAAGACAGTTTCCGTAGTTGAGGCATCGGAGGTCAGCAATGGGGAATATCTTGTCAGTGCCAGCTCTCTTGATTCATGACAAATCGACAAAGCTATTGGCAAGCGTTTGTGACCAACAGCATCGATAGAAATTTTGCAAAGTGGGGTTCTCGCCGCCATCTTCAATTTGTCCATTGTTACTCGCGCCGAAATACATGACGATTGTTCGTGCTTGGAAGGTTTGTTCCCAGATTTGAAGCCTCAACTCACTGGGCAATTGAGGGCACAATGTGAAGATATCATTCTTGCCCTCAAAGGGTTTTACACTTGCAGTTGAATCCATCGGAGAAGATATCTTATTGCAAGGGTCGATACTTCTTGGCTTTGTGACAAGACGTAAAGTAGTGAACGGTGAAGATGAGGTGAAGAGAGATGGACGAGACGGGCTTGCGCTATGCGCGCCAGCACGTGACTATTCTACTATCCCATTTCTGGCAAGACTAGGCGGTGAGGTTTGTAAATATCAGTCATGCCCCTCCAAAAGCCTCTCCCAAGAACAGAAAATGGAATATGCTAAAAGTCAGGCTCTATGCACTGTTTAGAGACTCATGGAATTTCCGTTAAATTTCATATCAGATCATTGTTCGTATGTTGTGATGAGTTATTGCAGCGGCTCATGAGATGCACAGAATTTTATCCCTGCGGCAGAAAAAAATCGGCTGCAGGTCCGATAGCGCTAAGATTGTGAAGACTGTTGACCCATAATCCCTCACTTACCCAGAACCTGTCTCTTCTCTCTTCTTTCTTTGTTATACCCATTGTTTTCGTATTTTCCCCAGCATGTCTCTCCGAATACCAGCAAAGAGAGTAGTCGCTACTCTAAAAGCGAGCCATGCGTCGTCTTCTGCCAATGCCATCTTCAAGAGGAATGCATCTCAAGCAACCGCAGCGGCAACAAACCTCCCGCAAGAGACTAGGAACGAAATATATGTATGCTGCTTCCTCTCAAACATGAGATGTGACTAACAATTATCTGCAGCGTAATGCCACCCTCTCAAACCCTGATCCTCCTGCAGATTCTGCAACCGCTGCTCTCGTCAATGAACAAGCCCCATATATGCTGAAGACCTACGCTCGCCCACCACCGATGTTTGTAAAGGGAGAGGGATGCTATCTATGGGATGTCGAGAACAGAAAATATCTGGACTTCACTGCTGGAATAGCTGTCAATGCTTTGGGACATTGTGATCCTGAGATGGCCAGAATTATTGCACAGCAGGTATGACTCAACCCCCATCTTCTAATACCCCTCACTGACTTTGTCTTTCAGGCCAAGACCTTGATCCACACCTCGAACCTCTACCACAATCCATGGATTGGTGCCCTCTCCGAACTGCTGGTGAAGAAGACACGAGAGGCTGGTGGCATGCACGATGCTCAATCAGTTTTCATCTGCAATTCTGGTACAGAAGCCAACGAAGCAGCAATCAAGTTTGCACGAAAGTCTGGAAAGGTCGTCGATCCTTCGGGAGAGAAATATGAAGTTGTTTCGTTCAATAACTCATTCCATGGACGAACAATGGGAGCTCTGTCTGCGACGCCGAACCCAAAATACCAGAAGCCTTTCGCACCAATGCTGCCCGGCTTCAAATATGGGACTTACAATGATATTGATGGGATCAATGATTTAGTAACGGAGAAGACTTGCGGTGTCATTGTCGAGCCTATTCAAGGAGAGGGCGGAGTCAATGTCGGCACAGAGGAATTCCTGGTTGCCCTTGCAAAGCGATGCCGAGAAGTGGGGGCAGTACTGATCTATGATGAGATCCAGTGTGGTCTCTCGCGAACAGGAACCTTTTGGGCACACGCATCACTACCAAAGTCAGCACACCCAGATATTATCACCACTGCGAAAGCATTAGGCAACGGCTTCCCCATCGGAGCTACGATTGTGAACACATCTGTAGCAGAGAAGATCGTAGTCGGTGACCACGGCACCACATTCGGTGGAAACCCCTTAGGTGGTCGTCTAGCGCATTATATCGTCAGTCGACTCTCGGATCCCAACCTCCAGGAGTCAGTTGTGGCAAAGAGCAAGATCATGGTCAAGCACCTCGAACAACTGCAGAAGAAATACCCAGAACTTGTGAAAGAGATTCGAGGCAAAGGGTTGATTCTCGGGTTACAGCTGACTCAAGACCCTACCCCAATCGTTACAGCAGCACGAGAGAGGGGACTGTTGATCATCACTGCTGGCAAGAATACATTGCGATTCGTGCCAAGCTTGTCTATCAAAGAGGAGGAGATTGAGGAAGCGTTCACCATTCTGGACGAGGCGATGAGGGTTGCGACTTCGCCAGGGGAGCACCCTGCTGGGAAGCAAGTCAGTGGGGAGGTAGATTCGCCGAACTGAATACTTGGGCGTACATCGTTGGGCTCCTGCTGGAGCTTGGGGTCATGGCGTTTAGGTGTAGAAAATCTTTGATAATCATTTGCTTGCAATGGGTGGTAATGCATGATTTAAATCAGAATTTTTCCAAGAGCCGAGGAGTTGCACTGAGCTTGATTGTTCATTCCCGAGATGAGTATTTGGGTTCAACCGTCCTGTGCGTACGTGGAAGGTTGAGAAGAAATGAGAGGGCCAGGGCCTTGGTGGTATCACGTGTCATTCAATTCATGAAAGCACATTCTGCGTTCGAACTTTTACGCTCTGAGCAGGACAGTGAAAAGGTATACCACACCTAGACCCAAATCGCTTCAGATACTTGAATCCTTTCGAACGCCATATTTGAATAAATGACTTTTAAGTTATTTTCTTGACCAAACGCAAACAATGTGTTATTTCCAAGCTGCCTGTCAGTGCCATGTACAGCTTCAGCTAGCTCCATATGCTCTAAGCGTTTATGAATAGTAAGTGCAGATCATGAAATAGTCATGTCATACATAAGCACCCTGCTATTCAGGAATAATGAGGAATCAAATGGTGAACAGGAGGTGTTTCGTGAGAACTAGAACAGTTGAACATACGTCGGATTGGAAGATAAATTGGGAAGATATATCACAGCCGCACTACATCCGTATACTAGAAATAAGACGCGCTTGATTCAAGCGATATGCATTGCTATCAGAAATCTTTGAACCTTTTTTACATTTTTTACATTTTGGGTCTGATGCCATCGAGGAAAATTGACGAGTGACTTCTTGCTTGTTTCATCTTTTTGATCAGATGATTCTTACTACATTCTCAAAGCAGGCGAACCATTGAATAGCTACATAATGTGAGCCTAGAAGATGAAAGCCTGCTAATAGCAGTATGCTCTAGTGGCAACTCGATTCTTCAACCTCATTGGCTATTCCCTATGGTTGTGGTCCCGAAAGGACTTTAATCCGTCTTTTGGCCGAACAGGTCTACTGGCAGCAATGTTTTTATCTTGAATATGCTCTGTTGTAGACAGACTAAAGTCCTTACAAGATTATAACCACGCCGGGGAGCAAAATGCTGGGCTACTGGCGTTCTGTTGTGAAGGGTCTCTGTAGTCGACGGACCGAGTTCTCTCTGAAATCGGAAGCGAGCTGAGTGTAGTTCTCCTTCCTTCCAAGAACCCTCCGTGGTGATTTAAAGCCTTTCAGGGGTCACAATCGGTCCGAGAGTTGACTACTAGACTAGCAGTGTTCTTTGTGACAAGCCCTAATGTTGACAGGTTAAGTCCCCAGAGAGTCATAACCGTTCTAGGTGTTAAGCTAGTATTGTTATTTGCGTTAGAGTCTTACAAAGAACTTGAATGGGCTAGACCTAACCTAAAAGAGATCAATATGTGGCAATTGTGAGCAGTAGAATTGCGGATAGGTGGTAAGTCTTTTCTTACCTGCTGCTCTCCACCCTGCTTCCCTCTCCCGCCCTAAGTCTCTTCCCTCTCCCTCACCTATTCTATTTACTTCTAGTTTTCATTCTCTGTAACATTCACAAGAAGTTACTCGCGCCGAAAGCAAACCTTCAGATTCAAGATCAATGGAATTAGGCGCATTACCTCTGGGTTCATTCCTAAGTGAGGTTTTTGCCCAGCTTCTCTGCTAAGAGTTTCAAGGCACTTAAAGATTGAGCCCAAAGCAGAAAGCTGTCTGAGCACCCGTACCAAGTATGCTTAAATAGTGTACCTGCTTTTGCATAGATCAGTCTCCCCCCTCTCTTATAGCCTACTCCTTGGTCTCGTCTTACTCTCCCTGCTAAAATGCACCTTTGTCTCAATATGCTTCATACTTTCTCTCTTTCCCTGGCTCTTTCAGAATCTTATGAACTTTTAATGTTTCTCACCTCTCATCTTCCTTTCTCTATTCCTCTCCCTTGTACTCCATTATTTTGAGAACTTCTCTAGGTCTTGACCCTCACGAGTCACCCTTGAGACCGGCTGCGGTGGATCTCCCATTGTCAAGTGGCTTCATAGGAAAGATCTAGATAGGCGAATCAGTCTACCGGAGTTACAACGGCTATTCGCTACGCTATTAGTGCTCTTTGTGAGAGAACCTACGTATGTAGATTATTGTACCTCCGGGATCGCAAGATATTCCGAGCCGAAGCTAGAGACGCGATCACCGTGTGTTTACTTTTCGTTCTTTCGATTTTGGGAGACGACAAGACTTTTCACATCTTTCAGATCGAACCACTCTCGACCGTGATCCTGCATCACCTCAAGGCAAGATGTCTTCCAAGGTAAATCTCACTTAACCGTCACAGAAGATCGATTAATCTCCAGGCTGACCGTGTTGTACTCCATCAGAAGAAGACAAAAAAGCCTCCCGCCCCTCGCCGTCCCCGCAATCTGCGCCTTGGACCCAAAGACTTCACGCTCTTCCGCAAACTCCCCAGTGAGATACGACTTGAGATTTACAAGCTCACCCTTCCTCCCGCACAGTTAATCACTATCACATCCGAGAAGAAGGTCGATAAGGACACAAATCTCTACTATTTTGAAGTTGGCGCCTTGTATCAAGTCCCGACTCTTCTCCACGTTTGCAAAGAGTCCAGAGAATTCGCAGAAAAATACTACTCCATTCAACTGCAAGACAATCTTGGAGGTAACGGCGTCTGGATGTCATCGAACGATGTCATTTTCTTCGAGAACGACGATACCTTCTTCGCTTTCTTTGACTCAGATGGATCTATCCCAAAGACTACGCTCACATGCAAACTTCCCGCCATTGCATTCAAAGAATGGCTATGGGGGTCTGACCCAACCGTACAAGTTCTCTTCAAGATGGGTCAGCCAGCCGATATCTACCAATTGAGATATAACGGTAGTCCCAGCATCTGGAATGTAGGATTCGAGAACAATCTATCGACCATTTGGGATTGGGAGGCTAAGATGCTTGGTTACGATTACCTTCGGCCCAATGTGCACACTATAACCTTCAAGAAGATGAGAGAGGTCTTGGTGAGTCTATGTATTGCGACCGCGAGGAAGTTCAATTAAAAGCTAATAAGTACACAGGAACAATGTCAACTACCAACCTTAATTCCCCGCCCTGAGACATCTTGATTCATCTGATTGAGTTGGGAATGGCTGAGTATCGGGACTTGTTTGCAAATCACGGCAGGAAAGTGAAAGGTCTGGAGAGTATGGAAATGGACGAATGGAAAATGCAACCTTGAAAAATCCAGCTGCAGAATGTATCTTCTCGATATGAACCATTCGTAACAACGCACCTCAGTCCCATCATTTCTTGACCTCAAAGTTAATGTCCTGCAATCTCCTTAACCACATCTTCTGTAGCCGCCTCCTAATTTTCACCATCAACCATAGTTACTTCTCCTGCCTCCAACTGTGGCCGCTTCTTTACCACACCGGGACCCAGTTCAGCCTTCGATCCAGTCAGTGAAATATTCTGTCTAATCGGACACATTGCTACTAACCAAGTCTGCTCTCAATGCCTTATAGGTCCGGGCTGCAACCGTTGGCTCCAAGTATTGAAGTCGGATGGCATCATGGACTTGCTCTACCCAGCTAGTGTTGACATGCAATTGTGTTGGTGTCAGGTCGTATGCAAAGCCACTGTAACGAACTAGGTAAACCTTTTCTCGCTTACCCATTGCGCCGAGCAGAACGGGCGAGAAGTTAACGTGAACTCCATGATAAGAACCTTCGAAGGCAATCATGTGAATCTTTTCCGTCAAAGGTCTTGTTACCCGGAACTCATGCTTAAAGCCAGTGGGACCCTGAACAGCTCCACACTTGAATCCCAAGAATGAGTCGGTGGCTTCACCCATGACGATAGTAAGGACATCTCTAGCAAGATCGATCCAGATACCCTTTTCCTGGTTGCTGAACCTTCCTTGGAAACAGTAGTCGTAGACTTCATAGCGCACTGTCGAGCTTCCTTGCTCACCATGAGGTAACTTGGGACTGTATAGCTGGGAATCGTCTCGGTCTCTCTAACCTCCGCATTCTCAACATTCACGCGACGAGCCGTGACAACGATAGGTTGACCATCCGGCAGGCTCAAGAGCCAGATCTCTTGTCGCAGCTCAAAGGGGAGTTTGTTGAAGAACTTGTCAAACTTCCTGGGTGTGTACCGCTTGTATTTCGATTGCTTGCGCTTTGGAGGATCATCTGCGAGCTGATTCGCTCATCAGCCTTGGGTTGACGCGAAAAGGAGGTTTGACGCGAAAAGGGGCTTTAACGCGACAGTAGAAGAAACTTACCAGTGGACCACTCTGTGAAGCTCCAACATCTTCTTTTTGTCCAGCCATCTCTTGTGATATTCGGATGGTGAAAAAGAGTATGTTGACAAGAGTATCAAAACCGAAAGAAAGATCTGGGTATACAAGAGTTGCAAAACAACGCTACTTGGCGAATGTTTGACGAACATTGCCTAGCGTAATTGCCTTTTTCTTTCTCTATCGATAAAAGATCTTATCGAAGACAGCCTCGTTCATTGTTTTGGTAGGAGCGGCCGCTTCGGAGGTTAATGTACATCTCCTGAGAAACTTGTATTGGAAGTTAGTTCATGCTTTTGTAATGAACGTTCTCCATGCTTTTGACTAGAATCTAGATCTGATAATATGCTATAGTCTGAACTTATGAAGAAGTCTATGTGCACAAGAAAGCAACCACAAGCGTTGATGATACAGGAATTAGAGACATCAGGTTTGCCCCTTGATGTCCAACGATTAGGATACTGAATTTGATACAAGGCTATATACATATATCGTTAATTGAAATCTTATGTCTACTAAGTGTGTTATCACTGCCTCTTATGCACTTCAATGGAGAGTTTGTTGGGAGCTAACCTGCGACAAGCAGGCTTGCTTTACCTCTTTGGAAACACTTAATGAAGAAGCGATATGCACCAACAACAACAATCATGTGTTTCTATTGAGATGTAGTGAGATGCACTCAAATCTGTTATTTAGGCTTCAAAGTTGCAATCAGACTTCGATTGATTCTTGGTTCTGGTGCGCATTGCTGGGGGATGACTAAATAGGAGCTCACGTGATCAGACATCGCTTAAATTTCAGGAGTTTCCTACAGAGGCGTGAGTAAGATTCTGCGATCAAGACTGGAAGGGGCGGTGCACCCTCTCTTACCCGAAACCCCTTTCTTAAGAAGCCTTAACAGCCTGACATAGTCTACCGGTACTCACTAAATTAGGGTGCAGCAGGTGAGAGCTCGCACTTACTATTGCACTAAGTGGGCACCTTGAAGCTCTGAGAGTATTGACTTTGAAAGTTCGATGTAGATTCTAAGTGAAAACGCAGATCAAAGACGGGCCACTTTTTTTGTTAACTAACATTGGACGTTTAGTAAATTTCACCCGCAAAAAATCCTCCACGCTTAATCCCTTTAGTAAGGTTTCGGGAATTAATTAGACTGCTATGTCTCTGTTACATACAGCTGCGAAACTTTTATGATGGGAGGCGCTTATATCGCCATTAGTTGACTTGTGCAGACCCTAAACTAATTACAAGACAAAGAGTTGTACGTGTGGTGGTTTGCCTAAGAACAAATCATCTGTCGTTGACGACTACAATAGCTGGAAGCTTGTAGGTTTTTGTGAAAGCTTTTACAAGATGCTAATTAGGCTAGAAGATAGTTATATGAGCTCTTCATCCGACTCTGGTCTTGTTCTTTGTGTTTGACAGAAGCATTAGACGTGAAGACGCCTTTGATCTAATCTAATCCACGTAATAAACCCTAAGATCCACGGACCTTGCCATGATCAATATCCGAGTTGTTGACTACTCTTCAATAGATCAATTGTTGGGGGTTTGAAATTGGGCCTGACAATGCTGGAGCATCACTAACACAGTCCAACAAAGCACGGGTCTTGTTGTAAATTTGCAACAACTTTGCTTGCATTTTGTTCTTCGCCCTTGGTCATGCAAACAAAGTAAATTGAATGCCAGCCTTCGGCCAAATAAAGACCACAGGGAAACACACTAGGGCCGTTAAAATTGTCCGCCAGGGTCCTATCAACAGAGAATATCTTGGCTTTTGCACATATGGGCCGCCCGCGACAGATTTCTTTTCAAGGTGACGAGGGACTCATTTGATTGCATTCAAGGTAACTGAAGACACGAGGTTTTGTTGACGAGTCATGCTGTAAAGATGAGGTCGAGGGGCGACGATCCCATCATCCAAAGCCAGAAGCCAAGATTTTGGCGAGCGTCGAATCGAGAAATATCAACGTAAGCTAACACAGCGCATGTTTTTAAATAAATATTATGCTGATTCAATGTAGTGCACACGTAGACATAGGAAACCTTACAGATTCCCGGGGTACAGGTTCTTGAATGCTGGAAAGCCTATATAGTACTTGCCAGCTTCTTCCTCCCTTCCGATCAGCCAAGATACGCACTGGCTGTGGCTAGAAAACACAAAGCGAATTTTGGACAAGACAATCACTTTGGCTGTTTTCTGGGAAACTTGGCGTTGAGAAGACGACTCGAGGGAGCGTGGGTCGGAGCCATCTTCAATTCTACTGCTCGTATGAGAAATCTTTGATAGTCCGCTAATCTAGATCCTCTACATTCCTTGCTTTTGTATACAGCCAGCAATTCTCGTTGCTGCCTTCTCTGAAATGACGAAAGCGTAGTTTCACGTGACTCGAAGCTAAAATTTGTAAAGCGCCTCGGCTGCCAACCATTGTTTACATCGCAAAGTTAAACCATCCACAATCAGAAGCATTGGTCACGCCACATATTTCCCGCGCTCTCCGCAGCGCTTGAAGATTTTTACCTCAACCAACTTCATCTTCCACCAAACAAAACCACAACCAGCCTCAACTCACCCCTTCCTTCGACAAAATGCTTCGCTCGCAAGGCGCTCTGTATAACAGAGCAGGACAACATGTAGGCTACTGACGAGTCCACCAAGAATGGCATGATTCTAACAGCATCATAGATCGGACTTGACGAAGTCACGAATCTGAAGCCCATGGAGGTCCCGAAGGAGGTCATTGAATTGTTGATGTTACGCCAACCAACAATGCCCGTCAGATCGAACAAGAAAGAGAGGAGAAACAAGAAGAAGAAGAACAGCCAACTTCATCGAGAGCGTGCTGCACTCAAACGAGTCACCCGCCTGGGCAATAGCGATGGAGACAACAAGTTCAAGTTCGACCCCGATCGCCCCTACGAGACTGGAAAGACTCTCACCGAGTTCACACTCTTCAATGAGCTTGCCCCGGAAGTCCGTTTCATGATCTGGAAGGAGGCATTCCCTGCTCCTCAAGCTGTCAAGATTCGATCAGACGCTGTTAACTACGAACAACGCCCAACCCTCTTGACCGTTGTCCACCGCATGCGCTATCGTGCCAAAGGATCCTACGTTCCCTCTCCGTTGTTGTCAGTCAACGCTGAGTCTCGCGAGCTCATGGAAGCCGAATATCCCCTTCTCTTTCATGCTCAACTCGGTGGTCGACCAATTCGATTCAACTTCGAGAAGGACATCCTTTACTTCCTGTGCCCAGCGGCGGTCATCAATTTCTACGGTGGTACTCTTCCCATGTTCGCCGAGGAACTTCAAACCTTTGGCTTCGTCTACGATATGAGTGACGCCCATGACAAGGTCCAAAATATCGCAATCGGTAACATCAAGTTTCACAAAGCTTCCATGGGTTCAGTCCTCAACATGTTCAAGGCTTTGAAGACCGTTGTTCTTGGTGTAGCCAAGGGTGAAGATATTATCCAGGACAGTGATGGCGTTATTGACCACATGACTGGCGACAGTAGACTGGCTTTGGGCTGGGAGAGATATCAAGGCTTCAAGACCATCGAGGACGGTAACATGCCAGCAATCAAGCGGCTCCGAGCTGATGAATTCAAGAAGTTGATGGTGGTCAAGTACAAGGTAAGCTCGAGATCATTTCTTTGCTTGAATATTTCTAACTTCTCGAAGCAGACCGGTCGCCAACGAAAGAAGGCTCCTAGTCTTGTAATCAAGCCTATTCCCTTCTCCCCAGCAGCCATGGCGATGGTTGCCGGAGCTATTCCTGCCTCGAACGCCTACATCTCACCACCGAGCAGCGCGACCTTCGAAGGCGTGGATACTATGATGCAAGACGAGGATGCTGAGTCTCCAAAGGAGCTTGTGTGCTTCATGGGTCGCAATGTTCGCGTCAACTGCTAGGTGTTCATTCGTCATCATTGAAGTACTTCTCAAGGACCACACTTCATGTGATCTCCGTAGAAAAACTACAGTGGGCGTATAGGTGCCATGGTAGACTGACCTTTCGTTGAGCTGTAGATCGTATGCAAGTACGTGCTGCAGACTGGCGAATGGTCGGTTGGAGACTGCATGGACTTGACAGGTGAACTACGACTGAGCTTGTAATGATTTCGTGGGAGGCCGTGTAGCTAGACCGCGCTCTGGTAGAATCTTCAATACAAAGCTTTCCCGTACAAACAAGCTTTGCGATTTTACATAAGGGTAATTTTGGTGCTTCTGATTCTGCCGTCATGTTTTACCTTCCCATCTTCAAACCAGCTTCCACTTCATGATACTCTGCCCATACCTTTGCTACAAATCCCAGTAAGATGGAACAACCCTAGGAGGGCTTACTGTAGGTTCCATTAAAGCGCGCCGCCTTCAAGGATTGGAAGGAGAAACGATAGTGGTGTCTCTGTGTCCATAATATGTTGAAATCCTGTCCCACTATTTTGTTCAACTTCACCTTTAAAATTCGCTAAGTGATGTTTTTCTCCGCACAGCGCTGCGAAGATCAGATGACTGAATCAGGAAATGACGCGACTGACCAGCCAGGTAAGTTGATGCGTCGAAAGAGACGGTGGAGGTAGCTAGATGCGACTTGAAGGGAGGTAGAGTGCGCGTATCAAGAATGCCGGTTTCTACCACACGGCGTAGATCAGCGACCTAGAAAAGCTCCGAAATTGTGTCTGATGGCCGGGATCTTGTGATTTATAAACTCCGTCCTGTGACCGAGTCAGATTATGATGATGCGAAGAGGAACCTTGAGCTCAGCCGCATGTTCTCTCTGGTCAAGCCTGCTTTGCAACAAGCAGTGATGTGATGCACTCAACTCGTATTTAAAGCCCGGTTAGTCTCCCGGTAACATTCGTCGACAGCAGATAGCCCTTGTAGAGATATCATATTTAACTGGATTGAAATCTTGCGATGCCTGTAGTCTCTAGCTTGACTGTCCATCATCACAGACAGAATTCCTCGTTTGAAGCTTGGAATGACTTGTCAGGGGAACGATGACGGCTATTAGGTAGACCAATGCACAAGTTTATTTGACAAACATAAGACGAAATATATAGCAAGAGAGTTGCGCTTCCAATCGCATAAGGATTAGAGGCGCAAGAAACAGCGATTCAGGGGAGTCTCTCGCTTACCTCGCCTAGCGTATAATCTCGAGGATTACATGAAGTAATTTCGTACTTCTCTCCCCACAAGAGCGCTCCGTGAAATTCACATCGAACACTGCTTAACAGAAAGTCACAGTAGGGGGACGTCAAAGCACTGCACCTTTTCTTCCCAATCGCATATACTATATACATTCCACTAGCGGACCAACTTCAAGAGGAGCCACTAGTAAGTCTTGGCGAGCGGTTGGGCTAGTGGCCCCCATGTCGAGCACATATATTCCTCGATCTCGCCCATTATCGCAACACATCTGTCTTTCAACACAAACATCTTTCAAACACTCATCGATCATACGTCTAAGCCCCTACAATATACATCAACATCAACATCAACCGTTCTGTACGGTAAGATCTTACTTTCGGCAAGGAAGCACTTCTGAGACACCGTCTCCTTGAAACGCACGACATTCAGAGCCCTTCCACTTCGATATCTTGACTTCTCCTTCTATCAGACCCGCCGAGAAATTACATTAACACTGTCACCATGTCCCATTCCAATCCCACTTTCTCGTCCAAAAAGGTTCCCGCCGCTGTGCAACGCATCGAGCGCAAGCCAGGCGCAAACGCGGACGTCACAATTACTGCTCATAGCATCGAGCGCAACGAATTCCGCACTTCCGCTCGATATTATCGCAAGGGTAGTAAGCTACGACCAAACATGTGTATTTTCATCGCAGCAAGTAATTCCATCGCTGACGACCTTTTGAGCGGCACGACGGCCCCTGAGAAGAAGACCTTCCTGGCCATGAAGATGTTCGAAATTGTCATCTGCGAGCAATGTCTCGAGTCTGTCGAAGGCAAATCCACTGTTCTCAACCAACTCTAAGTTATTGCCTCAATCATTGATCGTATCCAGAACTTGAGGATAGTAATTAAGGTACCAAGTCACTGTACTGTCACTACGTTCGCTGAGTACAAGAGATCTGGGTACCGCGCCTTCTTGATGAAGGCAGTTGACGCTCTTGAATTCTTCAAGTCGATGCAGGTGATGGACGTAGTCTTGGATCTCCCTCATTGCTGTACTACAGACATGCCAGACATTGATGCCGCTTGGGGATTTGTCTTCCCGTTCTATTCTTTAACGACGTTCACCAACTGGAAGATTAGGTTTCAGTTTTATGGCGGTCGTAGTCAAATGATTTTCAAGGCGAACCTCAGGAAGCTAGATGAGAAGTACGACGCATTCCGTGCAGGTGGGACATAGAGGGTGTGCGTCTTGAGATGAAGAATATCATCTTCGATGGGAATTCGAAAGGACCCTTTGACCAGTATCCGGTGGACTGAGATATATGCTGGTGCCTAGATTTTACTCAGTACTAATCCACACGATCTACAAATAAGACGGAGATTGCAATTGGGGAATTGGACTTTCTTGGGAGTCATACGACCAAAGAGGTCTCTACATGGGTGTGCTATTGGAGTGGGCGTGGAGTTTTTGCTATTCATGTAAACATCGCAACTAATTAGTGCGACCTCACATTTCGAATGGAAATCTTGAGATTTCACCGTCAACCCAAATTATTTCGATGGGTACCTTGTCTTTCCTTTGGAGAACAGCAGTTCTTAAAGCTATCTTCGATCGTGAATATATTACACGTTGGTTAGTATGTGCGCAGGTCCATGGCTAGCAAAAGGATGCTCCTCAATTCGGGCTTTTTCATACGAGTCTTGCTCTCATGTAAGCTTTATGAACAATCTTAAAGCATTGGTGATAATCAATATTGGCTATATGGATCGCGAAAGGTCTGTGAACTTGTTTAAGACTACTTAGATAGAATCACAGAAGGCCGGAAGCAAGATTGGATAATGGAATTCCGATTGAGGACAGTTTTGATCTTCGTAGTACTATATTGGATGATTCGAAGGGAAAAAGCTCCTAAACGCCTGCCTGACTCAATCTTGAACGAACTCTGTCTTTGTTGCCTTCTTGTTGAAGGTGCTCGACCAGAATTATTGGAAGATCATTCTTGTCTCACGTTCATAGCTTTCATCTGAACCTTTATCCGAAGGTAATGGAGGCCTCATCTGTTACGCTACCAATAGCGTGTTCGCTGAGCCCTTCTTACAGTATCGCATATTTTTTTCTCAATTTAATACCAACATCTCAACACATCTATTCGACACCCGCGATCGACCTCGTCTTCGATTCTGAGCTCTTGATAACCATTTCCATTGCAAAGAAATCCATCATTGTTGCATCTCGCGATGCTCTCAGCGGACGGTACTCAGTAAGAGGCGCAAACGGATTCCCCATTTGCTTCGCGATTGCTAACATCAATCAAAGCAAGATCAATCTTCTGATCCAACAACCTCTACCGCAAGCTCTTTCGATAGCCAAACTCTGCTCCTGAACGCCTCTTTCGATGTATTCCCAAAATTGCCTCCGGAGATCCGCGACGAAATTTGTAAGTCTTGACTTGCCATAGCATGTCGTGCTTCTTGCTTTCTCGGGAATCATTGTCTCTACACAGCTGTGAAGCGCGCTGCTACTACATGCACATATAGACATAAATTTGAGCTGTTACCTGTTTTGCTAACTGGGTCGCTGGCTACAGGGAAACTGGCCTTGCCTCGGTTGCGTTACATCCATATCTCCGTGAATGAGCCAGACGTCGATGGTGATCAACCTATAGCAACCTATCCTGCGGTCAAGATCAGAACCCAGGTTCCGGGAATGCTAGGTGCTTGTCAGCATTCTAGAGCTATAGCCTTCAAGTACTACATCCCACAACTCCATATCCGCTTCGATGGATCTCCAATCAACATCGATCACGAGACGGATATTTTTGCTTTCGAGAGTGAGCGGACCATCCCAGGATTCTTCGGCGATGATTCACGATGGAACGACGAGATGGAGGCGTTCTTGGGCAATATTCGCAAGATTATGGTTCGGGGGAGACAGCTCAGTTTCTGCGTGGGCATCTTTTTCACGGTGTTGAAGAAGGTCAAGCACATATCACTAGAGACTGAGTCTGCTCTTACACTTGGTCTTTCAAATACTGTAGGCTTCAAGTATAACAAGACATACGATATGCTTAGACAGTCGTGGCAGGTTTGGGGCCGATCAAATGAAGAGTTTCCTACACTTCATGTCGTTTCCAGCGGTAAGATGGATGAGCTGGTGGCTGCTGGGAGAAGTGTAATGGGAGACTCTGCAGATTAGGGGGATTTGGTTACGTCGCTGGAGGAGGGTTGCGGGTAGAATAACCAAGTCGATCACCGTCTCCCCATCCATGATCTCTAGATAGACTTTGGCATGATTGTGGCTTATGTCAATGTAAGAACAACACATCATAAAACTCTGAAGGATAACGTGTGTCTTCGTGTTCACCCGCAAGTCTGAACCCCCGATTAGCTACAGCTGCATACATATGTAACTCACCAGGTTCAAATGAAATGCTTGATATATTTTGTACACAGCATTAAAAATGCAATGAGCGACATGAGAAGCAAAACAAATACCAAATCTGTGTTTGTTTTGCATTCCCAAATTATTTTGATTGTCCCACATTCTTCTCTTCTACCCACGTGCATGCTCCAATCGCCTCAAAAAGAAAATAAAAAATAAACCTACTTGTGTTTCTTAAATCAATATTACAATAAGCGAAATCTGCCTCGATACAAGGTGCTTGATAGGCAAAGCAGCTTTATTTCTAGCGCGGGCGGGGGTGTTTCTCAAACAGAACACAGCCTTGGAGCAAGAGAAACTACACATTCTGTGATCTTCAATGTTTAAGCTTGGATAGTGTTCTACAGTTCCCATAAGCTTTGTTGATTTGATTTAACAGATTCTATAAGTCAGTGAAGGCCTGTTTCCTTGTTTTGGCTTCATGCTCTTGCCACTTGTGGGAATCGCTTGACTCACCGAGTATAAGAGCAAGGAAAAGTGCTGACCTTTTGCTTTCTTCTCCATCCCTAGTCTTACCATTGTACACTTGAATCATCACAGGCTTAGAAATCAGAGTCCTCTCCGCTGTTGGGGATATATAGAGCTAAAATTTGAGAAGATCTAGGACATTACAGTCATGTGATGACAATGTAAGTAACTCTGAGCACTAACAAACATGAGTCATAACTCCTAAGAAGCATAAACATTTCCGTAATACGCTACCAATCCAAACCCGCACGCTTCCGTTCCAACAAATTAAACACAACACTTCTGCTCGCTGCAACACTTCTGCTCGCTGCAACACTTCTGCGCGCTGCACAACCGCCGAACAAGACTCGTGCACACTCTCTTCATCCGACGGATCAGGTATGCTCTTCATCTATCAATGTCTTCATCACTTATGAGCAGCGTGCCAGCATCAGCTGAGTTTGCAACTACAAATCTTCCGAGTCATATCCACCCCGCCCCCCACTCTGTCTCCAATGCCTTTTGACGGATTCGCTAACATCTATTTGCTTGCCATCAGTAGCTTATTGTACTTACTCATCAAACATCATGATAGAAACAATGTACACGATGGAGCTTCAGCTCCCAGGAGGCGTTCTTCGGATGCGCTTTGCACCCAATCTACTAGAGCTTGCGGTCTCATTCACGTACGGCCTCAAAGATGCTCTATTATGCCCCCGACAAATCAGCGGTTCGTTTTCAACCAGCACCTCCCCCATGCTATCACAAAGCTAACATGTATCCAGGCTCGCTGATCACTTGCTGTAGCGCACATGCTTGCCTTGGTGATCAGTACCTTGGTCTTCCTACAGTGGGCGGTGACGAACCTCGGGCTGGAAATCGAGGACTGGAGGACGAATCGGAGGCAAACAGATACGACATGGAAGAGCTCGATGACAGCAGCAAGGATTTCCATACTGAATTGGATAATACAGTAGACGAGTGTGGATTACCGGAGGAAAATGCGCAGAGAAATGAGGATGTTGACAGCAAATACAAGCAACTCGACAACCGAGCAACCGAAAGACTCGATCTGTCGCTCGAAGAACTATACGCAAAACTCTTGCAAGACGTCGAAAACAATGACGAAGATGAGTTTGGACAGAAAATCGAGCTCTCGGCTGAAGAATTCCTTGGACGTGTAGCTTGTCAAGATGAGAGACGTGCCGCTCGAGATGCCGGCCGCGAATATCAATACGCTGGAAAGGAGCTCTATGCCATCACCACATGGCGATTGCCAACTCTTGCTTCCAGCTACAAGCACGCCCTCGCCAAAGAAGCTTGGAAGGCCTCCTCATCTTCCCTTTTCGGTCACGCTCCTACTGAACCAGTAGAGTTCCTTCCGTTTCCACGGCTGCCAGTCGAGCTCCGACTCGAAATATGGGAAAACGCAATTCCAAAGCAAAGAAAAGTGGCAGTCATTTCCCTAGATGGAGCCTGGTCGACTCTGTATTCTACTAGAGGCAGGGTCGAAAGGGGAACGGCCTTTCAATCTCGAGCTCTTACTCAAGTCCCTGCAATATTACATGCCTCAAGGGAATCGAGAGAAGTAGCCCTCGGACATTACAAGCCTTGCTTCGGTGCCCACTTCGATGGGAATCCTGTCTACTTCAACATATCCGAGGATAAATTACTCTTCCAAAACTAGAAGGCAATTCAATCCTAGGTACGGAATAACCAGCTAGAGTCAACGGAGGATCTTATGGAGCTGTTGAGAGAGGACATGCAGCTAGAAATGGAGCTCCAGCACTTGCAAATAGGGACAAATCCATCAGACAGTATATTCGATCTTCCGAAGAGAAACTTTCTCACTCAGTTCAGATCTTTGAAGACTCTGACCATAAGCCCGCCTTGGCCACCATATATGGACGAATTAGTAGAAGGTACACCAGATGGTGCCAGGGTTCTCCGAGAGCAGCCATGTGTCAATGAGGTGATTCGAGGTTTGGGCGGAAACAGCGGGACGACCATGCCAGAGCTGAAGTTCTCTAGATGTGAGGATTCTAATGTCTTTGCAATGACAAAGGCAAGTCATTTTAGTGTCAGACGATGAAACTTCTTGCTAACATGCCTAGGAATTTACCTCAACTCGTGAGGCCCCTGTGGGGATGCCTCTGGAGATAGTCGAATATGTGGAAGAGTCTGACTGATGAACAATGAAGTCTCCGTGTTGGAAGGAAAGAAGTGTTCTAGTCCATACGCCAACAATTGCTGTTTATAAACGGGGCCCCCGCCATTCACGAATGGCATGTGCCATTCATAAATAGCGGGGTGTTTACGTATGGCACCTCCTATTTATCAACTAGCCCTGCCATTCATAAACAATTAGAGCATATCGAGCTAGCCATGGCTAAACAGCGCCATTCATAAACCGCCCGGAAATAAGCCCCTGATCTGAGCTTAGCACTCTAGTACTTCAGCACGTTAGCACCTCAGCACTTTAGCACCTTAGCACTTCAGCATCTCAGCACTTTAGCATCTCAGCACTTTAGCATCTCAGCACTTCAGCACCTCAGTTTTCTAAGACTTTTGCACTAGAGGAGGTGCCAGAGGTGCCAGAGGTGCCAGAGGTGCCAGAAGTGCCAGAAGTGCCAGAGGTGCTGAGGTGCTGAGGTGCTGAGACCAGGGCCTTATTCCCGAGTTGTTTATCAGTGGCGCTGTTTAGCTATGGCTAGTTGAAAAAGCTCTAAAAGTTTGTGAATGGCAGGGCTAGTTGACAAACAGGGAGTGCCATACATAAACCCCCCGCCATTCATGAATGGCGGGGGGTCAGTTCATAAACAGCAGGTGTTCACGTATGGACTAGAACAGAAGAATGACAAGTGCTACTTGGATAGATGGGTGTATTTTCACAATGATATGTAAATTTTCGTATGGAGGAAGAACCAAATAGGCTCTATGGTTGAAGAGGATAATGTGCGTTCGTCCCATCAAATTAGTCAAGAATTGGATTTTTCATCATGGAAATTGTAACAGGTGTCCACCGCCCAGATTTTTGATCCTCATATTTTCTTTATAGTGAATTTGGACTAATTGGTACCCTTGAGCTCCTCTACAGCCGACCGCAACTACATGTTATCGGAGTTCCTCCGTCAAGTTTTAACTTGAGTATGATCTCTTCTCCATACACTAACTCTAAGCCTGAAAACTGTGGTGAAAACAGTTCCTCGTCTCCAGTACAACAATCTATTGATCAGCACATGTCTCCAATTTTGAGCTTCTCATATACACATTGTCTGTCCTTGATTCCATATTTATGAGGTATAAAAGCCAGAAATCCAGCGAACTAACGCAGTCAGTATAACCGTAACCCAAGGTATACTGAATCTGATGATCTTTTGTTAGGGTCTTATCTAGAACCAGGACCTCGCATCATTCGGGTGACTGCGGCTGAAGTACATCGTTTTTATGTACCGTTCGAAGAGCCTCGGCGACTCTGACGAAGAGCATGCCAGCGAACGATCAATCAAGCCTTCCTATAACAGGTACTCGTTACGGTCGCAAATCATTCACCCGAGTCTAGAGGGATATATATGTAGCGAAACCAGAGCTATGTTGGTGAACAGATATCCTATGTGCTTCGAGGTCTCATTATGAAACAGAAGTATCCATTGCAACCACGAATATGATACATTGTGCTTCGTCGCAGCTTCAACATTGCATTCTTTCGAGTTAGCATACCTGCAGAACTTGGTCTATGGTCGTGAACAATGGGAGCCGACGAGGCGTTGTCTGAAAATATTATCTGCCCGATCAAAGGGAGCACGCTTCGGCAGCCTCTCGGGGTACAGCCATTCCCTAACATGACCTCCGTCAGCATGGAAGCTGGAAGCTCTATCAGTGATAATCATCTGCAATTTATGGCCTTGATATCATCGCCCTTTTGATGCGAGGTTTTCAACTAGAGCGAGACACCCAGCTGCTAGAAATTAAATTGTCAACTACGAGATCTGAAGCTTTACAACATACGATGGCTTCAGAAAGTCAAGAAGTAAGTTCTGATCTCTTCGCACCCTGGCACAAGCTAAGAGGATGAAAGTGTGCTGTACCGAAGACCAACTTTACTAAGAAGCCGCTTTTTATTCGGGGTAAGGACATGAAATACATGGAAAACTGCTCGATTTATGATCCAGCAATTGAATATGTTGGAAATTGCTACTACACTTCCCCTTGACCAAACACCACCTTCTCTGATCAATTCCGGGATCCTGTCCTTCAGCGGAATGTGAGTCTGAAGCCAATTGAGATGGGGGGAAATGCTGACATTAGTAGTCATTACGCTCGACGGAAGCAGTGGAATATAGAAGAGATACCAGCTCTCACTAGGATGTATTAAAGTTGAGATCAACCTCCAGAGACGATGAACAGATTGACAAGAGTGTTCAATCAATATATGCGGCGGACGTTTTGCTTCTTCGGACTCTATCATATCTCAGATAGGTTCAGCTACGGACGGCATGGCTCCTTGATAACGTGTGTATGTTTCTGATATTGTTAGTGGGAAAGGTATTCTTGACTTGATTCAGCTCGCACTTCACAAGTCTACTTTAGCTACGAGTTAATGGCAACGACCATGCGATAGGTACGTAGTTTAGGAAGGAGACAGTCGAGAAGAAGTTTTGCAAACCTAAGATCACTTCTCTGTGCATTAAATCGCAAGTTCCACGGCATAACTCCTGAATTCAAGCTATAATCTGCAGGTGATGGTGACTTCAAGTGCGGCGGCCAGGGATTTCTCCGACTGTCAAAGCCGTATTCCCGGAGTCCCGGAAGTTCGAACCTACTGGTAGACACTGGAATTTTTTGACTTTTATTTATTCACCACACGGGCTGGTGGCTCGTGATCGTGCTCTTTCCGCAAGTGGTAGTAGTTGTTAGCGTTCTCGCTTACATAACCTTATTTTCTCGACAAGATACCCAGGTACCTTCCTCGAGATCGCAATTTCAACTTCTTCTAAATTACAACATCGTTTTCGACTTGCGACAACAACCGGAATCATGGGCATCCTCCAATCGTGAGCATCCCCATTCCTTGTTCATCACCCCCAAGTTTTTATTTGCGCGCAACGCCCTACTTGAAATTCACTAATCTTGAGCAGCACGATGAACCACGAGTCGATCCCAGAAAGTGCCCAAAGCACAATCTCAGATACGCGCGTACAAGACCAACAACAATCAGCGGAGCCCAATACGGATCAATATCCAGATATTCGTATTGCACTGACGAGTTTCACCCTCTTCCCGAAGCTTCCCATTGAACTCAGATTCTTGATCTGGAAGCTTGCGCATGACGAGCCACGAGTTCTTAATATTTCCAAGAGTGACAGGGCCAGAGAGCCTTTTTCTCCATCTACTTATCGAGTACGTCCGATGTCGAGTCCTCCACCGCTGCTTCACACGAATAGAGAGGCAAGAAAGATTGGCTTGGAGCTCCGACAGCTGTGTTTTAAGTCCATGTTAAACAACAAGCCAATGTACTACAGCTTTGCAAAAGACTCACTGCTGCTGGACGGTGTCGAAACTTGTTACTGCTTCACCCACCATTACTTCAACTGCAGTCCACTGCGCGGATTACGTCACCTCGCCAAAGCCAATGACGAGTACGGAAACCTCCCTGGCTCGGTGCAAACCGTCATCTACAGACCCCGAGGTGCTTCTTTACGAGCGCTACGAGATTTTCACAGTGTTGAAAGACTCGTGGTGTGCCGGGATGACTCCTGGCCGGCGGAAAGGTATCAAAGGATCGTTCTCAAGAACCTCTCCAAGTGGTGGCGAGCAAAACTGGGGTCAGCTTTCATTCTACCAAAGATCAGTGTACTGTCCCGGGCCGAGATGGACAGAGTGACGAACAATCACCAGGTAATGCCACTGTGACCACGATTCTACGAGACACTAACATTTTGTAGATAGACGAACAGCTAATACAAGAAAGATTAGTCCCAAACTACTGATGCAGATTTCTCAAAAGATACATTCGCTCTCATCGCTTCTATGGTTCGACGATCAACGCCTTCCGTGACATTTCTAAACCACACTCGGCTGAGAATACTTAGTGCAGAAAGTGGGAAGTGTGATGTGGGAAATGGGAAGTCAGAGCAGGGAAGGACGCACTGGCAACAAAAAGTTTGGCGTGTTGTGCAAACTAGCTGCTACCAAATCGATCCTCAATGCGAGAGCTTTTCCATCACAGTTCTCTTTTGGTCTCAAATCTCGCTCAGTTGAATCGTGCTGAAGTCTCCCCTCTCAAGTTCATTGGGTATTTTGTCCACTTTCGCGTCAGCGCCCGCCACTGTCTATTAGCTTCTCCCCTGGAATCAGACCGTGTCTTGTTTTATGTGGAGTTGTGGACTAATACGCTCAATGTTCTTCCATAAGCACAGCCTTACGTTGAAATGACAGTCTCCAAGTTCACGTCTCTTTCGATTTATAGACCAAATCCTCGCTTTCTTGTAAGTTCGTCGTATTCTAAGTGCCTCGAACTTTTGAGTTGAAAACTCTATTCAAGACGTGCATCACCAAAGCAGTGAATTTCGAAATAGTCATAGCCCTCCAGTCTACTCTTCAGCCTACTTTTAAGCTCCCGAAATGCTATTTTAATGTTGCACCTATCAAAGCGACGTTACCATATCTACTCACACCGAAGGATTGTCCACTCGAGGAATATAGTGTCTTGAATATCCAAGTGACGCATCTAAATCTGAAGCAATAATCCGCTCTAGTACTTGACTGTCCAACAGCTATCCAGAATACTCCTGCATAATATTCCCACATACCTTCTCAGTCACCCAGACTTCTTAATAGCAACAATAACATGCACTCCACTATGAATTTGGCATTAGACACAAGAACAACACCAATCACAAACCCACCAACTGAATCACCAACTCACCGAAATGTAACCATAAAAGCCACCTCTACTCTTCCTGGCCGCAATGAAACAAAATAACAACCAACATGTCTTCCCCAACAACCACCCAACAAGACCCAACATTGGAGCTAGACAATTCACATCCCAAGCAACTACCGCAATCACCAATCAACTCAGACCCTCTCAAGACAGAAACAGAACGAAAAGAAGCATCAGCCCTACCCTTCGAAGACGGGCCACGTTTCGCATTATGGTGGGATAGGAAGATGTGGGAATCCGCCATGGCGGAGAACTTTCGACTCGAGAAGGAAAGGATTAAGGAGAAGATGAGACGAAGAGGTGCTGAGAATGTGGGAAATGGATCAGGAAAGGGGGTGAGGATGTCGAAGTTATGAAGGGCATTCAAAGACATACGTTCATCTGACGTACTATACGTAAGAAGTGAGTGAGCGAGTAGATGTAATGCATGGTTTCAAAGAAAACCTTAGTCGTAAACATAAATTCGCTAGCTAAAACAACCATCAAAATCACCGCAACCTTTTCCCTCTCTTTGATTTTTACTGCATGAGCTCCTAAAAAGCACCAGCAATAACCCCCATCCCAAGCAGAGCCGCAACACCCATCGTGCCATACGCCCTCTCTGCGCCGGCCGTCACTGCGTGCAATTAGCACCTCTGCCACAAACCGAAAAGAAGATAAGAGCCACTTACTGGTACTCGCGCTCGGTGCTGTAGTCGTAGCTGAGACGCCACTTGTGAAGGGGACTTGACTCACGCTCGATGCGCCTGCGAACACGACCGCTTGTGTCGAAGCTGCGGGATTGGGTGTTGCTGTGCTGTTTGCTGGGTTTAAGACACTATTTCGCATCTCGTTAGCCCTCTTCCACTCGTCCACCCCGAAAAGAGAAACAACTTACTTATCAATAACATGCATAACCCCATTCGCCACAATAATATCAGTAATAGTAACCATCGCCGCATCAACAAAAACCTTCTTATTCACAGCCTCGACCGCGACCTCGGTGCCCATCAGCGTAGGGAACGTCTCGTTTGCCAGCCCGGTGGACAGAAGGGTGCTGTACCCCACGGTGCCGTTTATGACGTGGTATTCGAGGATGGATGATAATCTTTCGATTCATCAGTGTCTTACTTTCTGACTCCCAAAGAATAGCGGGGACTTACTGCGTAGTAGACAAAGCAGTGGTCGCGGACCCGATGGCTTGGAACGCTGCGTTGGAAGGGGCGAAGATGGTGACATCTTTCAGGAAATCGACAGCTGAGACGAGGTTTGTCTTCTCGAGGCCCCCGGCCAAAGCAGTTAGGGAGCTGTCGAGAGCGGAGGTGGATGGTGGGAGAGGGACTGTGAGGACGGTGTCGATGATGTGGATTACGCCGCCGGTGAACATGACGTCCTTTTTCTCATCAGTGACCGCAAGGAGAGAAGGGAGGGAGGGAGATGGGGAGATGAGCGTACAGCAGTGGTAACTTTACTAATTTCCTTCAACCCACTCATGATTTCGACCGTCTTCCCGCTCAACATGCCCGCTACGACCTGACCGCCCGTTACATTCGTGAAACTCGCATTTGTCAACAGAGTCGGCACGAATTGCTCCTCGGTAGTAAACGCCGTGGAAGGGAACGAGCCGTTCAGGACGTGGTATTCGAGGAGGCCGGCGACCATGCCGGAGTCCTTTGAGGCGGACATGCCGCCTGCGGTGGCGAGGAATTTGGTGAAGGCGTCGTTGGAGGGGGCGAGAATTGTGATGGGGGATGCGGAGGAGAGGGCCGCGGAGAGGGATGGTTGCATCGCGAGGAGACCTTGGAGATGGTGTTAGTGTGGGATAAAAGGATGGTAGGGGAGGGGATAGGTACTGACTGGAGAGGGTGGAGAGGGTTTTGTTGTTTGCGGTGAGGACTTTGGATAGAGTCATGGTCTGCGCGGACACGAGTCCTGCTGACAGAAGGAGGGTTGTGAACAACATCTTGATATAGGAAGATGGAATTAAAAGGTATAGGAGGAAAGAAACTTGAGCTCACAGAACTTCAAGCTTGGAGAGAAGAGAAAATGAGGGCAAAGAGACAGCAGACGAACGACGGAAACAGAAGCAGAGGAGAAGAAGAGCGAGGGAAAGAAGGGAAGGATATACATTTTCGCATGGCTTTCAGTCGGAGCGAACGCATTAACCATCCCTCCCCTTCAGAAACTCCTTCGAGTAAAAACGAAGCATCACAGCGCGGCACAATGCCGATTCCGAATGTTCGATGCGTTCCATACATCAATACCCATGGCCGACTCTCGAAAATGCTTGGCCAGATCGCTTTACCCGGAAGCTAAGGAGGAGACAGACCACTTGGAGACCCTTCGCTAAGGTGAAGGGATTTAAGGTTATGTCGATCTCGAAACAAGAGGCAGTCCTGGTGCGGGGACAATGAAACGGTGTCGTGATTGGATGGAGGGGAGACGCTTTGAAGGTGTGAAACGGAGAGGAAACGGTTTTGAGGCTTGGCTTGGATTGTAAATTTAAGTTGGCATTTAAAGTTGGGAGCGAAGAAGATCTATTGGCAAGGAAATTTCTCGAAAGAATCTCGAGACTTACCTGCGTAGGTTATTGATTGAAGATTCTAGTGGATAGGGAGGCATGGGGAAAGAGATTGCGTGGATAATGCACGATGACTTGGCCAAATTCGGCAGTATGAAGAACTTTCTTCTGTGTGGGATATGAAGAGATGGGTATTGCTACCTCGGTTCGGTTGCACGAGAAAGGGTTGGAGCTTAGGTAGTAGAGATCCATGCAAGACTGCACGATCAACAAGATCCATGCTCGACAAGCAAACAGCATTGCATAGGCTTCGCTTTTCATTCCATTCCCATCCATGCTCTCTCCAAAGTACCGCACTATATACAAATGCATGCCCAAGGCTCTCATCAACCATCCATACACAATCATAACATACATTACGCGCTAGGGTCAGAAAGGAAAGGGGGATATCACAGGGTTTGTTTTTCGTTCGTAAGTATGCATGCATCGCTAAGCCCAAATCGAGTCGTTGGTTGTAAAAGGAAGACAAGAGGTAGAAGTGAACAAGAGCTGTACATGTCGTGATGAAGGAATTAGTCGCTGCTGACAGCTTTGCGGAGGTCGGTCCATTTTCGCTGTAAGGCTTCGTGCTGAGAACTCTCCTGTTCGATGTTAGTGGGTGTTTGTTGGGGGAGGAAGAGCACATACCTCTGCGAGCTGCATCTTTGTTTCCACCAAGGTCTTCTCCATTTCGCTCATCTCTTCTTCTAGCTTGCTGTTCTCTTCATGGACTTCTTGGTTCCGCTTCATTAAGCGGTCCATTTCGCTCTTTAATCGTGCTTCGACTTCCTCGGGTTGCTTCTCAATGACCGATCTTAACTCTTGAACTTGACCCTTGAGGGATTCGTTCTCATCTTTCAGTTCCTCATTCTCGACTTTGGTTTTGACAAGATCTGTAGCAAGTGCGGCGTGCTCGGTGTCATGCTCTTGAACACGTTCTTCCAATCGACGAACCTTGAACGCCAAGGAATGATTCGTAGCTTTCAACAATTCGAGCTCAGCTTGACGCTCCTTCTCCATCTGTGCTTTCTCTTGCCACTCTGCAGTGTATGCCTTGAGGATTTCCGGGGTAATCTTTACAGCACACGCATCCTGGACGAGCTGATCCGCCCGGTAAATCTCCTTGTCGATACTTGCACCTGAGCTACCAAAAAATCCTGACTCGAGAATAGATCCAGCTGACGGAGCTTGATCAATATAAACGTCGAACAATCGATCCTTCAAGAAGTTTGTCAATGCTCCCATGTCCGTCATTCCGAGGAGGGTTTGGGCATTCTTCTGCATAAGAACAATACCAAATTTGATAATGGCTGATAGGCCTTCACTGAGGATTAAGTCATAGATCCGTAGAACAAGTTGAAGTGGGAATCGATAGGCGAACAGGGTCAAAAACCACTGCGTTGCATAGAGGTGAGGTGTTACCCCTTTTCGATGCAGATGACAATACAAAGCTGGCTCAAAATCTTCCAATAATCGTTCGAACTGGTATAGGTGCATGTGCAGCCCTGGCATATCCTGAGTGAAGAGGTCCCGTAGGTTGTAATGGTTCATCATTCGTACCAACAAACAGAAGGCTTCTTCTTCTGGCATCTGCAACAGGTTAGCTTGAGTCTCAAGTATGCATAAGGAGACGAACATTGAAGAGTAGAGGCATGACCAAGAAGTTCATTCCTTGGGCATACCCAACTCCATCATCGAACAGAGCATACGCTTTGCAAACACCGAAGAGCCCCTCTTGCAAGCCAGCACTAGCAGCAAACTTGGAGAAACTAGTTCGAGCTCCCAGATCCCGCCTAATAGCCTTCTCAAGTTTCTGCAAAGAAGCTGCGTCCTCTTTGGCCTTTTTCTTCTTCTCAGCTTGTGCTTTGGCTATCATATCTGGATCCTTTGGCGGCGAAGGAGATCTCAAGCCATTCATCAAAGTATTTGCAGGGCTGGAATGATCAGAATGGATCGATGAGGCAGATGAGGCCACTGTCTCTTCTTTTCCGTTGACAGAGTGCGTACTATGAGCACCACTCGATCCACTCATCCTATCCTTGTCTTTGTCGGTTCCACGGTTGACAAGATCCCTATACATTCCCTCGAGCCCTTCATTCTGACTCTGAGCCAATATCTGCCAAACGACACCTCGAATAGCATGTGGAATTCCGGTAGTGATAGCTCGATTTAACTCTTCTGGGCTGGTTCTAGCAACTGCGGCGGGGCCTTCATCCACCACTGCTTGCCAGAGATCCCAATCAACAGGAGCTGATGGATCAGTCATTGCTGATGGACCTGCAGATACACCAGCAGCTCTTCCAGGAGCCAATGCAGGATTCGGACTTGAAGGACCAGGAGACATAGGTGGATGTGCTGTATCCTCGGCTGTAGGACTTCCCAAACTCATTCCAAAAGTTGGCGTCCTTGCCATCAATCCCGCTAAACCACCAACTGCCTTGTCGTCTTCGGGTAGCTCTGTAATACCAGCTTCTTCTCGCATTCGTAGAAGCTTAAATCTGTCCCTTAGACTGTTTCGAGCTGGCCGGCCTTTTCCATTGGGTCCCTCAGACTCGTGTCCTTCTTCCAACTTGCTCATCATCATCTCAGGATTGCTTCCAACCGTAGCTATCGAAGACGCTGTATTTCTCCGCTCACCTGGAGATGGTATAGGAGGTGAGACAATAGTTTCTTTTGGCTGTGAACTATTACGGGAAAGCCAGGAGAAAGGACTCGTCAGCTTTCTTGTGGGTGCTGGAGCAGGGACTGGAAGAGCAGCGGGAGCCGGCGTGTGGGGCGGTGGAGGAGGTGCCCATGGTACTGAGGGTAGTTTGCCTGAGAGGCCTTGTAGCGGTGACTTCTTTGGTGGGAGCGGTGGTGGTGATTTCGGACCAGCAGCTGCTTTAGCCGATCAGTATACTTGACTTAGTAAAGTTTGGTATACAGAGGGTACTTACAAGTTGGTGATGGGGACTTCTCGGCATTTGTGTCCTCATCTAGGCTGACGTTATCTAATTCGCCATTATCCAGAGACGAGGTCGAGGGACGATGTGATGTGAGGAGTGGTGAATTCGGTTGTCTGGTATCGTCTTCCCCGTGCTTCTGATCACCATTTGTTTCTCTTGGTGGCAGAGCTGGCACTTCTGCGGCATCTTGTGAGCTCGAGGGAGATCGCTGTTTGGTCAACGATCTTGTCCTCTCCATGGTCGGTGTTGGAGCATCCGCCTCTGCAGTGTCATTGGCATCCTCGAACGTGTCCTACCAAAGACCAACCCATTAGCATAATTCCCAATCATTGTCCTGCGGAAGCCAGGGGGTCGTGTGACGCAGGTAAGGAGCAAACATGGGGAATGTCAAACGCACATTTTCGCGATCTGAAGCGTCGGCGTTGGACTCTCTCCTCTCTTTGACCGACTCTGTCTCCGCCGAATCATTATGCTCGTGTTCGGACATTCTTCTGCCTTCGCTGTGTCGGTCGTCGAACGGGCGTCGGGGAGGTCAGGAGGTTCTTGGAGTGCTCGAGGCCATTAATGAAGGGCGACGGAGTCCCGTTGGACGACAGATTGGACGAGGACAAGGACGATCGCTGTGGAACGGGGAATTGCAGATGGTGCAACGGCGCAAGTATTGTATGCGAAGATAAAGAGTGACAGTAGAATGTGCAAGTGGTTGTGAAAAATTGAAATTTGGTGGTGTTGACTCTTGGATATTACTCTGGCCCTGGGTTTCTCTTGACACGCCGCGTCGCTGGGATTGTGGCTAGGAGATCTTAAGACAGGGGTAACTCAACATTTGTAGCCCCGATTTAGCTTTATCGAGATTTGCTGTGAATGCGAGGGACATTCACAGAGTCCGAGCAAAGAAAGTTGAGAGAAAAGATTGATGACGACTGTGAGGGGATACACAGTTCAAGGGCATCAAAAGACCCTTTCCATGGCCATATCAGCTTGGTCTTCAATTGGTGCTACACTTTACTCTACTCGGTACAGATCGAAGTTGCATGGGCAGAAGACCGGATTTCACCTCCCCACCAGCCACATCCCAGCCACAGCCACTCATAGTAGCCACCACTAAAACATTTGCTGCCAATCACGGATCATGTAAGGGAATCTTGAAACAAAGCGTGCCGATCTCGTAGAAGTCAAACCACGCCTCTTCCCGTGGACAAGTCGCCGAATGTTTCTAAGAAAAGTCATTCTCCAACTTGCAAATGATGATTTATTGCTTGATGAAGTTTCTATTCTCGAGGAATGTTGCATTTCCTGGAGCGTCGAGCCGCAAGAACGAAATGCAGGCAGAACAAATCCTACATTACCTTAAGTAATGCAATATCAGCCTCGACCCTCGGATACAATACCTAGTCAGCCAACTTGCATCCTTCCCCTACCTTAGCTTTGCAAGATATTGTTTGACAACTTGGCACCACAAAGAAGATGAATTGCGAACTACCAAGCCACAGAGAAATGATTGTGAGACTTCACACAAAATCCATGAAATGGAACGTAACAGGTTTGATAACACGTGATACTTCTCAGCCTTCTTCACAAGGCTGACATTTGGAAGTGAGGCTGAGGATGGGTTATTGGCAGCTGATGGTCAACGAGGTCAGAAGATATCAAGAGTGTGATCGACGCCTCAAAACTTTAAAGACCTCTGGATGCCGTGAGCTGACCTACAGCAACATTTAGCTTAGGATCTTGTGTTTTGTCTATCCGAGGATATTTTCTGCGTTGTGTAGAGAGGTCAAGCTAAATTACAGCACCGAATCAAGGATAATTCCCATAAAAGCACGTTGGGGTACGTGCACGGATGAGCTGCATTTCAAAAGAGCTCAACAAGAGGTCATCTGCGGTGATGGCCAACGGAGATCTTGCTTGGTGGAAAGATTAGGCCAGGCTGTATGCTTATATCTCCATAATTAATCCACACATTTCAAAGGGCTCCTCAAAACGGAACGGTGACTCGATTGCAAGCACTGACAATGCCAAGGTCGGTCGGTTCCTTGTGGTGGTCGATGCTGGGAAGTCTGCCTACAGCTCCCCAGGCACGAGGCTGCAAAATGGAACATGTGAAACAGGCATACACAACGGGAGACCAAGAGTTGAGATGAGGAACAAATCAAATTTGAATAACGAATACCTTAGAATAATAGTAGATAAATGCAAAGGTGCAAGAAGAAATGCTGGTATCCATCAAAGTTCCCCGTGACTGACGTCAAGTCGCGGTCCGCTACCCATACAGCAAAATTTAGGCGAGGCAGGCCAGCGCGAGAGCTCCAGCGTTCAATCTTCATGATATCTGCCAACACCTTTTCTTTCGAAACCCTCCTCCTCCTTCTTCCGCCCAACAACCACACAACCCCATCACCATCACGAGATACCCGAAACTTGACTGCTGGCATTGAGGTCCAGCTAGGTCAACTAATTCGATAGAGCCTGCGAGAAGCGCCTGCACCGCGTCTTTCGACTACGTTCCTTTCGAATTTGTTGCCATAAATTCAATCACCTTCCGCAAACACCCACACAAGCAACGCGACCTACTCCTCTTCTTGTCCCTCGTTCATCGGAACTGTACTCTGAAGTTCCCCTCACGACCCGATAATATTTGTCTTCTGCGAAGCGCAACTGCAGGTCCAACGCGGCTACCAAGTACCGGAAAACGAAGTTCTTCGCGAGACACAACGAGAATCAAATACCTCTTCGAACACAGGACTGTCCGATCGTGGGCACTCCTTCTTCTATCTGTCAAGCTGTTGCCCACCACGATAGTTACGGAGGCAGTGGAGGGGGTCCGAAACTGATTCTTCAGCGGTTCTGCCGCGCCCGCCGTCAAGATGGTCCGCATAACCAAGACTATGCAGACGAAGCACTTGGAGTCCTTGGTACGCCCTGACGATGATTGAAATACCAATGAATGCGCTAACATGTATGACAGTCACCATGGATCAAAGAGTTTCGAAATGCTGCATCCTCCATTCCCTTACCCCTCTTACCACAAAAGCTCGCCACATTCCCCTCCCGGTGGCCCTTCCCCAGAGGTGACCTATACCACTGGATTCCGCTCTTGAACCGATTCGACGAAATCTACGAACAGTTCGCCAAGATATACAAGCTCGATGAGGGACCACAAACAGTAGATTTTGCCTGCACGCTTCTTCTATCTAAGGCTGGTGAATCCGACGAGCAACAACAGAATGGACACAATCTTGAAAGCCTAGGCTTTTCACAAGAAGGTGATAGAGAGCTGGTCGAGTCGATATTGAGCTTCACTGTGGTTCTGCTACAGAACTGTGGTAATCGCAGCATCTACGGGAGCAGTGCCAACTTGAATCACTTCCTTAACAGCACCTCGCTGTCTCTGCTCGAGGGCACCCTACGATTAGGCTCCGAGCTAGGACAGCGATATCAGGCAGCTTTGAAGCGTACAAATATTCCTGGTCGACAAATTAGCCATGCTATGTTGATCAATCATTACAACATCGACCTCGAACGCGTACAGCAATTAAGTTTGCCCTTCTCAAAGACTATCACAACTGCAACTGAATCTACCCAACCTACAACCCCTGCGACTCCAAGTGCGAAGGGCAAGGAAAAGGCATATTTCAGTATCCCTACAACACCAAGCAAGGGTCCAAGTATCACGGTCCATGCAAATGATCTTGTATCCATGGTCAAGGGTGGTCCAGGCGTTGGGGGAACTCCGAAGAGTGCACGCAATGGGGTCGATGTTGCTGTCCATCAAGATTCGTGGGAGGACTGGGGTGATGTCAAGATCACATATTATCCAAAGCCTGTCGCCGAATCAGAGTCGACCAATCAAGCTTTACGCCCTCCGAATCCTTCCTCCCCTTCCGTGCCTGTCACTCCCACCCCAGTCCGACGTTCTTCCAACCTCGGACCTCATGGTCAACGTGCAAACAGACAATCTATCTCTGAAGATACTTCTCCAAGTCTGCCTAGGTCTTCAACATTCCCTTCTGACGATGCAACTCGCCCTAGTCATAAGGTTATTGAGATTTCAGCCTCCACCCTGAAGTCAACAGGAATCCATACACTCTTAAGAGAACACGCACCTGGACTACCTCAGGAGCTTCAGTATGAATTGTTGACGAAGTTACGGGTCGCTTCTGCACTTACATCCTCTGTGGAAACGAGACGTCAACTCTTGTCGGTCAGACTATTGGCCATCACCAATCTGAGTTACATCCATCTTCTAGAGTCCACTTTCCTTGAGACTGTCATGAAGCAGGATTCTGATGAGCCTCGTCGAATGCAGCTTGTATATCAGCTCGCCGAATTAGTTCATCCTCCTCCTGATGGTGAGATCCCTGTACCGCGGCCCATTCAGACACTTGCATTTGCCTGCTTGGACGGATTATGCAATCACCAGAGCAAGTTCACTGATGTTTGTGCTGCACTGAACACAAATGTCAATCATGGAGTTCTTCTCTATGTTGTTCGGAAGGCTGTTGCGGGCATGAACCAAGAAGACAATGGCGATAGGCTTGACGGAGAAGATGAATGGCGAGAAGCTCTCTTCTCTTTGCTCTCCAATCTTGCTATCAATCCTCGCACAGGCAGCGAGATGGTCACTGCTGGCTTGATCCCTATCTTGGTGGAAGTCCTAACATTACGAAGCTCGATTGCTGAACGCTATCACCCAATGATTTTGACGTTCCTCGATGCTATCATGTACAGCACTCGGGACGCTTTTCAGACTCTCGTTAGCGCCGAAGGCCTTGATACCGTTTCTAACTTAATCGTCTACGAAGTGAACAGTGCAAAGGCTAACGCCGCAGCTGGCAAAGGCATGAGACCAGAGTATCGTTCAGGATCAGTCGATTATCAAATCCCCTTCTTTCAGCAGCAAACTCTCAAGTGGCTTTTCAAATTCATTCATCACATGATGTCGTCCGCAGGAGTTTATGGTGGAAACTTCGATCGATTACTTCGAAATCTGATTGATTCCTCTCAATTGCTTGGTAGTCTCCGCCAAATCATTGGGGATGCCCGTTGCTTCGGATCCAATGTTTGGACAAATGCCGTCAGTATCCTCAACGACTTCATCAACAACGAGCCAACTAGCTTTGCGGTCATTGCTGAAGCTGGCTTAAGCAGGGGTCTTCTAGAAGCAATTACTGGCAGACCTGTTGTTATGCCAGTTGACGGACCCAAGGAAGAGACACGCCCAGAGCCCGTTAACACAGATGATGATGAACGCTCTCCAAGCCCTCCATCAGATCGAGATGACAGTGAGGACGAGCGCTATAATTTACATGATCTGTCTAGTATCGAACTGCCCCGCAATGGTCCATTGGCTCGCGGCATCCTACCAACATCCGAGAGCATCAATATCATCCCTCAAGCATTCGGCGCCATTTGTCTCAACAATGCCGGTATGAAGATGTTCCAAGCTTCTCATGCGCTCGAGACTTTCTTTGAAATATTTGAGAGTCCAGAGCATGTCAAGTGCATGGAGTCGATCAAGGACCTGCCTTCAAATCTTGGGAGCACTTTCGACGAGTTGGTCCGTCACCATCCCCCACTCAAGGAGGCCATCATGACTGCGATCCTTAACATGGTTGCACGCGTTGACCAGTTGTGTATGAACATGGCCCACCGAGAAAATCTCGGTGCTAAATTATGGGCAACCGACTCATCAGGCAAAGTCGTGGTTGCTGACAAGGAAATGAAGGTTTCTCTCGTCGACAGATCAGTGAAGGGTAAGGGAAAGGCAGTCGATGATAGTGATGTTGAGATGGTAGATGCAGATTTACCTTCCACAGACGCTCACTCAAACCAAACCACTTCTAGTGACGGCTCATCCAAGGCATCTACCACGCCCTACATCGCAGCTGTCTCGACTTTCCTGTCAGGCATGTTCAGCAACTCAACGGTGCGCTCAGAGTTCGTTGGTAAGGGTGGACTCGAATATGTCCTGAGCCTAGCTGCTTCGAGATCATTACCATACGACTTTGCAGATTCGAATGCCAGTCGTAGCGTACACCAAGTCATTGCTCAACTTGCTGAGACAAAGGCACATCTCGTTCTGCCTTCTCTACTCAAGAAAGCCCAGCAAGCTGCCGATATCTTGCAACCATTTGCTTCTTTTGATGGCAACGTTCCATTCTTTGAACCATTTGTCAAGCCCGATGCCGCTCAATCTGGCGATGTTGAGTTTTTGGCAAAGGGCACGGACTTTGCCAAGGCCTTCGTCAATTTACACTCTCTGGTCGCTTCAATCAACACCTGCTTCCAAGCTTCCGTCTACAATCACCGCAGCGCTACTAGCATCTTCACCATGACGAATGTGAACGACTACTATATTAAATTAGTACGGAGCCTCGGACCTTTATTGGGTGCTTCACTCAAGGAAGAAATGCGCCTCCAGATGTCTGTACCAGACCAATGGAAGGACGAGGCTCGAGTCAAGGACCCTCTCCCTACTGAAACTGGTGCCTCCGAGCCGATTTCAAGTGCAGAGCAACCGCCAGTAACTCTAGGTTCATCTGCCCAGAATAATCCGAATAATCTTGGTGAGACTGTTCCACTTTCCGAGGGCGATGTCTCTCAATCGCCAAACAGCAAGAAGTCCATATCCAAGCCAGAGCAAGATACTCCTGCTTTCAAGAACTATCAGACCTTGCGATACCTGCTAGCAAAGATGCCTCGTACCGTCCAGCCCCTGTTTCAGACTCTGGGCAAGGCAGTGGTTACCAAGCGTAATCCTGACCATTTTCAGAAGCAGTATCATTTTGCGCTGGCAGATGCATTGGTCGAGAGTATTCTTAGTCAATTCGTTGGGTTTGGGGAAGCATCGTCTGTCGACAATTTCGACTACTGGCGTGGACTACTTAACATTCTCAATTCCATGCTAATTGATGGTAAGCAAAGACTACACAGCATCCGAATTCTGTTCCATACTAACTTTCGCAGAATCTCGTCAGAACGACAGACCCGTACAGACTATCACTCTAATTGTGCAATCCTTCAAGGACCATGGTGGCTTGAAGACACTGAATGACATGTTAAAGGTCTTCGCGGCTACAATCCAGTCTGCACCCACATCTCTCGCGGAATCCCTGGATAAGTCTGCAGCCGCATATCTGAAGCTGGAGTTCGCCACCGCTGGAGTTAAGCAAATCCTCAAAATTTACAGCCAATTGGTAAATGGAAAGAATGTCACTGAGGCTGTTCAGACCATTGGATTAACTTCTCGGTCGGATAGAGAGCGAGGCCGACCGGATCATTTCTCTCCCGGCCAATTGATAGTCGAGTTGCGCATGGCTATCTTACCTGTTGTTCGCCAGTTGTGGGGATCTGATCTCATCGAGAAGGGCGATAGTCAAATCTCCGAAAAGCTCATCGATGTGATCCGACTCATTGCTGCTGCAGATTGCGAAGCTGGAGCTGTGAAGCGTACAGACAAGGGCATCAAATCCGTACCTGCTGTAAGAAAGACCTTCAAGCCCAGTACTGATGGCCTTGCTTCTTTGACTGAAGACTTCCTGCCGGACCTTGCGGAGGAGGCATTATATCGCTGCAATAACAACGAAAACTCCGCAATTGAGTATTGTAGGTTGATCTTGCACAATGGCGCCTTCTCGCGCAATCCAATCCCCGACGGAGACATCGCTCCTTCGCCTGAATCAACAGCACTACCGAGCCTCCAGTCAATGGTTGGGTCACTTGCAAACCCTTCGCGATCTACAGGTGCATCAACACCAGCTGAGGATCATGCTATGGGTGGCACAACAGCTGGATCAGATGCTCACGCTACTGTTGAACAAACTGCGTCCAGTTTCCTGGAACCCTTTAGTGACATGGCAGAAGATTCCAACGGCATTGGTGAGGACAATGATGCTTTCCACGCATTTTTGAATACACTTCATAGCAATGACCCTGCGGCTGGAACCTCACCACCCCCACCGGAGGAGACACCTCGCAAACAGGTCACCATCGAAGATCTCAACGAGGAACGCGAGGCTGTGAGAGACAATCTAATCGATAAATGTCTGGATGCTATCAATGCCCACGGAGAAGTGACTTTCGAGGTTGCAGATCTCATCACTATGGTGGTTAATAAATCGAGCGACCCAGCAGGTCAACGCAAGGTTGTTGGCGAGACTTTGGTGATTGCCCTAATGTCATTTGCAGGAGAGGAAGATCTTCGAACATGCGGCAAGAAGGTCGCTGCTTACGCTCATCTTCTTGCATTGATGCTTCGAGACAAGCTCTTCTATGCCGCTGCAGTCTCGGAATTGAAGGAAAACTTGAGCACTTTACTCAGCTTTGTCAAATTGTCCCCCAACCATTCTGCCGACGAGCCATCTCCCTGGATTGCACATATCTTACTGATTATTGAGATGCTTCTCAGCGAGGACGAAAAACCACAGAAGACTAAGTGGACTATTCCCAAGGATGACAATGACACTGTCGAACCACCTATCCTGGAGGTTTCTGACCCAACTGTGTCAAAGGATGAGCGTTCTCAACTACTAGACGCAATTCTTGACATTTTGCCACGCATTGGTAAGGACGAGTCTCTTGCATTGGCCGTCCTACGCATCTTAGTCATTCTGACACGCACTCGTGCTGTGGCCCAAGCCATCAGTGACAAGAAGAACATCCAGCGAGTCTTCGTCATGGCCAAGCAGTTGGCAGGAGCTAGCTCCACTCGCATTCAGGGTCCATTAATGTTGATATTGCGTCACATTATTGAGGACGACGAGACCATCAAGCAAATCATGCGCGCCGAGATCAAGTCTTTTCTGGAAAACAATCGCCAACAACGCAACATCGATGAGAAGCACTATATCCGTGGTCTTGCACATGTTGCGGTTCGAAACCCAGAGCTCTTCGTCGAAGTCACAAATGAGATGGTCAAATTCAATCGTTGGACCTACCCATCAGCTGATGGGCAAAGTCGACATCACTCTCTCATGTTGAAGGAGGCACAATCGGATGCTTCGCGGACTTCTGAAGATGCTGTACAGCCAACTGTTCAAGCTACAGAAGACTTGACGATCCAAGATATCAAGCCTTCTACCGAAGGTCCTGACAGCGAGATGCCAGATGCCGCAAAGCCAGCAGTCGTCGATCACAAGTTACCTGTCATTGAAAACCCCGATGGCGTCATTCATTTCCTGCTCTGCGAGTTGCTCAACTACAGAGATGTTGAGGATAAGGATCCTTCGGTTGCTATCAATACTGCCGAGAAGAACGGTGTGCAGAGCAATGGTGATACTGCCATGGGCGAGACATCTCCATCTACCGATTCCACCACGAAGGATCCCAAGACTGCTAAGCCTGCGACGAAGCAAGAATTCAAGGCCGAAGAACACCCGATTTACATCTACCGATGCTTCATTCTTCAGTGTCTTACAGAGTTACTTGCGTCATACAACAGGACCAAGATCGAGTTCATCAACTTCAAGCGCAGTGCTCCTCCACAAGCCATGACACCTTCCAAGCCGCGATCAAGCGTTGTTAATTATCTGCTGTTTGACCTGATTCCCGTCGGAACTCTCGACCACGCGGAAACTACTTCTATGCGCAAGAAGATGATCACTTCTGCATGGGCGGACTCCGTCTTGACTGCCCTCTTGTGCAAGACTGGGGAGCAGCCGATTGAGAAGGACAGAGAACCATACAACAGCGACACTGAACCAGATCTCCTTTTCGTTCGTCGTTTTGTCTTGGAAAACATCCTCAAGGCATACAAGGAAGCAAGCACGTCTACTGAGAATCTAGACATCAAGTACGCTCGCATGCTTGCTCTTGCTGATCTCATGAATCACATTATGAATGGCAAGGAGAATGTTGGCATGTCAGATACTGCCGTTGCAGCTACATCTCAGAAGCAGCTTCGCCGCATCATGTTCGAGAAAGGCTACGTTGCTGCTCTCACTGCATCTATCGCAGACATTGACCTTAACTTCCCAAGTGCCAAGCGTGCTGTCAAGTACATTCTCCGCCCTCTTAAGACTCTCACTACTACTGCTGTGAATCTCAGCGATCTCGCCCTCATCTCAGATACAACTGGTCAAGACGAAGAGGAGATTGAATCCGCAACCTCTCTGTCTGAGCCAGAAGATGACCGCGAGGAGACTCCTGATCTTTTCCGTAACTCCACTCTAGGCATGTTCGAGCAGGGCCGTGAGGAAGATTCATCTTCTGGCGATGACGAAGATGACGATGATGAAGAGATGTACGAACAAGAGTACGATGATGAGATGGACTATGAGGAAGAGCCGGGAGATGATGAGGACGGTATCAGCGATGAAGATGAAGAAATCGAGGGTATGGGTCCCATCGAAGGCCTTTCTGGCGATCATAACCTAGACGTTGAAGTCATTATGGGCGATGATGACGATGATGAGGACGACGATGACTCAAACAGCGATGACGATGAGGAGCACGATTCTGAAGATGACGATGCTCACGTCGAGATCATCGATGAAGCCGGAAACGTTCAACAACTTGCCGAAGATGACGAAATGGGCGAGTGGGAAAGCGCCGATGGTGACGACGATGATGGAGAGGAAGAAGATTACGAAGGCCAAGCTGCTGATCAAGAAGAGGAGCAATTGCACGCCATGGAAGCTATGGGTGGCCCGTTGGGTCATCTTGTCCGTGCTCTTGGTGGTAATGATGATGCTGCTCAAGATATCCTCGAACGCATGGAGGCTGAGGGTGTTGATATGGATGAGGGTGACGACGATGAACGTGTCGCCGGCGAGTATGTAGAGGATGGTGACGAAGAAGGTTGGTAACCTCCTTTTCCACGGTCTGACTATTACTAACATAGACTGCAGAGGATGAAGACGATGATGATGAGATGGATGATGAGGATATGCTCTTCGACCAATATCCAAGTAAGTGATTGTTTTATTCGACTGCTAGAACTGATACTAACATGCCTGTAGTGGATGGTCCTGGGTTCGATGGTGGATGGCAGGAAGATGTCGAACCACCCACAGTCGTCCATCAACGTCGTCGTGGCGGCGGCTTTTCCCCATTTCCTTCATTGTTCCCTGGCGGTCCTCGTGACCCGCTAGGTGGTAGGTTGCCCCTCTCACAGTTATCGCGCATGATCGACGAAGATGAAGACGATTTGCGTATTCGCGAGGTCTTGATGCCGAATGACGGTTCAGTCAACGCACAGGCAGCACTTGTTTTTCTTGATCGAGTCGAAGCTAGACTCTCTCGTGCAGTAGGAAGCAGAACTAATGATCCACTTGCAGTGCCAGACTATCGTTCTTCCAGGCTGTATCGATCAAATCCACCCGGTGGAGCAGCCCCTCGAGCTGCAGACGAAGGAATCAACCCCCTTCTTCAACGAAACGGTGCAGCAAGCCGAGACGGCCCTGGTCGCACACCTGCTGTAGGTAGCTGGATCCAGGCTATGGGAGGACCAGGCGAGATATTAGATATTGGTCTTGGACGCCCCTTCGGTGAGCCCGCAACAAGAGCCATTCTGGATGAAGTAATGAGATCCTTACCGCCTCTTCCAGGTCACATTGCACGCCATGGACATGCCCTCCAATTTCACATTACCACCAGCCCTGGTCACCAATTGCCACCTGATCTTCAAGCAATGTTCAACATGCGACCATCTCGATTCGAGCCTCGACGTGACAATACCGAATCTGGTAGCGTTGCATCTTTCACACCACAGTCTACTGCAGCACGATGGCTAGAGGAGTCGAAGCTTCTCTTTGGCGCCAGTGCACTTGAGCGAGCTGCTGATCTCACAACAGCTATTCTATCACTACTTGTCCCGCCAGCTATTGAAGCCGACAAGGCACTCAAGGCAGCAGAGGCCGAGAAAGTCCGTAAGTTGGAGGAGCAACTAAAGAAGAAGCAGGAAGAAGAACGCGTTGCTCGTGAGAAGAAGGAAGAAGAGGAGAGAATTGCGAGAGAAAAGAAGGAGGCTGAAGAGCGCGAAGCAGCTGAGAGAGCCGCAGCCGAAGCACTTGCAGCACGAGGGGAGGATGCTGAAGCTGCCGAGGATGACGAAGACGAGGCTGTCGAGCCAACATCTGATGCTATGGACGGTGTTGAGACTGAGACTCCTGCCCCAGCCGGCGAACAAACTGAAGAGTCAGCTGCAGACCGAGCTCGAATCATGACCATGATGCGTGGCATTCCTTTCGATATCACGGATCTAGGCATCGACCCTGACTTCCTTACCGAGTTGCCAGAGGATCTTCGTGAAGAAGTTATCATGTCTGCAGTCGCTGATCGACGACAAGCTGCTGCTGCAACTGGTGCACAGCCTTCGGAAATCGATCAGGAATTCCTTGATGCTTTGCCTGACGACATTCGAGACGAGATCATTCAGCAGGAGAGACAAGAACGACGACGACGTGAGCGCGAAGAACGACAACGTCAAGCTGCTGCCGCTAGCGGTGGAGCTGCTTCAGCAGAAATGGACGCAGCCTCAATTCTAGCCACACTGCCTCCCGCTCTGCGAAGCCAAGTCCTCATGGAACAAGATGAGGAGACCTTGGCCCTATTACCTCCAGAGCTTGCAGACCAAGCACGTGCTGAATTAAGAAATCATCCTGCTCATGGAAGAATGCCTGGCTTTGCCACACGACGAGTTGCTCCCCCAGCTGGTGACGCCGTTCCAGTCAACGCTCAGAGACCTCCTCGTCGTGCGATTGTACAAATGCTTGATAAGCCTGGTGTTGCAACTCTGCTGCGCCTTATGTTCATCTTCCAGCATGGTAGCCTTCGAACCACTCTCAACTCAGTCTTGCAGAACGTCTCGCTGAATCGACATAACCGAAACGAGGTCTTGAGCACTCTTCTCCATATCCTTCAAGATGGCAGTATCGATATGTCTGCTGTTGATAGAAGCTTCGCTCATCTATCTCTAAAGGCCAAGCAGCCCAAGGATGCCCAACCAAAGACCCCACAACCTCTAAAGAAGGCACTTACTGGATTGGGTCCTTTGACCACCACAACTCTTGAGGCTTCGCCCTTGATGGTTGTCCAACAATGCTTGTCTACCTTGGTATATCTCAACCAAGTCAATCCACATATCCCTGCGTTCTTCTTGACCGAGCACGACAGTTCTGGTGGCCTGAAGCGTACTTTAAGTCGCAAGGGCAAGAGCAAGGAAAGCAAGGCTGCCAAGTATGCACTCAACTCCTTGTTGAGTCTGTTAGGTCGTGACCTTATTATGGAGAGCTCGACTGTGATGGAGACCCTTTCGTCATTGCTCAACATGGTCACGTCACCTCTGCAAGCCTTACAACGAAAGCAAAAGGAGGCTGAAGAAGAGCAAAAGACCGAGACTGTCAATGCCACTCCCTCAGTTACCGACACTGCTCCCTCGGCAACTTCACCAGAGGCTACAGCAACCGAGCAGCCATCGGCCCCTCAGCTAGAGACTGCGGCTTCAGAAGTGACTCCTACTGCTGACCAAACTCCCGCGCAACCCTTAACGATCGCTGAAGGTGGCGAGCCATCGACATCCAACGATGCACCAAAGCCGGAGGCAACAAAGGAACAAGAAAAGAAGCAGCGCCCAATTACACCACCTGTCATTCCTGAGCAGAACTTGAAGCTTGTCATCAACATCTTCGTCGCTCGAGAATGTTCCTCCAAGACATTCCGTGAGACTTTGTCAACCATCAAGAACTTGTCCACCATTCCAAATGCAAAGGCTGTCTTCGGCCGAGAACTAATCTCGAAGGCACAAGAGCTTGGTGAAATCATCTTGGTTGACCTCGAAGAACTTCTCCCACAAATCAAGAAGGCTTCAACAGGTACCGAGATTCAAGGTGTCGCATTGGCCAAGTTCTCTCCAGGTGGATCTGACCAGAACAAGCTTCTACGAGTCTTAACCGCACTTGATCATCTCTTCGACCCCAAGCGTGAGAAGAAGGATACACCCGAATCTGAAGACCAAGCAGCATCGTCGCAACTAGTCGAGAAGCAAGACCTCCTCTCTTCACTGTACGAGAACCCAACCTTCGGTCGCATGTGGGAGAGATTGAGTGCTTGTCTCAGTGCCATCAGACAACGTGAGCACATGCTCAATGTTGCAACCATTCTCCTGCCACTTATCGAGGCATTGATGGTTGTATGCAAGAACACAACTCTGAAGGATGCTCCTTTGGCCAAGTCACAGATGGGCAAGGAAATGATGCTTACCAGTCCTCCTCCTGAGTCGCAGATGGAGAACCTCTTCTTTACTTTCACTGAGGAACATCGCAAGATCTTGAACGACTTGGTACGACAAACACCAAAGCTCATGTCGGGTACCTTCTCCCTCTTGGTCAAGAATCCCAAGGTCCTTGAGTTTGACAACAAGCGAAACTACTTCAGCAGAAGCATCCATTCCAAAGCCCCCAATAGCCGACAATCTTTCCCACCTCTTCAATTGTCTGTTCGCCGAGACCAGGTTTTCCACGATTCCTTCAAGTCTCTTTACTTCCAAACCGGCGATCAAATGAAGTATGGCAAATTGAGCATTCGTTTCCATGGCGAAGAGGGTGTCGATGCTGGTGGTGTCACTCGTGAATGGTTCCAGGTTCTCTCTCGACAGATGTTTGATCCAGGTTATGCCCTGTTCATTCCTGTGTCTTCTGACCGAACCACCTTCCACCCCAACCAATTGAGCAGCGTCAACGAGGAGCATCTCATGTTCTTCAAGTTCATTGGTCGTATCATCGGCAAGGCTCTTTACGAGGGTCGTGTTCTGGACTGCCATTTCAGTCGTGCTGTGTACAAGCGAATCCTCGGCAAGGCTGTCTCCGTCAAGGACATGGAATCGCTCGATCCAGATTACTACAAGTCCCTTATTTGGATGCTCGAGAACGACATCACTGATATCATCACCGAGACATTCTCTGTTGATAATGATAAGTTTGGTGTTGTTGAGACCATTGATTTCATTCCTGATGGTCGCAACATTCCCGTCACTGAGGAAAACAAGCAAGAATATGTGCGCTTGATGGTTGAGTGGAAGCTCACTGGATCTGTGAAAGAGCAACTGGATGAGTTCTTGAAGGGTAAGCTAATCGCAATCCTCATTCCCGTGATCTGGACTAACATTCTTCAGGTTTCCATGACATCATTCCCGCCCCTCTCGTTGCAATCTTCAACGAACAAGAACTGGAGTTGTTGATCTCTGGTCTCCCTGAGATCGATGTTGATGACTGGAAGAGCAATACCGAATACCACAATTACTCTGCCTCCTCACCTCAAATCCAATGGTTCTGGCGAGCTGTTCGATCCTACGACAAGGAGGAACGTGCCAAGCTGCTGCAGTTCGTTACTGGAACCAGCAAGGTACCTCTCAACGGCTTTAAGGAGCTTGAGGGCATGAACGGCTTCAGTCGATTCAACATTCACCGTGATTACGGCAACAAGGATAGACTTCCAAGCTCGCATACATGCTTCAACCGTAAGTTAATTGTACCCCTTCTAAATTTTCTATACTAATACATTCACAGAACTTGACCTTCCCGAGTATGAAAGCTACGAGGCACTTCGTCAACAAGTCCTCACAGCCATTACTGCTGGAAGCGAGTACTTTGGTTTTGCATAGATCGTCGAACGTCCCCTTTCATTCCCATAACGACTTGATGCATCGCAGGCCTTGATCAGCATTTGCCGGCGTTCGATGTTCTTTTATGGGGTGTATTTAGCATGGGTGTTACGCTTTTGCCAGGCCATCAAGTGAGCATAGGAGGCTATAGCTGTTATTCGAGCGGGGAGCTTTTATGATATTCATCAGGGCATTTTGATAGATGGTGTGCGAGGTTTCCTTCTTTCTTGATCTCTGGCTGTTGGTTGTCTGCGACGAAGTGCAGGTCGTTCGTGGATGGGCTTTCGGCATTGAGACAGGATCAGCTTGAGATTTCGGGCATGATAGATATGGCTCATGATGATGGTGGAAGGAATACTGTAAAATAGATAGCTTAGCATTACATCACAATTTGATGATTGCGTTACTCAATCCTGACTTCCCACTTCTCAGATGTGAAATTTCATCCATACCATATTAATTGCTTTCCAAGATATAATTCCTCAATAAGGGAGTGAGCTCCATAAGAGAAGTTCCCCCTACGCCTTTGCTAAAGGCAAACGCAAATCTAGTCTCCTTATACCTTGCTACATGGAATGGAGTGCCTATTCTTGTCCTTGATTCTTGTGCATTATAGAAGTCAACGATCTAATTAGAAATATGGATTAGATATGGTTTCCCGCCAGGGCTCCTACGTCCGTTTGCCTATAAGATAATAACTTGGAAAGCATTTCATACGGTATTAAGTTCTCAAAATCGTTCATGTTGCTATCACATGATGGTCCACCCCACATCGGAAAGTTCCGCTCGTTCGCATTTTGCCCCGCTGAAATTTTTAGTTTGCAGACACCCATTGAACTTGCTTGTGACAAGAAGAACATTGTTCCTCGCCGACACAGTCACAACCAGCAGATTCCACAATCTTGAGCTCATGGAAGCACTCTAATACCCGTCGTTCGCTCGCTCGCTATCACCATCCATCTGCTGTTCTCTGCATAGCTATATCCCCCTACCTCTCGCCCACCTCGATTTGCAACTTCTCTCGCAGCAGTAATAGCAGCAGACAAACAAAATGGCTACGAATTCGATCAAGCTCCTTACTGGCAATAGCCATCCTCAGCTTGCGAAGCTGGTTGCGGATCGGTAAGTTGCCTTCCAGGAAGGATTGGAACAAAATTCACTGACTGGCTGGATCTGCAGACTGGGAATCGAGCTTGCAAAGACGATGAGCTTGAACTATTCGAACCAGGAAACCAGCGTTACGATCGGAGAAAGCGTTCGAGATGAAGATGGTACTTTTCCCCACATGCCATAACGAGAGTAAAGAGGAGATTGCTAATTGTATGTTCCAGTATTCATCCTCCAATCCACCGCGCCCGGCGATATCAACGACGGCCTCATGGAACTCCTAATCATGATCAACGCCTGCAAGACCGCGTCCGCGCGCCGCATCACGGCCGTGATCCCCAACTTCCCCTACGCCCGCCAGGACAAGAAGGACAAATCGCGGGCGCCCATCTCCGCAAAGCTGATTGCCAATATGCTGCAGACGGCGGGCTGCAATCATGTTATCACCATGGATTTGCATGCCAGCCAGATTCAGGGCTTCTTTAATGTGCCGGTGGATAATCTGTATGCGGAGCCCAGTACGCTGAGGTGGATTAGGGAGAATTTGGAGGTTAAGGATTGTGTGGTTGTTAGTCCGGATGCGGGGGGTGCTAAGAGGTGAGATACTACTTTGCCCTCCTTTCTCAAGGATTGGGGATGAGCAACAGACTGATACTTTGTTTGCAGAGCAACATCCATCGCCGACCGCCTCGACCTCGGCTTCGCACTCATCCACAAAGAGCGCGCGCGTCCCAACGAAGTCTCCCGCATGGTGCTGGTCGGCGACGTCGAAAACAAAATCGCCATCCTCGTCGACGACATGGCCGACACCTGCGGCACGCTCGTCAAAGCCGCCGAGACGGTCATGGCGCACAAAGCGCGCGAAGTCGTCGCAATCGTGACTCACGGCATCCTCAGCGGGAACGCGATCGAGACCTTGAATAAGAGCAAGTTGAGCAGGGTGGTGGTTACGAATACGGTGCCGTTGCTAGATAAGCAGGAGAGGTGCGAGGTGCTGAAGGTTATGGATATTAGTCCGACGCTGGCGGAGGCGATACGGAGGACGCATAATGGGGAGAGTGTTAGTTTTTTGTTTACGCATGCGCCGACGGACTGATTGATTAGAGGGGATGGGTGTTAGAGGAGAGAAAATTGGGAGCATGGCGTTGGATGGTGGTTTGGTTCTTTTGCGAATCAATGGAAGTCTTACTTGGGTTCATTGGCTGCTCGTGTCTGTGTTATGGAGGTAGAATATGCATTTTGCTCTGCTTCTTATATAAGAGGGAAGGGGTGTGAGTTGTATATTGAATGCTACTCCTTCGATATCTATGCCATGTAAGGATGTGAGTCTGCTTTCCTTCCTACTTTTCTCATTTATATTTGTGGTCTGGCGTACCAACCGTCTCAGACTTCGAAGATCGAGATATATCTTCCAACTCGCAAGGATGTCCAACTCCAGGTAATGTCCCTTCTTCCTTCTCGAAGTCTTGATAAGTCTGGTGTTCATAACTCCAAGACTTTGGCCATCGCGTTCACATCTTGGATCTTAAGAGGGAGTGAAAATGTCGTCTTTTCTCAGTGACTCGTAGGAAGCGCCTAGTTTGCTAGTGAGGTAGCCGTTGAGCAGTGCCTAGTGTATTTCAATCGACTGAACCAGTTCAGCCATGAGTAATATATGGAGGATGGATAGATAAATTTAGGTGGGGGAATATTACTAGGTGGGTGGGGCCAAGATTGGCAGGACGTGGAGTTCACTGCTGGTTATCTGAACGTGAAGAAGTTGTTGTTGGGCGTTTGGAGGTCAAGTCATAGGGTTCGAGGTCCAGAAACAAGACGTCGAAGAGATCGAGGAAGTATTATCTCGTTTGTAGTGATGGGTAAGTAAGAACGAAGCTTTTGGAGTCGTAGGTTGGAGGCTTGTTGGTGATGAGCGTTCCTGAATCCTTGGGATGTCGAGGATCAAGAGAAATCGAAAAGGACCGACAGAAACACCAACAAGGAAATTCCGTAGCGTTACAGTATCAGCACAACCATATCACAATCAATCAAAGGTCACAATCACAATCATAATGCAAGAAGAATCTCGAAGTCAGAAGGCCATTTTGGAGAACGCCTAGCAATCTGCTATAGTGCAGAATATGCTCTATGCCAGCCCTTCAGAAAGACGGAAAAGGAAAATGACTATCGGAAACCGCTCATCCATGATATGAGATCACCATTTGTAGACGATCCAGCAAGCAAGAACCAATCCCATTCCCATGCCTCTGAAGATCCATCCCATCCATGATCAAACCAAGTTGTGCGCTCCAGACCAGACCAAACCTAGGAACCATGCGATATTGTCGAGAGAAGACGGTTTACTTGCGCATGGAAGAGGCACGGCGCTTGCGAAGGTCGGCACGTTGAGCCTTGGCTTCGGTAACACGCTTGGTGAGGATGGCGGCGTACTCGTTCTGGGTGAAAAATTAGCATTTGAGATCCAAAGACGAGACCGGAGGAGGAACTTACAGCAGCATCCTTGGTACGCTCAGCATTGCGACGCTTGAGAGCGAGGCGGTGACGCTTGTGCTGAAGACGTTGAGGAGTAATCAGACGCTGGATCTTGGGTGCCTTGGTGTACGGCTTCTTTCCCTCGCCCTTTGGCTGGACTTCACGACGGATAACGAACTTGCGGACCTGTAAAATTTGGCAGCACTTCGTTAGCAATCTGGATCCCAAAGCTCACACTCTAACCTCTTCCCCTGACGCGATGAAGCGCGCCAAGGTACGTGAAGTAGGGTAGGCGAAGATAATACATACATCATCTTCCTTGGTGAGACCGAAGAATCGGCGGATCTTGGTGGCACGCTTGGGACCGAGGCGCTTGGGGTGGACGACATCAGTGAGACCGGGGATATCGGCGTCGCCTTGCTTGACGATGGAGAGAGCGAGGACAGAGAGATCCATCGCAACGATGCAGCCACGGACAGACTTGCGCTTGCGCTCACCAGTGCGACGGGGTCGGTAGCAGGAGTGGCCATCGGAGAGGAGGAGTCGGACACGGGTTGGATGCATAACACCTTGCTTCATGGGGAAGCCTTGCTTGTCGTTGCCGCCGGTGATCTTGAAGATGTAGCCCTTGAATTCATCGCCAACGGAGTCGCCAGGAACCTCAGCGCCCATTCTGTAATCTCCCAGTCAGCTTCTTGTATACTCGAGTGCAGATATCGTCGTCGCAGATCGCGCAGGTGGTTTCGTACCTCTTCTCCATAAACACTCGCAACTTTCGCTCATCCTCGATCTCAATCAACTTCTGGCTGCCATTGGCAGGCTGTTATGCGTCAGCTTGTATACTCGAATCTTGCGTACGCACCCGAAGGAGAGAAATGACTTGATGCACGTACGTAGGAGATATTGAGCTTCATGGTTGAGAATTGTCGTCGTTCGGAGGATTGGGCGGAGCAGATTCAAGTTCGAAGATATCAACTGAAATCGTTAGCTGTGTGTGAAAATTTTGACGCTAGTAAGCGAGCCAATCATCGTACCAGAATTGCGAGGTCTGGTCAAGCAGGCAATGATGGCGCAGAGGAAGTAGATGATCCAGAAAATGACGGGCAAGACGAGAAAGCCGCAGAGGAAACCAAGTGTGAATTGGTCGAAGTACATTCTAAAATCTTGTCAGTATATCTTCGTGAAAATTTTCATCTTCGGAATAATGTTGATCCCCACCGATCGGCAAGAGGATGATCCGCTGCCGGCGCTAGGTAGAATAATATTCCATTCCGTCGCGAAGCGAAGAACAAAAAAATAAAGAAGGAATCAACGTGCAGGAACGGGGCAATAACGTACGCTCTGGGAAGGCGGTGTGTGGTTGTTTGGAGATCGTTTTTGGAAGCTGCGATGGGTTGAATCTATACAGATTTGACGCTAAGGATCGCGCTAAAAAAATTGTTCCGAAAGAGACAAACACATCACATGACCACACCACACCTGAGGTACCTATGTACCACATTTCATCCTGTATGTTTTAGAATGTCCCAGTATTCTACCAGACTTTGGGTGTCCATAAGTTGGATTTGGACAAAACTATTTCAAGATACTTACTGAAGTACCCAGGTACCTTCCTTAGTAGGGTACAGCCATCAGCTCACATTCACTTAACCATAATAGAGTTTTGTGACTATGTATACATTGTTCTATAATGTCCCAGCCTTTCACAGAAGTTTCAGCCTTAATAATTTGTATCTAGATTGTAATATCCTAGGATAGGACCTAGATATTTTAGGTTGAAACTAATTAAATCAATAGCCAAACATTTTCTTGGCCATGTTGGGTTGCTATTATGTATACGGAGTCTTTTAGAATGCTCTAGCAGTTCACAGGACTTTTGGAGCCTACGAGTCCGATCAAAGCAATCCAAGATCGTAGGTTGCAAGAGTCGGATTATATGCCTACGTATCTCTTGGCTAAATATCTGACGAAATAATTTATGACCTTTTAGGAATATGTATTGTTCTACAATGTTCCAGGGATGCACGAGACATTTCGTGATAGTATTTCAAATCTATACAGTCAGTTCCCGAACCATAATGGTCAAGTAACGAGGGACTATTTTGTGCACGTAGGCCGTATCTAGACAATAGCTTTCCAGGACATTGATACTTAGACATTGTTCCTTAGAGTATTTCAGTAATTGTCAAGACTTTTGCTGTTTATAATTGTGCGCCCAGGTAATCAGTATTGAAGAAATCGAATTCAAGTTCTTTGACATGGTAGTCTTGACACTGTCTGTCCATTATAAGCCGTCTCCCAGTCCCTCACCAAACATTTGTTTCGCTCAAGTGATATAAATACAACGAGATTTCAGGATAGAGGAGAGCAATAAAGAAAGAGATACAAGGCCCTTTTCGCCATTCTCTGCAGGGACGCTGCTAGCCATCGTTGAAGCCGCGGCCCGGAGGAAGATCATCTTGAGAAGGTCTTCTTCTCTTCGCTTGAGGCGTAAACCCATAATCTTTACTCGTATGGTCGAGCGCTCGGACGAAATGGGTCTTCGATGTAGAGGTGGTGCCGTAGGGAGAAGCCAGCACAGAGTGTGTAGGGGGATGCTAGGTGATATATGGAGTACGCACCGCCTCAGGGCGGTAGAAGTAGGAATTCACTTGTTATAAGGTGTTTTCTTTTAGTTGAGAACTGATCACCTGTACATCTACTTGTACCAGCAATCTTCAGCACATCTGTTTTGTCTAAGTTGTGTCTAGACAATAAAGTTCGAAAGTACTCACTTGAGATTAGATCATATTCGGGAGATCACTTTTGACCACGGTGTTGTTGTCCATTATACTTCGGGGGGGGCTAGGTTGTTCTAAAGTGTCCGGTGGTTATAAGCGGTATCTGGATAATCTTACAAGATATCGAATTGATGACAACAACCCACAGATATCCGTTCGTCTCTTGCATTTGCCCCGCCACTTTGTCATTTCTTGAGAAGATGTACCAGTACCCTACAGAACACCTGGCTTCAATAAATCATATCCAGACCATACTTGTCACAGAACAGACAGACACAAATTATGTGACTATGCCCTCCATGCAAAAAGCCTCCCACTGCCCATATGGTGTTCTTGGATGGTTTGCTTCACTCGCGAATCTAAGTCTTCAATAAATTGCATTTAGACAATAATTATTGAGCATGAAGTGATGTGCAGAGACAAACCATGCAGCTTCAACTCCCTTCGATTCAAACGCTTTCCGTCCATCGGCGTGTTATCTCACAATGCATCTTTTCAGAGTTAGTGGATCGTATATCCAATCAGCATAAAAGACACTATGTTGAGTCCATCTTGAAGCTTCCTTGATCTAAATATCAGGTGAGTTAACAAAGAACTTCCGGATGACAGTGATTTTGGCGGCACCTGTTCTATTGCTATTTGGAACTTGCAATCTGGATGAGTTCGCATCTACTCTCAAATCAACACTTTTAGTCACATTGGCAAAGGTTATGGCAAGTTCGTGAAGTAAACACAAGGTCGTTAATAGCTGTTTTTAACTATAGCATAATGGAATTCATTTCAAAGACAAATGCTGCAAGTTGTAACTGCGGTCAAGACTCGGAAAAGACTGAAGTCATTTTCGTGATGGGGCTGACTACTCGAGTACCTCCTACACATCTGTAGTAGATGTGTAGCCATAGGAACCACCCTAGGATCCGAACCCTCTCTCTGGCTTTGATTATTGACATGCCTGAAACGTATTCACGCACCGGGATGCGCGGGTGACATACGATAATGCAAAAAAAAATAACAAATGAAAGTGCTCCATATCCACCTCCTCGATTATCGTTGACCGCAGAATCATGGCCTCGTATGTCGATGCTGATTCGTGAAATGTCGCCTCAAATTGTCTTTTCGAGTAAAGCCTACACCACCGCCGTCAACTGAATGCGAACAATCAGCATAATAGCAGAAGAAGCGGCGTCCGTTGTGTCGCGCTTGATGTCTGGCAAGGTCCTTCTCCAATGTGAACGCAACACCTCGGATCTGACAAGCTGTCTCAAAACAAGAGTAAGGCTTGCTGTGGTACTTTATGTGTCGGCTGGGTATCATCGTCAACTATTGGATACAATATCAGAAGGGAAACATCAAGACTTACTTCAACTTGTGGCGGTGAGTAAATGTCCGGCCACAAGCGGGATGACTACAAAGCCATTGAGATGTTGATGGTGTGGAATCCGACGTCGACTCTGAGCTTCCCGTACCACTTGAAGATCTCCCAGACAAACTTTCTCCCACACTCTCGTTGAAAAACATGGACAGGCCATCATTGATCGATTCTGATGCGGATCTCGAAGACTCATCCTCCCTGGCTCCGACACAAGCCTCACCTCCAACCGTTCTTCCCACCTCCACATCCATCATTCCTATCAATTCACCGCACCCCACCTCATCGTCATCAAGTAATACCCCTTCCCACAAATCCTCCTCGGCACCAAGGCCATGAAGCCTCAGCCCGCAGTGGTCTCGACTTTCAAATGGCTCCAAATCAAACCCGACCCAGCTAGGAGATTCCACCGGTCCCGGCCAGCAGAAATCCTCGAGACTAGCAGTGGGCCAGAGGCATGATTCGAGGCCATCTGATTGAACATGATCACTGTAACATTCGCGCGAGATTGGGTGGCGAGCGGAGGCGGGCTCCGCTCAGGAGATGACGGTGTGTCCAAAGCTGAAGACTATTAGTCATGTCTTATGTATAAGGAGGGGGCTCTTACACGGTTTGGTTCCTCGATGGAATTATATCTAAGAAACTGAAATGGAGGTTGAGGGCCGGCTGTTGAGCTCGGCTTAAATGCTGACGTTATGGCCGGCCTCACAAAGCTTGTTTGGACGGCCTCTCACGTGAGACACGGGTGGTTGATACGTGGACTCGGGTAATGGCCAGTCATAGTTGAGGTTATACGCCACATGCAAGTATTCGGGTGGGAAGTTGCACTTGACACCTGCTTCCCGTTCGGGCGTTCTTGGTCGACCTCTCGTGAATGAACGGCCTCTGAGGCTATCACTGCCCCTGTGCAGTTCATCTTCTTCGAAAGTGATATGGCAAGAGGCTCGCGCATAGGATACTCTTCAAGCATTCTTTTGTGAACAAATACCGCTTTTCTCTTAATCGAAGATTGCCGTTTCCCGCTCTCATCCTCTGCCGTCTTCCGGCTTGGAGGATCTACAGATTTTCACCTCCTGTGGTTAATACCTTCTTAGCGAGTGAATCTCAGGGGGAAGTGGGCCGTCTCGCTTAGCACCCTTCCCGGGAAGATATTTTTAACCCCACCATCTCCGTTCACTCTCCTCATCCTTCAAAAGAATAGGAACCTCTCATGGCAGAGCAATATCCGCTGGCATGCATCTTGTGAACAGAAGGCTTTTTCGTGTGCGACACGAATGAGAAGATAAAATTTAAAAGTCATGCAGATAGGCGTGCGGCTGAGCAGCCACAGAATTCGCGAGCAAATGATCCGCCACCCCCAAGATTGGTGGCGCCCCCGTGTATCAGCCTTCTTTTGTTTGTGATTCCCCTGAGAGCTTGCATTTGGGCTTAAGAAGGAGTTTATAGCAACGCTGTTTCTGCGCTTTTTGCTTTCGTTCTAAATCACTTGGCATCTCACAAAACCACCATAAACCTCTTGCAGATTCAAACTCCTCACCAACATCTCCAAGCCTCAGCCTCGCCACGAACGCCCTTCCCAAGATGCACGAAAACGAGATGAAGTACGAAAAGCCAGAAGAAAAGCCTGAGGCCGGGAAGCCCAATGAAACGATGGGTTGTTTAGAAAGCTTCTTTGGAGTTTTCAAGAACCTGTTTGGATGTATTAAGAATGGCGAAGAGGCGTATGCTCACGCGCCTCAAAGCCTCACTTCACAATTTCCTCAAGTGCAAATGCCACAACAGGTTAGTCCTTATGCTCCGAACGAGAAGAGTTCTTGGATGCTAACTTTTGGTAACCCAGCCTCCAACTACGTATACGACTCAAAACCAGAGTTAGTAGGACAGACGACGTTCGACTTGGCAGAAACCTTTCGATCGCAAGTTTTTCGTATGAGACTTTGACGAAGTTTGGACAAATGCTTGCAGACGACCTTGTTACATATGTCAGTGTCGGAGCGAGACTGGTGCTGTATTTAGGACCGCATCGGAGGATGCGCGGAGTGGAGTGAGAGGCATGAGGCCCAGTCTAGCGATACCATCTTCTTTGTACTTTTGGCTGTACTCTCATATTCGGTTCATGAACAAAGGCTTTTGGGTACGGATTTATTTTATGTTTCTCGCCTTTCATTTTCTGTTTCGAGGCATTTGGCACAACATAGGCATAAGATATCAGCGAGTCTGAACTTTGGATTACATTATCACTAACTACTGTGTGACGACGTCTCCTGCTCTACATCGAAATCTTTTTCCGCCGCTTTCTGTTGTGCTACATCCTTTCCAAAATTCCAGTGCCATACATTTGTTAGTCGTGCCAAAGACCGAGCTCTCCAAGATGCTATCTTTCATATGTCTCAGCAATATTTTGCAAGGTTCTCCCACTTAATATCAAAACCACGAGATAATAAAGGAAAAAAGCATAAGCTCAAACGCCACCAACCCTAGGTCTTCAATTGTACCCACTTTCCTACTCCCGGACGATTTCAACGTTGTGGAAGCTGGAACAATTATAGGTGCCGTGCTTGTTGCAGTCGGCGGGAAAGAAGTGACTGTTGGACTAGACGATGTTAAATTCGACCCACCGGTTGGGCTGGACTCTCCGGCTGTCGTTAGCTCAGCGTAGCTGTCGTAAGAAACAGTTTCTCCCCAAGAACTCTCCTCCGCAGCCAGAGAGCTCCACCAAACATTCTCTGAGTGAGGATCTTCGGCTGTCATTGTGATAGTGCTTCTAAAGATACAATTTAGCTGAACTATCGGTCATTTCGAGAGGGATGGAGTTAACTTACCCATCATCGTTGGTAACAGTGAGCCCAGGTGTGAGGCACTGATATAACCCGCTTGGAAGGGGTGCGCAGACTTCGTACATATCACAACAATAACCGCCGCCGCAGTCAACCGGGTTTGGGCCGCATAGGTAGACGATACTTCGAGGTGAGAGAGGATTGTCGAGGTGTCGCGCGAGCTTCAATCCCACTATTAGAGTTGGAAGGAGCAATGCGAAAGTGAACGTATGAAGCGGTTGCATTTTGAGATCATCCTGAGTTCTGTCGTTACTGAAAACTACAATGGCTATCTAGGCTCTTATGTCATGCAGTTCTCTGAAGATGAGTCTTTGTGGAATTTGAGATGTAAAATTGTCTCCCCATTAACTATCATGATGCTCACACAACTGTCGCGTAAGAAGTCTCGCTATATTCGAACCCTTTATTGTTCTCATGACTAAACTCGTTGTGTGGCAACACATGTGAGACATGGTGTTCCCACTGCCACCGCACGTTGAGCTTGCGATCATTGGCTACCGAACGCATAAGCGAGAATCTCCTGCCATACGGCCACTCAAAATGCTTCTCTTCAGCCTCAAAGTATATGAGGAAGTGGGATCGGAAGGATCAGACGAGGGACTATCGGAACGGACCGCGAGTTGAATGTATCAAATGAAGTACTGTAAGAGCTGAGGCCACGACACACGGCCCACTTAAGCGAGAACCTCAAAATTACACCTAGTTTTATATTTATTATAATAACTACAATTCTTAATGGAATCTTCTAAAATTTTAAATATAAATTAATAAATAGTAACTAAACCTCGGATAGCAATCATATCTTCAATCTTACAAGTTAAACGCTCTGTGTACGGCCTGAAATCACGTGGATCTACTCGATCCCATAGCTTTTGCAACTCCCTTTTCAAATCCTCTTTACTTTTAGGCATATAAGCCAATTTCTTTAGTTTTTTTTTATTTATCGCTAGATTTTTTTAATAGGATTCAAATCAAGTAAAGAAAAAGGCTAGTTAAACCCGCGGATTCCATGCTAAAGTTTTAGTAACCGGGCACTCTTTTTATGTACTTTTGAGCTATTTTCCATGAAAATATATTCCGGCTCTAAAGTGTTAAATAGAGGGAAGATTATAAATTCAAGAACTTGCTAAAAGTATGCTTTAAAGTATATACCCTTGCGTTCTGGAAGCTTCTCTATAAAAACTAATAGTAATTTATAGTCCTAGCCTAATGCCTCCCAAATCATGACCATAATCCTTCCTAACCTATAAACTAACTAGATGCAGTCAAGGCACCTCCTCTCATCTACCCTCCTAGTCACCCAAATCCTACTATTCTTGCTAGTCTCGAATATTGCCTCATCAGACTAGACAACCTTCCTCCAGTCCCCTCCTTGCCTGCCATCATCCCTATGAACTGCATAGTCCCACCACCTATAATCCCGCGCAAAGCGCAACCTCTTCTTAGCTTGTACTCTTAATATATAGGGTCGAGGGCATGCAATGCAGCGACGGTAGCTTGCGCGGGCTAGTTCTCGGCGTATAGTTCGAATAGAGGGAGCGAGCCGTAGTAGGGTTTTGAGGCTCGAAAAGTTCATCTTGCGAGAAGACTAATCTTTTGAAATAGTGCGAATGCATTAGCATATCGTTCTTATAGACATTAAATAAAGTTTTGAGTGCTTCTTTTTACGCTCTCTACGACTGTGTTCTTGCTTAAAAATGCGACGTACAGTCCTCCTAGGCACCTAAGTCTCTTGGACAATCTCGCGCTAAAATTTTCCATGTCGTTGTAAGCTGCGGATAATTGCGCGCGCAGGGGTAAGCCATTCTGCCTTATCTTTCTCGAGGGGTGAGCTGAGTATTACAGGTGTTTCCATGTTGAATTGCAGAAGAATTGAATAAGTAGTTGTTGAGTTATTAAAGTTTTTAAAAAGGAGGTGCTGAAAAGAGGACGCGTACCGCGTCTCGCTTAAGTGGGCCGTGTGTCGTGGCCTCAGCTCTTACTTGATGCCGATCAACTTTCGGTCATCCGTCCATGAAGAAGCTCGACAACACAAAGGTCGATCACGTTATGGTCACGCGACTTCTGAATGGGGACGTCAATATTTACGTATTTGGCTTATGGTGGCTTATTGATGTTTTTCAATAGAAAGCAAATCTTTGACGTTGGTGAAGCATGAGTTTGCGTGTGATGTTATTATCGGCCCACTTCTACCCAGACAAAGTGATTAGCATACACTGAGTTGACGAAAATAGCGCTTATGGCTTCCATGCTCACGCTGATCTCTTACTAGGAGCTGCTGTGGCGATTTGAGGTCTATTTGGTGGAGGAAAATCAGCTGTTATTGATCTTCTGAGATTCATTAAGTGTGGCAGAGTAAGGCCGCAGCTTTGGAGTAGAAATACGCGCACAATTCATGACTTTGTAACTCGTAATAGTGGTTGGCACAATCAGCTCTTGAGTCAAGCAATGCCCAATTGACTTTCGAAAAGATATGCCATCGGCCAATTTGTCGCTCTTTCCATCACAAAATGGACCCTGGAGAAGACCAACGGCCGCCCAAGATCGAAGTTAGCAGGCATGTCGCAGCCATTCCAGAAGGATCACCACATAACCAGAAGTCAAATGGTGAAGAGGACTCGCAGCGCATCGATCAAGAGACAGAAGAAGACTCAAATCTCATCATACCTGGGAGCGAACTGCCAGATCCACGTCAAACAAAACTGGCAAAGGAAAAGATTCATGAAGGCAGTGCACACCGGACAAATCATCCCTCTATTAGCACTCCGGGGAAAGTTGCTGGAAACAAACCTCAAGCTTCCGATAGTATCGATGCCAAGACTTCGACAACGGCAATCTCTGATCACTACAATGTTAAAGTGGGTCCAGAGACTTGCCCCGCGAAAGATCATTCGAAGAGCAAATGGCAGCTCCTTTCTCGTGATCCTTCGAGTCAACGATAACAAGATTTAGCTCTCCCAAAATTAGTCAGTACTCTTAGCCATCACAAAGTGTCCTCATCCTGTCGCAGCAACTACAAAGTTGTCCAAGATTTCATTTGGTGGCTCCTAGCATCCGCGATCGTCTCACTTACTGCATATACTGGAGCAAGCGCCACCTGGCGCCACGCGCCGCTAGCCATTCTCCCTAGTCGTGGTGTCTTCGTCCTCAGCGTCTTATCCAAAGTTGGCGACATGATACTTGGACTTGCGGCCGGGAAGATGTGGGATAGGATACAGTGGGGCAGGGCTTCTCGAGATGGAGTGCCTGAAAAATCATTCTTCAGTTTGAGCTCGGCGACTGGAGTATGGGGCTTGGTGAAGATAGTATGGTACGGGTTTAAGCCTCGAAATTGGACCAAGAGGGATCATGCTCTTCTCTGGAGTCTTGCTAGGTTGGTATTGACAGCGTTTTCAAGCGATTTAGCAACCATTAATGTTTCATTCGCAGATTATTTGCAATTGCGTGTCTGATGGCACCTGGGCTGTTCATTATGAGTATGCATTTCCTTATCATCTCTCGTGCAGAAATCCATCCCTGATGACGAGTCTAGGTAAAATCACCCAAAAAGTCATCTACTACCCAGTCCCTGGAGTTCCATCCCAATCTATAGTCGGGGGTATGGGAACATACAGCCCTTCGCTAGCAACAAATTACTCCAACAGTTACACAGGTATCCCGGCCCTTATTCAAGTCCTTCTTCGCGACCCCTCGACTTCCATCCCTGTCTCTCCTATAAGCCCTTATTGCCTAGCATCTAGTAGTAGCTGCGTCTCCTACCTACTTCCAGGAGGTCTTTCAACAGTATTTCCTTAGGCCTTTGCCCCCAATGTAAATAGGAGTGCTTCGGTATATATTGTCCAAGACGCACCTGCGTATCAAATTGATTTCTAGGATGCTCCCAAGGGTTTAGATTTTAATGAGAATTCTTGCGCTAAGTATGGGATGTATGGCGCGGTCTTGCAGCTATGTATTGCCTCTTATGGTGGAATTACAGGTCATCTTGTCTCTAGTATAATTCCTCGAGCTCTTATTACTTGAACTTCTCACTGATTAGTTGAAAGGGTATCGAGCATGTTCTAATGGTGCCGATCTCTCGAGTGCATGTCAGAGCTTTTCAAACTAGGACGGGATAGGTAACTAGACAACAATGATGGCTATATACAGAAGAACAGCAACTACAGTCATTGATCGCGTTACATACAACATCCTCTCCCATAACTCTCTCGGCGCTGCGCAAGTTCAAGATATTGCTCCCGCAGATCTCTTCGTCGCCATCGATGGCGCCGTTCTCCAGCCTACAAATAAGACGACTACCGACTGTACACTTGTCCTTCCGCAATACTACACAACAACACTCTTGATCTCTATAATGGATCTCTACCAGTATGATACGACCGGTAACACAATGGTCACGTTTCTGCGCAACATTCTTTCAATTCCATTGTACCAGTTTAACGCTATGATGTGGCAACTTCCCACCTCACTCAATATTTCCGAACTCGAACTTCCAGCAGAGAACTATGTGAAAGGAACTTATGCTAGCAGCCAACTGAGGAGCGTTCCAGAGACTTGGACGGTTTGGACCTATATCGGACTGTGTGCTGGGATGCTGTTGATTATTTTAGGCATTCATGGTTGGGCTATGCAGGATGAAATTCCTGAAAAGTCGGCTTTTCCCATGCCTGATTTGTGGAGCTGATTGAGGAGGTTGATGCTCCAATTTCGAAGGTAAAAATTGCAGAGAGTGGGTATGTGGTTGAGAAGAGAGGGAAGATGAAAGTCACGAATAGTGAAGAATTACTTCGGAGTGAAAAGTGGGTGCGCGTGAAGAGGGAGCAGGAAGGTTTGTCCGACGAAAGCATGACAAACCATTCTCCGGCACAAGAGGCAACTTAATTCAATAGCTGCGCTAGGTAGAACCTTTTCTCCTTGCTCGGCAAAATTTGAAGTTATCATACGTTTCCGGTAGTCAAAATAATTTTCGACTCTTTGCGAGATCTCCTACATCTTCCTTTTAACGTATGCCCATTTTCAAGACGCGTCACGTGTTACATAAAGAAAATTGCTCGAGTTATATTGTGGAAACCAATCCTTCTTCCTCGAGATGCTGTGCTTCATTATACACATAGGAAGAGAACATCCACCGCCCCCTTTTCTCTCTCGCTTAGATCGGCAAGCTAAGCGGGGTCGCTCCGAGCATGTCGGCCGAAGCCCGCCCTGCAGCAAAACACTAGTACCATATAAGTAAGATCTTTTCTTTGTATCAGCACCAGTTGCCACGTTCTCTTTGATGATTTTGGCCTTGTTAGCCGGGCCGCCTTCACAGACATTCCTATATGGCTAATTCGGCTTACCATCATGGCGCCTCGGAGCGCATGCATCATTTTCGCCGCCGTTTCTATCTTGTTAAGTCCTTTAGCAGATCGTCAATAGGGTTGAAGATGCCGCACTTCCATGGCTTCAAAAGATAAGTTACTTCACATATCTACATGCGACATCTCCTGCTCATTTGAATTTACGCAACGAACGTTCGTACTCTCTCATTGTCTATTGAATTACCATTACCGAGAATCCCGAACTTACCAATCGATGGCTACAAACATGCACTCTGACCTCGAGAAGCAAGAAACTCACGAAGGACACCTTTACGATGGCTACCCCGATTATCGAATGGGGCTTGACGAAGAGGAATCCACAGCAGAGATCTCAATATCGAGACAACGAACTAGAATCACCGATCCTCGATCGCTTGCAACAAGAATTGCAAGTCATGAATCAAGACAGCCGAATTTCTATCACCCGTTAGAGCACACACCCACCACTCGAAATGTCATTGTCGATTTCGATGGACCGGATGATCCATATAGACCCATGAATTGGCCGTTTTATAAGAAGGCCTACACAACTTTGATTTATGGTTTGGTAACCATGGGAGCCACATGGGGCAGCAGCATGTATATTTCCATAGTTCTCTATTTTCTTTTACAAATTGCTGACTCTTAACTTTTAACAGATATTCCTCAGCCAATGAGAAGATTTCAGAAAAATATCATATCGGTTCTGTTGTCGCTACCCTTGGTGTAACACTCTATCTCTTCAGTTTCGGTACAGGCCCATTAATTTAGGCACCACTGAGCGAAGTCTTTGGTCGAAGAACAGCAGTCTTTTATCCATACTTTATCGGAGCCATTTTCGCATTCGATAGTGCAACAGCAAAAGACACGCAAACTTTGATGCTGACTCGATTCTTTGGAGGATTCTTCTCTTCAGCTCCTGTTACAAATACTGGTGGAGTCTTGGGTGATCTTTGGACACCGGCACAAAGAGGTCCTGCTATGGCAGCTTATGCAATGGCAGTCGCCAGCGGACCTCTGGCTGCCCCAGTTGTTGGTGGGGCCATTGTGGATAGCTATTTGAGCTGGAGGTGGGTAGAATATGTAAGTGGTCACTTTCACTGATGCTAATTGGCCAAAGCTAATAAACCTTCAGACAACCGGAATACTCATGATGCTTATCCTAATCATCGCGATTATCTTTGTCGATGAATCGTACCCTCCTGTACTCCTCGTATACAAAGCCCGTCGACTTCGTCACGAAAAGGGGAACTGGGCACTGCATGCCAAACATGAAGAATGGGACGTCTCTTTCCAACAACTTGCCACCAAATACTTTGTTCGTCCCTTTCAACTCCTCGCTACACCAATTACAGCCTGTATGGCTGCATACGCATCGTTCGTGTACGGAATCCTGTACCTCTGCTTCGCTGCCTTCCCAATCGAATTCGAAGAGGAGAGAGGATGGAATCACCTTGTCGGCTCTCTCCCATTCCTTGCTACTTTGCTAGGCTGCATCACAGGAGCATCAGCAAACTCAATGAATACAAAATACTATATTTCCAGAGTAGCGGCAAATAGAGGTCGTCCCGTCCCTGAAGCAAGACTCCCACCAATGATGTTTGGAGCCATCGTCTTTCCGGCAGGCTGTTTTCTCTTCGGTCAGACATCCAGTAAACATGTTTTCTGGCTCTGTCCTTGTATTGGAGCATATCTCATCGGCCTTGGTTTCATCACCATTTTCCAATGTGCGCTCAATTACTTGATTGATACTTTTCAAGTGTATGCGGCTTCGGCAGTGGCGGGGAACACGGCACTGAGGTCAACGTTCGCAGGTGTGTTTCCGTTGTTTGCGCCAGCGATGTTTCATAATTTAGGGATCAATTGGGCGAGTAGTTTGATCGGGTTTGTAAGCGTGGCATTAATCCCGATTCCGTTTATCTTTTTCGTCTATGGGAAAAGAGTTAGAGCTATGGGGAAGTGTTCGAGGGCTAGTTGTGAATGAAAGGCAACAAGTAGATTGCTGGCAGATCGGGGTAGTCATTTTCATAAATTGATCAAAGCTGGTAGACGTCAGCTTTGGGTGTTACTAGAATTAGAAATCATATGCCAGGAAGTTTGGCTTAGTTCATAGATTTTGCTTCTGTAGACTTAAGATACCTTTCAAAATATATTCATCTTGAAACTCTACCGGACATTAGATTGTTACTGAGATATAAACACAAGGACATTCACTCGCCAACAAGAAGACCTCTGGACATCCAAATTATCTTTCACTTTCTAGGTCCTCACCTAAGCGCTAGATCAGATTTTTCTGGTCTTCCGTACTTACCACATTCTTAGTAAGAAAGACTTAGCTTTCCTTTAGCTTAGTTACCATGTTCCCTTTCTTGTAAGAATATCTTAGGTCATTCCAGCATTTTATCTAAGTTTCTGGTTCAATTCATTGGCCGCAGCTGATTGACATTGTGATATGCGAGGAACTCAAAAATGTGAACTGTTTGTTAGTACGGTAAAAATTTGAAATCAACATAAACTTTATCTCCTCGAGCTTGGCCCGAGAGCCTCATGCAAGCCATGTGAGAATCAACAGGGATGCCCAGATGGTCAAGAGTGTCACGTGACAGCATCGCGTTCCTTCTTGCAAAACGCCAAACCAGCTGCCTATTGAATGCTTAAGGCCGAGTATGGATTATTAGTAATGTAATTGACACCATTTTGCTGTAAGTTCAGTAGTAATGGCAACAAGTTGTGGTGTCATCGATGAAAGTATTGTGGAAATCCTCGTCGGAGCGTCTTCGGCTCGGTGGCGCCGGCTTGCTCCTCATTGCTGGACAACCAATTCTGGGCGAACACGCCTTGGCGATTGTCCCGAACGCAAGATCCCCTAACTCCGTACCAGCACTATAGATGGTTATGTTCACATTAGGGAACAAAAGAATTATATAAGAACGGGTCTCGATGTCTTCCATGGTGTAAAAATATCAGACATTGAGAAGAAAACACGAAGACGACTAAAAAGACAGAAACTCATTCTTGTTTACCCAGATCGAAAACGCAAAACATCAAGATGACAGCCCAAGAAACATTCCGTCCGACCTTTCCTCATGCCACAGACAACCCATACCCACGCCTCACTTATGGACTTCCATTCTATGAAGCTTGCGCCAAACATCTCAAAGAGACATTCCACTCTCAAAGGCCCTATATCATAGCATCAAATACACTGTCCAAGAAGACCAACTTCTTGAGTCAACTCCAACAGGCACTTGGCGATGGGTTGGCTGGAACATGGATTGGCATCAAGGCGCATACTCCACTTGATGACCTCCTTCCCATCTTGGAAGATATGCGAACCAAGAACGCAGACAGTCTCATTACTCTTGGCGGAGGAAGCTTGTCCGACGGAGGGAAGGCAATCATATATGTGAGTCAATCTCTCTCTTCCTGCTTAACATCCTACTAACAGGATCAATAGGCACTAGCCAATAATGTCTTCACAGAAGATGATTTTGTCAAGCTCGGCAATCGAAAGGACCTAGCCTCCAGTGGTCCGGATATGAACGCCCCCTCAATTCCGTTGATATGTATTCCAATTTCGCTGTCTGGAGGAGAATACTCGAAATACGCAGGAGTCACGGATCCGAAGAGCCACCTGAAGATCATGTATGGACACGAAAGAATGTTTCCTTCCCTCGTCATCCTAGACCCAGAATTGACAATATCATCACCCGAGCGTCTATGGCTTTCATCCGGAGTTCGCTCAATAGACCATTGTGTCGAAGGATATCTCTCCACCAACGCCAAACCCTCTTCTTCGACAGCCCTTCTTGAAGCATTAAGTTTGCTGGTGAAGGGATTGCTGGAGACGAAGAAGAATCCTGAAGACTTGGAGGCCAGGTTAAATTGTCAGCTCGGCAGCAATTTGAGCATGACGGCTTTGTATGAGGGTGTCTGGAAAGGAGCAAGTCACGGTATTGGTCACCAGCTTGGACCGCAAGGTGTGGGACATGGTGAGACAAGCTGCATACTGCTTCCTGCTGTGTGCAAATATAACAAGAGAGTGAATACAGGGCAACAGGAAGAGTTGAAGAAAGTACTTGCCACAGAGGAAGTTGTGAGGCGTGTTTCAAGTGAAGCTGGACTGGACATGGAAAAAGCGGATTTAGGAGATGTGTTGAGAGCTATCTTCAATGCTTTGGGCATGCCAAAGAGTTTGAAGGAGGTTGGAATCGGGAGAGAGAAGTTGGATGAGGTGGCGGAGAATAGTTTGCAGGATCATTTCTGTCGCACGAATCCGATTCCGATAGATAGCAAAGAGAAGGCTTTGGAGATATTGGAGATGGTTGTTACGTAAATCTATCCTATGGAGTTTCAATATATTTGTCTTCTTAGTTTCAACGCATAGAACATTTTCACGGAACTACAAGCGACATCTGTGTCTAACTTTGACTTGGAGGTACTGAGGAAATTTCTCTGAGAGCGCATTAACGATTAATAAATTTATACGCTACTACAGAAAATAGAGGTGTCAATATTTTTGCCCGAGCAGTTTGGCACTCATCTTCTAGCAGAGGACTTCTCTATACATGTTGTAATACGCTCCTCTAGGTCACTGAATCCTAGGCGACCCAGTTCAGTACCCAATTAAAGTGTGCAGTTCAGCTCAACTTACATAAACCTACCCAGCCATCCACGACACTGGACACTACGCCACAAATCCCGGGGTAAAGATAAAGCTTACAATTTCAGCTGGGCAAAGTTCTTCCATCTTCTTCTCCTGCCAAGTTCATCTAAGATTAGGTACTTTTGATCTTTCTGCTCTATTCGCTCTCTGCATTGCGCGCAATCTCAACTTTAGAACTAGCTTCGTGAATGAATCATCAAGATACTCAAATCGCAGCTCAGCCTCGTGTGGGAGCCGACGGTAATATGACCCAAGACCTCAGCGAAAGAAGACATGTGGTAACAGAGCGTAAGTAGAGGAAGTCCGGACTTCATCAACATGAATGGAGAGAATAATGAAGCCACTGACTCCAAATACAGGGGATGGTTCTTTATCTTTGGCAACCCGGCCTCGCGTGGATGGGATTGCGAGTGAGATAAGTGCTAACCAGAAAGCTCATCTTCCAGTCGCAGGGAAGCAAATATCAGTATCTTCAAAAAACCTAGAACGTGGAACTGACTATTGAGTAGACCATTCTCAAACCTTTACCTCTGAAAGCAAAATCAGCACTGTCTCACCTATGTCTACCTCTCCAGCTAAAGAACTTGTTACTTTACCTCTTTTGAAGCTCCAGCAGCTGGCCGAACTCTTTGCACAAGCGCTTCGGGAGACCAAAGAGCGTAAGCCTGATGTTGAATACGGTATTGATGTCTCTCACAATACTGCGACAAGTGGTACTCGGACCCAGATCGCCTCAAGCACCGCCAGACCGGAGAGAGATGGTAGCGATCCTGCAGGCCACGTTACATCAAGCCACCCAGACATGTCTGAGTCTAGAGATTCTCGCAGGAACATCATCACAGAGATCTGGAAGAATGTGAAGAAAAGGGAGTTTGAAGCAACTTCTACCGAGAAGAAAGAACAACCAAGCCTCAATTTACCGCAAGCCAAGTGCCGGACAATAGAGACAGTGGAACTCCTCTTTCAACCATATCCTGCCTCTATCGATCCAGAGCCCCAGAAATGGAATAAAGAACGTGCAATGGTGGTAGCCCACAGGCTACGAGGTCTGGCCAGAGACCTTGATTCTGAAGATATCAACAGATCGGCAGGGGTTTTAGCCTGCATCGTGGCTTCTATCGCTTCGAAAGATCTGGAGAAGCCGAGGCTTGGCACAGTCCTGGACATCTGTTACCAAAGTGGGATCCTTGATAGACCAAGTTCTCCCAATCGGACGCAATACATCGAACATGCCTCGCATGTGATACGGGGTTTGGTGGCCAGCAACGAATTCTTGGATTTCCAAACTATCGAGGATTCATGGCGTGCCGATTGGCTGGATATTTTTGCAGAGAGGTCTCTCAAGGAGATCCTTGGCATCGAACTGTCTGCTCTAGTTCAGATATTACATGCAGTAGATCCGGAGCCGACGTTATTAGAGACTGCCACAGGCACAGACTTTCGAGCTGATGACTTGAACTTCAAAACGCTGCAGAAAATAGGAGGTCTAAGGGTCATGTGGTCTCAAAAACTTGAAGACCATCTACGTCTGGACCATCAGAACAAGATCATCTATATCTCATGGTTTCCCGTGCCAAATTTAAGGACGTGGAGGGAGCCATCTGACTTCTCCGGATATCAGTCATTGTTAGTAACCACACTCTGAGCCATACCCTAGGGTTCTTAGAGGATACTGACTTTTGATTCTAGTCTGTTGGACAATCTTCCGAGAACCTTCTTGGACTCACGCTGGACGAATGTTAGACTATCCCAGCAACAGCTCATTGGTTTAGAGTTTGAGCTTGAATCGTCCTGGGCCATTCTTTTTGCCACCGGAGGCATAACACAAGCAAAGAGACAAGCTGTCTATGAATCTTTATGGACACCTTCTTGGCATTCCATCCCGGAATTGGAGCGATTTTTCCTCGAGAACCCATGGGCACTCCAGGAGCAGAAAGATCGACAAGTTCAACAAGGCCACACTTACAACAATGACTTCCGGTTTAATCAATACGCCGATACTCTCCAACATATCCAAGATAAGGAATACATTGCCTATGATATTTTTCCAATGCTAGAGACACGCCTTAGGCAACTGAGATACTACATGGATCATCGGAAGCCACAAAGCTTTCGTGAACTCTGGAATGACAACCATGATCCGCTCAACTATTATACTTTCTGGTGTGTCATCATCTTTGGGGCACTCACCATTTTCCTTGCGCTTCTTTCGTTGTCTGTTAGTATCGCTCAGACATGGGCTGCTTTTCGCGTTTTAAAGCAGTCTAATTGAGCTTTGATAAGGAATTGAAGTGCCTAGATGTACCTGGATCTGGAACTACCATGGAAGTGGAATTGGTTTCATGGCTTCTATTATTCTCAATTGGCAATATCGGTACGAGAAGATAAGCACTATGCTTTGATGTTTTTAATCTCAGTTGAAGACTTACGTCCATGTTGCTTAATAAAGTTACTCGCTATAGCCGCTTTGCACGAGAGCTACTCCCTTCACCTCATCTGCTATCCAACAATGTCTTTACAGCAGCGCTCCCAACGGTTGGTTAGGTTTAGCGTAACTGCCAAGAAATAACCGTCTACACCAGTTATAGTTACAAGTTTTTAAGAACCGTCTGCCTATTGGTAAGTAATAGTTCCGGCCTCCCTGAAACTGTCAAGAACCATTTACCCGTCTACTATTGGGGGAGCCTAAAGATAGTGGAGATTAAGGGAAATTAAAGTGCCTTAAAGCCTAAAAACCTTAAAATTCTGAAGCCTGAGGCTGAAGTTGAAACTTAAAGCTAAGAATATACTATTAATAGGTTTTGTTTGTCTTGGCAGTTCAAACCGTCTAGAACCGTCTAGAACCTGGTTTAGTTTAGTTTCACAGTTTTCTAGAACCGTACTAGTACAGTTAGTTACGGTTTAGGGTCAAAACCAAACCAAACCACCCATTGGGAGCGCTGCTTTACAGAGCACTACTTTTAATTGCTGACTTTAGCATATGAGAGGACATCAAAGCCAACCTCGCTATAGACTGCTCTCAGTCCTCACTAACATGCATATTCGTTTGCTATCCAGAGAAAGACAACTTGATAGGCAGTTTCTTTCTCGAGGTAGGTCACCTGACGCTAAGTGTGGGTAAACTACCCCACATTCAAGCGAGATCCGCCCCCTGAATCGCTTCCCCAGTCTCACCGAACATCTGGCCGAATCTTTCACTTCTGGTTAGTAGGAACACTACACCGCCTTACAAAGGACCAGTTCGAGGATTTAATTACATCATTTCTGAGCTTTGCGTTGAAGGATTTCCCCGTTGCTTAATAGAGCCGAGAAATGGCTAGGACTGTTCCTGACTACAGGTATGATCCAGATGTGATGATAAATATTCTATGCTGACGCCGGGGTAAATTTCGGATTGAAGTTCTGCTGTCATATGAGGAAAGCGTTGACGTTCTTTCATTGCAATGTCCACCATGGATCTATCAGTTGGCCAGCTTGAAATTCGTTCAATGGCAGTCAGCTCGTGTGTACGTCTTCAAACACTATGCCGAACTCTAGTACCTTCTGATTGATCTGGCAGTGCACCCAACTCGCCTCCCTCCTCCCATCCAAAGTCTCCTTCCCAGGAACCTCCAGCTACGAAACAACACAGTCCTCATACTGGTCAATCCAAGAAGCTAGTCTAACACCATCATGTATCGTCATCCCATCAACACCCCAAGACGTCTCCCAAGCCGTTGGAATCCTATCTTCGATGCCAGATTGCCACTTTGCGATCAAAGGACATAGCCATATGCCAGCTGCTGGATTTGCGAACATCGATGCTGGCGTCACGATTGATATGACGGGATTAAATGCCGTTGCTGTTAATGATGACCAAACGGTGGTCAGCGTCGGATCTGGGGGGTCTTGGCTAGACGTTTATGCTTATTTGGATCCGCTGGGTTTATCGGTTGCTGGAGGTCGGAACGGGCTTGTTGGTGTTGGAGGTTTGACTCTTGGAGGTGGGATATCGTATTTTGGGCCTCGAGTAGGTTGGGCTTGTGACAATGTTGTCAATTTTGAAGTTTGTGCAGATTTCCTACTTCACTCCTATGCTCGTTCCCTGACAGACCCAGATTGTTCTTGCGTCGGGTCAACTGACGAATGCCAACGCCTCCTCTCACCCAGATCTCTTCCGTTCTCTCAAAGGTGGAATGAACAACTTCGGCGTCGTGACTCGTTTCGATCTAAGACCTTTCTCTCAAGGAGAAATTCTCGCTGGAAATATCGCCAACCCAATCTCAGAACGGGATGCGGTATTTAAAGCATTCTCGGACATCGCTGGAGCGAAGGAGTATGATCCGTATGCATCGTTGGTTACAGGTCTGAGTTACAATTCTTCTGTCAAAGGGAGCTGGAGTATTGCGACGACAGCTGCGTACACGAAGCCGGAATTGAATCCTCCTGTTTATGATGAGTTGATTGCGATTCCAAGCACTGGGAATACGCTGCATCTTACGAATTTAAGTACGCTTTCTAATGAGACGAATACGCCCCCTTTGTAAGTTTTGAGCAGGCCCTTCTTGTTTAGGAAGGATTGATATGCTGACAGCTTCCAAGGAATTGGCAATTCTTGACAGGCACGTATGGAGTGTCGGCAACTTTGATGAGCAAGATATTCGACAACCTAAACAGCACGCTCTACGACTTCGAGACTCCAGGCTCATGGGCATTCTGGAGTATCGCATTCGAACCATTACCGACAGTATTTACTCAATACGGTGATAAAAATGGTGGAAATTCACTTGGGACTTCACCAAAAGATGGCAATGCATTCAGTAAGAACAAATCCTACTCCCATAATCTAATTGGTTATTGACAGGAGAATAGTCATGCTTATCTCCGCACTCTGGCCAAACTCAACATTCGATGCAAGTGTAGAGGAAACGGCCGAGAAGTTGACGGCAGACATCGCGTGTATTGCTGAGGAAATGGGTCTGCTACATGAGTTTCAATACATCAATTATGCGGACCCTAGTCAGGATCCGATCGATGGTTACGGGCCGAAGAACGTTGAATTCTTGAGAAAAGTGAGCAGGAGATATGACCCGAAGGGAGTCTGGCAGAAGCAAGTTCCTGGTGGATTTAAATTAGGAATATGATGCAGAAGTGTTGCGCGCGTGGTATAATCTCCTGCTACTTAGCTCATTATATTCTTTCCACTGCTCAGCAGTTTGTGTGCGGTACAGCGCTTTTAGAGCTGGATGAATATGTATCTGCAGAGTTTTGCACCTCGCAGGCAATCTTCCCATGGCATGGATATGCAATGAACGTGTGAATCTCAAGTGAGACACTGAGAATCTTCCTTTGAAGGAGACTCGGTGTATCCTTGCGAAGTAGCAATAAAATATTCACAGCGAACAAAAAAAAAGTATATTGTGAGAAGATGCTCATGAAATTGCGTTCTTATTCCTTCCTTTTATGCTGTCTTAGTCTCTAGCTCAAGCCGAGGTAAAGCCGGCCGAAGAAGCTCCGTCCCTCCAACGCGTCGACGCGTTTGATCTTTGATTCACATGAGAAACTACTCAGCAGCTGGACTCTACACACTTTAACACATTATGCACGACCTCCAAGTACATCCGAAGTCTGCGAACCCATCGAAGAACACCTTGAACCCGCTTCCACAGCTTCTGCAAACTCCATCAGGACTTGCTCTTCTCGAATTGCAAGGCACAATCAATCTGCCAAGCCAGGATGAAGAAGATACCCGTTTCGTCTCGAAGAATGGAGAAGCTATATCAAAGGAGACTCCCATAGGACGCCTTGTCTTTCCAGACTACGATCCACAGAATGCCAGCGGTACAGCTTGGATGAAGCGTGTATACATGTATGTGGGGAAGCATCAAAGACTCACTGGTGAAGTGAAGAAGCTGTCGAAAGCTTTAGCTGTGATTCGGAAGAGGAAGAATGAGTCTGCAGACCCAATGGAAGTTGATGGAGATGATGAGGAAAGAATCGACGAGTTGGAAGTGGTGGAAATTGTGAAGTACAAGATTCTGTTCTCGACAAGACCGGAACCTGTTGGGACTCTAGTGACTGGAGTTGCACCACCATGATCTACGTATTCGATACCAAAGTATTTGTCTATCTGTCAGAGTTCGAGATATAGGGAAGAGAGTTGTGGCTGGTGGGGGACCTTGGCCCGCCCTAACGATTTACCCCGCCATGGCTCAACGTCAGCTTTGTCAACATCAACACCGAATCTTCATCTGCAACCAACAGTATCTTTTGAAATTGACCATAAAGATGCCCTCCGCTACCTCGCCTCCCGAGACTTATTTCCTGCGAAAGCCTACAACCCACGTCCCAAACTCACCTCTCCCAGTTCTCGTATATCGTTCCGCGTTACCCCTCAATCCCACTCCTGAGACAACATGCGAGCTCATCGAACCGAACAACTGGCTGAAGGGAGGAGTATTCAAACACTACCCAGCACATCATTTCCATAGTGTGACTCATGAGTGCTATGCTATATTTAAAGGACATAGTCGATTGCTTCTTGGTCGAGGACCTCTTGATCCAGCGAGCGAGGACGATCTGCTGGTGGACATAAAGGAAGGAGATGCTATTGTGCTACCAGCTGGAGTAGCACATTGCAGCTTGGAGAGTAGCGACGACTATGAATATGTGGGACTATATCCAAAGGTACATAACTCTGTTATGCTACTTCCAATTGCCATACCTGATCGTATCACAGGGAAGTGCTCATTGGGACAATAACTTTTGCAAGGCAGACGAGGAGGAGACGAAATCAAAAGCTCAAAATGCGATGGATGTACCTGTTCCAACTACAGACCCGATCTTCGGTGCCGGAGGACCTCTGGTCGAAATTTGGATAAATGCTATGGGAAGAGCTTGGAAGCCGTACACGGCTCCACGACTTGCACCACTTCAAGATTAAGACATTTGGCTTCAGTGTCCAGAAGAGATGATCGGTTTGCAATATGACTCTCCCCTAAGATCCTAGTCTCCAGAACCAGTTTGTCAAACCAACTTCCCGACTTTCGCTCAATACTTTGTCACTTGTTTCTCCGTACACAGTACGGACATTCGGTGAGCGATCAGACCCATATGGATCTTCGTTGATAACGAACAATGACATGGTCATTTTTTTGATAAAATTTTTTCCTTTGATTCAATCCCTTTCGATTCTCCTCGGTTATTGAGCACGCGTACTCGATCACAATCACAACCTCCAGCTTTTGCCTCGCAATAACAATCACGCATCCACCGCCTGCTTCTTTCTGATAACTTCGAAGCTTCCCAAACCTTTGATCGGCGATCCATTTCTCAGCAAACATGCTACGCCCTCGCTTTGCGACGAAATCCAACCAGTCCGCCTCCAGACCACGGATCATGTCATTCGAGATCGAGCAGCGAGCAATCCAAGAAGAGATCGCCCCCACCACCGAGCATTCCCTCCAGCTTGCCAGAATGGGACCGAATCCTCTCTCCTCGCTCATTCCTCTGATCCCCACGTCCTGTATTGCTGCCTGGTCCTTGGTCGCTGGCTTACTTTCCGAAGATTGGAGAGCTACCCATTGTATGTGATTGTGTTCTTGCTTCCAGGGTCTAGATTCAAGGCTAACAGAAGCAGATGTATTGATCCTTGAATCTCTGTTCGCGACTTGGATGCTGTATGGGGTTTTCATGAAGGGAGCTAAGACAGACACTGAAAGGGAGAAGAAGGATACTATTATGGACTTGCCTCTTTGAGCGAAGTGAATGTGAGGGTATCCAGAACGGAAGGTGCAACGAAGACTATGGTAGCTTTGGGAAGAATGAAAGTCGATGTCCCCAATGTCGTCCGAAATTATGTTGTTGGTGAGATGAATCAATGTGATGGCCCGGAATCTCTTTGATATCTTTGAAGCGTTATGGAGCTGCTGTGAATATCCTTCTGGCTAGTGTACGTCGCAGTCAAGTGACTTGGAGCTGCAAAGAAATTGCTCGTAGTATATTTCATCATCTTGCAGATGGGTATCCCTTTCCTTCACTAGCTTGTTCTTTAGCAACAGAATCTAATGTCGGTCACCCGGTGGTAACATATGGAACGGTGAAGAGCGCATCGTTTGTCGAACACGATGGATGCAAGGTGCACTTTGCAAGGATACTTGCAGCTCTCACCAAAGACCGACTTTACCCTCCCCAGATTTTGTTCATTTCAAAAGACAGAATGCTGCTTTTGGGGTCCAGATTCTCCAATTTCCTTTCTTTGTGGGCATCATAAAGTAGCGTCTTGCTACAATACCATCACCAACCTGCACCAAACATTAAGGTCGTAGTAATGTACAACATACTGGCAAATACTGAATCCCTTGGGGAAGGTCTAGCTCAACTCTTCTCCAACGAAGCAACTCCTCCCACGGACCAAGTTCCTGTTCCTGGTACAGATACCAATTCAAGTGAATAGAGGTACCGAACACTCTCGACGGATAATTTGAATCGTGCTCAGCTAATAGAGAGAATGAAAATAAATGGTAACTTGACTATAGCACAAGTAGTCAGCGATACTTGAACGCAATGGCAGTTCCTATTCGCCAGCATTCATACCATCAACAGCACAATTTCCAAATATAGTTGCAAGGGCGCTACCGGCCGCTTCCGCGCCCGGCTATACGAGAATGCTGTGTAGCCCACTGTTCCAGCCACGCGTGACGAACTACTCAGCTTCGCAATATTATTTAACTTAATATCCCACCCACCTCAGGTATGCTACCCGGTACGTAAGAACTACTCATCCTCGAATGGCTAACAGCAGTAACCTCGAATTGCCTGCCATTACTGGCACAAGTCGACGACCCGTTTCAATAACAGGCAAAAGACCAAGTGCGTTCATCCTCGTCCCAACATTTACCAAGGCTGCTAACTCAAGTCTTTCCCAGTAAAGGTCGAGTCTGCCGAGGAGTATGCGCGCAATGTCGAAGGCCATGCAAATCCACCATCTGCACAATCTCTCTATAGTGGTTCAAATTATGCCAATTTTGCGGCATATTTACGTCGACCATACCAGCCAATTGCCGTCGTGAATAGTCAAAGAGCAACCAGAAATGCCACACCCTTCGCAACAATTCATGATCTCAGTCTACCTGAAGAAGACGAGAGGAGAATTAGTCGATTCTGCACTGTCGAAGCTTTCGAGAAAATGATAGAGGAAAAGAAGAAGCAGACCAGGCCGAGCCTGTTAGTCTTTCTCCAAGGACACCCATCTCCAGAATGGCTCAACACAATAGGCTACCTCTGCAACGTCGATCCCGAATCTCTCCTACGACATCTCAATTTTCAGAATCCCCCCAAGCGAAAGATATTTTACATCACCGGCTTTACCGTGCACCTCGAGTAACATTGTTCAGTTATGTATTACAAGCATCATCTGTCGTGAACAGACGCAGAGTAGCCAGATGCACATCGATCAGCTGCGGAAAAGCGCCGATCTGGAAATGAAGGAGTACTACAAAGAGCTCAAGAAAGAGATCAATGTGAAACCTGGGGACTTCATCGTTCGGTCATTTGTGGTTCATGACAACTATCACTGCACCTTGGAGCAAGACATCTCCATTTGTGTCAATGATTTCGATAAGGGCTGGCTTGGTGATTCTCTCCTTTCTCAGTACTTCCTAAGCAGCCCTGATTATTGCAAGGTGTTGCATGGCTTGACCATGGGAACGACTTGAGCCAAGGGCCTATAGGCCCGTGGTCCTCTTTGAAACATCGTTCTCGGTCGTGGAAAACTCTCGTCATCCCAACAATTTCCATCGACCAGCAATTTCCCTCAAGACACCTTACATATCACCGCGGCAACTTCAGCATGAGCAAGATACACTAGTGGAGGTTGGCTAACCTAAATTCCCCTAGCTTGCATGCACTATTTATGCACATTATGGTAGATTTCTGGATGAAAAATCGGCAAAGATTGATGCATTCTATACTCTCAGTGAACTTTTCGCGTTTGCAGCAACATCAGAAGCTCAATTTTTGAACATGCTCGAGGAGAAGATCGTCTTTGAGACTACCGCTTACTAGACGCAGAAAATAACACCACGTCGTTTCAGACAAATCACAACAATCCAACCCTTTCCAACCTGTGGTCCAGCAAGAAATTACTTGATGAGCATTTGAGGCGATTGAAAGAAATCAGAGCCACGATTGATCACTCTGGAGGTCCCAGATGGCCAAGAGTCACCGAAGAAGAACCCGATGTCTTCGCCAAGGTCAAAGCAACTCGAGACATGCTACTAAGAGATTACGATTATCTGCTCGAGCGTACAAAGACGCTCTCAGGATCTTGCATCCGAGGTATGGACATTGCTGGAAACAATGCCCTTGTCGCAGAATCTAGATCGGCGATTCAAGAGGCCGAGTGGGTAGCAAAGCTAACTTTACTTGCTTTCTTTTTCATCCCAGCCTCATTCACCACATCACTGTTCGGCATGAATTCCGTTCAGTTTGGTCCAGGGTCGCTGAGTCTCTGGATTTGGCCAGTTGTATTGGTGCCAACTTACATTATTTCACTGTTTGTACTATATTTTGATTTTGGTCGCTTTCGAATGTCGAGGGGCCTTAGCCGGAGAAAGAAACTTTCTTTGGAACGCTAGAGAGGATAACAGTGCATAGAGAACGGAGATGGAAGGCGTATACTCGCAACATTAGGCTGTTTTATTTTTATCTTTGGTAGTCAATGTATCTGATAGCCGAATAGATAGCAAAGACTTTGCATGTCTTGAGCAAATGAGACAAGACTTTTCATGATCCATAGAATGTTGCTGTAACATTATTATAAAGGAAACATGATTTTGCCAGATTGGACTACTAAAGATCTTCCGACGTCTTTCATAAAGGTTTCAGTGAATTCGATCAAAGTCATGTCAGTGTCTATTATGATACTAGTTGCAGTAGTATCAAGGATCGCAACAATCTTCGTACCTGGCTGACTCATAATTGATGCCGTAACAGGAAGATATTCCGTCTGGTTACTGATTCGGGATTCGTATGGGAGTTGTCCGACTACTCAAGTCAGCAACCTGTTCCATCGAACTTGGGGATTAATATGCACCTGGAACCACGATCTCAGGGGCACCGAGAATTGGCGAGATCCACCATTGATGCCAAGCAGGCTGGATGTAGTACGCACTACACGGAAGTCAGCAACACATAGAGTCGTAGGGCAAGATAGCTTGCGGCGGGGGGTCATCGCGGTAGTTTGGTTGATGTCTTCACTTTGCATAACAACCAACGTATTTGCTGTGCCAACCTGCATCACAGTGTCCAAAAACCATTCGGCATAGGTTTTCATTCGTCGCATGCCTTCCTCGTGTTGTTCGGCAGTGTATTGTTTCCCAATTTTCCTGATAAACCGTTCAGCTATGGAACAGCAATGGTAAGATACGCATACCATCTCCATGTCACGAATGGGCTCGAGAATGGCGCTCGGCCGAATTTTTTCCGATAATCATCCCTGAAATTTGCTGTGCTGTGGTAGTTCTCGTACAAGAATGTATTGGCACCAACCTAAGCTATGTTTAGAACGAGCATTTCAAATGGAATTAGCATACCTCTCTCAAGTAGTCTTGAAGACTTTCTCCAGCAGCTGCTTGAGGAGGCTGATCGTCCCATAGGCCACTGATGCTGACCCGTTGAGCTTCGACTTTCAGATGCTTTTCCAAATCCTCTACCAACTTCAGAACCAATCTCTTCTGCGGAGTGTCGGCTGTGGGGAAAAGATCGATCGGAACCACGATAGCCATTGGTAGCTCCTACTTACGATTACTTGTAAGGTCTAATTACGCGAGGATTCTCTCCACTGACCTTTTGTTTGGTTCGAGGTTTCGTTTCTGTGTACCATTTGTCTGCAAAATTAGAAAGTTTTGTGAGGTCTCTTCCATGTATAGACTTTCTTACAGGTGCCAAGAAAGCACCTTGCGTGTCATCGTATAAACGCAGCACTTGCCACAGCTGGTCTCCGACGACGATATACGGACCTGGCAGAAGGCCCGATTGCCAGCCAACGCTTTCAATCCTCTTGATTTTCCATGTCCTCGATTGAGGGTTGGTTAATCGTTCGAAAGGTTGAATACTTGAGAGCTGCTCTGTGCCGGGTCCTGCGAGTAAGATCGTTTGCAGGAAGTCTTCACGAAGAACATCATCCAACTCGAGTGATTCGGTGATGTGGGCCTCTAGCCAGTCTGTATCAATTGAGCGTCCTTGAGGAAGGGAGATGACCGTCACGGAAGAGTGCTCCGTCAGGAAATGTAGCTTGAGCTCCTAGGAAGATCAGAAAATTGACGTGAGTAATGGAAAGCGTGGAATATGTACTGAAACATCGGGCCAAGCCACATATCTATCGTCCCCGAACTCAAAGAACAGACTCGGGTCGACAACTTTCGGCACTACGATGGCCCCGCCTCTTTGACTGTCATGGTCTTTGATCATATCCATGGTGGTCTGACGAGTGTATCGAAGATGCTGCCTCGTTGTGTGAGACGAGGATATGGCTCGGGAGGGGCCGCTGTCTGGGATTTGTCCTGGAAATACAGAGGCAGTAGAATTGCTTCTGTCAAGCTGTGCTCTTTGTCGCTTTGTTGCGAGCGACGAAAGCTTCAGTGAAGAGGCTCTACAGAATCTGTGAAGGGTTACGACGCGAAGCTGGAATGCATTGTATTCCATTCGCTCGGGCTGAGTTATCGCCACAATATGGTGATGGGCCTGTTGGTACTAGAGACTTGCAACTTCTTGGTCCAGAATAAGCGAGACCGACAACGCCAAAGATCTCTCATGGCTATACGTTCGTCGTTGTAACCAAGATTCTACAATTCTCTCCTCACAACACCAATTCATCATTTGCAGGTAATCAACCAACAGCAAACTCACGCCTACCTCCTACCAAGGAACCTCCTCCATAACATCAACATCACACTTCCAATACGTCCCCCCAAGAACATACTTCCCCTCCTCCCCATCAACCAGCAACCTAACCGCCACCTCTGCCCCTTGTTCAGGACTCTTGGCCCCTTCTCTGAAGCCATTCTATCCCATCATTAGCATTGTCCTCTAATCACTAGCACACTATTCCAAAACGCGCAAACTCACAAAAGCAGTCCTCAAAATCCCCGGCTGCACAGCCCAAAACCTCACATGCCCCTGCACACCTTCTACCTTCACCCTCCCCTCCCCATCCCACCCCTCACCCCTCCAATCGACCTTAACCCTATCGTTCTCCGCAGCCTGCATATGCACCGTCACCCCATTCAACGCCACCTTGCTACTCCCATACTCCAAACTCCTCAGCCCGCGCACAAACGCCGCTTTGAGGTTAAACTCCATGCTCGCCAGCCCGCTTGTGATGTTTATCACCTTGGGGTCTTTGGCTGCGTGGAGCAGGGGGAGCAGGGCTTTCGAGATGATGTACACGGAGATTAGGTTCGTGTTGAGGAGGTAGGTGTATGCTTCTCGCAGGGAGGGGAGGGAAGTGGGGGAGCTGGGCGGGTGCGCGAGCGGGGATATGCCGGCGTTGTTTATTAGTACTATATATACACTCATATCAGCTTTTCATCAACGAAAAGAAGAAGGGAAAGGAGAGCATACCGTCGAGTTTTCCGTAAGTAGAGGTAATGAGATCGAGCACGGCTTGGATATCGCCGTCATCTGTGACGTCGAGTTTAACGGGAACTACTTCACTCTTGACGCCGAGATCTTTCAGTTCCTGCGCGGCTTCGTGGCCTTTTGCGAGGGAGCGGGAGCCGAGGATGTAGATTGACTCTGGTTCTCTGAGGGCGGCGACGTGGATGATTTCGAAGCCGAGGCCTGGGGCGAGAGGTTAGGGTGGTGGATATGTAGGAGGAGAGTATCATAGGGAGAACTCCGATACTCAAGCTGTAGGTAGAAAGAAAGAAGGAGGGGAATGTTGCGAGAGAAGTATATGTACCTTGATTAGCACCAGTGACCAACACAACTTTCTTCTCTGTCTTTGCCGACATCTTGAAAAATCTATCAATTAAAAGGCCAATGAATAATCTTTCAGCAAATGAACTACAGACCTTCAAACGAAGGGAAAAGACATTCTCTTTATACTCCTCTCGAGCTCCCGACTCGCCACACGTGACACCTGCACTTCCCTCGGATAGCCTCTGATCTACCGGAGATAGGGCCATGGTCTGGCTTCAAACCTAATATGGACTTGGTTGCGGGATTTTCAAAATAAAAAAACGGTTCAAAATCGGGTCAAAGGTGCAGGTCTAATGGCATAGTTGGTGCGTTTAAGACGGGTGTGCCTGACTAAAGACGGCTCGTACATAACGGACCAATCAGAAAGGATCAGAAAGAGGGGTCGTATATAATGATTGTGGGGTGGCTGGCTGGCTGGCTGCATTTTCTCAGTTACTGCGCAAGAAACATGCATGGTATCGAGATAGGGAGATTTTGATATTGATTATGAGAGAGTGTATGGTCTGCACTTGCAGGATCGTCACCAGGAACTGCGTGTGTACCAATAATTATGTGACGTGATTTCATACTCATTTTTGGCATTACACTACTATCCAATCTCATCCTCACACTAAACAGCAATCGAACCATTACACTTCCCATAAACGAGACTGGCACCCACACCTGCCAACCCATCGAAATATGTCAACAGTGTTTCAACTGGTACCATGTCCATCAAGCCCAGACTTGGATTCGAGCTTCGAAGAACCTTTCCTCCCCATAGAACACGGATATAATAGCCGCTTGTACTTGCGGTAGCAGTTGAGGTGGGTGCAGATGTCGCTGTTGGAGTCACCACACAGGAGCAAGCGGACAAAACTCTTGATACGTCGCCATCGCAGTTAGAGGCAAAGGTGGGGAGAGTTGCGCCTGCTGTTGCGGTGAAGGTAGGGCAGAAAGCCGATGCAGACGCAGAAGATGCGATGAACTGTCTGAGACAGTTATCGTGGTTGCATGCTGTTGGTGTAGCGCTAGGTGCAGAAGTGGTAGATGTTCCCTTCTTGTAGAGTTCGAAGACGACCTCTGATCCCATACCTGGCCAGATCATGACATCGACTTGAAGTACGGAAAGAAGTCGAGACATGGATCCATCGTGAGCGACGTTATGTCTGTAAATCACGCTGCTGTTACCGGCAATGGAGGCCCGCAGGTGAGTAGTGAGCTCTCCAATCCAGATGCCATAGCTAGTGTAGCTCGCCGCCAGACTCCTGTAGTCATCACGGTAAATGAAAGAATACTCATAATTTCCAAATCTGTAAACTTCGTCTGCGATATCCTGAGTGACGCATGTAGTGGAGTTGACTCCATTGACAAGCTTGCAGGGCAATGGCTTGGCATGGCATTGCCTTGCGGAAAGATTGTCATAATAATGATCGAAACTGGCGTGAAAGCCGGAATCCGTTGGAGACACTCCAGAGATGTTATCCAGAGTAGCATAAAGTGAAGACGCAGCTGTAAGATGGGCAGTCCAATTACTACCAGATTCAATGGCACTGAACAAGTTCGAGGAAGTTGTGCAGGTGTAAGTAGGCTCCAAAGAGTCGACACCACTCGCCTAGAAGAGTTAGCTTGTTGACTTAACACAACGGGTTTTCTTACCTCAATCAATAATGGCACATCAGCTACAGTGTCAAACATTCCATTGATGACCATACCAGCAACCTCACTAGTGATAACATTTTGAGTAACTCTGAATGTAACCTTGTCCCCCATGTCACTTGGCAAGAACCCCAAAAGATCATGGTAGACACCATAAAGATCTTGTCCATGCTGCCACGAATCATCCAAACCACCAGCAGTTATCTGGGGGAATTGGCAAGTTCCCAAGAAACCAGATGGAATGAAAGGATTCTGCGGCGAGATGTAGCCCTGCCAGTATGAAGCTGCAGACACATTCCCGGTCTTGGGTTGTCCATAATAGAACAATCCCTCGTCATCACAATTCCAACCATATGATTCGACTGGGAAAGAGTTCGAGGCATAGACCGTCCGCTTATGGTGTCTGTGGATCTGCCAACCTGTCAGGCATAATCAATTGACCAGGGACAGATACAAACTCACCACCTCGACATACTGAAGCGTGTATTCCTCCGCGGGCTTCACATACTCCGTCTTTCTCACATGCGGCATATTACACCAATTATAAATCCCATACTCGTCCGCCGGCGTATTCGAATTATTATAAATAAACCCATACACGCCCTCTCCATTCACCACCTGCGTCAAATTATTGATCGCCGTCGCATTCGGCGGGTACCATCCCAGATCAACATCGACGGCCTGGCCATGACGAGCAAGAGAAGCGGCCACAGCAGCAAAGAAGCTCGATCGAGGATTAGTGCGCATAATGAAATACTCTTGGGATATAAGACGGTATAGCAAAATGATACCAAGGACAGGAATCAGTAGATTAGAGATCCAACGAGCGCCGCAGAGGGCCGAGGAGGATCGAGGGGTGCCCATCCATTATTTATTATCGACGAGCCTCATGCACGTGGGATGATCGTCCAGGTCCACGTTCCTGGAAGCTGCGTCCTTAGAGTATTATTTCCAGCAGAGTGGGATGCAGCGATGGACGGATGCAGGTCGGATGCAACGTCAAGAGCGGGGTCTGCACTTTATTGCGGGCGATACGAGTGATAATCCATGATCAATGAAAGAGCTGCAGCTAGACCGGTGGTGAGATAGGGAAGCTCATGGTCGAGGAAGTCGAGGAACTGGAAGCGGAGGTTGAAATTAGCTTGGTGTTCAGCCTTGCACGTTGCTGAAACATGGCTGGCGAATGGCTGGATCCCCGCTCAAGCGAAATGCAAGGCACCGCGCCACCAAACACCAAGATCCATCCATATCCATCATCAATCCAACCTCCACACTTTCTTTCATTATACATATTATTATTTCTACATGCGACTGACCATAACAATGAGAAGCTGTATTTTTTCATTCCCGCTCTCAACGGGAGCATCAAAAGCATCAAGTGTTGCGTGGCCCATGCCACAATTTCATGGCCAGTATTGGGCGAGTAATGAAGCTTGATTAACAGTTATGGCCGTAGGAGCAATTCCTACAAAGCGTCGTCTACCCCTTATATTTGATCCGACCGAATTAATTCTAGATAAGAAAAAGTGACTAGCTCCAAAGAACTGATAAGAAAAACTGTCTAGCGCGCGATATGCAACAAAAGATTTTTATATAAGAGATAAGAAAAACTGTCTAGCGCGCGATGTGCAATAAAAGATTTTTCTTTAGACCTACCTACCCTTCCCGCCACTCACACCTTGTGATCCAAGGTCGATATATGCCACGAACATCGAAATCTTCACCAAGATCAATCTCCTTAATCTCATTGTCCGGTCCCTCATCCAGCACCATTCCAACCACACTTCTACGTCTCTTCTCACTTTCCATGTAGCTGTAGTGACTAGCTACAACGAGATGCTGTAGCACTTCAGGGCGGTGATGAGAAATCGTGGTTAGCCGTTCATCGGCCTTGTCCTTTGCATCTTCGAAAGTCATGAGTTACTTACTGCGAATTCGACTCTCGTACAAAATTAGGTGCTTTAGATTCTTGAAGCTCTTAAAAGCTTCACAGAATTGAATGCCGTCATGCTGGAAGAGTTAATGGAGCGCATACATGTTGCAATCAGAAGACACACCTCGTCCTCAACCTTAGCTTCCAAAATTACCAAATAGCAAAGATTGGTGCAAGCAGTCGCCAATGTTAATACTTCCTACGTTGTGATATTTCTGACTTTGAGTTGTCGCAACTGCGTTCCAAGATTCGCTATTTCGTAGAAGATACTACCAAGTGGATTCTCGATGTTAATCTCGGATCTTACACGAGACCAATCCCAGCTCTAAATTCAATTAATATGAGAATGATTGCCTTTGGATAAAGCTCTGTTTCTTACTGCTACTAGATCCCGCTCTCCAATCTCAGCAGCCAAGGAAAAGTCTGTACAATGAACATCAATCTCACGAAGACATCTATATTGTTGCGCAACCAATCCCGACCGGTTCGATTCCGTGCGAGGCTAGCTATACCTTCCATCATTGTTTGGTATCTAAGGTTGGTCTGTATCTGCCATGTTGATCCAAACATGCCAAAATTTATGATGCCGTTTGTCTCCCTCCTATGGAGATGGTTGGATAATTATTTAGCTGTCAGATAAAATTTGCAGTGGTCATGGAAAACGTATATTCAACAAGAAGTATATTGAGAAGTCTAAATATCTCACTAGAAGAGGGATAACGAGAATTGATTGAGTAGGTGAGCAGAGGCGAAAGTATTGAATCCCAGAACTAAACCCTAAGCATCGGTTTAAAGTGGATAAAATCATTTCAATTGACATTGCCAGCCTACTTCTGACGAAATTATGCACTACTCCCTGTTACCCTTTCGTGCCTCCTTATACTTTTCCATTCTATTACAACACTACCAACCATCGATGTCGCGGCTACCACCGCCGCAACTAGGTACGATTTGGAGAGGGCATTGTTATATGCAAGTCTAACGCCTCCCAAGTATTGCGGTTCGATTGAGTCTTGTAAATTCGCAGCCCCAAAGCTTAATACAGTAGCGGGATCCAGGGACGGCGTATATTGCTCCAAATTAGAGACAAGTCTGCCTTTGAAGACATTCTGGCTCACAGAAGCGAAGATTGCAGCACTCAAGTTTTGCGCCAAAATCATCATCGATACGCCAGCTGCCGCGTCTCTGATCTCCAGTATATTTTGCGCCACCATGATTGGTTGATGAGCCCCTAGGCCTAGACCTATGCCACACAGTACTTGATAAAGAATCCAGGCTACATGGCTCGATTGTGGTGAAAGCGTGGAAAGCATGCCAGTTCCAACCGCGGTGAGAATGGAGGAGCCGACCATGAAAGGTGTATAGTACCCGATTGCTGAAACCATCACACCAGCTAAGCCTTGGTCAGTATTGGAAGAGGCAAATTCGGTTGGAAACCTACACAGGATTGAAGATACAACAAGGCTTATGACCAAGGGAAAGTTCATAATCCCTGATTGGAGAGCGGAAACTCCCTTCACAGTCTGGAACCAAAAGGGGAGATAATAATTGACAATTTGAAGAGAGGATCCCAAAGTGAAGGAAAACCATAATGCACCTAAGCTCGAGCGTTGCTTCATGAGTCTAGGGGGGAGACTCGCGTCTTCCTTCCTCCAAAATTGTTTTGCAGCGAAAAGGACAAACAGAATTCCAAAAACGCAAGTCAAACCAATAATTCGAGGGTCGCTCCATGCCATTGTCGTTCCGCCCCAGTTCAGAGCTAGTATAAGACAGCTTAGGCTAGCAGTTATGAACACAGAGCCCTCAATATCTAATCTGGCCATTCGCCATCTCCATCCCATATTGGCGATGGAATCTCGCGCGCCCTTTGACGTGTTGAATAGAAAGATAATAATGGTAAGAACAACCAATCCACTCGGAATCTTGATATAAAAGATCCATCTCCAGGAGACCTTGTAAGTTAATGACCCCCCAAGTATGGGTCCAACGATGGATGCCAACCCATACATAGCTCCAAATAGTCCACTATACACAGGCCGCTTTTTAAATGGCGTTGAAACCGCAACCATCCTCAAAACTCCGGGAGATAGGCATACAGCTGCGGCTCCCGAAACAGCACGCCCAATCATCAATGCGGAGCTAGAAGACGAAGTACCGCAAACAGCGCTTCCGGCTATATAAGCAACTAGATTCAGAATGTAGATCAATTTGACAGAAGCGATAGAGTAAAGTTTCCAAGAGATTCCATGAACTGCCGTTGCGCCAAGGAAGTAGGCACTAGCATACCATCCTACACCATCAATTGATTTAAAGTGGGTTGTAATAATGGGAATAGCTGTAGGAACCATGCTGTGGTCCTGCCGAAATTTTATTGATTAGTTTCTTAAGAACGAAACCAAATTGGAGCGAGGGAAAGCTCACAAAGGCGGTCAACAACACCGAGATACACCAAGCTAGCGTAAGAATATGAAGCTTTAGGCCGTGAGGGTATGTTATTTCGTCGTCATTGCCGTGAGGCCTGGTATGTTCTGATAGAGAAGTGGCTTTCTCATTCTCCTGGTGGTTTTCATGGAAGTCAAGACTTTGTGGAAAAGTGATAGCGTCAACGGCCTGGTCTGACTTAAACCCCCCTTCTGATTCTTCGCGAAATACTGTCACGGGAGCAGCAGGAGTAGTCGTAGAATCAGAAGGTTTTAATATCTCCGCAGGTGCTCGGTCCGCTCCGTTGCCATCATTTGATAGAAGTATTGTTTGTTGAACCTCATCCTTCCCCGGCGAAAAGGGCATTCCCGAGTGTACTTGAGCACTATCATCGCTCGAAATGGTCGTTCGTATATCACGCATCACGGGTTCGATGCAAAGCATGTATCCCCATGGCTTTCCGATAGCCCGTGAGAGAATATAGCCACAGAGTAGGCCGTCTCGAATAACCCAAGACCCAGAATCTCCGTCACCTCGGATGTTCAGTCAGCAATTGCACCTGAAAAAAGGAATGGTCAGTTACTTAAACTGGCATCCAGAAAAATAGTCTTCACTTCGAAATAAGAGTTTTCAAGCATCCAGTATGCAGAGCCCGGACTAAGGTACCCTTCACATACCCCGCTGATTGCTGATAGCACATGGACAGTGCCATAGCCAAGCTCTGCGTTGGTCAGAAAGCCTCGAATAAGGGTCAGATCGGAATTCCCTGGGTATCGGACAAGATTCATGCTATGGAGTGAAGGTTGAACACGGACGAGAGCCCAGTCCTGATCATAAGGCTCTAGTGGTTCATTGGGCTCAGAACAACTGGAGGATGGTGGAAAACTTTCCGTATATTTGTACCATTGGAGATTTCCAACAGGCTGGAAATCTGTGAATGAGGAGGTTAGCATTGCTCGCCATCCATGCTAACCCACACCAACAATACCCCCATTTAATTCATTGTGGAAAACACGTACCTCCACAAATTTCAGCATCTTGGCAGGCGCTTCCCTTCCCTAAGAATGCATGGGATGTTGTTAAGGCGTACAATGATCCATCAATCTCAAGCAATCCACCCAATGTGCATTGGGCACCGATTACGGAACCCGAGGCTCTGCATAAGACTCCACACAGAGAGGGCGCAGTTCGGAGAATTGCTTCCACAATTTGACCAGATAAATGACCAAGGTTTGAGGGTATGCTGGTACAAGAGGAGCAAAGTTTTGTCTCTTGAACCAAGACAGCATAGCGATAGTTCGAAGAAGGAACAACTTCTAGACCTTTCCCTGCTCTACGCTTAAGAGCGTTCGAGATGGTGTCTTGCTGCTCTAGATTCAGGCATATGAACAGGATAGTGGGTTTGAGTTCCCTTCGGTCAAGCTTAGTACTAGCCAAGACGCAGTCGAGGACAACTGCTGGGTTCCTCAAGTGTAGGGACTTGAGGAAACTCCGAAGTCCTTGATGCAGCTTTGGATTAGATTCAAGCTCAAGCGCTTTGGGCATCGGTGTGTCGATGGCTCTAAAACAATTCGGGCCGATGGATTGTAAAGGGAGAAGTTTGGTCGCACCAAGATCCGGAATATTAGATTCTATCGAGGATACTTGTATGTTTGGAAGTGGTGGAGGTTGCATTTGTTCCGACTGACGACGGTTCACAATGTCTAGCACAGGGGCGGGGGCGAATGTCTCTTCAGCTTCGCCCAGGTCTTGTCCACTGTTGGTATTTTTTTTGACGCAAGTCTATCTCGGCATTCAGATCCAATCTTTGGTCTGAAGGTGCTGCTGGTGTTGATGGAATGGGCTGAGGGTCGGTGTGCCGAGCCCCAGCCGGCACAGATGAGACAACTGCAACTTCGGATTCCGTTGACCCAGGCGGATCAGAAGAAGAATAGGTCGTAACACTTTCATCTTTTGTGGAGAACGCTTCGATGTTTGTGGATTCTGCATTGATAGAACTGAGTCGTGGAGACGTTGAATTAGACCAGCTATCAGTTTGATGACGATTAAAAAGTCTGTTTATGCGGCGCGCTTTCTGCTGATTGCGGTCGCTAAGTACAACTAAGGTTTCTCCTTTTTGAAAGTCATCTGGAACTGCTGGTATCTTGTCGAACGCCTGGAGAGTATCATCCGAAGATGTCCAGCGCGGAAGAGCCCGTGGGAAGCCTTCCTTCAAAGCGAGTAGCATCGTGGAGGCAATTTATGGACTTTCTTCGCGTTTGGGGTATCAAAATATGTAGAGTAGCGAAATCCAACAACACTCTGCGGCGATGCAGGAGATTATGGTTGGGGAGCGCTCAAACTCCTTTTGGCTCGCCACACCATTTGGCTGGGCTGAAGGCTCGGTGTTGTCGCCCGGTTTGTGCTGCGAACGATGTCGCATGACTTGTTCGCACCGCAACTTCGCTTTGAAAGCTGCCTTGCATTGTGCCTTGCGCAATAACCGGTTTTGACCTTTCCCAACACTCAAAGAAATTTGGCCACGTTTTTCAACTCTCCTTGATACCTCTACGACAATTGGAAGAATAAATCAAATGGTCCTCTGAGAACTTTCAGTTCATATGGCCGCAAAAACCAGCCTCGCGGAGCATCCCTCAGAGTTCCTGCAGAGAAAAATCGTGCTTCATTTCTGGAAGAAAAAAGAACCTATAGATGTAGCGGACTATATATCTTACTTCGAATACTACACCAGGACGTGCCGAGCTTTATTTCTTGGCTTCACTACCACCGAGGCCGAAGCACTTTCAATCACTGCTCATGAAGATCTATTGGATATTGCAGATTCGCTCTGGGACATAAGAATAGAAACTTCAAATTTCACCCGCCCAAAAGCAAGAGCTGCCCTCGAGAGACTTGAGCCGCATAGCAACCAACCGGTTTTCAAAGTGAACAATTCAATTGAGGTCTTCCTGAGGTTGTGGCTCACTATCCGGATTCAAGACTCAAGCTTCTCACCGGCGGCGAAAACTATCCAGTGGGACGACACCACTGGTATCCAAGATTTTATTGCGGGAAATTTCCCCAAACCTCAAGACCAGGATGGAGAGGCTGGAATATTTTTGGAGGGCAATTTTACCGCCGTCAATCTCTATCGCCTGTGCGGGATCCAAGTGTGCTGGACACATCAACTTGAAGATCACCTGCAGTACAATATCGAAAGCAGGACTCTTCGCGTCTACCACTTGAGTCAATGTCTTCAAGATCATTTGGGTTGGTACGTTACAATAAATATTTCCAGGAAGATAGAGTTACTTACGAGTTCAACAGCTCGACGATTCTCCCTAGATCACTAGCTGAAGAGACATTGCTGTCTTTAAGTATCCTTTTCCCAAACTGGAACATCGCTACCGAAAAGTTTCTTCGTCGGTCTCGAAATCTGCAGCTCCATGATACGCTTTTCGAGTATCCCTGCAATGCCCATCTTCATCAGTTCCATCATTGGAGAAGTCGAATCTCTCGACTTCATCTCGAGTTTCGATCTCCTGGACCGACTTTCAAGAACCTCTGGTTCGATAGAAGAAATCGACTACAGTGGTACACATTCTGGTTTGCGGTAGCAATTTTCATTGTCACTATTGTGTTTGGTATGATAACTATCATTTTGACCGCCATGCAGACAAGATACGCATATCAAAGTCTTCAGTTAGCGAGGCAGTCCTGGAGTCAAACCAACACTTCCAGCAGATAATCGATAACTTTACACTCTTCCTATTTTATGGTTAGATTTCACATCCTTTTGCTGGGTTGAGATAGTCGCTCAGAGTCGCACTTGAATTGCTATTACTGCAATCTGAACAAGGGCATTTCGGTCTCCAGATAGGAAGAGGAAGAATAGACAAGGTGGCTTCTATGCGTCTAGCTTAGTCTACTTGATTTCCATTGAATTGATCTAAACTGTTCCCAATTTGCCAAACCTCCCCAGCAACCACAACCCAGAACTAGTCGTCGACATCACTCAATTCCTACTCACTGAGCCACTTTCTTGTAATCTTCACATGTAAATCACGACTTCCACCACAACAAGGATGCAATTGAGGGTAAACATCACTATTAGATGTCCAAGTATTAAATACCTTCCAAAGTAGCCTCTTCTACTTCCCCAGCTGAGTTATAGAATCCTTTCCTACCTAGGTATGTCAGCCTGTTCCTATGTACACTCCAACTCTGGAGAAAGGTAAATTTCGTGTTTGCAAACTGTTTCCATTAGCTAAATAATGCAAAGATACCATAACATAAGATGCTAATTTTAATGAGACGATACTATTTTTGAGTTAGACAGAGACACAGGATTTTTCAACTTTTGTTTGATCAAAACGAAAGATGAAATTATAGAGGGCAGGAAGCTATGGAAGGAAAGATATTTACTTTCTTTGGATCCAAACCGCGGCATTAGACTACAAAAATAAACTTTTATTTTATTTCATAGTGTCGTTCTCCCTACCACTCAAACTCCTCATCTTCAAGTGCTCGTGATCTCTGTTACCTTCGTTCAAAGGGTCAATGTGATCCTCTCAATGTCTAGCGTCTTCTATGTTCCATATCTGAATGCCGCTCCGTTGTCAGAAAATCACAATAAAGAAGTCGTAAACATGAAATCTTTTCTTTCTTAGACTATGATAGACCAATAGCCATTCCTTAGATTCGTCATCCCATATAACCCGCATTCCCATCCTCACTCATGCTTTGCAGATCGGTCAATTCGCACTCTCAGACAAACCATGGTAAACGTATCCGAGTTCCTCGCCCAACCGCACCGCCACACGGCCCTCTGACCCGGTCCCTTCACCTCCGAAGCCGTCGAATTCGCCCAACGCCACCACATCTCCTACTTCCTGTTCCTCGCCCCAGGTGAGCACCGCATCGAAGGTCTGGGCGGCAAAATAACCTCCATACCCCCCGACGTCATCTTTCGTGAAGATATCTTCAAAGCCGCAAACGAGGCTTCGAACGCAGAGGTAAGGGCTCAGCATAAAGCGGACCAGGAACTCCATACCGGGACCGGTATCATTAAGTACAAGACCACGAAATGGTTCCAAGCTACTCGTGGCGGGAAACTGCGGACGCTGAAAGGGCAAAGGAGGTTGTATAGCAAGGAGCTTGCGATCACGAATGCGCGGAGAGAGAGGGTGATTGCGGAGTTGAAGGCTGCGGGGCGGGTGGAGGATGGGAATAATGATGCCAAGCATGATGCGGCGCGGAAATTGAGGGAGGTGATAGCGGATGCGGCGAGCTATGCGATGATTTTGGGGATTGTGAATCGGGTGGAGGGAATGATTTTGGGGGAGGTGGAGGAGGGGTGGGATTGGAAGACGGGGTTGAGGGAACAGCTTGATGAGAGAAATTTGGTGTATGGGTTGGTGGGGGAGTTGAGTAAGGAGGCGGATGAGAGTTTCAAGGTGAATTGGAAGGAGGTTGGCTGTTATTGAGAGTAGTAGAGTGGTGGGGAGAGATTGTGTTTTGAGGTTTGGGATGGTTGTGAGATCTTGGTAGAGAGTGTGGTCTTTGGGCTATGATTTGGTTCATTTCTTGCCGTGAGTGTATGTTTGTTACGAGAGGGTTCGTTTGGTAGGAGTTGTGGATGCTGGAATACCCGAGGCTTTGGTAAGCGGCCAAGAAGCAAAAAAAGGGGGATTAAGCGAGAGGGAAGGTTGACTGAAGTGAAAGAAAGCTGGTAGGAAGGAAATGTAATATAACATCGAGAAATAGGATGAGCCCTAAATCAATTGTTTTTAATCAACTCACTTCCTCCTCATTACTCTGTACTTCACTGCATTCATTCCATCATCCTTTCAGAATCCTCTCCAATCACGCCACGACCAGATGACCATCACTCTTCAACTCGTCATGTCCTCGCGCTCAACAATCACAACCCTCACCCTCCCCATCCTTCAACATCACAATCCCATCCACCACCCCCTGGTAAAGTGTCCCATCCCGCCCAAGCACCGTACTCTGATAATCGTCATCAAAACTCCCCCCACCGCCCGTCTCCACCTTCCACACCAAATTCCCCGTTCTCCAATCCCGCGCCGTAACATACCAAACCCACTCTCCCTCCAACGAATCATGCAAATTCTGTTCATAGCCATACAACAATCCTGTCTCTGTGGACAAGATCGGGAGAGCGGACATCCGGATCGGTTTCTCCCAGGCAATTCTACAGTCGGAGCCGTAGAGGGGAATGTGGATTTGGACGCCGCCGGGGGTCATTTGAGTGAGGTTGTTGAAAGGACCGTTGAGGGGTTGGGAAGTAGTGGGGGAGGGGTAGACGCCCGGAGTATTGTAGTCGTTGAAAAGGACCATTGTGTAGCCGTCTTCGCCTGCGTGGACGTTGCTATTCACAAATCAGTACGCATTTTATCAGTTTACCGAGGATTTGAGTATATCTCTTCTTGAAAGAGAACTGTGGTTGACTTACGGTGCATTATCACAAGCACTTTGTCCCGGATGAAAGACTGGGACTTGACAGAGTAGCTGCGATTGATTGGACGCTTGTTTGGCTTGATGGTAGATATTGACATGTATTTGCGTGTCGTTGTTATCCGCAAAAGCAACATAAGCATCACCCAGCAGTGTGGGTGTAGTCCCCGAACCACGAGCAAAGCCCCCAGGCTTGAGAGACAAGCCAGCGTTATATGGCGCGCTCCACAACGTCTCTATACCCTTCTCACCAGGTGCAAGAGCAAGGATGTAAGCTGTAGCGCTGTTCATGTCACTCATTGGCAGACCAGTGATAACGTAGACACTTGTGTTTTGGATAGCTATTCCATTTTCGACCGCTGAGTGTGGGATGTGGATGGTATAGACTTCATCAGATGGAGTGAGGTAGCCAATCGTTGTCGTATTTTGAGGGGCAGTCGAAGTTCCTGGTGTTCCTGAAATCAAGCCCGTCGTAAACCAGATATTGAGAAGACCGTCATACCCAAAATTCAGCAAAACTTCGCCAAGTTGAAGATACTGAGTCAGGTTGATGTCCCTCATGGTAGTAAACGTTGGCAGATGAACAGAATTATTCTTCTGCACGACGAACAAACGACCTTGTTGAGACCCCACCACTATATTGTTGATGTCGCCATCGAGACTTTCTTGCATGTACGGGACTTTCAAATCGATTCCAGCGGGATGGTTCCACTCGGATATCACTTGGAGAGTTTCGGAGTCGATGGCTGCGATGGCGTCACCTGAATCGGTGATCACGCCTGTTGTGATGCGTCCTTTGTGGTCGAAGAGCAGTGGGGCGATGGGAAAGGCGAAAGTGGTCATTGAGATGTTTCTCCCTTGCGGGCCGGGAAAATCGACACTTCCGGTATTACCACCATCCTGGTGTTCTCTTGAGATTTAGTGTTACCATATGTTTCTTTGAAATTTTAAGAACAAGTGATTGTCGCTGTGGGATTTGACTTACTGTGCAATGTCGGGAAAGTATTTTGTTTTACGCGCAAGTGGTTCGAGACAAGAAGCGCTGCCCGTGAACTTACCACTGCCATTGACAGGTTGAGAACTATTGATTGGCTTGATCGTAGAGTCCCCTGTAGAGTCTTGCTTTTTCGATCGCTGTGAAAGTGTTATTCATTGAGCGCTTGCGAAAGAGATGGATCCTTGGCTTCAGATCAGAAATAAAATAGGACAACTAACCTGGTGATCACAAGAGCAAGTCGTGAAAAAGATGGCAATAATTGCCCCAACAAAAGAGGAGTGAAGTCGCATTGCTGAAGGAAGGATTTTGATTGGAATGGCAAGGTGAGTCTGGATAAATTGAAGAAATAGCAAATCAGATAAAATGGAGTTGAGTCTCTGTGTTGTATGCTCCTCTGTCTTATGGATCTATATGTGTAGATATTTATACAACTACAACCTCATAGATACACGTCACCCATAGTGTCCCTCCGTGAAGTATCAAGGCGTTGATGATTCTCGCTTCCGTATTTCGTATTCGAATATCATTGGTGGGGATTTGAGATTATGTCAATAAGTCAGCGAGCTACTGCAAGGTGAAAGCTTAATCCGGTGATCACTGTGAGGCTGTTCGAGGCTCGACCAGCGCTTGAACTGTTTCTGCCGCGATCCGGCTTATTGGGAGATCGATAGTGCTGCTTCCCAGTCACGATTTTCGTGCTGCTGATGTTCCCGGAATAGAGAGCAAGCCAGATTGCTCGGCAAGTGAGATACGAATGAAGTTGTATGAGATAATCGGTAGATCCTCATTTACAGCGTGAACTCTGGGCGAGTGAGTGCACTTTGGCTTCACGAAGGGGATTGAAGACTGAAAGATAGGAATTGAAATCCGCATATTCTTGACCTTCTTCTTCTTATATCTTCCTTTGAGCATCTAGTAATGAAATTATATTTTCTTTGCAAGTGCTGTGATTGTTGAAATGACTAGGCAAACCAAACAGCTCTAAGGATTAACATCAAAGTGATTCAAATGCAAGCCAAGATCTATTTCATCTCGAACCACAGCCCAAGCCGAACAACAAAATGATACATAGCATCCACTCCTCATCCAGTACTATTTTCAACTAGTCCTCGCCCATCTCCATCTCCAATCTAAATACAACCCAAACTCCTTCCCAAGACCGCGCATCTACTGATACGTCGGCCCCGGTGGCGGATGATAGCCCTGCGCTGGGTATCCTTGAGGCGGGTATCCAGGCATTGGATAATCTTGAGGTCGATTCCCGTTGTTATTTTCTCTTGCCGAATTCCTGAGAAGAAGCTATCAGTGGTGTTTGCTACTACCATGGGCAGAAGAAAATTAAACTTACACGACTGAGGCCGCTCCGAGACCTGCAAGGCCGGTTTTTAGGAGGCGGAAGAGGATGAAGCACATGGTTGGATTTGATGGTTGAGAGGAATGATGCGTGCGTTGCTCGGCGATGTTGTTTTGACAGGATGATAGTTTGGAAGGCGCAAAATCCAAGAGCTGAGAGTCGGCGAAGAAAGTGACGGAGATGGAATCCAATCCCCAACGGAACTGGAATTTCCATCATACTATATATCCTGACGATTCTTGAAACTCCATTGGCCTTTAAAGAATGAGAGAGGTACTGGGAAACATTTATCGTATCTCGTATTTCGGATGCTGAAATTTGCCACCCAAACCTAACCTAACCAGATTCATACATCTCCCTGAACATCTTCATCGGATGTTCAATATACGACCACCATTCTTCTCCAAGCTCTTCCAGAATACAATTAAAAAGCCCTGTGAGTCTTGCCTCTAGGAACCAAACCCCAGCCGCTTTCATCAATAGCAGACAATAGTGTGCCAAGATAATCAAAGCAGGCGGCTTCTTCTCTGCAAGTAATCGAACATATGTCTCTGACACCCAGACGGGCCAGATATATGTCGCTGCTCTGCGCATAACGGGATCATCAGCTTCGTTCGTTCCAGCGAGGAGATTGCGGAGTCGGAAGATTGCATCTTCGTAAGCTTCCATTTCTTCGACCGTTGTGATACGTTTTGTTTCTGGGAGATCCAGAGCCACGTCTTTCACTCTCGTGAGAGATTCGTCGTCTGCAGGCGATAGAAGAGCACCCATTTCCAAAGATCTCTGCAAGGCTTTGCCTTTGTCGATCAGGCGACCGAACGGGCTGGCTTCGATAGCAGGTCTAGCTTGGAAAACGATGAGAGAGCAACCGCGAATACAGAATATCCACTGTGACAAACTTTGGAGGGAAGGAGGTTGATATGTAGCAGGAAGAGGGGATTTTGGAGCCCAATCGGAAACGAAGCTGAATAAATGTAGGAGGGTGGAGAAAGCGAATAGGTTAACGCAATTCTCGGGGTCCATTTCAGCGAAAGCTTTTTGAAAGGGTCCGAGTGCGAGATCTTGATGTTGGCAGGCCAAGAGGTTGTATTTATCTTTCTGGTCCGAGTGAAGGTGTGCGAGGTGGACTGCACTGGTTGCCAGGATTCCGTGCATGAGGTAGTCACAATGGAGAGCTTCGTGGGGTAGCTCGGTAAGCCAGGGGTTATAGAGTGTGGACGCCGTAGACTTGATGAAGTGATGCCATAGATGCATGTCGTTCACATCGAAATAACCGATGGGCTTGTTTAGCTGCGGTTCATATGCAGGTACCGGAAGGAGAGAATTTCCGGAAGTTGGAGAGCCATTCCCTTCATATGTGAGCTCTCTATCACTTGACGCTGATAGCTGGCGGCGCAATATCGCCATGTTCTTTTGGTGCTTGATCTTGCTCTCCGACTTTCTAGCGCATGGGTACTCGCACCGGACTTCCCACTTAGTGCAACCCGAGCATACAGGCCTCGCTTCATTGCACTGTCACTGTCAACGTCAAAGCAAGAAGTCAATGACGAGTGATGCCTACCTTCACTTTGCGATACTTGCATTCAAAACAACCAGCCCTAGACTTTTGGTGAGTTCTGCGTGTTTTCCGCAGTGACGAAGTCATGGTCGTAGCTGAGCAAGGAAGTAATTCTCAATTGCTAAGAGCGTGATTGCGAGGAACATGCAGAATTCCAGAAATGTTGAGGCTTCGTATTTCGTGTTTCGTAGATCTGAAGAGATTCTGATGATTGAATTAATGGCAGAGTTCTGATGTGTTTCTTCTAGTCCTAATCCAAGAATATGAACTTAGATGGAAAAGATGTTGCTTTGAAGAAGTTGTGAAGTCGGAGAAAAGATGACGGAGTTAGATACCAATGAGGCTTAGCGTTGTTGTCGGTCGCGTTTCTCCTTTTGACAATCGCGACAGCATCATTTAAAGCCTGTACAGCAACCACTGCACGACATACATTCTACAGAATTACCACCGCAACTCCATGGAATCTTTTCACCGATGATCTGTGCATTATGTCTGAGCTCGCAGTCGGGCAGACGGTTCAGCTGAACGACGGTCGAATCGCGCTTGTTCGATATGTAGGAACCACCGACTTCGCGGATGGAGAATGGGTTGGAGTTGAGCTCGAAGATGATAGCGGCAAGAATGATGGCAGTGTCAAAGGGGTGGCATATTTTGACTGCGAGCTGAATCATGGCATGTTTCTGCGACCAAAAGCAGCCACCATCATCGAGCAGGCTCAAGCTCCAGCGAAGCCTACAAACGGGGCAGCAAAGAAGCCAGCAAGGCCGAGCAGTGTTGGTGGTGCGGGTCTTGGACGAAGGATGAGCTCTGTTCCAGACCCTGCAGGTGGAAAGCGAGCAAGCATGAATGCTGCCAGTCCAAGTCCTGCTACGAGGCGGCCATCTAGCATGCTCCGAGTGAGTATTACCAGTCACGAGGTTGCTTCAGTCTAATGATTATCTTAGTCTCCAACAAAATCTCCTACGAAGCAATTATCTGCAGCTACGTCGGGTGCATCAACTCCTCGAACTGGAACTCCTTCCAATACTAGAAATCCTTCTGTCAGTTTGTCGAAATCAAGACCAAGTGTTGGTGGTAGTCGAACATCGATGGGGCCTCCTGCGAAGCCAGCATCTGCTACCGCGAGACCTTCTCTGTCAGGTGGAATAGGAGTTGCAAACAGGACCTCTGCACCACCAAGCCGAACTACAAGCGGGCGGATGTCTTTGGCACCAAGGCCTAGATTGAAGCCCGGAGAGAGGGTAGGCTCAATTGGAAGTCAATTGAGTAGTGGTCAGGCTAGTGAAGGGGAAGGACAGGACAATGGGGAGGAAGACAGAGGCGCCTCTCCTGTAAAGAGTGATCCATCAGATTCTCTGTCGCCTAAGCCGATGAGTCCTGTTCTATCCAGAACTTCTGCTGCAGATCGCACACGTGGGTCACCTTCTTCGAGTAGGAGCAATGCATCACCATCAGCACAAAGGACTGCTGGAAGTAGTACAGCAGCTAGCCGCGAGATTGAGGACCTCAAAACCAAGCTTCGACTGATGGACAAGAAGAGAATGGAAGACCGTGACAAGTTGAAAGCCTTGGATAAAGTGCAAGCTGATAGAGACAAGTTTGAAGGCATCATTCAGAAGCTGCAGACTAAATACCAGCCTCAGCAACAGGAGATCACGGATCTTCGAAAACAACTGAAGGAAGTTCAGACCAGATTTGAATCAGTTGAAAACATGCAAGCAGAACACGATATCGTCGTTGAGATGGCCACTCTGGACCGAGAGATGGCCGAGGAAACCGCTGAAGTCCTGAAGACGGAATTGGAAGCTCTCAAGCTGAAGGTTGAGGAGTTGGAACTAGAGGTTGAAGTTCTGCGAGAAGAGAACGCAGAGCTGAGCACTGAGATGAGCCCGGAAGAAAAGACCAGTCAAGGCTGGCTTCAGATGGAGAGAAACAATGAGAGGCTACGAGAAGCCCTCATCCGGCTCCGAGACATGTCTCAACAGACCGAATCAGAGCTCCGTGATGAGATCAAAAGTCTAGAAGAAGACCTACGAGACTTTGGATCTGTCAAAGAACACTACGACACTGTCAAGGAGAAACTCGCCCAATCAGAAGCAGCCATCGAAGATCTTCGCCAACAGCTTGATAATGCTCTTGGTGCGGAGGACATGATTGAAGAACTCACGGACCGAAACATGAGTATGAACGAGCAAATCGAAGAGCTGAAGGCTACAATCGAAGACCTGGAAGCGCTCAAGGAGCTCAACGACGAGCTTGAGATCAACCATGTCGAGACTGAGAAGGAGATGCAGGAAGATATTGACTTCAAGGATAGCATTATCACCGAGCAAGCGCGACGTGCAGCACAGCAAGAAGAGACGATGGAGGATATGGAGTATACTCTGTCTCGTTTCCGAGAGCTTGTCACCAACTTGCAAACCGACTTGGAAGATATTCGTGCATCACATGCTGTCACGGAGACTGAGTCTGAGCAACTGAATAGTCGCTCTCGTGCTATGATGGATCTAAACATGAAGCTGCAAGTTTCAGCCGCCAAAACCCAAGTCAAGACTATCGACCTCGAACTGCGTCGACTTGACGCCCAAGAAGCGTCGGAGCATCTGGCCATCGTTCAACTATTCCTCCCAGAAGCATTTCACGCCGACAGGGACTCTGTTCTGGCATTGCTGCGATTCAAGCGAGTGGGCTTCAAGGCCAATCTCATACATGGCTTCGTCAAAGAGCGCGTCAATGGTTCACCTCCTGTTGGGCATGAGGACGACTTGTTCGCTGGCTGTGATGTCCTCGACAAGCTTTCTTGGGTCTCTGCCATGTGCGACCGGTTTGTCAATGGCATTAGTCACTGCACAACGGAAGAGTTTGCGAAGTATGAAGGTGCTTTATACGAATTGGAGCCGGTTGAGCGAGCTCTTAACGGATGGATTGATGGTTTGCGTCGTGACGAACTCAAAGAAAAGCAGTGTGCCAGTGAGCTGCAACGCACGATTGCACTCATGTCGCATCTTGCCGAGGTTCATATCCCACCTGGACTTGCAAGTTATGCTGATGAAGTACACATGCGAACACTCGTCATGCAAAGCCATCTCGAGAACGCTGCTGCAGCCATCGCTGCAACTAGGACCATGGTTCAGAATATCATCCCAAGCCAAGGTGATGAGGATGAGCTTGCTCAGCACTTTAGCCGAAAAACCGATGCCGCAATCACCAATACGAGAAGCGCCAAGGTTGTGATCGGGAAGGCAGTCAGAGCTTTGGAAGACCTCAAGACCAGATCCTTGTCTCTTACACCCGATACTATACAAACCTTCGACCAGTGTGAGACCGCCACAGAGGAGTTGGCCAAGTTCGCTCGTCATATTGGAGATGATCTCTATGTTCTACTTCATGAAGAGGGGAGAGTGGAACCGTTCACATACCTCGAGGTACAAAGCACTGTCCATCGCACTACTACAAGTTTGTTTGCGTCGAGCGAATCTGATTTGTTCTCCACGTATTCCAACAAGCTGCGAACATTGACAGCATCTTTAATAGACCTTGCCGCTCTCGCATCAGACCTCGAAATGACTCAGGAGTTCGAGAGAGCATCAGCGCCATGGGTTCTTCGATCGCAAGATTTGAAGTCCTCCAAGACAGTACCTATTGACGCAGAAGAAGAGATGCGCCGATTGAAGGACGATAATCACGAGCGTGCTAGACTGATTGCTATGAAAGACCAAACACTTGAGGAGGCGGGTGTGAAGATTGAACTTCTTGAAAGTCGCATGAGAGATGCCACGAAGAAGAATGAGCGTATTAACGAGCTCGAGAAGAAGATTGAGAACGCTAAGAGACGCGAAGCAGAATTGGCGGAGTCGATCGAGTCTCAGAACAGGGAGCTCACGATTCTTGATGCTGATCGTGAGAAGTGGAAGAAGGTCGCCGAAGATACTAAAGCACTTGGCATTGCAGCTCCCGGTTCAAAAGCAGGTCAAGAACGAGCTGTTGCAACAGCTCGAGAGATGGAAGCATTGAAGACTGAGATCACCAGCCTCCAAGCCGCTGTTCGCTTCCTCCGCGAGGACAATAGAAGAGCCCGTCTCAGAGAAACCCCAAACCTTGACTTCTTAGAGGCTCCATTGATCCCACCAAAGACCAAGGAAGAAGAAAGAAAGGATCTTGTATTGGCGGAAGGACAGGATGTCTTGAATGAACTCCTCAACCTCACTTCTACGGCGAAAGTCTACGATCTCAGCGCGATGCCCAAAGACAAACTTGCATGGCGACCAGCAAAGACCACACCCAAGTATCACGTTGCGAAGCAAAGAGAAGACTACGAAGGCTGGAGTAGCTGGAAGGATAGCGTTGTCCTGAAAGCACGGGTCTTAGCAGAACGAGATGCTAATCGTGGATTGGACAAGACAATGAAAGCTAGCATGGCTGCAAAAGTGCAGTTGAGAATACCTGACCTAGAAAGGAAAGGTATTAGAGTGGGAGGAGAGGTTGAGATTGTTGACCCTGATGAGTTCGAGGATTTCAGAGGCAGGCTTGGATTCGTGTAGATGAGTTTAGCAAATATACCCAAGAGCGCTTGTTTTAGCCCTCAGCCTGAATGTATAGAAGCTTCAATGTATACAATGTGATTATAGCGATTACCTTTATTCTTGAGCCATTTGCAGTGACGGTACACAACCTCTATTGCCAAAAAATACCTTGGACCCCTAAATTGATCGCCGAGTCAGGACGCCGGAACAAGGTTAATCCGCAATCTCACCACACGACTCAAACGAGGCTTTGAAACAAATGATGCCGGCTGAAGAATGCACAAACCCCTCAGCACGACCCTCTTTTGCAACAGCATGACCTTCTCTTGACACTTTCCTCTTTCGTCTTCAATTGTACAATATTCTACATGCGGGTTTGGAGATTGTTTCTGGGCGCTGCAGTAGCGTCTGCGGCGTATGTTCCTGGGAAGGCTTTTGATCGCTTTATTACGATATGGTTGGAGAATCAGGTATGCCTCCCGTCTGCTATGATTCATAAAAGACAGCGGTTGATAGTTGAGATAGGATTTCACTGCAGTAGAGAAGAATGCGGATATCCAGGCGTTGGCGAAGGAGGGCGTTATGCTGACGCAGTACTATGGACTCACGCATCCAAGTCAACCGAATTACATTGCTTCGATAGGAGGAGATTATTTTGGGCTGAACCATGATGGTTTTGTGAGGATACCACAGAATGTGTCGACGTTGGTGGATTTGTTGGATACACAGAATATTGCCTGGAGGGGGTATTTTGAGGGTCTGCCAGGCCCCGGGTATATGTTCGCGGGCTCTACGGCGTTGAATGGCAATGGGTGGGACTATGTGAGGAAACATAAGTGAGTGGTCTCTGTTAGAGGACGAAGGAGTTGTGAATGCTGACCAGAGCTAGTCCTTTCGCATCGTATGACAGTATCAATCTCAATGGCACGCGACTAGCCAATCTCCTAAGTTTTGACGACTTCGATCGCGATGTCAAGGCGAATACACTACCTCAATACATGCATCTCTCCCCAGATATGCTGAACGATGGGCACAATACAACCCTAGAATACGCAGCAACCTGGTCTCGAACATTCCTCGAACCCCTACTCAATAATCCTCAGTTCATGGAGAAAACGCTCATCCTTCTCACCTACGACGAGAGCGCAACCTACCCTATCCCCAACCGAATCGTCTCTCTCCTCCTCGGCGGCGCAATCCCCGAGAATCTCAAAGGCACAAGAGACGATACAGTCTACACCCACTACTCCATCCTCTCCACCCTCGAAAACAACTGGAATCTGCCCAACCTCGGCCGTTACGATGTAGGCGCCAACGTATTTTCATTTGTAGCTTCGCAAACTGGCTATACACGAAACCACTCCCCGTCGAATTTCGCAAATGCGAATAACTCCCTCTCCTATGGTGGGTTCTTGAACACCGATCCAGCCAAATACAAAAGGATACCGTCTCCGAATCTACAATTAGTTGGAGCGGGAGGTCAAGGTGTGGAGAGGATGGTAGGAATTTCGTGGGCGCAACATGCGGATGAGATGACGCCTTATGATGGGAGTGGAGATCTTGCGGATGGTGGGGATGGGGTTTCGAGTCCGAATGAGCCGATTTATAAGGTTCAGGCGCCGGCTGTGACATAAGAGCTTAGGGGAAGATGTAGCATAGAAGGTCATTTGAGCGTGGCGTTCGGTTTCCTTTGAAATTGTTGGATTTGGTGGTTAGATACCAATGCATTACTTGTAAACATAAAGGGCTGTCTTGGTTGATGAATGCGTTTGGCTTGACTACTATGTGTTTCACCATGCACCGGGAATACATGAGCCAAGGGCTGACCGAGCTTTGGGACAATCCAGTTGACTGCGCCGGGGACGCTGATTGTGCTAGTCGCGCTGGGTGCGCTGGATGCGCTGATTGCGCTGATTGCGCATTCAGCGTGGACGCCGCTAACTCCAAATCTCAAAAATCTCACCTCACCCAACCTCACCGTTCATAAACCACCAAATCCATCAAAATATCCGTCCTCGTAGCAACCAAATACTCCGGCTGAAACTTATGACAACAGATGACCACCCCGCTCCCCCACAACCTCTCCAACAGCTTCCTCACCGTGTTCAAGGCCAACTGTTTCGGCACCAAATACACAAACACGTGCGTCACTCTCCGGTTTTCGATCTGGCTGAAGAGATCATGCTCGTCGAGGTTGAAGTCGTAGGTTAGCCAGTGAGCAGTTGCGCCGGCGGTGATGGCGTTGAGGGAAGCGGTGGCGATTAGAGAGGCGTTGTAGTCGATGCCAAAGCCGGAGACTGGGAGCAGGGGGAGGGGAGAGTTAAGATGAGAGAGGAGACCGATGAGGAATTCGCCGTCGCCGCAGCCGAGGTCACAGATGACTTGCTGAGTCGCTGGGGCAGGTGTGAGGTTGAGATGCATAAGCGTTGCTGCGGCTCTCATTGCTGTTGTTGTTGGTTAGTATAACAGTTCAAGATATAGGAACGATGACAAATGGGAACGGAAGTTCCACAGTGAAAAGCAGAAAAGGGACTTACTGCCAGGACCAGTCTCTATATACGGTGCTAGTATGCCTCCATATCCTGAAGGAATGTAATCCAAATCATGGAAAGCAAATGTAGGCATATGCCATTCGTCCGTTTCTTCAATAGCGGGGTCCTTCACAGCCAGCTCGACTGGGAGTAGCGATGTCATGATGAATGATACTTTGCTGACATATCAAGTTGTGTTTGGTAGTCTAGCCGCAGAGAGTCTCGGCTCCGTGATGATGTTGTTGCTGACTTGCGCTTGCTCCTGTATGAGTCAGTTGTGAAGAGAGGAATGCGGGGTCGAAGGCTTATTCTGCGTACCATGGGTTTTTTTGAAAGATGCTTAACAAATCCAGAGGAGTTAAAATGATAGGATAGCTACTGTGCAATATGTGCAACTGTTGTACGATCTTACGAGCGAGTGGTTCATGAATGGTTCAGGAATTCGAGATGCAAATTCAGGCTGAGATAATCTCAGCTCGCTAGTCTCCATTGGGTCGTTTCATGAAATCGGAACCTCGCATCTGAGAAAGTGCCTGGATCAATGATACACGACTGATAGGTGATAGATGTCTTCATGATTAGTCTCGTTGTAAACAGACATTGAAGTTACAGCGAATTATCTTGTTATTTGCAAGCAGATCACATGACTCATCACCCCCAAGTGAGCATGAAATCTTTGACCGTCTGGGCCATCAATATAAGCTGTTTTACTGCACATATAAATCTCTTACTTGTAGAGTTGAGATATCTGTTCCTCGTTCCTGGGCTGGAGAGCTACTACAGAACGTGGGGCGGAAAGAACCGTTCCCCTTTTCTAAGCGAAGCCTATTGCCTAGCCGAGGTTCACATCTCGTTGCGATTGACAGACATCATCGTCGGCTTTCAACACATACATAACTAGGGAGACTCTTCGAAGTTTTCATTGACTTTATGCCCGAAGTCCACCTACCACAATATGGTTTTGATGTTTACCCACCGACCTCATTCAACATCAGTACTGTTCTATTTCTGCTCTGCCGTTTGTTACAATATCAGACATAGTAGGAGGCCGAGCTCCGTATCTTCTATTGAAGTATTCTATATCTATTTCAAGCAATATGCTCGAAATCTCAAGCGTTTTCGAGTATCGTAGCCTTCGAAATGAAAATGATGCGTCACACGGATCATTCAAAAACACATTGATGAGGAAGATCTGCAGCAGACATGCGACATGAGAAGATAACATTTCAAGTGAGAGTGTACTCTACTATATGTACTTGTAATATAGTCATCTGAAAGCAGGTAGACTGTTTGGAGTTCGCGCAGCTCTTTGATCTAGTTCTGTCTAGCCAAGAATGGGCATCCGGCCGGGGACATATCACCCATCTCTGCATGGAGAGCAGCCAATACGTCCGCACTAGCACCACCTCCACGCAGGCTCACTGCCTCCAACCTCTCATCCATTTCCTCCTCGTCCCCAAGGCCTTCCCCATGAAGCTGCGTCGAGATATCCTGACCCGGAATTGGGACAGGCTTGGTTCTGGTGACTTCTCCACTGGGGGAGATTTGTCTGAACATCTCCATTGGATCAAACCAAGTTTCCACGCTCTGAAGCTGCACTTTCTCGTTAACCTTGGCGATGGTAATGCCTTGGATATCAAGGGTACGGCCGTGAGCCTTGGCTACGATCTTTTCTCCTTTGCTACCCTACTGTTAGTACGGACTGCGGCAAGCCTCAGGTCTGTACTCACTCGTTGAAACCAGCATAGTCATTCTTCATGACTCCCCAATGACGCCATTTGAACGCCACAACTGGAGGCCCACTGTAGACCTCCAAGACTTCCCACGCAAATGTTGGCATCATGCGCTTGAACGTCTTATGACTAGATGCGAAGTCCGATTTGTTCGGATCATAATAATCATTGGGAGTAATGATAGCATTGTATGTTCCAACTTTGAGCATGTGTTCGGCAGATTGTGGTGGACCGCCATTAATGGAGAAAGTATAATTGGGGCGGTCAATGGTGCGCCAATCGTCGATGTTGGGCTTGAAAGAGGCTTCGACTTCCCAGTTCTTGACGAGGTTTTCGACAAGGTTGGGGAGACTTGCTGCTTCGTGAGTTTTTGTTTTTGCTGTAGAGTAACGAGGTTAGTTGACGTCTTCTAGTAAACAGGAGTTCGTTCGGAAGCAAGTGATATTGTTTAGTAATGAAATACGTACTCTGCTCATAGACCTCTCGAGTCTTGGAGTAATCTGGCGCTTTACCGTATCTCCATTTGGCCGAATTGTCTTTCAATGTTGCGTTAGGGTCAAGCAAATAATCTGGCAATGCAGGAGCAGCAGGCTCGACTGGGGCTTGAACATCAGCAGTAGCCATGTTCGCAGGATGCAAAGCGGGTCAAAAGCTCAAAGGTATTTAGAAGTGAAGTTCTTGAAAGTTCGAGGGGAGGAATAGCGCAAAGATTGCTCAAATCGACCAGATAGAAAATTGACAAGATGATAGATACTATAAATGATCTTTCTACGCGATGTCAATGCCCCTATTGCGAGACTTTGAGAGAGTCTAGATCGTGGAAAAGATAAGAATGCTGCATATCGAAAGGGGTACACAGGTATTTGTGCGGCGCAGACGGCCATGGCGCCTCCTTTGGTCCCAGAAACTGGGACCGGTGTGTCTGTGACAATAAAATCACTTCATACGAAGTATTATGTACTGCACAATGCACCCGGGAGAAAAAGAGTCGGGAAAAATCGAAATGTTTAGAGCTATGCAGGAGTATTGTGGACTATTAGTCGCTGCTTTTGTGGATAATAGCTCGGCTACATGAAAGCTCACATAATTCCGCGATATAGATAGTAAAACGGCAAGAGGCAAAGTGCAGCTGGCAATAACGTTCAACCTGCATTGGACGTACTGCAGGGTATTTAGACTTCGTACATGTGCAACCGAGGACGGGCTGCCGTTTGCGGCACGACCCTTGGCTTAGAGAATCCCTGTGACAATTAATAAAGTAGGATTGTTGATTCGCTGAAGCCCCGGAACGCTAGGCCACCGGACTCAACGGCTCAGCATTCCGGATCGCGAACCCTACCCGAATCCTACGCTAGATGCACATGCCACGGGATAAACCCTACCTACAACGCCCCGTATTACAGAGTCGCCTGAGTTGTTTTCACTGTCGTATTGGCCGTGGGGGAAGCCATGCGAATCCCAAGACTTTTGTAATGAAGCTAATGCCGGGATGAAACGGGCAAGCCGTAGTTGAGAGACAGACGAAGCGAAAGCAGTTCAGGAAGAATAGCCGGGACACGTGTACACGGGTGTTTGAAGCATCCGAATTGATGCACGAAGCGATAGAATTTGCAGAAGTGGTCTGTCAATACCTTGTCAGCGGTCCAAATGGAGACAACCTTGGCTTGGTATGCAACCTCGACTGCATTCGCGAAGACTTCTCCTATCAGACTGAACTTTATTGCTCCTGCACTAATCATGTACCTGGCACCGGCAAGTCCACTACCAATGACTGAAAGGTCCAGGAAAAGTTTGCTTTATCATGCATAACAAGGACCCAGGGACTTGGGATCTTGGATAAATACACGAAACTTCAGCTCTAGTTGGATGAGAGGATCCATTTCCTGGAAGTTGACAGGAGAGGAAGTGATCTTCATGAATTGTATTGCTGCGCATTAAGTACCAATGTCACAATCGCAACATTGGGATTCCAAACGTTGGTATCCCAAGTCACCGCCTCTCTTCTAGACGTCCACTGTTTACCGATCACCATACGCTACCCCTGTTCTTGGCCATGCGAACTTGGCCAATGCCCATGTCTTTCTCGTACGATATCAGGCCCTACTTGTTGGCTGCGGTTAGAAGATTATCCAACATTTTAACTATTGGACCCCAACGTCGGATCGCTTGCGTTTTCCTCGCTATCGGTTCACATGAATGTTACATAACATGTTTAGCATCCACCAAGTTTCAATCAGCCGTGAGAACATCTCGGGTTCCGTTGCAACACTTTTGTCACTCGCATAATGCCGAACGATACTCAATGGCAGGATTTGGAGGGGCAGATTGTTCCTAGAGCTTTCTCTGGTGGGTATGTTGCACTGTCGTATTTGGTAAGTTATGTGGGTGCTTGGACGACACTGGAGTTGTTCAACCGGAGGACAGCGGGAAGAGGTTTATACAATTGGTATGTACCCTTCAACTAATTGGCTATTCTGCTATGTCCTGACTATTATCCACAGGTCTCTTCTTTTCAGTTCTTCTATCTCTATGGGAGGAGTGTCCATCTGGTGCATGCATTACATCAGTAACCAAGCGATCATTCTGGGAGATGGCCAATCGTTGATGCAGATTGCATACAGTCCACTATTCACCGCTGTTTCATTTTTCGTCCCCATCTTGGTCCTTCTCGCAGCCTTTACAACTCTCGGATCAGACGACAAAGTTAGCCTCATTCGAGTCACTGTTGGAGGAACGTTGGCAGGCTTGGCTATTTGTGGGATGCATTTTCTTGGTCAAGCTGGAATATCGAATTACACCAGTGTCTATAAGATTGGGAACGTCGTGGGATCCGCCATCGTTGCTATTGTTGCTAGTATTGTCGCTCTAACAGTTTTCTTCGTCCTTCGTGCAACATGGACGAACTCGTTATGGAAGAGAGCGCTTTGCGGCTCTATCCTCGCAGGCGCGGTATTTGGGATGCACTGGGTTGCGTCAGTGGGAACGCAGTATCGCTTGCGCAAGATTGACCCGAACACTCCTCACTCCCATGATATGGCAGGAAATACAACTGTTATTGTGGTCATTGTACTGGTAAGTTTCAGGCAGCCTTCACTTTATGGTATGCTAAGATAACGCAGTCTATCGCGGCTTGTTTCATTCTTATTGTCTTCACCTTCCTTGCTCAAAGGAGACGCTCTCGCTCTGCGAATAAAGCTCGTCAAGTGGTCCTGGCTTGTGCAATCTTCGATTCGAATGGTAGAATCATGGTCACGCCTGAAGGACTTCTTCCCAATGAAAAGATCACAGCATCGTACAGAGAACTTGTATGTATATTGCCAGACAGTCTCTTCCGCACAACTACTGACTTCTGACTCAGTCTCATGACGATATTTTTGGTACTGCTCATCCGGTATTTCACTGGCTGTTCCGAACAACTTGCCACTGGCCAAGTGTCTCTGGACTTATCTCTCGAATGCGCCAACATCTCGAGTACACATCAACGCTTCCCAGGCCGAGCTTAGAGGAGACTCTGAAGAACAGCGAAGAGAAGACACCCGACGCAGGCACTATCGTCTTCCGAGAACAGTTCTGCGTTGCTGCGGCTGATCTCGCTAGGCAAGTTGACGAGCCTCTAGCTGAGATGGGCATTCTCTTCGACAGCATATTCAACACTGGCCAAGTCTCCAAATCGAGGGCACGCAAATTGATGAAGAGTCCCCCAGACCTGGAAAGGGATGGGAGATCAATACCAATGCACGGAAAAGGCCAACTGCTTTTCCTCGTCCGTCGCGCAAATAGAAAAGCGGCCAACAAACTCACAGCTTCGGGATATCGCTTCGCTGATACGCAAAACATTGCGCCTCTTGTCGCACGCAGCATGCAAATCAACTGCAACGATCTCAACAGCCATCTATTATGTATGAACGAATATGCCAATGAGATGCACATGCTCCAGCCAGGGATCCACTTGGCGTGCTTTGCTCTTCGCGCCCGAATACGAAGCGGCTTCGAAGTTCTCGTTCGCAAAGATGCTCGGAATCAACTCCCGACAGTCCAACTTCCATTCGATACTCTCGAAGATTGGATGATCGAGTACCTGTCTCAAATGGATGGATGGACAGTTTCTGCATGCTTGAAATTCCTCCGTGGGAAAGAAAAGCCTGCTGAGGCGCCACCCGAAGAGCAAAGGTTTGCTGCCGAACTACATGATACTCTTGTCTCTATGGAGGTAGAGTTCGACACACCTCACTTTGCCGAAGCTCGCCTGGTCGCAAAGCCCGTATCAGCACCATGCCGAGGAGCTAGCGATGTCGAGAAACCCGGCCAAGCAATTCTGATTGCATTCCGATTGATTTTCCCAATCCAATACCAAGCCCAAAATCAAAAACTTGAGTTCACTCCTTTGAGTTTCTTTAGGATACAACAGTATGTGTACAAAAATAGTCCGGATCATGCGATATTCGCGAGGAAGGTGCACAGAGAGTTTGGACCAATTCTGAATAAACAGAGATCTAGCGAGGATGATGGCACGAGAAGTGTAAGAAGGATCAGAAGCACGAAGATGATGAGAACTGTGAACCACATGAAGGGTAGAGCTTCTCCAGATGTTCGACGACAGTTAGGCGCATGGCTTCCATCGTCTTCTAGGAAGAATCCAAGTTTAGACTCAACGTCTGAGATCAAGCTGGTGGAATCGCATACGTTTGGTGGCATTATGATCAGCAAGGAAGTCACTGTTGATGTGAAGGATGTTGGGGAGGGAACTTCCGATATCGGGAGTGATGATGGAATGAGGGGACCAGAGTTGTCTGATAGGAAGGAAATGCCGCATGGACAGATGGGGACGAGGGGACGGGCAATGAAGGAAGTAGAGTTTCCAGAGACATATGTTGATACCCTTTTTGGTGTTTGTATGGAGGGTAGGTGATAAATGTACAATAATCTCGGGCGCAAATTGGGGGAGCTTCTGTATATTACTGGATCTGTACACGCGGAAGGAGGGGAAACACTAAAATGTAGAAGGCTATACTGGAAGTGTATGTTGATAACAAATGGGAACTATGTATCTCTCTCTCTCTGATGAAGCCATAACCCTACCCCGCATCAAAGTCCGGTCCAGCGTGCGTACGCTCTGCCCCTTTTTTACGTCATAACTTGCGGCTATGACCCCCCTCTTGACCAACCTCTTGATAAACGTCCCAGAAAGTTCCAGACAACTATGACTACTAACAAAATGGTCTGAAGTTCAATTCTACCCGAAGAAAATAGCGGTTATCACCAGGAATTTCTCATGTAGCAGAAACTTACACTAATCGACATTACAGCACACTCAGTGATCTTCACTAAAGATATCCAGATTCGGCTTCCGATGATAATTATGATGCTAGCTAGGTTGAGGTCAAGATTAATATTGATCGTTTCCATATTCTTTATCTCTTTCGCGAATCCCACTCAGCTTTCATCGTCGCCCAGAACTCCTCAAAAGCCATATCGCTGTTCGGGATGAAAAGTTTCTCCTTTCCATCAGTTTCACCCTCTTCTATATAATTGAACCCCTCATAATGCTTGTCGTTGTCATCCGGATATCTAATTAGTGTCAGCTCCATGATCTTGCGTGTTTAAACAAAGAAATGCGGACTCAAATTCAACTCGCGCTTGAGCTTGGAATTATTGAAGCTTATTTTAATTGGTTACATACCTGTAGCATTGAATTGTGCAGCACACCTCTAAAGACGTATTTCTGAGCTGGTGAACTTGATAGTCGTTTTCGCCTAGCCAGGTTACCATATCTTTTTTCAGCGTGATTGCATTATGTCCAATCATGTGTGGACCACCTTGTGCCGTCAAAGCGTCGAAGAATCTTGCTGTTATCTCTCCGTGGAGAACCTGTGTTTCATATTATGCAAGGTATTCTCAAGATGACCAACCATAGAGACATACCTTGATGACAGCACATGCATTCCCATGATCATGAATCGGGGAGTAATGTCCTGCCGGCCAGATTTCCAGCACAAATGGAATCCCTGGAGAATCGCCAAGATTGTGACCTATTGTGATGCGAAGATAAGTTCCTTCGAAGTTCGGCGTGGATCCGAATTCTGTCGACTTCTCCATCAATTTGGTGTGCCCCCAAAGACCAGGTGTGCTGACGCTGCGTTCGATAGCTGCAGAGAAATCGGGAAAGGCGGGTGTATCCAATATAATGTTTGGGCCAGCTACATTGCCGTATAGGACTTGGCAAGCTTGTGGTAGGTTGACTGGTATGGCGTATTTTCCTTGGTTAAGGTCGGGCAGGGATGCATCTTGACTAGAGATGATGAATGGTGAGAGTTCGATGACTACTGGTAGTGGATGGATGATGACTTTTGTGTACTAGATCATGGTCAACCTGGTCTTGCGGTATTTTGCATGATGAAACTAACTGCAGCCGATTCTGTTGTTACGATATCCACATCTTTCAAATCTGCAAGCCAACTGTATTCACTACTGATCCAAACAGGCACTCCTGGCTTTTCCTCCTTCTTCAAAGTCGCCTCCAGCAGTGTCATCGATTTATTGGTGTAATATTTCCCATATCTCAATACTCCATTGGGACCATCAATCGACAACCAATACGTAGTTTGAACCCCAGGATTCAAATAACATGCCGATTCTTGCTGGATAAGTTTGGTAGGAATGCTTTCAGTACGTGTCATGCTTGGTCCAAACGACAACGAGATCTCTGCAGCGCCAATTTGTAGGTAAAGATTATTCTGCGACTTCTTTGGGCAGTTTATGACGAACAATATTTGGACTTTAGCGCTGGAAGACACCGCGATGATGCCCTGACCTGTAACTGGTAGCAGGGATTCGCTTGGTGGAGCGCCAAATCTAATATCATTCCCAACGTCCTTCCTCGAAGCGAAGGGGTCGAAAAATGATAGAGGTTCTGACATGACTGACACTGGGGAGAATTGTAGAAATGTTAATAATGATGAAATGTGTAGACAGTGGGAAAGAGAGAAAACAAAAAAGAGGGGAGAACAAGGTATTTCATAATGCCATGAAGAATGTAGATTCCCCGTCTGATTCAGCCTCCCTATCTCGGAACGAGCCACGATTTACATTATCAGGATACACTGGAATGCTACGAGAGCTTGTAGTAGTGCAATCTGTAGGAGATACCTTAATGCTGTTTGGTTATGCATCTATTCCCATCGGTCCTCAGTAAGTGCGTGTCGAAATATTAATATTGTGATGTAAATCGAATCGAAAATAGCAATTTTTAGAATCATTTTGATTAATGATTGGTTTACAGTTGACGTCAAGAGCAAACAAAGGATAAAGTTCAACGTTCAATCTATTAATCAACCTAGCTGCACACTGCTAGCCAACACGCTAGCTCACAAACCCTCAAATACTAACATCTACGCTTGAAGTATACATTCATCCTCAATCCATCTCCTATCCTCCTCTCAACCCAATTCCCCCCTGCATCAATCCCATCCCTGGGTCAATCCCATCCCTGGATCACAACCATCCTCACATCTCACCATTATCACGGAGCCGGATAGTGGCATCCAGCACCTTCTCGTCTCACACCACCATATTTCATTCCATAACTAGGATAAAACCAACCTCCATCGGAAGGACGTATACCATCCAACCAATCTAAGACACCCCGAGGATCGGCCATTATATTGTATCCCAATGGTGCGCCCTCAAGTCCCGGAAAATATCCGTACAAATAAGAGGCAACTAGATGATTGTAGTTCTATCTGCCTGCAATGCCTCGAGAGCCTCCATGTGGCATAATGTGCTTGTACGCGTTGTTCTACGAGCAAAAGAATGAGGTTGTGTTTGTGTCGAGTTCTAGTTTTCTTAGTGTTTGTTTAGTTCCGTTATGGTTGAGAAGAAATTTGGCAGGAATAGGATAGGAAAGGGAAAAGTAAAGACGGGAAGGAAAAGAGTGAGGAGTTTATGATTTTCTAGAAAGTTCGTTCCGAGGACAGTCATTAAAGCAGAAAACATCCAAATAGCTCGTCTTTCCGATTGATCATGACGAAAGCAATATTCAAGTTTCCAACATTTCAAATTGATTCACTTTTGAGGTGAAGCTCGAGATGTCAGTCTCACGGATCGATTCTTTATTGCCACATTTCGATACAGGAAAATAACTTGATGCAATGAACTGCAGCGATTGTAAGTGGGAGTCTAGACTGAAGAACCCTTCATTTAGACAAAGATCATGAGGCAGTAATGTATAACTATCGGAAGTTAGCAGAGCGGCCATCTTAGCAAGGCTTCCCAGTATGTTGGATAATAGCCGTTGGCTAAAAGCAATGATGCAGCAAGACCCTAGTGCTACCATGTCTTGTCAATTAATTGTCTTGCGTCGCTGCTCTGCCGCACCAACATCTACCAACAAGTTATTGTCGGATGTTGGGGGTGGAACAGATTTTAGTAGTTGGAACATGCTGAGGTATAAATCGAAGTGACTGCCCTTTAATTGGTTCTTTTCCACACCGCTATTACAATCACCCAGACTTCCAATGCCGCCCTCCTTACCGATAATCATCTGCGGAGCCGGCATTAGTGGTCTCGTCTTGGGTCAAGGCCTCAAGAAAGCGAACATACCTTTCAAAGTCTTCGAACGAGATCCAGCTCTCAATGTGCGCTCCCAGGGGTACCGTGTCCGCATCAGCAGTATCGGCATCAGTGCTCTCAAAGAAACACTTCCAGATGACTTGTTCAGTCAACTTCGAGCTTGCACCGCAGTGGCTGCCTCGACACCGGACGAGCCATTTCGTCGGATTGATGCGTTGACAGGAGAAAAGCCGAAGCCATATTATCCAGCAACGCAAGACGCTGAGCCTCCTTTGAATGCAGATCGGACGGTTCTTCGCAGAGTCTTGGTCAAAGCTATTGAACAATTCGTATCTTATGGAAAAGAGTTTCTCAGATGTGAAGTTCTTTCTGACGACACAGTAAAGGTCCACTTCAGCGATGGAACTGAAGTTCTTGGATCACTTCTCGTAGGTGCAGATGGAACAAAGTCTCGCGTCCGGAAACAGCTTTTATCCAACAACGAATTCATCGATACGGAAGGCCGCTGGTTCTATGGGGAGACAGAACTTTCTACCAAAGTGGAGGAGAGGTTCAATAAACATGCCGATCATTACTCAATCATTCAAAATACATCCAAGGGCAGAGTTCTTACCTGTCTGCTAGAGCCAGTGCGGTTCAAAGAGAACGAGTTTCGGAAGGAATTACCAGCAGATTACATCTACTGGGTCCTGGGTGGATGTAAAGATATTTTCGACATGGATGATGAGGTGCTGCTTCGCTTGAGCCCCGAAGAAGCTGCAACTGAGACTATGAGGATGACGAAGAACTGGGACCCATCTTTTCATATCCTGTTCTCTGCTCAGAGCACGGGCCAGACCTCCATCCTTGCCCTTGAGTCATCAAAACCAGATATCGAAGTCTGGGAGACGCAGAAAAGTGTAACACTTTTGGGTGACTCGATTCATGCTATGAGTCCGACAGCAGGAGTGGGTTCTGTTACTGCGCTCAGGTCAGCTGCGGCTTTGACGAAGGCGGTTGTAGAGGGTGGAGTAATGTTAAGAGTTTGAAGCAGTATGAAGACGAGATGAGAGATTTCGCAAGTGTAGCTATAAAGCGGAGTTTTGCTGGAGGAGATTCAATTTTTGGGTTGAGAAGTTTTGAGGAATTGGAGGAGAAGGCATCTCAAATCTTGACATAGATCGTTTTCTTTCTTCCGCAATCAACGCCCCGTAGATTCTAGTTGCTTACAATTCATATTTCGATGCCTATTGAGAAATGAGAAGATGGAGTCCGTCTCACGTGATCGGACTTTCCGCAGAAAGATCTAGGCTACCTAGGTACTTTGCCTTTCCATGTCAGACAATTGCCCTTTAAATCTGTCAGGCAACTAAAGATCAAAGGCTTTCAGCGTCCTTCAATCGGTCGGAGTTGGATGGCTGTCACGTGTGGACAAACAGCGCCTTCCGCGAATTCTGAATGAAAATCAAAAAGCAAACCCTCTTCGTCTGCACTTCATATTACTTCACTACAGCCAACCCCTTTCGGCGACTTAACTCGTTATTCTCGACCTGATCATGCAAGCATGGTGCAACGTAGTTGTCGTCCTTTGTCACTTGGTTCGGGTGGTCCACGGCGCGAGCTACCGTGGAGCTGCTTCGCCAGTGCGCGGTCAGCTTTCAAGTCATTGGCCGCTTTAGATTTGCTTTTTGAGATGTGGTTGCACCAAGTTTTCTCGCAAAAACATGGGTCCCTGAGGGGCTGAGACATTTCCGCAAGCTGTGGTTGGTTGTTGGTGGCTGGGGTTACCTACGCCTCACCTCAGCGTTGGTGCTCGTCAACTTGTAGCTGTCGACAGTTCTTGAAGTTGTTCTTCGTTGCCTTTTTAAAATGTTTTGAAGATTCATATTTGACTGGTTTTCTCTGTATACTTTCTCTTCTTGTCGTACCATCCCGCGTTTTCGAAGCTACCTACCTAGGTATACTTTGGAGCAGAGCATGTCTCCCAACAAAGGAGGTCGACCTCGGAACCAGTGGACCTCCTGCCGTCAAAGGAGACTCATCCGACTATACTCCCTGACTACATTGGACATAAATGAGATTCAATGCGTCCTGAAAGCCCACCAGTTCAATCCAAGGTAGGGGTCGACAACCCACTTCGGTCGCATGACTGACTGTTCGTTAGCTCCAGTGATATTCAAAAGAAGCTTCGTGATTTGCTCCCGGGGGACTACGCAAAGAACTGGAGATCTTTCCGACCGGCAAAAGGTCAGCCGATGTCAAGACGATTAGATGCAATTCGTACCAAACGCTACCGAGAGCAAAACACACCAGACAAGCGTCGCACTAGTGGACCAGAAGGCAGAAACCTGAATTCGTGTCATGTCTCTCCGTCGCTAGAGATATTTGAAGGACCGAGCACAGCTTTCCGCAATTACTTGGGTCCAAATGATGCGATCATATCTTACCAACATTCTACCAACACAGAGGGAGGGTTAGAATCTCAGATTGTGGAGCCTTCCCGACTGCTTTTAGATGGATCAAGCATATGTTCCAATAAAGCGGCTGCATCCCAGCCACGACCATCATACGAGCCCGCCGAGCAGACCTTTCTCAACCCAGTGTCTTCTAATAAGACTCGGATACTAGTTGTTCCAGTCGCGAGGCCACGAGATTCATTGCCTAGCATCCGGAGTCTCCAAGAGCGATTGAAACGGACTGGCTCTATCATCCAAAGCATACATTCTGTCCTACGCTTCTCGTCTACCGAGTCTTGGAGGTCGAGCATTTCTACAAGGTCGAGCATCATCTCCTTCGAAAGCTTATTGCAGACGCAGAAAGCTGTCAACTCTTGCATGAGCGGCCCTTCTCCCTCTTCACCAGCGGCAGAAAACGTCACACCGACCTCGAGCTCGACCGAAAAGACGACCAAACAAAAGAATCGAAAGCAACAGCGCCGGAAACGCCCCGCCGCCATAAAATCGGAATATGGAAGAGCGCATCTCTCTGAGCACGAAGAGAAAGTCTGGAACGACTTGATCAAAGGCGATGCGCCACTAGGCCCATTTGATGCGAGACCAGAGTTTCGGGAAATGTCCCTTAAAGGGAGACCTTGCTGTGGCTCAACTCTGTCGCTGCAAGTAGACGCCGTTGGTGGTTTTTGTCCGCAGTGCGGTATTCGTCAAAGCCATCGACATGCAATATCTAATTTCAAGCTCTTCTCACACTCGATCAATGAAAAGGACTACTTCAACAATGGCATGCTGCACTTCGCGGCAGCTTGTCCTCATTGGACTGCTGATGAGTTCATTATCTGGATTCGTGAAGGTGCCGACATCAAAAGTGTGAACACCTCTGGGGCGACCTTCCTTCACATCCTTACCGAGAACCTAGTTTCCGAACATCTTCCCGAGTTTCTTAAATTAGTACTCTTCATCCACAACCTCGATAAACTTTTCCCACATTACTTCGACGGCATCAAGTTTGATCTTTCATGCCGCGATTATCATGGGCAAACTGTACTTCATATGCTATTTCACAACCCAGATTTCCTGCAATCAATTAGACCAGAAGGTCGAAGCGACTTCGAGCAACTGGTGGAGATTATGGCACCCGACGTAGGAGTGATTGACAATCTTGGACGAACATTAGGCCACATGCTTGGTGATCGCATCAACCAAGCCTCGACTAAACTTATCTTGTCCACGAGACAAGAGACTGATTTCATAACTCATCTAAAGTCCTCACCTTTCCGCAAAAGAACCTGGTTGGGCTGGCTCGAAGCAACCGATAGAGTTACTTGGGTGGATACGAATGGCGATACCGCTCTCATTGCTCTATTGAAAACTTGGACAGGCAACTTTGACGCAGATCCAAGGCCATCATGGTCGTATAAGGATGCGGCTTCCTTATCGTTTATCGTCAAAGAAGTGGTCAAATCAGGAGCAGTGGTACATATGCGTGATAGAGCAGGCGACACAGCACTGGCAATAGCAGCAAGAAGGGGTCTGCGATCAGCCGTCACTGCTCTTCTGGATGGAGGTGCTTGCGTGAACAGCCAGAACTACATTGGCGTCAGTATTATTGAAGGGGCCTGTAGAGAGATCCGACGAGCGATCACGGCCACGATGACCGTCTCTATGCAAGGATATTAAGCTGTATCACTCTGCTCGCCGATAGAGGGGCAGTGAAACATCCAGATGGCTATCAAGAATGGGCTGCGTCTTGGTCTCCAGTTGCTAAGAATCCGAGAAATATTTGAAATGACTTGAACTGTCATCCGACCATGAGAGGTCGTGGCGCTAGAAGTTTCTGATCAGAATCGACCATTAATTTTATTTTTCGACTGAATTGCTTTTTAATTATTTCCTACGAATCTTAAACTTACTCAGGATAAATCATCTTCCTTGTCACACCCCCATCAACCACCATCTCTGTGCCCGTTACCCCCCTCGCACCAACAAGATACTCAACCGCTCTTCCTACGTCCTCTACATTCCCTACTCTTCCAGTAAGCTGCCACTCATGCTCTCTCTCTTCCAACCCATCCTCCCACTTAACACTCAACTCATCCCCCTTCTTACACTCATTCCCTACATGAATCCACCCTAACACCAGCGCATTAACCGTGATCCCCTCCTTCGCCAAACTAACCGCCAAAGCTTGACTCAAACCCAACAACCCCGCCTTCGTCGCAGCATAAGATTCCGAGTTCGGCTCACTCTGATAAGCGCGTGTGGACGAGACATTAATTATCGTCCCTCCTTCTTTCCTTGCACCTCCTTTCCTCAAAAGCGGAACACAAGCTTGACTAAGAAGCATTGGAGCAGTCAAATTAGTCTCTAAACTCTTGTTCCACTCTTCAAGCGTCAGATCTGCCAGTTTGGTGGTACCGACGCTGCCTGTATACGCAGCGTTGTTGATCAGAACGTCGAGTTGGCCGTGGAAATGCTTTTTCATGTTCTCGATTGCAGCGGTGATTTCAGCAGGGTTGCGGAGATCGCAGTTGCTGCTTAGGATTTTGCCAGGGAAAGAGGAGAGCAGGGAAGAGGTGGTGTGTGAGAGCTCTTCTTTGTTGTTGTCTAGTAGGTAGATGGTGTGGCCTTTTGAGGCGAGAAGTCGGGCGAGGCCGCGGCCTATGCCCCGGGCTCCGCCTGTTATGAGAATTTTGAGGGGCTGAGAGGGGGTTGTCATTATGAATGAAATGTGAATTCGATTTTGGTACAAAAAGAAAATGAGAGGTGAGGTTAAGAGAAAGTTTGGGCTGGTAGTAGTAGTGAAGGAAGAAAAATGTATGACTAATGACTAGCGATCGCGTCATCGCAAACAGAGCTTTTTGATCATTTTCCCTCGAAGACTTTGAGTCCGAACATTTTTCCATGTACTTGAGGACTCAGAATTTATCCTCAAGATCTGTAGAGTATGAACTGAATAGACAAAAGAAAAGACGGAAGGAAGAAAAGACAGATCTGATTAAGGCACGTGACCCATCCCCATATTTCCTCCTCGATATTCTACTTATAAACGACGCGAATCCCTTTACTGTCCATCTCTGGGTGAGGAATAAAATGATCATGCTTGGGGACAACATCTCTGCTCGTCGTCTCAAACAGTTCCATATTGTCGAATCGTCGGAAAATAGTCGCTACTGTGAGGTAAAGTTCTGCTTTTGCCAAACTATCACGGCTATGCATCAGGATTTCTGACAAATGATCGTCAAGGCCAGGGGATAGGTCTTACTTGAGACCCAAACACATCCTTGTTCCTCTTGAGAACGCTACCATGTATTTGTCAAGTGACTTGGAAGTAAGCCATCGTTCAGGAGAGAACTTCGTAGGGTTGAGGAAAATGGTTGGGTCCATGTTGATGAGTAGAGGTGTCATTCCGACGGATGTCTAAAGGTTTAGATGGGGGAAATGTAGTGTTGGGAAGGATGTACTTACACCTGCTGGGATGACCCAGTCTTTGTATCGCATGCTGCTTGTTGGGAGGTTTCTTCCTAGGCGGGAGGCTACTCCCGATGAGAGTCTGCTATTCTTAGCTTGAGGTGGAGGGGACTGGTATGCAGACATACCTCAGTCCTTCATTGATCACTGCTGTCTGTTTCTCGTCAGCAGCTGCGTGAGGTCCAAGACCGGAGTGTAGAAGCTCACTAAATAAGGTAACTTCTCAGCTTGACTCAGCATGATAGTGGCATTCTTGTCCGGAAAAGCGTCTTTCAACTCAGTTTGCAGCCTTGCAAGCACATCCGGACTATTGAGTAAGTGGAAATGCATCGTCGCAAGAGTATTCGCGCTAGTTTCTGAGCCTGCGCCTACTACTGACATTCCTTCGCTCCATATCCGGAGTGCGGTTTTCTCCTCAGGCGGTAAATCACTCTTGAGGAAGGCGTGCATTATCGTCGTGTCGAGTCCATCGCCATCTGCGTTCTTATTGGCGTAGTGTGCAGCGAGGACTCGTTCTGTTTGTGTTCTTATCCTCTGTAACATGTCAGCACGTGTTTCAACTGGAATGGTCAACTTACGTCTTCATACATGAGAACTCCTCTAAACACAGGAATCAACCAGCAGACAAGCCGCTGTGGAAGTGCTTTGATAACATCATACAGCCATGGATAATGCTTCATGAAGTTCCCAGCTAATAACATAGTGTGCACCCCATCGAACCAATCTTTCCTGAAATCAGGAGCGTCGAGATGTGCCCAAGATTCGTTGAAGCAGTAGTAGGTGATAACGTCGATTGTCAAAGCGCTGTATGCTGCTCGCATCTCAACTGGTGTTCCTGTTCCTCGAAATTCTTCGAGTCTTTGGGAGAGCTTGTTGACGACGGTTTGCAGTAAAGGTTCGAGTCGATTGATCATCTGCTTTGAAAAGAACGGATTCAAGGCTGAGCGGCGGAGGCGGTGATGTTTGTGATCAAGTGTCGAGAATGCCGTGTGATCCATGTCAAATTGCGATGTGTAGAATTTCGATTTGTTGACGGGAAGATTGTTGGAATACAACACATCGTAGTAGTCTGGGTCTTGGATATGCAGCTCGAATGGACTGATGCGAATGATTGGTCCTGCTTGGATAAGCTTGGAATTCCCATGATTTGAGTTCAGAAGAGCTTACCATATTCTTTGTGTAGCTCGGCTATCTTGAACGTGTAGTGTCCATTAAGAATTACGTCGTAGTAGAACTCGTACCAGAGGGTCGCTGCTGCAAGCTTCGGACCTGGGAATCTGGATAGAGGGCTGAAGTACACTCGATAGAGGGGTAAAACGAACGCATACCCAAAAGCCAAGATCGCTAGGAACGGCACGACCCGTGCGGCGAAGTCGTATGCAATACCCATGGCTTCGTGGTAGTTGATATCATGCAGCAACTAAAAGAAAAAGGCAAAACGAGAAATGATTGAGAAGAATACGATTCTTCAGCGGATGATATCGGCAGGACTTTATCCATCTCGCAAGCAATGATTGCTGGGGCCCACTGGCAGTTTATGCAGCACTGGTTGTCACCCTTCCTTAATGTAGATCTATTGGTTATGCTGTATGCAAAGGCAGGCATTACTCGGAGTTCATACCTAGCGAGGGACAATGCCGTGCAGCACAGGCCCGATCGAGAAAACAAACTGCAATCTGAACTGCCACTCTGCATCCTCCCAAAGTTAGACTGACGTCCCTTTGCCGTAGCACATACGCTTCTCTCCTAGACGATGGCTCTTCACACCATACCTCGCATCAGCAGCGAGCAAATGTATTTGCTTTAAGTCATTACCATTGCCATGAATAAGCCCTGGTAAAGCTCACGACATATTGTCATTCAGGAACATCATCCAATCTTGATCAATATCCATAATTCCCGTGTTCAAGAATTGAGCAGGATCGAGCATTGGGAGATTACCGAACTCATCGACTTCCCATGACATGTCGTCCACCATGGAAGGCATTGACTTGATGTAATCATAAGTCGCGGGAATTGAGCTTGTAGAAACGAATGGTTGCAGACTCGAAGATGGAGCGACAGCAAGCTCGGTAGAAGGAGTTGTCCTAGACGAGGATTGACCGTTGCGTTGGTTCTGATCGTTGGTAGGACAGGATTTGTTATGCTCAACCTGCCTTCGAACAACTACGCCGAAGTATGGAATTGGTATCTTGACGTCTTCCTGCATGGTGGGGTCGTTCGCAGAAGAAAGTAATGCCAAAGCTTTGTAACATTGAGATGCTATACAGCAGCCTTTCCTCTCACTTTCCCAAAAAATTGCCTTCACTGAAGAGATGACCCGCGAATCGTTATCCGAAAGTACCAGACTAGGTCCAGATTCCAGCTTGGAAAGGCCAATCAGAAGTATAGCCGCTGCTGTGAAACCAATGAAGTCTGCAGTTTTGCACTCGAAGAGTTTCTCTCCATTGACCATGGTATGGTAGATGAGGAAGATTTTCAACATTTGGCGGGCAGCCTCGATACAAACAATTTTACTGTGGTGATACGGATCGGACTTTGATGCGTTGATCAGGAATGGCAGATGCAAGTAGGTCTTGAGTTGAAAGAAGTAGAAGTGCTGCTGAAGGCGTGTCCGTATGTGATCGATCTCTGTGTCTGTCCCGGATAACTCATTTGGCACATCCCACCACTCAGTTGGTAAAGTAGCTGCGATTGAGCTGAGCTCTTCATCAAGATCTATTGTCGTTGCATATGAAGGCTTTACAACCATAAGATCTCGGTCTAGGATCTTGCCGGAAATGGAGGCGCATTTGTGAGTGAACAGGCTGCCAAACGAATTAGCATAGTAAAACATCGAAACGAAAGTGAGGGGCTCTGGGAGCCGGGAGCTGTCTCAAGAGCTCTCGTTTGCAATATATCTCGGCTCTGCCCGGCTCCCGGCTCCCAGAGCCCTCATACAAGAAAACAGTAAATTAGTATAGGGATTTGACATACTGTGGGACGAAATCTGCATCTCCAGTATTTGAGACTGTGAGATGGGGAAAATGTGCATCATTGACACCGTATGGAAGACCTAAAAGAAGGCTTGTGAAGCGGTCGTTGTGATAGAGACAATGCCAAACAAAGGCACTCCTTTCCGCCAGCTGTGTCTGCCGATCGAGACCCTTGTATTCTGTTAGCAAGGTCTAATATGTGGTATGAGTTTGCTGATACCATCAACTGCGCTACATTCAGCCCTTGACGAGTCAGACTCCAGCTTCGCCGAGGTTGTCCAATATCGGTATATGCTTTGGCCAACAATAAAAGACATTCGAGACCTTGTACCGTGTGAGAGTAGGTTGAGTCGCAAATGACAAGATGTTCAACAAGGGAGTAAAGGTGATGATCTTGACCCATGGATCGAGTATACGCAATCACCAATGTGCCGAGATCTACCGGGTTGGTACTGATGTATAAGTGCGAAGCATATGAAGCAAGAGATTCCTTTACTTTAGCACTAGGATGAGTTTTACGGTGGAAATGGTACCACCATGATCCATTGAGTTTGAGAGCTGATATCATTTCATCGTACACTGGAAGCGAAGACCTCAACCTTTCGCAGACTTTCTTGCTCTTCTGTTCATACTGCCTGACCTGATTCGTGTCAAAGCTTTTCACAGCAAAGACTGTCGACTTCGTAGTCGACGATGATCCTGGCGTCGAATAGCTGTGATCGGTTCGTGCTTTGGAACAATCGTTACTACCTATTGCCGGGGATAGCAGCTGGGCACGCGCTTTAATTAGTTTTGAACACGATCTTGGGACTGAAAAATATTACTCACCTCAGCATCGTCAAGTATAGACACGAATGGAGCTCGAGGATCGAGATGATCCCATGAAGCAGTAATATCTTTAGCAGAAACATCTTCTGCGTCACTAAGGTTCTCATTTGATAGTATCTCTCGGGACTCCTGTGAATTATCATTTGGTAGTCGTTGGAGGACGGTCTCAAGCATTGATTCAAGACGAGCGACTCTATCACGCAGAGACATAGTCTCGATGTCGGAATCCGGAAAGAGCCTGTCATGTTGGCTCCTGCACCGAGACCCACGAGTTAGGCACGGCGAGCAGATGGCTGAGTCTCTAGGGTATGTGCAACGGATCTTGCGTCGACGACCTGAAAGTCCATAATCAGCAAGTCGAATGTTCAAATGCGGCAGTGTGTTTGAGTACCCCCCACTCTTATTGAGACATCCTCGTTGGTTGGAATGAAATATGAAGTCAAGGAGGCTTACATTCAATGCAGTTCTTGGTTCCTTTCCTCAATTTCTTCTGTCTGAGAGATAATTCCGGTTCGTCCATTTTGCTGTGTTCGGCCGTGACGACCGGACGAGAAGGTGTGACAGGGATCGTGAATCTTATGGTGGAGTGACACAAGGCCTGTAGTCGATAATTGACATGAGAAATGGGAAACTGGCCCTTTTGGTAGTCCACTGGAATATGCACTCATTGGTGACTGACCAAAATAGAAATATATCATGACTTCGAAGCTTTGTTCGTCCGCAAATTCGTCCGCTTTTCGTCCGTCCGACCGTGTCACATGACCATGATCTCAGGTGAGTCGAGGATGTTGGGGTATGTTATAGTATCGACTATAGTGGAGTTGAGAGGAGCTCGAGAGATGAACCGTCTCGATGGGTTTGGTGTGGGGTGTATAAAGCTGGGCCATAGCCCCAGCCAATATCAGATCTCAAACCTCTGCTGGAGTATCAAAGCCCCATAAAAGACATTCAAAATTCACACACCCAAGCCCTCTTGCTCGACCAACACCACCAAGATGAGTTTCTTACTCACGAAAGACAAGCCTGACAGTCTTCTCAAGTACCATCGAATCCTCAGTCCATCCTGCTCGGTCAAGGTGTCGCCGTTATGTTTGGGTTCAATGAACTTTGGAGAGATCTGGTAATCATTTCCTGTCCCCTCTTTCATGTCTGCGCTGAAGAATCCACCAGGAAAGGGCATCTCGGCGAGTGCAGCAAAGAGACCACATTCGCAATCCTTGACCATTTCTATGCCAAAGGCGGAAACTTCATCGACACAGCAAATGTGTATATGGCAGGAGAGAGCGAACAATGGATTGGAGAATGGATGCATCTACGTGGCCTGAGGGATCGGATGGTTATTGCCACAAAATACACCAGCTCAACTAGGTTCATGGCCATGGAGCCAGACGGTGGAATTTTGTCCAACTTCGGAGGTAGCAACAAGAAGAGCTTGCGAATCTCACTCGAGAAAAGCTTGCAAAGCTTGCAGACCGATTATGTCGATGTCCTCTACGTCCACGCATGGGAGGGTATCTCCTCCATCCCCGAGATCATGCGTGCTCTTGACGATGTTGTCCGAGCTGGCAAGGTACTCTACCTCGGAGTCTCCAACTGGCCTGCTTGGATCGTGGTCAAAGCCAACGAGTACGCTCGCCAACATGGCCTTACGCCTTTCGTGGTCTACGAAGGACGCTGGAATGCAGCACATCGTGAGATTGAGCGTGATATCCTGCCCATGTGCAAGGCAGAGGGTATGGGCATCACAGTCTGGAGTCCGTTAGGATCCGGGAAGTTCAGAATTGACTCGAAGGAGGAGCCAGGTAGGAAATGGGGTGGCGATCCCGGGCAAGCTTCGCTGGAAGATTTCCACAAGTTTGCAGTGGTTATGGACAAGATTGGGAAGAAGAAGGGTACCGATGCTATGGGAGTCGCTCTGAGATACGTCATGCTCAAAGTATTTCCGACTTCGATGAAAGCAGAATGATATGTTGATGCTTGTCTAGGCCCCATATGTCTTTCCAATCATCGGAGGACGAAAGACCGAGCACCTGCAGCGGAACATTGACGCCCTTAGTATTGATTTGTCGGACGAAGAGATCCTAGAGATTGAGGGAGCTGTCCCTTTCGACTTCGGATATCCGCACTCTCTCATTTCTGGAAATCCATACAAGACGATTTCAAGTGGCGACCCGTGCTACTTCATTCAAGCATGTTGCTACTTTGAGGGAGTTGAGGACCCAAAGGTATGTCTCTGGACAGGAAATATGCAGAAGAGAACTGACGGTCACAGGCTATCCACCCTCAGCAGTAGTAAAGGCGTCCAGGTAGAGAAACATCTGCTAGCAATGCTCAAATTCAAAAATATTCAGCTCTGTAGAGTATTCATCAATCAAGAGCTGTTCGGTGCATTTATCATACACACCCTCGTATCATTTGAGACTTGAGAAAAAACATATGCTTGATGTAAAGTGCAAGGGGTAACAATTGAATGAGATAACAGGCTAATCACCATGCTACTAGTCCCAGCAGAACTTGCCAGTGTAGACATTAGAGCCAGCTGAGCCCCCGATTGTATTCTGCGATACCGGTTGGCCACCAGCAATTGCTGTTGATCTGCCCCTTGCATGGATGAGTGACATTTGTCGCTGCTGGCTATTGAAGTCGAGAAAGGCTTTAATCGGCCGATGAACATAAGTACATTGGACTCTGTGGTTATAGAGCTTTGAGTGTCAATGTTGTTGGATGGACTGCAATTGTAGAAAAGCTTTCTCTTCAGGAGAAGTGAGGTGCAAGTCGCGATGTGTGTTTATCAATCACGTGGGGTGGATCCATCCGTGACCCTACATCTTTCTGTTCTGCCCGAGCACGCACGACTTAAGCATCTTCTCAATTCAATATTGCTTCACAAGGTAACAATCCTCCCTGACTAATGGGAGCAGCAAAGACTTGGACAGTGAAAGTGACAAAGTTCAACTTCTTCTGAATCAATATGGCTAACCCCGGGATACATATCAGAGGTTCACACGTGCAAGAATCCTGGGCATGGCAAATTTTTCACTGGCAGCTAACGCTACGCAGCTTTTAATAATACCAGAGCGAATGCTGAGGATGTTTGTGATGATGCAAGCAATAGATTACTTTCGTAATGAGTTATCAAGATCAGCCCACCTACCAGACCTCAGTGGATCAAGCTTTCTTAACTCAGCTAGCCAGGCCTTGCAGTCTTGTTTTTCATCAATGTCTGGCTCCCGTTCCTCCATCTGACATAATGCCAGTGTGTACTCGATGAGGGCACTGTATATCCATTTGCAGTCCTCGGCACCATCTAACATATCTTTCAGAATGGCGAGCTGCCGTATTACGTATTCGCTGCGGTCTAACGTTGTAAAATTTGGTGTGATCGTCGCGTGACCAATGTAGTCTGTCAGAGTTGTCATGAGGAATTGGTAGTAAAACCATGCGGATTGAGCATATGGGTAAGAGTCGGTATACATCGCTGAGATGATTAAGTCGAACTCTGCATATACGTTAACTTTGGGCCATCAGAGAGCAGAGATTTAGAGCAATACCATCATCCAAGAATTTTCGTCTTGTAGCATCATTCGCATGACGTTCATCCAGTAATCGCGGAATCAGCTTACTGCGTCTATGCCATGCTGAGAAGTTGGACAGCCCCTTGTCTCCATGTATCATCTTGGTGGTGTATTCGAATTCTGCTTCAACCATGCTCTTCCCATTAAGCTTGGGGCTTTCGAGCTGAGAAACCACAGTCCTCCGATATCCCCATCCATGGAAATTCCGGCTGTCCTTGACAAGCATCTTGCCAACTAGTATGAGCTCCCGACTCCATAATTCTTGAGCGAACTCTGCACCCAGACGCTGGTTCCCCTCCTGCAGCAACCATAAACGATAATTCCACAGCCAATAGCATTTTGGATACTTCATCATCAACGGAAAGAGAAAGTCCAAGTCCGCCTTGATTATGTCAAGAGTTGTACCATTCTTCCCATGACTCTGGGAGGCGGGGTTCTGCGGGGTCGTGCTCGAGGCCTCCGAAGAGATAGAAGAAGAGGAGAATGGCTTTGCGGAAGATGTTGTAGGTATGTCGGTCTGAGAAATATTCTGTGACTCCGTCGAGTGCGATGACGAATCCAACGGTTTGGAGAATAAGCCATAAATTAGCAAACGTCTGCGGACGTTCCATATTGTGTAATATTCAGGATTCTTCTTCAGGAGCTTCGAGGTAAGTTCGAGGACTTCGACTGTGTATTGACGTTCTGCAATCTGCATAGACGTTAGAGTATGCATCTGCGAAAGTATAGACACGTACCTTTGACCTGATCAAGTCTTCCAGCTCCCGGTATTGTTTGATCTCCCGTTCTTCCTCAATCCGTTCCTGCTCTGTTCGCGGCACGATCGTTGCAGGTCGTGCGACACCATGCTGTCTCGATGATCAGTCCAGCTTCAGTACCCAAGGCTCGAGAACTATACGCTTGCCATGTTCAGAACTGCGGTTGTTCGTGCTGGGAATGAAGCTGCTGAACTGGTGATGATGATGCCTGTTTGGAGTTCAGGAAGTCTCGAGTCAGCAATCCGATAAGCGAGACTTCACTTAGTCATGCTCGTACCTTCTCTCAACGTCTTGTATACTTCCTCTCCTTCAATTGTCCACCCTGGGACAAAAAGGGATCGACATCTTCAGTATTACTAACAGCAGCAGTTATCGGGAACGTCACACATTGCTATCTGGTCTCCTGTGGTCCTTCCCAAGCATTCCGCCGCAGCATCTGGGCTACATTCATTGTCCCCAACTTCCCAGACAGGCGCCGCCGGAATCTCCTTCCGTGGACCGCCCTAACCGTTGGTACAGTTTCCAGAATTACACTCTTTTGATCTGTTTACGAGAGAGAAGAGAGGATAGTCTGCAGCTCTTTTCGTGGACTATCTTCAGCCTCCTCGAGTCATTCATTCATTCATTTCCTTTTCAACATGGACTTCTACGGAGGCAGCCTGCGACCTTCTAAGAGCGCGTCATGGGCAACTTATTTCCATACTGATACCGATGTCCCCCCTGCTAAGAAATCCCTTGCAAGTAGAAGATCCATTGCAAGATCGTCAGTGAGAGCAAAGCCGTTCTACGATGCAGGTGAGTCTTGGAAGTTGGCCCATGATCAACCTTTCTAACGTATCTAAGTGCGTTCCTACTTCAAATGCACCTATCAGGACCATTCTTCCGACTCGAGTCCGTCGCCTATCTCGAGCCGTTATGATGGAGCCGGTGAAGAGAGAACGAGGCACATGCCAGCAGCGACGCTTCCGCGGCTTCGACCTCGAACAAATACTCTTAGCCGTCCGTCTTTGAGGACGATTCGAAGTAACTTGAGCTCCAGATCGACTGGCTCTATTAGAGCCCCGGATCGTTTTCTCCCAGCTCGACCGTCGCTAGACTCCGCGATTCAGAGCTTCCGGGCGAATAAGGACCCCCAAACATTGTCATCTGAAGAGAAACTCCTCCGACACAAAGATGCCAGTCCAGATGCTTTCAATCCTCGAAGGCGTGTCTCGTCTCCAATTCCAAGAGCAAATCGACCTATCTCTGACCGACGCAATGTATCGGGGCGCCGTAGTGGAAGTGGAGGTACTACTTCTCTTCGGTAAGACTTGTCTCTGCTGACTTCCCATAGGCGGCAGTGTCTTAACGTTTCGGAGAGATCCTGCAGCGCCTAATGGGGAACGTCAAGTAAGATTATAGTCTTGAATTATGATCGTTGACTGACTGATTTCTCAAGGTGAGTATCGGTACAGTGTGGAGAGTTGGCGGTTTGGCTCCCATCAATGCCGTTGAAGATGGGCATGGCGGAATGTTGGCTAGTGGCACGAATGCTCCTCTTTATACAACCTCATTCTCCTCCCGTCCGAAAGCTCGAGAAGAAGAGAGAGATAGGCATGAAAGTCGCTTGGCAGAAGCTTTGAATCTTGACCGGGTAGGACGAATCCTAGAATTTCGCGATCCATCAATTTCTCCTTTGAAGACGGTCAACGAGAGGAACAAACGCAAAGACCAAGATTTGAAAACCGTTTGGGTTGGTACTGAATGGGTTGCAGATGATACAGATAGAAGTGAGATGCCTGTTTGGCGGCTCTTGTCATTGTCACTGAATGATATACAGAGATGCCGATCACCCAAGAAGAGCGTACGCTGCCATTGGCACCGTTCAAGTAACGATTCTTTTCTTGGATAAATATTGTCGCTAACCCAGAAATAGGGTGTTGGATGCTCCTCATCTTCGAGATGACTTTTACTGCTCTGTTCTCGCGTACTCCACTACTTGTCATACCCTGGCTGTCGGACTGGGTCCACTACTATACGCATGGTCAGAGATGCAAGGTGTCCATCTTTTGAACTCGGGTACAGGAAATCATGCTTGGCTCACCTCACTTGCCTTCTCCTCGATACCGGGCGCAAAGAGCATTCTAGCATTCGGTAGATCCGACGGAACTCTTAGTCTTGTCTCACTTTATGACAGCATGTTACCTCGATTTGAAGTCCAACAACCTTGCCCAGTCGCTTGTGTCACTTGGAGACCCCAAGCTACGATGCGCCCTTCCCGTTCTCCGCTGACATCGGGAATGCTTGTGAAGACCGAAGATCTCCTTGTAGGTGATGAGGTAGGCAACGTTTATTATTATGCTGTAGAGTGGCCAGAATACTGGGAGGTAAGTCGCAGTGGATGGTCTGGCTCGATGACGCTATTGGCGCGAATCACAGTACATACGCAACAGATCTGTGGACTATCATTTTCTTGTGATGGCACTCTATTTGCTACTGGTGGGAACGACAATCTCTGCTGCCTTTTCAGAACAAGCGACGTCCTTCACAAGACACGAGAAGAAGTCCTTGCCGTCGAGGAAGTGCTGGTCGGTGCCGATGGAGTTCGGCGTGTCCACACGATTGCTGGAAGAACCGGCGTCAAACAAATCACCCCTGGTGCTGAGAGACACAGATGGGTCCATGGTGCCGCTGTTAAAGCAATTGCTTTCTGTCCATGGCGAGAAGGGCTTGTTGCTACAGGTGGTGGAAGCAATGATAAATGTATCCACTTCTTCCACGCCTCGTCAGGTACATGTCTGGCCACAATCAGCGTTGCTGCACAAGTTACATCCTTGATCTGGTCTACAACACGCCGAGAGATCTGTGCAACTTTTGGCTATGCTCAACCTGAGCATCCTTATCGCATCGCCGTGTTCTCTTGGCCACAGTGCAAACAAGTTGCAGCGATTCCATGGGAAGGAGAGCACCGCGCATTGTACGCGATCCCATACCCTGGAGGACCAAACGAGAGCCAAACCAGTAGGGAAGGCGGCCAAGGCTTGACTCGTACTGCACAAGAAGGTTGTATTGTTGTGGCTTCCAGCGACGAAAGTGTGAAGTTCCATGAGGTTTGGACCGCTAGCCAAAAGGCTACTGCAGGGGGTGAGGGATTGCTCGGTGGGAGCGATATTCTTGAGGCGCTGGAGGGTATCGACAAGGAGGGCGATGTTATCAGATAATTCAAGCCCAACTTTGTGATTCTCAGAGTGTGGGTAGGGGTGATGCACACCTGGTGATCTTGGGTTGGTAACATTCATGGCATGAAGTGTCAAATTGGTTCATGGCGGCGTGTTTATAATTATGGATGGGGCTTGCCTCCTCCTATCTTGATCGTAATGAAGCCTAGTCCACCTCGAATCTAAAACCCACTCCAAAGCACTTGGGACCTGCGACTCCTGAGCGTATAGGTAATTGTACCACCAGATTTTGTACATCACCTACACAGCACACCGAACAATATACTCGTCTAATCTTATATCAATGATAAATTCCTCGTACCTAAGTGCCGACCTGGACCCGGATTTGCAGGGGTAAGAATCACGTGCAGCGCTAATGCCGATCCTCTGTGTCTTCGGACCTTCGTTTGTTCCTTCCTTCATCTTGTCCTTTCTACAATGCGTTTCTACTCTGTCTCTGAATTTGGATAGTCTCTAAGTACTACACAACGAACCGGATAGTACTTGGCACTTAGCGGTGATTCGGTGAACAACAGCATGCTCCCATCATCGGCCATGAATCAGATTGGTGCTCAAAATATGGCAGTGAAGTCTAAATTCTTGAGCACACCGACTGAGATACAGCTATCCGTGTTGCAATGGTGTTCTGGAGGCATAGTCTCGATCGAGCGACCCAAAGCTGGCGGCAAAGATGCCTACAACGTTGCCGCTGCTGCCTCCGAGGTTGATATGACTGCGAGGAAAAACTTCCAAACATCCCTTCTGAGTATCAATCACGATATTAGAAAACTAGTTCTCCAGATACATCCAACAGCTTTTGAGAAGCAACTTGGGTCTCCTGTCTTGTTTGATGTCACGCGTGACATCTTGCACTTTGACGACCTTCATCTCCTCGAATCTTTTATTGAGAGGTCGGATACATCGTCTCTGAGGAAGCTTCACATCGATAGGCTTGCATTTGGAATTAGTGGGATGAGACCTTTTGGGAAGAGCGGCAACATAGCCATTGAATTTCAGAGCCGTAGCCATGATTTGCTCAAACTTGGAAAGGCGATTCGAGCTTTTGGATCTATTAAGACAATATATTTAGTGGTAAGTCCCATCCATCATATCGATTTTCTTCGAACATCTTTCACCTTTCTTTGTTTCTTGGTAACTCACATTTCTGATACGGTGTCATTGACTGATTTTGATTCTCTTTAAGTCAGCCTCTGAGAACCCCGAGAAAGAAGATATTAGGGTCGGACTTGTTGCATATATGATCGAGTTCAGAAATATGTGGGATAAAATCTGGGCTGGGCTGGAGAAAGTTGGAAACAAAAACATTAAGCGCTGGGATATGCCTCAGGAATATGTTTGCACAACCAAGAAGAAATTGATGGATACGCACTTGTGACGATTGCCCAACGGATCACTGAGTGGCTCCGTCACAGCTCCAGGAAGAGTACGGTGGGTATCATAATGGATGGAAGATATCTTGTGCGCTGCAGACAGAGAGGCATCGGTGGACTCGGGCTTGCCGGGTGCCTCTTGCTGTGTGGGAGAACTCTTATCAGGTCATGAATGAAGTCATTGATCATAGCCGCCCTGCTTGCATGTACTCAGACTCTGATTCAGATGTTACCGCTATCACTTCCATTAGGCTGCCTTGTCGAAGCCTATATCATTTCAACCCAACTTCGACAATTGTCTGGGAACATTTCAGAGATCAGTAATCGTCTCGATGTCTGAACTGTGGGAAGTTTGATTGCGTGTTGTGGGTCATACCGGCATGTGATCTTCCAGTTTATAGACATCAGTGTTTATCATGCTGCTTCCAACAATCTATGCAGTCACGATTCAGTAATCAAAGGCACACTCGGTGTATAGCTCAAGATAACTTTCACTACTTAACGAAGTATATTATGCCTAGCAGCTCTGCGGTACCAATGCCCTTTGTACGCAACTCTTCTACTCTTTCAATGCACTGATCAACGAGCAAGGCTGATCGTCGACTATGACCTCATCAGGGCTGTGCAGAGTTTTGTTGGCCGTGGATTTGTTTGGACTTCAGACCAAGACCGCGCATCCGAAAAGAGATTAACCGAGTGAACGGATTCAGGGGCGACATCCGCAATCTAGGTATTTCTGTTTGTGGACAACGATGATTTTTGGGTTGTCATCAGCGTCTCAGAAAAGTTTGTATCGCATGGCAGGTTGATGTCTGCTCGTGGTGAAAGTCTGCGGAGAATGGACATTGATGGACTCTGAGGAACTCGGGGCCAAGGTGTAAACCTTCTTGCCTGTATCTCTAGACTCAATGCGCGACTCAACTTGGATTCCTAAGAGCTTAAAGGAGATTGAGCCTAGGTTTTTCCAACCGGCACTCACACCAATGGTCACAGTACCCTTTAGAACTGCGCCCTGGTTTAGAAGCCATTGATAGTCCTCGGATTGTTGCATCCAAAGAGAATGCTGCGCAAAGAGAGAACTTTCTGTGATTTTGTATGACGATATAGAGTGCAAAAATGAACTTACGGTTGGAGGAATGTCTACTGTATTTTCCCGACAAGCAATCCATAAGTGACAAAATCTGGAATTAATGATACAGTATTAGTTGAATTACAAGCTAATCATTGTATGAATTCCCGTCAGTCCTTGAGCTGGAGCCCAAGCCACGTGGCCAGACCCTTTCTTACACTCAACGAATTTTTTCAAGAATATTCTACCTTTGAAGGGGTCACAGCCTTCAGCAATGGCTCTCTGACGAATAACTAGACTTTGTACATCATACGGACCTTGTACTTGATCTTCCTTTCAACACCCAACTCCCTCTCGTACCTTCATATTGTCTGTAGATTTCCTCCAGACAATGCTTTCCCCTCCTCAATCTCACTCCAATTTCGTAGTTCCGAAATGTCTCTGCATCTCTTCTTCTATGAGAACTTCCAAATCTTTGTGATCTCCTCGGCAGGATGTCTCCAGCTTCTTCACTCGTGGAAGTGGCCATTCGAGGCCCCCGAATGGGATAATCGAGACAATTCTATTGTTGCCGTTCTCGAGGATTAAGGGGACGAGGTATGTGGGCTTCGTGCGCGCTGGCTTGGATACAATTTGAATCAGGTAGGGATAACCGCCGAGCTTAAGGATGTGGAGAGGTTCGAGGATCTGTCACCGTTAGTTTCTGAATGGAACATGGTCTGGGAATGACTCCGCTGGTACCATTGTTGCGATGTTAGATGTAACCTCTCATGCGCGAAATGAAGGCATGAATTGAGGTCTTGAAATTTGCTGTGTCGTGATTCTTCGGCTCCTTCAAAGCATTCTTGTCTGGGTGGTCCACTCTGAGGAGTGTTTGGCGGCGCTGGCGGAAATCTAATCATCTGTTTAATCAATCAGTGCAGTCCACCGCAGGGTACGACCATAGAAAGCTAGTCTAGATCGAGGCAGAGAGAAATAGAGGAGATTTAGTGCTTACAATGAGCCTATACTGAGCTAGAACGATTACCTATTCTCATCTCTCAGATTTAGCGTTCGAGTTCCATGATATCCTTCTATTCTTAAGATTCGATGACTAAGGCGATGGGATGATATTACAGTTTGTGGGGATATTTGCATCCTATAAAGGCAGGAAATTGGAGTTCTCTGAAAAGAAAGAGCGATTCAAATGGTTCTGCCTCGAGGACTAAGCAGCAGCCATCCCCGCAAAACATCCCCGCAAGCCCTTGCCACGTTTCCCCACAAACTACTCGAAAGGAAACAAATAATGACAATCACCATCGAGACAAAAACAACATAATCTCAGCAAATTACTTCGAAAGGCACTTCTCTACCGCGCTTCTCGAGAGCAAGAGGTAACTACCCTCTTATGTTTCGGCGGTCCATGGACTCGATCTGCAAAGCACCTGCTGACTTACATTCGCCATACAGATCTTCTGTCCACATTATGGGCGCCTGCCTTGTCTTCCGCCATCATTTTTCGAGTACCGCAGCTGTCCCACCTGCGGGTGAGGAGGTCAGGGTTTGATTTTCTCGGGGTACGCAAGCCCGACACCAACATCATCTGTCCCATCTAATCAGAAAAAGCAGGTTGGATATGGACTGAGTGGTACCAACGTATCTCCGCCTTGGCTTGGACCAAGAATTAGAGCGCAACAACAGCTATGGCGCAAGCCATGGCTTCAACCAATGGCAATTGGTTTTGTCAACCTGTCTCCGGCATCCAGTACTCGAACGTCGGATCCCTAGGCACCTATAATCGTATTGTAGAAGCTAGTAAGCTTTTATCTTCTGGCTGTGCCTGAATGTTGAGAAATTGCTGACATTAATCAGATGGGCGCCGCTCAACTAACCCCCGCGAGTCAATTTGCAGTTGAGCAAAAGGTTCGCCAGAAGGCTCTTGAGCTCCAGGGAGCCCGAACTCCTCGAATGACAACGACAGAAGCAACACGAGGCCCAGCGTATGCAGCAAATGGCAAAGGCCAGAGAATATTAGAAGTGACGCGAACTGGAGGAGTACAACGCATCTCTTGCGCAAAAAATTTCAATGGTTCCACTGGAAGACCGAGGGTTTCCCACTTACCAGCAGCTGCTGGTAAGCAGTCTACAGCAGAGAGCCCTTGGTGCTCTGACCAATACTGGTCGCAATTTTCCGCCTTCTCTCTCGGTCTAGCAGAAACTTTTCCGCCCAAGAGAGATCATGACCAGTATTGGTCAGAGTACCAAGCCTGAGTACTGTCATTGAAGAGAGGTAAGTGAATAATCCTCCTTACGGAACTGGAGATATTGATAACTGACTTTCGGAAGCAGGGAATTTGCCCCTTCAGGCAGATGCAGAAATCTTGACCTCAGAAGGCAAGGAACTTTCTGTTGAATTCGACAAGACTGTTGCCAATTTCACTCCTAGCTACCACGGGTTCGGAGGAAATGTATTTATACCTTTCAATCAAAATATAGAAGTACTCTAACTTCTACGAGAAGTCCAAACCAAGGTTGCTACTCTCATCCAAGCCATCGAGGCGAGAAAGGCCGGCAACGAGGCGAACGTGAAGAATGTTACTCGAAAGACAAAGTAGAGAGCCACTTGGCACCGCAATCCAGGCCATCGAGGCAAAGAAGTACAGCAATATCGGCTTCGAGCCATCAAAGCCGATTAGGACCTCCCTCTACCTTTGCGACAATAAGTTCCACACAGAGAGAAAGAGCTAATTCCGATTCCGACGTCGTGGATTTCCAATCATCATAGACAACCACGTTCGAGACTCCCAACGCGTGGAGTAGGACGTTGCTAACGGTGGAACCCAAGATCTTCAAGATCCCCTTCGTTGTCGAGAGCTGCGCTCTGTTATCCCGCTGAGGGAGCTGCAAACCTTGTCTACGGTGTCAGCGTCGAAGAAATGAGGATGGACATTGGAATTCCGTAGTCAGCCTAGCTATACACTCAATTACACACCTTTGCTACTTCAGTTGAACACCCACAAAGCTTCATACTTCATTCAATTCAGTCTGTCCTATCCCAGACTTCTTTGCTTTTCGGCCAAGATGTCGAAAGATGCCGATCATACAAGTTTATAATACTGTACACGTATGTGCCACAGAGCGAGAGGGAAACGAAAGCTTTGTCAACCGTGTCCTCTCTTGGAAGCCAAAGCCGAATCGACTTTTTGAGTTATTGCTCTATGTTGAAGGTGTTGGACAAGGCGCTCCGACTTCGCGATGCTGAAGATTATCTTGACAAGAAGGGTCCCATGAAATCTGAGAGCGTCAGGAAGTGTCCACTGGAAGACCGAGGGTTTCCTATCCAAGCAATGGAGACGGCCGAGGTGCTGTGACCTTCGTGATTGCACCTTGTACATCGACTTCCCAACAAGAAGAAAGTTTGGTATCTTGGGTGATGGGATGGGAATAGGCAAGACACTGAAGCTGAGCTTGGTGATATGGTCGCTGGAGCATAATAATCAACATCTATCATGAAGTCTAGCACGGCAGGACTCAATACTGTAAAGTACTCTCCGTACTTTGAGGATCGCTTCGCGGTAGCTGCTTCTGCAAACTATGGACATCCGTGATTCTGCCTAGATGAACGGTAGAGCTGCAAGGGCTCAAAGCTGAAATACTCGAGGAAACTCGAGCAGGAGCGAGATCTGTAACTCTTCTTGTAATTCTGTGAGTCATCGTTACATTCCTACCTATTGTCAAAGTCTCTCTCCCGAGGCTGTAAGTGTTTCATGAGACTTACTCTCCTTGGCAATGGTTTGCCAACGCTTCGTAAACTTCTTAAGAACTGTGAGAATGGATATCGTGAAATCATTCAGAGCAAGCTATTGTGATTTCTGGAAGCTAGGAAATGTGGTAAACGCACCACCGACAATATGTGGTAGACAAACATTTGCTTCGCAATCAGCCCTCGCTTGTTGAACCTATGGTACACTAAGGTTAGTCCCGTGATCGTGACTGACACGTCACAGATACATAAAGAGATCCCATTCCTCCTGTGTCATAATCCGAGTCTACATCTTCCTTGCCTTTCGTGCGACTGTTGTTAGTTACACTCCCATTCACCAACCAATTCTCGCACAAGCTACATGAAAACTCACATCTATTCCTACTGCCTTGGTGAGAGTCGCCTGAGCTAATCAAAACTACACCGAGACGTCCAAATTACTCTACTGCTGCCCCATCGAACTCAAGGCCTGTGCACGAGAAGGACACTGTTCGAATAACCAGCCTTTACGTTCATTGTATTGTCCTTCCTGTTAGAACTACCCTGCCAAAACCCATATCAAAAATCGAAGCACGATGAGCCAGACTGAATCTTGTTATCAACCTCTTTCACCAGGGGAAGATATGATCCGCTTGCTTCGCCTGCTCCCCCATGAAAGCAGGAACGCAGCTATTCAATGCCAGCTCTTTAACTATACTCTACAGGACTCGGGCAGACGAACGCATCCTTATGAGGCTTTATCCTACGTCTGGGGTGACCTGGTCAATCTTGAGTCTATCTCCATCGGTGGATATGAACTACCTGTGACGCAAAATCTATACAAGGCGCTATCACATCTACGACATCGCTCTATTGACCGAATATTATGGGTAGATGCTGTTTGTATCAATCAATATGATACAATGGAGAAAGAGCGGCAGATTCGATTTATGGCGAAAATATATGCTCAAGCAAGCTGTGTCGTTGTTTGGCTTGGAGAGTGCGCAGACAATAGCGACCAAGCGCTCGAAGAGATACGTGTTGCTGCAGGGGGCAAAAAGTCTTCCAATCAGTCAAATCTCACAATGATCCACAAAGCAGTTTCTTCACTTCTTCAACGCCCGTGGTTTCGGCGCATCTGGGTGAGGGAACAATTAACAGGTTTTGTAAAATCTACTAATAAACTAATCTAGGTCCTCCAGGAAGTTGCTGCCGCTCGACATGTACTTATTACGTGTGGTTCTGCGGAAACTGACGGATACGCCTTTTGCTCAGGCGTGAGTTTGCTGGATTTTTACAATAACGATCTAGACTTACAAAGTCTGGTTCGTTCAGTGATCTACCTGATTAGGGAGGCAATCTTCCGGCCTGGCTACGCAACGAGTGAGTCGGGTAGGTTTTCCTTAGATATATGCCCACTAGGCGAGCTGGTAGATATGTACCATACCCGTGAGGCTACAAAGCTCCACGACAAGGTATTTGCCTTACTTGGCATGAGCTCTGATGACCTTAGTAAAGCCAGCCTGTCATCTCGCTACGAAGATCCTTGGGGAAAACTCTTCCAGAATCTTACTAAGTTCCTCCTCTGTGACAAGATATCTACAGAGACTTTCGGCGATAAGCAGATCACCCTAATCAGGAGCAAGGGTTGTATCCTTGGCAGAGTATCTCTCGTACAGAGCGATATTACTCAGGGTGGTAGCCAGGGCGTAGAAATCATTTTCAACAGCATATCAAGGCAAATGGGATACAAGGAAGGATCGAGTGCTCATTGGACTCTCCACAGTTTGGCAAACTCTATTCGGAAAGGCGATTTTGTCTGCCTTCTTCAAGGAGCGTCAAAGCCTACGATCGTCAGATTACATGATGATCATTTTGATATTATCATGATTGCAGCTACACCTCCAGAGGGAATGCTCAAGCTTTCGCAATCGATGAAGCCCTTGTTTCGGAATTTCTTGCTTATTTGGGACTGGGAAAAGGCTTCAAGGGAGGTGCAAGCTCCAGAACAGCACGAGACTTTACTACAGACAAAACATTGCCCGTCGCAACATTCCAAAATAGGGTCTGAAGACTTCTTGGGGAAAGCTACCAGAACATGGAAGATTGCAATGATACTAGAAGACTCAGCAGAGCATGAAAAATCACAGGAGAAGATTCAAGAAGCAATAAAGGGATATGAGATAGCGACCGTGGTTGGGCACCAGGTTATGGTCAAGCACTTACTCGAGACGGGCGAGGTTGACGTTGACTTCAAGCATAAGGATGGGACTACGCCGCTGTGGTGGGCAGCAAAGGGAGGGCACGAGACTATGGTCAAGTTGCTGCTCAACACAGGCGAAGTCAACATTGACTCCAAGCACGAGGACGGAACTACACCGCTGTGGTGGGCGGCAAAAGGAGGCTACCTAACCATCGTAGAGCGACTCCTGCATGAGAAGGCCGGAGTAAACATAGTAGGAGGAAATGGTGGGATGACAGCATTAGAGGCGGCGGCAGGAGGAGGGCACTTAGCCGTTGTAAAGCGATTGCTCCAAGAGAAGACGGAAGTCAATACAACAGCACTACAAGCAGCGGCTGGAGGAGGGTACCTACTTGTCGTAGAGCGACTCCTCCAAGAGAAAGTCGAAGTCAACGCAAGAGCGAGATATAACAAGAGAATAGCATTACAGGCGGCAGCAAGAGAAGGGCGCTTGGCTGTTGTAGAGCGATTACTCCAAGAGAAGACCGAAGTCAACACACTAGTAGGACATAGTGGGATGACAGCACTACAAGCGGCAGCGGGAGGAGGCCACTTGGCTGTTGTTGAACTGTTACTCCGAGAGAAGGCCAAGGTCAATGCAGCAGCGGCAGAGTATGGTGGGAGAACAGCACTACAAGCAGCGGCAGAAGGAGACCACTTCGCCATCATAGAGCGATTACTCCAAGAGAAGGCCGAAATCAATACAGCAGCAGCAAAATATATTATGACGAAAGCTTCACAACAAAACCACAAATTAGTGGTTGATTTATTGCTTACGTATAAGTCAAATACTGCTATTGTCGATAAGGATGGATATACTTGCTTGCACTTTGCAGTCTTTGCAGAAAACGAGGCAATGGTGTTGGAGTTCTTAGATCCAGAGTCTGTGAATGAAAGGGATCATTATGGGGCGACACCATTGCACTATGCATCAAAGCAAGGGCATAAAACAATAGTGCAGCTGTTATTGGAAGGAGGAGCGGACGTGAATGCTGTGTGCAGTAACATCGACACTGCTATAATTCTGGCTTCATGGAGAAATCACAAGCCAGTAGTTGATCTATTGCTTAGATATGGGGCAAATGCTGCTATACCTAACAAGGAAGGATTTACTTGCTTACATTTTGCAGTGGAAGCAAAAAATAAGGCAATGGTGCAGGTGTTACTAGATTGGGGAGCTAGTATTGAGAAGAATGGTGCTGGGGAAACACCACTGGCTTCATCGATTAGACGAGGGTACGACGAAATAACATGCCTTTCAGGGGAGAGAAGTGAAAAGGAGAAAGGGGAAAGGGGAAGCCAAAAATCAAATGGGGACTCATCGCCAGAGTGTTTAATTATGTAGATTTTTTTCGCTCTTCTACGCTAAGTTCTCAAAATTTCCAATCTGCGAAGCTGGCATACTCCAATTCCACCTTTCCAAACGACAGCTAACACTCTCTACTTTAATAGAGCGAGCTTCGATTCTTCGTGCATTTGAACAAGACCTTCCACTCTTTCGTGTGACATTCCGAGTAATTCCTCGCCATTGATACTTCAGAAATCGTCTAGGTCAAACACAACCTCATAAGCTGCCTTGTAATTTCACACATTAGTATGACTTGATCGGCGCGCTCTTAAATACCCCCTTGGTTTATATAGAGAGTATTAGCCTGAAAATTGCGTTTGTCTGTAATATTCTTGTGGGTCAGTTTTTGAGGGGCCTGGTAGAGTTATGTCACCAATCCCAGGTTCTTCCCGAACCCCTTTCACTTCATATTCTTGCTTTTATGACCATGCGCCAAAGTTCATGTAAAACCATGTGAGGAATGCTGTCAGGCTCGGCCTTTTCCTTCCAAAAGGATGATACAGATGATCAAATAGGCACATGGAGAAATCAAACATGTAGATCAAATTTTCTCCACACGACTGTGCCCCAGTGAGCATTTTATTGCAGCTCAGATTTGCCAGAAAGTCACCATGCCAGAAGCTAGCTAGTGCGTGGTAATTTTAAAGCCTCAAAAGATGACTGGGTTTTCGTACCACTCTTTTATGACGGAAGAGGAGCCGCAGGAGCGTTTCGATACCAAAAGGAAAGTCGGTGCAGAGAACAAGATTGAAATTGGCGAGAAGTACCGTAAAGCGAAGCTTCATGCTTTCAAACAACCTAGACAAAGGTGGAAGCGTGAACCTGAAAATTGGAGAAAGATGCTCGAGGACGTTGGCGAGCTTGAGAATGTAAGATTGTTGGGAGATGATCTGAATGATAGTTTAGTGCGGATGATCGTTGGTGAAAATGGGCTTTTGAAAGTACTGTCTAGCAATGCACGGAAGAGTATGCGTTTATTTGTATTTACTGTATTAATTGTTTTCTAAGACATATTCTTACAAGCAAATGGAGGCAGGAAATTCGTTGGGGACCATGTCTAATTTTAGAATTAGTACCAAAATCCCAAGTACTTTGTTTGATCGCAATAGTTCCAAAGCCGCACCGAAGCAGAAATGGGAGGAGGAGTAGAAAACAAGGCAGTAGCACTAGAAGAGGGTTCTCTATTCTGCATACATTATCTAGAGTTTTCATTTAGGAGAGGCTTGGGGGTCTTCTCTTATAGAGCTATATCCATATGATCTTGAAAAACTATCAATACGGTATTGCTCTCATGTTGGATGCAATCATTTTCAACTTACCCACAACTAAGATCTCTATTCATTCACTACTACTCACTTTACTACCTACTACCTACTTTCCTAGCTATCGCCCATAAATACTCCTTTTAATACTCCTCAGCTTAGTACGAACTCGTCACTTCAAAGATGGAAATGACATAAATAAGTTACTTCTCCCTATCTGTTCCAAACAAAACCTGAAATATACCAATTTGTACTATCAATCAGCCGCATAAGCCCACAAGACTTTTGATGATTTCATATACTTATGAAAACCAGAAACAGTTCCCGCAAGTGGACGTACGGTATGTATCACGTTGCGAGAACATCTGCGAATCGAATTCAAGACTTATGTTAGATTGAGTACAAGATCTTCAACATTCATAGCAACTCGTTTATGTGAATGTTCTGCTCTTGTAGGTAAAGGGTATTTCGAGTGTTATGTGAATATTAGGTGTGAGGAATATGTTATTTTTTGGGTGAATCGGGTCCCTTTTTTTTCTAGTAATTCGATTGCGCTTATACTCTACAGTCTTAATCATAGCAATCAAGGAGCCGTTCGATTCACAGCAGACATTCTTCAACATTCATAAATAACACCGCTCCTCCACTTGTATCTACTCCAGAACACCGATCCAGCAATCTCCATTCAACTCCCAAACCATAATGTCTACAAACCCACAACAAAAAATGAACAATCAACCCACCACCTTCCCCCAATTCCCTAACCTCCCCCCAGAACTCCAAGTCCTCATCTGGGACCTGGCCCTCTCCCCCCACCTCATCGAATTCCACTACCTCGACCCCCGCATCCCCTACATCCCCACCCTCTGGTTCCGCGCCCACCGCCTCCTCCCAACAACCCTCCCACACGCCCTCCTATCCACAGTCCGCGCCTCCCGCGCCCGCGCCCTCAGTCCCCACATACTCACCACGCAATCCCCCGGCAACGATCTCTTCCCTGCAACTCAACAGGCTTCTCTCCCGTTCAACTTCCGCCCAAGCACCGATACAATTTACATCCCCGCCGTTTTCGAGTTCGCCGAATTCGTGGCGAATGTATCGATCTCCAGCTCTGGGTTGAAGAAATATCCGCTCCCTAGCCCTCGGCGGCGTGTTGCATAAAGCTCTTTATCGCTCCTCGTCCTCGGGCGCGGATATCGAGGTCCAGCAGTATTTCAACCTCGACACGAAGCCCTTTGCGTGGGAACTCGCGGCGTTTGAAAACCTGGAGGAGGTGATTATCGTCGTTCCGCCGATTGAGAGGGTAATTGCGATCTGGAAGGAGACGCGGATGCAGGAGGTTCCGGCGGGGAAGAGGTATGTGGTTGTTGAGGATGAGGATGAGGGGGAGTGCGAGGGGAGGGTGAGGGCGTTTGGGGATGTGCTGGAGGAGGTGTTGGGGTTTTGGGGGAGAGAAAGGAATGGTGAGGGGTGGGTGGTTCCAAGGGTTAGGGTGATGGGAGAGGGGGAGTTTGGGGCGAGGTTTGGGGTCAGGAGGAGGGAGGGTGCAGAGATTAGGGAGAGGGTGAGGGAGGCGTTTGATAAGGCGAGGCAGAAGAGGCCTTTTGCGATACAGTTTGAGGGATCGGAGTGGGAGATGATGTTGGATAATGTTGGGGAGTTGGAGAATGTAAGGGCTTTGCTTGGGATGTTAGGGAAAGGGGATTTGGTTGAGGATCCGGGCATTCTGTAATTGTGAGTAGTGGTGAGGGTTTTTGTCTGCGAGAGTTTTGAAAATGTAAGTTATGGGAAAGGTTGATGAGGAGAATTCACTCTCTATGGCTTTTCTAAGCTTCAAGGCCAGTGTACTCAGAGAGCTGATATAATCAAAGAGCTACTGCAACCAATGAACTAACCTAGTAAAAGAGCTGGTGCATTAATAAGAGAGCTACTACAATGAGAGTAAACTAAAAATGAGAGTTCCAGAACTTTTAACATTTATGTGTATAGCAAATCTGATGTGTCTTGGCTTTTAAAGTATCATACGGCTCTAGTAACCGAACATAGAAACAAAATATAGACAAATCCATATATAACAGCTCTTCGCACATTTCGCGCGATTTTCGCTACTTGCGCTGCTTGCGCTCTTTGCGCTCTCCGCGCTAGATCCGTTGAACACCTCACTACGCCATTTTCAACCCCTCTGCACACAATGAATATAAAAACTTCAAAGCTCGTCCGTAGCTATGTTTCTTGAACGGTCATCAGTGTTGTTTACTTTCACAGAGATCTAAGCTAGCTCAATGGAATGATGGTATCTAAATCCTCAGACAACACTTGGTTCTTCTTTTCTCTGCCCACGAATTCAATAATTCACATCTCACAGCACATCACAATCACACTCACAATCACCCTCAAGAATGTATAGTTACTAAATTTTCTTTTCATTTCTTCAATTCAACTCAATTCAACTCAAACAAAGAATCGTAAACTCAACGCTCCATCGCTTGCTTGTTCGCTCAAACCAGCGCCGTTGCAAGCTAATAAATATCTGTACTGTACTTTATTTTACTTGGTCATATGCATTTCCCTTTCCATACATCCTCCCACGCAACTGTCCGGCCGTCTAGCCGGACATTGTGGTAACATCTCCATTCGCTGGTGGTATTCCCTCCGCCTTGACTTCCGTTGCCCCATCGACCACTGGAGTGGTTGGTAATACAGCAGGAGATGCCGTGTTCGCGTTCTTAATCATCCGTTCTGTGACTCTTTCGATTTGGCGTTCGCGAATTGTTTCCTCTGTCTCTGTGGCCTCCGGTACTGGAGGAAGGGGAGATGGTTCAACAACTGGAGGTGTTTCGGGTTCAACGTTCTTTGGAGCAATTGGGGATAGAGGTTCCGGTGTTGGCGGTGAGAAGGAGAGCGGAATCGTAGGTCGAGCTGGTGTTGAAAGTTGAGGAGTAGGAGGGGTGGGAATAGCTTGAACAGGCACCGGTGCTGATACGGGTGCAGGCGCTGGGGTCGGGACAGGTGGTTCGATCGTCTTCTGTACCACTTCCTCTTCTTTGTCCTTGCTTTTGTCTTTTCCATTTGTACCCTTCCACCAATTCGCAGTTCCCATTCCCATCCTCACAGATCGATCCGAGCCTCGTTCATATGATTCCTTGAACCAGCTGGAAGTATCAGATTTCCGAAATGGACCATTGCCTCGGTAGAAGAATTCTCCCAGAGCCTCTTCATCTTCCAGCTCCTGGTCATTCAATTGAGAACCAAATATACTCAATCTCTCCTTGCCATTTTCACGGTCTTCTCCATCGACGCCCTTCACCCACCGAATGCTCATGATCATAAAGCTCAAGCCATCATGTATTGACTGATAGCCATCATGCTTGGCACCAAATTCACGACTCCGGATACCAAATCGGGTCAAGCTGCTGTACTTTTGCAGAAGTGGTAGAATGAGGACTGTGACATGACAATCACGGCGCTCTGGTACATGCATTGGTCCAGTTGCTGGAGGGGATGTGATGAGAGCATCATCATCGACCGGTGGTTGAACAGCACCATTCCCTTCCACTTCTATGTCCAGATCGAGCAGAGATACGTCAACATCAGGAGCCCATGCTCCACGGAACCAGCCTTGGTGAATACACGCTGCGATGACATCTGAATCATCAGTGTAGATGTCTGTTCCCCACAGCGCTTTGCGGCTTGTGATTTCTTCGCGACTCTTATGGCCGAGATATACCGCGGGTATCTTGACCGTGAATGTACAGTTCTCCTTGCCTTCGAACCGAGGCAGAGGATGGGGTGTGCTCGCAAAGCCTCGGTCAGACATTCGATCTCGCTTAACCGTTGAGGATGAAGCACTGAGTGTTGATCTGTAGTATCCATGGCCAAGATGATTTCTAGGCCGATTTGAAACGCTGTCAAGAACGACCTGGCTATGAATGGTCGTTTTAAGAAGCGGTATTACTGTGTTGACAGGTTTGCTAGGTGTCACGTGATGGTGTACGTGAGGTCGGGGAACATGGTGGTGATGTAGATTCGGATTCGCTTTACCTTCCGGTCCTGGAGGAGATGGGATAGTCGACCCACGAACGCTCTTGAAGGGCGTAAGATTCGATTGTGATGGGGACGAGGTATTCTCTGCTTGCTCGGTCCGATGGTGGTGGTGACTCAATCAAAGTCTTGTTAGCTGAGGCAATGTACGCAGGAAGAGAAACTTACTGATGTGGACGATGGTGATGGTTCTTTGCTCGTTTTCCACGCCCACTCGGTGTAAGTCGTCCATTACTGCTTTCATCATCACCTTTGCTATCTTCCTCTTTGAGCTTTCGTCGCCTGCCGCCCCTGGATGAGGTCCGTGCCAATTGATGTCCTCCATTTTCCACAGGCGAGTCCTGTAACGACTCAAGATCGTCACGACGTGGCTGACTAGAATTTGAAAATGGAACACCTTGAATGCCGCTAGCCACAGGACTTGGCATGCCCATAGCTCCAACTCCACTGCCAATACCCGAAAACATCCTACCAAACTCATTCTTGATACTTGGCTCTCCGCCAGGTCCATTTATTTGATGTTGTGCACCTTGAACAGCTTGTGGTAAAGGAGAAGCCCGCCCCCTGCGATTGATTTCCTGAACGCTAAGCAAACTTCTTTGTTGCTGTATTTGTTCTTCAACCGGTCTTCGTTGGGGTGATTCGTGAGGTTGGTATGCTTGAGTGGGAGCGCCATACATAGGTTGTTGGCGTCGTTGAGCCTCGGCAGCTCTCTCTCGCTCCATGGCTGCCTCGTACGCTGCAAGTGGGATATTGTGCTGCGGAGGTGGTGCGGTTACGGCAGGGGGTGGCGGAGGAGGACCATATCTGTGGTCGACGGGACGGGGTTCCGGAGGTGCATAAGCAGGTGGCCCTCCATACTGTGGAGCAGAAGTTACAGGATATTCATAACCATTCGAAACTTGTTGTGGTGGTACTCGTTCTGGAGGCTGCTCATACGGTGGTCGTTCATATGGTGGCGGTCTCGGAGGTTCATGGCCGGATCGCATCCATGCAGGTTGCTCTCGAGGTTCTGGTGCCCTACTGTATCCCTGTGAATTTCTTTGAGCAATCTGGTGTGCATATTCTCTCTGCAACACGTGTTCATGCTCTGCCCTTTCCCTCTGCTCCCGCTCTCGGCGAATAGACTCTTCTCTCTCCCTTTCCCTCATTGCCGCTTCACGTTCTTGCCTCTCACGCTCTGCATAGCCATAAGCAGTATGTCTCTCCTCAAACGCTGGTCTGCCATAAGCAGGCTCTGCTCGACTGATAGGTTCTGGTGCCCTTGGTACTGTCTCCACCCTTCTACCGAATATGCTTTCTCCATGAATGGGCGGTCGAGGATTCTCAGAAATCCTTGGCGGAGGGGGATTGTAGCTTGGCTGGCTGCTCGGTCTGGGTGGAGGGACCACATTTGGGTTCGGCACCCTTGCCGGCTCTCTTCTTTCCTCTACAACTGGCACTCGTTGTGCATACCCTTGTTGTGGTGTACCAAACCGTCTCGCCTCGGGTGTAGAGTAGTGTCCCATATTTGGTGGTGACCCCGCCGAACTGGCCCTGCTATCCCTTGGCTCATATGGTCGCTGATGTTCAGGTGTCTGTGGTCGTCGGAAAGGAGCATATTCTGGCGCAGTGGTTGTCATTCTTGTTGATTGCCCGAATAATGATGATGAAGGAGGAGGTGGAGGAGCTGAGGTCGTCACCGGAGAGGCGTAGTGAGAGGGTGGTGGTTCGCGTGCTGCAGGAGGTGGTCCTCCAAGCATGGACGAAATGGACATACTGCTGCCTCCATTGCTTGCTGGTCGGCCCAGGGGCGGCAGAGATGGGAGCTCCCGGCTTGGGAATGAGGTTGGCGGTCCTACCGACACCGGTGGGGGTCTGGGAGGCGGAGGACCATAGAGATGTGATGGCTGTTGTGAAGCTTGCTGCTGAGGTGAAGATGGTGGAGGCATACTTCGATTTACTGGTGTACCATGACCAACTGAAGAAGCACTCTGGTGTCTTGAATGGCCTGGACCTGACATCGGAGGACCTTCTGGAGCGTAGCTCCGCTGCGTATTGTAATATGGAGGATCTGACGGTCTTCGATTATGCTCTGCATACGAGGGCGCGGCTGGTGGAGGATGCGAGGCTGGAGGGAACGGCGCTTGGTTCGAGGAAGGGTGGAAAGGGGTTCGTCCATATGGTGACGCGGAATTCCGCGAGAAGGGCTGCTGCGGCGGTTGTCTTGGATCCATGATGTCTTTGATTTCGCCAGCGGTGAACCTGAGATATGTTTCGACCCTACCACGCCCACAACAGGTGTATCAATGTGTGTTCCGACCCTTCACTCGTCTGCCAACCTCATGCTAGTGTATATACGGTCGGTGGTGGTTCGCGATAGATATCGGAGGAGGTTTAGAGCACAATGGGGGCAGATTTCTCGGTCTCGCTCGTTGGGCTGGTGGACGATCAACAGGCCAAGCAAACAAAGTAATATGTCTTTACCCGCGGCGGCAGGCTCTAAATCATGCCCTGACGTCGATGAAGCAGTCGCATCGATGAACCACGAGAGGTGGAGATGTGGCGAGCTGGAGGGTCAAGATGGGATGAAAGGAGAAGTGAGATTGAGCGCGAGGAATCGGATTCTGGCTATGTGATGATGATTGTGCATGCAAGTTCAGTCAAGTCAGGCAAAGGTAAGTAGGTAAGTTGTGGCTGCAGGATCCAAAGTGTGTTTTTCTGCGCTTCGACGATTCCCTGCAGGAGCAGCCAGCAGCGAAAGCGCACGAACAGGGCCATCACCCGCTAGAGGCCAGCTACAGGACACCACGGCCAGCTAAGGAACGATTCAGGGCCAGCCAAAAATGGATTTAGACGCTAAGCAGCACGGTGGATCAGGGTTGACGGGGATGCACTGAGTACAGGAATGCCAGCAGCAGGGCCAGGATGGTTGAAGGAAAAGTACAGTAAGTAAGGATTATGCAGAGAAGTGCCAGGATTGTGCAGCCCGTGATCAGGATTATGCAGAAAGGTGTGCCAGGGTGACGGTGCCAGTGGCAGCAAATGGCCCAGAGGGCCAGGATGATGGACGGTGAAGGCCAAGCTGCTCCCCGCCAGCCGCGCATCGATTGGCCCGTGATGGGATTGTGGGTGCCGCACCGTGTGGTGGCCCTAAGGTGCATTGGGACTGACGGGGATGCAGTGTAAAGTCTGGGGTCAGCAGGAACGTCATTTGCCGAAGGAAAACTAAGACCGGAAACAGAGGCACAGACGAACACATCCACAGTAATCCAACATCATACAGTAGTAACAACCGACCACCATCCACCGACGGCGAGGGAGACGGTACTGTAGGAGGATCACGACAATCTCTCAGAACGGAAGGTGACAGTGGGAGGAAGGGAAACACGATCTGCGGATACCAGATCTCCTAAGCTTACCCTGCGAGAAACCTCGGGAGCTATTTTGATCGCGTGAGCTTGTCTCAGGTACGCACGTCTTCGGAGACAACACTTCTCTCAACGAGGCTCGAATACCAAACGATACTATATAGAGTTGGAAGAACAAGCCTTACAATATTACGGCGCATCTGCACATGTACTGTGCAGATCTCGGACAATAGTGAGGATTGCCTCGCAGACTGGGAGAGCTTACTTCGACTGCTCCGAAGACGAGTACTTGCAGACTCGTATACCATTCTACGCCACTTGGCTTGACAGGCACAGATCTGCGAGAGAGGTTAAGATACACCACACTTCATAGCTCTACCTGTCTGCTTACAAGCATGTTGGCGTAAGACGTGCATCGTTCACCCTTTACTCCGCATGGCATATACTACCATGTCAAGATCACCATCTTCATCGGGCATGCTACCACTTCCAGGATCTCCAGCCTCATCATGGGCCATCTACAAGTCCAAATTCAAAGCTCTCTTCCAAGGAGCTGATACCTCAGTCCTTATCGCCTTCTGGCTTTTCGGTATGCCTTCAACCCCACTTCTCCAAGCATAACTTACACCTTTAGGCCTCATCAATAATGTCTCGTACGTTATCATCCTCTCCGCTGCTCTCGACCTCGTCGGACCCAATGTCCCGAAGGGCGTGGTGCTTCTTGCAGATGTCCTCCCATCTTTCCTCACGAAGCTTGTGGCCCCATACTTCATTCACCGAATACCCTACTCTCTTCGAATCATCATTATGTGTGCTTTGTCCGCAGCAGGCATGTTCTTGATTGCACTCACGCCCTCGGTCATCGACGACAATGGTTCCATAAGCATAAAGCTATTTGGCGTGGCCATAGCATCTCTATCGAGTGGAGCTGGAGAGCTCAGCTTACTGGGTCTGACCCATTACTATGGTCCATTCTCTTTAGCAGCTTGGGGAAGCGGTACAGGAGGAGCAGGACTTATTGGTGCTGGTCTCTATGTACTTCTCACGAGTACAATCGGGATGACTATTCGAAACAGTCTCTTGACTTGTGCATTCTTACCTTTCATCATGCCAGTAGCATTCTTCCTCGTCTTACCCCAAGGCCCGTTACGGCGAGCTCAGTCGAGGAAAGATTATGAACCTATTCCACGGAGTTTTGATGACGATGATATCCAAAATCTGCCTGTAGACACTGCTGCAGATGCTTTGTTGGCTCCAGGACCATCCATAGCAGGTAAGCAGCCCAATGTCCCAAACCGTGACCCCACAATATCCACAATTCCGTGACGAGAATCTATGTCAAGTGATGGGACATTCGGTCGTCTTTCCCAGCTCACAAATTGTCAAACATCGCTAACCTCCGCCTCTCAGCGGAAGCCTATTCCTCCCACTCACCCCGCTCCCGCTCCCCTTCCGCGAAAGCCGACCCATCCCTCTTCACCACCCGCCTCCGCCGCGCCCGCGCCCTCTTCTTCCCATACATGCTTCCTCTCCTCCTAGTCTACATCGCCGAATACACCATCAACCAAGGCATCTCCCCCACGCTCCTCTTTCCCATCGCTTCCTCGCCTTTCACAACCTACCGCTCCTTCTACCCTACTTACGCCTTCCTCTACCAACTCGGCGTATTCATTTCTCGCTCCTCGTCTCCGTTCATTCGACTCCATAATCTATATCTTCCTTCATTCCTACAGATTGGCAACTTGGTCTTCTTGGGTTTGCATTCAATGTTCTTCTTCCTGCCAAGTGTGTGGGTAATCTTTGCCGTCGTACTATGGGAGGGGTTACTAGGTGGCGCGGTGTACGTTAACACATTCGCGGAGATCATGGATAAGGTCGAGGTGGAAGAGAGGGAGTTTAGTCTCGGTGCTACGAGTGTGAGTGATAGTGCCGGGATCTGCATTGCGAGTCTCCTGGGGATGGTGATTGAGCCGTGGCTGTGTGGGTGGAATGTTGAGAGAGGGAGGGGATGGTGCAGGACTTTGGATGGTTGAGAAGATCAAGACTATATGTTGCCATCTAGCAAAGTTCAAAAGTAAACTCCAACAACGAATCTCTGATGATGTCCAACTACTAACCGTACATTCATAGATAGGCTATAAACATTCCATTTTCATCTACCTTTCCACAAACATCAACAAGGAAAAGAAAACCTGCTTGCAAAGCGGGCTAGTGCTTCAGCGTAAAACGTAAATCCTTCCATCATAGCCTCATGTTGATGACAGCAGGAATGTGGTTTCGACGAATCACGTCGAGTTGATGCTGCCTAGCTATACTTTTTTCTATACTTGATGGCCCTCTGTCTTTTGCCTTCGCTTTTATCACATTACTACTAGTTTTTTTGCGTTTTTTTTAATTTATAGAGCATTTTGATTTTGATTTCCTAGCCTCAACACGATGCTTTCTATAAAAAGTCATTGTCAGCCTTGTGGCGGGCATGGCCGCGCCCTGTGCCATGCATGGGGCGTCGCTACATGGGAATAGTACCTCTAATTATGGAGTACGCGATCAAGGATCCCGGGTCAAAGTTACAGTAGTTTCCAATTCCGTGTATTTTATCTCACAGCGGGACATTCAAAATGCAACCTCCAATCAGCGTCAGAGTTTGCCAGCCACCCGAAGATGAGCCGGCCACACCTCCATTCCCCACCTGGCGACTTTGCTTGGTGCGGGGTCTGAACCACTAGCTAAGCTTCACTCCCGGCGAGTTGACTAGCGGAATCGGCTTCATATGAGAAGATACTGCGAGAGAATGCCGACTTGCTCATCCGCGTCTAGACAGTTCAAACTGCGAGTGATAAGTATCCCGCTTCGGCTTGATATAGAGCGAGGTGGAAGGGCTGATATTGTCGCGAATGTATATCGAAAATTCCATGTAATGTAATACATAATAACTCCCAGTTTTCCATGCCATTTGCAATCCATCATCTACTTGAAAGAATCGTTCTTTATTTCTATTTCCGTAATAGACGAATCCTAACAAAATGCCCACAGAGACCTCAATCTCGTTCCGAGCTCAAGACCTGCGATTTGAGCATCGTCTCGCTAACGATGCCCTGGGAGTGGGCGAGAGCCGCCCACGAATCTCCTGGAGAGTTTCGGGAGCGCCAGCTGGTTTCACCCAGAAACGTTATCAGCTGGAGTTCTTCAACCAGAAGCCCGAGGATTCGGGGAAACCTTCTCAGTCATTTGACGTTGAATCCAGCGAGTCTGTACTCGTGCCATGGCCGTCAGAAAATCCGCTTTCTTCGCGGGAAGGGATGTTCGTCCGCGTGAGGGTCTGGGGAGAGGCGGTTACGGACCCTTCTGAATGGAGCGAGCCTGCATATGTGGAGGTTGGCCTCCTCGATAGAAACGACTGGCAATGTCAGGGTATCTCGGCAAGCTGGGAGCAAGATACAACTGCTCCAAGGCCCGAGGAACTTTACCGCAGGGTGTTCTCGAGAAATCCTGCCAAGAAAGTCTGCAAGGCGCGATTGTATATCACGGCGCAGGGAGTCTACGAAACGGAAATAAATGGCAGGCGAGTTGGTGACCAGTTCCTGGCTCCGGGATGGTCGGCGTACGATGAACGCCTGCACTACCAAGTCTATGATGTGCTGGAGTATCTGTCACATGGCGAAACAGAAGACTGTATCGGCATTCGTGTTGGCGAAGGATGGTTCTGCGGACGGATCGGGTTTGAAGGCGGAGGTCGCAATCTCTGCGGTGATAGGACGGCCGTTATGGCGCAGTTGGAGCTGCTCTACGAGGATGGAGTGACTCAGATATTGTGCACCGATGACTCGTGGGAAGTAGCTTCTTGTCCCACGAGGCTGGCCGAGATCTATCATGGAGAGAAGTATGATGCGACAATGGAAGTTCCTGGATGGTCGTCTGTTTGTCCTAGCCAGGAGCGCAAGTCATCAGGATGGTCAAGAGCGGTAGTTATGTCTCCTCTTCCCGCAAAACCCGAACTACTGGCCATGTCTGGATCCCCGATACGCCGTCTTCTTGTCCTCCAACCGAAGGAACTGATTACAACTCCAAATGGAAAGAAGGTACTTGACTTTGGTCAGAACTTAGTGGGCTACACCCGGATCAATAACGTCAACGGCCCACGCGGCAAAACGATAAGACTACTCCACGCAGAAGTCATGGAGAATGGGGAACTAGGTCGAAGACCTCTACGTGAAGCCGATGCTGAAGACGAGTACAGACTGAAAGGGAGTCCGGAGGGCGAATCTTGGGAACCAAGATTCACATATCACGGCTTCCGCTACCTACAAATTGAGGGCCTATCTCCAGACACTGATCTGTTTGCTCATTTCGAGGCTGTTGTATGCTGGACCGAGATGGAGCCCACGGGCGAGTTCTCGTGCTCAGACTCCATGCTTAACAAACTTCACGAGAACGTGCGATGGGGAATGCGAGGTAATTTCGTGGGCCTACCCACTGACTGTCCTCAGCGAGACGAACGTCTTGGCTGGACAGGAGACATCGCCTTGTTTGCTCCCACCGCATGCTTTCTGTACAATTGCGCCGGAATGCTCAAAACGTGGCTCGCTGATTTGGCCGTCTCTCAAGAATACCTGGGAGGCGTGCTGTCCATCGTGGTACCGAACGTACTGCGATACAATAAGTCTGCATTTCCCAAGGTGGCTCCATTCGCGATCTGGGCCGACGTAACGATTCTGGCACCGTGGGCAATCTATCAGTCCACAGCTGATGTTGGAATTCTGGACGTGCAGTACTCTAGTATGCAAAGCTGGTTGGCCTCCTGTCCTCGAGATACCAAAGGTTGCCGTCGACTGTACGACGCAAGCTTCTTTCAATTAGGCGACTGGCTCGATCCGGACGCACCACCGGAAAAACCACAAAACGCAAAAACAGATGCACAGCTAGTTGCCAACGCATTCTTGATCCATTCTCTCGATATCATCAGTCAGATTTCCTCGATCCTCGGGAAAGACCAGGAAGCGAGGCAGTATGCAGCAGAGGCCAGCTTGATCCGTCAAGAATTCTGCAACGAGTACATGACGCTCAACGGCAGGTTGGTCTCTGACACACAAACAGCGTATGCTCTCGGAATCTGCTTCGATATTTTCCCAACTCCCAGACAAAGAGTTCAAGCTGGAGAACGATTAACATATATTGTCCGGAAGAACGAATTCCGCATCGGAACCGGCTTTGCTGGGACTCCGTTTGTTTGCGAAGCCTTGGTTTTGACCGGCCATACTCAAATTGCTTATCGGATGTTGCTCGAAGACAAGTGCCCCTCTTGGCTCCACCCCGTCACCATGGGCGCAACGACCATGTGGGAGAGATGGGATAGCATGTTGCCGGATGGATCGATCAACCCGGGCAGCATGACGTCCTTCAATCATTACGCGCTGGGTGCGGTGGCTACATTTATGCACGAGAGACTAGCAGGTCTTCGTTGTATCGAGCCTGGTTGGAAGAAAGCGCGCGTGGAGCCCATTGTGGGAGGAGATTTCACGGAAGCTACGGTTAGTCACGTCACACCTTATGGGAAGGTAGGCTGTTTGTGGAAGATTGTGGATAAGCGCTTCGATATGACGGTCCTTGTGCCTCCCAATACTTCAATGGAGGTCGTGCTGCCTTCGGGTGGAGATGGTGCTGGAGAGGAGGTTCGAACGGTCATGTCGGGAGTTCACTCTTTCTCTGTTATTTACGAGAAGAATTACGAGTGGCCGCCGGAGAGTTTGGGCTTGCTAGGATAAACGTAGCCATAATGTAAGAATTTCATTTGCCATCTTGATAACAGTTGGAGCTTTTCCAGAGTGCCCCATTGAGGACAAAGTTCTCAAGTAGAGCTATCTGACCTGACCTGAAACCCTTGAATGGACTTGGGTCACGCGTGTCTCTGCTTGAGCGTGGGATGTCACTAATTGAACTAGCATTTTGGAAGCGATATCTCAAGAATTTCCCATGGTCTAAGATCACGAACATAAAAGCGAAGAAGATGGTATTTATTTTATTGCCTATTAGCTAAGAGCCAACCGAACCCTGCCACCGCGTCATTCACAAACATCTTGCTAATCTCCAAGTCAGGAAACCCAGCGTTAAAAGCATGAGGCACACCCGCGTAAAAATCAATCTTTGTCTTGACGCCGCACTCGCGACGCAATATCTCTTCGAAAATAAATCCATCGTCTCGGACGGGATCAAGCCCACAGATCTGGAAATGCGTTGGTGGATTGGCTTTATGACCCGTCGGCTAGAAGAGCGATGAGAACAGCGGGTTGGAGGGTGCCGGATTGTATGCTTTTATGAGGATTTCGGTACTCTCGCGTGATAACATAGGTGCGTTCTTATTCTCTTCGTAAGCGGTCCACTTTGCCCGGTACCGCTCTGGGACGTTCTCGGGGTGGATCAGAAGCGGAACACCAAGATGGACGCCTGGAACCTGAATCTGATGATCGAGCGCAAGATGAACGATAGCTGAAGCCGCATTGGCACCGGCACTACCACCTCCAACGATGAGCCCCTTGGTTGTATCAGCTCCGAGGCTGGCTGCGTTTGAGTACAACTGATAATGTGAGCAAAAAAAGTCGCTTTTTGACAACTGGTGATCGTACCCGTTGGAAAGCATCCCAGCAGTCGTTGATGGGTGTAGGAAAAGGGTGCTCGGGTGCGAGCCGGTAGTCGACATTAGCGACGACACATTTCAACTCCTCTGTCACTCGCCGACAGAATGAATCATCGCTTTCCAAATCTCCGAGGCAGAAGCCGCCTCCGTGATACCAAACCACCAGCGGTACTGCAGATTTCTCCGAATACGTCGAAGGGTGGTAGACTCGAACTGGGATTCGGTCACCGTCGCGAGTGGGAATAGTGATGTCTTCTGAGCTTCCATTCCAGGGTCTTTTGGTACGGAGATACTCGATCTTTGCAAGTGCCATCATCTTGCGAATATCCTCGATGCTGCCAGTGACATTGTGACTTCGAGTGGCCGAGGCCAGTGCCTGGGTTTCTTAAGTTAGTGTCTGTAGAGGATGACCAGATGCGTAGATAATCTTACTTCAGCAAATTCTGGATTCATCTCGTTCATTGCTCTGTGTTTGAAGTCAGGAATGGTTTAAAAAAATAATGTCTTTGTTGACCAGAGCTTTCTCATAAGGTACATGATAGATAAGTCTTTGCAATAGACAGAGGGCCAGACATAGCGGACGCTTTTCGTCCTGAGAACTGCCTTGGTTTGCTGCCGTGTTTTTGCTCGGGGTATCATTGCTCGAGGGAGTCAATCCTTACTGTATGAAACTAAGGAGAAAGATGGGGACATCCTGTTGCTCGGCGTAACATTATGATAAACTTGCGACGGCTTGAGTGGCGGCAGTAGGGGCGTATATGCTTGGGTAAACTTCGGCGACGTGATCGGGGTAACCTCGGTAACCCCGCAAAGACGCACCCCAAGTTAAGCCGGCGGTAAGTGGTCTAGTCCTTGTAGCTGGGGAGGGGCCTCAATAATTCTTGCTTTTTCTCTTCTCGACTTGGTCCATCTACTCGAGGCCGGCAATAGTCACGGCATCGCAAGATCGGGTTATTGTCCAGACGAAGGCTTACATTAGTGCTGTAATGTCTTTCATGTCGAGGATCGATGTGCCAAGAGATGAAATAATCATGAGCTGAGAGTGTGTATGGACAGAGAACCATAGGAATGGTAACCTTACCCCGCTGAAGTGGCGCCAAAGCCTACCGATCTATATCCTGTATGATTAAGGATCGACATACACAAGAGCACACATCAAACACCCCATAGACTTTCCCCAAATTTACTCTCCACTCTCCACCCTTTCTTAAAACCCCAGATTTCAACCCCACAAGACCCCGGATTTCCCAGCTTCAAATTCCATACTTCCTTTAGAGTCGACTCTAACGTATACTGAACTCTACACGAAATCTACTCTTACCGCTATCATGGCCACCATTACTGACGAGAAGAACATTTCGGTGCTGCACCAGGAAAACGCTGCCGAGACACACGTTGTTGGCCACGCAGTCAATCAAGAAGAGCATGACTTGACCAAGAGGCAGGCTTTTATGCAAAACAAGAAGACGATGGCATGGTGCTTCTGGGTCATCTGGGTTCTGATCCTCGCCAGTTTCGACAACGCTGCCGGCAGCAGCATTCTTGGTATCCCTCAGTTTCGTAAGGACTTTGGGTCGGCATTCGAGGGCAACTACGTCCTTCCCGCTAAATGGCAATCTGCTTACAGCGGTGCACCAGCTGCCTTGTAAGCGATTTCTTCTTCTGCAACTTAGATCTCCTCACCTGCCACTGCACTTGAATGTAGCTGACAGATTTATGTATGTAGCTCCGTTATTTATTCTCTGGGGGCCGGGTGGTTTGCAGATAGGATTGGTCGCAGATACACCTTGCTTTCTGGATTTCTCCTTTCGTTCATCGGTATAACGTTGGAAGTGATTGCAACAACGAACGATCTATTCTTCGCCGGTAAATCTATCAACGGACTTGCTATTGGGGTTCTTATCAGTGTGGGAATGACTTATGTGGGCGAGGTGAGTTGAAACGCTATGCAATCTCGTGGTCACTCCTCTTGGCTGATTTCTATTCCAACAGATTGTTCCAACAGCTTTACGCGGGCCGGCAACTTCTGCATGCGCTCTAGCCTTTTCGTTCGGGCCATTTGTGGTATCTCTCCTCGTCTATGGCACAGGAACTTGGAGCAACCGTTGGGCGTATCGTGCTTCATTTGTATCTCAGTATGGATTCAATGTCACCGGGCTTATGTTTCTGCCCTTTATGCCAGAGTATGTTGTCGATCTGTGCGGAGATCCAAAGTCAAACTTCTAAAGGTTTCTAGGTCGCCTTGGTACCTTCTCATGAAGGGTAAAGATACAGCTGCTCTCAACTCTCTCGGTAGACTAGGCATGTCATCTGAGCAAGCTCAGAAGAAGCTCGCCAACATTAGATTGACTCTGGAAGAGATGAAAAAAGAAACCGAGGGCGCCAGTTATCTCGAGTGTTTTCGGCAACACAAATCTACGACGTACTATCATCTCAGCAGCACCTCTTACAATCCAAGTCCAGTCCGGTGTAATATTCCTTTCAACGTACTTTTTCTATACGCTTCAGTTAGCTGGCATATCCGCAGGCCAGTCTTTCGCAATCAATATCGGGACTCAAATTTTGTCAATGGCAGGGAATGTTTTTCCTTGGTATCTGATCAATAAGGTCGGTCGCCAATGGCTCATGATCAGCAGCTTGATATCCATCATCATCCTGGATAGCCTTTTCAGTGGCTTGATTACAATGAAGACAACTGATGCCGCGCTTAGAGGTACGTCAATTTAAGAACGGCTCGGACTGGTTTTTACAACCATTTTTGTGCCATATTGATCAACAGATGCTGACTTAAATATCTCTAGCCGGCATTGCATTCGGCTCCATATACGTCTTCTGCTACAACGCTTCTATCGGTGGTGCCGCATATACTATCTTGACCGAGACCGCAACACCGCGTCTCCGCGTCAAGACAATCGCTATTGGTCTTGCTTTTCAGAATGTCTGGAGCGTAAGTTACATCGAACTCAGCATGCACTTGAATAGCTAACTAACCGGCTTCTGGCAGACATTGTGGTTGTTCGTCCTGCCGTACATTTTCAACCCGGACCAAGCCAACCTCGGTCCCAAAACGGGGTTTATCTTCGCGGGCTTGGCTGTGTTGTGTCTCGTTTTCGTCTGGTTTTATCAGCCCGAAACCCGCGGACGCACGTACGAGGAGATTGACGAACTATTCGTGAAGAAGGTTCCGGCTAGAGAGTTCGAAGGCTTCGTGACGGAAGCTGAGACTCGTGGTCAAGTTGCTAAGCAGGTTCTTGATGGGAAAAAGGCTGCTATGAAACACTAGGTAGGTAAGTTTCTTTCGTCAATAGGTTATGTAAGTTGAGCCCCAGTCAGATGATAGCTAGAGTGTATATGAATTTTGCAAGAATGTACGTAGAAATAGCTTTATACACGAAAGTCAATGCTTGCAAACTCCAATACTTTATACTTGATGTCATAAGTTCCGCCCGTAACTAACAAGGAAGAAAAAAACCTATATATGAAGCGAGCTAGTGCTCAGAGTACATCTTGTCATCACAACCTTGTGCAATCATCCTCAAATGTCCCAAAATTCATCACAATTTTTACCAATGAAAAGTCTGTCGATTACATCCGCATAATTAAATGCTATATTTCCTCTCTAATTCGTGATAAAGCAAGAACATGGCAATGTCCCATGAAGTCACAGACAGTAAGGGCTATGTTATTGTTCCTGAGATTTTGCATTTGTGTTTACTATTTACATGTTCCAACTATTTTTGGACTTTTGTGTATAATTCAATCTGCTACCGCTTTAAAGTCTTTAATTCAACCCTCGAATATCTGTCTCCGCCGAAGCACTTCTCCCTCCTCCATTTCCTCTCAGCTTTAAATTCTTGGTCGTGGCCGCAGACGCTCCATATCTGGGAAAGTGTCCAACTGTACAACGTGGATGAATTGTTTGGCAAAGCGGAACTTGACGGGCGGGACAATCGTATTTGGATAATATCTCTTCTCCTGGGAGACATCGACCCTCATCGAATCATTGTCCTCATCGAGCAGTAGCATGTCAAATGGGACACTCTGCCGCATTCCTTCCAAGCGAATAGGATCAACGACCCGAGTACTCAGTTCCAAACCCCACTCCCCATCGACCTCCGCACCATATTGCTCCGCAATCGAGCGCGCGGCGTCGAACGACTCGTCCCACAACGTGATCGTCAAGCATCGAAGCTGTGGACATATCTCCACGAGTCTACGCACTACCAATGGGTGGTACACGTGGTGGTTCCCCACCGCAAGGTACTTCACCTCCTTCAAAAACCTCAGCATCGACGCAGTCCGGAACTTGCTAGTCTTCCACCGGAACACTTCGCCGTCCAATGGCATGTACGTATCGATTTCTAGAGCCATGTAGCAGCCGGGGCTGTCGAGCCGGCGAGTGCGGAAAGTCATCTTGTACAAAGGGTGCTTGCGGCGACGGGCCTCAATCTCGTGTCTCTCTGCGTCATTGCTGGGTTCGATCTCAAGGTACTCGGCGCGGGATTCTCTGCAAGCGTGGAGTACTGCTGGGACGCCGCCAGCGCGGTTCCAGAAGAATGGTCGCCCTTCAATGCGGCTTTTGCATTGGACTATAACGGCTGGGGGAGGTGCGGCTAAGGCCCAGATCACTATTCGGGAATTAGTATTTGTTTTTGAGAAAGTTGTGACGCTAGAAGTGTGGTCTTGTCTAAGAGGAGCTGAACTACGCTCTCTGCAATGAAATCGAAAGGTTTGGAGCCCATGGTGAAAGCGAATAAGGGCAGAGATTGACTTACTCAAGCGCACTTCCAGTGGAAAGTTCTTGAATCCATGCAAGGTGGTAGGGATCCCGACATCGGGGGAGGACGTAGGGTGGGTAATGGTCGTGGTTGACGGTTGCTCAGCTGGGACAGCGCTGGTAGAGGACGTAGGGTGACTACCAGTGGTTGTCGATGCCTGCTCAGCTACGTAGCCAACAACTGACGCATCAGTTGAGGAGTGGGCGTCATCATTGAGGTTTTGGACAGCTGGGATGCCAGTAACAACTGACGGTCCATCAGCAGTGGTGATCGTCAACAGTTGTGGAGCGGGGACGCTGTTAGCAAGCGCCTCCTTTGTTGAAGACATAGTAGAGGTTGGACAGTTGATTGTATGCTATCAATGATCAAAGAGACTGAATGCGCAGTGGTCCAGAAGACCCTGTGAGAAGATCTGAGTTGTTTGTGGTTCTTTGAATGCGAGTTGATAGATCGTACGATTATGAAAGTTGACGAAAAGATCTTGTATATGATATATTTGGAAAGAACGCTAGTTGTCTCTAGTGCGTATTTACAATCGATTAAGTCTTCGGATTACGGAGTTATAATATGCCGTTCCGTTGCTTGAATCTGTTAAAGCGGTCAAGAGAAGCGTTATTTTTCACTAATGTACACTCGCAATCGATTAACTAACTCATTCATTGGATCATGGAGTCACAATACAGTATTAACTGCTTTCTAGGATTCGATTCCAAGATACACATGTAAGGGGGTGAGCTCAATGAGAGAAGGCCCCTCTAAGCCTTTACTAAAGAGAAGCATCGAACAAGGTGTGAAGATGTAAGCACTTTATATTCCAGTGCCAACTTCCCCCCGCTACTTCCCCTTGTATGTAGCAGAAGTCAAGGATCCAATTAGATATGATGTATTACTTCTGAGATCAAATATACTGCCACACGGGCCTCCTACGACCATTTGCCCAGAAAATGATATTTTGGAAAGCAAGGAAATACGGTAGGTTGTGTCATGGTCAAGAGTTGACGTGCTCATTACTAAAATGAGGTGTTCCATTCATTGATGGGAAGTCTCTCCTTACTTCTGAAAGACAAGAGGAGTTGCAAGGATTCCATGGAGTTGGACAGAATTCTAACGAAAAATGGGGTGGGATGAACGTGGTGCAACAGAGCTACTTTCAATGCATTGTATTCAATCTGTACATAGGTACAGCCTAGGGACTAGCTCATGTTTTCTTTCATGCCATAGCTCTATAGCTGCAGGATCATGTGAATTCAGTTCGCTCTCCATCTGCTCTGTACACTATGCACTCATTCATTTAGACAAAGCACTCTAAATCGATGCGTGTTGCTACTGCCTTAGCTCTTCTCTTTGTCTGAACTCTGCTCCTTGCCTAGCTCTCAGCTCGCTGCAACAGTAGACCTCTCACGAGAAATTGAGTTTACAGAAGATCTGACCCGCAACAGAAGGCTGCTTTAGAGAACCATGCTGCGAATCAGAGAGAGCGCAGAGACACTGGCCTGCGTTGATTAGAACCAAAATGAAGAGTTAAGCGAGTGCCGGAATTACAGCTCTTTAGCGAATGCTTACTTGGCCATGTCAAGCTGTTGAGATGATTCTTTTTTAAATTCGCAACGAGGTGGTTCAAAGTTCAAGTTTTTCGTATTTGAGATTATATAGCGCGTTTTGTTCTTGTTACGAGATGTGAGCATAAATTGGGTCATGTCACGATGGTCACCAGGTCAGTGTCTCATTTGGTTTGTACTTGTGCATTCCGATTTTGTTTGTTACGCTACCCATAAAGTACAAGTTCTGTTGAAGGAAAGAAAAGAGGAAGCAAAGAGTGACAAACGCAAAGTCGGGAAAGGAAAAGAAAATGATAAAGACAATAGCGCCTGATGGAGGGTTTCCAACACTATCCCAATATCAAGGCTTGTATAAGACTGATCTCATACCGAGGCCGTGGCCTAGGTGCCAGCTCGAGGTTATCCACTCAATCTGAATCCAATTCCTCAATCTCTCTTTCTTGACGTGAATCTGACTTCGGTAGAGAAGCCTCGGGTCGAAGTCGTCCAGTCCATGTTGCTGAGCCCTTCACTACTTTCTGTGAATGACGGTACTTATTTCGACGCCAGATATCCTTCAAAGGCTCCAGCTTCTCTGCCTGAGAGAACTGAAACTGAATTCTGAGCTTCATAAACGGAAACGACTTCTCGGGGTGATCTTTCATCATCTCTTCCATTTCCGTGATGAGTTCCCTAGTACGCTTGGCTCTGTTACTCTCGAAAGTAACCTCATCAACTTCCAGCGATACCTCGAGACCCCATGGTCCCATAACCTCTGGAGTATACAACCCCCCTCTCACTCGCCAGCTCTCCTCGTTCCGCCGGCTCTGTAGGACTACCGTCAAAGTCTTCAACAACGGGCACTTCTTCGCAAAATAAAGGAGATCGTCGAAATCCACACAGTCCTCTGGCCTATCGTGTTGCAGAAGCGCCAAGTGCTGCAGACCACTAGCTATATCCAACTCAGCCGCAGTGCGAAACTTGCTTAGTTCCGGTTCTCCAGAGATATCAGAACGATATTCCTTCAGCTCTTGAGCACGCGCAGGCCAGTAGGTATCGATCTCCAGACTCATGTAGCAACCTGCGCTAGCCTTAAGCCGGTTCTTGAAATGGAGTTTGTAGAGAGGATGATCGCGACGACGACCCTCGAACGCAACCTTGGTGGTCTCGTCATCCGTATCGTACTCCAAGTACTCTCGGCGAGACTCGGCGCATGCGTGAAGAACGGCTGGGATGCCACCGGCTCGGTTCCAGTAGTGGCCTCGGCCTTTGACACGGCTTATGTGCTGGGATATAGTTGCAGGAGGTGGAGCGGCCATGGACCTGCGCAAAGGATTAGTACAGCGACTTGTGAGGGTGACGTGGGTATGTTTACCAGATGATCAATCTCAATTCGACAGGTAACTCATTGAACTTCTTGAATTCAGTAAGTGTCAATGCCGGCGGAACCGATGGGGATTGCTGAGCTATGACGGCTTTCGCGTGTGCTCTGGTGTTCCGAGCCATGTCTGCGGTGGGAGTTTGCTCTCCGTGCTGAGCACTACCTTCGAGAAACACGAGTTTGAGGATATGACTTAATTGAGTTGGCTATTGGCTTTTGGAATATTGTGTGTTCGTAGATCGAATAGTTCTTCAGGTGTGCGGAAATTGTTCTTCATAGGTATACAAGGTCGTTTAGCGCACCAAATGTGCTAGTGCGCCTCTGGACTTTCACGCTAGTCTGTCTGTGCTAGCACTCTATAAGTTTGGATGAAAGTTACCTAGGTACGTTTGCATTCTTGTGCAGTTAGTATGTTTCCGGATATCCGGACTTGCGATTACCGCATGCGAGCACAAAACATAGTTATAATCACTCGACTTGATGACTTTTCACCGGAGTGATTAAAAATTATGATCAGTAAATGCAATAACTCTCGTATTTCTGGTCTTCTTGTATCTGCTTTACTCTCCTAATCTTGATATCAAGAAGCATCGTGACCCTGTTACTTCCTACTATGTGAAGAACTTTCGAAGCCTCAATTTGGGCATTGTTACCGTAGGGTAGCATTCATGGAGTTCTTCACATGCATGAGACTATGGAAGGAAGATATTTTTATTTAATGTCTTAAAGCTTTGGGCCATCCATATTCCACTGCATATAGCTTAGACGAATACAGTTCTAGCCCCATGCCTTCACATGTTTCACGAAACCCTTAGGTGAATACTTTCCACTTTTTGGCTATTTTCAAATCCCCACACCCTTTGACATATTATAGGTGGGATGCAGTTTAGCGTTGATCATCTCTTGTACAACTCGAGATCCTAAGTCACAACTTTATCGCTTCAAAATCATGCCTGTTTGAAGAAAATTACTTTTGTGTCTGCTATTTCAGTGCTAGGAAAATGCCAACCATCCATAATGAAAAGACCACGCGCTGCTAGAAATGAGAGATGACCTCTGCAATATGGTCATGAAAATCCTCAATAGCCGCTCTTGCCATTTCCGCCCTCTTTGTTATATTCTTTCACAGGAATCCCTCGTTCTCCATCATCTGACGATCAAACCGGAATTTCAAGGTCTTTGGCCAGTTCTTCTGAGGAGCAAGTTTCTTCAGAATCTTCAAAGTCATCGCAAGTCCCTTGACATTGTGTACTACCGCACGTTGAAGGCGAGACATCCGTGTATCGTCTAGCTCTCCATTGATCTCTGGATCATAATTGACAAGCTCGTCCCGCGTTTCGGGCTCCCTGCAGAGAAACTCCTCCGTCACTACCAAAGTAAGTGTTTCAAGACAGGGAAGCACTTCAATAAGGTGCATGAGGTCGACACGGGAGAAGCCACCAAAGGGGAGACGTTGGCTTGGTTCTCCATCAATCAAGATGGATCCAATCCACCAGTCAGGCACTGCCAGATTCTTCAGAATTTGGTCCAGACCAGTGACGGCCAACATAGCGGTCATGTCGGCAAACTGGGGTGGTCTTACGGTGCCTGGCGTGTGAATGATCAGTTTGTCGCGCATACCCCAGAAACAGTCAAGTTCCGCGCAGAAGTAGATACCAGCATCCGTCTTGTCCTCGTTCTGAAAGTATAGCTTGTATAGCGGGTGAGCTTCTCGGCGACGTTCTAGCGATGTAACATCACCCGGCTCAAGGAACTCATGTCGAGACTCTCTGCAGGCTTGAAGGACAGCTGGCACACCTCCTCCTCGAATGAAATCAAACTCGCGATCCCTGGAGATGATTCTACGCTGCATGATTGTGGCCGGAGCGAGAGTTGTGAAGCTCCAGATGCGACTGCGGAGCTCCGGTGGGAGCTCCGTGAATTTAATGAACGTCTCGAAAGCGGGTGGAGCTTGTAATTGTTCTGGAAAGCTTGAGATAGTTGCTGTGGTGGTGGAATTGTTGAGACTGGTGGGAGTTGGTAGATCGGTCTTTGCAGAGGCAGAGGGCATATTCAGGTTTGAAAACCAGGGCCGCGGTGGAGAACGCATCTTTCTGAAGCAATGATGATCGAATTGTCAGTTTCTGCAAGATCAAAGAGGCTGGCTTGGAAGTCTTGGATTTCAAGTGTCTCGGCGTTGTTCTGATTGAAAGGTTTGGTATGAAATGTGAAGGGGTAGGCGGGGCAGAGATAAAATAAACCAACCCCATAAAATTGCGATCAGCCAGTCCAGACGTGGTTAGCTTCATCTTTCTGCAAGACTCATTCACTGTTGTCAACTTGTCTTTATGATACTGGTTTCAATTCACCTTTATTCGTTTTGAAATTGAGTTTAAAGACGTCTAGGACTATGTGGTCAGAGAACGCTCCCGATTTGTTGCATTACAAGTATGGCACATCTTTCTTAAAGAATTTTCCGTCCTTGTCACACTTTCAGTAATTGACCCTCATTCATCTGCAATCATTTTGCCCTCCCACCAAATCTACCTATCCCATATTCTCATTGGCCATGAATTGCTGCTCGAATCGATACTTTAAGCTCGGAAATTTGGTTGTCGGATGTTTGACCCTCAGTTCAGCCATCACTGCGTCAAACACCTTGACTCGAGCAATAAGCCAACACTGGGCATTATTGAATGCAGATTCATCCAAATTTCCATTCACTTCTGGTGCCAATGGTACCCAATGATAAGTGCACATCTGGAACTCCCGCTCCTTGATCAAGATGGTCAAAGTTTCAAGGCGAGGCAAGTGTTGACTCAGACTGAGCAACTCAGCTTGACTCAGCCAAAAAGAGGAGCTTCCTAATGCCGGTCGACCGAAACTGACGCCGCGAATCGTGATGACCAAGTGTCTCATGCAATAATAATTGCTGGATCTGATGGAATTGAAGTTTTTGGCTCCATATTTCAGACACCAGAACGAATCGATGTCTAGAGACATGTAAACACCAAGACTCCTCTTCGTTTTAAAGTAGAGCTTGTAGACCGGGTGTACACGTCGGCGGATCTCGAGTGCATCTTCGTCGTCGCCGTCTCGGGCCAGGAACTCGTAACGAGATTCACTGCAGACGTGGAGAATCGCCGGAACGCCTCCTCCGCGACGATGAGTATAGTATTTGTAACCGAACGAGTCAACAAGTGAATTTTGGCTTATGACAGATGGCGGAGGCGCGGCTCTGGCCCACTAAAATGTCCTCGAGTTAGTAGAATTCTTTTGGATAAAGTGGAAGTAGATCGGCAGTCACTTGGCTACATGGAAGTCTGATGGCTGGTAGAGCTCGTGAGACATGATTGAACGGGGTTTGAGCTCAGAAAAGTTTACATACAATGAGAAGACGAATTTCTTGAGGTAGATTCGTGAAGATCGTGAACTTCTGAAGAGCGAGGGTTGAGGAAGGCTGCTCTATGAGCGGTGCGGAAGATAGGGGCACGGTGTTTTGATTTGTGAGGCCCATAGGGCTCGATTCGGGATTGTTTGTGCTGAGAGACATATTGGATAGTTGCCTGCTGATTCCCTCTAGATGGTAGAATTGGGGTCTTGTAGAACTCGTTGAAATTGATTTAGGATTATTCATGCTAGGAGACATGTAGGTGGTTGTCTGAACAGTTTGGATCGCAGGTAGAAGTAAAGTTGCACCTTTACATGGCCAAAATTTTCGTCAAGGCTGAAGAACTCCTAATATGGTAAGCGTAGTTCTTAGCGCTATAATGCGAAATCTTATGACAATATAAGTGGTCTCATCTTGAAATAACTTCTATATGGCAGCTGGGATAGAGCTGGGATAGATTAACAAGTCGGAACCGCCAATTTCAGCAGTGTAAATGTTTGCTTCTATTTATGTATCGTTATAGACAGGAAGCTATATATCTGGAACAAACACTACTAATTTTACAAGCCTATCAAGCTATGGTTGCCATAATTCGGAGGCCCACTCTCTCATTCATAATCTCATTTTTTTAATTCTTATAGTACAAGGGAGTTCTTAGTTAGCTATTCAATACTGAAAGAGCCCATGTCAAGAGTTAATACTAGTCACTGGCTCGTATATTAAATTGAGGAACTTCACAAAGCGTAAATGTCTTGAAGCACAAAGGACATTTGGGAAGACAAGTTATGTTCCATTTTTACGATTTCTCCCTTCTGGAGCATAGCTAAGCGCTCGACATATGGAAGACGAGATTTACCCAGGAAAGCAATGAGTCAACACTCAGAATTGCATGCTAATAGCCAGAGAATGCAAGCCCATGCGACCTTCTAGACATAATAATGAGAGTCGTATAGCATGTCGTTGCTATCGCGCCCATATTTCAGTCCTCCCAAGCTCCATGTGATAAAAGAAAGCCCGTGCACGCCATCTGGAAAAATTGAAATGCAAAGATAACAAAAGAAATCGTCTGCTACCAGCATCCTCATTGATAAAGCAGTTGCTCCATCACTCCACTTTCATATTTGCAAGAGGGTGATGCAAATAAAGCAGGTGTGATCGCTTGGTAATTGTACTAGTGAATTGTTAATAATCGTCCTCAATGCATAGCGATTAGCCATGTAGACGGATTTCAACATACCCAGCCTTGTTTGGACCATCGAATGGGCCTGTGATCTCCACACAGATAAACAATTGAAATGTCGTGCCTATGGGTTTCAAGTTGTCTCTGGAAGTTGAATATTATAACTCTCAAAGAATTCTTTGTCCATACTGAATTCAAGTGTCGGGAATTGTCTCTCAGGAAGACGCGCCTTCAAGTCATCGAAGTCTTCTTTGATTCGGTCAGTGACGGCCTTGACGAAAGTATCCCCATCTAGTTCTTGTCGTTTCACATCCTTTACTAGAATGATTGCATCTAAAGTCTCCAAGGATGTGTGATCGATAATCAACTCATTAAGGCAATCAATCATGCCCTCTGCGTCATATACGAAGTCACATCGGACAACCATAAGCCGAATCTTCGATGACATAGCGGCATGGGCACCTAGGTTGAAAGCGACATCATCGTCCATGAGCGGCATATAAGTGTCAATGTCAACGGACATGAAAACGCCACTACCCGATCTCATCTTGCTCGTAAAGCACATCTTGTAGACAGGATGGGCACTTCGTCTTCGTTCCAAAGTCTCATCAGCCTTGTCTGTCTCCAAGAGCTCCGTCCGTGACTCGCGGCACGTATGCAGCACAGCAGGAATATTGCGCAGGCAATGGTACTTGCGAGTAGACTTTCGGCTGGGAAGCTGAACGATAAGAGCTGGGTCAGGAGCGGCGAATCCTCAAATTGCTAATCGGAGCTCTAGAGGAAGATTAGGGAAGAGCGTGAAGGTGTTCAAGATGGCGGGGGATTGGGCGATGTCGGAAGTCGAATTTGAAGACATAGCTATAGCTTCTGTTAGCTTGAATGCTCATGAACTCGCGATCTTGGACAAAGGATGTACAAAGGGTTCTGGATATAAGAAGTGGTGAGCTTACCTGCTGTTCTGCGCGACATCTTTGAAATGTTTGAATGTGAATATGATTGAAGATGACGACTCGGATTCGCAGTTGTTGCTTGGAAGAATCTCGTGTTTGCGACTGAGATAAGGGTGGTCAATCTTCTTGCTTTAAAATTGTTCGAGGAGTGGGTTTTGCGAAACGCTTTTGTGAATTTCTGACGTTGCAAAGGATGCCGATGAGCTCCAGATAAACCTCGAAACCTCGACGAGAATAGTAAAGCCGGTCACCGGCTAGTCTCGCTTAATCCACGTTAAGCTTGCGCAAGCTATAATATCAAATAAGCATTTTCTCCCTGTTAAAAAACAGAGAGAGTGCGTGGCATGAGCAGTAGGGCGGCCGAATGGTCGAGTCCAAAACAATCGATTAATTTCTTGTTGGCTGCGAAGATGTACTCAACCACTTCTCGCTGTATATCGCAAGATATACTGAATCTGTTTATCCCTCCTAGATACTCTGGCTGGTATCTAGGAAATGGGTTTTGCATTTTTGATCTTTGAAATTCTAAATTTATTTTGTTCTCCCAGCTATTGGCTAACCTGTTCGCGTTCTAGACTTTGGAGACATCTTGGCAACGAGGAAGTAGCTTAAGCCTTTTCGATAAGTGTTTTTCTTATTTTCTCTTTTATCACCGCAGCTTGATTCCCGTGGACCGGGTATTTCGATATGTACCCATTAATCTAATCGTATCACAGATGAGTTGTTAGCACACATAATCACTCTTTGCGATTTTTCCTTTCGAAAGATGTGATTTGTTAGGTCTTAAAGTTCGTTGTTTGCTTCATCAAAGCCCCCGTAATTTGACTTGAATGCTCTACTCAAGAAAATTTCAAAGCAACGCTCGCCGTTACCATCCACCTCTCCTGGAGGTAGGATCAATTTATGTACCACTTAGGAAACCGTGTCAATAAAGGCTTTAATAGAAAGAAGATCCCCGCATCAAACTTCCGCAAAAGAAAGGAAAAGCAACGAGTAGCCACCAGATTTGGCACTCCTCTTCACCACCACATTTTGAGAACACAAGATCATTCCTCGACCTCAAAGTGAGGACCTGTCTTTGGCTTGTTTTCTCTCTCTCTTCTCCTTAATCTTGCGACGACTAATGCGATTCATCTCCCGATCCAACTCCTTGAATGGATCCTCCTCTGGTGGCGGAAGCAACTTGATGCCCTCATTTGCGATAATCTGATCCTGAAATCTCCACTTAACCTTGAGTGTATTCAACTTAGGATACTTGGGAGCCATCTTCTTCAATAGGGTATTGAATTTGCTTCGATAGCTCTGGAGGTGATTTTGCCACACAGTCGGAAAGCCGTTAATATTAAGTTCACCATTGATCTCAGGTAGAAGAGAACCAAAACGTGAGTAATAGGAGGCGCTTAGTGCAAACGTCAAGGTTCCCAGTGTAGGAACTTTGTCGATCAGAGATTTCAGTTCCCACTCGTCGAGGGAGCAGCGAGTGATTGTCAGATGCCTCAAGACAGGAGATAAGCTAGGATTGACAAAGTGGTTTGCAAACGCATGCCCGATAGTGTCAATTTCAAGTGGCCAGAATGTATCAGTATCCGACGACATGAAACGGCCCCTGAGCCCATTTCTGGTGGAACCCTCTCGGAAGTGTAGCTTGTACACGGGGTGCGCAAGGCGTCTTCGTTGTAGAGAGATATCGTTTGGGTCATCCGTCTCCAGGAACTCATTACGAGACTCTCGACAGGTGTGCAAGACAGCCGGGATCTCACGAAGTTGGTGATAACGGCGACCAACCTTTCGGCTCTTGACTTGAGCCACAAAGGCAGGTTCCGGAGAGGCAAATGCCCACTACTTGAATTAGTACCAAACTGCTTTCTTTTCCTGGATCTTGTAGAAGAGAATGAAGAAGAGAATGCTGCTTACGATCATGAGACGAATTTCGAGGCAAGCTCTGGGAAGAGGGTGAATTCGGTAAGAACAACTCGTTGGTTTTGCGATTCCACGTCTGGAAGGCTTGGGTGGGCAGCTATGAATTGTTCAGCATCAAGTGCCGAATTTGCGATACTATCGTGATATCTTACCAGGAACTCCCTCTGAAGCAGTCATTGTAGCTTTCTTTGCAGATCGCTTGAGGCTGCACGAAGACATGGTGTTGGCCTTTGTGCAACGGTGATGTGCAAGTCGCGCGGGCAGTTCAGTCTTGGCTACTTTCCCTGCTTTGACGATCTTCGAAGAAGAGAAGTAGAAGATGAGGTTCAGGAATTCTTCGTATGGAAGAGATACGCTGCTGCTGTGAAGTTGCAGAAGGAGATGTGGTTGTTGACGGAAATTCGTGGTAGACGAGAAGGATCGGGAAGCTTGAAGTAGGTATGAGATCGAGCTAACGAACATGGGGACAAAAGTCCGTGCGTTCAGGCTGTAGAACCTCGAAATTAAAACTCTTCACATTAGGACTAAACTATCAACAACTCCACCATTATGGATCCTTTTACCACTCCACCTATGTCTCCACGTCTCCCAGGTGCAAAGATCAGAACCAAGCACAAAGAGGGCATACGCCGGCTCTTCAAATTCGCTAAAATAGGCCTGCAACAGCTCCAGGGCTACT